TAATTCCTTGCTCAGAGCTTTATTCTTATATAACTATTATTTTTAATTTTATATCTGTTTAAACAGAAAAATATATAAGTACTATAGCTTATAACCTTTTAAAATTCTTGAATTAAATTTTTCAGAGGCTTTTCATAATATATCTTAAGTAATATAAATGGAGCTTAAATGAGTTTTATATGAGTAGTCTATTTTTAGATCCTTACTTACCCAGAGGCTAGAGTTAATCTTTAGCTACTTCAATATTAACTTTTAAAGATAATTTAATTATAGGCTAAATTTACTTGAATTCATATATGGTATTAAAAACTACTAAGTCTTTTTTTTTTAGGATTTACTTTAATAGATTTATTCTCTTAAAATGATAGATTACCTAAATAATAATAGACTACTAACTAAAATACTAATAAAAATCATAAATTATATAATCTTTATTTTATAACTCATAATATTTATAAAGTTTATATAAGTTATGCTAATACTCTATTATTATTATATTAGTTAAATGTCTCTATTATTTATATAACCTATTACATATATATATATATTAGGATAGTTCATTAGCTACTATATTTTATCTACTTAGAAATGATACTATAGAAGAGGAAGAAGTAGTAAAAATAAAAGAACTTATTAAATTTAAGAATAGAAAAAGACTTTATATCTTTTAACTTTATTCTTAAATAGTCTTGCTTTCAATAGTATATATAATATATCTATTATTATTAAGATTTATAGGCCTATGAACGCGAGTTCTATGCTATTGATATAATCAAAGCCTATGTTTTCTATAATCATACGCCTATAATTATTAACTAGAACTATAATACTATAACATTCAGAATTATATAGGCTCTAAGGGTAATTAATTACCTATCTCAAGAAAATTGTCAAAAAGGGTAGATACTTAAGGCTTTATAATTAAGCTAAGCTAGTCTAGGTATTCTTAATCAACCTAGTTTAGAATCTTTCTACTAAATAATGAGTACTAATAAGTAAATACATAAGGTATAGACATAAAAGTTAACGTAGTATATCATGATTTCAGCGAAGAACAATAAAATATTCTAGTGAAAACCATGTAAGAACTCCTAAGAACGTATAAAGGTTTCGATATTCAATACATAATGATAAAACATCCATATCATAAGTAAAGTCTCGTCGTTACTCGTAATAATATAATAGTAGACGGTATTAGTAACTAAGTATAAAATTAAAGGTATGATTAGAGAAGGTTAATATAATAGTGTGATTCATGTGGAACACTGGAACTACATGTGTTACAGAAGGACGAATCCGGGGTATCCTAACTACATACGTATGGCTCCGTGATCGAGGTTCTACCCCGGTTCCACCCGCCGATAGTCTGCCATAGGCGGTAAGGAGACCGGTCATTTGAATAGTAATAAATCTATCCTCATGATACAGTAAATCAATAAAAATAAGAAGAGTAGATATACAATATTCATAGGTTATAACACCATCTCTATACTCCATAGAGAAAGAAGAGTCAGTCAGGCTTGCTCTACTTAGATTACCCTAATATGGATGCATTCCGTGGTCTGTGCTTGAACCCCACGTGACTCAGTAGAGTAGCGCGACTAGATCAATATTCCTCCTTTAATATCCTTAATTTCTTATCATGCCTGAGGCATATATCGCAGTAGGTCTCAGACTGTACATAATGGGAAGAGCTTAAATATTAGTCATATTACTCTAGTATATAAATCATGGGCCTAGCCATTAAGCTAGACTATAGGTCTCGACTCTCTAATACGGCAAGGCTTATCAATGATAGTAACTTCATCGCTTTCTAAAATTCCTGTTCATGTTGGCGTAGCCGATACTGGCTTAGACGGGTAGCTAGCCCCTAGGCCCAGAATATTTCCAAAACTTTTATGAATAATTTTATCCTGATTTCACTGTTAATACACAATAGCCAAGGCCCAAACACCACCTAATTTGGATTGTGCCCTTGACCAGTCACCAGTGTGCCTTTTAAAGCCAATTAACTAATTAACTAATCCTAACCATTTTTAGAGATCTATCATCCATGATTGAACACCATAATATCAGTTACACTTCACCGGGCCCTATCTGGGGTAGCCTAGTACTTATAATCTATAATAGAAATCTTATCAAGTATATATTCAAAAGTCAAGACTCAAGTGCCTATTTATTCTATATACTACCTAGTAAAGGGAAGGCAATTTAAAAATTAAAATGTAATGCCGACTAGACGGCGACTTTCCCTATTGATATACCTGCTAAATTAAAGCGTTATCGAGATGGACACCTTGTCGCCTTACATATGGTGGTTATTAAACGACTTAACGTTAATAGGCGAAAGCCACTACTTGTCTTGATTATTAAGGGTTACAATAGTCAAGTAATCTTCGCTATTAGGCCTGAGGAGACTGAATAATCTTCTTTGGTATACTGTCACATCTGAATCTCATTTGCGTTAAAGTAGTACCAAATTAAATATGAGAATTGTTAATATAGTGGGTAAAACTAAAGCCCCCAAGAAGGAATGCTCGTCAAGGGCATTACTCAAACCAGGTGGCGTTTCGCCGGTGTGTATAAATAGTTGAATCAGTATAACCAGTAAAGCAGTGTATAATCAGCAATTCTCAACAAAATAATCTATGTACTATGTTAGATCATCCGATATTCTTTAGACATTAACTCCTAGGGAATACTATTATTCTAAAATGAACCAACATCATCGTCTTATCAACTAAAACAGCAATTGCAAAGTGACCTATAAAATGAATATATGTTGTCAGCTTTACATGACGGGCACAGATGACCGGGGCTAGGGGAGGTTCCACAGAGATCTTCTCTAGTGACTAGTCCCTAACATCAGCGGGGCATACGTTAAATCCATTCCTCCAGTTAGACAATGCACTAATTCAAAGTCAAGAATCACCGAAGTACGTGACATCCTTTTTCGCTCTTGCCCAAAACGGATGAGCAGCGAAAAATCGAACATAAAAAGCTACCCAACGGGCAACGAAGTGCAATTAGTCTAAGAGAAATGAACTACTCGTTACACCATCTCTACAGAATACGTTGCAAAACCCTGGGCTCCACAACAGCGATGTGTATTTGCCATACATGTCATGAACTTTTTTGTTATCCTATTGATCGGGAGACAATAATTGCCATGATTGACCAGTATTTCACATCACTTCAAATTGAAAAACCCTTAAACAGTCTGAAGGACCTGCTCCTTGAACTCGCGCTCCACCTTCTGGCCCTTGTCATCAGTTGCGGACTCGCCGTGGAGAGCCAGGAGGGCACCCAGGTCGAACTTGGGCGACTTGAGCAGCTTAACCTTGCGAATGTGAACCTAGAGAAGACTTGTCAGATAACAGAACCAGCCGGCTATGATAATGGAAAGGAAACATACATTCTGCAGGGGGTAGATGCCCTGGGTGGACTTCTCGATCTCACGACCAATGACCTCAGGAATGAGCTTGTGGGTGAGCTGAGACAAAGTGCAGCTGGAAGCCTCACGCTGCATAATCTCGGTCATCTTCTTGCGGATGGCACGAATTTGAGACGAGCGAGCGTAGGTGGTCTTCTTGATCTGGTTGGGGCGTCTCTTGGTGAAGGCGATGGCGAACAAACGGATAAGGTAGTCGTCAGTGGTCTTCACGGTGACGTTGGCCTCAATCAGAGACTGCCACTTGCGAACGAGGGAGCGCAGCTTGTCGGTGGTGAAGTCCAGACCGTGGAAGTTGGTCAGGCAGTTCTTGCCCTGGATCTCGTCCACACGGAGCTTGACCTTGCGGAAAGCGTGGTCCTCATCGTTCTGCAGGTCAGCGAGGGAGACCTCGAAGATACGGCCCTTAAGGGAGTCGTTGGCGTTCTTCAGACCGCTAGTACGGTTGACCAGAGTCTTGCCGACACTTTTCAATTCCGTTAGTACACAAATTTCAGGCCCGAGTTACCAAGGAGGAATGGGGAAAATGAAAATGGTGGGTGGGAAAGGGAGGGGGAGGATCCTACTCGCGGGTCTGGAAGGTCGAGGGGGCCTGACAGCGAAAGCGTTAGTTGATCCAGTACTCTTAAAGTTGCTTTCGGTTTTCAGGAAACTCACCTTCACGGAGTACTCATCCTTGCGCGTGAAGGGGTCGACGGTCCGCTTCTTGATACCCTTCTTACCCTTGGAAAGGCGCTTGTTCCTGGTGACGAGGTGCGTTAATTGAAAAGATTCGATGAGACTAAGCGAGAGTGTAGCAAGACTTACTTGCCAACAGCCATGATTGCGAGTCGGGTCTATCTGTGTGTTGTTAAAAGACAGACAAAGGTATCGCACCACGGCGCTCGGAAGGTTTCGAGATTCTCGCTGCACGGGTCGACGGGAGGGTTGAAATCGAAAACCCACAGAAAACTCGGCTAAGCGAGCCCACCGGGCCCTATCTGTGGCTGACTCAGCCACAGTCCCAGTCTCATGTGACACACAGACAAATTTGTTTCGCTACCGAATTGTGATTGGTGGGCTTCCATACGCTATGGAATGACTGGATTTCATGATATCATGAATCTCATCCTCAAACATCAGGATGGTCGCAAATCCCAAGATAGATCCCATACTCCTGTTTACTTTGATTTCTATGTCTTATAGGCCATACATGTTTCAGATCCTACTCATCCTCCACATAGCAATGATCCTATTAAAATCACTGATCCTATGCAGTTCAAAATCAAAAGTCCCCAGTAGCAGTAGCAGATTCAGAGGTATCAAGCAAAGTGTCAGTGGTTTGTTTTCTTGATCAAGGGATACGATCTAGGACATAGTCGGTTGAAGGCCATGGTGTTTGCTCCTCTTACTGTGAGTGGGCGGTTACTAAGATCCTCTTTTTTGCCCAAGAAGCTCCCGCTCCACTTCAGTTGTTGCGACTCTCATTCTCCGCACGAAGTCCACTATCATTAGCTGAACTTCGCCTTCTTACCTCTCCAAACTCTTTATCTCAAAGTCATCGTAGAGCATGGTAATTTCACATCATCCCTTGTTTGTCACCATTTCTACAATATTAATCGGCTCCTAATAGGGCAAGCGCAAGTCTTCCTCTAAACCCCAAGGGCCCCGAAAGGTAAGCAGATACTGGATCCGGACCACGCCAGGGAGCTGACTGGTATATAAAGCGGGAACCCCTTTCAACCACTTTCGCCTGTCTTTTTTGCAACCACGAGAACTCGGTCATCGTCAAGCTAGACAAGAAACTCGGTCTCGGCGATCTGTCCTGCAAAGTTTGTGGCCAGAAGTTCCAGACTGGCATCAATTGTGCGTCATTCCCTGGTCGCATCACCTGTGACTCTTTTCTGATTGTCCAATAGATCTTTCCGCCGCCGTCGATGTCTATTCGGACTGGGTGGACGCGTGTGACGCGGTTGCCAAGGACACCGCGAACCAGTATGACGGGGCAGTCAGCTCACAGGTAACAAGTCGCAAAACCGGCCCTTCAGCAGATGTGGTACCTGGAGATGGCTTCGAGGAAGATGACTATTGATTCTGTTGTTACGGGGCGAACTGGCGCAAGGGAAACGGTATCAATTTCGATGATCTCATCTATATACACTTCGGCGCATCCACAAATTCATCTTTGCTTTATTCTCAGAACATACTCTTCATTCTCCGGTGCATTACCTAGGCGAACTCAGATTACGAGTCCGACCCGTTCGGAGCTTGATACGAAGAGACCCCCTTTTTTGTTGGGGATTGATGCATCGAAGCCACCCCGGGTGTTGATACTTGCGCTACTGAGAATTTACAGATAGACCGCAAATAGCCTCAAAGCTTGGACTAAGTAAGTTGTTATTGGCGAAGATCGCACTACAATGTGTAGTATCGATCACCAAAATCTCCCAGCCCAGGGATGATATACCTGCAACCAATTAGTTATGGCCGAAGAGCCCGGAAAAGAAGGGAGCCTCATACTTTTTATCATCAAGTCCTTGATCAATGAAAGATGTGACAACCCGAAGCTTGGGGAATCTCTCCGCGAATTCCGCAACTCCAGAAGGGCTTGCGATCAGATTGAGAAATAGAATCCGGTGCTCAGGGACGCCTTTCTGCTTCAGCACCTCTACGGCCAATGTTGCAGATCCTCCTATGAAGTATCAGTATGGTTGCGAAAGCCGCGGGTAGTCAATGTGACATTGGCACCTACCAGTTGCAAACATTGGATCCAGGAGCAGGACCCATCGATCCGCAATATCGACTGGCAATTTTTCATAGAAGAGCTTCGGCATGCAGGTCTCCTCATCCCTCTGGATTAAAATTTTGCCAATACGAACGGATCGGCAGCAATCTCGCAACCCTTGTTCCATGGCCTCTCCAGCTCTCATGATCGACACACCACAGATCTTCCCCTCGAACTTGACTCCCAAGTAGGCCCGCCCGACGGGGGTGGTGACCGACTGTTCCACTACAGGCAGGTGGTTCAGCCCCTCTTCCACTAGCAGCCGGATGATGCGGTTGGAGTAGAAAATAAAATCTGCTCGGGCGGTCCGTTTGTCGCGAATCATCCTACGAATTGGTTAGATGTCTCGATACATCTTGCAGTAAGCATCGAGAAGAGATAATATTCTCACGTAAGTAAAGCGATCAATTGGGGTGTTTGGGACAGCACATGGACGTTTTCGTAGGAGACTTCCTTGGAGACGGTTGCTGTGGGCTTCTCACCGTCTGGCTGATAGACAGGGCCAACGCCTTGGGCGGGCGATGGAACAGGGTCTTTGCTAGCCATTAGAGAAGATATGCGAGTATATATTGAAGCAGGGAGAGAGAGAAAGATCAAAAAAAGCAAAAGTCGGAGGACACACGACCTTGAGCAAGTGATAGAAAGTGGGGAGAGGGGATTTTCTCTTATCGTAGCTATCGGTCTAAGAATGACCTGCCCTCCGCACTCATCCTTATCGGTCCCGCTGAATAAGCCTCGGGACTCGCAGGACTTTGTCGCGCATATCTGGGAAGTTCTCCCATTTAACGGCCTTGCTGTCATCATCATCTATCCTTTCGGACTGCTCCTCCCTTGAAGAAGAAAAAACGAGACTCGATCCAGCCGTCTGCGGCATGCCTCCTTCGCTCGCAGACGCCCTCCAGCCCTGGATCAACCTGCGGAGCCTTTGAACCAGTCTCCACGAGTCCTCTTGTGCCTTTCTTATTTGACGCGCATGCTAGCCATTTGAAGCTATCGCAATTAGCAAGAATGGAATCACTCCCCCGAAGTCGGCGACTGGTGACCTATCGCTCTAGCGCTCATAATGAATCGCAATCCAAGTCCGTACTCTCTCGTACGTCAACTACCAAACATACACCAACTAGATCGCGCCATTCACGCCAATCAAATCATCGCATTTTAAACAGCGAACAGAAAGAGGGAAAGCCCCAGGGGTTGTCCGAGGCTTCGGATGAGAAGATTTATGATCTACCATCCTCAGACGAAGAAGATCAGCAGCAATATAAGCCGAGGCGAAAAAGACGGCGGCATGGCTCGAATGGGCATACAGCCACCTTACGACAGGATATTGTCGGCCCAGGAAAACCTATAATGGTTGAGAAGGATGTCAAACCTGGCAGTATTCCCACCGAGAAATTGAATACAGCAGCCCCCCAGATTATATCCGCCTCACCGCAGAGGAGAAAAGGCGCAACTAATCATCAAGCGGGCATCAAGCAATTGGGAGACGACGAGCTAGGGAACTTCAAACTCCAGACACCTAAGTCTACCGAATATTTGGACAATATCGGAATGCCTGGTACCTCCGCACGCGAGAATGAGCGACCCAAAAGTTCCGAGACACAGAAACGTGTCACTCGAAACGCGCAAACTAGCTTCAATTCTCCTGGATCTCCAAAGTCTATCATACCAGTTGTGGGAAATTGTACTCCTGGCCGTCGGAGACTAATCGACTCGCTGGGTACTAGGGAACGTTCAGCGGAGGGGTCACCATCAGATACGCTGGTTGATAGCCAAATATCTTCTCCCTTAGCTCCTCCTACGCCAAATCGACAACCCGACCTTGTACTATCAAGAACGCCGGTCGAGAGCCAATGTGATAGCCATGGTCGGGACCCTTCTGTTGCACCCTCTCCCCTTTTACGTGGCTCAAAGGTTACATATGCCCGCCAACGCTCATTTTTAGATGACCTTGCTTTGGAAACTGGGTCCTCGAGCGTAAATCTTGCAGCTGGTGTGGAGCAGAATGACTCGCTAGTCGAACGTGACCACATGAATCCCAATACTGAGTCTCGGGCTCGTCTTTTCACTATTGAGGAACCTGACAATGATGATGGGACAGTTCGGAGCATCCATGAACTTCGTCAAGCTGGTGGAAATGCTCGTTACCGCGGCGCGATCGAGTCCATCTTCGAAGATATTGAAGATACCCACATTTCCACATCGGGTCGGTGCAGTGCATTAGTGCAACTCTGCAGCAAGTTACTAGATACAAAGCTTGCAAGTCAATTCCTGGAGTGCAGTTTTGATAAGAGACTGGTGGATCTGTTTTGCAGGGATCTGGACCTGATTTCTTCTTCACTTGCCCTCTGTGCCTATAAACTTTGTGCCATAGGCAGACCTCTTCCCTATATTCTCGCCAAGACTGCTTTGCCCAAGCTTTTGGATATATCGCTTCCTTTGTTAAGCATTCAAGAGGGCCTGTTCGCGATGACACGTGCCCCGCACCTGAGAATAGCCAAGGCTACTCAACTGTCCATTCAACACATCCTCCCACAGCTCCAGTCGATTCTGCTTCCCGATGATTATGTGGCCAAGTTATCCCCTTGCCTCTTAATACTGCAATGCCTGGGGATGACTGTTGCGGCAGTTCAGGGCAAAGGCGAGAATTCCAGCGGTCTTCCTGTGCCCTTTTTGAAGCGATTGGTAAATCTCATGCTATCTACCAACTCTCATCATGAGAAGGGTTCAACCACCATTGGGCCAGACGCCTCCCAGAATTTGATCTTGGCCTTGTCTATCCTGGAGGCACATACGACAACTGGAGGGCCTCTTTCGGAGGACCATCGTGAGGTTCTGAGTTCCATTTCAAGTTTGTATGGTTTGCTTTCAGCGACAGGCGACAGTCCAGTGAATATGACCAGCCAGAGCATTCAAAGTCTCTATATTCGAGTGATCTTGAATGTGACCAACAGCCACCCTAGCCTTTGCGATGACTTCGCAACACCGGAGATGATAGACGAATTGGCCACAATCGCAATCAGCAACTTTGCCGACTTGGCCAAGGAGCCCCACGCTCAGGAAAACACCACTTCTCTAGATACGGTCATTCTGGCACTGGGGGCTCTGATTAACCTAACTGAACAAAGCGAAACCTCGCGAATCATTTTCCTCACCTCACGCAGCTCAGGTCCGTCCCTTCTCGACCAATTGTTACATATGTTTTTGGTTCATGTCGATTCCACTTCAGAAGTATGAAACCACCACATGCATCTTTTTTCATCTTACCTGGCTGCTAATCTATTGATATCTAGGCACATTCTGTCCCGGCTGTTCATCATAACGTTGCGGTGGGATATTTGGCGGTCCTCCTCCTGGCCCTGTGTCTCAATTCCAGTGCTCGTGCCGACATAACGAATTCATTGCATTCTAGGGACTTATCGGTTATTATGTCGACGGTTGAGGAATTCATGCAGTATCACCGCAAGATCGAGCAGGAACTTCAACCCGTCCACGTACAAGGTGATCCAAATGGATTCCATGTTCGACTGCTGGACCTCGTGGGTCGAATCCAAGACACCATTGAATGATATTGTTGTTATTTCAATTGACTATCTAAGTCTGCTGTGGCATCTTTGTACGTTATGATTATGGTGATGGCGACGGTGGCTTTTTTCTTTTTTTCGTCTTACCCTCCGGTATCCTGAAGATAGGATGCGGACATAAGAGTCTTGGTGAGGTTTAATTAATGATTGATACCCTTTTTCTCTAAATCCTCCCATCGCTTGATATCAAGTATTCGTATTAGTAGTGTGCAGAACTCCATCCCATATAAATTACCTATCGGAATGCTATGATTATCTCACGTGCGGCCCCAGATCGGGTATCTAATCGCCTGTTTGCAGCATTTGCACCCCGAGCTCCCCCGATTGCTTCAACCTGTGGATTTGCCACTCGAACCGCGAGCTCCCATCGATCGCCAAATCGTTCTGAGACCTCTCACTCGGCTTCCACATATCACTATATCCAATTCTTCTCTTTTACTCCAAGACATTCTTCATTATGCCCGCTGCACCGAAGCAGAGAAAGATTGCTATTGTTGGCAGTCGTTCCGTGGGTATGAGCCTTGATCAGCATCGCTATTCTAGGGAACTTGTCTGGTGTACTGACACTGGCTGCCTCAGGAAAATCCTCCCTTACGGTCCGCTTTGTTGAGCATCACTTCGTGGAAAGTTATTACCCCACAATTGAGAATACCTTCAGCCGAATCATCAAATACAATGGCCAGGACTATGCCACCGAAATCGTAGACACGGCTGGACAGGTATGCCTCTGCTCTCTTGGATACAGAGGAAAGGGTTTCTTAATAGCTGACCTCTTTTGTATAGGATGAATACAGCATTTTGAACTCCAAGCATTTCATCGGCATCCATGGGTATATCATTGCATACTCGGTGACATCGCGCCAGTCTTTTGAGATGGTAAAAACTATACGCGACAAGATCTTGAATCATCTGGTAATGACCCCCTTCAAGGCTATTTATTTTCAGAGATGGATGTCTAATTTGCTATCGTGTGGAACAATAGGGGGCAGACGAAGTGCCTCTGGTGGTGGTAGGCAATAAGAGTGATCTGAAGCCGGAACAACGACAAGTCTCATTGGATGAGGGCCGCAAATTGGCGGAAGAAGTCAACTGCGCATTCACCGAGGCCAGTGCCTTCCTTGACTTCAATGTTGACAACGCATTTGAATTGATGATTGGGGAGATCGAGAAATCTCAGAACCCGTCCCAACCTACCGGGGGCAACAAGTGTGCCTTGATGTGATCTGAGATTGATTCACGTTATGGCATCTATCCCCCCTGGTATGTTAGGTCCCTTTGCTTACAAGGGAGGATGAAGCAGACGAGGTTATGAGGGATTGGAGCTCCTGGACCTGCTGCGCAAGTACTCAACTGTCTTCATCCTTCCCTTTTCTCACCACTATACGCCGAATGCTTTTAACCTCCCACCAATCACGTTTAATACTGCGAGGCCAATCTGGAGCTAACATTGTTTAGGAGCTCCCTCTTGTGGAGCCATCCCACGAACATTTGACTATTCGCTCTCCTACGCCTTTCTCTCCCTGTGTTATTGTTGTGTTTTTATTCTTCTCTCCTTGTTATGATCATTCTGGATCGGTGGAATCTTGGGGCTTGGGTTGTTTTGAATCATGGGTTTCTTTTATTGCGTTTCAGGGCTAGGGAAACATGTATTTGACATCTGCATAGAGTAATGAAATGCCGGGCCCCAGTCGGGCCCATCGACACATGAAAGGATTCTTACCCCGTGAGGAGAAGGGGAGTTCGATCAAGTAGTATGTAGAGGAATCCCTAGGGTCAGATGTCGGTTATTTCAAAACTTAGTATCGTTTCTGTCCATCTTTATGATGAGGACTTGGAAAGGCACGAACGGATTGATCATGTTTGGATTAAGTAATCAATCCCCCGCTGTGCGCGCGCCTTTTTTCCCATTTTACCCCTCCACCAGTCCCAGTGACTCACGTTTTGATTTTGCCCCCTTACTAACCATGTTGGACCTCAATGATTTTGTCGCCGAGCGCGGTGGTGACCCCAATAAGATCAAGGAGAGCCAGCGCAGACGCCATGCCCCAGAGGAGACTGTGGACGAAGTGATCGCACTGTACGAGGAGGCCCGCCAAGGTATGTCTGTGGGCCGATCGACCTGGGAAGCAGCTTCTAATTTATGATTAGCCCGGTATGCGGTTACACAAATTGGCTCCGAGCTCAATGCTCTCATGAAGCAGATCGGCATGAAGAAGAAGGTACCCCTTATCCCACACCTTCCCCCCACCTCAAGGACGAATAGCTCATAAGTTGGATGGGATAGAACAAGGAAGATGCGAGCGACCTGATCAGCCAGAAGACCGAAGTCGACATGAGAAAAAAGCAGGCCGAGGATGCAGCTCTTGCAAAGGAAATGGAGCGGGACCGTAAGATTCGAACAATTGGAAACTATGTTCACGACTCAGTGCCCTTGAGTAACAATGAGGCAAGAACCCATTCCTGTAAAATAGCCAAATGGGAGGTGAACTAATGCCGATGTTGGACCATAGGATGACAACCAGGTCATCAAGACTTGGACCCCTCCAGATGCCGTTATGCAGCGGCCCGATTGTCTCTCCCACCACGAGGTTCTGACTCGCCTGAACGGATATGACCCTGAGCGTGGTGTCAAGATTGTTGGCCACCGAGGATATTGTTTGACTGGCTACGGTCTCTTCCTGAACCTAGCCCTTGTCAACTATGGCCTGGAGTTTCTCTTCAAGAAGGGTTACCAGCCCAACCAGCCTCCGCAATTCATGCTCAAGGAGCTTATGGCTAAGACCGCGCAACTGGAGCAGTTCGATGAGGAATTGTACAAGGTGACCGAGGGCGAGGACAAGTCCACCGATAAGTATCTCATTGCTACCTCTGAGCAACCGCTCTCTGCACTTCATAGCAGCGAGTGGTTGCAGGAGAGTGACTTGCCCATCAAGTACGAGAGCCATCTCCATTGCTATCACCGCCTTGTCTTACGAGTGCTGATATGATTTTTCCAGGTACGCTGGCTACAGTACCTGCTACCGCAAAGAAGCTGGTGCCCATGGTAAAGATGCATGGGGCATTTTCCGTGTTCACCAGTTTGAGAAGGTGAGTTGACCCATTCTATTGTGTCCACTATGCAGAACCTATGTTTTCCTTGTCCGGAGACTTATGTATTCTATAGATCGAACAATTCGTGTTGACCAAGCCGGAGGACTCATGGCAAGCGTTTGAGGACATGATGGCCACCTCGGAGGAGTTCTACCAGTCTCTGGGACTCCCATACCAAGTCATGGCTATTGTGTCGGGTGCACTAAACAACGCGGCAGCTAAGAAGTACGACTTGGAGGCTTGGTTCCCCTTCCAGCAGGAGTACAAGGAACTCGTCTCCTGCTCCAACTGTCTCGACTACCAGTCCCGTGATCTAGAGATCCGCTTTGGTGTCAAGAAGGCTACCGATCTGAAGAAGACCTACGTCCACGCGCTGAATGCTACCTTGTGTGCCACCGAGCGGACACTTTGCTGCGTTCTCGAGAACTACCAGCGGGAAGATGTATGTGCTTCCTCTTCTCTTGGGGCTTTAATCATTGCTAACTCTTTCCGTAGGGTATCGAGGTTCCCGAAGTTCTGCGGAAATACATCCCTGGAAACCCCGAGTTCCTTCCATACGTCAAGGAACTTCCCAAGGATACGACGTCACAGAAAGTCAAGGCCAAGCAAGCCAAAGGAACTGACGAGGCGGCCAAAAAGATGCAGGATCTCAAAGTCTAGGGAATTGAAAAGAAAGATTGACCCATGCATGTAGTTACATGAGCCTAATTATGTAGTCCAAACGTATGCGGAAAACCGATTTTGAAAGTGGATCTGATCCAATGGAAGCTGCAGTTGATTGGATAAGATCGAAACGACGGGAAGAAAAGAAAAAAGCCCCGCGATGTGCCCCTCATCAATCACGCCTTAATGAGTCCAATGAGTCACGCATCTTTAGATTTTTCTCTATGCCTTGTAGCAGTATAGAAGCATGTACATGTACCTGGGTAGGAGAGACGATGAGTCAATTCTTCACCGAATATGATATCCTCCGTGTTTATCTTCCCTTTTCAATTTTTAATTTTTAATTTTTAATTTTTAATTTTTAATTTTTAATTTTTTTCTCATAGTTTAAACCTTTGATCGCATCCGATTCCGGAGACTCGGGCTTATATAAGGTGACCTAATTGCCATTCCATCATTTCATTCATTGCTCGACACTTAGACTCGTTTCTTTCCCCCCCTTATTTCCCTACCTACACCATGACATCTGCCAGAGATATCCGCCCTCGCCAGGACGACCTGGCCGCCCAGGCTCAATACCTGGCCACCTCGCCCTCCGCTTCCTTCCACTCTCCCTCCAGCCATGGCTCGGCGCTCACCCGAACAATCCCGGTGCTGAATGCGAAACATTTGAAGCCTTTTGCGACACAAGACATCAAGGTTTTGCTCCTAGAGAACGTGAACGTGGCCGGCCGTGAAATTTTACAACAGCAGGGCTACCAGGTGGAATTCCTCAAGTCTTCCCTTCCAGAGGACCAGCTCATTGAGAAGATTCGGTAAGGTACCTCGATTTTCTCTCTTACCAATGGGGAGGTAGTCACTGGCTTGGGAAGCTGACTGGGAGGAAAATAGGGACGTACACGTCATCGGTATCCGCTCGAAGACCAAGCTCACCGAGCGCGTCCTGAAAGAGGCCAAGAATCTGATTGTGATCGGCTGCTTCTGTATCGGAACTAATCAGGTGGACCTGCAATATGCGGCTGCTCAAGGTATCGCTGTCTTCAATTCACCGTTCAGCAACTCCCGTAGTGTCGCGGAGCTGGTGATCGGTGAGATCATTGCCCTTGCGCGACAGCTGGGTGACCGTTCCAACGAGATGCACAATGGAACTTGGAACAAAGTGAGCAACAAGTGCTGGGAGATCCGGGGCAAGACATTGGGTAGGTTTGGGACATGTACAGTATGCAGGAGTCAACCACTCACGGAATTTTCTTAGGTATCATTGGTTACGGTCACATCGGTGCCCAATTGTCTGTCCTTGCCGAGGCCATGGGTATGTCGGTCATCTTTTACGATGTGGTTAACCTGATGTCTCTCGGTACGGCTCGCCAGGTCGAAACTTTGGACCAACTGATGGCCGAGGCCGATTTCATCACCTGCCATGTGCCCGAACTTCCTGAGACTAAGGGAATGATTGGCAAGGCGCAATTTGAGAAGATGAAAACTGGCAGCTACCTGATCAATGCCAGCCGTGGAACTGTTGTTGATATCCCCGCCCTCATTGATGCTATGCGCAGTGGCCGAGTTGCCGGTGCCGCACTGGATGTGTACCCGAATGAGCCTGCCGGGAACGGCGACTACTTCAACAATGAATTGAACGAATGGGGAACCGATCTGCGTTCCCTGAAGAACCTGATCCTGACTCCCCACATTGGAGGAAGCACCGAGGAGGCTCAGAGTGCCATTGGTGTGGAGGTGGCTCAGGCGCTGACCCGATACGTCAACGAGGGCACCACCCTAGGTGCTGTCAACCTGCCTGAAGTCACTCTCCGTTCCCTGACAATGGATGAGCCAAACCACGCTCGGGTGAGTTTCATCAATGCTAACGAGGGAATATGGAAGTCAAATTGACCTTTCGTCTTCTGCAGGTCATCTATATCCACAAGAACATTCCTGGTGTGCTGCGAAAAGGTAAGGAACTCTCCTTCTGAAGAGCCTCCATCTTCTCCCCTCGCACAACTTTTCTAACGTAAATGTTCAATTAGTCAACGAAGTCATTGGTGACCACAATGTCGACAAGCAAATGACCGATAGCAGGGGCGATGTAAGTCTTGCTTCCGGTGTAATCATTTGATACAAGTGATTAACTATAAACAGGTTGCCTATCTGATGGCTGATATCAGCAACGTGAGTGCTGCTGTGATCAAGGACTTGTATGAGAGACTTGAAACTCTCAACTGTAAGGCAATCCCATCCCTCCCTCTTGTTACACACATCTGACTCAATGGTCCTAGCCCGAATCATGACCCGAATTCTATACTAAACATGGAGCTCGTGATTCTCCACTGTAATCAACTTAACATGTTATGAACCTGGGTTCATCCCATTTGAAAAAAGATTTCACCGGGACCCTCAACGAGGTCTCACCCGCGCGACTGTATCGATTGACTTGGTCATCCTTCATAGAGGACATTTCGAACCAGTTAGATCAAGTAGCGAGATGGGAAAGCATAAAAGCAAATTGACGGTTTACGCAGACAATGTCCATTTGAGTACTTCCAACCCAAGTTCAATGTAAAGCTACTTGCTTTGTCTCTGTATATTTAGACTCCTCGATAAACAGAACTTATTGGAAAACGGGAAGACCTTCCCGAAGCACGTGAAGCACCTTAAGGTAATTCTATATAAATGTGTGGTTTATGGATATCCATAGTTTATTTCAATTAATATCTGATATTTGCCTGCTAGGGAGTTTTCTCAAGGCCTATTTATGGAGAATGATACATCTGTTGCGGGCATTATGCCGGCTAAATTAATATGGAGATGTCGATGATGCACAGCCACTACCCTGGTCCTCGAAAACCGGGACTCCGACTTCTTCTTCGAGCTGGTTCACGGCGATAGTCACGCCGGTTCCCCCCACGCCAATCTGCATTTGGGGGTGGATTTTCGGGGGCATGTCCATAATTTGGGACATAAGAGTCAATACTGCTGGAGAACCTACCACCTGGACGGCCTTGAGGGAAACGATCCCGTCGTGAGTCGTCGGTCCATCCAGCTTGCGCACCGTCCCACTGTTGGTGAGAAGACACGGGAGGTCGTGGTGGTAGCCCACCGTCTCGTTGAGAGGAAGGGAATGGACCACGTCGATTGGAGTTTCCTGACATCCCAGGTGGCCCGTTAGGTCGACCACCTCGGGCAGCCCCTGGGATTCTACTTCGAGAATCTGGTCGAGAACCGGGACCGGTCCAGGCTCCGTTGGAAGAGGCATCACCAGCGCTACCCCCGGGAGCTGGGGGTATGGGCGCCCGTTGGCCGCGGAACTTCTTTCGATCCAGCTCATGGGAATCCTGGAAGTGGGGGATCTCCCCCGGGCGCGCAGGAAGTGGCGGAGTGGTGAAATAAGGATGTTTCAATGCATCCATGGCGTTGACACGTTTTCGCCAATCAAGCTTCAGAAGCTCAGTGAGTAGCGAGACCGCGGCAGGGTGTTGACTATTACGTTGTTAGTTCATGCCAATATGCCCAATGGCCGCGTTTTGAGAGGGGGCAGAGGGGGGGGGGAGGCGCAGGATTTTCCTACTCTTTAAAGACGTCGGCAAGGTTCCCACGCTTGAAACCGAAGTTTTTGACCCCTTCGCAGCCCGGCAGAGAACTCCACCCAGGCATGTTCTCGTCATTTGGTGTCCCCACAAGACTGAAGATGAGTTGCGCTTGATTAAGATCGCTATTGCCCGAAAGAATGGGCTTTCCCTTGAACATCTCACCGAAAACACACCTATAGAGCATATCAGAACCCAGCCACCAAGAACCATGGGCTCTAACTTACCCCACACCCCACATGTCAACGGCCGTCGTGTACTTCCGGAGCGAGAGTAGCAACTCCGGTGGACGATACCATCGGGTCACAACCAGAGCTGTGTATTCTCGTTTTGCTTCGCCTCCGCCCTTTCCAGGCTGCGGAGGAGGTTCATCGAAGGGCCGTGCAAGCCCAAAGTCGGCAATCTGGAGGATTCCACCATTACTGATGAGAAGATTGGCAGCTATTTTGTTGATGAGTTTTGATTGAAATTGTAAATATGGGTAGACCGATAAGAACGTACCTTTCATGTCACGGTGCAAAATACGGCTCTGCTATATGCGTCAGAAAGGTAGCTCCCTGAACCAGCTTAGAACAAGTCATACCGCATGCAGGTAACGAAGACCTTCAAGAAGCTGCATCAAATAGCATTTGATCTGAGGCTCGGTAAATTGGACTGATGGGTTCTCCAGGAGCCCAGAAAGATCATGCTCCATATATGGGGTGACCATGTACATGCTGGGCTTCTTTCGTCCCTCGCCTGGAGTATGTGTCAACATGCAATCTGCGATAAAGATCCAAAGCCACCAAAGGCCACGTCTTACCCTTGCTTCGCTCTACCGCCATCTCCTTGAGCTGCAAGACATTTGGATGAGAAAGCACCTTCAGAATCTTGATCTCTCGAATTGCGGTGATCGGGAACTTTGCAGAATAGGTTAGCTGGGAGGTGTAACGACGGCAATTTTGCAGTCAAACATACACCCTCTTTCTCATGGTGCATGAGAATCTTCTTCAAGGCCAGAACCGAATTGTCTTTCTTGGACCTTGCTTTGTACACTTCACTGATCCAACAATTAGTCCTAAGCCCCCACCCGACCAAAGAAAACTAACCCGAAAGTCCCTTCTCCAAGCTTTCCGATAAATTCGAAATCTCGAATGTTAGAGCAACCAGGGAACCGGGGCTGGCCGTTGCTATCCTTTTCGAGGGATGACATAGATGCTGGTCCGTTACTGTACGGAATGCTTCCTTCACTTTGATGGAGGAATGATTTAATTGGCAAACTGTAAATCCTGACCACTTAGGTTCAAGTCAGGTATGCTGCTGAGTTGATTTTCGGTGCTCGCGGGGAATCTTAGTCGGGTATCATGGGTTCATTCAACTAGGGCGATAACAGCGTTTAGTTGAATTTTGTGGGAGAATTCCGAGTCGAGGGGCACCGATGGTTTTTGGAGGGTAAGCGGAATCATAGTAGCATTCACTGATCAGAGTTAAAAAAAGTAAAAGGGACCAGATGTGAACTTTCGCATTGCCAGGGCCATTCAAGGGTCTCTCGAGCGGAAAGAAGACCGAAGTGAATGTGAGGATAGCAGGGAGAACAGTCAAGCCTTCAGATTCCCAGATCTTGCCGTCGAATAAAGAAATAAGACCGGGGTCCCGGTTTCTCAAGTTGAGCAGTAGAAGAAACCTTGGACGTTGAGGACGAAAGAACGCCGTCACTGGTCACGTGATTTGGAGACTTCCACTTCCTCGAATTCCCGCTTCCGACGAACTCTCCGTCCTCTGCAAAGCTCATCGTCCTGCACATATAACTAGGTGACTTGGATTCAACCACCCGAAATCGACGTCCGCTGACTCAATCTACAGCCATGGCAGGCAACTCCCACCACCCGGTCCACGTTCACGCGGCCCGGCCGTTATACCGCTTCACTGCCACTGCCTTAGGTGCCAGCATGTGGTTCTTCGTATGATTCCCTGTCCCGATGTCCTTCTATGTGAGCCAATGCTAATGAGATGCGACGCAGCTTATGTACCGTGCTAAGAAGGACGGTCCGGCGCTGCTGGGTTGGAAGCATCCTTGGGATCACTAGACGGAGAGGCTCGGGCTGTCTCATAACCACGAACCATGCTCAATTGAACTGGAGCAGGCTTGCGCACCGTTTGATACCTTGACTTTCATTTTCATTTTTTTGATTCACTGGGAGAGAAAGAAGCTTCCAGGGGTTTTGGATGGTTGATATGTACCATACCGTTCTTATTAGGTGACAATGCGATGCACCATATGACCCTCTATCTACTGCGCCTCCTCTCTATACATAAATACAGTCACCACCACCTCAATCCCCTTCAATGTATTCACAAGCCCATCCCTTCCAAAAGGACCTTGTACTGGCGACGTTTCTTGCGATAATTGGGCTGTAGCCGAGTCCGGGCATGGCCAATGAAGCGCGCTAATTGTGGGAACACGGTTACTTCGGCGAACCAGGACAATGCAAACATCCCAAGTGCCAGCGCCAAAATACAGCCTCGATAGGTATCCGACATCATGGTCAACTCGAGCACGCTCGTGACCCATTCTGATGGTCGGAAGAGCATATAGACTGCGATTAGCAGATCGATAATGATTGTGCAAAGATATGGAGCTTTCGTAACAAAAGTGATTAGCGGCAGCTCTTGTGTTTTTTTTTTCTCTACGAGTCAGGGAGGCTGACGCTTACCGTTTAATGTCATCGGTTGCCGGAAAGGCGGCCCGACACTTAGAACAATACTAGTCAGAATGTATTGAAAGCAAGAGAATAGGAACAGTGCCGTGTTTTCTGAGTTCACGATGTTGCTCTTCTCCAAATTCAGCTGTGGAGGGAGGAACCTGTTTCTAACAGTCAGCGATTTCTTCAGGTCGCAGTTCAAAAAAGAAAACAGTATACCAAGGCTGGGTCTGGACAGTCTGGAAGATTACCAGCTGGGCGAGAACCACCATAATGATCTGGCCCAGGAGAGGAGTCAACACCTTTCGTGACACGAGGTCTGCTGTGGGCCGCTTGCGAGAGAGCGTTGGATAAGGACCCGTCCAACCCACTAATTGTTCATCAGTCAATCGTCCCGGATGAGATAAAACATCACTCACTGAAAATAGCAATCGGCATGATCAAAGCAAGATCAATGAACAGAAACTTATTGTTCGGTCAGCCACTTCCCTGCGTGTGTCTTCATGTGTAGAAGCTGGGGTTTTTTTGCTCACCTGGAAGTCACCAAGGTTGGAACCGGACGTATAAAGAAAGCTGACGGAGGAAAATTGGATGGCTGAGTAAAGGCTCATGAATTTAAAGCAGCAGAAGCTCGTCACCAAAGCAGCGCGGCCCTCACTATCGAGATTCTGTGAGCTGAGGCCGCATTGTTGAGGCTGTGAAGTAATTATCCTTACCGAATCAATGTGGGCACACACGATATCTCGAAAAGCCTGCTGGTGAAAGGGGCAGCAACAGAAGCCTCGGCATCAGACAGGGAAATTCCTACGTCGGCGGCTTTCAGAGCGCCGCAGTCATTCGCTCCGTCTCCGCAAAAGCCACAACAGTAGTCGATTGATTGGAGCTTTTCCACCAGTTCATGCTTCTCATCTGGTGACATTCGAGCAAAAACTTTTCCAATGACCAGAATCTAAGCAGGGGAGTTAGACAGAAGATAGCCTTGTTGTAATATTGAACAGAAGAATGGAAGTCCTTACTCGGTTCAATACATCCTCGTTCCCGTAATCAACCATCCACCGGAATACATCACCAGTCACTGCAACGCAGTAATGCCGATCATGAAGTATATTTCCTGGGATTGATAAATCCTCTTCTGTTGAGTTTTGGAGGGGCTATACGATAGGTCAACAACTGAAATGACGGCAATTGTGTCCGATTTTCCATACTAGAAGCGTTCTTGAGTCCAACCTGAGATCAGGATTGTCCACACTTTCCCATATTAGGGATGTCTTGGTGATAAGACCGGGTTCTTGGTCGGTCAGCGCAGTTCGAATTTCTCGAGGGGGGGATAGTGCAGTACAGACCTTCAATGAAATGTGGGATGAAACAATGCTCGCCTGGATCGATCATCTCACACTCCTTGGCAACACTCACTGCAGTCAAAATGTTATCACCAGTACACATGACGTTACGAATACCGGCTTGGTTCAACTCTGAGATCACACGAGAAGTGCTAGGCTTCAGCTTATTTTCAAAAACAATGAAGCCCAAAAACTCAAGGCTATCCTCGGCCTCAGTCCGGCTTAGTTTCTGGGCTTTCATCCAGCTCAACTTTCGTTCGTATTTGGTTGCACAGGCAATAACTCGGTACCCCTTGTGGGTATAATGGTTCAGAAATTCGTCATAGTCGGATGGGACTGTCCATGAGGTAAGTAAATCAGCCAGAGACTGTGCCATATGGTGAAGGACTAACGGGTTTCGGGCACACATATATCCCTGATGCTTTCGGGGGCACCCTTCACAAAGAAGCTGACACCATTATCGCCAAATTGTCGAACGAGAACACTTGCGCGGCGGAGTTGAGACACAAATTCGAAGTTCCGTAGGACACCCAGTTCGACGGGAAGCTGCGATGAAGCATAATGATAAGTGGCTATTTTGAACACAAGGCCGCTTCACTGCTTACATTTGGTCCATTCCGTTGGCTTTCGCCGGTGTGGGTCTCTGGTGGCCTTGCAACAGATGGAGTGATGGTATCAAACTTGAGGCTTGTTGGCTCGGATGCATGGCCGCCACCCTCTTCATACGACCAACCCGTGAACTGAAACATTTTGACATCAAGGGGATCTCCTAGTAGCTCACCATCCACAACCCTTAGGGAGTGGCATGTTGCCATGGTGTATATTATCTTTCGCTGCTTCTCCAGGTCGTAGGGTGAGTTCGCAGCTGACGATGGCAGTAGTAGACCGGAAGAAGTTTCGGACAGCAGCTCAGAAAACCTTGTATCCATCAGAAATGTTCTAGTCGATAGGCGCTTTGTGTTCGAATGACCATTGAGTACCAACCTTTGATTATTGCTAACAGCCCGTGCCCCGAGAACATCTAAACCGTCTTCTGTGAGGGTTCCCGTTTTATCAAAGCAGACAACATCTAGCTTGCCTCCAACGTTGACTCTAGGGTTTTCAGGGTATCAGCGGGAGAGTCGCATGCCACATGAAATTGCAACTCACTTCTGGGGACTAATGCAGAAAATGCTTTGCTTCTTGAGGCGGGATAGTGCAAAATTTGTTCCAATGCTAAGGGTTGCCGGGAGGGCCGGAGGAACGACAATTGTAATCAAATCAAGGGCGCGGACAATAATGAGATGCCAAGAAAGCTGCTAATTATTAGCAATTAAACACATATCCCGGCGAGATTGACCTACCCCCAGTCTCACGAAATTGATGAACGAAGCCACAAAGCCGCAGAGCGCAACCATTGCCATGACGGCAATGTATCGAAATGAGTCTCGGTAGAATTTGAAGCCCGAGGGTTTTGGAAATAGCATTGAGCGGACTAGTGCACCCTTTGTGGTCGAAAATCCGGTTCTAGCGACCATAGCCAGGGCAACAGCTTCATCGTCATGTGCATTCTGAGGTCGTCTGGCCCGAATGACTTTGGTCCCACTAAATAGAAAGTGCTTGGCAACATTAGGGTGTATCGATGGGGCACTGAGGTCAAGATGCTTGAGAGCATCATCGATGAAGGGCGTCTTAGATACAGGTACCGATTCACCTAATGTGTGTTAGAATGTCGCCCAGTCCAGTCAGACGGAGTTCATGAACGCATACCAGTGAGCATGCTCTCATTAACAATGCAATCACCCGATAAGAGAATCGAATCACAGGGTACCTGGTTCAATGAGGGGTCAGAGAACTCGAACACATCCCCGGGTACTAGATCTTGTGAAGAAACCGATCGCCCTGGTGATCAAGAGGGTCAGCAGCCTTTTTATTAAGACTAGGTAGATAATTTGATTGTGTGGGCTTACAGAATCCGTTTCTGAGGACGCGCACGTCACACTCGAATAGAGATATCTCTCTCAGCCGACTCATTGACTACCTGGAGATCAGTATCTCTGCAGCTTGGATTTTACTGGGTCTCAAAGGCCTACCGATTTAGTTTCTAGCACAGTGGTGGCAATGCTGAAGGCGGAGATGAGAAAGATGCAAACCGCATAGTAGTAGTATTCATCCATGGACCAAAGGATGAGACTCGCCACTTGGAATATGTAAAAAGGGTGAAAAGCCTATTTCAAGTAAGAGAAAGGTAAAGGTGAAGGTCTTATGGAAGGAAACTTACCTCATCGAGAAGCAATTGCGGCACAGTCTTTTGCTGGATATCAATGACATTTTGTCCGAAAATCTGTTCTCTGCTATCTCGCTCGTCGGCATCCAATCCTCCACGCATGGCCTTTGCGTTGATCCACGCTGGATCTCTCCAGCCATTGATCAAGGAAAACCTATCTTCGACGGGGTGGTAGAAGAACCGCAGGTATCTGTAATCGAGAAACCGTAGAGACTCAATGGTTGGGTCGCGGTCTTCGTCATAAACTTGACCAGATGAGTCAACAAAAATAGTGGATAATGGACGTCCATAGGACTGGCTGCCAGCTTCATGAATGGTGAAATGATTCCATTGGTCCTAACGATATGTTAGTAGACTTGATCGGAGCTGATAATAGAGTTCCATTGGTAGTGTTCTTACCTCGATAGCAATCAACTGACATTTACCCAACGGGGCTGCTTTCCCAATCAATCTTATACGCCATCGTGGGAGCCAGTGCAAGAGAAGGTATGCGAAGCCGCCGGTCAAGATGCACAGAGTGATATAAAGAATATATCCTCCTACACTGGTGGAGAACCCCGCGAAGACCACCGTCAGGTCTTCTGATGCAATATACACCTTCTGGTTGAGTCTGCTCCCAGATCTTCTATCCCGTCCATAGGAGCTCGCAGAGATGTATCGTGATAGCAGAGGTTGCTCCACCGAGTCCCGCGATTGTGAATGTCTCTTGGAAATGAAAGAACCTCGGCTGGACTCAACATCAGCTTCAGTCAGTGCATCTGCCGATGCTTCTTCAAATCCGGAGCTCATATCCCCCAAATCTTCCTCCACCGCTTCCTCGTTCGACCATTCTGCAAAATCTTCCCCGTCCTGGAAGTAAGTGAAACTGACCGTCGATCCCGTTCGGTTACGACGATGTGAAAATGATACGACACTCGAGGGAATACTTTCTGAGATGGGACCATCGAAAACCTGTTTGACCGTCAATACTGTACAGTATGCGGGAAAAAGTAATCGCATCAACATACCTCATGCCGAGCCATCTCTACATCCGACACCACGCTCACACTATATCGATTAGCGACCTCTTGACGGGGATTGTGGCATTGGGGGCGCTTCGTTACCTGCTCCGGAGAGAGTCCCGCCGAAGACTTGGCCGGGGCATGGAGAGGTCCATGGGACCAGTCCCCGGCGGAGATGGTGGTCGGCTACCCATCGCGCTATGATGGGTGGCTTTTGGGGATTGACGTTCAATGATCGAAAGCTCGCCCGGATAAGCTTTTTGACACGGCAATGGAATACTACAATGCCACTGATTTGGACAGGTGCATCACTATGCAGTAGTCGGGTACTTGAAAATCACGAAGGTACCGGATAGAAGAAGAATCGCGGGGAGCTCGTGTGCCAGTGACTCGGGCGGTGTCCCCGAAAGTCAGTGCTACTCCGTTATCACCATGTGACCTTGATAAGCTGGCGAATGGCCTCAGGCGTGATATAAGCAAACCATCCAACCATCCCTGTTTAGGCAGGAGGGGCAGGGGGGGGGGGGGGGGTTATCAACGTAAATGGATGGGTTTCTATATATGCTTCCTGGTTGGTATATTTTAAGTTACGGGTGAGCATATTGTTTGCTTAAAAAATCCAAATGACCAATCCTCGCTCTACTGTATGAGTCAGCTACCCCGGGAAGGGAGATCTATGACAACACCTTAAGATTATATATATATGCATGGATATATATACATCTAATTCTTGGCAAGTGAGATTAGAATATAAAGAGAGGATCGGTCTAGAACAATGAGCATGATCTTCAATTAATGCCCCTATCAACATTTAGATCGGGCCTAATAGTTATATACTGTGTTTCTAAAATTAACAACCTGGATGGCGAAATGGGTCGCGGCCACCAGTCGGACTTGGTTCCAAAAGGGAACTCTGAATGGTTTAGTCACGATCTACATTGAAGATCTGGGTCTACACTATGCTGTAGTATTCTGTAAATTTGTATGTTATCCTAGGATCTTATGTCGCATTTTTGTTAATTTCCATGTCGACAGATACAGGTCTATATCTGTGATAGAAAGGTACAGATTTTTTTCCGGAGGGAGGGGGGTTTCGGTCCACCAGGATGTCGGTAGATATATGTACATTGGCATAGAGAGAGAGATGTACAAAAATCTATTATGAGCCAATCTCAAAGATGTACTCCATATGTGAGAGAAAGAGGAAAAAAAAAATACCCCCAAGGTCAGAGGAAAAGAGCGAGAGGGGAAGTTGTTGGGAGCAGTTTTTCAACCAGAACCGCGTCCCGCCAAGCCCCTCCGGCCACCGGCGCTAAGGATCCCACCATCCAGACTCTCACTCCTCCCCCAAAACTCACGACCCATATCAATTTTCTTCCCTCCTTTTCTGATCTTCAACTCATCTGCTATCCCCTCCCCCTTTCAGACTTTCTCTTTTTCCCCTTTCTCATCATGTCTGAGCCTATCAGGAATAAGAAGGCCGACTTCCCGGTCGCCCCGTAAGGATTTTTCCCCTTCCCTGACCGCTTATCGAGCAAAAACACTGACGCCGTGAAAAAATATACAGGACCCCGCAAAACACCCCAGCCAACAATGCTCCCATCTCCTCGCACGCCCAACAGCCCGGTGTCTCCAGCATCAAGGAAGGTAAGAAGTTTTTTGCTCCTTACGTGTCGTTAACCCCGGGTTCTAAAACGAGTTCGTGCTTTTAGAAACCCTAGACAATGCGACAGCCGCATCCCTTTTCGCCCGCAACCCCGCCCTGGTATCGATGATCCAGGGCAAGCTGGGCCAGCTCGTTGGTCGCTCATCCGGCTACATCGAGTCTCTTCCCCCAGTCGTCCGCCGCCGCGTCGCTGGCTTGAAGGGTGTCCAGAAGGAGCACTCCAAGCTGGAGGCACAGTTCCAGGAAGAGGTCCTGGAACTCGAGAAGAAGTACTTCGCTAAGTTCACGCCGCTGTACGAGCGTCGGGCCACAATTATTAACGGAGGCGTGGAGCCCACCGAGGCCGAGGTTGAGGCTGGCAAGGAAGACGAAGAGGAGGACGAGGAGAACAATGACGCAGAGGAGAAGAAGGAGGCCGAGGGTGAGGCTATGGCCGGTATTCCCGAGTTCTGGCTGTCGGCTATGAAGAACCAGATTTCCCTTGCGGAAATGATCACTGAGCGGGATGAGGAGGCCCTCAAACAACTCACCGACATTCGCATGGAGTACCTCGACCAACCCGGATTCCGTTTGATCTTCGAGTTCGCAGAGAATGAGTTCTTCACCAACAAGACCATCTCTAAGACTTACTACTACAAGGATGAGAGTGGATATGGTGGTGACTTCATCTACGACCACGCCGAGGGCTCCAAGATTGACTGGAAGGCGGAGAAGGATCTCACCTTGCGTCTCGAGAGCAAGAAGCAGCGAAACAAGAGTAAGTGGAAACCTCTCATTCTCATTTTCCCTATCAGCGTCATGATCAAGGCTAACGTACATATCTAGACACCAAGCAGACCCGCGTCGTCAAGATCAGCGTGCCTACCGAGTCCTTCTTCAACTTCTTCTCCCCCCCGCAACCCCCGACCGACGACGATGAGTCCGTTGCCAGTGATATCGAAGAGCGCCTGGAGCTGGATTATCAACTGGGTGAGGATATCAAGGAGAAGTTGATTCCCCGTGCAATCGACTGGTTCACCGGTGAGGCGCTTCAGTTCGAGGAGCTTGGTGACGACATGGACCCCGATGAGTTCGACGATGAGGATGACGAGGATGATGAGGATGAGGAAGATGAGGATGATGAGGACGAGCGGGGATCGGACCGTGATGTGGAGGACGACTCAGACGAAGAGGTATTTCTTTCCTTGATTGCCCCTCTCCCCCCTTCCCATTCGTAGCCACCGCTAACCTTCTTCCAGGATGGTACTTCTAAGCCCAAGAAGGAGGCCGCCGAGTGCAAGCAAAACTAGAAAGAGAACAAAAGAGAAAACAAAAAGTGTGGTCCACTGGCCAGCACACGGCTCACTCGATATGCTTCATGGAATTCGTCGTTGATTTTCTTGCTATGTTTCCATTTTTTTCTTTATCTTTACCCTCATCACTGATGTCTTTGTCTCCCTCTGCACTGCGTGAACTTTTGTCTCTACCTAATATCTTCCAATGAATCGACATAATCAGTGTAATATTATTTACTCGCCCTTCCACTAGGGAACGTGGAGGAGAGGCGTGTATTTTTCTGGGGGTTTAGGTGAGATGGCCTACAGATAGAACCTGAACCTAGAATGGCTTGATTTGTTTTACCTTCTATCATTCGTGTATCTAGATATCATAGACATGATAGACATGTTGAGATATGATATTGGAATGTAGTGACCCGAAAGATGGGCGGTGACAGTTGTTGTGGGGGCTGTGGCGCGGCACCCCCAACTTAGTCCCGAAGCTCGCGCTCCTTCAGGGGTTCTCTCTCGCTAAAACAGGTGTCACTAAACAACTTCTTCCTTTCCATCCCCTCACATTCTACCACTTCCTTTTCTTCCTTTCTTTCGGATCATGAGTCGATGAGGGGTCACCGTGAGACCCCTTGTCTTTGGACTATTTGTGATTGATCTACCCTTTCTTATTCTCCCTCCCCTTTGGATGCTCAGCTCCCCCGAACCCTAGCTGCTATCTTTAGGCACTTCACATCTCCCTCGACATCCTTCGCCCTGACGATTCAATTGTATTTCTGGAACGTGAAAGAGACATCATGGCGCACATTTACGAAGTTGGGACAAGGGCCTGGCAACCTGACCCGACAGAGGGATGGGTTGCGTCCGAAGTCAAGGAAAAGCTGGTAGATGGAGAGAAAGTCCAGCTGGTGTTTGAGTTAGAAAATGGCGAGGTGGGTGTTGGATTCACGAGAAGAGAAAGGCCTGAGTGGATTTGCACAAGATGGAAAGCTGACGGGGAGTGACAGACCAAAACCGTCGAGACCACGCAGTCCGAACTGCAGATCGACAACAACTCGAATCTGCCACCGTTGATGAATCCGGCCATGCTGGAGGCGAGTGAAGACTTGACCAATCTGTCTCACTTGAATGAGCCCGCTGGTTCGTTCCGCTGGAAAATGAAGACATTGTTCCCTCGACTGACGGCCTCGAAGTCCTGCAGGCTATAAAGCTCCGTTATGCGCAGAAAGAGATATATACCTACAGTGGCATTGTTTTGATCGCTACTAATCCTTTTGCTCGAGTGGACTCACTCTACGTCCCGCAGATGGTCCAGGTGTACGCCGGGAAACAGCGTGCTTCGCAAGCACCCCACCTATTCGCCATTGCAGAGGAGGCTTTTGCGTAAGATTTGATGCATATTTTGAATTACTCGGATAACCTTCTAACCTAACGTTTGCTTACAGTGACATGCTTCGCGACGGGAAAAACCAGACGATTGTGGTCTCTGGTGAATCAGGTGCTGGTAAGACCGTGAGCGCCAAATATATCATGCGGTACTTTGCGACCCGCGAATCTGCAGACCAGCCGGGAAAGTACACCACAAGCCGAGCCGATGCAATCAGTGAGACGGAGGAGCAAATTCTGGCGACCAACCCTGTCATGGAAGCATTCGGTAACGCCAAAACCACCCGCAACGATAATTCTTCTCGATTTGGTAAATACATCGAAATCATGTTTGATGACCGAACGAACATCATCGGCGCCAAGATCCGGACCTACCTGCTGGAGAGATCGAGGCTTGTATTCCAACCTTTAAAGGAGCGCAACTACCACATCTTCTATCAGCTCGTGGCCGGCGCCACCGACGAGGAAAGACAGGAGCTGGGTATCTTGCCTGTGGAAGAGTTTGAATACCTCAACCAGGGTGGAACACCGATTATCGATGGCGTCGATGATAAAGCCGAATTCGATGCGACCAGAAAATCGTTGGCTACAATCGGCGTGCCGACACAGTTCCAGACTGAAATCTTCCGTATCCTGGCAGCTCTGCTGCACCTGGGCAATGTGAAAATTACTGCAACTCGTACTGATTCTTCTTTATCGGCCTCCGAACCATCCCTTGTGCGCGCCTGTGAGATGCTAGGAATCGATGTGAATGAATTCGCGAAATGGATTGTCAAAAAGCAGCTGATCACGAGAGGAGAGAAGATCACATCTAATCTAACCCAGCAACAAGCCCTCGTGGTTCGGGACTCCGTGGCCAAGTTCATATATTCCAGCCTTTTTGATTGGCTTGTGGATAAGATCAATAGGGGACTAGCAACTGACGAGGTTATTGAACGAGTGCAGACTTTCATCGGTGTGCTGGATATCTATGGTTTTGAGCACTTTGCAAAGAACTCCTTTGAACAGTTCTGTATTAACTATGCGAACGAGAAACTGCAACAGGAGTTCAATCAGCACGTGTTCAAGCTTGAGCAAGAGGAATACGTCCGAGAAGAGATCGACTGGACTTTTATTGATTTCTCTGATAATCAGCCTTGTATCGATTTGATTGAGGCTAAACTTGGAATCTTATCCCTCCTTGACGAGGAGTCTCGGCTGCCCATGGGATCCGATGAACAATTTGTCACCAAACTCCACCATAACTTTGCTGCCGATAAACAGAAGTTCTACAAAAAGCCTCGCTTTGGAAAGTCGGCTTTCACCGTTTGTCACTATGCTATCGACGTCACCTACGAGTCCGACGGATTCATCGAAAAGAACCGTGATACCGTTCCCGATGAGCATTTGGAGGTACTGCGTAATTCCTCAAATGACTTCATCAAAGAGATATTGGATACTGCTGCCACAGTTCGTGAGAAGGACTCGGCAGCCCTCACGTCCAAGCCGGTTGCGGCAGCTCCAGGACGTCGGATCGGTGTGGCTGTGAATCGCAAACCAACGCTTGGTGGAATTTTCAAATCGTCTTTGATCGAGCTCATGAACACTATCAATTCCACTGACGTGCACTACATTCGCTGCATCAAACCAAATGAAGCCAAGGAGGCCTGGAAATTCGAGGGTCCTATGGTTCTTAGTCAGCTGAGAGCCTGTGGTGTGCTGGAAACCGTTCGAATCAGTACGGCTGGATATCCGACTCGTTGGACGTATGAGGAGTTTGCTATACGCTATTACATGCTCTGCCACTCTTCCCAATGGACATCGGAGATCCGAGACATGTGTCATGCCATTCTGCAGAAGGCCCTGGGTGATGCGAAGCAAGACAAGTACCAGCTGGGGTTGACTAAGATCTTCTTCCGGGCGGGTATGCTTGCTTTCCTAGAGAATTTGCGCACTTCCCGTTTGAATGAGTGTGCGATCATGATCCAGAAGAACTTGCGATGCAAGTACTACCGTCGTCGTTATCTCGAGGCCCGCGAGTCCATTCTCACCACTCAAGCCTTCATTCGGGGCTTCCTGGCGCGGCAACGTGCCCAGGAGATCCGCCGGACCAAGGCCGCAACTACGATTCAGAGGGTTTGGCGCGGCCAGAAGGAGAGGAAACACTACAACGAGATTCGGAGCAACTTTGTCCTGTTCCAGTCTGTCACCAAGGGTTTCCTCTGCCGGCGCAACATCATGGACTCTATCCACGGAAATGCTGCCAAAGTCATCCAGCGAGCCTTCCGCTCTTGGCGTCAATTGCGAGGGTGGCGGCAATATCGCCATAAGGTGGTCATTATTCAAAACCTTTGGCGAGGTAAGCAGGCTAGGAAGGTCTACAAGTCTCTGCGTGAGGAATCCAGGGATCTCAAACAGATCTCTTACAAATTGGAGAACAAGGTGGTTGAGTTGACCCAATACCTGGAATCTTTGAAGCGTGAAAACAAGTCTCTTGTATCCCAGCTAGAGAACTATGAGACCCAGTTGAAATCATGGAGAAGCAGACACAACACTTTGGAGGCTCGTGCAAAGGAGCTCCAGGCGGAGGCCAACCAGGCAGGTATCACTGCGGCCCGCCTGGAAGCCGTGGAAGAAGAAATGAACAAACTCCAGCAGAGCCACTCCGAAGCCCAAGCTACCATCAAGCGTCTCCAAGAAGAGGAGAGGGTATCGCGTGAAGCCCTTCGCGCGACCAACGAGGAGTTAGATCGTCTCAAGCTGCTCGATGGCGACCACGAGAAGGAGAAATCAGCTCTCCGCCAACGTGTTTCAGAGCTTGAGGAGCAGTTAGAAGTCGCTAAGCGAACCGCGCCTGTCAACGGTGTGAATGGTGAGGTGCCCAATGGCGCCGCTGTCCCCACTCCTGCCAGCGGTCTGATCAACCTTGTCTCTTCCAAGAAGCCTAAGCCCCAGCGACGCAGTGCTGGTGCAGAGAAGGTCGGAACTGATCGCTTCAGCGGTGCTTATAACCCGCGGCCCGTCTCTATGGCAATCCCAGGCCTTGGCGCTGCTCGCTCAAACGTCGCAACTTCACCAGGGCTGGATTCAGTGGAGGCAGAGCTCGAACAGCTGCTTTCCGAAGAAGAAGATTTGAACGACGAGGTCGCCATGGGATTGATCCGCAATCTTAAGATTCCTCTTCCAAGCTCAACTCCGCCACCCACCGAAAAAGAAGTTCTGTTCCCTGCCTACCTGATCAACCTCGTCACCTCGGAGATGTGGAACAACGGATTTGTCAAGGAATCGGAACGTTTCCTGGCCAATGTGATGCAGTCCATTCAGCAAGAAGTAATGCAGCACGACGGCGATGATGCCATTAATCCCGGTGCCTTCTGGCTGTCAAACGTGCATGAAATGCTGTCGTTTGTATTCCTGGCCGAGGACTGGTATGAAGCACAGAAGAGTGACAATTACGAATATGACCGTTTGTTGGAGATTGTGAAGCATGACCTGGAGAGTTTGGAGTTCAACATTTATCACACTTGGATGAAGGTGTTGAAGAAGAGGCTGTACAAGATGATTGTCCCAGCCATCATTGAATCCCAGTCTCTGCCAGGCTTTGTTACCAGCGAAACCAATCGGTTCCTCGGCAAATTGCTGCCTTCCAATAACAACCCCGCCTACAGCATGGACAATCTCTTGAGTCTTCTCAATGGTGCCTATAAGGCTATGAAGGCATTCTATCTGGAAGACACCATTATTTTGCAGACCGTGACGGAGCTTTTGCGTCTGGTAGGAGTGACTGCATTCAACGACCTTCTCATGCGGCGCAATTTCCTGTCGTGGAAGCGAGGTCTGCAGATCAACTACAACATTACCCGCATCGAGGAATGGTGCAAGAGCCATGATATGCCAGAGGGCACCCTGCAGCTGGAACACCTGATGGTATGCCCCTAGAAATGATTGGGAAAAGGCCAGTTTAGCTAATTCGACGACCACAGCAAGCGACCAAGCTTCTTCAGCTTAAGAAGGCGACCTTGAATGATATTGAGATCATCCAGGACATCTGCTGGATGTAAGACAGATCTACCATGTGTCTAGTCCTATTGACCAAAGACCAAGTGCTAACCTCATCGTCTAGGTTATCCCCGAATCAAATTCAAAAGCTTCTGAACCAGTACCTTGTTGCTGACTACGAGCAGCCTATCAATGGCGAGATCATGAAGGCCGTTGCCTCTCGTGTCACCGAGAAGAGCGACGTGCTCTTACTGACGCCGGTTGATATGGAGGACAGTGGACCCTACGAAATTGCCGAGCCACGAGTTATCACGGCCCTGGAGACTTATACTCCATCTTGTATGTATCCTTTGCTCCTGATTTCCCCACTCATGACCTAACTTTATTCCAGGGCTCCAAACACCGCGATTGAAGCGGTTGGCTGAGATTGTGTCGGCGCAGGCGGTGGCGCAACAGGAGAGACTCGAGGGAGACAACGGGGTATTGGAGGAGTAGATCTGTATATTAGACGCGTTTCTTCATCTCCTTGTGGATTTTCTGTGAGCTACGGATTACGACATCTCACCATGAACTTAGACCTGGGATGGTGCCAGGTTTTGATACAGTGGTATGATTTGCATTTGATTTCATCGGAATTACTACTTCCTATGACATGCTATGGTATAGATGAACCTGAGATCAAATTTGGCCAAACCAAAGTCCTACAAATAAGTAAGGTTCTCATGTCGACTTGAACGCTTGGAGGCTTGTTCCTGCGAGACAGCACTCTTCGGCAGGGCAGCAACGTCTCGTCGAATTTAGTACCTCCCGTTGCTTAAAACCCAATCTGCCGGGGATTCCCAGTGTCCCTTCGCTTTCTTTTCCTTTGTAATTTCTCTCGATGCAGCAGAATACGCGTCTTTTTTACCTAGATGAGACATTCCGGAACAACAACCCCCCACCCACTCCGGTGCTCTCTGTCTTCAAAGCACATGCGGGGACTTATCGGTGTTGATCTTGTCAAGACCTCCATGACAGGCATGGCTTGTCCACAATGGGTCTGTCATGCCAAAATCGCAGCCAAGACCACCCCATTCTGTGATGATGAGGGCAAACCTGTTGCCGAAGTGCATGTCTTCAATACAAGAATCCGTCTTGCATACTTCGCATTCGGTAGATGTCTTCTTGTGGGCATCATAAGCTCTAGGATTTGTGGGGCCAAATCGACAAACTGTAAATGTTGACATACTTCCATAATGGAAGTTCATCGTGACGGAATTTCTCTGCCGAAAGCAAGTCACTCGTGTGACGAACGTGATATCTTGCATTCGCAAACAGAGGCCAAGGCTGGGACATACTTGTGCGCCGCAGGATAATAGCGAGGTGACTCCTGGAGCGTAACGGCCAACTTGTGTGATTCGGTGCTATTTCCATACCTAGGGCCATACTGGAATCTTCTCATCGCTAGCTTAACCTGGAGGAAACAAATTTGACTTCGCGAATACAATACATCGTAGTGGGTTCTCACAGTGGGATAAAGGTCAAGAGGTGGTGATGTGTGCGAAAGACACGGAATCCTGCGTGCCCAAGCGTATGGTCCACGCAAGCCCAAGCTTTAGGAACGATCATACCTTTGAAGAATCTGACAATAGTCACAAGCGACGTATTCTGGGAGCAATCGATCCAACCGAGGCGAGATTGATCATTTGCCATGGCATTCCTGATTGATTCCCTTTGATATTTCCAAGAGTCTGTGATTGCGTAAGGAAAGTCAAGTGAGACCGATAAGTGGAAGAAATTCCATGATTGAAAGTACGAGCTTGGTGGGAAGTCAGGCCAGTGTCATACTCTCGATCTTGTCGAGTGCTTGATATTGGTTTTAGAACAGGGATGTTAGAGCTCACCTGATGAAGGTTAGTATAAATGTGGACGGAAGCAAGAAAGGAAGAAAGAAGAAAGAAGAAAGAAGAAAGAAGAAAGAAGAAAGAAGAAAGAAGAAAGAAGAAAGCAAGAGTAAAGTATGCAACATATTCAAACTATGTAATGTACTCAAAGTATGCAATGTACAGGGCTGTTGGTGGCCAGGGCCCGAAGAGGAATAGTTTCTACGAATCATAAAGTATCAATAAGCATCATTATGTTTAAGAGAGTTGATTCTGAATCCAGGCTTTCCAGGTCCCATCGAATTTGCTGCTGACTTACTCATGTCCTTCATAGGCAGCATCTCTAGATCGAGATAAGAACCAAAGCAAAATGACTAAAAACCTCACCTTAATCTCTCTTTAAACCTTACTTCAATCTCACTTTCTACTCTTCTTCCTTTCTCGTCCATTAGTCTTAGCCTGGCTTCCCATGACACGTCATCAACATGAGCCCACCCCTTCCTCCTCCTTTGTCTCAAGTCAATGCTTATGCTTGACCTCAGCTACGAGCACGTATACGCATGGACACTGATGTACCTGTCATCTGCCAAGACATTGATACTATTTTGGAGGCCTTGTCAGCTTCCACGTCTTTTGGGCATTATGGCCCCATCAAGGATGATATGATCTATGATGCAGATCATCCAATGGGTAGAACAGAGAAAGGTTTCCCTGATGACGGACAATTTTGAGGACCATGGGGGATTTGACCCCAAGCAGGTTCTGTCGCATTTCAACGAATGGAACAAGGCAATAGTAAACCAGAGTCTTGAAAGACACCCGAGAAAATGTATAGAGGTGATAAAGGGCATGGAGAGGAAATGCGGGAAGTATGAGACAATACAGAGCTGAGACCAGAAATCAGGACGTTGTCGGACAATGAAGATTAGATAGTCAATCTCCACAGAAAGCGGTGTCTTGGTCAAACCCAGTGGGGTCATTTCCCTAACAACATCCCTTGATTCCCTTCCATTACATCGCCCATAATGACTTTAACAAAGCTCAACTTCATCACTGGTAACAAGAACAAGCTTTCCGAAGTGCGGGCCATCCTCGGAAATGTCATCGAAGTCGACAGCCAAGCCGTAGAAGTCCCCGAGATCCAAGGGACCATCGAGGAGATCGCCAAGGAGAAGGCCCGTCGCGCCTCGGAAGCAGTACGTTGAGACTCTTGATTTGAATGTTCGTTGCAACTAAATCACATCATTAGATCAATGGTCCAGCCTTGACTGAAGATACGGCCTTGGAGTTCCACGCCCTCAAGGGCCTACCGGGACCATACATGTGAGAAAAACTAATCCAAGGAAACGAAGCAATGCTAATGATGCTAGTAAACCCTTCTTGGAGTCCGTGGGTAATGAAGGATTAAACAAGATGCTTGATGGGTTCGAGGACCGGACTGCTGAAGCCGTGTGCACCTTTGCCTTTTGCCGAGCCCCCGGTACCGAACCTCTTATTTTCCAAGGCCGGACTCAGGTGAGTAGTATGCCCATATCTTACGAATGGTATTCTTACAGTGATAGGGGACTATTGTGCGGCCTCGAGGGCCGACCGACTTTGGTAAGGGCAATCAAGAATAGATTGGACTAGACACTAATTGCGTGGCAGGTTGGGATCCCATCTTCGAGTACGAAGGCAAGACATACGCTGAGATGGATAAAGAGGCCAAGGTAAGAAATTGCAAGGCAGTTCGTATCGACTCTTGCACCCTGCACCCCTATGACTTTTCTGGTTTTAAATTTCGAAACGACCGGTTGGATTCTAACACGCCTCGACCAGAACGTGATTTCCCACCGGTACAAGGCACTGGTGAAGCTTCAACAGTGGCTGGCAGAGGGCCAGCAGTGAAAAAAAGGACCTTGGGGTATATGTAGATGATCTAGCAAGAAGATCGTGGATGAGAACAAGGCAAAACATTATTTTTACCCTTGGCGCGCCATATCAATTCAATCGGTTTCGCCATGTTGTTTCTTCCAGTCATTAACCCACTGCGCCACTCTAGCGCAGTTGCTCTCGACATCGCTATCTTCTTCGCTATTCAGTTCCACTACAATTTCCTCGTCGAATGCCTCGCGGGCCTCCTCGAGAAGGACACCAAAGATCTCGGCGTCCAAGTTTTCCTGAAGTTTATCTTCGTGGTAACCCCTAGACAAAGAAAACTATTAGAGTCTATAGTTTATACCACTCCCAAGGTGAAGCATACCGGGAAGCAAGACGGTCGTAGTGAACGGCGGTTGAGGGGCAGCGGAGGACCACGACGAGATCAATCCACGACTTGGGGAAGAGATCACAGGCGTGCCAGTCAATCAGGTACCCGCCCTGTAGGACTTCATCTTCGATCGCATCTAGTAACTTGATGATAGCAATTTTCATGAGCATGTCTTCTTTAAATCCCGTGCATCAATTCCAATCGATTCAGCCCCACATTGCAAAACCCCGCGAACGGTGAAAAAAGCAGTAGAGATAAAGGCAAAAAAAAAAAAAAAAAAAAAACACGAGAGACCCCGGATCATCCTTTGCCAGGGAAATATGAAGGTACGTACCTTGTCCTCGTCAACGACCCAGCTCTTCCGCTCTTCATCGTATGTCTCATAGCAGTCGCGGTCCTTGGCGACCTGGTTCACGGACAAGTGCTTCAAGCCGATCTCCTGCGCCAGCTGCTCGCAGTGCACGGTCTTGCCCACACCAGGGGTGCCAGTGACGATCACATTCGGAGAGGATCTCATCCTTTGCGACAAGATTGGTTGACAGGGATGGAGGGGATGGAAAGTGAAGATGCGGAAATAATTCTACCCGACCCCGCTTATCTTATCGTGGATCTACCAACTAGTTATAACCTGACCATGTCTGACATGTCTGATATAATTACATCATTAATTCTTGATCCAGTATGCACGTTACCGATTTATCAAGAGAGTCTTTACTTGGTTCATTAATTGGCATTCGCAGTCGCGTCGACGGGGCATAGCCTATCATGTGTTAATAAAAGTTCACATCTGGTAGTGGATGAAGCCAGTGGGAAAACTTACTTGAGGAGTTCAAACATCTTGTATTTCTGAAGGTAAGATGTACCTCTTCGATAGGCTTTGAGTAGCCGACCAGGATTGTTGGATTGAGCAGATGTGCCAATGAGACGACGCATGGCGGGTGAGGTCTTGAACATAGGGTCAAATATCAGCAAATTGGCACTACCGTTATCTCGGATTTCAAATCCAATGATTGTCATGGAATGTCCTGTTGGCGTTAGATATGGAGACCACTGAGTAAATAAAGATCCTACCTTGATGTTGAAAATAGATGGGCGGCAAATCCGTCTTGTGAACTCTCTTCTCATCTTCTAGAGTGCAGCCCGATCGGAAATAGGTAGCTACTTCCATGAAGAGAGAGTCACAGGCTCGCAAGTTGCTATTTTCGCTTAAGCTGCTGGCATCACATCTGGAATAAACACGTCAGTTAAATTCCCCATGGACTTGAAAATCTGGCCTGAACTCACGGGATTCCAAGACTCATGAACAATGCTTGTGCCTGATGGTACTGTTAGCATGTCTGCTAGACTCTCATGGATCCTCCGATAGCCTCACCTCTGGAGTCCCAATGAACTTCCGTGTGCCTCGAATGCCTCCCGTCTCGGTTCTTCCCGTGCTATTGAATCCCATGTCCCAGGCAAGCTCGATCTTGTCCTGTAGCTCAAGAATCGATGGGACACCATTCACAAAATGCTCATGACCTGGGCTTTGGGATTTTTGGAGATATGAAACCAGCATCTGGATGTTTCGGTACCCGCAAAACCCACCCTCACGAGACATTTTGCAGACATGGCGGACCTTGGGAGAGCACAGAAAAGCCCGCTGAACGGATGGATCTTGCTCACACAGTTTTACAATCACGGGAACCAGATCATCTGTCTCATTCTCCACGGTTGTACGCCGAGTGAGCTTGCCGTCTGCTGTGATCTGGGTCTGCTTCGAGCTGCGACCACCCTTCTCCAGCATTTTCTTCAGCCACGAGGGCATCTTCTTCTCATGGGCATGAGGGCCCAGCTCTGCGCGCTACAATTTCAAGTCAGCACATGTCTTTAGCTGGAGAAGAGCAGGTCTTGCTTTAAGAAATGGGAGCATACCCCCAAACGTTTTGCCCCGTCTGGACTCATTGTTCCGGAAGGGCTTTGCGTACGGCCTGGCTTGGAGGTCTTGGTATTTACAAAGTCCCGACCCAGGCCTCGCTTTTCACCTTTCCTAGATGTGACACCCTTGAAAGAGTCTTCCGGGTCAGAGTAGAGATCGTGGTCGCTCAATGCTAACCCTGCATCCAAAGGTGACCCACTCTCGTCCAGCACAATACCTTCTGCAACATGGAGGTCTAGATGAGTGGACAACTCTGCAGTGGTGACAATCTCCCCACAGCCATGTGGGCAATCCACATACTTGTCCGTTGGTTCTTCGGAGTCTGACTGTGGTGATGGACCTGATCTGGTGAGACTGTGCGGGGCAGACTCCTTGGCCCCATTCTCTGGATGGCAATACTCAATATGCTCTGCCACAAAGCTAGGGTCTGAATCAGAGAAGGGACAGAAAGGGCAAGACGAGTGAGAAGGGTCCATGGTTTTTGAATCAGTCGATGCAGACTGAGCAGATGTTGAAAAGATCTGGCTTTTCAATATTGACTCTGTTTTTTTTTTTTTTTTTTTTTTTTTTTTAAAAAAAAAAACCCAAACAAGAGATTGTAAAACGGCACGATGTGGTCTCAGACCATAATGCTTTGTTTCGGAAACGTTTGCAGCTATACGGAGCAGATCTGTAGATTTCCTTTGGATTCATGGTGCCTGGCAACTGTGGCTGAGGTGGCTTAGGTGTGCCATGACCCACTTTTCTTTTAATGGTAACGGGGGACAAAGTCGACAACCATGAACCATGGACACTACTTGGGTATATTTCAAAGTTGCGGGCTATTTAAGATAGAGGCTCTGTAAGCCACCTAGGATGGAATAACCATAGTCAAATTATCAGAGCCCTGAGGTAGCATACTGCAGTCATGTCATGTTGAAGCTTAGGAACCAGTCAATTAAATGAATGCGCACAATAGGGAAAATCTGTGTCGAGTCTGTAAAATGGGAGATTCTATAGTACGTAGACATAGAATCCCTGTTGGCACGTTCTATGTATGTGAGCCTGATTTAGGTATTAGGTACGTGGGGGATGAGCGTTTACCAGATTAGGTAATCGCCAGGAATCCTCCGATGCAGGATCTGTACATGAAGCATCGAGTCCTCCGGTCCCCCAATGCTCTAATCCCAAAGTCTTGTAGTTTCTCTTAATTGATGAACACAGCCAAATTACATCCATACAATGAAAATCAAAACATTCGCTCAGGAACAGAATTCCAGTACAAATCAGAGAAGACAACGTCATCGGCCCTTGATGGCGTGATTTGTATAAGGAAGCCCTCTGATTGGTCAATGCATCTCCGACATCGTTGGGCTCCAAAGAGGAAGGCGGAAGAAACTCAATTGAGGCATTGAGTCATTAAATTCGGTGCAGAAAACAGAAAAAAAAAAAAGTTAATGCCGCATACGGCCCACTTCCCTCCGCTTTCGCTTTCCCACTTCCCCCTCCATCCTTTCTATGTTGACCTCGCTATCTTTGGGTTGATTTGGTCATGGCTTCCCTAAATTCAGATCTTCCGCCTCCTAAGGCTTTGCATAGTAACTGGGTGGTGCAGAAATTCGGTGGTACCAGTGTCGGCAAATTTGCGCTCAACATTATCGAGCAAGTTGTTCTGTATGCTCCTTCGATCCTGTCTTTTGTGGTATACATGATATCGCCTCAGACGCAAAACTAACATGAGTCATAGACCTAGTCTCGCCGAAAACCGAGTTGCTGTGGTCTGTTCCGCTAGAAGCAGTTCGACCAAAGCCGAAGGCACTACCAACCGGTGAGTCATGATCACCTTGACCGTGGAATGGCCCAAAAAGGAGTTGGACCAAACATCCTTCTTGTTTATCAAGCAGGAGCCAAAGGGCTAACCGTTCATCTCTTTTGGTTAGATTACTACGGGCCGCACGAGACGCCGAGAACTCCCAGTCCCGGCAATATGAATCATTCGTCGAGGCTGTTCGCTTAGAGCACGTGCAAGTGGCCCAGGAGCAGTTGAAATCGGTGGATCTCAAAGAACAAGTGATAGTAGATCTGAATGGAGAATGTGAGCGGGTCCTCAAGGTTCTCGAGGCGGCACAGACACTGGGCGAGATCAGTGCTCGCTGCGTGGACAAGGTCATGAGCACTGGCGAGAAACTTAGCTGTCGGTTGATGGCCGCGTTTCTGCAGGACCGTGGGGTCGACTCACAGTATGTGGATCTGTCCGATGTGATTGATTTCCCCATTGGCAGCCATGGTCTGGACCAAGACTTTTATAACAGCCTAGCCGCGAACCTGGGCAAAAAGATCGAGGCATGTGAACATCGAGTCCCCGTGCTGACCGGGTACTTTGGTACCATCCCCGGAGGCCTGCTGGATCAGGTAGGCCGTGGTTACACGGATTTGTGTGCTGCCCTTGTGGCCGTGGGAACGCACGCCAGGGAGCTCCAGGTCTGGAAGGAAGTGGACGGTATCTTCACAGCGGACCCTCGCAAAGTACCTACAGCCCGACTCCTCCCAGCCATTACTCCCGCTGAAGCAGCCGAGTTGACTTTCTATGGATCCGAAGTTATTCACCCCTTCACCATGGAGCAAGTCATTCGGGCCAAGATTCCCATCCGCATCAAGAATGTGATGAACCCTAAGAATCGTGGCACCGTTATCTACCCTGACACCGCCGCGGAGCTGGATCGACACACTCCGGGCCATGACCCGCGCTTATTCCGGACTCGAAGCCACAGTCTGGTGCAGACACCGAAGCGGCCGACTGCGGTGACCATTAAGCACAAGATCCTGGTGATCAATGTGCACTCGAACAAGCGGTCTCTGTCGCATGGTTTCTTCGCGGGTATCTTCTCCGTGTTGGATAAGTGGCGCCTGTCAATTGACCTGATCTCCACCAGCGAGGTCCACGTGTCCATGGCGCTCCATTCGGAGATGCCCCTGTTGAATGGAAACGGACGGGATGATTACCAGGTCATCGACGATGATCTCAAGGGAGCCCTGAATGATTTGAGTAAATATGGTATGGTGGACATCATTCCCGAGATGGCCATTCTCAGCTTGGTCGGCAAACAGATGAAGAATATGATCGGAGTGGCCGGGCGTATGTTCACTACGCTGGGCGAGAACAATGTGAATATCGAAATGATCTCGCAAGGTGAGTCAATGATTGATGCCCCTCACCGGGTCCCTTGAAACTGACATTTGCCCCCCTGCAGGCGCAAGTGAAATCAACATCTCGTGTGTCATCGAGGAACGCGATGCCGACCGTGCCCTCAACATCATCCACACCAGCATGTTCACTTTCCTGGAATAGACCTTTTTACGTCGAGTGCGTTTGTCATTTAAGATATCCCCTTGGGCCGGTTTTTCCTTATTGCGTGGTTATAGAGAAAAGTGGTGCAATTCCCTTGGTTTGCTTTAGCTCCCTTTGGAGAAAGAGAGAAAGAGAGAAAGAGAGAAAGAGAGAAAGAGATGAACCTTGAGCATCTTTCTCTCTTTTTTTTTTTCCTTTATTTTCTGTTTTTATTCTTCTTCTTTCTCATTTCTTATTTCATTGACTGCATGGACTTGGCGTTTATTTCATAGAATTTTTTTTTCCCATCGAGGGATGGATTTCATGTTGTACATAAAAATCCGTTTGATGTCTGCAAGGGCAGTTTAACTGTTCCTGAATCCCGATCGAATTTCTAAATGGCCCTCTTTCATCAATTATCCAATCCCTCCAATTGCGCACGGGGTTGAGTCCTTCTGTAGGACGAATGGCTAGCAAGGGATGGTCCGACGTGGCCACCGTCTCAGATGTTACATCGGACATTCCAGGCACAGACTAGATTTGGGAAACATCTAGGATTTCTCCTGTATGTATCTATCCATATACTTCAATTGGTGTGATTTGAATCTATTGCGAAATCAGGAGTATACCTCAGAGACCCAGGCAGAGAAGTGTGTAGTCTGCACGGAGTCGAAGCAATCAATATCCTGTAGTCCCAGTGGATCATCTTAGCGCAATTACGTCGATCGTCGATCAGAATGCGAGCAAGGGCCAAATCCCTGTATCCAGCGTACCAGCCTGGAACCAGTGTATGGTCATGGCGTGACGCCGTATAATACAGCATGCATTATGCCAAAACGCGCGACGCGTCGACCACCTTACCTTACCAAGACGGTATTCTCGATAGGCGGTACCACTCACCTCTTCATCTAATCATCCTTCTCCTCTCCCCACCTCGAAGGTCTTCTTAGCACTGAAACTCTTAAAGGCTGATAAAGAGGGGAGACAAAAGGGACGTGACTGCCAGATCCTGGAATCATCGCTTTTACCGTTTCTCCTCTCTTCTCACCCTTCTGTCATAATCGGGCCCCCCAACATCTCTGGATAAACCCCCTTCGATCAACTGCTTGTTAGATCAAAACTTGGATATTCTCTCGCCTTCTCTGTAACTTGCTTCCTCTCTACCTCTGTGTCCTCTTGAGGAGCACATCACTATCCCCACCCAGCAACCCAACGCCGTTCAGGCGCTCGTGGAGAATTTCTACCTGAAAAGTGCATTGATTCGTCCGGCTCAATTGGACGTGTCTGAGCCGTCTTAGCGCCTGGTGGCCCAACGCTTGCGATCTCGACTAGTCGGGCCTGCATGACGGCCTGAGGCTGGCTGATCACACTCTTCCTGTGGCCCCTCATTGGTCCAACCTGAAAGTCTCTGCAACCAGTCTCATCACTCGGCGCTCTCCCCGTCGGCTCCGCTGTCCCCGGCTTCTGCCTCGCTGAACCAACCGAAAATCCGTGTTTGGAGGTTGTTTTCGACGCGTCATAAGGTCCCGGCTGGTGACTGGTGACGTTTCGCATCTGGCTTGTCTATCTAGACTATGGGATCGACGCGTCCAGCGCCCATCGCGCACAATTCCCCGGCTCTGGGCCCATCTGCATCATCCGTCAAATCGCAGCCCCGTCTTCAACCTTCACCGCTACCATTGCAGCCCATTGAAAACTCATTCCATCCGCTGTCCCGTGGCCCGCACAGGCCATCGCCGACAAAAGGTTTGCCCACCCTGGGCTCACATCCCGGGCGAAAACTCGGTTTCGTTCCCATCTCTGCTCCGGCCCCTCCGATGTTCACCACCGACTCCCCTACCAAGAAACCACCCTTCTCTATCTACTCGCAACCCTCGATGCCCCAGTCGGCACTCTTCACCACCTTCTCCAGTGTCAATATCGAGTCCAAGGAGAACCATCATCCCGAGGACCCCTCCAATGGCAGCTTTGCCGATTTCCCAGAACCCTCATATGAATCTCGGCTTCCTATGAAGCGCAGCCTCATGGAATCCGCCCCATTGAAAGAGCGCTCGCTCAAGAAACAAAAGCGCGAGGACGCGCCCCTTCACCACCTGCCCGAGCCACATGACATGCCACCCATCGAAGACGATGGCACCAAGCCACCATATAGCTACGCGACATTGATTGGCATGTCGATTTTGCGCGCTCCGAATCGCCGCCTTACATTGGCGCAGATCTACAAATGGATTTCCGACACATTTTCGTACTACAAAAACAGCGACCCAGGCTGGCAAAACAGTATCCGCCATAATCTCAGCTTAAACAAAGCCTTCATCAAACAAGAGCGTCCAAAGGATGACCCGGGCAAGGGTAACTACTGGGCAATCGAGCCTGGTATGGAAGTGCAGTTCCTCAAGGATAAGCAAGTTCGCCGTGCCACCATGTCCAGTCTTCCTCTCCCTGCAATTCCCCCCAGGGATCTGATTCCTCAGTCGCAAGGCGCAAGCACGACCACCTGGATGGTGCCTCCGCCACCCATGCAGCAATCAGCCCCGCCAAAGGTCTCTTCGCGCAGCGTTGACCTGTCATCGGATGCTACTTTGCCCGCGTCTGACCCGGCCCTGCAAGACGACACAGACGAGGGCGTCCACACGACTGCGCATCCAACTGGGCCTCTGCGCTCATCACCTCCCCCAGCAATTAGATCATCTCCCCCCATTGCGCCCCCTCGTTTTGCCCGCCAGGGCACCCCGCCTACACCTACCCAGGCCGGTCCGACCCCAGCTCCTCGCCCACGAAAGCGCAAGTCGATTACAATGAATGACAGCGGATATTTCTCCTCCTTGGAATCATCTGCTTTGCGCCCGAATAAGGCCGGTCACATGCTGACATCTGACCTGGATATCGAACCCCCGCGCATCAAGCGCGGTCGTGCTGAAGAAGAGATCGCACGGATTCGCAGCTCCTCCCACGATATAAGCCCGGCGCAACCTGCCACGCGCAAGGACACTAGCACCCTGGTTGGTTCTTCGCCTCTGCGTGGAGGCTATGTGAGCATGCAGCCACCGCCGTTGACTCCTGTGATCAAGTTCAAAAAACCAGCCAAGCCCCCACCATCCGTCTCACCCAACACCAACCTTCGAAATCACCGTCGTAAGATCCAGCAGATGGTCAATTCACCCATCAAGCACTTGGGCTTGACAGATGAAGCCCTGCCTTGGAGTCCGGCTTTCAATCTTCATGATGAAAGCTACACGCCGCACGATCATTTCCATACCACATTCGATGTCTTCGCAGACTCAGGGCCCGAGCATGTCTCGTCGGCTACATATGGATCCCCTGAGAAACGCTCTGTCAAGCGTCAACGAACTGACCACGGACACACTGCGCTCGCCGACATCACTGCGGTCAGCGTGAACCGTCGGGCTGGTATTCCCTCTCTGTCACGGTCCAAGTCAGCAGTTTTCCCCGAGTCTCCGTCTAAACTGCCGGAAATTGGCCGCCTCGGCGACACCAGTCAGGATGATTTTTTCTCCTTCCACCTCTTTGACGAGGGCAACGACAGCTCCGGGGAGGTTGACGGTGTGGATCTTTTGCAGGGGTTCCAAAAGATTGGAGGGTCTACGAAAGATGATGCCCTCAAGCCTCGGGCACTACATCCACGTCCCCATCTGAGCAGCCGCAGCAACACCACTCTATTTTAACGAACATTTTGCATGTTTGATTTGAACATTTGACTTTACCTGTTGGATGAGAGTGTAATTTACCCTGTCTGATCCCTCACACCTGGGATCCGACTCTTCCTCCTTCCTTCCTCCTTGTTTACATTCTTGATGTGTTGTTCCTGGGCGTTGTTTGAGTTACTGTCTTCTACCCATGTTTTTGTTTTCTCCTTTCCCTTCAATTTTGCGTTCTGGATCGAGGAGTTGATGTTTTCTGGATGTCACCAGGTTTCGATTGGGCGGTGTTTTCGTTCGGGAGTTATTGGGCTGCGCTGAGGCGCCGGTTCTCACTGTTCCTTTTACCACCTAGCCCGGGATGGCCTGGTTACGACCTTAATGACGATGCTAAGATGTACATGAGCAAGCGATGCTTTCATGATTCGGGATTATCGGGGTTGGGATTCTATCATTTTTATGGATGGGGAAACTAGGCCACGGAGGCGCTATGAATTAGTCTAGCAAATTTGAAATCTTCATTACTTGTCTACCATGGTTCTTATTGAAGGGTATCTGATTGAGCTCGTCATGAATAGTAAAACAGTAACATCACATCGATGCAAGACCTGAACGCCAACACATACCAAAAAGCTGTGACGAAAGAAAAAGTTCCCCCAAGTTGCCCTTAAAATAACCCAGCGATCATTCAATTTTTAGTCGCTGCTCGAGCAGCCCCGACAGCCACAGCCAACGCACTGGATTGTCTGTTCCTCCTTAAGCTGGGCCTTGGGCACACGGCAGATGCAGGTTGAATTGAAATTGGTCTCTTTCGTCTGGATGCAGCGAAGACAGCACAACTGGACACAAGTTAGTAAGCGCTCCCCGATTCAAGGAGATTTGCCACACTTCATAATGCACTGGTGCAATTTTACATTGCAGTCCCAGGTATTATGACCATGCAGATGGGTTTGTACGCACCTTCTCATAGCCCTGCTTCTTCCACTTGGCGATCAAGTTCGCATCAGCGTAGTTATTTTTCAGCAACCAGTCATATAGCTGCTTAGAGATTGCTTCTTTTTCATAGTAGAGATCGTAGATGTATCGTGAGCCTATAAAAAAAAAAAAAAAAAAACAGGCAAAGATATCAGTATTCATGTCTCAAGGTGCTTGCTTAGTTGGCGGGGACCGGAGGGGCAAAGAGGGTATGTTCCACGTACGCTGGTGACTGATCTGAAAGATGGGCCATAGGACCTCGTGCTTCTTCTTGCCCTCATGAGGAGCATTTTCAGCATCCTTCATCTTATTACTGAACTCCAACAGAGTGTCCTCTATGTCGTCAAAGCCGGCCGGCGGCGGTTTGCGATTGCGAGCAGTCCGAATGGGAGGCATAGTGTTGACTGGGCGAGGAATATGAGAAAATGCAGTGAAGCAATATAAAGTAAAAAAGGCGCAACTTTTGGAAACGAGAAAAGTGCCAGAGGAAAGAAGAAAGATGAGCGCGAATGCGAAGTTCGTCTTCTCAACGCGATGGATCGTCATTTTTGTGCCGGGTGACACCGCCTTCGATTTTGCGCCGGAGCACTTCAACCTACGAAGGCCGTATTGTGTTCATCAAGTTCCGCAAGCTCTTTCAATCTCCATCCATCATACTCTTCCTCTCCACATAAATCCGACAAAATGGACCCTCAGACACAGGCCGATCTTTCCAAGCTCAATGAAGCCGATAAGAAGGAGCTGAACATGGTCCTGGCCAACGAGGCGCAGAAGTCCAACATCCAGCAGAGTAAGTGGCCCCGGAGCATAGCTGAAGCCCGGATCAGCAGAGACGAGGCAGCATCTACTTGTATAGGAGTATACTGAGCTTGGCTAATTCCTTGATCTGCAGTGGTCCACCAACTCAACGACGTGTGCTGGAAGAAGTGCGTCACCACCAAGATCTCGTCCAACACCCTCAGCAAAGCCGAGGAGACCTGCGCACAGAACTGCGTTGACCGGTGGATGGATGCTCAGATTGGCATCTTGAAGCACCTGGAGGAGATGCGCCATTAGATTCCTTTCCACTCTATTCCTTCCTCCGCTTCATTCTCCATTCCCCCTGGTGTGATGGTCTAATTCCACTACGGCCGATACCATTTCACCGACAACAACTCAAATCCTCTGGGATTGATACTTCTGTGCCGTGGTTATATAACTTTATGTTGCGATTCTACTTGGCCGGTGCATACCTCGAAAGTTTCTCTGAGGGTTGAGGTGCACGGTATGAGTCGCTTGTATACTAAGAGTCAAAATGAACGAAATCCTGTATATCATATCTATACTTTGTGTTCCTAGTGTAAACCAAGTAAATGACGTCGAATGCCCCTATGCTACGTTGCTTAGACCTACAGATGGCTGTAGGACTTGAGCTTACTCCCATGAGAAGCTAGGTTCCAGTTGCGAATGTGGTGCTAAAAAGATACATAGAATGCATTGATTGCAGTATTTCCTCCCAACCGTGAACCAAAACGCCATCTACTCAGATAGGTGAATCGTACCGAGGCAATAAGGTTACGTCTAAGCCATGGCTGCAACTACAGAGCCAGAGCCGAACTCATAAGAATTCCATACAGGTTGTCACAGATGATCGTGTCAGAAAGTTCTTTTTTAATCATTCAGCCCTCGTTGCTGCACACACAGCCAAGGGAACTGGCTGGTATAGAGAATCACCGCGGTGGAAAACAAAGTTCGCCCAAACCCAAAGAAATCCCATTTATCGCCCTTAGACGATAGCCAGCTTGGTGGCGGCGATGTCGAGAGCATCAACGTCAGCAGTCAAACGGGCGAAAGCCTTCTTGGAGCCGTCGGGGCTGTAGAGATGCAATTAGTATAGTTTCTTCTCCAGCCGTGAAATTTCCTGTCGGGAGGACTTACCGGACCAGGGTGTTGACCTTGAGGGTGTCAACATCGTACAGCTTCTTAAGAGCAGCCTTGATCTGGCGCTTGTTGGCCTTGACGTCGACGATGAAGACGAGAGTGTTGTTCTCCTCGATCTTCTTCATGGCGCTCTCAGTGTTGAGGGGGTAGAGAACGATCTTGTGGGCGTCGAGGACGGGCTGGTGGGGGATCGACACACGGGGGTACTTGGGGGACCGCGAGAGCTGGAGGGTCTTGGGGCGGTGGAAGGTGGTCGAGGTGCGGACCTTACGGGACTTGTGAAGCTGTATTCCCTCAGAGTTAGTAAATTGCGTTGTCGAAATTTGATCTCTCTAGACCCATGGATTTCAACGTACGGAGTTTCCCTTCACGACTGCCTTGGCGGCAGCATTAGCCTTGCCGGCGGTGCCTGTAGAAGCACTAGTTAGTTTCTTGATCATTGTGGTGGCGTGTGTGCGGTGTCGGAAAATTGCGATTTGGGTGTGGTCGGAGATTGTGTGTGGTTCCAGAGAAGAGACGAGATGATGAAGAGTTTTTGTCGGAAGGATCGAAATGCCGGTGGTCGTTCTTGTTGGCTTGCAATAATATTCCTTTAATTCCCAGCTCTTGTTGCGCCTTCTTTTTTTTCTCTCGTGGGGATTTCCATACAATATTGAAATGTTGAAATTCCTCCCACAACCCAACACACAATCTCGTCGCAAATTCGCAATTGGATATATTCAAACAAGAAGCCACTGGTATCAGAACATACCTTGCTTGGTAGTAGGGGCCATGGCTGTCGTCCGCTGTCGTGTTGATTGTCGCAGTGTCAAGAGTCGAACAATTGAAAGTGGCTTCGCTAAGCGAAAACCCTACCACACTGTGGGTCAGGTGATTGCTGACTCACCCTGATCCGGAACGCTTAGTCATTCTCCGCATTCGATCTTTTTTTTATTTTATTTTTTATTTTTTGTCTTTGATATCGAAATCTTGATAACGTGATAATAATTAATGCACCCTTTTCCCTGTCTTTGTCGTCCTGATCATGCAATACTCACCATTGTGAAATAATTCAAATTACCTCAAACCCATTGCAGGGAACCATGCCTCCCAAGCGTCGATCTCAGCGCCCGGGTCTACTATCCAGTACCCGCCCGCCGACGGTCAAATCTAAGCATGCGGCGTTGTCGGCCAAGGCCACCCGGACTCTCATTCGCTCTCATCATCAACTTATGAAAGCACGAGCTCAAGCTCAGGCCGCAGGTGATGAGGTCCGAGTGCGTAGCATTAACGCCCAAATTGAAGCCGCTGGTGGTTTGGAAAGCTACCAGATTGCCAGCAAGTTAGGCCAGTCCGGGGATCGAGGCGGCGACTCCAGTAAGATCCTGGTGGACTGGATCAAGCCGCAGCTCAGTCAATGGAAAACTGCCTTTCCTAAATTGCGGGTCCTCGAAGTTGGGGCATTAAGTACAAAGAATGTTTGTTCTAGGACCCCGGCCTTGGAGGTGACCCGCATCGACCTCAATTCTCAGGAACCGGGCATCTTGAAGCAAGACTTTATGGAACGTCCGTTACCATCTACAGAAATGGAGAGATTTAATATCATTAGTCTTTCATTGGTGCTCAACTATGTGCCAGACCCCATGGGTCGGGGCGATATGCTCAAACGCTGTGTCCAATTTTTGACATCTGAATGTCCCATTTCACTCCCCCCGACTCTCTTTTTCGTCCTTCCGGTGGCATGTGTGGATAACTCACGTTATCTCACCGAGAAGAGACTTCTTGCCATACTAGAGAGTCTGGGCTTCCATCTCGCACAAAGCAGACGAACTTCGAAGCTCATCTACCAATTATGGAATCTTACTGGTGCTGTCTCGCCCCAGTCTTTCAAGAAGGAGATGGTCAACCCAGGCCACAAAAGGAACAATTTCGCTGTAGTGATGCGCGAAAGCTGATCTTGCCCTTAAAAACGCTCCAGAGTATCACATACAGACTCGAGACGAGCCGGCATGAATCAAGCCCCAGAGATCCATTCGTGGGGCAAAAACACCCAAATAGTCCCCACGGCTGCCAGAATCGTGGACGTGGTGAGCAGAAACCAGTCCAAAATCCGCTCACGTCGGCTGATTTCCTTGCCGAAGATCTTGAGATAAAAGGCGAGAGGGAAGATGATGCAAATGGAAAAGCACAGGAAGGACCCAAGGAAGGCCATGATTCTGTCGAAAGCCGGGAATATAACGGAGAGAAAGACAATAAGTGTCACGGTGAAGACACGAACTAAAGCTCGAATCAACTCCTGGACTCCCTCTCTGCGGCTAGATGTGGCTCCCGCGCCAACACCACAGATTACTTCAAATGTGGCCACCAAGGGCCGGGCACTATGTTCTGTGAGCAAATTATATGATATGCAGGACAGGAATGCAGACTCACTTCAATGGCACCTTGCTCAACGGGATGATCGAAACGAAAATAATAATACAAACAGACAACGCCTGGGGGTAAGCATCTTCGCTGAGGATGTTCGCCGTGACCTCGTCGCGGACAATGTCACCGAACATGAGCCAGCCGATGATGGCCATGGAACAGTCCAGCGAACCCTGTGATCAGCCTGGTCAGCATTTCCTTGGAATTTCACTTAGCATCAGACGTCTCTTACTGTAAATAGATACGTGGCCCAGAGACTTTTTCCGTATTTCTTGGGATGTCTCATGTCTCGATAGATATTAGGGAAAACACCATGTCCACCCCAGGGTGCTATAACTTTGTTAGCAACAATCGTGATTCTTGTAGAAGTCCGCTCTTACACATTATGAGACCAAAACTTAGGGGCAAAGTGGCCCAGTTCTCGGGGAAGAGGAATGTACTCGCTGGCTGCTGTAGGGAGCCAGGAGCATCAGGCTTGATTAAACCATCCACGCAGATAAGAATCACAACTGTAGATATTAGTTCTCCATATTAGATTCGACTCCATCTCGACCCTTTTTGTTGGTTGTCGGTGCCTGGTACTTACTTGAGGTGCATGATATGATTCCCAGAATGCTAGTCACGCTAAGAAATCGTAAAGGCAAAAAGTTCAGAGGAACCAACACCAGTCCACATACTATCTTCCATTGGAGAATGCTGAGGCCTGGGACCAGGGCATACAAGCTATCTGCAAATAGCACCACCAAGGCCACACATGCTCCCAACAGCTCCAGACAGAAGAGGAAACTCGTCACGAGGCGAGCATTCTGTCCAAAGCTAATGTAGGCAAGATCGGCATACGTAACGAGGGACCGGTCCACGTCAAGACACTTAGCCAAAATCTTGGCTGTGTAGGCAGTGGTTATGGCAGAGTACACAAGGAACAGCAGACCAAGCAGCCATCCAGCATACTTCATGGCCAGCGGAAGACTCAGTAATCCAATGCCGATCAGCACATTAACCGAGTTGAAGACGGTCTGCGGCACAGTCGATTGACCAATAACGATTTCTTCGTGCGTGCCATCTTCGTGCTCCACATGCTTAAGCAGCAGTGGTTCTCGATCAGAATCTCCCGGGCCATCTACACGGGACAGTTGCTCGCGGTGAAACTGAATGGCGTGTCGCCTGGTCGACTCACTCACCCGGGACGAGATCGTGCCATATGAGGCGGCAATGCTTCTATCCAAGGACGAGGCAAGGAGACCAGTGGTCGGGAGAGCCCTTCTAGGGCTTGCATGCGCATGCGCCGTGGGATCGTGCTCCTCCTGATCGTCGTCATCTGCCTCGTCCTCGGAGAGCAGAGGCCGCTCTCCCGACCTGGGACCATAATTGCCCCCCGTTGCGATATCGAACTCATCGTCGGAGTCAGCCGATACGAACGAAGCGCGTCGCGGGAGCACCTGCGGGAAGCAGGCTGCTCTTTGCCATGAGCGAGCGAAGTTATCGATACTGTTTGGACCACCTGCTTGTCGAAGGCGGGAAAATGACGATGATCTGCGGGATTCATTTAGCATCTCGGATCTTTCCTCCTGGCTTTGGTGTGCTCTCGGGAATCATTTTACCTTTGTCGACCCCAGTTCTCCTCGTCGATCGGGTCCCCTCCGCCCAGGTGACCATAGTCGTATGAGCTCGCCGGGAACCTCGACGATCCCTGATTGACTTCAGGGTCGTGCTCTGCATTCCTGGAGGACATTTCGTCTCCCGAAACAATGTCACGGGGAGGCCTAGATGAAGGGGAAGAATTTTCCCGGGTCCCCAACTAATATATACGGAGGACAAAGCTCGGGGTGGAAGGAAATCCTTGTTTTGCTGCAAAGATAAGACGGAAACGCCCAAACAGAGAGCTGCGCTAGTGTGGGGTTGGACGATAAGCCCGATAGTGATTCCCACCGTTAGTTTCGCTTTAAAAGGCGAAGCTAGACTACGTCGAGTGTAGCGCGTCTGCGAGAATTAGGGGACACATGAAGCGATTGTTAATATGAACAGTAATGAAAATCAGCGATATCAACAAGCCAATGCAGTCTGGACCGGGGGTCGTGTGAAGCCGGAAGTGGATTGGGGCCGGCAGGTAGATGCACGGGATGGTCAGATCTTAACCTCAACCACGCGGGGACCAGGATCCATGACCTATGGCTTCAAACGAACGGGTAGGCCTTCGGGCCATTCGCCCATCTCAATATATCTTCGGCATCCAAGCCATCCCCCTGCTAGCCAGTGGTGTCTACACGTTACTCTGGCCGGGTGCAATCGCCAACTTGCCCGGTCCACCCTTGGAGGGGATTGACAGTGGAGTGATCCAGGCAATGAGGTACGCGATCAGGGATACATGCCAGACGCGATCTACTAGATCACTCATTCATAGTACATAGTCTCACGTCTATAGCCTTGGGGACATGCCAAGCAATCGCCGCGTATCAAAACAATATTCCTATGATGATCGCCGCGGTGCCGGGACGACTGTTGGCCGCTTTTGTGTTCTACCGCAGTGGCGGAGGGTGGCGTAAGGTGGCACCTTTTGAAAGTTGCATGGGGCTTCTCGTCGCGATCGGAGTGTGTTGGACGTGGTATACCGACCGGGATAGCATGGACAGGACAAGGACACCTAGGATGCTCGCGCTTTTAAGAAGTGGGGATTGGCGATAGCAAAGTACTGATGGGATATTCAAGGTTGAGATATATCTACCGCCCAGACCGGATGGCCCTTTAAGAACGCACGTGTTGTTTGGTTTGAAGCCTACGCCAACTATATATTCAAGGCAGATGCCCAGGGCTAACCTACGTACATATCACCTATCATTCGCAACTCTCCATGCCTTGAGAATGGGGATCCACGCCACTTTGGAATGTTCACGACTTAGATGTAATAAGATTGAAATCGAAAGAACGCGCCAATCTCAAATATTGCAGAATTTCAATTGTTAACAGCTATACCCAATAGGCCCAAATTCAATGTTAAGACTCGTGACTGAGAGTGACATCTACCAAAGGTGAGATCAGTAGGATGTCAATTTCTTCACGAATATGTGCATTAGAAAATCTGAAATCTACGATCTAAATCTCAAAATCTTCCTGGAAGTACTGAGTACCGGAAGAAACAGCACCGGGTCCACCTTAGGATGAAGTACCCGGTACAACGTCAGTGCCCTGGGCCTCTGGCTTACCTCAGCCCACCGAACCCCTCGAAACCCCACGGTGCCTGAGGAAATTTGCTGTCTCTACGTCAACCAGCAAGGTTCGTTCACCACCCCTTTGTCACTCCTTCTCTGGCAAATTTAACCAGCAATCTGACTATTCCTTCTTTGTCGACAGTTGAACAACAGGAACAGGATCTTATCCGTTGTTCCTTCGGCCCATTTTGAGCCCGGTTAGGCGTCGACAGGCTAAAGGCCGATACTCTTACCCCCCCTCTGGTGATACCTCACCTTCGCGTCACCCAAAATGAGTTCCCAACAGCAAGGGAGCGATGTGGAGAAGAACATTGAGATCTGGAAGGTCAAGAAGTTGATCAAACGCTTGGAATCCGCGCGCGGAAATGGAACCTCCATGATTTCGCTCATCATTCGTACGCTCCCCCCACGATTCAATCGGATCTTTGATCTTTTCTATAAATTCTGATGACCTGACACTCTGAATAGCCCCCAAGGATCAGATTTCTCGCGCCGCAAAGATGTTGGCTGAAGAATACGTACGTCGCTCGCGTCGGCCCCAACTCCAAAAAGTCCACATGTGCCTAACGCCCGATTTTGCAGGGTACTGCCTCTAACATCAAGTCCCGCGTCAACCGTCTCTCCGTCCTGTCCGCGATCACATCTACCCAGCAGCGTCTGAAGCTGTACAACAAGGTGCCCCCGAATGGACTGGTCGTCTACTGTGGTGAAATTATCACCTCGGAAGGAAAGGAGCGCAAGATTAACATTGACTTCGAGCCCTTCAAGCCAATCAACACTTCTCTTTATCTTTGTGACAACAAGTTCCACACCGAGGCTCTGAGCGAGCTGCTCGAGTCTGACTCCAAGTTCGGTTTCATCATCATGGACGGTAACGGTGCTCTCTTCGGTACCCTCAGTGGTAACACCCGTGAAATTCTCCAGCGCCTGTCTGTCGACTTGCCTAAGAAGCACGTAAGTTTTTGTTCTCGACTATGGTAGCTCTTTATCTCTGCTGACTGATTTCCAGGGTCGTGGTGGTCAATCCGCGCTGCGTTTCGCCCGTCTGCGTGAGGAAAAGCGTCACAACTACGTGCGCAAGATCGCCGAGCTGGCTGTTCAGAACTACATCACCAACGACAAGGTGAACGTTGCTGGTCTTGTCTTGGCCGGTTCTGCCGATTTCAAGAACGACCTCAACCAGTCCGACCTGTTCGACGGACGTCTCCAAAGCAAGGTCATCAAGGTGGTTGACGTGTCTTACGGAGGTGAGAATGGTTTCAACCAAGCTATTGAGCTAGCTGGAGAGACCCTGAGCAACGTCAAGTTCATCCAAGAGAAGAAATTGATTTCCAAGTACTTCGAGGAGATCAGCCAGGACACCGGCAAGATCTGTTACGGTGTGGAAGATACCCTCAAGGCCATGGAACTTGGCGCGGCCGAGACTCTTATTGTCTTTGAGAATTTGGATGTCACGCGATACCAGCTGAAGACCTCTACTGGTGAAGAGGTGATCGTGAACGCCACCAAGGCCCAGGAGGTCAATAACCGGGAGCTCTTCCAGGACAAGGAAACTGGCGCCGAGATGGAGGTGATCGAGTCCACCACCTTCATTGAGTGGCTTGCCGAGTCCTACAAGGACTTCGGTGCCACCCTGGAGTTCGTCTCGGACCGTTCTGGTGAAGGAAACCAGTTCGTGAAGGGCTTTGGTGGTATCGGAGCCCTTCTCCGATACAAGGTGAACTTTGAACAACTTGCCGACTACAGCGACGATGACGAGTTTTACGATGGTATGTGCACCTGGCTCTACTTACATTCAATAACAGTACTGACATTTCGCCCAGATTGACGGTTGAGCGCCCTCGCAGAGAGCGAGGATGAACGGCCAGAAGCTCCCTCGGCGAGTGTTCTGACGGCTCGCCCTGTGGATCATGAAGGCGGCTCCGTGACTGAAAACCAGGCACCCGCAAAGGATTTCTTCGAGACGCCTGCTCCAAGCCTCATGAAACTGCTTAGAGGTTTGTTGTTCCTCCTTCATAAGGGAATTCCAGTGCTAATCGCCGTACAGGTTCATCCAAGCTCCGTGACATGTTCACTCAGGTTATCTCAGTGACTGAGATGAACTAAGGTGTAAATTGCAAATTTAAAAGGTTGGATGCGATTCTCTGCAATCTTCAGTACCCTAATTGCCGTCTGCCACTGTGTAGGCGAGGCGGGGCATTGCTTTTTGCGGCTCTGTTCGTCGCCGTTGCCAGAGTGGGTGGTTCTGGTTCGTTCTTTATGTTCCTCGCACTCGTTATAGTCTGAAAATACATTGGAGAGACTCGCTATCCTGCTTTATTAAATATATATCTCTTCTCTTTGGTCTGAAGTATATCAACCCGAAATTTTTCTGCGATTAACCCTTCGATGTCACCACACGTACTGCTGGTGAAGCACTACCTAGGTATCGTTCCCTTCGTAAATCATCTCGAAATCCATGCAACAAACCAGAGTTTATGCAGTTCGAGCACCCAGCTGATCTTTCCACGTTCCCAAATCTCTACAAGACTCGGTAACGTGTTGCAAGTCTTGCAATGCATTAACAACCGCATCCTTGTTGTCCTCGGATAGAGTTCGTCCACATTCAACAAAAAAGATATATTGCCAAGCCCGTTTCAAACTGGGCCTAGTGTTTATAGTCGTGAGATTTAGACCGTGTTTCTTGAAAATCAAAAGCGCGCTAGCCAATGCACCCGGCGAGGCGTGATCAATGGAGAACGAGACTAGCGTCTTGTGCGTGTTGGACTGTTCGTCCGAAGTGGGCGCCTTCGGCTGTCCCAAATCGAGCTCAGCTGTCCGCGCAGCAAGAACGTTCCTCAAGATGAGGAACCGAGTTGTATTATCAGCCCGATCCTCGATGTTCTCTTTCAGTACGTCAACACCGTGGTACTCTGCGGCAAAGCGGCTGGCGATAGCTGCGCTTTTCTCCGTCGACTCCTTAGAGACAATCTCTGCTCCTTTGGACGTGGAAGAGACATCCTGTCTTTCCACGCCCTTGAAATATTGGGAAAGGACTCCTTCACACTGGCCCCATGCCTGGGGATGTGTGTATAGCTTAGTGATCGACCCATCATACCCCGACCATCCGGAGGGATATGAACCCTTGTGGACCAACAAGCAGTGGTGGACGGTCAAATAGTACTCGCCACATACTTTCACATCCTTATATTGATCATTGCGGTCGGCGAGGAGGTCCAGAGTCTGGACAACCGAGCCATTGGTCGAGTTTTCGCAAGGGATCACGGCGTAGTCGACCTCTTGATTTTGAAGGGCGACAAAGGCATCGGCGAAGGAGAGCTGGGGGAGCAACGAGGCTGAGATTTTACCAAAGGCTTCGGCGGCAGCCTTGGGGCAAGGATTAGCTATGGGGATATAAAGTACGTTTGTACTCCCAGGTATGCGGGGTAGGTAAGCTTCGTACCTGGTGCGAGAAAGATGCTAACGGGCCGAGAAAAGCCACCCTTAAGCGCGCCATCGAGTAAGATCTTTCTGGGATATCCTCGGTTAATAATCGGGCTAGAATTATTTGATTCAAATGGAGAAATCTCCCTTGGGTTGAGTTTGAGTTCGATTTCCCAATATTGTCCGATTTGTGATTAATCAATGCTGGAGCGGTGTGGATCATCCCTAAAAACAAACAAGGCAAACCTGATACTTGCATTGCTATCATGATCTCGCCTTTCAATGTGAAAGCTCCGTTGTCCATGAGATTAACTTCCATACAGTACTTGCTCCGTCGAGCAGTACACTGCCGAGCGTATTCCTCGCTCTCAGAGCGCCTGCACCATGACCTCACCACGCGGAAGCTCCCATTGACCTTCGACTACCTACATCCTCAGCCATCTCACCTTTTGAATCTCTCGCTTGACGGTCTTCTTCCAGAGTCATCCGGCACTCGCAGTGCATCATCAATTCTTCCTTCAATCAAAAACCCATCCCCGTTGCCATTTGGTCACCACTTGATCTATTTCCCGCCCCAAGTGACTCTGTCGCAACTAGTCCCAGATGGCTGCGACGTCCTTCATACACCAGGCGATCCTTTCAATCGCCGCATGTGGGCAGGTGGTAATGTGCAATTCCCAACTGAAGGACCGCTGCTGGATGGCAGCCGGGCTGTGTGTATTGAATCTATCCGCAACGTGACCGTCAAGGGACGCGAGGGAGACGAGAAAGTGATTGTCACGATTGAGCGACGGGTTGGTACCGTGCCAGAAGGGGAACCAGAAGAGGAAACCTGGAACCGAATCTGGCAGGAGAATGAGGCGGATTTGGGAAGCTCGTCGCTGATAGAGAATCGAGATCTCATATTCATGCGGGCCAAGACGGCGGAACAAGTTGCCTTAGACCGAGAGCAATTTTCATCCCCGACTCGCTTTGTCAAGTGTTAGTTCTTCCTTTACAGCTTGTTTTCATCTGCGCCGTGGATAGTTCGTGCAAACCAAGAGAGAGAGAAAACTTACTTGCAAACAGCCCCGTCCGATGCGGTATTCCGCCATTCGATATTACCCACCAAGGCATTACTCTTCCGCTTCTCGGCGCTGACAATGAATGCGCATTCAATACATTTGGACAAAGATTATACACAGAACCAGGAAGGGTTCCGAAACCTTTTGGTTCATGGTCCTTTGACCTTAACACTGCTTCTGAGTGTGTTGCAAAGCCACCTTCAGAGCCTGAACCTTCGGGTTGGTCATATCGAATACAAGAATCTTGCGCCTCTGTATGTAGAAGAGGAACTGACAATCTGTGGCAAGCCTAAGAATGACGGTGCTTGGGATGTCTGGATCGAGGGTCCTGGTGGCAGTCTGGCTGTTCGAGGTACTTCCAGCACTTGTCCAGCCTAGGTACAAATATTGGGCATCTTAAATATATTACAAAAAAGGATATCTAAACAATCAGAAAGCTTCGGGTTTACTCCTGAATTCCAAGGTTATATAGTTGTTTGTGAGACTGCCGAAAGCACTATAGCTGGAGTCCGGGTGTAGTGAGAAGTTACGACAAATGCCTTTTCATCCAAAAATGCATTTGATATTAATTCTACTCAATACTAGGTCAATCTTCTCAGTGAAAGTTGTACATTCGTAGCCCCGGGGCCGGTATGGTGCGTATTATACTCATATGCGATGCCAAGACCGGATTACGGATAAACCAGTGCCGGACTTTTGCACACGTCGGTTTAAAAGCTTGCATCCGTGGCTTCTCTCATTCTTCTCTCTCTTCTTCTTCACCCTTTCTTTCCCCTTCAATGGCTTGATTCTTTTTGAACATAGCTTTCTCTTTTCAATTTTTTTTCTCGGCTCACCATGGACCAAGTCCAGGCGGCCTTCTGGGCAGCACCTCCGGTGACTCGGTACGCTGCATTGCCATTCCACCTCGGTGGACCTGTTGACTGACTTTGTCTGAAGCACAATCACAGCTCTGACTCTGATTCAGTCTGTTCTAGTCTATGGCGGCGTGCTCAGTGGATTTTATGTTGTCTTCTGGCCGTCTCGGATTTTCAAATTGCTTCCGGAGATCTGGCGTTTAGCTACTCCATTCCTACTAACCGGTCCGAAGCTCAGCTTCTTCTTTGACCTCTATTTCAGTATGATGCCTCAGTGTTGCATTGGCCTTTGGCCCTGCTAACCTGCCGGCAGTGTACCACTATGGCAGTCAGCTGGAGACCAACTCTGCTCGGTTTAGCCAGCCCGGAGATTTCTTTATCTACCTGGTATTTGTAGCATTCACCATCATGGTAAGTGGCTCGCTTGATCTCGAGTCGTGTGTTTTTTTTTTTCCTTTTGCATCTTCATATTGTCACCTCCCAATCTGCCCGCCCAGTCAAACAAATGGCTGTATCGGTTCCTGAACGTGAGGAAGATTACCCCTGCATCCGTGCGGCACCGTCAAGAATTCGCAAAATAACTTGGTGCTGCATTGGTGTGGGATTGGTGGGATTACCTTATAGGTAGTTGTCATGATTTTTAGTTCATGTACAGCGGTTCAGGTGCCCTACATTCTACATACATCTATTACCATTCATTCCCAAATATCATGATCATTTCTCCAACTCTGTCCGTGGTAGCTCAAAATGTCCTAAAGTTGCTAACTTTGCCCAAGCTTACTGCAGGCTACCTCCTTGGCGGGATGGTTTTTACTTCCGGTGAGATGTCTTGCCTAGACCCGTATAGGGCCAGAACTAATATTTCCCTATTCCATAGCGTTGACCCTGGCTTTCATCTACACCTTTGCCCAGGAAAACCGGGGCAGAAAGGCCATGCTGTGGTTCATTGAGATTCCCATGGAGTACCTCCCATGGGCGATGCTACTGATCAACCTGGTCATGAATGGATGGCCTTCAGCCGTGAGTGAAGGCACGGGCATTGTGGCTGCCCATCTCTATGACTTCCTCACCCGAATCTACCCAACTTTTGGCGGTGGCCGAAACTACCTGGTGACGCCCGTGGTCGTGCAGCGCTTTTTCTCTCGCCACACTCCCAATGCTAATAACCGCGGATATGGTACTGCTTTCCAAGCATCAGCATCTTCCCAGCCCTCTCAGCCATCATCTCGGGGCTGGACCTCCTCTATCCAGAACCCATGGGGTGGTCGAGGCGCGGGCCGAAGACTTGGTGGCGATTGAACGCATATCAATATGGAAGCCCCATGATGTTTAGACCATCTAAAAACCTGGAGCGGGATTAGTCTTGCATCATTGCCGGCGTTTTTAACAAGTCTTACAGTTAATTTTGACTGAACAGAATCAGATATCTTGGGAAATCATTACTTCTGAGATTTGTATTAGATTAGCAACCATTACTATTGTTAGTTATTTCAAGAATCCACCAGTATATCATGCACTTCGAATATGACAATTCCAATTAAGTAAAAATCAAACCCTAAACCCCCAGCCACCTGTTTTACTGGACTGTACAGTAAAGTCTGGGACGAGAATTTCCTTCGAGAGCCAATCACGTGACTCACCGCGGGCGCTAAACCGGAACAGGCTATGGAGCTGCCGCACTCGCAAAATTTCCTCGAGCAAATTTTTGGTCTGCAACAGCAACACCATCGACAACATGGCCGCCGTCAAGAACCAGGAGATGGACTACGCCATCAAGCCCGAGGCGGTTAACCCTGCCATTACCGCTGAGGAGTGGCCTCTTTTGCTCAAGAACTACCACAAGTGTATGTTTCATGGCGAAAAAAAAAAAAATTCACCGCGATCCTTGAAGCATTGGCTAATCCAGTCATTATATAGTGCTTGTTCGCACCGGTCACTTCACTCCTATCCCTGCTGGTGCCTCCCCTCTTAAGCGTGACCTTAAGTCCTACATCAGCTCCGGTGTCATCAACCTCGACAAGCCGTCCAACCCTTCCAGTCACGAAGTCGTGGCTTGGATGAAGCGAATCCTCAGGTAAATCCTCACCACATTCCACTCAATCCCTCAAGAGACTTCAAGAAGAAGAAAGAAAAGAGAAAGAACAGATTCTAAATGCATTGGTAATTTTAGATCCGAGAAGACTGGTCACAGTGGTACTCTTGACCCCAAGGTCACTGGTTGTTTGATTGTCTGCATTGACCGCGCTACCCGCCTGGTCAAGTCCCAGCAGGGTGCTGGTAAGGAGTACGTCTGTGTCATCCGCCTGCACGAGAAGATCCCCGGTGGTGAGGCACAGTTCCGCCGCGCTCTTGAGACCCTCACCGGTGCTCTGTTCCAGCGTCCTCCTCTTATCTCGGCCGTCAAGCGTCAGCTCCGTGTCCGTACTATCTACGAGAGCAAGATGTACGAGTTCGACAACGACCGCCACCTGGGTGTCTTCTGGGTCAGCTGTGAGGCTGGTACTTACATCCGTACCCTTTGCGTTCACTTGGGTCTGCTCCTGGGTGTCGGTGCCCACATGCAGGAGCTGCGTCGTGTGCGCTCCGGAGCTATGAACGAGGAGAGCGGCATGGTTACCCTCCACGATGTCATGGATGCCCAGTGGGTTTACGACAACCAGCGTGACGAGTCTTACCTGCGCAAGGTCATTCGTCCCCTGGAGAGCCTGCTTACCGGCTACAAGCGTATTGTGGTCAAGGACAGCGCTGTCAATGCTGTCTGCTACGGTGCCAAGCTCATGATTCCCGGTCTTCTGCGTTTCGGTTAGTCCCCCCCCTCGTCCCGTTTGGTCTCAATTCTGGGGAACTCATAACTAATACATTTTCACAGAGGCTAGCATTGAGGTCGATGAGGAGGTTGTCTTGATGACTACCAAGGGCGAGGCTATTGCCATCGGTATTGCCCAGATGTCTACCGTGGAGCTTTCCACCTGCGACCACGGTGTCGTCGCCAAGGTCAAGCGTTGCATTATGGAGCGCGACCTGTACCCCCGCCGCTGGGGATTGGGCCCTATTGCCCTTGAGAAGAAGAAGCTCAAGTCTGCTGGCAAGCTCGACGTAAGTCATGATACCCCTACATCCGCTATGGCTGCTCAGGACTAATTTTCTATCAGAAATACGGCCGTACCAACGAAGCCACCCCCGCTTCCTGGAAGAAGGAATACAAGGACTACGATGCCGTTGAGGACGTTACTGAGGAGTCTTCCGCCCCCGCCGCTGCTCCCGCCCCTGTTGAGGAGCCCGTGAAGGCCGATGCTGAGGCCGATGAGGACAAGGACGAGAAGAAGAAGCGCAAGCACGACGGTGAGACCGCCGAGGAGAAGGCCGAGCGCAAGAAGAAGAAGAAGGAGAAGAAGGAGAAGAAGGAGCGCCGGAAGTCCAAGCAGGCAGAGGACAGCGATGACAGCGAGTAGATGTCCAGGAAGACACCCTGCTAGCTCGCGGTCTACTTCCTGTACCATATTATTAGGTCTTTTCATTATTTGCTTCCGGAGTCTTTGGGTCAAAAGGGAATGTTGGTTTTCAATATTTATTCGTCCATAGTTGTTGTTACTCCAACCTGTGATGTTCTTGTAAAGATTATCTTTATACAGTAGTTTATATAGTAGTTGGTAACTGAGGTAAAGTAGAGTTCACATGACCAGTTCGTTCTGGGAGCGGAGATGATCTCGTGACCGTTCGCTCTCCGCACTTCCCCTCTCTATACTCTTCACAGCACCCCGACTGATCTCTACGTATCGCGACCTGCCGTGTTAAGGGACTTCAATCAGTTCGCGTTACGTGCTTTTAATACCCGGAAGCATGGCTGCTGAGCTCACTTCCACGAAGCTCAACGCTGAGAGTCACTTGATCCTGGTAATGAAGCTCTCCAACGTCATCAGGTGCACTTGACTAATTAGCCGGACTTGCATAGGACCAACCGCTCCTTCGACTCCCTCATGAACTCGCGCGAAGAAATTTTAAAACCGTACAACGCGTTGTTGAACGAGAAAAGGAATATGTGCTTCCTGCCCTCAAAGAAGCGGCGAATGCTTCACTCTCCAACACGCATACCCCCGACCAGACCCTTGCGGCACTCGATGCTATGATATCTCGAATGCAAGGGTTGAAGCGGAAGATGGAAAGTTTGCAAGAGGAAGAGCGACGAATTCAGACCCAATCCCGTAAACGAATCCAGCATCTCGAGGCCTTACACAATATTCCAAGTTTGGCAGATGTCAAGTATGATCAATGGTCTCGGGTGCGGCTGGATCGTTTGCTGGTCGATCATATGTTGCGATCGGGGTTCTCAGAGAGTGCGAAGCAGCTTGCCGAAGAACGAGACATCGAAGGCCTTGTAGACCTGGGAGTGTTCACTCAGTGTCAACGCGTTGTTGAGAGTCTCCGCCGAGGAGACACCAAAGAAGCATTACAATGGTGTGGAGAAAACAAAGCAGCGTTGAAAAAGAGCAAGGTTTGTCTTAATCTAATACTCTCATAAGATCCGTGACTGACTTGTTCGTTCTAGCACAACCTTGAATTTGAGCTCAGATTGCAGCAGTACATCGAGATGGTTCGAACGCAGGATCGAACGAAGAAGCTGGAGGCTATCTTACATGCGAGAAAATACTTAACTCCCAATCATGAATCCCAGAATAATGAAGTCATGCGGGCAGCAGGATTGCTTGTCTTTAGCCAGGACACTCGGGCAGAGCCATACAAGGTGAGTTGCGATCTTTGACGAGAGAGCAGCATAGTCCTAATCATGATATAGGCATTGTTTTCTCAGGACAGATGGAAGGTTCTTTCTGAACTCTTCGTCAAGACTCATCATGAGCTCCTCTCCCTACCCTCACAGCCTCTCCTACACATTGCTCTTTCTGCAGGGTTGTCGGCGCTCAAGACCCCCTTATGCCATTCCGCTTATACGTCATCCAGTTCCAACTCACAGTCGACAAGCACATCGGTATGCCCGATCTGCTCGACAGAACTGAATGACCTCGCCCGTAAGATGCCATATGCTCATCATTCCAAGAGCTATGTGGAAGGCGACGCAATTGTGCTACCCAACGGTCGAGTCTACGGAAAGGCAAGACTGTTGGCGATCAGCAAGAATCTTGGGGCCGTTGAGGCTGGCAAGGTCAAAGATCCGACAACGGGCGAGGTCTTTGACGAAAGCGATATGAAGAAAGTCTACATTTTGTAATCTTCTGTTATGCAGTCCACTGCAAACATTTTTAGCGTCAAGAATGTCTGGAGCGAACTATTTTATTCGGAGTTAACGGACGTGCGTATCAATGTTGAGCGTGTATTTTATCCAAGTCATGAACTATTATGCAAGAATGCATTTATCTGCTATATGCAAGAAAGAGACTCAACAATGATACACTCATAGGCGTAAAACCCGACTTTTACTCGCTATCATCCGAATCATCTTGGGCTCTAGCTCTCTTCTTCTTGCCCGCCTTCACCGGCTCCTTCCTCACCTCAAACACATACATACGTGCCTCCCGATCCTCTCCACGCCATCCGCCCCTACCTCCATTTTTCCCTTCAACCTCGCCAAGCGTCCGAGCATGCGAATAGCCCTCATAAGCACTCCACGGAAACCGGAAACTAGTAACAACCTGTAACCCAGCATGACGAGCAAGATCCTTGATATTCCACAAAGTATACGGCTCAGCCTCAAAAAGCGAAACCAAGATCTGACCCGGACCAGTGCGGACTTCCTTCCCAGAAGTCTGATCATCCTCGTCCTCTTCGTCTTCGTCCTCGTCCTCATCTTCCTCCCACTCATCATCATCCGGATCAATAGGCTCCGGCGCCGCAGAAAGAAGAGGCACACAAGCCTTGAAAAAGGAAACGAGGAGTTCCTGATTGGCCCGAACCTGACGATTAACATCGGTCGAAAGACCTCCCACATGCGGGAAATTGAAACAAATCACATCCCACGGCCCACTGGGTGCAGGCTTCGCTTCCGGCTCCGGTCTTAGCAATTGGCGCACATTCTGTTCTTGCTTTTGGCGCTCTTGTTGCTCTTTTTGGATCATCCAGGTAGGTCTTTTGCGCTCTTTGCGTGGGTAGCCGGATTTGATTTCTTTGCCTCCGCCTCCCGAGGCGCCTAGTTTGCGGGCGTCTACGGAGTAGAGGACCTTAGGGCCATTAGGATTGGGTGCTAGTTGGGATTTGGGTGCATCTTGCTGTTCGTCCGAGGGCTGTTCGTCTGATTCTTGTTCTTGCTCCGACTCTGCCTCTGGTTTGGATTTGGATTTGGATTTTGACTTTGCAGGTGCATTTAAAATGTCCAAGATGTTCTGCTCTGCTTGTGGGTACTTGCCCAAGAGTGTTTCTCGAGAGTCGTAGCATGTAGCATATAGCTTGTGACATTTGTATTGAGTTGCCAATGAACGGGCAAATGAGAAGTCGCCTGAACATGTTAGTTTAAAACTAAGAGAAAGATCCATGATGTAGTATGAATAGAAGAAAATAGCATCTTAAATCTCGATACAATGTATGCATTGAGAACAACCCGAGAAAAGCAACAGATTCAGGTAAACATGGGATATCATAGGTGTAGAGACGATTATAAGAAGTAGCACTCACCCTCTCCAATCAACAAAACCCGATCTCCCCTCAAGAATGGCACAATGGGCCTTTGATTAGCTTGAAGGGGTCCTTTCTTCTGCGGAGCCTCGGTCGTTCCAGCTCCCTTAGTCTTCGGCTTAGACTGGGAAGGAATGGGTCCCTGCTTAGGCGGCGGACCGGGGCGGGCGCGAGCTGGGGGCCCTTTTGTTTCTTGTTGCGGGGCATTCTATAGTTCTAGACGCAATGATATGTTTGTGGGGAGTCTTAAGTGAGGAATGCAGTATATATGAAATTTTGTGATGGGGAGGGAGTTCGGCCAATCAAAGATCCGGTGGATATAAGCTTTACTTAGGACTTCTTGACTTGACCTGTTTGAAAGAGCTTATTATTTATTCGATTTGTCCTATTTGTACTATTTGAAAACTCACTAGGATCCTCCGATGTATTAATCACTTCTAGAACACCCTCTATGACTGTCTGTAGGTCTCCCAAGATTATCATGAAAAAGGTCTAAGTAGAAATACGTTCTATTCCACGGCATAGCTATATACATCGAAAACAACCAAAAATCCAGACCAGGCTATGCCCCTGCTTAAGGCAGAAAAGAAAAATTAAAAAGTCATACTGCAGTCCAAGTGGCGCTTTCCCCTAGATGACGAAAAAAAAAAAAAAAAAAAGGAAAGCCCAACACCAATGGAGGACCACAAGAGCACCAGGAGGCTGCCATGAAACGTGAATCATAATGTCACATGCAAGAGGGTCCCAATGCCCCGAATATCAGGGAAAGCGTTGATGCGCGGGTGGTCCAAGGACTCCGTATCGAGAAAACAATCGTTCATTCTTTCTTATTTTTTAAGAGCGCAGCGAGTCACGCATGCTCTGGCTGCTGGCGCTGACCAGCGGGTTGGAGGTGGGCAGGACACCGGTCCTAGGCTTGGCACTCTGCTTGATCTTGGCCACAGCGTAGACAATACCGGAGAAGAATCCAACGACAATGGCAGTCACACTGGGGAAGGTGACGGGGGCATCGAAGAAGATCAATCCGGACAGGGCGATGGGCAGCTTGTTAAGAGCGCCAACCATGGAGTAGGTGGTAGACGAGGTGACACGCACACACCAGGCGGATGTGTAGGAGATGAAAACGGACGACATGCCGGACAGGATCATGGCGATCCAGATACCGTTGCGGTTCTCCTCGGGGAAGTTACGGGCCAGGTTGGCGGAAGACCAGTCCTCGGCAAGCAGGGTAAACACGATCAGGACGGGGATTGATAGCAGGTTGTTGTAGAACATGGCTAAGAAATGAGTTAGAATGATGCTAAGGCAGGGATACCCAGACTAAGCAAAACATACTGTCAAAGTCCTTGAAGTTGGTCAACTTGATGCGCTTGCGCATACCCAGCACGTAGGACGAGGTGCACAGGCAGTTGATCATCATCCAGACGTAGCCGGCGTTCAGGGTCGAGACCTTGCTGGAGGTGTCACCAGTGCTCTCCACGGCGTGCTTGATGTCGGCCCAGGCAGCAACAATGGAGCTGAGAACCATCAAGCCGAAAGAGAAAAGAGTCATGTTGGTGACAGAGCCACCGAACCACAGGACCTCACCGTAGGCGATGAGAATGATGGTCAAGTTCTTGAAGATGGTGTAGACGGGGATGGAGAGGAACTGAAGGGCCTTGGAGCCGGTGTAAATCATGCCAATCAACAGCAGAGTAATGGGGAACCCTATCCAACCATAAGTCAACACTTTTTTTTTTCATTTTGTTACACACGGCCATAACCGGGGGGCGCCTTACACTTTCTCGCCTCATCCGTGCTAAAGTCGCGGTAGGTGATCAAGCCCATAGACTTGCAAGTTTGAATGGCCGCGATACAGACAATGGACTATAGCAACAATCAGTCAACGAATCCATCCCCATGCAAGAGTTCAATGGGAGCGGGACATACCTGAACCATAAGCAGCAGGAAGTTGAGATTGAAGTCCAACCCTGACAGAACATACTTGTTCATAACGGTCATCAGGATGGACGAGCCGCAGTAGGACAGAACAGGCAATATAGGGTTGCTGGACATGCTGCTAGGAGGAGACGGCCGGGGCTGTGGTGGCGGCGCGGCCTCGAATTCCTTGTTGCCCTGATCCAACTTGTCCATGTCGACGGTATAGTCGTCGGTCTTTTTGTCTTCAACCATGGCGTTTTTGGTGGGGGTTTGAAAACCCAGAGAGAGTAAACGAAATAAGGTAGCGAAATGGGAAAGAGGCGAAGACACAGGTCAAAGAGAACGGAGCGTACAACTGGACGCGCGAGGAGAAAACAATTCGAGACAGAACTTTTGGGTTTGGCCGGAAGCGGCGCAGGCTTAAGTCAGCAGGGGCTCTCAGGGGAGTCACGTGCCTCTTCTATTTTAGAGATAGCGCCCAATGGGGGCTAGCGCGGTGGTTAGTCAGATTTCGAGCTGCAGTAGTCGCGTCCTGGGAAATTACAGTCCAGTCCAGGTGAACAGTCCGGCGTCATGGACAGAGATGTCACTCTCGGTCTATATTGCCCATGGAACGCTCACATGGGTACTCCGTATTCTGATCTATGAATGTAGTCCGTGATCAGACAAGCCAAGACTATATCCCGTATACCCCAGTGGAGCTCCTAGACGCGAAGATCCTCCAAACCTCCACTTCTCCCTTTTCAGATAATTCAAATCAGCACCCATTCAGGGGACCTAACACTCGATACCACTTCCAGTTGACCAACGAAAATAAAAAAGGGGGAAGACGTGGACCAACCCAAAATAAGAGAGGGACAAAGAGCAATTATCTCTCCCCACTCTCCAGACTTCTCGAATTAGCCCTCATAACCCCTCCCAAAATTCCCACAATGCCGAACGATCACCACGAAGAGTCAGACGACGAAGCCCTTTTCGCAGCCCTCGAGAACGAAGACGACGATGACGCCACGTACCGCACCCAGCGTATCCAGCAACTAAACGCCGAACTCGCCGCGCAAAAGGACAATCGCTCCGCAAAATCGACTGGCGCCACATACACACAGGACACAAGATACCCCACTCTTAGCAATGATCAAAGCGTGCTAGACTTTACTACATCGACAACGCGGTGTATTGTCCATTTCGCTCATGACGACTTTGCGCGATGCGCGACGATGGATGCACGATTGGAAGAATTAGCGGCGAGACATTACGAGGTGAAATTTGCACGAGTCGATGTACGGAATACACCTTTCTTGGCGGAGAAGCTGAGCATCCGGGTATTGCCTTGCGTGATCGGATTTAAGGATGGTGTTGGTGTTGAGCGGGTGGTTGGATTTGAGGGATTGGGTCCTGGAGGCACGAATGGGACCGAGGCTGGGTTTAGCGTGGCGGTTCTGGAGAAACGGTTGTTGCACAAGGGCGTCTTAGCACAGGCCAAGTTCTCAGCAGACGATGTGGATGATGATGAGCATCAGAGTGACGACGAAGGACATGATGTGAGGAGAGGGACTCGTTTGCGGAAAAAGGCGATCCAAGGTGGGAAGGCTGGACGAGGACGATATGACGACGATGACGACGAATGGGATTAAACATAGAATTGAGAACCGTTGTCACGACTACACTTGAATGACCATGACCTGTCAGGTGTATCAAGATTCATCGGACTCTATATCAAAAGTCCAACTTACGGAGTTTGACCATGGAAAACAATGAAACTAAGAACTGCATCATCATAGAATTACAGGCAAAATATCAATGGCCATGAAACAGAGCTAGTAAACAAAACCAAGAAGACAGCTCCCTAAAGTTACAAAATGAAATGCCGCGATGAAACCGGAGAGAAGAAAGCATGGGGAATTCTATACACGGAGAGCAGGTGTCATGTAGATCCAGAAGCTCGTCATCAGACGCCAGTTGCCCTTGAGAAGATGAAATCTGAAAAGAGGAAGAAAGAAAGAAAAGGATAGAAAAGAACAATGGAACATGATCTAAATGGCCACGTTCTTCATCTCTCCAAGGACCTCGGAGTCTAGGGTATTGGGTGATGATTCTGCGGTCTCATCGTTCTTCTCGGACTTTTCTTCGGAGGGCTTGGACTCGGGGAACCCTTCATTCTCTTTGTTGGAGATTTGCGGGGTGGTCACCTCTAGCAAATCTTCTGTGGGCTCGTCCTTGCTCTCCTGGGGATCTTCAGAGATCGTAGGCCCAGCCGAGCCAGAGGGACCTTCCTCGGTCACCCGGGCAAGAGGGCTGGACATACCGAAGGGGGTCTTAGGGCTCTGAGCGGGCCCTCGGTTGGGGAAACGGTTGGGAGATCGACCACGCTCCTCAGCGCGAGTCGGGCTGCCGTAAGGAGAATCCCGGGTGGATCCTTTACCAGATGCATTCACACCCATTCCGTTGGGGCCACGTCTGCGTGGTGGGCGGCGGCCGTACTTCTGGTCAACTCTCCACCGCAAAACCTCCATGTATGGCGGCTCGACATTCTGCGACTTGAACTCCTTGAGTTTCATCTCGTTGGTCTCCTCGTCGACGATGGTTCGGCCGCTGCAGAGATCATCGGCGAAGGTAGCCAGGAAGGCTGCCCAAGACCGCGCAACCACATATTTACAGTCGTAGTCGCGGCCGAAAATGATCACCTGGCCCCATTTACCAGCGGGACCGGGGGCAAGATCAATTGCAAGCAGATTGCCACCCCAATCGCGGGCTAGGGGGATCCAAGCCGGGTGGGCGTAGGCCTTTTGCACGGCTCCAGGAGGCTGAGAGTCCTGACGATCGAGCAACTCATTTCTCCATGTCGTACCGGACTGAGGCGGCGCGGCCGACGAGCTGGCAGCGGAGCTGGACACGGGAGTCGACATCATGGCGGCACTGAGGAACTCTTCGTTGACGGTCTTCCAGTTGTGACGCTCCTGCACAATCTCCTCGCAATCCAGCAGCATGGAGCTGAAGATAACACCGGTAGGCAGACCTCCACGCTCTTGCCCATCGTGGATCATCAAAGATTCCCGCAACTCGAGTGGCAGACTGCAGTCCAGCTCGTGTTCCAACTCGTTAATGTCGTTCTGTGTGCATCCTTCGCCGAGGTTGTCCAATAATTCCTCGTAATTGTGTTCCAACCACCGCTCGATCTTTCGCCAGGAGTGAGCGACGGGCGGCGGCGGCGGCGCACCATCGTGGAAACTTTGCATTTGAATTTCTCCTGTTTCCTGGTCATTTGACCTCCGTTTGGATGCGGTGGATCTCATGCCGGGCGAGTAAGGGCGGTTAGGGGAACCAGGGTCGGTCGGGGAACCGTTGAATTCAGTGGATTGGGCGGTCGCCAGGCCCTTGGAGGACTCATCATCATATGGGTTGGAGAGATCTGGCCGAGATTCGATGGCACTGGTGGCAATGGATGTGAGAGGTTCATGGCGACTTTGACTGAGAGGGACGTGTCGACCAGTACGGTAGGGAGAGTCGTGGGAGGCATGACGGTCATAGGAGGTCATGGTATGCCAAAAGGAGCGCCATGTCGAACCGAATCTGCAAGCAAAATTAGATCCGATTCCAAGAGAGATACTGATCTGCGAGGGGGGAAGGAACTAACACATTCGCCATGATGGGAGCGGGTTGATGGAGAAGAAGAGAGGGGGAGGTTTTTTTGGGCCAGGAAAAGGGAAGGTCTAGGGCATTTAGACCCGCAAATCAGGAGGATCTAGAAGTTTGCAATCTTGGGTTTGGAATTAAAGGGAAATCTGAAATCTGAAATATGGAGAAGGAAAAAGATGGGATCCAATTTCCCCTTAGGATAAAATGTCATAACTGCCTCCCCCTGGCCGCATCCAGGTTCCTCAGGCATGCAGATCATGATGTCGACACCTGAGCGCAGAATGATCATCTTGGCTTCTAGGATGACTCTGTATACCGAAGACGGTCATTTCAATGCATTTCAATGTGATTGTAATACGTAGTTCTGAGGCATTGTGAGAGCCCCCCCCCCCCCCATGCAGAACAACGCAATGCCTAATACCTTCTATCGAATTCCTCTTAACTCTCTAGCTCTCCTTACTAGCCATCTCTAGTCTGTATGTGTCAAGTTCAGCCACCGTGGCGCCTAGACTCCATCCCAATTAAGCTTCATCACAACCGAGACAAGATCGACGGGGAAGAAAGGTGATCCCCATGAACCTATCGCCATTCAGGCACCGAATAGACACATAGTGCCCTTGAAAGTCAATCTATGGGATATCTCTCATCAAGGTTTAGGGTCGGATGTGACTACCAAGGACGAGCCAAACACAAATCGAGGCACGATCACAAGTTATAAAATTAGACCATGGACTCCAAATGGCCAGAAAAGTGGAGCGCAGCGAGTGGCGCTGACCCAGATTAAAAAGGGGAACATTGCGACGCAGACATTCAGACCACGTCAGCCGTTGCGATTTCTGTTGAAACACGATTTGAAGTACCAAGTTCACAAATCATAGTGTAAAAAGGAAGAAAAAAGAGATGGAGAGACGTAGAACACAGAAGTATACAAGGCTGGCTCTTGGACCCTGGTATTAACCAGTTCTAGCCCAGATTTCTTATTACGATCAGCATGGCGGACCAACCCATCTGGTCTTTGGTCTGCATCGTTGCTTACCAGTGGCTGCAAGTCTCTTAGTGGCTTCGGACATTTGCCGGTGATTCGACGCTCCAAAACGGTGTGGCTTGGTCCACTTTCCACTTTTTCGTGGATTAAGTATTTGCCACCTGAAGTCATGGACCACTGCATGCAGTTATGGAATCTATATCCATACTCACTGTATACATAGTACTTACTATATGCTCTATAGACATAGAGATCACATCATACGTATTAAAGGGAACTCAACAAGGAGTGGACGGCATGGGATTCACACCAACGTAGTCATGAAGACTAAAACGAAGGGAAAAACTACTCAACATGGGAAATAGGTGAAAAAGCCAAGACCAGGGGTCCAGCAAAGACACCAATAAAAGGGAAAGAAAACATCAAAGAAGTAACCATCTCGAGAGACAAAATCATCAAAACATGCAGAGAGCGAATTTCATATCGTAGCCATCCTCGGCTGACATCCGCGAAAAACCAACCAGGCACGCACCGCACTTGGAAAGATCCCGACTCCGAACGATGCAAAGGTCCCCTTTCCTCGAAGAAAACAGACATCACTGTACCGAAAAGCAAGACCCGTGTATCTCAAAAACACCTCCAAACCAAGTACCAATCGCGAGCTAAAGGAATGCCCAAACGAAGCCACCGAGGGGACCTTGAACCAGTCTAGGTTACCCCTATGAACCGAATGCAAAAAAGCAGGGAAAAAATACAAAGGAAAAGAAGGATACTGAAGGAACGCAGGAGAGATGGTGTTGAGTAAGCACAAAAGAAATAAGAAATAAAACAACAGGGAGAAAAGAGCGAGGTCATCTGGACACCCGTCATCAAACAAGCAAGTCAAGTATGAAATTAGGCAAAAGAGCTCTGGATGCCTGGTGCCGCATCCAGCTTCAAGATGCGTCGGAGATCATCCTCCATCTTCTTCGTATCAACGGACTTGGAGGGCGATGGGGATTGAGTGGGCATCCGGAAGGCAGCAGTGGCGTATTGAGGCTGTGGAGAAATGTAGTTGTCCGGGGGCACAGCAGCCTGCGCTGGTGCTCGTCCCATGTAATGATTGCCATATGGACCGGGTGACGGTACATGATACTGATTAGGAGGGACTTCACGTCTCAGCGGGGACTCCGTATTGCGAACTTGGTGACCATTCGCGTAGGCAAATGGGTAACCGCCGTGGTTGGGCATTTGCGGAAGCTGTGCCGGAGAGTATCCCCGGTTGACCGGAGCAGGAGGGCCAGAGCTGGTTCGACTGGGAGTCGCATATGGAGGAAGGCTGGCATTAACGGGAGGTCGGCCTCCGTGATTGACAGGATATTCTGGAGCTGGAGAGCCCGACGCCGACTTCTGGGGGCGCGGATTAAGAAGCAGATGCCTCAACTCCGCATTCTTCATGCGTCGCTCCTCCTCGGCCTCGGGAGATTCGGTAGGTGGCGAGCTGTTGGAGCGAAAAGCGGACATGCGATCTTGATAAGATGGAGCGAAGGAAGGCCCGATATTTGAATTACGTCCATTCTCGGGGCCCATCTCAAATGAGAACATGCCACCAGGCGGATTGGAATAAGGCAGTCTTGGTTCAGTTTGAGGCGAGCGCACGCGACTGCTTGCCTCGGGGCTGCTCATGGGATTGGACTGACGCGCCTGCACAGCAGCCTTGAACAGGAAATCCAGAGGAGTAGATTTGGGCTCATCAGCCGCGGGCCGCGGGGGGCGAGCCCGGGGTTTGGAAGGGGTTGTTTCAAGATCGCCTTCCGTATCGGCAGTATCACTATCAGTCTCAAGAGTCGTCGCGAGGTCAGATTCAGGTAGCGACTTGGAATAGAAGCTTGGGATTGGTAATGCTGATGGCGCCGGTGATGCATGGAATGTAGGCCCTGCATATGCGCTATCCTTGGGTTGCGGGGTAACGTTCGAGCGGGAAGAGGTGCGTCGGTGTCCGTGCGATCCATTCGGTCCATGATATCCATTCGAAGTAGGCTCAGATCGATTCATGTCCTTGGGCTTCTTCCCAGAGCGGGGAGGCTTCTTCTTGGAATGGACATTATTAGGAATGGGGGAATCTGTGGCTACACCAGCTGGACTCATATTGCGTGGTGGTGAGGACGGAGGGGTATTCAGCAGGGCCATCTTCTGGGCGTGTGGGGTGGTGTTCTTCTTGGGAAGTGGGCGGCGGTTGTTGTTGTTGTTGTTATTGCGAGGGCCCTTGGGCGTAGGAGGATGAGGAGATGGAGTCGACATGACGACAGTGTGGCTTGAAAAATAGGCAGCCTGGTTCGAAAAGTGATGAAAGAGAAAGGAAAACACAGCGCAGACGCTAAGAAAAGCAGGTAAGGATATCGAATAGAAAGCCGGTCCTGTCACTGCTCAGCAGCTGTCGACAATATTAAGTTATTTCCAACGCTTAGAAAGCAGAGAAAATAGGCGAAAGGGAATGTAAAAGGAAGTGAAAGCAGAATCTAGGTCGCAGGGAACAACATAAATAAAGCGCGGGAAGGCATGTCTCTAAGGTGTGTGAGGCAGAAGGTGAGTCGTAGGAAAGTGACGGAAGAGTTCCCAAGGCGGGGACCACATGACTAAGGGTTTTGCCGCCTCCAGAAACAGTGGGGTTTTGCTGTGTTGGTGCTGGGACAAGCTGGAGCCTCACTCTATTTGAATTTGGCAGATTCCGATTGCCGTACAAGTACCTTTACTACCTACTCTGAAGGTGACCTGGGGATCTTTGCATGGTAATCTACCCTTACGTCAGTGACCTAATCCAAGTTCCTCCCGAGAGGTCCTCCCAGCATCCTAATCTACCGACCATCCCACTCCCGACCTCCCCACCGCTACACCACCAGACAAGCTACAAAAATGGCCGACGTGGAGATGAAAGATTCAGGCGCAGCCTCATCAAAAGGCAAAGCTGTCGCAAAGTCTGACGGTGCTGATGCTAAGAAGAAGTTCGAAGTGAAGAAGGTACTACACAACCACCTTGGGGGCCATGCGCGATCATGACGATGGGATACTGATTCTGATTTCCAGTGGAACGCCGTTGCCCTTTGGGCCTGGGATATTGTCGTGGACAACTGCGCTATCTGTCGAAACCACATTATGGACTTGTGTATGTTGTTGACACGAAGCTTGCGTGTTCGAGCTACAGCTAAACTATGCGGGAAACAGGTATCGAGTGTCAAGCAAACCAAGGATCTTCAACAACAGAGGAGTGTACTGTTGCCTGGGGTATTTGCAACGTAAGTAGCCTACACACCTTTTGAGGCAGTTGAATAAGTTCTGAACATCTTTAGCATGCCTTCCACTTCCACTGCATCTCCAGATGGTTGAAGACCCGTCAGGTGTGTCCACTGGATAACCGTGACTGGGAGTTCCAGAAGTACGGCCGGTAGAATATTTGAGGTAGAACCATTCGACAGACCAGAACCAAATGCACCGGAGCCTGGCCGCTGCCACGCATACATGTTCAATGGCTATGATCAGAGGGGGAAGAGCACTTTTTTGAAAGACAAAAGGATTTTATGATTTCCTTTCCCGGCGTTTAGGTAGTTATTTGCCTTGATATTTATCGAACCCGATGAATCCTTCCATGTGTTATCCCGTAACCTTGTATGCTTCTTCCAGGCTTTCAAGCCACCTTGACCCCATCTACCACCACATGTGGACCCCTTGAACTCCCATCTTTATTCAACCACTTCTCGGGATTCTGATTGTAAATGGGCCATGGCGGGATCACGGCGAGCGCAGTAAACAGCGTACCTCCCAGGCCGATCCAAAGCGTAAGGTGAATATCCTTGTAGATATATCCGACGAGAAAGCTAACAATCTAGAGGAGGTTCAGATGTTAGCAATATTGCTGTGTCTAATAAGTGAGGCTGGGCACTTGCTCCGGAAATAACTAGCAAAATAGTGCTTAGCAGCTCTGCTAGGTGTTGACCGTGGAAGTCCTGTCGCGTCAGGTCAGTGAAGATCTTCCCAAATTGAAGACACGCATGTGTCAAATTAGCGAATACGTACAATCTGACCTTCAAGAGCATCCTGGATTGGTGTAAGTAGTTCGTCCATGATTAGATGTGAATGGGATACTCGTGACGAAAGGTCACGTAACCTGGGGAGCGGGCTTATCGCAAGGGTGTCATCTGCCCACCGCCTCCGCCCAAGCTCCATGTCAACCATGAAGCGTTTCTGTTAACCATCACTCTGATGGATGTGATAGTAATTTTTTATCACTTCGATGGAAAATCCCGGCATCTCATTACTATGAGTGATTTCTATTAAAGAGAGAGAATCTATGGGGGAAATGTTTCGTAATTCATCTACTTCTACCTCTACCTCTTATGGCTTGGGGCCTTATGACCCACTCATACATAGATCATCTAGAGCGCTCACTATGGCAACTCATATCAAGCTTTCTCACCATATAACAATTACTTTCGCTGCAGCAAATTCCCGTGTCTCAGATCGGTTGCATGCTGCAGCGCAGACCGCAAACCAGCGGTGAAAAGGAGGATCTTGCGGCAACACACGGTCGATGCTTGGCAGAGAAAACAAGATTCCGGTGCACCAGTCACGAAAGCATCATTGTCCCTGGCAATTTGCCTCGCAATAGCTACCGATCAGAGCGCTTCCATCTCCGTGCATGCGCGTCAGGACAAAAAAAGGCAAGATTGGGGACGAGGATCGCCGATGACGCGGTGGGATTTTGCTCTCATGGAGTTCAGGTTTAAATCTCGGTCACGGTGGTACCCGCCTGTGCGGGCTCCAGCAGCTTCCATTGGCAGGTAATATTGTTGGAGGCGAACTGCGCGATGATGCGGTCTGCAATCTGGTCAAAGTTCTCCGTCGCCAGAGCCAGGATGGTTGGTCCGGCACCGGACAGACAGATGCCCAAAAGACCGGGCTGCGTCGCGGGAGTCATGAATTGCAGGATCTCGGTCAAGCCTGGGATGAGGGTCTTGCGGTATGGTTGGTGGACTCTGTCCTGCATGGCAAGGAAGATCATATCAGGGTCCGGCGGGGAGGTACCCAGAGCGGCGGGCAAAAGGGCTGCACGTTGCAGATTGAACACCTAGGAAAAATTGATGAGTCTAAAGTTTGACCAGGTCGAATCCGATGTCTCGACATACCACATCGGCACGACTGTACGATTGAGGAAGGACGTTGCGAGCATTGGCGGTGGGCACGACAAAGTCCGGGATGATGGCAATAGCCTTGATCTCGGGGGCCCAGTCAAACTTTCGGTAGTGACCAATGCCCAGCGGAGGCTCTGGGGGCTTGTTGCCCGTATCAATGCCACCAGCAGGCGCTGGCAGAACCTCACTCAATGGGATTTCTTTCCGGGCGACGTCTTCCGGCTTGAGTTCATTCAGATAAGTACCCACGAAGCCTCCGAACAGTGACGCAGCCACGTTATCCGGGTGTCGTTCTATAGACTATTAGTGTCATGCATGCAATATGGTGGAGATGTGGGTTTATATATCTGGATTTGGATTTGTGTTTGTGTTTAGATGGGCGCGGGTTCCATCGAATTAAGAAGTTGCACAGGGAAGGACTCACCAATCATTAGACAGTAATCCAGCAATCGCTCCTTGCTCAAACCTAGGTTGCCAACTGCATTACCCAGCATAACACCCGCCACCACTGCAGTACCCGACGATCCCAAACCCCGACCCAGTGGGATGGGGTTGGAGATGTGTACCTTCGTCTCCACGGGAAAGGCGCGCTGATTGTGGCATCGCAGAACGTACAGTGCCACTCGGGTGATCAGATTGACCTCGGGATCCAGGCTGATTTGTTCGGTGCTCTTGCTCAGGTCCTCATAAGTGATTTGGCAGTTCAAGGGGAGCTCGGACGAGGTTTTGGAGTCATCCACGGTGACCTTGAGTTCGAGGTGGAGGGACAGTGCCAGGCCGATGACATCGAACCCGGGGCCAATGTTGGCGGAGGAGCAAGGGGTTTGGATCAAAAACGAGCGCATTCTGTTTGAATTCCCAGCTCAGCTCACAGAGAGATGTAATGGCTCTATAGGACCCAATCTCCAAGGTATGACTCGATGCGGGACAGTCTTGGCACACCAAAAAAAAAATGATCCGGTCCGACGTCGGGGATGCAAGAGTGGATCTGATCATCACTACGGTTCAAATGGGTTATGATTGGATGCTTTGATGGATTGGATCTCCTCCAGATATGACAATCTCTGGTTGGGAGGATCTTGGGGAATAGTCCCCATTGTCCAATGCTTTACCCGGTGCTTAAGGGCATTCCCACTTACGGCGATCCCACTTGTCTCTGCCTCCACTTTTTCGGTTTCTTTTAGTTTGCGGCCTAAACTAAGTACCTGTAGGGCGATGAGAAGACGAAACATAGATCCATATTAATAAAGGTGCTATGCCCACTTAGGTAGGTGTATACGTGACAACAATTCCCGCGGATTCTACGTACAAATTAGTGATAGTAGATGCTGACTATTCACCGCTGTACCGATTGGCCAGTTGAGAGATCTGATCCTTCATGTGAGTCATTTGAACTCTATAAGTAGACTAGACAAACGACTAGGGTGTAAAATTTTAAATTATAGACATGACGTGCCGCTATAGAAGCAATAAATACCTCATGGCCAATGAACGTATGATGATACGCGAGACCTTGACGCTGTCGGCGGGACCCGTATTATATAGAGCGGAAAATTTTCACTGTGGCTGGCCAACGTTCATATATACTCCTGGCTGGGTAAAGTCACTCGAACTGGGATTTGATTTTTGGTCAATTCTTGAAAAACCCAGATTCATTGTTCATTCTCGAATCCAGCCTGGTTTGCAATTTTCCTTGCTTTTTGGGGAATTAAATCAAAGCCAAAAAGTGGGTTATGACAGTGTCCGGAGTACAACCCGCAAGCAAAGCCAAAGTGGTCCCGGTCTAGTTTCCACTCGCCACGCCTTAGCGTTGGATTTTCTCTCTTCCCCCCTACCTTCTCTCCTCACACATAAATTTCACCCACAGTGATCCAAGTGGGAGAACCTCTTATTTATTTCTTTTGCTTCTAAAATTGCTCTCCCCCCAATTGAGGAATTTGCATAAACGTCTTCGTTGAAGTTTCTGCAACCTCAAAAAGCCCGCGACCAGCTCGCACCTTTCGCATCCCTCTGCAACCCTGGAGCAGCCGCGCTCCTTTCTCTGGGACTCCTTCAAGTTGGCGGGACTTCGCTACTCTAAGGCCTCTCTCCTCCACCCTCTTGCAGGCCCCAAGTTCCGGGTCTTCTGCGGGGGCGACACCAGACCCCCCTAACTCGACTTACCCCCCCAACCTTCAACTGTGGCAGCCAGACGTGTGTCGGTAACTCCAGACCCCTACGTAGGGTCTGGATTCTGGATGGAGGGTGCTCGACCATAATCGAACCTCTTTTACCGACTTGCGTCTGCAGCTGATAAGCTGCCAAGAGCATATCTCATATTAACCTGAACACAACGAACACCAAAAAGCACAAGTCCTCTGGGATCCCAAAAACAACCAACAAACAGTCAAACTGGCGTACTGAAACCTTCAACTTCATCATGTCGGACTCGCCCCGATCTGAGAAGGAGCTCACCCTCACCCGATTCAGCACTCCGGTGCCGGAATTGGACGATCACCGCTTCCAAATGAACCCCCCCTCATCGAAACCCCCATGCAGGATTCGAGGAATCATCACAGCATGGACCTGGTGGGACCGATGGGGGAGACGCCGGAACGCCCTGACCTGCTGCACGCTCAGGATGCGCTCCGTGATCCGGGCCCATTGTTCCGAGACTTTGAGCAAGCTATCGTGGACGACTCGACGGTTGAAGGAAACCCAATGGGTCGGCGCTTCTCGGTCGACCCTACAGCTCAATTTCACTCGCCCCGCCGCATCAGTGTCGGCCAGCAGGATCTGGGCAATGCTTCCCGCAAGTCATCTGTCTCTGCTCGCTCTTCGTCACCTCCCAACTCAGTGGACGCTTTTGCCGATCCCCGTCGCCGAGAGCGAGCAAACACTCTTGACAGCCATGGTCCCCCGGATCTGGAGGCTATGCTGCAACGCACGGTCTCGGGGGGCACCCAGCCCCGGCGCCCGACCTTCAGCAATGCCAGTATCATCCGGCCTCAACCAGGCGATGTGCCCATCGATGGACCAGAGGAGGCATGCGTTCATACCTACGAGGAGCCTGGTCGGATCCCCGTCATCGACTATGAGGAGCTAGAGGAATTCGTCGCACTGAACCAACAGGCGAAAGCAAGGGCAAATGCCAACCGTCGCAAGCACAGCCAGAGCTCCCAGACCAAGAGCCCTCGGATCTTTCCCGACCTGCGCCCTGCCGAGAAGATCCCCGATGTCGACGAGTTCAAAAAGTCGGATTCGGCCAATTCAAGCGATACGTACCGAGCCCCCGAGTCTGAGGCATTCCCCGAAATCGAGGATGAAAAGCAGTTGGTGGAGAAGCTCCAGAACATCAACGAGCCTACTCGATTCGGGTTTTTCTCGTCTGAATCTCAGACGACGGTGCACGCGGCGGATCTGGGAGACTTGGTGTTCCCTGGTGACAGCTTCCGGGATCTCTTCCAGTTGGGTCCCGAGGGTGGTGTGTGGTGGCTCGATGTCGTCAACCCTACGGAGGAGGAGTTGGGCGCTATTTCCCGAGCTTTCTCCATTCACCCTCTTACCACGGAGGATATTTTGACTCAAGAAGCTCGTGAGAAGGTCGAGCTTTTCAAGCAGTACTACTTTGTCTGTTTCCGTACATTCTACCAGATGGACAAGACCAGTGAGGAGTTCCTGGAACCGGTCAACTTCTACATGGTGGTTTTCCGTGATGGAGTCTTGACTTTCTCTTTCGAGGAGAACCCCCATGCCTCCAATGTTCGGAAGCGTATTGGAAAGCTGCGTGACTACGTCTCGTTGAGTAGCGACTGGATCTGTTATGCCATGATTGACGACATCGTCGATAGCTTTGGTCCAGTGATTCGAGATGTCGAGCTCGAATCTGAGGCGATCGAGGATCATGTCTTCATTGCTCGCGTTGACGACTTTGAGTCCTTCTTGCCCCGGATTGGTGGCCTGCGTAAAAAGGTTATGAGTTTAATGCGCCTGTTGGGCGGAAAGGCGGACGTTATCCGCGGATTTTCCAAGCGCTGTAATGAGCAGTACGCCATGACCCCTCGTGGTGATATTGGCCTTTACTTGGGTGATATTCAGGATCACGTTGTGACCATGATGTCTAACTTGGCTCATTTTGAAAAAATGCTGAGCCGATCGCACACCAACTACCTGGCGCAGCTGAACGTCACCAACTTGGTGTTGGGTAACCACGTCAACAAAGTTCTGAGCAAGGTGACTCTCATTGCTACATTTTTGGTCCCCATGAACCTCATCTGCGGTCTCTTTGGAATGAACGTTCACGTACCCGGAGAGAATGTCGAGGGCCTGGGATGGTTCTTCGGTATCTTGGGTGTGATGGGGGCCATTGTTGTTGTCAGCGTGGGCCTTGCTCGCTGGCAGAAGCTGGTCTAATTTTTCTAATCTTGAGAGGGGGGGGTTGAGCTTTTTGCTTCTGCTTTTTTGGATCCTGACTCTTTGTCTGATTCTGTGTCTGGTATTTCGTTTGAATTTTCTGCTATATCTCTGATTTGTTGATACCTTCCATTCTGCTGTCATGAACCTCTGTGAGCGTCATGTCTCTTTATGAACATCCTCGATAGACTTATATATACACGCATTCTCGAATTACCAATATACATCCATAGATTCCATAGCCTCCGAATTATCGAAAATCCATACTTAACGGTCCCATCCAGCCACTCATCAACTCCTCAATCGTGACATCCAAGTCCAGTCCAAATATAGAAGGATCCGGCAAAGCATACTGCCCCAGACCAGGATCCGCAAACTCCAACCCCTCCACCGAGAGTTCCGCTCCAGCATTACTCGAAACCTCCAGACTAGCAGCCCGATAAGTCTTCTCAAACCAGACCGAGGCAGCAAGAAGCCACTTCTGATAATGCGCAAACTCCCCATCTTTACACGTCTTCGCCACATCGTGAAGCCTTTGCACATAAAATTGCAGCACCTTCGGCAAATCCAGTGCCTCACGCAGTTCCTCAACTTGAACATTGTACCTTAGCGATGGATCTAGAGACACGATGACCAGCTTACAGGCCGCCGCCACGATAAACCCGGTTTGCAGCCAGTTGAGGTAACTGTAACTCTTCTCGATTGTGGGGGGTAAGGTGAAGTAGAAGTCGACGAATCGTTTTGCAGCTGCGAGACCATGGCATAAAGTGTCAATTCGGGAGACGAGTAGGAAGCCGTCGGATGGTGTCGAGGCATGTTTGTTATCTAGGAGGCTGATTTGGCAGAGTTGAAGCTCTAGTGTTTGATACTGTATGGCGATAAGGACTATACAGGCGTTGGTTTTTGTCAATGCGAGTCGAGGATACAGATGGGGTATTCTGGGGATATACTAACCATCACAGGTTGGTGGAATAGGTAGCTGATTCTTGTACTCTTCCACCTCGGCTCGGAATGAACGCAGTTGCATCTCTACATCTGGATGACCTTCGATACTTTTCGTAGTCAACAGATTCATACGTTCCAGCATATGTTGTAGCTGGACATAATAGATCATGTATCGATCGGTGGGATACTCGCATTTCGCCGATAGTGTCACAGCACATGACTCTATGAATGGTGACCAGGGCAAAGTGCAAGTTTTCTGCATGATGATCGCATTCCTAGATCTCATCAGCATGGTTCACTTGTACTTCAATCTTGTCAATGTACCTACGTCGAAACGAGCAAAAAACACCCAATCAAAGCTCGGCTTTCATCGGCTATCGATGCCGATCCAGTCTGATCTGATTCACCCTCGATATCAATGCGGGTCGCGACTCGGTGCTTGGGTGGACGATCCATCCTGGCATCGTTCATAATGCTCAGTGCGATGTGTATGTAGCCGCTGAACCGACATAATTGGGATAATTGGCGAGTTCTGTACCTGTCAGTCTACAAAGATCAGCACAGAGGATAGGAGAGCAGCATACCCAGACAAGACAATTAACAATCCTTGAAAAGTTTCCAATGCATTAGGGTGGTTATCATGTGGGGAATGAAGAATTACATCCGAAATATAAGACTTGAGGACATCTTCCAGGGCTCGTTGCAGAGAGGGGTCTCGGAAGGACGTGGTCACGAAGATGCACAGGAGTATGAACGGTTTTTCAGCTCTGAGTTCTTTGACTGTCGTTCTGCCGGGTAGCATCACGAAGGGGAAGTATTGCATTGCTTCCCGGTAGTTATCTAATAAAATATTTGCGAGCTCATTGCTGACCAGGCCTTTGCCAACTACATCGCAGGCCCGGTGACTGTAATCACTACCTTCATTGCTTTTTGGTGTTGGATATAATTGATCTGGACGCGGATTAATCTGTTCCATTATTTGATCAATCTTGTCTTCGAGGGCCTCGATACGTCTGTTGGATGGTTAGTGACACCCTTGCATATAGGAATAGCACTCACGTTGTCCGCTTCTTGTGATTGCCACGCGGCCGAGACGGCCGGAAGTAACATTCTTTGTTCAAACGACGACATCTATGCCGTTAGTACAGGTGTATAGATCCCGAGAACCATCGAGAGTAAGATGAACTAAATCGGCTTACCGGTCGCAGCTTAGCGAATCGGGGGTATGAGCGCACCGGATCTTCGCCCGGACGCAGTTTTCACAGGTCTTTACCCGATCCGATTCAGGCATGATGAGGCTTGGACATGCAGTCACGGATACGGATACTTGGGGCTCTTTTAATCGGTCCGCGGACACGGACATGGAATTATCCGCGGACACGGAGTTGATGTCAGATTCCGGGCAATCAGCCAATCAGCGTTGCGTCATGTCCGGGGGCTAGATCTTACTACACGTCAACTTGCGTAGGATGTGCATAGCCCAGCTTATTCCCGAAACAAAGAGAAAGCAGTTCGGTAATATGAATCTAGTTTTAAAGTTCGGTTTTTCTACAGGGGACCCTGTGAAGATAGGTAAGGCTGATTTGACGCCAAAGACCTTTCTATACTACAGCCTGGTCATTCATGCTATAGCTTGTCAGCCACGTTCATGCTTGGAAGTCTACTCAAGCCGCATAATTATCTCACGACCTGAGGCATCTTGAGCTGAGAGTTCTGTTCGTCAACAAGTGCAGCTACATCTCCATATATTTCTGTCCAGCATCCTTGTATCACGAAACCACTAGCAGCAGCAAACCAAGGACCGAGGGATGACTTAGAAGCGAAGAGACTGTCTACCCAATACTCGTAATCGTTTGTCTCTTTCATAAAGTGAAAGGGAGCAGGAGATCTACAGGGCCAATGGCTGGTCCTTCTCGTATAGCCCCGGAGAAGACCGAACAAAGACTGAATAGTGGCCTCCGTTGACACCCAGCCATTACAAGGATTGGAAATCCCCTATCTGGATCCCCGTTTGCCAATTCTCCAAAGTTGACGAGCGGGAGATCCAGCTTTTCGTCGGCGCTGGTATGTAATAATCCCCGTGTATCTTCAGCACCGAGAAATTTAGGGTACAGATCAAGAACTAGATCAGCTGGACATGGGAAGTCGTATACCCTATTATTCTGAAGAGCGCTTCCAAGATCCCCAAGAGTCGCTATTCAACCTCGAAGCTGCCCTCAATAGCCTGAAGAAGGGGGTTATTGGTCTGCAATTTCCGAATGGTACCAGGAGAACCGGAGGCATTCAATAACGGCCGGTTTCACCCTCGCAATCTTGCAGCAATAAGGATAGTGCAAGCCATACAGCTTAAAGTAAGTTAACAGGATGGTGATTCTACAATATTTGTCCCCAATCATGTCCCCAACTAGGTTCATGTATGTCTACAGTAGTGTTCCATGAGTTTAAAACCACCGTATCTAGCTCATTGCTTACCAGCACGTAGCACGCTACAGTAGTTAGTCAAACAAGTATAATGACAGCCCACTATTGAAGCGCCTTTATTTGTGAAAAGCTCTGATCTTTTTTTGCTAGATTATCGAGAATGTTCTTGATAACATTCTCAGTAATGCTGGGGGGCCTGTATACTAGCGACTGAGTGTATCTCCCTGCGAGGCTGTGGTCGGCAGCAAAAGTGGCAGAATCTCCGATGAGACAAACGTGAAACGAATCATCGGTACGGAGATATTAGATTCTCTTTGATCGGTCTGCGGATACGAACAGAAGTATCCGCGGACACGGAGTTCATGTTAGATTCCGTTTAATTGACCAATCATTGGTGTGGACTCTATGGAAGCCTAACTATGGGGGCTGACTGTACGAACTTTGCGTACATACACGTCAACCTCTGAGAAGTTGAGGCTGCATAGCCCAGCTTACTCCCCCAAATTAAACCGGACTTTTAGGCAGAAAAATTGGATCTTGGCTACGGTCAGACAACTGTGATAAAATATAAAAAGAAAACGCGATGCCAGGTAGTTTGATCAAGCTTAAATCTTAGAAAATTCAGCCCTAATTACTCAAGATGTCGAACTCTGACAATTGCACCATAGTCACTTGCCCGCTTACCGAGGCCTACCTGGACTACCTACCCAACCTCCCAGCTAATGCATTCTTTGTCGGCTTATTCGGTCTCATCTGTGGGATTCAACTCATTTTGGGAATCAGGTACCGAATGTGGTCTTACATGATTCCCATGTTATTCGGCCTCATTCTCGAAGTGCTGGGATACATCGGCCGGATCATGCTGCACAACAACCCATTTAACTTTAACAGCTTTCTTCTGTAGGTATCTCAATGTGTCATAACTGAACCCTGACTAACTGTTTGTGTAGGTATCTGATTTGTCTGACGATTGCTCCGGCCTTTTTCAGTGCATCCATATATATCTGTCTGGGCAAGATCATCACGGTCTATGGGGAGAATGTTGCCCGCTTTCGTCCTCGAACATATACAATAGCCTTCGTCTCATTCGATATCGCAAGCCTGTTGATGCAATCGGTCGGTGGAGCCCTCACGTCAATCGCCGACGACGATCAGCGCAGCCTCCAACAGACTGGAATCAACATCATGATTGCTGGGTTGGCCTTCCAGGTCGCCTCGCTCTTTCTATTCATTGTTCTGGGCTCCGAGTTTGCCCTTCGAGTGCACAGAAGCCCGAAGTCAGAATTCAGTGACTTCAGTGGCCTCCGACAGAGCCGGAAGTGGACAATGTTCATTTACTGTACGTCCCTTGCCTAGCTTTCTTAGGTCCAGGTACTAACATTCATAGGCCTCATTCTTGCCACGCTGACTATCTTTATTCGATCGATCTTCCGAGTTGCCGAGCTGAAGGGTGGATTTGGCAGTGCATTGGCCAATAACGAGGTTGATCTGATGGTGCTAGAAAGCACCATGGTTTCCATTGCATGCATTGCCCTAACAGCTGCTCACCCGGCAATCGTTATTGGTCGAGCCTGGAATTCTCTATAAGAGAACGATGCAGATTTACAATATAGATTCAGCATCTCTGATTTATTATGAACTAGATAGTATTTATTGCATAGCGAGCGGCGTTAATACAATGGGGACCGTAAGTATTTCCCCAAATGCGGGCCCGGTAGGGCCAACCCAACAACCAACTTTTGGAAAGACATGTACCACTCAGTATGAAGATGGCTCGCTTCAAAGAAATTTTACTTTAACCCATGACTATAGAGAAATGTTTTGAGAAGATAACTCGAAGATCAATGTAGCTTTGGTGACGATAGAGCGGTTTGAAATTTATGAGTAAATATGGAGGACCCGCCGAGGCATTCACTGAGCTTTTAAACCCATATAACATTATTTACATGTTGTTAAAACAAGAAGTTCTTAGAATGTACCTAAAGCTTATTCACAGAGGAAGATATAATAGGATTTAATAGTACCTTTAGGGGTATATACCAGAATTATGGTGAGGAATACTACACGTAAAATTAATGTGTTAGTATAGAGAGTGACGAGACAACTACTAGTGGTTAGAAAGCTTAAATTTTTTGAAGTATTAAGGAATAGTTCTGTGCGTTAGATGGGTATTAAAAAATTTGCGTAATTATACAGAATTTCAGTAAGATATGGTGGTTGTGGTGAACCGTTCAGGGAATATGTATAATTGATGGATAGGCCCGAAGACTGATTTTGGGAGATACTTTTGACTAGATGGTGTATTTTTGTTTATGTTTCATAATACAAGACCACGGACATAATAGCACAATGAACAAACTAAATCACTCAGAACTAGACTCAAGCACACTCTGATTACAATTTCTTTCGAGTTAGCCAAGAAATAAAGCAAACCATTTGGTTGATTGGGTTAGTATACGCGTGGCCAGGCACCAAGGCAGCAACGATAAGCTGATTTGATTCCGATAAACAACTTAACATCTTTCTCCAACTGATCGACCGTATGTCGATGATCCGCCCTTCAGGAGATCTCCACACTCAGAGGCCCTGAATCGCATGTGTACTCTCTGATAAGCTCCATGCGCTTTTCCCGCAACCCAGTCATCCTCTCATGCGACTACTATCCGCTTTGCAGTGTCAACTGACTGCAACAGTCATTGCCACTTCCCTTGCGCTCGCCAGCGCACCGACCGCCTACGCCAATATTTGGAGCGATGGCGGGGTCGAGAGTAACCTAAACGTCGAGAATATTGCTCACGGAGCCGGGCTGCCGTTTGCGCTGGACTCGTTCAATGGATTAGAGTTTCGCGACGAGGACGACGAGGAATCCACCGGGCTGGACCTGGTGCGGAGATCCGTTGCCATTACGTCTCTGGCAAACAATAATTTCCAGGATTCCACTATCAAAACTGGGGGGGTACAATACTGGTACATTCCGGATGATGTGGTGAACGGTGATCATGGAACCGCGGGCAAAGGACTCCCTGATTACCTTGATTCTAGTGGCAATGTCGTGTCGCATACCGCGGCGCATGAGCTTCGAAAACGAGGGTTGTCCAAGCGCGCATCAACAACGGTCTATGTCTCATTGAACACATGCTCTAAGCCTTCCACGAACATTACCGGTGCCGAAGGCTTGTTCCCACAGCTGAAAGTCTACTACTCGACCTCAAAGGACTTGAAATATCCCGGACCGGGCAAGGATGACTCCCTTCAGAATTTCACCACAGCGAGTGAAGGCTTTGTTGGTCTTGAAATCGAGGCGGAGAGCGATGTCTACATCAGTGTCGTTGCGGACAACTCAACGTCCTACTCGGGCTCATATGACTACGACCTTGCCATATCGATCGATGATTACTTCTACAACGCGGTTCCCGAGGACCCGTTCCTGTACTTTATCGACTCGGATCCAAACGCAGCGCTGCTGGTCACCAACAATCTGACCCAGTCTAACTCCAGCTCCGCGAACTTTCAAGAGTGGATGAATCTGAATCCTGCCCCTTATACCCTGTATGCCCACAACGTCAATGACACCTCACTGAGCGGCTTGAAGTCCTCTTTTTGTGCAGTATCGCAGCATTCCCAGGTGATCAGCAATCCAAGCAACACCGGAATGACCAGCCGCGGACTGGGCAACAAGCCCAAGGAACAGTTTTACATTTTGGGACTCAATCGTAGTTCGACCTATATAGGGATCTTGGGCATGGCAGGCAACGGGTCGACCTACGGAAATAACATTGTTGGCGGAGGTGGAATAGTATGGCAGCCGATGAACTTCACCACCAAAACAGGTCCGCCTCCCACTCTCCCTTTCTTCCACACGAGCTAATGAAAACAGAAAATAACTGTGCCGTCTTATTCAACCTGACATTCTGCTCAGAAGTCGCATATGCAGTCCCATCCAATCCCAATCAAACAGTCGAAGACCTACGCCAGATCTACGACAACTACACGTCGAAATACTACAAAAATTTCGATTACTCCCTCCAACAAATCCAATGCAACGCCACGGCCGAATCCATGTTCTCACTAGCTGTCAACTGCACAGACTGCGCGACTCAGTACAAACAATGGCTCTGCAGCGTCAGTATCCCCCGCTGTGCAGATTTCACCTCCAACGACACATATCTCCAAGTCCGCAACGCAGGACAAGAATTCATCAACGGAACTTCCTTGCCAGAAAACGATCCCCTCCGCTGGTCCCCCCTAACGAATCAATCCCGGAATCCCATCATCGACACAGACATTAAACCCGGTCCGTACAAGGAGATTCTTCCATGTAAAGATATCTGCCACGATATGGTGAAGAGTTGTCCCGCAGCATTGGGATTCGGATGTCCGACCGGGAAATGGTTAAACGCGTCATATGGATACCGCGATCCAAACGGTGACATCACATGTAGTTACCTCGGCGCAGCCTATTATCTGAATCTCGGCGCGAGATTAGGTGTATGGGGGAGTGTGTATATGTTGGTTGCAATGTGGGGAGTTTGGTTGATATTGTAAACTTAGACTTGATAATGAGCATAGATGATTCACGTTATTCTTGACTTCGTAGCTTTCTTAGCACAACATACACTCGTTATATACTTCATCCCGCTAGTTACCATTCCAACTCCTTCCTTCCCTCCGCATATTCACCCTCAACCCTCCTATCCCCCCACCGTTCCCTCCACACATCCCTCTCCTCTCGCCACAAATCATTGACACACGGATCACACGAACTCCCACAACAAGTTCCCAATTCCGGCGGAGGCGGGGGATCATTATAGGCTCGACCTGCAGCCCGAAGAAGCTGTTTCGTCCGCGTACCTGATAATCGTTTCTTTTGAAGTGTTTTGAAAATTGGGACTTCATTGGGTTTGTAATATGGTTCTGGTTCCTCTTCATCCTCGGCTTGGCTTTTAAGAATGGCATTTGTCGATTCGGAATTTGGCGCGGCACCCTTGGTTGGGGTTGATGCGGCGGAGAGAAGGTTGCTAAATGGGGCGCATAGAGATGAGAGAATCGATGTGGATTGTTGACCTTCTTGCTTTTTCTCTTGCGTTGGTTTGGGTGTAGTATCGCCACCCGATTCAACGGCCACAGGTGCAGGCGCAGGCTCTGTCGAGCCTAGACTTGAATCTATACTCATTGCGAGTATATTTGCGTATATATAGAATGCAACATAAGGCAGCCTTGGGGCAAATTCGAACAATGGAGATTGATGAGTCGTTTTGATAGATTTTGATAGTGTTCAGGCGGAAGAATGTTCAGCCCGACCTATTCTGTATCAGCATCGAGGATAAACAAAGTCTTATGTTTGTTTCAACGAACCAATATTCCACGCAGACATAGATAGGTAGGAGCTAAGGAATTCAAGTCGATCGCGATTTTAGATAGACTTAACAAAGGCCGAGGTCGGGCCGGATAGGATCGGGTTGTTCGTTCCGATTACCCACTCTTATATGAAGGTTAACATATGCCGATGTCATTGAAGTCGGATATCACAAGAATCTTGTTTAAAGTCAAATAGTAAGTCTAAATTGAATCGGTTTAAATGTACAGGGCGATCAATATGCACCTATAATCTGAGCTATGTCTCTTGACAATGAAAACGCCTTTGGTCCCGTGGTATCATATCATGATCATTATCTATTCACTTGCGCCGTGGAGTGGGAGTCCACATGTTCTTCAATCCAGTAGATCCCCCAGAAGCCCGCGGTGTACTTCCGACCCGCGATAGCAAATTCTGTGCTGCAGAAGTCAACATCTTCCCGGAGCCAGGTCTTGGAGTCAGTCCATCGACACGTGGACTGCTAGCAAACCGGGGCGTAGTATTAACAGGTGTTTTCGTTACACGAGTGGCCCTTTCAACACGCTTGTTGCGTGCGGCACGATCCACCATGCGGTGGTGAAGAGCCTCTCGTTTACCGGTTTCGCGCAGTTGAAAGGGGTTTGGTGTTGCATCGCTCGCGCCGAGGAGACGCCAATCAGCTTCGAGGGAACCAGATGTCTGTGGTTCATATTCAGGTTCGTCTTCGTCGACGAACGCATATCCGTTGACTCGCGGGGTTTCTCCTCCCGGAACCGACGATGCTTCAGACTCGCTGAGGCGCGGGCGTCCTGCGATGGCATCTTGGATAGCCGAGATAGAAGGTGAAGCGGGAACTTTATTGGCAGCATCAGCGGCTGCTGCTGCATCGGCGTCGAGAAGCCTTGTGTTTTGATATAGGGTTCGCTTGGGCCCCGCGCGGGACGCATTCTCGGCCTTCTGCTGAAGCGTTTCATGTGTATCCTCGACCGACGAAGGAAGAAACATGAGCGAGTTATCCGGGCGGGACTTCCAGTGATCGGGTCTGGCTGGGCGAGCGTTGAGATCTGTCTTGATAGCAGGGCCGTCATCTGCCTTGATCAGACTGGTTTTCGGGTTCCCACCCTGGGCTGTGATGCGCTTCACTTCGTGATTATGATGGGCGATTTGTCGTGCCGATGGGATTTTATTATCGTTCCAAAGCCAGCCGTTCTTTTCGCGGCGCTTGATATTCTGCTTGTCCAGGACTTTGTTGAATGACTCGTTGTCCTCGCTTGTATATTTCGCTTGAAAGGCAAGAAGTCCCATATTGGACGCATCGGCAAGTTTCTGATCGTTGGCCGTGGCGGTTGTTGCTGTAGTCGAGGTAGATACAACGGACATGGGAGTATCGCCTCTCCATCCTTGCGGGGTCTCGTCTGACCGACCTGGTAGGTGTTGTGGAGTGCCCGCCACTGATGCGGCGTCGGTCTTTCGTCGCGCGTTTAAGCCTGGGGTCGGAGTGCGCATCACATCCGCAAGCTTCTGTTTGGAACTCTTGATCCATTCTGCATCTTTTGAGTCCAACGCATCGAGGTATTCCTGTTTGGATCGGGTCTCAAGCAAGCCAGGGAAGAAGTCCCGGGCAATAATATGGGAGAGGGCAGTTGTGTAGACATCTTCGTCGAGGACGGTCGCCGGGCGTTTAATACGTTTTGGAGGTGGCGGGGGTGGCATGAGCTGGCCATCTGGCCTCTTGGCCAAAGCCTGCGACTGCGACTGCGACTGCGACTGCGACTGCGACTGCGACGGAGAGGCCATGGTGGCGTGGAGAAGAGAAGGTAAGATTGAATTGAGGTTCGAGGCGATAAGATAGTCAAGTCAGATGATCCACCGACAATGTACTCCACAGCTCCAGTTGAGTTCACTCCACCAGTCTACTGTCTTCTAAGTCTACGATCCAAGATCTACAAGGAAAGCTTGATGGAAATCACAAGGTACCATGGATTTTTGCCCGTGGCTCTATAGTCACATGAAGATAAAAAGAAATATAGCGAATGATCCAAATCCTCCCGATGTCCTCTTTTCCATGGTTTTTACCCAGTTCCCTCCAGACACCAAACCAATATCGCTGAGAAATGCATTCAGACCAAACGACCGAACAGATTGAACACGGCTAACACAGCCCTCCCACCATACAAAAATTGAAACAGGTCATGACTCGTGGGGAATTCTATCAAGGGGTAGAGCGAGAAACAGAAAGCAGAAACCAGATATGCAGACAGATTTGCTCCCCCAAAAACAATCAAGGAAAAATAAAAAAGACAGTGCTTATTGAGCGGCAGTTGGGAAAAGAGAGTAAGAAGGCTTGCGGCTCTTCTTTCGATTCGGGTGTTTAGCAGGAAGCGCGGGGAGAGGAGGCTCGCAAGCCTTGCCCGGCCGGGTATCCATCTCGGAGGTGGACTTGGCACGGTCGTGAATGGTAGTGGGCACAGGGAATTCTGCGCCAATGCAAGGGCTGCTGCCCGCCTGGAGCAGCAGGTGAGCTTCGGCCAGACTCTTGGTCTGGCGATGGATAGTAGAAGAAGAAGGGCGGCTGATGCTAGACCCGGCAGCCAGGGCCTCGCTGGCGCTCAGACGGTCAGTGGGCATCAGCTCGCGACTGCTAGACAGGCTGTGGATCAGCTCTGGCACGCTAGTCGTGGAGACAGATGAACGGTGTTTGCGGACAATGGAAGCCGCGCGAGAGAGCATCAAGCTCTCTTGGGAGTTGCATTTGCTAATGGGAGAGAAGCTGCTCCGTGGGGAGACGGGGTTCTCCGAGATCATTCCCTGGGGGAAAGGGAAATGGCGATCCGACTCTGCATCGTTGCTGAGGTATTCCTCGTACAAAGTCTCTTGGGGAATCTGCTTGCCCAGGCCAGAGGAGAAGGTGCTGACAGGTTGGAAGTACTCGCCTGAGCTCCGAACAATGAAATCACGCTCGTACTCAGCTGTCGAGGGAGTGCCAGCCAAGTGCAACGGTGTCGATCGGGCTGGGCTGGAATCCAGATCCGGGGTGGGAAGAGCGGAGGTGCTCAAGGGGCTGGGCTGGAGATGCCGAACTTTCGGAGCCCCAGACCAGTTCTCGTTAGGGGACGGCACAGTAACCTGGGGGCGCTGAGTCTCTTCCAGAGAAGTGCGCGTCCAATCGAAGTTGCAGGTGGATTCGGCTGCGTGCTCATAGCAGTAGTCGATATCTGCATCCCACGAGTCATACAATTCGTCCTCATGCGAGAACTGATTCACACCCGACGTTGATGGCGGGGTGGTCTCCACCTGATCCTTGGGGGGAGTTGCGGGTAGACTGTCGGGGAGGTTCTGTGGCAGAGTCGGCGAGCCCAGGGCCTCGGAGAACTTTCTTGAAAGCTCCTCCGCCACGAAGATGGAAAGCGGCGCCTTGGGTGCCTTGATAGTAGATGGGTGATACGATTCAGCCGGTGGCTGACTCAATTGCGAGGTCGAACGAGAATGGGCATAGCCAATGCTAGCCTCCGGGCTTTCCCACATGCGGGTGGCCTCTTCCTCCTCCGGCACATCTTCGAGGTCATAATGGCTACTCATGGAGGATGTACGAGCGGAAAGATCGTCAGCCGAGTCCCGACGGTATTTGATGGAGGGTGCGGTGTGAATGTTTTCGGGATAGGTCGTGGCCGTGGACAAACCCAGGATCTCATCAATTGCACGTGGAGCCGGCTCTGCAACTTCAGCAGGAATCTCCGGGGTAGCAGGAGGAGGTGGAGTGGTGGGACACGATCGAGGAAATCTGGGGACCGGCCGCGAGAAGTTCTCATAAGCACGAGACTCCCGTCGAACATGGCCCGGGCTAACGGGGCCTGGTGGCGGCGATCCGGGGGGACTTTGCCGGGGTTCATCAACGGTGGTAGCTGTACCATATGCGGCGAGGTCATCAGTCGAAAAGTTACGGAAGTGGATGTCGGTAGCTCGGATGCCCTTGAGACCGGTCTCGGGCCGTTGAGATGCCCGAATCACGGAGAACTCGGTGCATAGATCGTTCTCTCGGGTTTGATCCAAAGACTGGAACTGTGCTGGGCTCGTATGGGTAAGGTGATGAAAGTCAAATGGATCCGAGATGAGGCTCTTTAGTCGATCTTCTGCACGTGCGCGTTAGCCAATTGAACCACGAGGGGCTTGTCGACCTTATGCTATCTATCCCAAAGACTTACGTTGTTCAACCTGGCGAGATCGTCGACCAAACATATCACCTTTCTCACGGGGCTTCTCACGATCATTCTCGTCTTCCTCGTCCAGCGTGGCGACGATGTTGATCTTGCTGCCTTGGCGACGGAGTATCCGACTTCCTCGAGCGAGGAACGATCGAGAACTCCGATCAGGCCTCTCCGTCCGCATCCCCAATGCCGAGGTGGTGCGTTCATCCTGCGACGACAGGGAGCCGTCCATGGAGGAAGTCATGGACGAACCCGGCGATCGATGGGACGAGGTCGAGGTCGTGGTGTTGCTTCTGGAGCGACCACTAAAGACCGACCGGCGTTTGGGACTATGGGCATTGGGATGGGCGGTAGACCTGGAGCGAGTGTGGACAGCGTGCTCCGGGGGATCATTTGAGGAGCGGGTCGACGGAGGATCACTGCTCCCATCGTCGTCCCAGGCCCGCGAATAGGGCATTTGGGAATACATTGGATCAATGGAATAATTGGGACGAACCCCCTCTAATTTATGTGCGAACAGGCAAAGCACCAACAATTGGGCTTTGTTTCATGGTAGGACCTGAAGCGCGCGAGTGTTAAAGAGAAAGGTGAGACGGTTTTTTCCCAGGAGATTGGGTCGGGGGCGGAGTTACATATGTATAATACATGTTGGTAAATACTGGTGGAGCTCCCGACTTCAGGGGTGTCGCGCCATGATTCGATGACGTTCCAACGTTTTTTTTTCTTTATGCAGACCTTGGGTTTCTTTTGATCGAAAATCTAGATCGATAGATTGATCTCATAATTGAGCATCTGCGACCAGCTCTCTTCCCGATCTCTTTTCAGATCCCTATGCTTTCCAATTTCGATATGCCTCCGGTTTTTTCATCTCCCCTATTGCGACTGATACGGAACGAATCCCAAAGGATTGTAGTGCCATGCAGCTCAGGGGGACTGAACGTGTTGGTAACTGTGGGGGGCCGCTTATCCATGTCGAGTAAGTATCGGCACATGATACGTATCCGTGTTTTGAATACGGAATGTTTGTTCCAGCCTAGGTTCTACTCAGTCCGAGGTTCCATGGGATGCAGGGCTCCCTCACATTTGAGGAATGGACAGGTGCATGGATTATTGAGGAAATTGGCTATTTCTTTGGGGCTTCTAGCTCCTCACATTTGTTCCATGATTCGTAGAACCCCCAGCCCGAGTCTATTTTCCTGTTTCCCCGCGTCACTAGCGCAAGCCTCGGGTCTAACGGTTTTATTCTCGCAAAGTGCGTTTGGGCTGGGCCCCGTGTAGGGCTTGCGATGGTCACAGATCCAAGTGGAGATTAATTACAGAGATAAAAGCGATCGGAGGCGGCCGTGTTTATCTATACAGGAGACTTCCCGTCAACACGCTTGTTGACTTTTTGTTTGTTTTCATCTTTGGTTGTGCCCGGGACTCCCCGGCGGTCCATGTCCAGTGACAAGTGACTGTGTTCCAGGCTCCGAGGAGGATCCCCCTCGTTGTTCCATGGTCGAAGGTATCTCCCGTGTATCATTACATCGTGATACACACAATCTCCGGTGGGGTCTAGTTCCTAAGATAACTCGAGCCCCAAGCCCCAGGGCCCATTCCCACAAGCCCTACGGAAAAGACCCGACATCACAAGTGGGGGACTCGTGGAGCCAGTTTGCGAAACAAGAGAAAAGGCGAAAGTCAAAAAAAAAAGAGAGAGAAAAAAATAACCAGCAAAAAAACAAAGGACGCCGGCGTCTCAGAGTAGACGGGACGAAAGTCAAACCCTCACTACTGGGGCAACTATGCTTTGGCCGCGTGCCCGTCCGATTTATCCACGGTGAACTCTCCTGACGATCCCTTGTCTAGAACCACCCATGGAACTCCTGTAGACGATCGGTTCGTTTCAAGTGGAGCTACGGAGCTGGTCCTTTTGGAGCCGGGTTACCAAGACACGCATTGTATTAGGTGGCCCCGATGCACAATTGTCCTCGCAATGAGTTTTATTTTAGGATATCGCTTGATGCTCTCGTAGATGGATATTGATACTTTGGGGCCAAAAGCAATAAGCATAAGGTTCCCGAAAGTCAAAGAGCCATACTCCCCGGGGCCAGGCAAGAGAGCCCGAAGTGCATCTCACATGCAATTGCAACGCTATGCGGCCCCCGCGTTACTTTGCAATCGTGCGCTTAGAGGGCCATATGGGTGCACGCCAATGGCAACGTGGACGGGATCTCGCGATCCAAACGCTCGGTATATTTAGTTACCGAAATCCTGCGGCTCGTTCCTCCCCCCTTTACCCTCAAGGGGGCTAAGATTTGCATCGGTTGCCCTGGCCCCTATTGTCATCTCTACGTAGACATGCATAGCTAGTACTAAGACATAGATTGCGATAGCTCCAGGGGCCATTTTTATCCATTTCTCTTCATCTTTCGTCATCCCACTCAGCCAGACCCAGTTTCGCCCCATCGGGAGTAACGGTCTGCCGAGGCGAGCCGTAGTCTTGTTTTTCGCCCTCCTGCAGGTACGCTACCACAGTAACTGCTGATGCATGCAGGATGCTATCTTTAACTGAGTCGTCAGCTATCAATCTGCATAGCGACAGTACATAGGATATGAGGGAGCACATGGGCTGATATTCAAGGCCCACGCGATCTGGACGTGGGCCCCAAATCGCACTAAAGGAGAGTAGTCCCTGTCAAATCCAGGCGACTGGCGCCATCGGCGACTAGTTGGAAAATCCAATCTATTCAGTCCATAGTGGTCCCGGCCAGCTGGTTAGTACTATATTTTTGGGCGATCGGGTCCATAAGGGGGACCAGGGCTCTAAGGGGTGCCGAGACTGGGTACAGCCGAATACAGTAAAAGGGGAAGACTTCACATTGCCGAGTCCATTGTCAATTTGAAGAATAGAACAATTCTTGATTACGGATGGGTACAGTAGATCCCAGGCCCATTTTTAAGCAGAAATCTCTTTTAGAATGATCTGCATGAAAAACTTTAGTAAATGAAGACAACGGGAGGGCGTATACATACCATCGGCTATTCTTGAGTATAAATAGTTCGTTCAGTAGGCGATTACCCCTTAACGACCGACATTAATGTCAGAAGTGCCCACACTGACGGGATCAACCAGGTTATCCTCGCCACGCTTCGCACTTCCAGCATCAATGATAGGACTTGCCGCCTCAACGGCACCAACACCACCAAGCGAGATACCACCACGCTTAGCTTTCTTAACATCGGCGCTGTCTCCATTGCTCAAGACATTGGCTAAAACATCGACCTGGTCGATAAGATCCTCCGAGCGGGGAAGAACAGCGTTACTGCCGCCTGTCAGGATGATAGGGACTGCGGTGACAGTCACGGCGAAGAGAGCTACAAGTCGGTATTGCATGGTGGATGTCGTGGGGCTGTGATGAGTTAGACTTGCTCAATGCATATATCTCGCTTGTCCCTACACTGTACCGCACTTACCGTGGTGGAAGCTGAAGATGTTAAGAATATCTCAAAGCTGCAATACCAAGGAGGAGTAAAAAGGATGGACAAGGGACGAGCAGCTTCAAGAAGCAGTCCTTTAGTTCGGAACCTGATGGAACCCTCCGTCACGGAACGAATACAGTTGACGTGCTCCACCCCACCGGGTCGAGTATACCGTTAAACCCAGCAGACCACTCCCCTTCCAACCAGCACACAACTGCGGTCCGGACGAGGCCAATGACATCGGAAAACCTTGAATGCCCTACCATAGGTAGGCAAAGCTAGGCTCAAGCCTTTGAGGAGAGGCTCAGTTCAACTAGTAGCAGACATCTAGAGCCTCAGCCAGGAACTCTCACTGAGTATCGCCGTGGTAACCCAATCTTGGAGAACCGTGGTGCTGGAGCTCTTGTGGAGAGCTGTCCTGGCCCGAATGAATGGAGAGTGGATTCAATGGGTTACAAAGTTCAAACTCAATCATACATCATGCCCGACTCCGTAGAAATGAGTTATCAGATGGTGACATTTGGTCGTTGTCGATCCCTAACTAATTGGGCGACAACCACAGAAATGGGGCGGATGGTGATATCATTTCGGGTTGCCGAACCGAGTACAGCGTTTCAAGCAATTAGAGGAATCACACGCCTTTGAATAGATAGGTATATAAAAGAGATCTAAATCCATGTCGTTTACTTTACATTCAATCAGGTACTGCTGGGTACATATGATATATCAACCCGTAGAATATCTACGCCACTCAACTGTGTATCCAAGTTTCCACAACCTTAAGGCGAATAAAGTTACCGCCACCGAGAAATGCTCCGCTGCAATCCGAGTCTACAGCGTTGCACTCAAGCTTCCATGGGACTTTTTCCCCCTCAAAGTCCCACTGAGAAGAGGGGCTTGGAGATTTTCACCACTGTTCCCCCCTCACTGCTGGTCTATAGTGACCACGTAGTCATCGAGCGATCGGAGACACTTTACTTCCCCAGAGTACTGAGGTTGCGGTATTTATCGGCTATTGTGACTAGAACGTGATGTGTCTAGTGTCCGTTCAGTAGGGTTATAGCGGCTGCTCGCAGGTAAGAACATGTTCGCTACAACAGATCTAGAGCGTTCCGAGTTCTCTGTCACATTCTTTCTTTTGACCTTACCTGACTACCCTGCATGTCTTGGCCACCCCTATCGACTTGGGTATTTTTGCCTACCACAGGCATATCTGTATTATGGAGGACAGGTATTACAATCGTGAGACGTTCAATAAACAACATACAAGATATCTCAGCAAACTGATTCTAAACGAGAGTACAAGATGCCTTGAGAAAATAAGAAAATAAGAAAATAAGAAAAATAAAAATAAAAAACCAACAAACCACAGATACACGACATTGGTATAAGCTCCTAGCAGCCTATGCAGCCAATAAGCATTTCAATCCGAGATGGATCTCATATGCATAGTTCCCGAGACCATCTGCAGTAAGCAAGGACGAGAAAAAGCCCGCAAGCAAGACACGCAGAAACTTGGACAGTAATGTATTACAAACCCAACAATACCGAAACATGTACATGCACGATCGGGACTGCCCCTGCGCCTGCATGCATCCTGCAGCCTATACCTCGGAATCGGGATCCAATCCCTGTGTACAGAGCACGATACCGCGTACAGGAAGAATACGGACGAGTGCGCGTCCAGTATCCCATGTACTGTATCGACGGAATTTTCAATCGCCAGGGACTTGATGGCACGCCTAAAGTTAAAAAGCACGCGACTAAACGAGAAAACACAGGGATCGGAAATTAGACCCGTCAGCTTGGGCCGGCCGGATGGATCTCGGTGCTAATTTCTTTCCTTGTACCATCTCACCATGTCATATGGCGCTCGGTCCCGTACGGTTCGTTTTTTTTTTTTTAATATGACTGGGATCCGTGGGTTGATTATGATTGCTTAACTCTCGTGTGTGGGGCTCTGATTGTTTGTAGATCGGGGATAGATCGGACGTGATTCCTTGTGCGTTTGGGAAGTGGTGGATGGTTGGTGGGGAAATTACAAGAGCCCGCGACTCTTGGGGATTGCGTAAGTTGTGGAGATCCTGGGATCGAATTCGTATTCGTAGAATATATTAAATGCCTCTCTGTATTACCGATTCATACGCGTGAGTGGAAGTGGTTCGAGTCTGGTGGACTGGACTTGTGAATGGAAGATGTACGACCTTGGAAGGTAGAAGTAGAAATATACTGCATAGAAGAATATAACAAGGTATTGAGGATAAGAACAACTAAAAGGCTAATTTACAAGAACATCTTGTTTCGCAAACTGTGTCGGGCAGCGTAAGTGACATCGTCTCTGCTCCCATCCCAGACGCCGGAAACACTTCTGCGAATAGGAAGAAAGAAAATGCTAGAAAAGTAAAAGACAGGCGCAGCTCAGTCCTCCATCTCTTCATCTTCGGTCGGCTTGGGCAAATCCACATCACCAAACAGTTCCTCGTTATCGTCGTCCGCGTCGACGGTCTGCTGTGGCGCCGGTTCTTCTTGCTCCTCCTCGTCGTCGTCATCGTCATCAGCGATGCGGCGAGAGACTCGGTCGCGGCGACGGGGTGCGGCGGTCTCTTCATCCTGCATTGGCTCGTCATCATCGCCGAAGAGATCTTGATCTCCCTGTTCTTCACCAGGAGTAGCCGGAGCGTCTTCTTGTTCATCGTCGTCCGAGTCTTCCACCCTCTCATTGCTCTTGAACTTGCTTTGGGCCTTGCTGCTTTGGGCCTTCGCACCAGAGCGGCGTTCCAACCGACGGCGCTTCTTAGGGGCGGCGTTTTCGCCCTCGCTCTCGGGCTCAGCGCCACTGTGCTCCTGATCATTCTCATCCTCGGCAGCGATGAAGTCGTCACCACCCTTCTTCTTGCGCTTCGTGGTGGGCTTCTTCTTGCGCTTGACCTTCTCGCCGGTCACCGAATCATCAGTAAGCTCGGCCTCTTCGCGAGCGCGTTCTGCTTCTGCACGCTGGAGAGCCTGTCGCTCAGCCTGTTCAACCATGCCCTGACGCTCTTCAGCAATCTTGCGCTTCCGCTCAGCCTCAATCTCCTGGGCCTTGCGGAGTGCCTCCTCGCGCTCCTTAGCTGCGGCTTCACGGGCCTCACGAGCTTGCTGAAGTTTCGCGGCGTTCTTCTCTTCGTACTCCTTCTGGCTCTGCATGGCACGGTCGAGCTGCTTGCTAATCGTGCGACCCATGTTGGCACGTTGCTCCAGAGCAGCACTGGGATAAGGCGGGTTCTTCTCCTTGGAGATGCGCTCGAAGGTCTCGATGGCCTCCTTAAGACCCTCAGCGGCCTCCTGCACATCCTGCAGGGTCTTCTGGGTAGCCTGGAGACTGTAAGCCAATGAGGCAATTTGGTTTTGCACAAAGGCCACATTGAACTGCAAGTGAAGTTGATCGGGGGAGACACCCTGTGCTCGTTGCGCGTAGTCAAGGGCAGTCTTCATAGCCATGAGGTTCATCTCCTGCTTGCCCTTCAACCACCAGACTCGACCAAGACAGGCCAGAATCTGCACGTCGCGGGAGCGGTCCTTGGACAGAGCAATTTCGTAGTTCTCAATCGACCGTGAGTACTGTCGGAGCTCGGCGTAGACATGTCCCAAATTGAGATAAACGCTGGGGTCCTTCAAGGTTTCTCGAATTTTGGACAGGATCTGCACAGCAGTGCTGTGATCCTTTTTGTCATCGACGAGAGCAATGGCGATACCTTGAGCAGCATAGGCGTTCTTAGGATCCAGCTGCAGAGCCTTGTCGAAGAACTCCACGGCACGCTGATACACCTTCCGGCGTTTCTCCTTCTCCTGCTCAGAATCACGACGCATGTCACGAGCCGAGAGAAGATGCACATTACCCATACCAGTCAAAGCGTACCGGTCGTGCTTGTCGTGGTACTGCAGAGTGTGCTTGTAATGGCGCTGCTCGTGATCCTCGGCAAGGTTGGCAACCCGCTTCTTGGATTTGCTGAGATACCAGCCGAAGAGCGCGCGGACCTCCAGGTTCGAAGACTCAACCTCGTACAGCTTAGCCATCTTCTTGGGCCCTTCGTCAGTGGGGCTCTGGCGCAAGCTGATGTATGTAAGTCGAGCGCTGGCTTCTGTGTAATCGCTGTGTCGCTCCAAAAGACCCTCGTAGACCTTCTTGGCTTCATCCCACATGTCGGCCGCCTCGTAAGTACGACCCAAATTGTAGCTGATAGTAGTAACAAGTGCATCATTGTCAGCCTTGTCTTCTCTCTCCTGTGATTGCACACAGGCGTTGAGCGCCGACTGGAACATGCCACGGGCCAATGCAATTTTCTCGTTTTGATACAAGAATGCACCCATGTTGTTGAGCAGCTGTGGGGGAAGCATGTCGCGGAGAGCATTCTTCATATCTTCGTCATCTTCAATTCCTTCCGGACGAGCACTCTCAGGAATACTGGCAATCTGGAGTTGCTCCAACTGAACAAGACACTGCATGCTCTTTTCGGGGGAGGTGCCCTCATACAGTCGAGAAAGGTAGACCAGAACCGATTCGTCGGGGGTCAAGTTTAGCTTCTCATCCTTCCACATCGATCGCACAGACTCCAAGAGGGTGATTGCACGTTTGATCTCAGTTGATTTGTCTTCTTTGCTGCCAGACTTTTGAGCAGCAAACACCTCTTCCGCATGGATCGCTGCCAAAAGTGTCATGGCCTCAACATTCTTAGACTGCTGAAGAATCTTCTCCAAGCGGAACTTAGCGCCATCAAAGTCCTTGTTTGTGACTTGCATCTGCACTGCGCCGAACTTGGCCGGAAGGTAGCCCTTATCACCACCACCGCGAGCCTGATCAGAACGGTTATAATATTCAGTGGCTCGTGTGTTATCGTTCTCATAGTGAGCTTTGCGTCCGAGGAGATACCAGCCGTCGCTGGCAATTGGCATGACATCAGTCTGCTCGATAGCCTTGCGAGCAAGAGTCTCCACCGTCGGGTATTGTTTTCGCAGAAGGAAGTAGCTGCCGAACAAAGCGCAGGTCATAGGGTATTCTTTGTCAAGCTTGAATGCTTTTTGGGTGTACTGAGTCATGGCGATCTTGTACAGGGAACCGAACATAGGGTCGGTGGTGGATCGGCGAGAGCTGTCGTATAGGTGGTACACTGCAAGCAGGATATTCGCAACCTTGGATTCGGGGTTCTATATTCGAAGCAAATTAGTTGTGAAATTCAGGCAGAGTCCAGAGGTAAACATACCAGAGCCAATGATCTTTCCCATGCCACCTTGGCTTGATCCTTGAACCCTAGCTGCCATAAGCAGCATCCCAAACCAATGCGAGGATCTGGGTCTGTGAGGTTTGGCACCTTCATGAGGACTTTCTGGTACCCATCCAGGGCTTCAGCGTATCTTCCTAGCATGTAGTGTGCCCGGGCACGTCCCAAAATGGCCATGATATTGCGGCCACCAAAGGCCTTGGATGACTCGTCGAAGCATTTGAGTGCTTGACGCAGAGCTTCCACCCTCTCGGAGGTATCAATTGCGCCAGGGCGGACAGCACGAGGCGGGTATAGTGATGCACGGAGAAGACACAAAACACCGCGAGCGAGGAACAAAGGTGGGTATGCCGGGTTCAAACGCGATGCCTCGTTCAGGGTCGATGTTGCCAACTGCAGGTAGTGGTCCTTAGTTTTTGCCTGCGAGTAGAGCTCTCCCTCCGGCGCCACACGAGGTGCCTGTCGGCTCTTGAGCATCAAAAGCCAGCAGACCCAGCCCAGGAGCCCAAGCTTTTCTTTGGTTGCTCCATGAGCCACAGAGGCCAGGCCCTTGTTGAGAATGTCGAGGGCATGGTCGAGCTGCTTTCGCTTCGCGTAGGCAAGCGCAATGATTACCCAGAAGTTCTTTGCTGCTCGTTCGTTTTCCAGCAGCGTGCATAGCTCGGTAGGGTCTTCGGGAAGATCAAGGAGGCTAACTTCGACTTCGCTGTCGAAGCTGGAGGCGGGGATATCGATGGCATCAGGAATGTCAGCAAAGCGAAGGGTATTCGAAGAGCTTGGAGGAGGCATTGTCTCCGTAGAACCATTGGTGTGGCCGTTTTCGAGGGACGCCATGGTTGCGACTGCGCGCTGACGAGCAAGAGATGCCGATGAAGTTGCGACTGGGATGAAAGAATGAAAGAAATCGAGCAAAGTCTTCAGCTCATGATCAAGCAAGATTGCCCATCTGATATATTGAGGATGTGGGCCAATTCACTGGGAGAAACGTTTGCATGAAACGCGCCAGTGAATCTCGGAGAGGCTCGCAGACCGCGGTGCTTCCAATTGAGAATTGGATGCTTGGCGTGGCTGAATCACACCGCCACGCCACTCACCTCCGCACCGCCACATTTGGAGTCTCCATCATTACCGTTGATAGGAATTGATTGTAAGAATGAATAATTTATTTATATATATATATGTATGGATATATATTATCTAGGTATTGATAGTCATGTCATGTCTTGTCCCCAAACCTATGGTCAAGCAAAAAGTCGTATTCCCCATCATTGCAACCAACTGCCCACAAACTTGCACAAAAACACCAAACCAATCAATACGGCAAAGATTTGTCCAAGCTCAATCCAATGATGCAGTCGAACATATGACTCGACATACCCAGCATCGACAGCTATTTTCTGTTCAGGTGTGGCGTTTTTGGCGTCGATCGAGCCGGCCAATTCAGACGGGAATCGACCCGTCTCCCAATATTGATCCAGCAGCTGATCTTTTTCGGTCCACCGGGCTTGCAACCATTCTTCAAATTTTGGCTGATCATCCAAAGGAATATCTGCAACAGCAAACCGTCGCCAATGCATGTTGACCGAGGTCGGCGGGCGTCCTTGCATGTATGTAGACCGGAGAGTAAAGAACTTGTCGGGGTAGACTCCATTTCTAAAGAGAATTTAGTATTATCCACATAAAGCTTGAAAGAGGAAACATACGGTGGGCCCTCATAGGCGATAGTGCTGTCATAAACCCATTCTACTGTCCCTCGGAGCTGTTGGAGACAAAAGAATAGGCCCGTTGACCGAGGCAGAATTTGATGATTAAGTGGAGACAATCCCTGTTTCTCTCCAAAGGCATCGCTTCGTCGCTTGGTATTGATGGACAAATTGGTTCCTTCGGGGAAGATCAGCAGCCACATGGGGTCATACTGGGACCCATTGGATTTGGCTCCCATATACTTTGTCTTCAATTTTTGCAGGCGGTACTCGATCCGGGCCTTGTCTGAAAGCCACTTCCGTGCCAGGAAGATGAATCCATAGAACATCATCCCCTGACCCATAATAGGGATCCACTTGAGGGAGTCCTTGAGAATAATGAAGATCCGGCCATGCATTGAATTGGTGTAGGCAAACCACCACAGGTATATCCAATCGGTGTAGATCTGGTGATTGGCAATCATCACCAGGCGCTCTGGGAAATCGGTCTGCAGCATACCATCTTCTGACAGATGAACTTGACCTCGGATACTGGCATCTCCACTCACCCGGAACAGCGTTGGGCTGCCCCATTCCGTGAGTGCAGTGATCACCAGCCCAAAGTTTTGCTTTGTGTACGCCATATACGAGTAGTACCAGCTTTTGTTGATCAGGTACAGCGGGCAACCAGCAAGTTGGGTTATGAAGATGAGGATAATACAGCTGTTAAACCATGTGGCCAGAGCCATGGATCGAAGTATTTGCATTCCAATTCCATGTTTCAAACCAGGCTCTGTGGGCGGCTTGGTGGAGTGTTTTAGAAGCTCGGTCGCTTCTTTGGTGGGAGGTTTGCGCTGGCGAGCCTCGGTTGAACTCATGACGCAATATGAGGCCCTGAATGGGCTAGCAGAAAAAATAATCTCAAGCTGGGAGACGATCGGAAGCTTGAGGCCCTCCAGGGAAGATGTTGTACGACAGTTCGCCGGTGGGGAGGGGAGGTATTTGCTTTAGTGGTCAGCGGGAGCTGGCGGGATCGGAGAGATCGACAATCAGGGCACGGGCTCGGGCTGTGTCTGCTTCCACTGTTATATACAGAGAAGGTAGGAGACAAGCCTCAAAGGAAAGAAAGGGAGTTATGTAGGAAGAGAACGAATATGTTAATTTAGGGAAATGTAGAGCATGTCAAGGTGTCCAGCTCTGTGGGGTGGTCTCGTGTACACGCATAACGTCAGAAGCCCGAGAGCGGTGGGGCCTGATCTTATTTACTGTTGCTCTCCGCTTTTCTTTCAACTTGGTGTCACAACTCCGACAAACTTTCTTTGAGCTGGACCGCTGTCCGGATATGATACTCATTACACAGTTTCCTGCATGACCGAGGCCACGGTTATCCAACCATGCAGTGCGCCCGTCGCAAAATCCCCGGCCTGTTCCTGCGTCGCTGTTTCTCTTCGTCTGCGCCGCATCACGAGATCCGCGATATTAGCGTTTTATCGCAGCGGCTGATCCCCAAATACCAAGGTGTGGCTGAGTCCGATATGTTGAAGGGGTAATGAAAGGTTAACTCTCTTTCAGAATCCCAAGGCGAACTTCTTTCTCTCCAATGGCCAGCGCCGCCACGAAACGTCTTGCTGGTGCGCAAGGATTGCGCTCCAACAGTGACAGAGTCTCTCATTGAATTTGCCAAGTATGCCAACCTATACCCAAGGCCAGTCATATAGCTCGTTTCCCTAACACGCTTTGTTCCAGTCATATCACCTCCACGTACCCGTCCACCGCTGTGATCCTCGAATCCAAGACCGCGGCTGAAGTTCATTCGTCGCTACCGTTTCCAGTCTACTCTGCATCCCTGGACGATAACCCAACCGCATTTCATAATAAGGTGGACCTTACGGTGACCCTAGGTGGAGATGGCACAATCCTCCATGCATCCTCGCTCTTTGCTACCTGCTCCAATGTTCCCCCGGTCCTGTCGTTCAGCATGGGCACACTAGGCTTCCTCAGCGAATGGAAATTCTCCGAATTTAAACGGGCCTTTCGAGAAGTTTACATGTCCGGAGCCGGGGCCGGTGATCGCACTCCAGTTCTGGAAGATAGAATTTACCCTGCAGAAAATACCAATGAGTCCACACAGGAATTAACGGGGCCGACAGGCTGGTCCTCTGTCCGAGGCAAGTCCATGGGTAGTACTCGTGGTGCCCCCATCTTGATGCGCAATCGTCTTAAGGTTGGGCTATTTACAGGCGATGGCCGAGAGACAACCCCCATTCGCGGCAAAAGCGATCAAGGGGAGGGAGTCTATGTCATGAATGAGCTGCTTATCCACCGTGGCAAGGAGCCGCATCTCGCCGTGGTGGATATCTCTGTCGGAGGTCGCTTTCTGACCGAGGCCGTGGTGGACGGCATCATCATTTCAACCCCCACGGGTAGTACAGCATACAGCCTGAGCAGCGGTGGCAGTATTGTGCATCCACTAGTGCCCTCAATTCTGCTGACGCCCATCTGTGCGCGTAGCCTCAGTTTCAGGCCTCTCGTATTGCCGCTGACCACGCCGATCACCATGCGGCTCAGCGATAAGAACCGTGGTAGGGAGTTGGAGGTCAGTCTAGACGGGGTCAATCTTGGCCAAGGAATGGCAACCGGCATGGAGGTCCGAGTGTGGAATGAGGAGATGCGACATGGTATGAATGAATGGCAAGGCGGCGTGCCCAGTGTCATGCGGAGAAGTATGGGCGACGAAGCGCACGAAGGGTGGGTTGGTGGCTTAAATGGGCTCCTTAAGTTCAACCATCCATTTGGCGAATGAGTTCCCCAAGGCACTCTGTTCTTTTTTATATTTAATTGTACTATACCCTGGGGGATATTCGATTACCCCTTTATATCAATTTTGTAACTTTTCCACATCTTTGACAGACTTTCGCCGTACACTGATCTGCCCATTTATGGTACCAAGTAGCCGCGGGCCCAGATTCACAACCGTGGATCCCATCCAGGACCATTGACGCAGTTCAATCTTTGTGATTGGTAGAGCTTTGTTTTCTGTAGATTAGCTCCATACACTCCATAGTTGGTTTATTAAATTCTTCCCCTATCCAGTAACCAAAATCCCATCTCAGGGGAGATCTGCCCCCATTCCCGCCCCAAACCACTTCGCTCCCCCTTTCATCCGTTTCCCTTCTTCTTTCCACCCCCACCATTATCATCCCACTTTTTTTTTTCTGTTCTCCCCCAACAAGACTTTGTCGGTTCATTGTCTCCGAGCCATCCTCGCAGTGCGAGGACCGCTCCTTTTTACTCACCACAGGTAAGCGAACAATCCCCGATTGGGGTTGTATCCCGACCCCCTGGAACGTGGGAAGCCAATAAGCTTCTTCCGCTCCTCCTTCAAACCCTTCGAACGCCCCTAGAATTTGTTCGTGCGACAACAGGGATGGTGTTGTGCTAACCTGTTTCTGCTCAAGCCACTAGCTTGGGGCCTCAGGAGGTCTGGTCGCGCATTCGCTTCTCCTAGCCCCGCGAACGCTGATCCCGACGTGACTCCAAACTCGGGACTGAACAATCATGGGTTCTTATGGAAAGTGAGTAGACTCAGGGAGAACAAGAATCAATGCCAACGATCCCCAACTCACATTCGAATAATTAGTGGTACCGCGTACTCGCCGGATCAGTTCATGAATCCGGGGCCGGCTCCCCGCCCCCCAACTGATCGTCCTAAGTTGACGCTTCCTACCAACAATCCAGTGGCCACCTCGTTCAGCCAGATGTCCTTGAATTCGCCGAGTACACCAGGCCCCGGCGGCAATCTATCGCTGTTCCCTAACACCAGCACTCCGTCCTTGGCCCGGAGCCAAACCGGCGGAAGCGGCGTCACCATTGTGAAAGAAGGCCTGGTGCGATGCAAGGAAGACAAGTTTCTGGCAACATGGAATCAGCGCCAGTTGATCCTGCGCGAATACAAAATCGAATTTCTGAAGACCGAGTCCGGAAAAGTTGTTCTCTCATTCCCTCTATCGACCGTCACCGCTGTTTCTCGTTCGGAGGATTCCAAGATGGCCTTTGAGATCACACGACTGGCCAATCCCAAGGATGCAAACTCCAAGACTGCTTTGATCACTCGCGACGTGCCCACTAAGACCATCACTTGTGAGGTGAAATCTGATGATGAGATCTACGAGTGGATTGACAAGATCTATGAGCGTTGCCCCGGTATGGGTGGTGTCAGTAATCCCACTAATTTCAGTCACCGCGTCCACGTTGGCTTTGACCCGCAGTCGGGTGCTTTTGTCGGCTTGCCTCCAGAGTGGGAGAAGCTGCTGACAGCCTCTGCCATTACTAAGGAGGACTACAAGAAGAATCCTCAGGCCGTGATTGAGGTCTTGGAGTTTTACTCTGATATCAAAATGCGAGAGCAGAACCCACAATATTACGGTGGAATGAATGGCTCTTCAGGTAGCCCGAACAAGATGCCTACGAGCACTTCGGTGGGCAGCGGCATTGCCCCTCCCCGACCCGCTCCACCAGGCCCCATGCAGCGCCTGGACAATGGACAGTCCATGCGTTCCGTATCTTCGCCAACATCGGATCGAAATGCGGACCAGCAACAACAATTGCAGCAGATGAAGGAAGCAGCGGACCAGGAGCGTCGCCGAGTAGAGGAAGCCCGTCGCAAGGAAGAACAACAAGAATATAATGCATCTCTTCCCAAGACACGTACTCCACTGGCCAAACAGGAGCTTGGTGGGTACGGTGGTGGTTCAGACACCCGCTACCAGCCAAGTCGCCCTGCCCCACAAGCGCCTGGCTCTGGAGCTCGCGCTCCAGCCTCCGATTCCCGTCAGCTTACCGCACAACGACCGGCCCCCGCTCCGCCATCGCAAAGTCCTTATGGTGGACAAGCTTCTTCCCGCACCCCGGGTGGCTCTCAGGACCAGGGATCGCCCTCGCGCTATGCTGCAAATGACCCTCGGGCTCAGGCTTCGTCAAGCCGGCCCCAACAGGCTCAGGGACCTCCCCCGACCCGGTTGCCGGCTCCTGTGCAGCAGGTGAAACCGCTGAACATAGCCAACAAGCAGCCAACCCCCAAGGCCGTTCCCGATAGCGTTCGGCAGGCAGAGGCTGCCTTGACCAAGAAGCCCGACACCCGACAGAAGGAGGTCCGTATGTCGGCTATGTCCGAGAATGAGGTTATGGACCGACTTCGCGCCGTGGTTTCCAAGGACAACCCGAACGAGTCCTACAGCAAGCAGCGCAAGATCGGCCAGGGTGCCTCTGGCTCCGTGTACGTGGCACGGGTCAAAGAACATTCTACATCAGCTGTGGCTCACGAGCTGTACCGACAGTACGGCCCGCGGTGCCAAGTGGCTATTAAGCAGATGGATCTGCGCAGTCAGCCCCGCAAGGAGTTGATTGTTAACGAGATTATTGTCATGAAGGACAGCCAGCATGCCAACATTGTGAACTTCCTAGATTCATTCTTGCAAGAGTCAAGCAACGAGCTCTGGGTTGTCATGGAGTTCATGGAGGGTGGTGCTTTGACCGATGTGATCGACAACAACCCAGTCATTCAAGAAAACCAGATTGCGACCATTTGCGCCGAGGTATGTTTCCCTTCGTCTTTTTTAAATGCACATATAACTAATCAACATTGCAGACTTGCAAGGGGCTGGCCCACCTGCATAGCCAGAACATCATTCACCGTGATATTAAGAGTGACAACGTTCTCCTCGACCGTGTCGGCCATGTCAAAATCACTGACTTTGGCTTCTGTGCCAAGCTCACCGAGTCCAAGAGCAAGCGTGCCACCATGGTGGGTACCCCTTACTGGATGGCACCCGAGGTCGTTAAGCAGAAGGAGTACGGTCCCAAGGTTGACTGCTGGTCTCTGGGTATCATGGCTATTGAGATGATTGAATCCGAGCCCCCTTACCTGAACGAGGAGCCCCTAAAGGCGTTGTACCTCATTGCCACCAATGGTACCCCACGCTTGAAGAAGCCCGAGAAACTGAGCAAGGAGCTCAAGGCTTTCTTGAGTGTCTGTCTCTGCGTGGACGTCCGTAGCCGTGCTACGGCCGACGAGCTTCTCGCCCACGAGTTCTTGCAGACTGGCTGCAGCCTTGCCAGCCTGGCAGAATTACTGCGCTGGAAGAAAGCCAACGGCCAGTAAGGAGTTTGAGGCAGATTGGACATTGTCTCTCAAACTTAATTACACCTCACCTCTGCACACCTACCATCGAAGTTGGGAGATCTGTTCCTGCGCACATATGAGTTCGATTTATCGCACTTCCGGTTAGATTATTCCTCTTTTTTTTTCTTTTTTTCTTGTGTGGATTTTGCCTCTTACGAACGAACCGAATACTGCATGGACATTGCCATATTCCCCCCTGCCTTGAGCTTGTCCTTGAGACCCTTTTTTTGCTGCAACACATACAGAACACTGGGCGTGGGTAATCTGGCGTTGATGAACTTTGATTGCTTTCGTCTCTGTCTCTAATGTCTCATGCACAAGATCCTTTCTCCTCCCATTTTGCCCTTTCCCCTTATTGTGCTTGCTTCCGACGACGTTCACGATTCCGTGCGCTGTGTATTTTGTGTCTCTGCACTAAAAAGCGACAACCTACTTAGTTTCAGTCTGAATTGAGGGCTTTTATCTTTCCGGCTTTATACCCGCCAAATTACAATTCAATAATCATTTATGGACATAATTCATTGAGTGATTTATGGGTGTATAAGTACCCATTAGTCTAGGCCGATCTATAGTGCATACCACCCGATTCAACGGAATTGATGTTGCAGCTAAAGTACCAGATATTTCCTTGGATATGTCGCTTATCAAGCCACTGTTCACAGGGGTGTGATGGCTTCCTATTGGGCTAGAAGATCCTCTTCAGGGAGTTTCCCTTCTTTCAAAGTGCCCCGAGGGAAACCGAGGAATTTACCAGAGCTTGGCCTTGACTCAATACACTATTGAAATTTCTTCTGCTCTCTGGTTGGAAGACCGAAGAGCAGTGCTTGATTGCCATATGAGCGGCGCTCTGGATTATCTGGATCCAAATCACGGCTTTTCTGATGTCGTTCCCATCTTCCCATCGAAGCCGTTCCTATCTACCACGATACAAAGGTGGTCTTTGAGCTGGCTCGTCCTCTGACTGATCCCTGCGCATCCCCCTACATGAATGGGCTTTTGACCAGCTAAGGTACTCGGGGTAATGGAGAGGAGAATAATCAGACATAGAAAAGACGAGACCTGGGATAGGGACCAGATATGGGAATAAGAGCCATTATAGGAGAAGGACAAGACATAGGAGGATGGTAATAACAGGGATCATCGGTTCCATCCCACTTGCTCGTGGACGATGCTTCTTATCAAACTTCCGAGAAATGCCTATCGCAGGACGAAGGACTTTATTCAGGTTATACCTACTAGTTCCCATGGTGGAACTCGTCTCTTTGGTCTGACTTCTTCCTTTGACACAGCCACCCCTGTCTTAGGTTCAGCGTCGCCAGGTTGTTGCTCATTACTTATATTGGCCTCGGTGTAGCCATCTTCCCTCGCTCTGCTTTCCCAATAGTCATCCCGAAACTGACGGCCGTTGACAATGATACGGTACCCAAACTGCAGGAAAATGGACCGGGCAGACACAAACGTGACCATCATATGCTGATCCTCAACTGGAAGGATATGTTTTTCCATCATAGTTTCTTTTTCGACTGATGAGGCGGCCATCTCGTGTAGAGACCGATATTCCATGAATAATCTTCTGCGACTATGATAGTTCAATGCCTCTGCACACTCCTCCGAGAGCATAAACAGCTTTTTGCCTCGATACGGTAAGCGGAAAGTCTGACATTTGTATTCACGGTTGTGACGCAGGTATCCCAAGAAATCGACCTTGGTCTCGCCCACAAGGTCAAACTTCGTTTGAATATATTCATCGCTCTCCTCGTTAAGATCATCTGACGTGTAATCATGGTATGTTGGAAGGACGCTTGCCAGTAATTTTGTCGGTTTATTCTTTTCTGGGGTGGATATCTTTCTTCCAGGGAGACCTGTATTGAGACCTGGATGGAGACCTGGATGGTGTGATGCCGTTGTGCGCTTTTGTGCTTCATCATCGGAGCTGACGGGATATTTTTCCTTCTTATACAACTTCCAATCATCTTCGAGATCATCTGAAATCGGAGACTGATCTTCACTCGAATCATGATTAGAGTTTTGTCCCTCTTCACAGATAGGGCTTGCCTGGCTAGTCTGCGGCGTTTCACGCGGACGTGTATCACTTTCGGTAGACATTTGTGGAAACAATTCTGGAAAAAAGCGATCGAAAGCTGCTTGACGATCGAACTTCTGTGTAGATGAAGGTACCGGAGTGCAATCCGATTCTCGGTCAAAGTCTACCGGCGAGTCCAATTCCATTTGGCTCAGTGACTTCACTGGTGAGAATGTATTGGCTTCGTCTTGCAGTTCCTTACTCATTTCATTTTCAGCTGAAGATAGGGAAAGACAGATATCGCTGTCAGCCGAGAGCCCCGGTAGTTGAGGATGATTCATCTCCTCTGAATGAGCCATGGGAACCTCAAAAGAGCAATCGAATGGTCCATCGGATTGCCGGGCAGCTTCAAGTGATCGTTTAGCTGCTAATCCCACATTCGTGGTTTCGACGGCAAGCCTGTCATTCGAGGACTCCTGTGTCCCCATTTCATCAACAGGAAGGGTAGGATTATTTGAAATCTCTAGAAAGAGGGGGTGAGAGGCTGCATCTGGCGAGGAATGTTCTGAAACTGTACGAAGGACGAATAAAGCCAGCTGTTCCAAATGCTCTCCAACGTGCTGCTCAAAAGTAACTGGTGGCTCAAAAAAATCAAGACATAAATGACATAAAGGGCATCTGAAAATATCATTCTTGCTGAGTATGGAATGTGCTTCGCACATATGACGATACCATTGCGAACGGCTCTCGTATAGCTTGAATGGAGTAATGCAATCGGATGATAAACAAGTATAAGGCATCAAGTCTTCAAAAATATGATTGGCCCAGTCCATTGGACATTTGATTGTCATAAGAGAGCCGCAGTATGGACATTCAAATGGACTGCTGTCTGTTGAGCTTTCTGGAGGGCTTGGAATGGACGCCGGCTCATAGCCTGTGAATGCATTTATAAAGTATGGCGCTTGGGGGAGCTCGGATGTAGAAGTCTCAGAGAACTGCAACTGATTCAAGCCACCACCAGCCTGAGAGCTCTCTGTCGGCGCTCTTCGAGGTAGAGTAGACTCTGAATCGACAATTTGACCACTGGGCCTTGGCTTCTGTGATCTATATTGCAGGACTGCTTTTTGCTTGGCCATGGCAGCACTGAGCCGTTGAACTGTAGACTCATCGAGATCGGGGAAAATCCGAGAAACGTGCTGCTGCGCCCATGATCCAAAGGGCGTAATATCCTCAGCGTTCACACCCAAAAGAAGATCGTGCTCGGCCGGCTTGCGAGTCTCCAAGGATAGCTGATTCAATAGACTGATAGCATTGTGTAGGGACTGATGCAACATTTGGGCATCAGTCATCAAGTCTTCATCCGATACTTCGCCAGCAAGATCCAGGAAAGCCTCATCCTCTGACGTATTTTCTTCAGGCTCGTCGAGAAAGTCAGATAGGCTTCGAACTACCCGCAGCACTCGCTGCAAGATGTTTAATATCTCGTTTCTCAGATGCGAAGCATCGCGAAGACGATAATCCAACGATGACTGGTCACGCTGAAGGGCGCCGGTATTCCCTGCCCAAATACGTAGTCGGCCAAGTTCATCCAGCCAGCGAGGTTGGGAGACATCGTTTTCATAACGCTGGACCCTCGAGGAGGCGAATTCCCCCACCTCTTTCAAGCAATCATTTAAAATGCTTGATATTGTTGTCATTTGGCAGCTTTGGAGTCTCAATTTTGATAACGCGGGACGTAAGTTGAGGAGCAGCGTTGTTTGAATGGTATGAGTTCCTTGTGTCTAGACAAAGTAGCTCCTCGTATCGAAGTGTGACGAGCTGACGGCTGACTGAGCGGGGAAACGCGGGGTTTGGTAAATATCATGGCTTTCTAATCGTTCTCTTCTCCTTTCAATTTCCGTCATTTCTGGATTCTGCTTTTCTTTCCCATGGCGACCGGAATCGAGGCTGTCGGGCTGGCCTTGGCCATTCTTCCCGTGGTCGTGAACCAAGTGGATAACTATGCCCGTGGACTGGAAAGAATAAAAGTCCTTCGTCGATACAAATGGCAACTAGAGGAATATTCCGTTGGTTTGAGTGCACAGTACGCCATCTTACTGAATACTCTGGAGCTGTCTCTCGAGGGTGTTGTGGACGATCGCAATCGAGCTGAGTTGATTAGGAACCCGAGAGGTCCAGGGTGGAGGGATGCGGCATTTGAAGACCGTCTGGCTGATAAGCTGGGCCGTGACTATATGCCATTCACAGCAACTGTGAAGGGATTGTGTGGTCTTCTGGAAGATCTATCTCATCGACTTGGATTGGACAACACGGATTATTCCACGATTGCATCAACAAAGCCTCTAGGCGCCTTGAAATTCCGCAAAATATTTTCTACTGCTATCTACGATGATCTGCTTGACAAGATCAATAAGACGAATCTGACGCTCAAGACACTCAGCGAGCAGTCTCAACACCGTGTGCAATCAGGACCAGATCCAAGACGACGAAGAATTCTGCAACGACACCGGGACCAAAGGAGACATGCAAGAGCTTTATATAAGATCATGGTTCAAGAAAGACAATGCTGGAATTGTCCTTGTCAGGATGCGCACTCAATTGGACTTCAATTGGACTCGAATCTTGAATCCACGCCAGCTTTCCACATACTGATATCACCACCAAATACCACATCCCCTTGTACGCGGCAGTGGAGCGAAGTCAAAGTGCAGGCTAGTGAGAGTAAAATCGCTCAAAGTGTGACGCATTGCATTTGCTTTAACTCACAGTCAAAGGGGAAGGTCAAGGTCAATTCAACTACATACTGCACGGATTCGCGGCACACAGCATCCCAGTCTCAGGGAACACCGGTCACCAACCTATGTTACGTCTTGAATGAACAGGACATTGATTTATTGGGATATTTGTCCAGTAAAAATGCCACATCCGATGCCAGATACACTGTTACCCGGCTCGCCAACTCCCAAGACGAAGTGTACCGGTATTCATTACGAGACACACTTCTGGTCTCATCTCCAGCGGTACAGCCAGATCAGCGTATAGAAGGAATGAGCCGCCAGGACAGCCTCCACCTCGCCACTGTTCTCGCATCCAGTGTTTTTCATTTCCACGGAACCTGGCTTCAAGAGAAATGGGGAACGCAGGATATCCTATTCATTCGCACCAAGGATGCCCTACATCCCCGGTATCAACGTCCATATCTTATTCGACGTGTGTCAAGCATACACCAGCCAGAACTGAATGACTCCACATCGCATAAAGGAAAAAGCCGACAGTGGATATCAAATGAGGTTCTCTTTCCGCTTGCCTTGGTGCTAATTGAGCTCTCCCTAGGGTCTTCCATTAGCTCACTTATCCTTCCCCAAGATGAGGGCTCATCTGAGCAAGAGGTCTTTTTCAATGCTGCTACACGCCTTCTTCATCGGAGAGTATATATGACAAGTGGGTTGGGCTATGGGGATGTGGTTAAAGAATGCCTCTATTGGTCCAGAGATGGCGGCTTCGACGATGCTCAGTTTGACGAATCGGTACTTGACATGATTGTCTCTCCTTTACTCAAGGATTTCAATTATTTTGTTGGAGCGGTAAATTGACATGCGTGAATAGCCTCCGTCCATTGAAGATGAGAGTATTGATGGGTCACCTTGTCGGGCAATCCTGTTGCTTCCTGTTGTACTAAGAAAGAATACTACAATATTCCTAGGGTTGCTCTTCAATCTAAAATACCTAGTAGGCACGAGTCATCACCACTCCAAAAATGCGCCCTTTTTGGTGATATTGAGACTGGAAAGCCGGCGAACGTTCATCAACCCAGGATCTTGACGCGAGAAGATGTAAGTCAAATTGGTAAACACATTTTTCTACTGAAACGATGGACTTCATCTTTCATGTTATGTCGTCTTTCATTCAAACCGGCTGTATAAGTAAAGAAAAATCGTACAAATAATACATCAATAGGCTGCTTAGGGCAATATATGCCCTAAGCAGAAATCTAAGAGACACCAAATACCAAGAGAAGAAAACTCCTTGAAGTATTCCCAGACAATCAACTCGTTAAGCTCCCAATTAAGGCAGTCCGTTAGCTACAAACTGCCTCAACTGACCACAGGCCTCGCTGAACAACACACCCTTCAACACACTCTCACCCTCACTAGCGGTCCAGCGTCCAGCATCAGTGAGTCGCCGTTTCCACGCGGCCTGATCCGAGCCACTCATATCCTCGTAGGAACGCAAGCGCTCGGCTTCAGTGAGCTGGTGGTGGTGTGCAGACGAGTATGTCTCGATAAGGACACTCTTTTCGGCATTTCCGTGGTCGGTACAGCGCACAATCACAGATAGAGACTGTGGAGCCTGAGTCTCCAGATCAGCTGGAGCAGCGCCTGCTTTGTGGATGCGGTCGAGGATATCCTTCAGACTTTCCAATACGTCTTCATCAACAGTGACATCTGCGTTGGGGTTTGGAAGAAAGTGGGTTTTGTCACTCTGGCTACGGGATGGAGAAAGGATGTAGTCCAAATAGGACCCTTTGCCTTGCTCTGGAGCAATGTACTCGGAGGCCCAGGATTCGCGGATCCCATCGGATAGCCACTGGGTGGCGCCGAAGTAGGGAGGGGTTGCGCCACGGATTTCCATGTAGACGAGCATTGCGAAGATGATTGCGCAGAATGATAGGATGCAAACAATGATGTAGGTGAGGAGTTCCCAGGTTTCGGAGGGGCCGGGAAGAGATAAAGTGTAGCGGGGATGGCGCGAGGAAGGTGGAAATGGAGATAGTGGGAAGGTGTGGACGACAACTGTGTTGCCCATGCTGACAGATGCGAGCTTGACTCTTTGCGGGGGCACATCTGGAGTAATGGGGTGGGAGGGAGCGATGAAGGTTGAGAAGCATAGTTTTGTCATGGAGAAAGGATGTACATCGCGAAGGGTTGTGTACGGCTTCAGGTTTTCGTAGCCACGGTTGGGACCATATTCAACCGTCCACAAGTTGATAGAGTTATCACTGCCACTCGCGGCAATGATTGTCTGTTGTTGTCCAACCGGGTTGGTGCCAAGTGCACAAACATCGAGGCCGAGGCCAATCTTCACAGTTCGAGGAAGCTTGCGGCGACGGATCACCTTCGCTTGCGCATCTTTGGTCTTTGGCAGCTTGAGGAGAACCAGCTCACTTCCGCTGCGATTCGGGGCATTCTGTAAAAGGAGAATGGCAGTGGGAGAGAGGAAGCGCACGGCACGGAACTTGGGGCGTGCAGTAGGAGCGCCACTGCTCGGCAGAGGGATAGTATAAACGCATCGAACATCTGGGGCGGCATTGGAACGAGTGGAAGACGAGATCTCACCAACCATGACATCTATTCCGTTGGTATATGCTACACGGAACTGGCCACGAGCATCGGCCGTCTGATCGGGATCAAACTCGAGACTGGCAAAGTCGACATCCTCTGCTTCCTCGTTGGCGCCGAGGCGGATACGACCAATCACATCTGACTGTGTAGGAGAGCCTGTCGCGCTGAAGAAGACAACTTCACCTGATTTTGCAAGTCCAGTTGTAATCGCACCGACTCTGGAGTCGCTGCTAATCTTGTCGCCATCAGTCTTGGGTTTCCTCCAGGGTGACAGCCTCAACACGCGTTGATAGCAATCGCCCGCATCAGCTCCGCTCTTAAAGCGGAACAGAGATGTCCGAGATAGTGATTCCGTTTTCCCAGGAATCACTTCCTCCTTGGGCTGCTCTTTATTCTCGGTCTCGTCCCCCTCCTCCCCCACCTCGATCGATGTAGAGCGAATTTTCTGCGGCGCGTGGAATCGAAATGAGCGCATGTGCTGGTTATTATTCTTCTTCTGTTCCGCAACCGAGCTGTTAATTCCAGCGAGAACAACCAGCGAATGTTCATCATCGTCAGCCTGTGGCGCGACAGCCAACGACGTCACCGAGTCCTCGTCGCGCGACAAACTCAGCTCAACAGCCTCCGTGATCTCATCCCGACGCGAGGTATCTAGCAGTGACTGGAATAAATCAGTTAGAATTTTGTCAAAACAAAATCTCACCGAGTAGCTGTGCAACTCACGATCTTGTTACCAACTCCGCTGCGGCCTTCGCCGCCTCCGCCGCCCACGAGTAGACGACCGTTGTTACGTGGGTCGAATTCGACGGAGAAGAGCGGGCAGGAGAGTGTGATTTTGGCAGAGTGGACTGTGGGCGCCATCTTCAGTTTTTGGTGTGGTCTGTTCTCTTGACGAAGGAAGAGGACAGATCTGGGATGATCGGAGGTTTCGATTCCCCGGATTCTTGGCGCGGATGGCCACATTGGGTGATGCCGGAAGCTTAAGCTCAGACTATTGTTTACTAGATATACTAAGAACTAAATGTACCAGCTTGAGTGGAAAATGACCCTGAACGGTGTATGAACAGAAGGCAAATGGTGTATATTTTTTAGACGTCTCTACTCTACTCCACTTCCTGGCCAGTGAACTCGGGCAGCCGCTTGGCCACATCAGCCCAGGTCTCGTCACCATCGGTGAGGGACTTGAGGGCAGCCAGGATCTCGTCTTCGCTAGCACGGACCTGCTTGGTGGAGTCACGGTCACGCAGAGTGAAGGTGTTGTCCTTGACGGACTGGAAGTCGACAGTGATGCCGAAGGGAGTACCAAGTTCGTCGTTGCGAGCGTAACGCTTACCGATGGAAGCGGATGAGTCGTCCACGCGGTTGGAGACACCAAGACGGCGCAACTTGGAAGTAAGACGCTGGGTCAGGGGCTTGAAGGCAGGGTTGGTGGAAAGGGGAACCAGCAACACCTTGGTAGGAGCAATAGCGGGGGGGAAGGACAGAACCTAGAAGGAGTCAGTATATGATGAGAAAAAAAATAAACAATAGGATGAAACATACACCACGAGCTTCATCACCCTCACGGGACCAGTAAACATGCTCGATCATGCTGTACATAATACGGCCGATACCAAAGGACGGCTCAATGACGTTGGGAGTGTACTCGCGGACATTGTCAACGCGGGTGCGCTTCTCAATAGTAATAAGGTCCTTCTCCAGCTCGACCTTGCCAGATCCAACACCAGCAACATCAATCTCAATCTTGCCGTCCTTCTCCAGGTCAAGGGACAGCTTCTCACGAAGTTCCTGGGACAGAGCATCAATAGCCGACTCGACGGCCTTGGCGTCCTTCTTGAAGCGTGGACCAAACTTCTTCTTCTCAAGGTCGATCTGGTACTCCTCGATGCGCAAAGGCTCAGCGCGGGTGGCACGAACCACAAGCGGGGCACCGGTCTTGTTCTTGTGCACGGTCAAATCGTAAGCACTGCGGTCAGCACAGCCAACACACTCAATCCAGCCGTAGCTAGTCTGGAGCTCAGCATCCCAGCAGTCGGCGGCGTAGTGGGCCATCTCGTTGGCCATGTGCTGACGGAAACGCAGCTTGTTGAAGTCAATACCCAGCTTGAGCAGGAAGAGCTGAATACGACCAAGGAAATAACCGAGGGTCTCGTTGTCCACCAGACCAGTCTCCACGGCGTGGCCGATGGTCATCTTGGTGGTCTTGGTGCTGCCAGACAGCTGCACGTTACGGTCAAGCAGGGACATCTCAAGGTCCTTGACCTCGACGAAGCGGGGGTGCTTCTTGCCACCCTCAGGGTCGACGTAGTGCTCAATCTCAGCCATAAGGAACTCACGCACACGCAAAAGACCGGCACGGGGAGAGATCTCGTTACGGAAGGACTTGCCAATGGAGGCAGAGGCGAAGGGCATGGACTGCTGGTTGAACTCAAGCAGCTTGGCGAAGTTCAGGAACTGACCCTGGGCAGTCTCGGGACGCAGGTAGCCGGGCATGTTGCTGCTGGGACCGATAGAGGTCTGGAACATGAGGTTGAAGGCAACGGGGGGCAGCACAGGGCCATCGGTGGTGGGGTTGCGGATATCGTACTTGGTGATGATCTTCTCAAGCTCGGGGCCATCAAAGTTATCAATCTGTGCCAGACACTCCTCGTACTCCTTGACGAGAGCATCGTCCAACTGAACAGCCTTCTTATCACCCTTGTTCTTTCTCTTCTTCTTGGCCTCCTTCTCCTCGTCGACCTCAACCTTCTGGCCACGAGCCTCCTTGTCGCCCTTGAGGCGGGCCTCGAGGACCTCCTCCACAAGGTGGTCCGCACGGAAAATCTCGCCAGTCTTGGGGTCCTTGCACATCCAGTCGGCGAACTTGTCCACGTGCCCGCTAGTCTTGAGAATTTCGTGGGGGGTGAGCATAGTGGTGTCGACCTCCAGCATATCCTCCTCCAGAACGAAGTGCTTGCGCCACAGGTCAGTCATGTTGGCGACCAGGGCGGTTCCAGGTGGGCCATAGTCGTAGAGACCCGACACACCACCGTAGATCTCGAAGGAGGGGGTGTAGAACATGCGACGGCGGAGCATTGAGTCCAGGATGCTGCGGTCGACATCCTGGCCGGTCTTGGTGGCGACGGTAGCCATCTTGGGGTTTCGTTTGGAAGACTTTGGGGGCGCGGTCTTTGATGTGAAAGTCCTGAGGAGGGACGGAGGGGAAAAAGCAGAGCGGGGGAAAAGTCGCGGCAGCAATTGAGTCATCCAATCAAGCCAGGCGCACCCTTGCCTGACTCAAACAACAAAACAATCAAAGTACAAGAATCGAACAGATGATAAGGATCAAAATGACAGGGCGCTTTCGTTTTTGACTTTTTACTTCTTTATTCAGCCCGATTTACTCCAATTGAAAAGGGATCAACAACTTTCGTGGCCGGAGCGCCTATATCCGGGGAAAAGATTTTCCGTGATAATCTATTTTCTCTGCAAAAAAAAAAAAACGTTATCGGACGGTCAAGCTCAACCACCCTGCAAATCTACAACTCAGCAAAATGGGCATGAAAGGCCGGGGTAGACCCCCTCCCAATGCGGGACTCGAAGAGTCGAAGCCTGCCAACAAGATGCGCCGTCAAATGATGCACATCAAGCGCAAGAGAGAGAAGGACTCAACGCGCCGAGCCGAGCGATATGCTTTCAAAAAGGAAGAATCTAAGAACCCCAAATTGAAGGAGGAACGTTTGAAGCGCAATGTCCCATTGACTCTCGACCGTAAGCGAGTCTGGGATGAGGCCGACAACGACGCTGAGGAGAGTGGACTGGGTCTCAGTGTCGACGTCGAACGCATCAAGCGCGCCAAAAAGGAAGAAGAGGATGAACTGAACCGACCCTTGGAGGAAGGCGAGGATGATAGCGACGCACTCGAGTCCGACAACGAATCAGTCGACAGTATGATTGCCAGCGACAGTGAAGACGAGGACGAGGATGAGGACAATGAAAAGGAGGACGCCAGCCGCGGGCGAAGCAAGTCGACACTGCCCACTGCCACCGAGCGTGCTACCAGCCCAACGGAGACAACAAAAAGCACAAACTTGAACCTTGCGCCCGAAGCGCTCGCTGCCAAATTCCCCACTCTCTTCTCGTCAGAGCCTCCTCCTACGCCTAAAGTCCTCATCACAACCTCCCTCAACTCGACTCTCCACAAGGAAGCCGAAACTCTTACCGACTTCTTCCCTAACAGTGTTTACATTCGTCGCACCGCGCACCGCTACTCCCACAAGTTCTCTATCCGCGAGATCTCCAAATTCGCCGCAAACCGGAACTTCACCACCGTGCTCGTGCTGAACGAGGACCAGAAGAAGCCTAGCGGTATGACAATGGTGCACCTGCCTGAAGGTCCTACCTTCCATTTCTCCATCAGCAACTGGATCGAGGGCAAGCGATTGCCAGGTCACGGTAAAGCCACCGAACACTGGCCCGAGCTGATTCTAAACAACTTCCGTACTCCGCTTGGTCTCCTGACCGCGCACGTGTTCCGGACTCTGTTTCCCTCACGTCCTGAATTCCAGGGTAGACAGGTCGTGACTTTGCACAACCAGCGTGATTACATTTTCGTCCGCCGTCACCGTTATGTCTTCCGTGAGAAGCGTGAAACAGAGAAGGCCGTCGTTGGGGCCGATGGCAAGGAGATTGCAGGTGTGGAGGGAATCCGTACCGGTCTGCAGGAACTTGGCCCACGTTTCACACTGAAGCTGCGTCGTGTGGATAAGGGTATCCAGCGAGCCAGTGGACAAGAGTGGGAGTGGAAGGGTGGAATGGAGAAGGTCCGCACGAAGTTCCAGCTGTGATTATCCATTTGCTTTGTTTTGCATGGGGTTCGGGGAGTATTTAAAATGGGCTTGGGCATCTTATATACTTGAATTGAATGAACATAATGTCATCAACTACTAGTTATCATCATTCATTCAGCTCCACGGTACAAGTAGTGATCTTAATAAACCTCAGTATCAAATGATGCAATGCTAAACTTTTCGCTTTAACTGGAACCAGACAACGAGGTCAACACCTGGTTGCATGCAATACACCCAAACACCAAACCCTGATACAACTCCATGTACCCGTAATCACACAACGCAAATCCAGTCTCCATGAATGTGTTATAAATCACCTCTCCCCTCTTTAAAACCCCTAACCTTAGCCATGGCCCTAGCGAAAATCTCATCCCTCCGCTGCTCAAAAGAAATTGGTTTTCTCGCCGTGACAATCCTCACTCTAGCAGTGATCTTCTCAGCAGCAAGAGCCTCCTCTTGAACCTTCTCACAAAGCTCCTTCGCAGCCTCAAGCGTATACCCCGCAAATCTGGTAAGCGGACGAAGCGCATGCGCCTCCAAGCCTTCGAGGAGTGCAATCAGGGCCATTTTCCCCAGTGTCTTGCCATGAACATCTTCCGGCCATAACCCAATCGGAAATGTTTCTTCGATGACAGTCACATTGTCGAATCCAGCTGCTAATAGTGCTTCTTTGCGGAGGTGATGAAGGTCCCGGGGACATCCTGAGATTTCGCCTGAGGCACGGAGGGCCGAGGCGTAAGTCCGTAAATTCGGCGTGTTACTACCTCCACCACTCTCATTCTCATCAATTGAGTTCGTCGTAACTGTGACAGTATCCCCCGCAGGATCTGTATCTGCAACCTCGATATATCCGCCCGGTTTCAGATGTGCAAAAGCTTGTTGGTAGATACTATGCCAGTCGCTGAAGGCACCGGAAAGACCACGGATATGGATCAGATCGAAGGGTTCATGGTAGGTCCACTGGGACTGGGCGTCCGCAAGTTGAAAGTCGACGTTCGGAAGCGAGACGTGGCCGATTCCAGAGTCGAAGATGCCTAGGTCGGAGGCGACGATGGTGGCATTTGGGTATTCGGCGCTCATTTCGATAGCCCAGTCGCCTGGGCCGGTGCCGATGTCTAGGATGCGAGGCGAGTCGTTGGTGAATGTTATCAGGGTTAGACGGCCCTCTAGGAGAATGAGGTAAATTTGATGAACGATGTTGAGGCGGCTTAGTTCTGTTTCGTCGTTGGGCATGAAGTAGTTTTCGTCGCAGTATCGGCGGCCGTTTTCCTCCACGTGGGGAAGGTTCTGGGATGAGCAGGATCGGGTTGATTTTCTATATGAATTAGCATTGGAGGGCCTTTCTCGTTATACTCATGGTCACTTACATGGATTCCTCTCCATCTGAGTCCGAGTCCGAGTCCGTCTCTGGGTCTGAGCTGCCCACTTCAATCTCTAGGGATTCTTCCCGAATATAGGAAGGGCCGGGGTCCTCCTCTGGCTGAATGGGCATGTCATCCATAACATGGCGGGATGATCCACCGGAAAATATTGCAGAGTATATGCACTCTTCAATTCAGCTGACTATCCCAAGGGAGGAAGTATACGACCCGAAAGAGGCTCAGGAAAGAGTTATCGCGAAGCCGGTCCTCACTAGGTATAATGCAGCCCACACAGTTCACAGCTCAATTGTCAAGCGAAAGAGGGGCGCAACAGCCGCCTAACATGAACACCAGAAACTTTTGACGGAATATAGTGGGGACGGACCAGCCCGATACGTCACTGCATAGCCCGTACAAAAAAAGAAAAGATGAAAAGTGATAGAGAATATAACCCGACGGACTGGAACCGCCATGAGAAGGGAGAACAGGTTAAAAGGCAAAATTGACCTAGACTCGGGCACACAAGAGCACGGGAAAGGTAAGTGATTGGAGTCAGCCGAAAGCCGGGAAATTAGAATTGGTCCTTGCCCCATAATAAAAAGTCAAAATTAGGACATTGGCATTGACGGTTTGCATGTACAGAGTTGGACAGCTAAAGTGGAGACCTTGAACCAGTGAGGTGAGGTGATATACGGGGTACTAGGTACAACGTACAGGAGTTTATGAACAGTAGAAATGACATGTTTGTCGACAGCCCGAGAGCCTGAAAGCTCACAATTTGATGTTGAAGAGTCCGGTTATACATGTGTATAGTACAGGTGGATCCATGTCCACGGTGTACACAATGGTACCACACCTCCGACCCGACACAGCGGTACTATACGACGATGACAGCTCTTCGGTCTTTGCAGGAACTGTCGAGGGAAACTAGAGTCCCTGGGGTATGCATCTATGTACTTAAGGAGTATAGGATCCCCTGTACTCCATAGCGATTATTTTCTTCATTGGTCCCAAGGACATGGGTCATGTTTGCATGAGCACATGCATTGATGAGTAGCCTTAGTATACACCGCTATACTTCCTCTGTACCGCTCATGCCGAATTCATTTGGGATATTCATTAATTTAATTTCGCTTCAAAGCCCCTGAATTGAAGAGCCAGGCATTACTAAGTAGCACAGACAATTTTTGGTCCGCGGACCCGAGTACCACCAGCGCTAGCAGTAAACAACAACAGTAGGTCGACATACGTGTGCTTACTCTACCGTGTACTTAAGCACTTTAAACCTTTGTGACATTGAAAACATTCATCTATAGCCCCACAGATCATATAAAGAACCACGCCCTCGGGATACAATCCCCAAACCCAGAAACCCAACAACCCGGATTCCATTTTTCAAAAACTTATTCCCCACCATAAACCCGACAGTCTGGTTCACGTATTCCGCCAAGCTTACCTAATCAGGTAAGGACCAGCGGCACCTCCGAGGCCAGTCACGAGACGATCTCCCGTCCCTGATCCAGACGGGCGGGTTCCATACCAAAAAAAAAAAATCAAATCAAACACATGCATCCTCCACCCGATATTCCCGTCCAATCGAATTCAGACCTGGCTTTGGACCCGGTCACGATTAATAAACATAAACAACGGACAGAAGCAATGATGCCAGCTGTTGCAGCTGCAGGACCGCCCCGCCGCCTTCTCTTCATAGCCTCAATAGGCAACCAAGGCCCTTACCGCCGAACAAGACACAGCGCAGGCCATATCCTGCTTGACGAACTCCTCCCCCGACTCCGTGCGCGATGGACCACACCTAGCGATGCGCAAACAACGCCCATCGGCGCATACTACTCAACATGGTATAGCCCGTCCTTCATGAACGAGTCAGGCCCAAAACTGGTCCGGCAGATGGTCAAGTCATTTGGACGGCAGGAGGAGATTCTTGCGCAGGGCCCTACCTTGTCGCCTTGGTTAGCTGGGTTGGTACCCTCTGGATCTGGGTCTGAGTCTGGGTCTGGACAGCCGCAATATCCAGCTACACTAGTTATTCTGCACGACGAGCTCGAGGCGCCGTTGGGCAAAGTGCGGGTTAAGCGGGGTGGGCCTGAGGCTTTCAGCTTACGGGGTCATCGGGGGCTGATTAGTGTTTGTGAGAGTCTAAGAGGGAAGGGGTTATATCCTGCGCCGAGTCAAGGTCAGAGTAAACGAGGGAAGGATGCATCCACGTCGCGGGATTTGTCTATTTTGCGAGTTGGTGTTGGGATTGGGAGACCGGAGAGTCGGGCCAAGAATGCTGTTGCCGAATATGTTTTGACGGAGATGGATGCGAAGGAGTTGGCAGCTGTACAGAGGGCTGTTGATCCTGTTGTGGAGGTTCTGGAGGAAGAGTTGTATAGGGTTGAGGTACAGAAGTCGTGATGACCTTTGTGATCTGTGATTTATGATGGATTTGTATTATATTGGTTGGATTTGATTTGGATCGAGCGTTGATACCCTTGAGCGATGCACCTGAATTGAACTCCTTGTGTCTCCGGAACAAAAAAGAAAGAGAATGGAAATGACCGATATAGCTCGGTCGATCATGTACATGACAAGGCTGGAGAAACAGAAACACCAAGAAAAAGAATTTGAACAAAGGTCACGTAGTCTTAGCGAGTGACCGTCCGAGCCTCACGAAACCACAATTATGCTAAATGTATCCCATCCTAAACAGTACCAGCAATGCTTAAATCCCGGATCTCTTGTAGCACCTCCTCAACCCGATTATCAAGATCACCACGGGCATACTGGTCTCTGGTCTCCGCATCAAGGTACTGCTGCACCTGCGCCATACGCGAGTAAGCCTCGGCACAGAAGCGCAGCTGGATCTTCACCAGAGCCTCGAAACTAGGATCCAGGTAAGGGACACGGAGGTCGATCAGTTGGGGCAGCTCGTTGAAAAGCTGCTCGTTCAGCTGCTCGTAAGCCTGCTTAGCAATTTCGGTCTCGCGCTCAGTGCGCGGCAACTTGGTAGCATCCTTGTCGGGCTTCTCAACCAGCTTCTTGACCTTGGCGCGCATAGAGTCGTAATCGATAAGCTTGTGATTGCGCTTCTTGATGCATTCGTTGACGTCGGGGAAATAGGCGCAGAAGCGGGAAATGGGGTCGAGGACGGTGGTCCTACAATTGGGTTAGCCTTGAGAAACGATACTCTTCATGCAGATCGTACCGGTATGGTCCATCCAGAGCCTTGATAGTCTCGGCATCCAAGTCCTCCACGGCTTGCTTATAGCTTCGGCTCACGCCATCCTTGGTTCCGGCATCGCCGTAGAAGGCATCGATTGTCTCCGCGATGCGCATCTGTGACGCAGTCATAGCTGCAGATCGTCATACTAGTCAGCCTTTGTTTTCGCTCGCATTAGAGTAGTACTCAGCACCCACCTCGCAACGAGTCTAAATATCCCTTTGCCTCCTTCTGCAGCCGATTCGCGGCCGCCTCCATGGTCCGGTAGCGTCTATATGACTCGTCAGATTCTACGTCCAACCCAAGAGCATATCTCCATACCGTTCTTCAATCTCATAGTCGCGGTCATTTGTTCTCTCCACATGACCTGATCATTGGAGCCTCGAATTAGTATCGCAAGTCGCAGTGGTGGTCGTCGCGATCGGGCAGCGACGCTGCGGGGTAGCATTCCGCGGACTAACCAGTCTTCATCATAACCTGCGTGGTGGCGCGGTTGACATTCTTTTTAAACCCTGAATAATAATGAATAAACTTTAGTATGGTTCTCACGGGGCGACCAAGCGTCTCTCAAACGGGAGCCTCAAGGCCGATGGGGGTTCGTGGTGTCGGAGCGCGTACCTGCCCAAGACATGATGGCAGTATCGGACTATCGTGAATGAAAGGGGGATATTCAAATTGATGACAAAAAGGGGTGTTAATATGATGACCGCACCAAAGTATCCAGCTCTGAGAGAAGAGTACTGCTGGCTGCGTTCCCGTCGTGATCGTGAAGAGCAACCAAGTCCGAAGTCTGCCTTACGAGTGTGGCGGTGCGTGGCTGGATTACGTAATGTACCCAAATGCGGCTACGTCACGATGAATATAGAATTTGCTCTGAAGACAGGGCTGAGGAGGTAAGTGTTTAATGTCTTGGCAATTAGCAGTGTGAATCGTCTATTGGATGTATTTTATAAAACGTAGGATACACCGCATGAACCGAACTTAGTGTACAGTAAGGCTGAAGGATTACAGCGCTTCTGCATTGCCATATCCGCCGGCGCCGAGGAGGAAATGCAGATGCCTAAAGACTGTTGAGATGCGCCAAGACAATAGTCGAAACGAACATTCAAGTCGCATTTTCAAGTGAAAACGTGGTATTGGGGCAGACAATTCAGATACTCAAGGTGCTGGGGGCGCATTATTGCATCAGCTCTGATAAGGCTGTCGATCACTTAGAATAGATTGGGGTCGGGGCGGAAATTGAAGGCTGAAAGGTTTCCCTGCTCAAGTATAAACTCCGGTAAACAAGAAACTTGGAGGGTATCATACAGTCCGTATAGATACAGGCCGAGTACAACCGGATGTAGACTGTTCCATCGTAAGATTCAAGTGGCTGTGGACCTGACATGGGCCCTGGTGCCACTTCTGTAACCTGATGTCATCAACCTAAGACACGAACGCCCACTCCAGGCCGCCTGATTTGTACGAGGTCATACGGCGGACTGATTTCTAAGCAATTGTGTAGTAAAGAAGGTTTGTAGTATTTCATGAATTCCACATTGGGGTTTGCTATGTACAGGTCCATCTGGTATAGGGCGTGTTGACAACAAAGACATCCTCATAGCTTCGGTTGGGATCGCGTAGGAATCTTCCAACAGTTGAGCCGATCATCATAAAAATACAAGTCCAGAAAAGAGTGAGACAGAAACACAGGGAGAGAGAACCCCAAAAAAAAAAAAATCACAAAACGCCGTCATCTCGATATCTGTTATATCATGCCGACTCGAGAGGTATAAGGGAAAAAGAAAGTCATGACTCTTCGTTGCATTTGACGTGAAAAACATGACGTCCATAAACAGAAAAAAAAAAAAGCTAATCAACGAACTTGCTGAAAAGGATATATCAATGCGCCGGATCAAGTGACCGAAAGAACAAAAAGGGCCTCCTGTCTATGAGGAGCATTCAAAAGGACGAAGACCGCCTTTTCCTTGGAAGGGTCTAAAACACAAAAGAAAGAACCACCCTGAGATGCTCGTATAAGGGAAGGGTTACATAAATCAACAAAGCCCCCTTTTTCCCCAAAAAGAATCAAAGGTTTGCGAACCTCTTAGAACCCTTCCTCGCCTGCCTTGCACAGTTTGATCTGCCGAACCCACTCGGACTTGAGAACCTGAGAGGCATTGATACGGCGAGAAGGATTCGGGTCCAAAATGGAGTAGATCACGTTGCGGCAACGGGCCTGCAGAGAGCTTGTTAGGAGGATGATCCAACTAGAAATCATATTATAAGGCTTACCCGATGCAGCGTCTCAATGGGCGCATAACCATCTTCGTGCTTGCGTCCCTCCAAGTACCGCTGGTAGAATTCATCTTCCTCCTTGCGAGCCACACGCCAAAGATGACGTCCCGTGCGCATGGCCATGTAGATTACTCCGGTAGCCCACAGATCGACTGCGCGAGGATCAAACTCCTTTTCGACGTATTCCTCAGGCGCGATGTAGGGAGCAGATCCACAGAGACCAGCGGTCATGTGGGCTTCCTTTTCCCAGGCCATACGGAAACATTCGCCGTTGCCAAAATCAGTGATCTTAAGTGCACCGTGTGTAGTCAGGAGCAGGTTTTCGGGCTTGAGATCACGGTGGGCAACGCCCATCTCGTGCATATACTCAACACCGCGCATCAGCTGCTTGAAGAAGCAGTCAGCTTCGGCCACTTCGAGCTTTCCAGCCGAAAGGACCAGTGTGTAGAGGTCGCCACCGGCACAGAATTCCATCACCTCACAGTAATCGCCCTTGGCGTCTTGTAGAAGGTCGAGGGTGTGGATGACATTTGGATGCCGGAGGGACGAAGAGATACAGAATTCCGATGTGAGTCTCTTCTGGTATTTTTTGGCGGTTTCCTGGGGCCGACGGCGGAACTCCTTGACAGCATACAGCTGCTCACACTTGGAATCCTGCGGGTCAACCTTGTGCGAGATCCGGACAATACCGAAGGCGCCGCGGCCAACGATCTCCTGGCATTTCCCGTATTTGTCTACCAGGGATGCCGTGGCATTGGGGCCACCCTTCTTGTCGAGGGCCAGCTTGTCCCGCTCGGTTTTAAACTGGTCGATCCAAGTCGACATGAGAGAGAGCTGCTGCTCATCAACCTGGTGATCATCTCCACCCTTCTTGCGTCCACCACCTAGCATGTCCCGGAGCAGGTCGGTCAATTTTTCCTGTCGTCGGGCACTCCGGAGGTGATGGGAGTGGTTACCGAGAGCTTCAGAGAGGATCTCGAAACGCTTATGCGGGGGAACGCCATCTTTCTGTTCCTTGCCGCTGGTCGTCTTCTTCTTCTTTTCCTCAATGGGTTCATTTCTGAGAGACGGTTGGCGAGAAGGAGTACGTGAGGGAGGTCTGGAGTTGGCTGGGGTCGTCGGTTTTGAGGTTGGTTTTTCTTTGGTACTGGGTGGTGGCTGGACGCTGTCCAAGCTGCTGTCGGATAGATCACGATGGGCATCGTGTTTGTCTTGAAGAGTGGGTGTTTGTTTGCCCGTCGTGGAAAACATGCGAGAAATACGAGAAGACATTTTTGGCTTCTGAGGTTTCGGGGCAGGGGATGCCGGTGGAGGGAGGGCTTCCCCGTTCGCCGCGGACAGATGCATGCCCGCTAGAGGGCGTGTTACCGAAGGTTCTCCATCCCGGGGGTCATGTGAATGTTGAGAGTTCGCGGTAGAGGAGACTGCAGACGGAACAGGTGAGGGAGGAACTGGAGTCATGTGCGATGAATTTTTGGGGGGAAGGCGAAAGAGAGGTTGTAGATGTCGAGGTTATAAGAATCACGTCGTCCCCGGAGAGGATGTGGGAGACGAGCGGAGCTCGCAACGCGGCCTAGCTGCGCAAAAGTGCAAGCTCTGACTGAATTTATCAAGTCGGTTCCTTTTCAGAAGGCAGAAGGGAGAGAGAGCAATCGAAACAGGCGTCGGTGGGCGGCGGGAAAAAAAGCGGTAGCTGGCCTGGAAGTGCGGCCTGAGGCAGGGAAGTGACGCCAGTTAACCAGTTCACGTTTGGGAAACGCGAGAGATGATATAAGTAAAACTCAGAGAATGGCACTGGAGCCAGAACCAGCCCTATGGAGGGTAGGTGTCACATATAAGAGATTGAACAGAGAAATAAAAGAAAGAGAAAGAAAAAAAGAAAAAAAGTGGCAGAGACGTGGGTTAAAATTGGCGATGCTACGGGAGGGAGCACATTGAAATACCACGGGGAAACGGTTTCTGTGTATATGAATTGTAACGATTTACGGGGTTGGAATTTCCACTTTTTTCATTTTCGCGGGATTATTAAGGCTGATTCTAGCAGAGTCCTACATGAAAAATCTCTGGTGGACGCAACCGTGGTAATTACCGCGTAATTTAATTACCATGTCAGCCTTAACTAAGCACTTTCCCAATGATTCTTTCCTTCCCATATTAAATAAATTAGGGCTTTCGAATAAGAGTAATCCTGAAGTGTTCATCCTTCTAGGAGATTCCCTTACAGATCCCCAAATGGTGCGGTAGCATCATGCAATACCCCAAGTACATTCCTGGTACCGAGTACCACAAGTGGCGCATGCCCTCCTGCCCTAGTGGTGTGGATTCAGGTCCTCAGTACTTGAGAGATTTTATTTTCCTTCCGCCTTCCGGCTTCCTACAGGGAACCGGCTGATCCAAGGATCCGACACTGGGTCTGCTTCCGTGTTCGCAGCTAAGAAAGATTAAGCAATTCGCCAGGCCCGAAATTACCAAGCCGATCCGCTCCGATGACGTTCCCCCCTGATTAGCCACGAAAAAGAAACCACGTAACCTCCCCGGTTTTTCCATATTTCTGACGTCGAAGTAGAGTAAATAAATGAGGGGGTTGAACAAGCTCGGCTATCCTAGGCTTCCTCGAATCCAGTAGCTTTCTCATCGTAAAGTTGAGGCGAGTGAGGCTGTGCAGCTCCTGTGCATAATGAGCATCCTCAACGATGATTCGATCGTGGCCCCGCACCAGCAACAAGAGCCGATGCGCTGGGTGTGTGTTGTGGCGCTAGCATGGCCACTTGTTACTTTTTATTGGGTTTGAGGGGTACAGGTCCGATGGCGAAGTAATTATGTTTTTGGTTCCGAAAGTCATTAGCCATTACCCCACGGGACAATGCACCGTCTAAGCGCCTTTCCCCATGATCGATTACACCACGAAGGGATTGTAGGTGGACGATGAAAGCTAGACGATACGCCCGGGCTAGCACAGATGTACTCCGTCCAAGGCAAGTACATAATGCGTCTCAAGTTTGCACTCACACAGCACAAAGCAGTATTGGTTCCTACAAGAGAAATGATATCCAGTAGAATTAAGCCAAGACTTCCCCTCAGGGAAATGGGGGACCAATCTCATTTTTGTACATTTCCACTGATCATCTATGGATCACCGATGGCTTTCCAACATCTTCACCCCGCGAATCATCCGAATCCTCTTCAAACAATGGTCGCCCGCTTTCCCTCACACATTGCCGGCAGATCGCTACGTGACGGGGTCAAAACTATGCACATCTCCTCATCGGGTTACTCACAGGAAGGTCCGCGTGGGGTCCCTGTGCGATGGAGTCATCAAGACGAAGTGTAAGCTAGCTTGGGCGCCCCCTCTATCTCGTAGCGTCATCCGGGTTGGATGACGGCATCTAGGGTCGGGAGTCCACAAGAGTGTACGTGCAAAGCCGTCCAACGAGGGGAGAGAAACAGAAAGTAAAACACGAAAAAAAGAAAGCAGATGTAGGAGCAAAGACCGTGTGAGTGATAAATTGGAGCCTATCAGGACAGCACGAGTATGCGATCGAGCTTGATTTGTGAGGAGCTTCACCGTCTATTTACCTATAAAGAAACCAGTAATACAGTATTGTCGAGTGGGGTTGCGGGTAAAGCAGTCTCAGGTCAAGTGGTTGTCCACCAAATTCCAAGATTCGTGACCTTTCCAAAAGGTTGACCTACATGGCAAAGGATTACGGATAGAAGGATACGAGAGTTGCGCATCGAAGTTTTAGTTTTAACCAAACCTCGGTCTTCTATAACCGAATATGCACATGCGACAGAGAACTGTACATACTCTCTCTCTCCACTGGCCGGCATACTACGAGGCATTTTCGTCTCTCCAATCAGCTGCCTCAGGAGGGGCTATATCCGCCTTTTCATCTCCTGTATTTCTCTTTATGGTAAATAGCCCCGTACATATTATTGTCACCTTCTTCTTCCGACCTTTATTGTGCACGTTATAGAGCCAGTATAGAAAATCATTACACCGAATAGATGGGATCGATATGTGTGCTATATGTTAGACCTTCACCGGATCGACTGTGTATATCGAGTCTATGTCACAATCCCAGATCACCTCGACCCCATTTTCAATTTCGATCATAGAATTCGCACACGACAGCCCCTCATAACCCCACTATCCACAAGCGCGGATGACACGCCGTAGCTCCGGGTTCAAACCCCAAGCCAAAGCTTTTTCCACCGGACCACGCCAAACAATGCTGACCGCCAGTTTAGACAGACAAAACTAAATAAAGACAAAATTAGAAAAAAAAAAGTCAGCCAAAAAAAAGCCAAAAGACTGAGGGGCCTTAGCTTGGATCCGGTGTCTGATACATGAAGGAATTACCTAAATTTTGAAATTAGTGCCCTAATAACGCATAGCACTAGCAGAGAAAGGACGCGAAACCAGGCCAACATGTATAGGTAATTATGATTATCAATCCGGTAGGACAAAGGTAACATGCAGGTCGGGATTGTCCGTGGGCTGAATTGAATGCGAAGAGCAAGCTTTAGATAACTTGAGCTCAGCTCGGCCTGCATGCATGTGCAGAAGCTCCGAGCCGTACTTGTTATTGCTTTTTCTGTACTTAAATTTTTAGTTTTTAATTTGTTGGGTTTTTTTTCCATTTTGCCCTACGTTGTATTACCCAAGATAGTCTCTGCGGAATAGGATCCGGTTATTGGAAGGTTTAATGGCGCACGCATGTACATGTAATATCAGAGGTAATACAGCCATAATCATAGGATGCGCATGCATTAATCTAGCCACCTATAATAATAAGGAGGACTAATCTTGGCCTAGACCGTTTTCTCTGCTCTATCATCTTTGGGTATTGAGATCCCAGCGTCTACTGCATACCGCCGAATCTCGATTCCCGAGTCTCTTTGTTTCACACCGAACATGTGTTTCTACCAAGGGCTCTGATAGCCGTCAATCCGTGCATGGGCCATGGGCCGGATTTCAAGGAGCCTGCTTTATCTTTTGCTTGGCAACATGGGCAATTGAGACATTGGACCGCCGTGATTGGCTAGCCCTGACACTACGGTTTTTTACGTTGTGCAGCTAGACATTGGTAACTCTCGGGAGTGCGGGAGGAGAAAAAGGTTCAAACTGCTTTAAGCTAAACCCACCTAGAATTTACCGAGTTGCTGGGATAATTATAGATTTGGTCGTTGACCATTAACGGCTCCGGGTATTCTGATGCATTGTTGTCATTAACAATGATAATGGTGTCAATCGAACCGAGTAGACTTCCGATTTATCCCGCCCTGTCTGGGATTGTCTTCCTCCATGATCATAAAACGCGAGCTATAGCCATTCGCAGGCTTGCGCGGGGTGACTATCGCTGATCCAGCCATCGGCCGTTGGCGCGTGCGCGCCACGTGGGGAGCCAGGCGCACTGAGTGGCAGCCACGACGACGGGAAGGAAAAAGGTGGTATGGGGCTCTTATTGCTGGGTATGCCGTCCTTGCAGATACCTATGAAACCACAATGATCCCTTCATGAGATTGCGGTGTGCGTTGTCTGTTGTTCGGCTCCGAATCCTCCAGAAAAAAAAGGCATCGGTGGGGGACCGTCATATAGTAAGGCTGGCCCAACTTGGAACCCATGGTGCAACATCGGTCCCTCAGTGTCTAGACTGGCAGCATGGAACTGCCGGGGCTGAGAATCGCTTGATCACGCCAGAACCCGAGTCTGCTAGCAGATCAGAAAACAAGTCAACAACACAAGGGCAGGATGGAATTTATGATGCGATGCAACATACCACAAATTGTTCTAATGATTCCTCAAATAGCTCATTATTGACGCCTACGCCGCCAGGGTGCTCGACCGGAGACAACGGATTCTTAACCACTATTTCAGATTCAAGTCAGAGAGGTTGTGCGACACAGTTGAGGTTCGCCGGGTCTTACGAACCGTATTCGACAAACAGATTGATGTAGATCTGCTGCAGGGCGATGCGCATGCTGGGACTTTTGAGGTCCGTCAACATGACAAACTTGATGTTGGTCGGAGTTTCGTAGTAGTGCAGCTTGTACTGGTTGGTGGTGTAGGAGATGAAGCTATTGCACTCGCCATTAGCGTTCGGGGTTCGGAAGTCCGCAATCGCAATGCTGAGGTTGTTCCATACTTGTCATCTTCGCCTCCTAGCTTGCGTACCATGTTCCGCAGCGAGAAAACGGTACCGAAGACCAATTTCGCATCATCATCGCTTGCTCGCACTGTCTGACCAAGCCCTGTTGGTCCACCCTGGGGCTGAGGCTTGCCCGCGATGGATGTCGGGCGCGGAAGCCAACGACGTTTGTAGATACATTCCGCTAAACGGTATCAGTGAGTTAGCCCAAAGATGGCTATTCGTCAGGGCCACATGGCACTTACCATGGCGGTCAAAGATGTAGAAGGAATAGACAGTCATGGCGGCTTCAGCATGGGGAAAGATAGCACTGGGGGCCAAAGGTTGTTGATGTTCAGGGGACCAGGGCGGTGAAGCTTAACCAGACACTTATCGATAACGAGGTAACGACGCTGCCTATTTCAGGGAAGGCGTGAGAGACCTGGAGGTCTGTTCTAGTCTAGTGTCACCTAAGTTAGGGCTTGTACACTCTCTAGATAGCTCTTTCTTTGATATTGCTGGTTAAAATTAAAGCTTTATCGTAAGGCTGACTGCACTGCATCACGCGTTATCTCAACCCCCGCTCTCTCTCCCCTCTTCTACCCCACATCTTTTCGCCGTTTGCTTCTCCCTCCATTTTGTCAAAACATCTTCCGCAATGGACGATTGTCCTGAGACTCCCTATGAGATCTCCGCGGAGCCTGGTGTGGACTCACCAGGCGTTGAGTCGGGAGACCCACCGCCACCCCCAACACGAGTCGAGTAAGCTCCAAAGACAGAAAAAAAAAAGCCATTGTCCCTTAGTTTGGGATAGAAGACTGACCCATGTTGCCATTTAATTCAGTTCTGCTGCATCTTACGAGAGCCTTGATCGGCATCGGCGACGAAACCCCCGAACAAGGCGTCCAGTGAAGGTTGGTGTTACGGGTTCTTGAAGCGTGACAGATTCGGCGAGACTGACCGTGTTACGGTTAGGAAACGCTGGACGCTCGCTCCCAATATACGACAAGCCAGGATGACGGCACAGCTGAACACCATATCAATCAATACCTTATCAAGCAAGAAATTGGACGAGGATCCTTTGGCGCGGTCCATTTGGCGGCTGACCAGTATGGAAATGAATATGTACGCACTCTGCGATCGCAACTCGTTGAGAAGCCGGATGAAAGCCAATTTATACCAGAATGAGTGCTGATAATATGCGCAAAGGCAGTGAAAGAGTTTTCCAAATCCCGACTTAGGAAACGTGCACAATCGCATATGCTGCGACGACCACGAGGGCCACGGCGACATGGCACCGGTCTGAATCTACCCAATTCGCCATTGCACCGCAATCCGTCTGAAGACGACAACGAGAATGCGAAAAACCCGCTTTATCTGATTAAGGAGGAGATTGCGATCATGAAGAAGTTGAATCACAACAACTTGGTATCGCTGATTGAAGTGTTGGACGATCCGACCGAAGACTCTCTCTATATGGTCATGGAAATGTGCAAGAAGGGCGTTGTGATGAAAGTTGGCTTGGAGGAACGGTGTGACCCATATGACGACGAGCTCTGTCGATGCTGGTTCCGCGATTTAATTTTGGGAATTGAATATTTGCACGCGCAGGGCATTGTGCACCGCGACATCAAACCGGACAATTGTCTAGTTACCAGTGACGACGTGCTCAAGGTGGTCGATTTTGGTGTTTCGGAAATGTTTGCAAAGGACTCGGACATGTACACGGCCAAGTCTGCTGGCTCTCCTGCGTTTCTGCCACCTGAGTTATGCGTGGTGAAGCACGGCGATGTCTCGGGAAAGGCAACGGATATCTGGTCTATGGGCGTGACTCTTTATTGTCTGAGATACGGGAAGTTGCCTTTCGAGAAAGCAAGCATTTTTGAACTGTATGAGAGCATCAGAAGCGACCCGGTGATATGCGAGGATGAGTCGGACGAGCGTTTCACGGACTTGATGAACCGTCTCTTAGAGAAGGACCCATCAAAGCGAATTGACATGCCTGGTTTGCGGGTGAGTGCCACGATCTGGTTTTTGGATTATTCTCACATATCTGCAGGAACACCCCTGGGTAACAATGAATGGAGTCGACCCTCTTCTGTCCGAAGAAGAAAATACAGCTCATAATGTTGAGCCGCCAACCGAGGAGGAAATGAATGCCGCCATCACTAAAAGTATAGGACATGTCATGACACTGGTATGTTTCTTCGGTCCAATCTGGTGTGATGTTTCCTAATCAAGCCTGTAGATGAAAGCTGTCAAGAACTTCAAGCGTTTGGTTGATCCAAACAAAGCCGCCCCTGCTATGCAAAGTATTCTTGGTGGAGATCATGAAGCCCACTTTGTCGAGCCACCTATGGAAATGGATCCGGATGACGAGTTTCCGGCCGTCGGACTGGATGAAAGTGTTTCATCTGGCCACGGGTCAGGAGGTCTCCGGAAGGTTCTAGGGCGACACCCTATACTTGCTGGGCCAGATCGTCGAGACAACTCATGGACAAGCGATTCAGCGAGCTCGTCTCGACCATGTCATAGCCCTGTTGGTAGCAAACGACCCAGTGGGGTCTTTGAGCCAGAACGGAGAGATTCCGGGTCAATACGCAGTGGTAGGTCCCCGGCTGGTTTCGGACATGAGGCAAGGCAATCACAGTCGGGATCCCCACTGCCAGCATCCCGAGCCAGCTCCGCGACTACCAAACGGAGTGTTGAAGGCACTCGGGGTCATGCGCGGGATCCCTTGGAGGAGGAGTTCCCTTATCTTCACATTGGGCCATCCACATACACGGGTTCTTCACAGGAACCCACTGATCTCAACATTGGAAGTGATCCGGCACCTCTTGTTGCTGAGCCAGATAGCATGGGGGATGATCTGGAGGCAGACTCGGTCGGTCCCGTGCATATTGTCAGCGAATCACCCGGAGCAGCTGAGTTCGATATTTACGACACGGCTTATCGACAGGAACTCGAGCGGATCAATGCCAACTCGAGTCACACTAGCCCCGGTGTCGGTCCGAGGGTATACCTGACACGACGCATCGAGAACAAAGATGAGGTGATGAACTTTGCCAAAGAAAAGGCGATTGACTTGCAGACTGGGACCAGAAAGTTTTTCACCTCGCCAGCAGCCAAGGGCCCGTCCTCAACGTTCAGTGCAGCTGTGAGCTTGCTTCGGAACCAGATAGAGCAGAAGAAAGAAGCGGATAGCAAGGAGACTCCACCGCCAGAAGAGCAAGAACAGCTGGCTGAGGCTCTTGCTGAGGCTGCAGCTGAGGCTCCGGCTGAGCGACGGGGATCCAATACACCTTCATCATCGATCCTGTCGCAATCCAATCCAGATCCCGAAGCGTCGTCGTTTGAGGCGACGGGAGTGCCTGTCCCAGAACCTCCCACTGGAGAAGACTCCCGAGCTCAGTTGCGACGACTTCTTGGTCGAGCTCGTGGGAAAATGGGGGAATAGTTTGTACCCAATAGAGATATGGGGGATGTACAGCACACCACCGCTTGTGAACATATTTTTCTTGCCCCTCCTTTCTTCGCTTCGGTTCCCTGTATTTCCGCTTTTCATGTAAACTGGTGCATTTGCATATTTACCCCTCAATCTGGTCTAGCGGCATCCCCTAAGCCTGAGCTTTTTGAAATATCTCCATCAAATCAACTCGCGTGCATTCCGAATGAAGATGCATCAACAAAAGTGCTCGGCAAGAAACATGAAAATCCCAACAATTTTGGCATATTCCCATTGGCCTCGAGTACCTGATGAGTATAAAGGACCTGTCAACTGGTCATTCGCGTGCATAACGCGCTTTCCAGGCTATTGGATGTTGAGGTTGGTAAGGTTACACATATGCAGCCAGTTCTGGTTTGATTTTACTTTCATTCATTCCTTTTATTTTTCCCCTTGCTCCTGAGATTCCAGAGATCCCTGGGATCGACACTGTTGAACTATTTGGCCGATGTTCTAGTGTAATCTATTTTGTTGCATACTATACCCCGATATCGGAAATATATATATCAACAAAGCACAGTACAGTACATCGTTACACAACACGTACACATAGACGAAGGGATATCATCGGGATCATCCCTGATTCTGATGAAAGAGCTAAAAGCTCACTGTACATTATGTATCACATCTTACATGCACCATAAACACGTATCAAGAAGAAGGAGATTTGCCTTGACAGTATAAGAGATATATGAATCTGATCCGAACTCAACAAATCAAGTCCTCAAAAAGTCAGTCATAAGAATCTCATCATAGATCCCAGAAAAAAAAAAAAAAGAAAGGGATCAGCAGAACAGTAGTGCCGATCATCAGTCAGCAAGAAAGGAATGAAATAAAACCCATTAAATAATACAGGACACAGCAGATCCGTAGTTGAATGCAAGTCCAAACAAGAAGAGAACGAAAGCAGTCAAGAAAAAATTGGAAGGGCTCAAAAGCAAAGAGCCGCCGTCGCCATGCAAGACATTCGTTAGTTGGGGTGCATGTCACATTACGCTAGACTGGGCACAGAAGAGAAGAATCAAACCGAAGCCAGAAGCATCAAAGAAGAAGGGATTGGTAAGAAAGCTTCAGGTTAGAAGCATAAACACAAAGAAAACGATGCAGCTGGATCTGCATCACATAACACTCGTTTCGTTCATAGAAAGCTGCAGATGAAGGGGAGGCGAAATCTTCGAGCGTGGATCATGGACACGTCATTGTTGAAGTTGAAGATCAGGGATTGGCGTGGAACTAGGATTCAGAATTGGATTGAAAGAGTGTCGTTGGAGACGGGTTTACATCGGAGTAAACAGGCCGAGTCTCGGCGTCTCTGAAGAGCAAACGCTAACGCTAGCAGACACAGAACGCAAAAACAAACGCAGACGCAGACGGAAATGTCAACGCAAAGCAACAGCGTTACAGGAACGCTTTCTATTGTTCATGGATTCATGGAATCGTTGCTGGGGAGGGTCAAGTCAATGGAACGAGGGTGTATGTTTCAGAAGGATTGTCGACGCAGGAATCGTGAACATCGCATCAATGGGTGGCAAGTGAAGTCAAAGTCAAAGTCAAATCAAGTCCCAGTTGCGGTTGTTGCAGGTTATTCATATCACCAGGGAGGCTATCGAGGGTTCTCGCCAGGGGTAGAACTTGCCCGTGAGTCATAAGGTCCCTGTCCTTTTGGAGTTGGATCTCCTCGACTGGTCACCGAGTCCCGTCGACTACTATCAGGCGAGAAGCGCTCCGGGACCCCATATGTCCCAGGATTACTCGCAAAGCGGGGAATAGCATCCGGCGGCCCTAGTTGCAACGCATGTGGGGAGGGAAGAGGGTGACCCAGTTCTTGGGGGCGGGGCAATTGGGGCAATTCTCGACCCATGGTGCGCGTCGGGACGTCCCGGCGTTCGTCGGGGCCCGGTAAACCTGGCGCAGGGGCAATTGGACGACCAGCCGAAGGATCATACGGAATAGTCACACCCCCCGGATTCGGGCCATGGGTCTGAGAAAGACCGGGATGTGCGTAGGGTGCGAGTGGGACAGGGCTATTAGGAGACGGCGGGATCTTGAGTCTGCCGGAGCCGGATCGTCTCGGGGGAGGATAAGTCTCCCCGCGAGCTTCGGCGGCGGCTTTACGGCGTTCTGTTTCGAGTTTGCTGGGGCGGCCTCGTTTGCGCGGAGGCTCGCCGGGGACTCCTTCTAGTCGTGGCGAGAGCTGGGCCGAGGTTCCACTTTCACTGCTATACGAGGCGACGCTGGCGGGTGGCCCTGGTGGTCTTGGTTGAATGGCGCGCGGTTTATTGTCGTACATCGGTCTTTTGCGCAGGTTGGGATCTATGGGTGCTGATGCCCTACCCTCTGGACGAGGTATCTGGACTGGGGCGGGCCCGGGTGTCGCAACTGGTGGATACGAACGGAAATGGGCTTGCATGGTATCATAGGCCATTCTGCATGAACTCATGGTGCGACCTGGGTGCCATTGGAGGAATTAGAGATGCGTTGTTACTGTCATTGATTGCCGGGGGAGGTGAGATACCTGGCGGAAGAGGGATATGATCCCAATTGGGTGAAATGCGATTCTCATTGATCATGCGAACCAGATAACTGGATGGGATACCGGCCTTTTTGAGGATCTCGGTGAGTAGGAAATACTAAGGCATTGGGTCAGTCAATCCTGTTCTTGTCGGTATTTCATGTAGTTCATACCTTCTCCTCCTCGGTCCATGGCCTATCGGATGGATTCGACATATCCAGACCATGGAAGCGGGACACTGACTTCCTTGACCCCGGATATGATGGTATAGAAGGAAGCACAACGCAATATAACCAAATATAACGATATATGTATATAAAATAAAAACACACGATCACCTCCCCACGATTTCAATCGGAGCGAATGGCGGGTCCAGTAGAGCGAAAAAAAAAAAAATAACCAGCACGGTGGTAACTTTTTAGCAACCCGAGAGAAATTAGAAAAGAAATCCCCCCCAAAGAAAGAAAAGCAGAAAGGCGAATTCTTATGTGGCCATCCTTCCCCGTCGAGAAAAAAGGAGTGACAGAAAAGAAAGGCTTTTCAGCCAGTGGAAAAGAGGAAGTCGAAGCAAAACAAAACGCGGTCCATTCAATCCCCGGCTCGAATTGGTCGACACGGACTTGAGCCGGGATCGCGCAGGAACAACGCGTTGGACCGGGAAAGCTGCAGGGACTGGGGGAAAGGAAAACAAGAGGAAAAGTGCCTGCGGACAAGTTTCATATCTTCTGGAAGACTTCGAAACTAAAATTACCACTAACTCCCGGCTCAAACATTGGTAGGTTCGGGAAGAGGGGCCAAAGAGCAAAAGTACCTGTAAGTCAGAGGGGCAACCCCTATTACATACATCCTGTTTCCTGGATCTGTATGGATACATGGCAGTTCCAGAGCCAAGGTACCATCGCGGGAAGCAAGTGCTTTTTTCCGGTTCCAAACCGTGCGTTTATTCCGGTGCATTGGGTCAATGGATTGTGTTTGAAGCTAAGGCCAGTCATGGTTAGACTCGATCCACTCACCGTACGGAGGATTCATGCTCCAAGGGCACAGTGCCAGGGCCCGTTCCTGTGTGTGTACGGTACCGTACAATGGTTCGGATCTATAGTTCGCAGCTCCCGGATCACCAGGATGCGGTCTGCAGTAATCTTCATCGACCAGCACTCCGTATATGTACTCCGTACGCGTACTGAGTTTCCGCACAGACACCGTTTGCCTGCAGCATTGTCAACGGTTCCTCTCGTCCAATCGATTCCCGCCCAGACTACAATTCCTTTGACCATGTCCATCTGCCATCCCTATCCACTCATTGTCACGCAAGTGGTCCCCTGTACTTCTTCGCTGGCGGTGTGGCTTGATCGCTAGACTTATCTATGAAACAAGAGGCCTGGGGTCAACTTGTCACGTCAAATCATTCAAAATCCTGCCATCATTCATCGAGAGCTTCGTGCTATGATCCACTGCAACGGATGTTCGGGGTTCATTTGCTTTCTCTAATCGATACCCGACGATCCTAGCGAGCCATGGCGATCTCAATTAACGTACGTGGGATAGAAAACACAAATTCACTTACCGCAATCTCAGCCTCTCCACAATCTCATGACCTCATCCTTTTCGATTTTCGATCGTCAATCTCTCATCCCCATCTCTGACGTTGCAAGGCAAAAAGAAAGACAAAGGATTCCAACGTGAACTCGGTTGTTAACATTACGCGTGGGCGGTGAGCGCGCGCGACACGGAATAGCGCCTGTGGTTTCGTTAGGATAATATCACCAGTCAATTTGAAACTTTTTTCCTCTCCTTCAACTGTCAATTTTCTTCCTTCTCGATCTCTCTTTCCACGTAGTCCGTGTCAGTCATGTCTGCCCATGGCACGGACTCCCATGACTTGAAGGCAGCTATGGATTCACCCAACGGCTTCGACGCCTTGAAAAATGGCCGGTCCGCGCGCACGTCCCGGTCGCCTTTACCGCGCCAGACCTCGACTCCGACAACTCACTCTGTGAAGGACGACCCCGATAGGCCTTCCGAATCTGATCCCATGGAGGAAAAAGTCGGTGGCGACATCGTCGTCAAGCAGGAGCCCGGTCAGCCCCCGAAGCTGTCTCGGAGTTCGTCACAGAAGATTGTGTCAAGGCCACCGCAGCTGTTCTCGCATTTGCCTGACAGCACCGACGATGCGAAGGCGACATTTACGCAGATTGAGGAGTGCTGGTATGCGAACAAATATATGGGCATCACCGAACATGCTATGGAGTGCGAATGTGCAGAGGAGTGGGGTAAGTCTCTCTATTGCGTTTGGTTCTTTACGGGAGTTCCTATTCCCCCTGGATCGTGAAGTGAGAGCGGAGTAAGAGGGAAAAGGGGGGGGGGGGGGGCTCACATTGCCATGTACCATCAATTTCTGGGGTTCCGTGTCACTGACGACCATTGGAATAGATCCCGAATCTGGTCGAAACCTGGCATGCGGTGATGATTCCGATTGCATTAACCGATGGACGAAGATGGAGTGCCTGGGCGACTGTGGTTGTGGCGCCGACTGTCAGAACCAGCGGTTTCAGAAGAAACAGTATGCGCCGGTATCGGTCATTAAAACAGAAAAAAAGGGATTTGGACTACGAGCCGAAGTGAATCTGGAGCCGAACCAGTTGATCTACGAATATGTGGGCGAGGTGGTAGGTGAGGCCCAATTTCGGAAACGGATGCGGGATTACGATGAGCAGGGCATCAAGCACTTCTATTTCATGTCGCTGAACAAGGGCGAGTTCGTGGATGCGACCAAACGGGGAAACCTGGGCCGATTCTGCAATCACTCGTGCAATCCCAATTGCTACGTCGATAAATGGGTGGTCGGAGAGAAATTGCGCATGGGCATTTTCGCGGAGCGCGCGGTACAGGCGGGTGAGGAGCTGGTCTTCAACTACAATGTGGACCGATATGGGGCCGATCCGCAGCCCTGCTATTGTGGCGAGGCGAACTGCACAGGGTTCATCGGTGGTCGGACCCAGACGGAGCGCGCGACTAAGTTATCGAATGCCACGATTGAGGCCCTCGGTATCGACGATTCGGACGGCTGGGATACTGTGGTAGCCCGGCGTCCGAAGAAGAAGAAGACCGAGGAGGACGACGAGGAATATGTGGACAGTGTGCAACCGAAGTCTCTGGATGAGGAAGGTGTGACTAAGGTCATGGCGGCATTGATGCAATGCCAGGAGAAGTGGATTGCCGTCAAGCTGCTCGGTCGTATACAGCGCTGTGAGGATGAACGGGTGCGGAACCGGGTCGTGAAAATGCACGGTTACCAAATCCTCAAGTCACAGCTTTCCATGTGGAAAGAAGATCACAACGTGACGCGGCAGATCTTGGAGATCCTGGATACGTTCCCCCGGCTTACCCGGAATAAGATCATCGACTCCAAGATCGAGGACACCATTCGATCGCTTACAGATTGCGCAGACGAGCAAGTGGCCCAGAAGGCGACGGCGTTGTTGGCGAGCTGGGCCAACCTGACGGTTGGGTATCGCATTCCGCGTATGAAACGGGGCGAGCAAGCCAAGCAAGCTGTGAACCAATTCGAGCGCCGCGAGTCTGGTCGAGAGCAGCAGCGCCCACGATCTGCGAGCCGTTCTCCATCGCCCGAGGCACACAAACCAAATCAACCGAAGAATCGACGGGAGTCTCATAATCGGCAGCCTCGACCCAATCGACGCAATCGTCAGCAGCAACAGCAGCCTTTGCCCGATGGATGGTATACTGCCAAGGACGACCAAGGCCGCGTGTATTACTACTCTGCCTCCCAAGAAGTGACATGGGATCGACCGACTGCCCCTGCATCTGGTCCCTCGGTGAACAAGACCAATTCAATCTTGCAGAATATCATCGACGGGATTATGAACACTCAGGAGACAACCCCTTCCGAACAGAAGAGTGTTACCCCGGGCACACCTCAGCCTTCATCCGACCGACCAGAGAAGAAAAAGCGGGAAGAGGGCTGGTGGAAGAAGATGGATATTCACAAACAGAAGAAGCTTTATGAGAACACGGTATGTCTATCAGATGGTCTAAATACACGCATGCTAACGGGATTACAGCTCCACCCCTATATCAAAGCCGTGGTCGATCAATACAAGCATAAGATTCCGAAAGAGCACCTGAAGCGGTTCGCCAAAGAGGTATGTCCATCCATGTCCTAAGACACCGTTCAGCTCCTAACTTTTCAACAGACAGCCAAAAAGCTCGTCGACAGCGACTATAAGCGGAACAAGGTCTCGGATCCGACCAAGATCAGCGAAAAGCACCAACAGACTGTTACATCGTTCTGCACCTCCTTCTTCGACAAAGCGGCGCAAAAGCACAAGGAGCGCGAGAAGCGCAAGTCCAGAGTCGCCCCAACCAATGGTACGCCCGCAGATGAAGATGCAAAGATGTCCGATGACGAGCCGGAGCCTTCTGCTGGCACGGGCACGGCTACATCGCCAATGGACGACGATGCATCTTTATCTCTGAAACGCAAGCGTCATGATCGTATAGATCAAGATCCAAACCATCTCACCCCGGGCCAGGATGGAAGTACATCCCCGGCCAAGCGACAAAAGTCCACTCCTCCTCTTCCCCCGTCACCTCCCACCAGAGATTCCGTTGACTCCAAGGAGAATGAGAATGACAATGGTCCCACCCCACCACCCCCCACCCCCTCCACCCAAAGACTCCCCAGGAAATGGACATGGGTATGAGAATGGTTACGAAGACCCAGATGTGGAGATGAAAGAGATGCCGCCTTCACAGATTGAAGTGTAATGCATAGTTCTAATCAAATCCAAGTCAGCGAGGGAAGAGAATGCAAGCCTTACAAAAGTAATTGTGCGGGGAATACAAGGCAGAGGAGGGCATAGCTGGACAAGATTGATATCGATTTGACTTTCAATTTTCAATCCTTATCTAGTTATGTCCTCGGTATTCACTTCTTGATTGTGTTTTTTTTCATCAATTTTTTTTTCTCATGCTCGACTTTGTCGATGCTTTTTGTATTTTGCAAATCAATACCCCGATCATAGTTGCAATCAAGGAGTTGGACTTTCTGCTATCCTATATTGCCTGATATACAGCAAATGCGTTAAATTGTACTTGTTCTGCATAGACAGAGAGCATGGAATGCACTATCTGCCAACTTCCTCAGGTATCAGATATCTACACATCTACAGCAGGTAACGATAGTCGTAATTACCAGACACTTCAAAAGAAAAAAAAATTATCGGTTCATTCAATGCAGATCAGATCCATTCGTCGAAAAGGTAAAAGAAAAAAAGAGTCTAGTAGAAACTCTCAACAATAGACTCCTTATTAGGACCCTGTCCGGAACCACCAGGAGCCATCTCGCCCAATCTGAAGACGGATTCAATAACACTCAGCTCAGTAGCGGTAGTATCCAATCCAGTAACAGCGAGCCAGTCATTCACGACCATACCGGCACCGACCACGGGAGAACCACGGTTAACGGAACCGGCGACGAGAGGAACCTGCAGGAGAGAGGAGAGCTCGTCTTGGTCGCGGATTGAGGTCTTAGGGTGGACGATACCACCTTGGTTGGAGAGGGCCATGTATGAACCTGTCAGGACGTTGTCGGCAACTGTTTGGCGGAAGACTTCTACGCCAAGGACGTCGGCGATACTATTTTTTGTAAGTGGATTTCCTTAGAAGGCATTTTGAAGTATTGAGTGTGCTTACATCTCCTCTGTCTCACGCTCCAAATCGGGGTGCACGATTGCGACGTGGTCGTTGCAGCAGATAACGTTGCCCAGTGCGGACAATCGCTCTTCTATGCGCTGGATCTTCACCGCGTCTGGGAGGGTGTTGCGCAAGTGCTGCAGTTCCTGGTCTGTGGTGGTGGTAGGGACGAGGAGACCTTTGCGGTTACTATTTTTGTATTAGTACTTCATATACCGCAACCATATCATATTGATCATCAGTGAGGGATGTTCACATACCCAACTGTTAACCGACCAACGATGCGGGTACCGGCGATGGTAGCGTGGCAGATAGGAATGACATCCTGGAGTTCGGACTCGAAAACACTATAGAGGGATTAGTTAGTATATGCGAGAAATTTCGGTTTCACCAGACTAGATCCATTACACACCTGTAGAAGTTCTCGGAGGCACCGACAGCGACGATAGCGTAGGAATTGGTCAAACGAGCGAAGACACCGACCCTATATGATATGTTAGACCATGTATAATTTTTACTAAATTTTTTTTTCTTCTTTTTTTTGCGAAATTTGCGACGGCCGAGATAAGGATCCGGATCTTCATGCAAAGCGCGGTCCTGCATTCTCTTCCATTCTTGAAAGACACCAAGAACCATAATCGCATCACATCGCATCTCACGAGCATATAGGAACACTCACTCGTTCGAGTTCTCAAATTGCGCGCGAACAGCCATATTGGAGGATTGTCGTAAGACGAGGGTATCACAGGAAAGAATTTTGCGGGAGGACCGGAGTAAACGAGACGCCTAGGTTATGAAGTCCTAGGAGTAAATGTGTCTGTTGATTAAGGTGTGTCGTAGCAGAAAACCAGAATAGCACTGGAATGGTGAGGTCGAGCAGAGAGCAGATCTTAAATGTCGAAGTGGGATGAAGATGAAAAAGAGCAAAAGCTTGGGCCAATCAGAATGCAAGGTTTGCTTTGCCCCGCTGGTGGAGTCGTTGGACCTCAGGGTTAGTCACTGGTACTCGAGTTTGCTCGTATTACACTAGAAAACTCAGGTATCTGGTACTTCTGCCTTGGATTGACTCATCTTGTCTCATGTTGACGGGGAAGATGACTCGATAAGATGGGGCTTGACTAGTACCATTCTGGATGTCCAGCGTGTACAAGGCCTGGATTCTGTCTAGTCTTATCTGCGCCACCTGTGAAAAGAGACTTTGCACTATTACCCAGGTGGATGGATTCATACGATGAAAGCATTTACTCAACTCAGGACTAGTATGGTAGGATTAGATTCTTTAACTGAATCCTGCAAACAAAAGGCTCGATCAGAGCCCAGGGGTAATAGACGCCAGGGGAAATCAACACCGACGCTGAAAAGCAGGTAAAACGCAGTAGAGTACATCCGGGGAAATCATGGGCAAAAAGCAGGCAAAGGGATTCGATCCGGAATTGTGAGAGGGAAACCGGCTCGTATGAATTGAGAATGTACTCAATGGGGACTGTGATCATGATTGGAGCACGGAAGTATTCTCCGCTCTTGGAATCATGCTTGGGGAATTCTTTTTTGGTGGGCCGAATGTCATAATTCGGGCGTGGCTGAGCCACTGAGAACGGTGATGGTACATTGGGAGTTCGTATGAGATGTGATTAGAGAAGCGCCGTCATTCCTTCATCTTTAATATCGGCGAGGAGGTGGTGGCCCATGTCCATGTGGAGGAGGCCCATGCCCATGAGGCGATGGAAAATACAGCGAAGGCGGTCCAGGAGGGCCAGGGGGGCCGGGAGGGCCTTGAGGAGGTCCATGTGAGTGAGGACCTGGAGGAGGCCCATGGGAGTGAGGGCCGGGGGGAGACAAGTAAGCTGGAAGCGGCAGACGCGCAAAGTTGGAACCCGGAGGTGGTGGGAGTTGAGGAGGTCCATTCATAGACGAAAAGGGATCAGGAAGACCCAGTTGGCCTCGTGCGGGAAGTAGGCGACGGGGCTGCTGGGTTGGAGTTGGACGAGGCAGAATGAATGACCGAGGATCAGTCGGGCCGTGGCTCATGCTCGGCGGGGGAGGGGCCGCCTGCGATGGCTGGGACAAGAGAGGTCGATGAGAGGGTGGCATATTAGGATCTGTTCGCATCTGAGGCAATTGGGTTGGCATCGGCTCGGCGAGAGCGATATCAGCTAACGCGCACAGAGCTCGAGGGACAGGCTCAGCTGCTCCATCAACGGAGTTGATTCTGCTGCCGGTGCCTTGCTCGCCGACGGTCTTGGTTGCCTCCAGGAGAATTTGCATGGACTGGTCGACCATGCTTTGGGTCTCGGCATCATTGCCAGAGCTCAATGCTCGAATCTGTGGGTTGACATCGACACCCATGCGGACTTGAATCATAAAGTCTTCCCAAGTCTCCATGCCGCGGTAGTAAGCACCGGCGCCTTCTGGTGTTCGCGCATGGTCAGAGAAGAAACCACGTTGGACCTCCTTGATGCCAGGCTTGCCGATCCGGAAAAGATATTGCGGCTCTTCGGCATCAGGATCAGATCCATCGGTTTCAGTGTGCTCATCATCTTCGGCGACACGTTGGCCTGCAACCAATTCAATGAACTTGCCTCGAGCGACGTAGTACAGTTCATCCTGTATATTTGTGATTTGTTCCTAGTTGCACGTTAGAGCCATATCAAAATGGTCGGGGGGAGGGTCAGGGGAATTACCTTTGTGCGATGTTCAACAGCATGGATCTCACCCTGATAAACTCTCTCCAAAGCCTTCACATTCAGATCATAATCTGCCTTCAAGCGTTTCATGGCCTTGCGCTCAAACTCTGCAAGTTCCATCTGCACCTGGGGCCATTCGGGGCAATCTTTGTGGGCGTTTTTATCCTTGGCAATTTTCTGCATAGAATGGTCGGCGAGGACAGCCAAGGCCAATTGCTGAACGTGTCCCACTTTCTTGAAAATAAGAGACAGTTCCTCTTGGCGATCCTTGAGAGGCTGAGTGAGGGGAATGGGCGAAGGAGATCGTCGTCGACTCTCACTATCCCAAATTTCATCTTCAATTCTCTTTCCGCCTCGTCGAACTGTAGTCGTAGTTGCACGGACACGTCCTCCACGACTTCCGCGGCCTCCTCGGCCTGCACGACCTGCACGTGCTGCCGTCGAGCGAACGGGCCCAATGGCACCACCACGACTACCTCGACCACGGCCTCGACCGCGACCCCGTCCCCGAAACCCGCCGCGACCACGGCCGCCCCGTTTGGCAGGTGCAGCGACCTCGGGTTCAACGTCAGGATCGGCCATGACCGCATCTTCCGGAGTGGTCTCCAGGGATGCCGTTTGAATGCCATTCTGGAGAGTGCTCTCAGGTGTGGCTTCGGCCTCTTCCAACTTGGGCTTCTTCGGGATTGGATCTGGAGATTGCGTCTCATCTTTCATTTCAATTGACTTGCGCTTGCGTGACAGGCGGGGTGAAGTGTATGCCTTGATTACATCGGGGATTTCAGGAGTAGCCTCCTCTGGGGTTGTTTTTGTCGATGCAGACTGTTCCGGCTCATCTTCCGTCTGATGAGGGTCATCAATTTCCTGGTGATTGGATGCATCAAGGATTTCAGGCGTTTGAGAGGCTTTGGTGAGCTCATACTCGCCATTCTGGAAGTCGTCATGTTCAATTGCTTCCATCTCCTTGCTGGGAGTGGGTTGTTCGGGGTCATCCTCGGGTTCCTTCAGTCGAGATGACTGACGAGCTGTTAGGCGAGCTGAGCGAGTCTCTCTGGATGATTCAGGGACAGCCAGGGCCCGCTTGGAGCGTCGACGCGGAGTCGTCGGAGTTTTACCATTCATACTTGACAGAGCCATGGAGGGCTCATGATCTTCTGGTGAAACATCGCTCGGGAATTCAGCGAGCCTGTCACCAGGAACCCTCAATTTGACGATCAGTGAAGAGACGGGGGATTCTTCCCGCGTCACTACAGGTGCAGGGAGACCACCGCGAGCATAGCGATTAGCCCAGCGACCTCTTCCGCGTCCACCCCCACGCCCGCGGGGAGTGGGCGTTGAGATAGAGACTGGTGGGAGTCAGAAAAAGAAACATGCAGCCATTTGGAATGCATATCCGGGATTTGATCATTTACCTGATGCACGACGCGTAGACAAGGATCGCGTAGCCAGACTGGGAGTATGTGCCGGGCCGACACCTCTTTTTCCTCTTCTGCCCACCATCCTGAGGTCTTTTGAATGGAGGCGTTAGCGTTGGCTACAGTGGGTGGAACCAAGGGAGGAAGAGCCTCACGCAGGTAGACCCAGTCTAACCGCGATCAGCAATACAATAGAGAAAGATATTGTGGGGCAGAACGAAGACCAAGAGAGAGAAAAAAAAGAGAACGGAAAGAAAAGAAAAACGGGAATATGAGGGTAAGGGTCTGGATGGAGAAGAGAACAAGAGGAAAGGAAGAAAATGGGAGAGAAGATTGGAAGAGAAAAAGTAAAAACCGGCGTTATAACCGCGACGAAAGGGAAGATTCACAATGGGGAAGGGGAAGGGGAATTCATCTCCGAACATTCACTAGAAGAATCGAAAACCGAAAATAGGAATAGTGAAGATGGGGAATACCACGCGATGCGTCTGATGTAGACGTTGAGTGGTTCTGCTGCTTAGACAGGGGGCGGAAAAAACAAGATTACGTAGAACGCGCTGAGCTGGGGGGGAAGCAAGATGAAGCAAAAAAACGCATTTATGGGGAATGGCAAATGGAGCAGAATCACCGATACTTCCATCCGAAAGGAAAACCAAGAACTTACCAAGAGCGATGAGATGGGGGAAGGGGAGAAAAAGAAAGGCGTAAGGATCTACTCGGAGCGCAGGATTTGACGGGGCCAGGTGGCGCGCGAATGAGGACGCAAGGGTGGGAATCAAGTACAGTATGAACCTCCAACACCCGTGAAAGAAGCACTCAAGGTCCAACGATCTCTCCGTTCCAGGCAAAGAGAAAGAGGAAAAGATGGAAAGAAGGAAATTACGTTCGGTGCTTTTTCCCGCGCGTCTACAGTGCACGAGACTCCTCGGACTAATCATTAATCATTAACCCAATGATGATCTAAGATTGGGATTCCTCTGTCATGCTATATTCGATAGCTTATTACATTCTACCTTATTTCTACCGAGTCCTATCCCTTGGTGAAAAGAAAAAAAAATAACGGCTTTGCTGCTCTTCTCTGGGTTGACCCACTTGAGGTTTTGGCAAGACGAACGCGGCCGTGGATGCCCGAACCAGTACCACGCCTGGAAACACCGCTATACTCGGCCTTGCGGTGGAGGACTGGATGGAAAAAACAACTAGGAAAGGTTGACAAATACTGAGGTTCAATCAAAGCTTATATTAAAAGACATAACTCCAGTTCATTATCATCGCGCAAATCCATTTGTACAAGACCAGCCATATCAAACAACATTACCTCCTTTTCAAAAAATGACAGGGACAAAAGGGAGGGTCAAACAGAGAGGAAGAAAAAAAAAAGAAATAAAAAAAACAAGTAAGGGAATCAGTTCTCGTAGGGAGATTCATTTAGGTCATATCTCTTCTCATATTGCGTGATACTGCGCCGGACATGGCCGGCATCAATGAAAGGCAACAACCCGGAATCGGGTTCCTTTCGCGCCTGAGCCATTTCGTCTTCACTGAGAAATGGCGATGGACTTTGGCGCGAGTCCCGGAGAGATCGGGCGGATCGCATCCGAGTCAGCGTCTGGTGTGTGATGATCTGGCCCGCAGACGGGGACGCCTTGACCCTCGTCCCCGGAGTTGGCATGGGTGAGGGGCAAGGACTTGTGGATCGAAAGAGAGGGTGTATATTTTGTTCTTGAATAGTAAGTGTCTCCATGGACCCCGTCGGGGAGTCTAGATGGAATGTGGAGGCGGTTGGGGAAGGCTGAACTAGGGTGTCCAGCGAGTGTTGCCGGGAGATATCGTCGCGAAGACTGGGCATACTGCGGATGCTTCCACTGCCTCGGAGCAAAGGCCGGTTTTTATCTTCTTGAAATTGGGTTTGTTCGTTGGGAGAGTGCAATGTAGATGCGGTGGAGGTGGTGTCGATAGAGCTATTTTTTGGCTTGAATAGATCTAGGCTGAGCCCAGAGTTCCGGTTGTTACGCCGAGGAAACCGGCGAAGAGACCCTCTTCGGGTATCAAATCGATTCATCTCAGGATACGGGTCCGAGACTTGGGCAGGAGGCGTGACCGAAGTAGGGGTGTCAGGTAGGGCCTTAAGCTCTTGTGACAGGTTATAGGAGTGCGGCCAAGCAGTGTCGGGTTTTTGTTGGAAGCAGATTACAAGAAGATATCCACAGTAAGACCCTTGCGCAAAGACTGAGAGTCCCCAGAAGATTGATCGAGCAATCCATAGCGAGGGCTGGTTGTGATTCGCGGCCATAGTTCCCGCAGTTGACCCGGCTGCAATGATCAGGTATGCAACCGCGAGGAAGAACACACCGATCTTCCAACGAGGCCATTGATGATTGTGACGAATGTCTTTATGCACGAGGAAGGTGAGCATAATCAATGCCACACAGCTCGCAACACTCAAAATGAGAGGAGCCAGCCCAGTGGCCCGCGTGGAAGAAGACAAGGATTGGATTGCCCCGTAAGCGAGGGCATTTAAAATGATAAGAATAAAGACAGACAGCATAGAAGCTCCTCCTAGGGAGTAAAATAGCATATTGGAAGACATCGTGCTATAGGAAGACAGTAAAGAATGATCCCAGATGCACTTCAGCGAGCATGGGCAGGTCTGAGCATCCACGGGGAAGAACGCCAGAAGGTGAGTCTTGAGAATCAAAATCATATGCAGGGGGAACAGCGCATACTTATGAACATGGGAGTTCGCGTGGATTGGAAATGAACGGGCCGGGGCGAAGCACACGGCGTGGCCGCACAGTGTATCGAGCATACAATATGCAGGTTGGGGTGAACATGTCAAATTTTGCAATATAGATCGGATCTGATCCATCAACCCGGCAAAGTGGTTAGAGTCTGCGGGGGACGGGATAAGCAAGCACAAGAGCAAGGCCCAGGCTCATTTACCTGTGGTCCATGATGAAATAGAGTAAAAGTCTACGGCTCAATTTCAGTTCATGTACAAATGATCTGTCGAGTGGAGTCCATTGCATGAACTTGCGGTCTGGGACCAAAGGAATCAATACTCTATTTTCTAATACGGGGCTCTAATATGCAGGTCTACTTGCATATTTCAAATTCCAGGTACCGGCAGTTGAATGCAATTATACATGCTACACTGCATCCTAATACCCACCCAGGTCTTTATGGCGTGCGGCGTGCTGTTATCGACGCCCATTTCCGGGGTACAATGGCGAAACGGGTTCAGGCCGGAGAAAGGTACTGATGATACTATCAGTCCAGCCGCTAGCTTGGAAACTATCTATATGATTCATCCAGTAGGATAACCGAAACTCAAAGTAGCGGATCAAGTAGTCCGATCTCCGGCTTAAATGTGATATATCAATCCGCAATGGGAATATCTGCCGTATTCCCCTGAACCCTTCCCCCTCTGGTTGGATCGTTGTTTCTTGCAGTGGCTCGATTCCGAACAAATGGCCAGGGATCGAGAAAGCTGGCCAGGTTCCTGGGACCTGTATCCCCATTTTTCGCAGATTGACGTATTATTCGTGCCAATCGGAGCTCCCCATATTCCCTTGCAGAGCTCTAAGAAGATCAGCACCTATAATTTGTCATGCCAATCGGTAAGCTTTTCAACTGTGGATGCGTTGATTCCTCATAAAGGTCTTCGATTGCCGACGTTGACATGGGTACCTGGTTGATGCTCTCTTATCGCATGCTAGCAATGGCGTGCAAATTAATGATGATGATCGACTGTTGATTTCTGGTCTAGAGCGCTACAAGCGAGAGATATACCGATATCTCATATGAATGTTGACTCTTGGCCAGTAAGGTCCTCTTGCTTACACCAATGAAGGTCCCCACGGGATGATTCCATGGCCATGGGGGAATCGTGCAGCCTCGGATCTTTTTGTCAATCGCGATGACAAATGAAATTTTCGTACGTCACTTCAGAGTATTGCAGTATGATTCATTATCAAGATCGAATCAAAAACATCGTTATTCAAGATTTCGATCGGGACTGACGTGTGGTTTCCAAGTTGTAGAAATGGAAATCGCCGAGGGTTGCCCGAGTGGGGCGGTGAGCCTGGGGCTTCTTTTGCTTGCCATCATCGTTCGTCTACTCTGTATTCGACTTCTACCAGGACATTCATTGGGACCACATCTCGTATACCTCCATATCCGTCATTCTTGACTCTGTGGAATTCCATCTCCCTCCCTCCTTCTCTCTTCCCCCATTCGATCCTCAAGTTGTGCCAAAATGAAGCTTACTTTCAAGGTTCGTCGAATACACCCATTCCTCTTTATCTGGCGATAAAACGCTAACTGCATATTTTTCACCGGTATAGGATCTGAAGCAAGAGAAGTTCGTCATCGAGGCCGAGCCCTCCGAGACTGTATGTGATGCTCTTAACACGACAAGCTACCCAACGCCACCCAGTGCGGGGCTAATGCTGTATTCCAGGTTCGCCAAGTCAAGGAAAAAATCGCCCAGGTGAAGAGCGGCTACGATGCAGACCGCACGAAAGTGATCTATTCTGGTATGTCATTCTTGCTCGCGGTTATCGATTTGATGGACCTGGCCCGCAGCTCTAACCATCTTCATCTGTACAGGAAAGATTCTGCAGGATGACAAGACAGTGGAGTCTTACAACATCCAAGAAAAGGACTTCCTAGTTTGCCTGCCTTCCAAGGTATGAAGGATAATATCTTTGCACTAGAATGATACATCGCTGACATCTTCTCAAGCAACCCAAGGCCGCGCCCTCTGCCTCTGCGGCCCCTTCCACACCCGCTGCCCGAGCTCCTGCTGCCACCCCCGCTGCTCCTCCTGCTCCTGCCCCGGCTGCTGCCTCCGCTCCCGCCGTCCCCGCGACTCCGTCACCCGCTGACCGTGGTACTCAACCTGCTGGTCGAGATGCTGCCTTCAACGACCCTTCCACGCTAGCGATGGGATCCGCCGCTGAGGGTGCCGTGTCCCAGATGGAGGCTATGGGATTCGCAAGAAGCGATATCGAACGTGCTATGCGCGCTGCATTTTACAACCCTGACCGTGCTATTGAATACCTGTTGACTGTAAGTTGAATACGCGGGTAAGAGGAATGAATTTCAAGGTCTAATCGCTTCTGGTAGGGCATTCCCGAACATGTGCAGCAGGAACAGCAACAACGGCAACAAGAGCAGCAGGAGCCTGCTGCTCCCGTTCCTTCCATTCCTGCCGCCCCCCGCCCCTCTGGTGGTGAGGAGCCCGTGAACTTATTCGAGGCGGCTGCCCAGGCCGGTGATGGCAGTGGTACCCGTGGTGCTCGTGGTGCTCGTACTGGCGGTACTCCCGCCGCTGATAGCAACGATCCCCTTGCCAACTTGGACTTCCTCCGCAGCAACCCCCACTTCCAGCAGCTTCGCCAGCTCGTGCAGCAGCAGCCCCACATGCTCGAGCCCATTCTGCAACAGGTTGCCGCTGGCAACCCCCAGATTGCCCAGATCATCGGACAGAACTCCGAGCAGTTCCTGCAGTTGCTGAGTGAGGACTTTGATGAGGATGATGAGGCCAACCTGCCCCCGGGTACACAAGCTGTTTCCGTCACACCGGAGGAGCGGGACGCCATTGAGCGCGTAAGTTTTTTCCCCATGGCAGTTCATCTACGGGTAGCTAACTATCTCTCAGCTGTGCCGTCTTGGCTTCCCTCGGGATTCAGTCATTCAGGCCTACTTCGCCTGTGACAAGAACGAGGAGCTTGCCGCCAACTTCCTCTTCGAGCAGCCCGACGAAGATGAGGAATAAATCACCCTTTACGTATTTCTTTTCTTGTTGCTTCTTTTACGTTCTGATGAATACCAAGCATACTGCTTTTTGATTCCACATGTGACAGAGCCTATGCCTCTGCTTTCCCCCTTTTCCCCCTACTCTATTCTATCTGCCCTAAATCCAAATCAAGTCACTCCGGCATCTCCGAGCTTAGCTGTCCTTGTCCGGTTAACCTGTATACCGGTTTGCCCCTCATCTTTTACCCCTTTGATATGACATCTTGTGTACTTAACCTAATGGGCAAAATGGGACGTTTCGCTAGTATCAAGTGGTAACTCTGTGTATTTGGAATGGTCCGTGCGTATCCTGTGTTCTGATCATGCGAATCATTGCAAGTGACCCTGACCCATTGACCCACCAATACCCTGAACCTTATGTCTATTTTTTGAGCCGTGGGGTTTAGCTTGTGCACTGGTCTGACCTTTGAGGAATCATCGGTGGCATTCTATGTAAATTTAAAGAGTCAAGATTGTAAACAGAAATATATGGGTACGAGGTACAAGGTTAAAATATATCGATGTTGTTGACAGTACTCGGTATCATGATCCATGGATATCCACAATATATACAACCCCATCTATGCTAAAAGTACCGCCTTTTTTCTTTTTGTACATGTGGGTTGCCTCGTTCAGAGATATCTGTTCGGTCCATGTGCAATATTCAAGTGTTGATGCCCAGAATATGAATGTTCCCGCCTTGGAAGGGTCTTGCACATCATGTTTACTACCGGTACCAAAATTTAGATAAGCATATCGCTAGTCAGGAGGCACAGCATCGCCAAATGTAATTCACCAATTAAATGGTGAAAAATATAACACCGGTATACTGAATGATCACAAGAGCCCAAACGGATATAGTGGGAATATTTGAGAAAGTTTATTTGATGGAATGGAAGAGCTCAATCTCCGCCAATTTACGCCCACTCGATGGGCCATGCTACCTTTATATCCAATTGTAAGGTACAGAAAAAGCCCAAGGTAAATGATGCGTGCCTACGAACCAATAAGTCGATCTTCGGCACCAAGGATGATCAAAAATTAAGCAAGAAGTAAAAGAGATATCCCCAAGAAAATAGACATGAAGTGTAGGACTATATTTAAGTTCCAAGGATGTGATGGATGTTCGCAACCTCCCGACCAGCAATTCATTTGCATGCTCGGCGGACGGACCAAACGCCCAGACCGCGACGGCCGATGACTCTGTTCAAAGTCTCGAGGACGCCGTCGTCGCCGAAGTCGAGGTCGTCTAGGTTCAAATGTTGGCTATATGACCACAGGCGGTAAAGTTGGAGATTGGGTGTGTGTGGGGTGGAGAGGGATGAAGGAGAGGAATATTGATCGAGAAAGGTCGCGGAGGAAGGAGCGACCAGATATACTGGGGAGGAATCTGGGCAGCTAGGAACAGCTGTTTCGAGGTGTTGGATCATTTCTAGGCCTGGGATACCCATTAAATCGAGGGTGTCGATCTGGCCGGTGTGATTTCCCTGTTGGGGACCGAGGAGCCAGTGTGGTGGGGAGTAGGTTTTCCACCAGAAGACGGTTGCGTCTGGGTGGGACTTGATGCCCTGGGCTGCAGTGTTGTTTTCAACGATGGACCGCATGGCGAGCTGGGCTGGAACAACGCCGCCTTGGTGGTAGACACCCATTAAGAAGCCCATCACTGCATTGAAGATGATCCATACTGCCAAGAATATCCGTGAGCGGTGCATACGGACGCAACTGAGAAGGAGTGGCACGCAGGGAATAAGGAAGCGTGGCTCCTGATGTGGGAAGATGGAGAGTAGCACTGTTGCTGAGACCGCAGAGAGGGCACGCGTATTTCGCATCCATGGTGGCACGATCGGCCAGCTGAATAGAGAGAGGATCATGGCAATGTATGCGGGCCCTAGTAGCTGGAAAAGGTTGGCGACGAAGTGTTGGTGGTGCGGGTGAAGGCCATGTAGTGCCAGGTTCGAGGAGTCGGAGTTGTAGAGAATATTATTAAGAGGAGTGATAATTGGATGGCGCACAATATCCAAGAACGAAGCCGTCGGTCGGTAGAAGGATGTATCAATGAATATGCCTATCGAGGTGAAGAGAAGCCCGAAGCCGACGAAGACCACCAAGGAGGTTGGCCTGTGATACAGGTTAGCAAGGTAACCTGCTAGAAACCCGATAGACACACTTACTTGCGCTGGAAGTAGGGCAGCAATTGTAGGCCCGGGAAAAGAAGGAAAGCAGGGAAGGTGATGCGGTTAAAAACACCGACCACCGCGATGAAGGAGAGGACGGCGTAGGAGAAGAACGATGTATGCTACCGCCACCAAGTCAGCTCAAGCCTTTGCGCTAGGGTAATCCGGAACGAACCTTGTTCTCAACGATGCGACGAATCAGCACCAGCCCCCAAGTCACCAACAAGGTCTCTAAAGAGTTGGAGAAGGTGTGCGTCTGATATGTCCAGGTGACATAGGACGAGGCCACCAGGACAACTGCAGCGCGCCGGTGCCGCGGCGAAGGCACTAGCTCATAGATAGCCCAATCTTCCAGCACAAAGCTCAGCAGGAACATTCCTCCCCGCAGCGCATAATAAACCAGTTGTGGTGGCGGGCTGCCCGCCCCAATCTCCATGTAGAACCATTTCAGCAGGCTCATGGGAACATCATAGATCGGCCATAGTGGAAAGACGCTGCGAATCGGAAGATCGGTGGTGAATTCCCACGTGAGTTTTGAAGGATATCCAAAAATGCGACCTATACAGTTATGGATGATCAGTCAGCTGTTGTCCAACTTCATAAGGAGGGTATTGCGGGATCGCCGGAATGACAAGGACGTCGGAATGGTTTTTTTTTTTACACCAGCTAGAAAAGCGCGACGATGCTACTCGGTGTTGATTATGAAAATATTGATGAAATCAGGAGATAGAACCTACCGGCAAAGACCTCTGGGCCCTGGAAATGCTCATCGGGATGTAGATAGCTGGGGGAGAGCGCGAAGTAAACACGGATCAGCAATAACAGTAGGTAGGTTCGTCTCCACATGATGGGGCACCAGGAACATGCTGGAAGATGAGTAACAAGAAGATTAATACATGAAATAGAGGAGACCAAAGGAGCGGATGGACAAGGAGTGTGTACAGAGAAAAAGAAAAAGAAAGAAGGAACGCGTTGATTATTGCGATGATATCACTTGCGACCGATAACGCGCCGGCAGAATCTTGTGTACGGCGTACCGACTATCCTCCACCGTAGTTGATAGTTTACATTTGAATTTACAATGGAATCTAAATTTAAGTCTACAATCCTCCCAGTTACTATCCAAAGAAAGAAGTAGTGGACATCTTGAAAAAGATAGTCAACCTGAGTGATTCTACTTAGATCCTTGTAAGAGGCCATCATATGCCATAATATCACCGAGTCTATTCCTATCGCATCTATGGTGTTATATGCCTTTACATGCCTGTGTATGCTTGAACTGACAAATAATGAATCAGGCAATGAAAATAACCGCAACACTACGTAGTTGTTGCCTATTCTTGACGAGGGTCTCTCAATGTGGGGGCGGAGGTACCTAGAAGGCCTTGGCTTGGAAGCCTTTGCCGTGTGCAGAGCCTCGGACACCTTACTAACCTTCTCTCGAACATCCATCTTTACCTCTCCACCTCCCCACTCCCTTTCAAATAATACTTAAAGTCAGTCTCCTCTCCCCCCTGTCTCCTCGAGTCTTCACAGATTTATCTACTTCGATATCTTCTCCGACCCTCTGCGATACCCCAGGTCACCCCGAAACTGACATCCCGCCTTTCCAGACGTTGCCACTTCACCTCATCATCTATCACAATCATCATGGCTACCATTAGCCTCATGAGCTCCGACGATGCGTTGGTCACTGTCGGTATGTGTCAACGAAGAACCCACGTGAACCGCGTGCTGGTGTGAAATTTCAAGACAGGAAGCTGACCCCGCTATTTCAGAGCGCGCTGTTGCCGAACGATCAATCCTGATCAAGAACATGCTGGAGGATCTAGGTGATTCCGGCGAGGCTATTCCCATTCCTAATGTGCGCCTTGCGATCTACTCTTTCCCCCTTTGGATATTTTAGCTCACTATTCTCTAGGTGAACGAGACCGTCCTCAAGAAAGTGATCGAGTGGTGCGATCACCACAAGAACGACCCCCCAACCGCCGGCGATGACGACGACAACCGTCGTAAGACTACCGATATTGATGAGTGGGATCAGAAGTTCATGCAGGTCGACCAGGAAATGCTATTTGAGGTGATTCTGGTAAGCCACCCCAATTGGGCAGCCTTTGCTTCAGGAAGCATTTATTGACAGACCGCTCTTATAGGCTGCGAACTACCTGGATATTAAGGCTCTGTTGGACGTCGGCTGCAAGACCGTTGCGAATATGATCAAGGGCAAATCTCCCGAGGAGATCCGCAAGACCTTCAACATCCAAAATGATTTCACTCCCGAGGAGGAGGATCAGATTCGCCGCGAGAATGAGTGGGCTGAAGAGTAAGCTTTGTCAAAGTACTTCTTCTTTTTTGAGCCTGCGTGTACTAATTACTTATCCAACAGCCGCTAAACATTTAATACAATGTTTATATGGATTGTCCCTCCCATTCATACCCCCCACACCCTCTGTAAGCTTTGATTGCAGTGACCCATGACCTACTGGAACATGGCCGTGTTATTCCGTCCTGACATTGTTTTATCATGTCCTAGATGGGTCTACCCTTTTGCTTTAGGACGGCGTTCGGCTTTGCGGAATCACTATCTACCCGTTTGCTTGCTCTGCCACATGAAATTAAAGCCCATAGCCAGCCTCTCCACTGGCTTTATGACCCCAATACAATGCTATTCTTTTGAACCTAGTCGTGCGTCTAAAAATAGTTCTTTGATGTAGGGAGCTGAATTTTAGCCTGGACATCGACGACATATATTATCAGGAAAGCCATAGTAACCCCTTTGCTCCATGTTTACCGGGAGCGTTCTAACCCCAGGGCTGCTGCTCATGAATTCCAGAGTTGGGAGGTACATAAAGCTTCAAAGAGGATGGTACGAAGATAGATGCCACTGACCGGAAGCCGGAAGGGTTCTAGATTGAGAGCCTCTTTTGACGTCTCGCTTGTAAATATTGTTGCTTTCTTTATCCCACAGATACCTATTCTGAGTAGGTCGATATAAATAGACATGGTTTGAATTTCGCTTTAATTTTCGCATAGTAACAATGCCATAGATATGACTTGATGATAATTCGGTATTCACGGACTATCGAAGCTGCTCCCAGTACAAGGACCAGACCACTCACTCCTTCACTTCACGCGTAATGGGTTCGAACAGAAATCATCCATTTGCTAATACCCGATAGCTCTTTGATATGTAGGCGTATAGCCTTTCCCTAGGAAGACTGGACCGACGACAGTCTTTTACGAGAACCAGGGGCTTTCTGATAGCTTGCAGCCTCTCTGTGTTCGCGGTTGATCCCATGCGTCGTGCATCCCACGAGGTAGGTGTCTCTAATCCTTTGGACGTAAGAATCGGTGAAAAGGACATGGAGGCCGTATCTGTCGTTGGATATATCTCTATTGTGAGCTTAGTTGTTTCTCATTTGTGCGTCAAAGTGGACAAGACGATGAGCGAGGGAGAGGACAAGAAGAATGGTGGGCTCATACTCCTAGTCAACAACTTCTCTTGGTCTGGACCTTATGGAGACAATCACAGAACCCGCTAAGACGACGTTGTCTGTGTCACTGGTTTCCATATCCAGATGCTCCAGATGTCTTACCAGGTCCTGTCGTCATTTCTAGCGCAATCCACTCTTTAATTAAAGCATATTAGTGATTCTAGCCTTGAAGCGTCTCAAGTGTTTCCACTATCTCTGCCGTGCATGAACGAGGTCGCTTCCAATGTTGATCGATTTTCCAAGACTCCTTTATTCCAAGGGAATAATTTCGAAGTCCTACAATGCTACGAAGCATCACAAAATTATGCAAGACAAAGGGGACGTCAATTCAATTCCATTCAAAATTTTTGTAAAAAGGAAAAACCGCCCCGCCTTCAAGTCCGTTCCTCCATTTAGACGAGCCCTATCTCAATCCCATTCCCATAAATCGTAAAAAGATGAAAATCGTCGGGGCCAGGTCGGATCGATATTCGTCATCGGAAGCAATCGAATATCGGTCGAGGTCGGAGAAAGTTCACCGGCATCGATCATTTTGCACCTGAAATCACACATCGACGATCTCGCATCGGACTTGAGTAGTTTCCCATCAAACTAGCGCGACCAAGTAGGGTTGAAATGGAAGATTCATATCGAGGTAGGCGTCCCGGGATATCGACACACATCGCACAACATTTTGGAAGTGTTGGAAAAATGGATCTTGAGGCGTAGGTCGGAGGGAATTGTCTGGTCGAATCTAGATGCCCAGACGGGTCTTGCGCCAGTGTCGCCGCTTAGCGTTGTAGCTGTGGGAGAGATCCTGTCAGTTTTTGATTCTTGTCTTCTTTCGTAGTCGGATCGATAAATTCTTGATTCTTGAATCGAATCTCTATCGGGATTGGACAGGTCTTGTTGGGCATTGTTTAGGGCGAATTACCGAATGGTGTTGCCAGTGCGCAGGCGAATCCACTGGGGGATAGGGCGGTTCTGGCGCTGAGCCTTAGCAAGCTTTTGCTTGGTGCGGAAGGTCTTGTGGCTCTGTGGGAAAATGGGGGTTAGCGACATGGGGAAAAAAGGCGGAAAATAGCACTTGTGTATAACAAAAGGCTAGAGATGAGTGTTAGCACATACCGGCATCTTGATGGCTGATCGCAACGGCAAGCTGGTTTGGATGGGAGAAAGATGTCGACCTTCGGGAAAGCGGGTGGTTTGTGTGCGGACAGGGCTTGGCGACTTCGCTTGGATGGTCAGGTGACTCATGACCCCAGTCTAAGAAACCTTGCTGCCTCAGGCCTGGTAAATTTCTTCAGTTTATGCCTAAGGCAGACTAGCGGGTCACGTTAAAGTTCGTGATTAGATCAGCAATCGACAGAACCGGTACTGCAATGCATCATACTTGAACGTACGATGAGTTCAACGCCCACTTTTGCTTTTTGTTTGACTATTCCCATTTGCTTCCGTAACTACATCAATATCGTAATGCGCGTTTGCCGTGCAAACAAAACATTATGGGAAACTTACAGGTGCCATCTCCCCATCCACCGGGGATACACCTAGATAGGCATCTCAAGGGATACACGGCAAAAGACATAGTGTGAAATACCTGGTAGAACAAGCCATTTACAAAGGACGTAAGCTGTACATGGCATTTCCTTCGGATCTAGGGGCTGTAAGAGTGATTGGACGGCAACGTTATTGGTTCCCCTGCATACCCTTGCATGAGGAATGCAGCAGGTGAAGACCGAGGGACGCTCCTTCCCATAAACAATACTTCGAACTCCGAAAGCTCGTGATCCACTCAATGGGCTCAGGTGGATTACGCCTCTTTCGAAACCCGTGATTTGACTCTGCATGAGGATCTTTGTCCCACGTCTTATCCTGAAATCCGAACCCCCCCAAAGGTCCAGATTAATCTCGATTTACGTGTCTTTCCTTTAGCCTCACCACTGTCACTTTCATGCGAATAATTCCTACGGTCCTTACGCTTTCTGCTAGCTACCGATCATTCGTGATCAAGATCACCAAGTTCCTACCAAATGCCGCTCGTCGTCCAGTCTCAAGTCTCTATTTCCATCCAACTTTCTGTATCGGCGATCTACGAATACAATACACCCAAGCTTGGTGACGCCAAAGGCTCTGCGACCTCTCGCGAGGAGCCGACCCTCTTATTATAACCAGATCGCGCGACCTTCGTCTCCTCAGCATTGGTTCAACGATATAGTCGACATCCATTATGCACCGTCCGGACTTGACCAAAAAGCAGGATTTCTCGGCGCTGGCCGTCGAATTGGTTGAGGTCCCCGTTAAGAAGGGCGTGATTGACCTCAACAAGGAGCTACCCAATCCACATCTTGATCTACCGAATTCCGCTTATCATCTCCTCCCCGATGAGAAAGACGCCGGAACGAGTCCCCTTTCCGAAGAAGACGCCATATATGCCCACCTGCCTCACGATGAAAAGCAAATACTTAAAAGCCAGCTGGACCAGCTCAACTCCACTGTTACTTTATTCGGTCTTTACAAGTTTGCCTCTCGCCGCGATCTGATTATTGTGGCCATCAGCGCCGTATGCGCGATTACGGCCGGCGTTGCGCACCCCTTATTTGCAATTATTTTTGGCTCGATGAGCTCAGACTTTGCCAAAGTTTCGACTGGCGCGATGGAGAAGGAGGCCTTTATGCACGAACTCAACCATAAGGTAGTATACTACCTCTATCTGGGAATTGGCGAGTTTATTACTGTGTACATCAGTATGGTTGGCTTTATGCATACGGGCGAGCACGTTACCCAGCAGATCCGGGAGAAATACCTCGAGGCGATCCTGCGCCAGAACATCGGCTACTTCGATAAGCAGGGTGCCGGTGAGATCACTACCCGTATTACTGGCGACACGAACCTGATACAGGAAGGGATTTCTGAGAAGGTTGGCCTTACTCTGACTGCTATATCAACCTTTGTTACTGCCTTTATTGTCGCCTACTGCAAGTATGCCAAACTGGCCGGAATTTGTACCTCCACCGTGATCGCTATGGTGCTGCTAGGCTCCATTGGATCGCGCTTTATTGTCAAGTACAGTGAACTTTCTCTGCAGTGCTATGGTGCTGGTGGCACTGTCGCCGAGGAAGTGATTAGCTCGATCCGCAATGCCACAGCTTTTGGCACGCAGGAAAAGCTCGCTCGACAATATGAGAGCCATCTGAAGAGGGCTGAACGATGGGGCACGCGAATGCAGATGGCAACGGGGTTGCTGGTTGCATCTATGTTTTCTATTATGTTCCTGAACTATGGGTTGGGATTCTGGATGGGATCCCGATACCTAGTCAAGGGTGAAATCGACGTTGGAGCCGTTCTGACTATTCTGATGGCCATTCTCACAGGCTCATTCAGTCTAGGTAACATCAGCCCTAACGCTCAGGCGTTTACCAATGCCGTGGCTGCTGGTACCAAGATCTTCGGTACGATCGAACGTAATTCCCCTCTCAACCCGACCTCTGATGAGGGGATGTGTCTGCCCTCTATTAAGGGAGATATCCGCTTTGAGAATGTCAAGCATATCTACCCATCACGGCCAGATGTGACTATTATGAAGGAAATGAACTTGACATGCCCTGCAGGCACAGTCACAGCTCTGGTTGGGCCTTCGGGTTCCGGCAAGTCCACCGCTGTGGGGCTGATTGAGAGATTCTACCTTCCTGTTAGCGGAACTGTTTCTCTTGATGGCCATGATCTTGGAACTCTAAATTTACGATGGTTGCGTCAGCAGATCTCTCTAGTGAGCCAAGAGCCCATACTCTTCCGATCTAGCATTAGCCAAAATATTCGCTATGGTCTAATTGGAACTCGACATGAATACAAGCCAGAATGGAGGATCCGGGAGCTTATTGAGAATGCCGCGAAAATGGCTAACGCCCACGATTTCATCACTGCTCTTCCAGAAGGATACGAGACCAATGTTGGCCAGAGCGGTCTTCTACTATCGGGTGGACAGAAGCAGCGTATTGCGATTGCTCGAGCCGTTGTGTCAAACCCCAAGATTCTTTTGTTGGACGAGGCTACCTCAGCCCTTGATACGAAGTCTGAGGGCGTAGTACAGGCTGCTCTTGACAAGGCTGCTGAGGGGCGCACTACTATCGTCATTGCCCACCGACTATCTACCATCAAGAACGCTCACAACATTGTTGTGTTCGTTAAGGGCGAAATCCAAGAGCAGGGCACGCATGAAGAGTTGCTTGAAAAGAAGGGTCACTACCACTCTTTGGTCGCAGCCCAACACATCGCGGAAACCAAGAAGGATGATGACGAATTAGACCCTGATATGTTAATCGAACAGTCTGACGCCTCTAAGCATCGCATCAAGACTATGTGGCGTGCGTCGACGGCTGATCCGTCTTCTATGTTCCGTCGTGGTTCTGTCGCTCGCCATGGCTCTGTGATGCGGCAGGGATCCATTGTTCGCCGTAGCTCAGTGATCCGCCAGGGCTCTGTTGTTCGTCATAGTTCTGTGATCCGTCAAGGCTCCGTTGTTCACCATGAGCCTCTGGATCGCCATCGCTCTATGGTTCGCCACACATCTATTGCTCATCCCTGCTCGACATTACGTCCTCACTCGATGTTCCATCCTGCTATGCGTGGCTCCTGGAACCGTGGCTCGATGATACGCCCGCCCACTTTCTACCCTGACAGAAATCAGCGTGCAACTATGTTGCTCCGCCCCGAAGATCGTGCTGCCCTCGGCATGTTTTCCCAAGATATCTCGAACACTATGGATTCCATAAAGGCAGTCAATCCAACTGAGTACCTGCGTCATAGCTACCTCGGAATGGAGGCTGGTGACGATGACTGCAGTTCAAGCTTCATTCTTGCGGAAGAGGAACCCATGGAGCCACAGCAGTACTCCCTACTTTCGCTGATTAAGTTCACATTTGAGTTCAATTCGAATGAGTGGAAGGCCTTGACGGTTGGGTTTATCTTTGCGATGCTTGCCGGCTGTGGTCAACCCATCCAAGCTTTCTTGTATTCTCAGGCAATAGGGGCTATCTCTCTTCCCCCGCGTGAATACAAAGAACTTCGCTCAGATGTTAACTTCTGGTCCTTGATGTTCTTAGTAACTGGAATCTCTCAGTTTTTCACCTCCGGGGCCATGGGTGTTTCCTTTGCATACTGCTCCGAACGCTTGATCTGCAATGCCCGGAGCAAGGCTTTCCGCGCCATCCTTCGTCAGGACATGAACTTCTTCGATCGTGAAGAGAACAGCGTCGGTGCACTGACTTCTTTTCTTTCGACTCAGACGAAGTCTCTCGCTGGCATTAGTGGTCAGACTCTTGGAACCATCCTATCATGCAGTACCACTTTGATAGTCAGTATAATCATTGGTCTTGCCTTCAGCTGGCAGCTTGCTTTAGTTGTGATGTGTGGTGTCCCTGTTCTCCTGGCATGTGGCTACTATCGGTTCGAGATGCTTGCCAGGTTTCAGAGCCGCTCTAAGAAAGCATACGCTCAATCTGCTGCTTATGCTTGTGAAGCTACTAGTGCCATCCGTACTGTGGCTGCTCTTACTCGTGAAGATGACGTGGCAAGGCACTTCCACCTGCAATTAGAGGCTCAGACCTATAGCAGTCTTATTGCGGTTGCCAAGTCTTCAACTCTCTATGCTGCCTCTATGGCCATGGTGTTCTTCTGTGTTGCCCTTGGCTTCTGGTGGGGTGGGACTCTGGTATCTCGCGGCGACCTCAATCTTCTTGGATTTTTCGTCTGTTTTACCGAAATTCTGTTTGGTGCTCAGTCGGCCGGCACGGTTTTCTCCTTCTCCCCCGATATGGGCAAAGCCAAAAATGCGGCCATCCAGACCCGTATCTTACTAGAACGTGAGCCTCCTATCGACACATGGTCTGAAGAGGGTGAGCGTGTCTGGAAGATGGAGGGCGAGATTGAATTCCGTGATGTGCATTTTAGCTATCCCACTCGCCCAGATCAGCCTGTCCTGCGCGGTCTGGACTTGACCATTAAACCCGGTCAGTATGTCGCGCTGGTTGGACCATCTGGATGTGGAAAGAGTACGACTATTTCCTTATTGGAGCGCTTTTATGACTGCGTGGATGGCGGTGTCTACGTCGATGGCCGCAATATCGCCGACCTCAACGTTAAATCTTACCGAGAGCATCTTGCCCTGGTCAGCCAGGAGCCTACTCTATACCAGGGTACTATTAAGGAAAATATCATGTTGGGGGTCGAGCGACGCCATGTCACCGATGCCGATATCGAGAAGGCCTGCCGTGATGCTAACATCTACGACTTCATCACATCTCTACCGTAATGTCTACCCCCCTTTACTTTGACTCGTCATATGCTAACTCCACACAGTGATAGTTTCAACACTATCGTTGGTAACAAAGGCGGCATGCTATCCGGTGGTCAGAAGCAGCGCGTGGCCATTGCTCGGGCTCTTTTACGTCGTCCCAAGATCTTGTTGCTCGATGAGGCTACATCGGCTCTTGACTCCGAATCTGAAAAGATTGTGCAAACTGCTTTAGATGCCGCGGCCAAAGGTCGTACTACCGTATCCGTGGCTCACCGATTGAGCACCATCCGGAATGCCGACATCATCTACGTGTTCGAAGATGGCAAGGTTGCTGAAGCCGGGAACCACATCGAGTTGATGAGGAAGAGGGGCCGCTACTATGAACTTGTCAACCTGCAGAGCCTCGAAAAGACTGTTTGATCCGCACAATTTGGCCAACTCGTTTTATGCCGTTCGACTTCGTTCAAGACACATGTATTAGTCTCATGATGCTGTGCGATAGCCCACAGCCTCCCTCCAACCCAAACGCCGTTTCTTTACCGCCAAAAGTCTCATTCTACTGCGGTGCCCTGGTAGCTCTGTGCTGACGCATGGCTGTTTCATATACCCGCCGCCCTAACCGTCTTGAACTTATTACCTGTATGTGTCTATTGAAGACACATTCCCTGCCGCAAATCTTGGTATGACTTCGCGCTAGACTTGATTGGTTGTCTATGCCTCTGGAATGTTGATTGCTAAAACCATGAATGAATGAATTCTAAACTTTCCATCAATCAAATCGTAAATGCATCGATCAAGTGGTGATCAGAAGACAAGCAAAGAGTAGGGTATCAATTGAGATCTCAGTCCTTCTCGTCAACTCCATATTCCTTGTGAATCTCCGCTACTCTGACTCCTTTTGCATCTGCAATCAACCCCATCAATCCCTGCGCTGCATCCTTGACTTCATTGTACTCATGCAATAGACGGACATGTCGTTGTACTGTTGTGCTGGGATCATTCCTGGACCACATCGCATTAGCACCATACTTTGTCGATATGCGCAAGGTTCAGGCATGTAGACCACTCCTAGTACATACCGCAGCTCCGCTTTGCTCTCTGCGACCTCCTTCTCCAACAGAGATAAATCAGATTCGAGCTGTGCAATTGAGGCTCGAAGCGCCTTCTACATTCCGGTCAGCAAGTCATCATATCCTAGCCAAGTCTACTACTCACTAAGCGTTGTTCCCGTTCCGCCATGTGGGGAACCGATGCAAGTCAGCCCGAGAGAGCCAATCAGCTGATGCGCTGAATAATCAGTGGATGGTTGCGGTGATGAGGAAGAGTTGGCTCAGGGGAAGTAAACAGGGAGGTAATCTGGAAGAAATGAAGTGTAGGTGATCAAAGGGCGAAACTGTGGTCATTTAACATTGCTTGATAGTTGGGCGTTGTTGGTTCAATGAAAGTAATCGGATGCTCCGGATTCGTGAGATCGACATTGCCTGATTTGGCCGCTTCCCTTTTTCCCTTTCCACTTCTTCAACCCACTCAAACTCACACTCCATCATGGATCTCTTGAAGCAAAGGTCCCTCTGGGCCCTGTTTCTGGTTATTGGGCTCGTCACAGCCCACGGCGGTCATGAAAATGTTCCCGAGGGGGAAACCGTCTCTCAAGATCCGATTGTTTGTCGCCCCCTCCCTTATCAGAGGTTACGTGTCGGATGCCTATACTAACAGTCTCAGGACTCGACCTTATGGATCCATATGATCCTTATGGGCTTCACATTCGGGCTTGTCTTCCCATTTGGTATGGTTCTAGGTGTACGTATCTATCTCTCCCCTCCACGCGCCTCAATCTAAAAAAAGGAACAGATCGTTCGTTCTCGCTGGCACGTTCCCGTCCAAGTAGTTGGAACCGTTATCGCCGTCGTTGCCTATTTCCTCGGCCACGCGCACAAGGGTCGTCAGTTCGCGCCGAACGTCCACCACTCCTTCGCAAACTGGTTGATGCTCATGCTTGTCGCGCAAGTTGGACTGGGATTCTACTTGAAGTTGCATCTTGAGAAGGGCGGCCAGGGCCGTATCAGGTGGATCTTTGTGCTTGCGCACGGTGTTCTCGGAAAGCTCATGCCGGTTGTTAGCTGGGCACAGATGCTCTTCGGTGGTATTGCCATGATGGGCTTCTGCCAGGCCGATCACATGGGTCAGTGTCTTGCGCACTTCATCATGGGCTCTGCTTTCATCGGGTACGGTATCTGCTTGACCATTCTTCTCTTGGTGGGACAGTACTGGTTACGCCGGACGGGACGGAGCCAGGAGTTCTTCGACTCGTTGATTATTGCGGCTTGGGGCTGTGTGAATACCTTCACCGAGCACCGGTGGGGACAGCCATGGGCGCACAACGATTTGCAGCACACCACTATGGGTATTGTTTGGTGGTGTGCTGGTCTTCTGGGAATGTGGTTGAGTCGCAGCCGTGATGGGCGTCCTAAGCGCAATCTTATTCCTGCGATTGTGATCATGATGACTGGTTATGCGATGTCTGCTCATGCACAGAGTTTGATGATCAGTACTATGATCCATACCGTCTTTGGGTACACATTGATGGCTGCTGGTTTGACTCGTGTTATCGAGATCTCGTTCGTGCTGCGTGATAAGCCTGCTATTAGCATGAGTGGTCGTGACCCGAACAGCTTCCAGTACCTGACACCATTTGTACGTCCCCTTCCCCTGATGGAAGTAATCTTTTGCTAATAATAACAGTTGCTGTACGCCTCTGGATTCTTGTTCATGGGCGCCACCGAGGAACAAATGCAGCTCCTTAACGACGCGGGTATTACTCACGTCTCCTACGTGCTGATCCTCTACAGCGTTGCCTTCATTATGTTCCTATGTAAGTTCGCATGGATTCCCCATAACGATTCACCACTAACTTTCCTAGTCGTCAACGTGCTACTGCATATCTACGCCGTCCACGCTTGGCCCAATGGTAACGAGGAAGAAGAAGCCCCCAAGTACAGCAACGTTAACGGAATCCACATGAATGGCAACGGACGTGCTCGTTCCAACTCCGAAGCCCAGCGCATTCAGGATGCCGAAGGCTTTGAGTTGCAGGGCCTCATTAGTGACGATGAAGATGAGGAGGGCACCTCTATGGGCCCTAAGAAGACGACCGATGAAGAGATGGGCGCAAAAGAAACAACTCACGCTTGATTTGGTTGAGCTCTGTTTCCCCTCTTGACTATGTTCATTAGATGGCTGGTTTATCTGTACTTGCACTTTTTTGGCGTCTAGGTTGGGGGTATAACATACCAGAAAACATCAAGTAGCGTACCTTAATTTTGAACATAAATGGACTCTTTTTGCAATATGAAACAAGCGCGACTTGATGAAGAAGATCTAAATGAAGGCAATGCATTCTTACCCGCTATCGTACAACATATGATTCGTAAGTGAAATTTGGAACATTTGATGAAGTATTACCAAAGATATCCAAGATATCATCCCGTCCAGACCCAAATCCTGAATTGATTTAAACGCCCCCACCAAGCACCCAATTCACGCCTTATTAGGCGCATCATCCATACGTAATGGAATAGTAGTAGAGGGCTGCTGCCCCAAGGGAATGGGATTGGAAACCGGCGGCACGGCAGCCAGTGCCTCCACATTCATGTCGGCGGGAAAGAACGGGTGAAGAGGGTAAATAGGACCGACATTCTTGTCGCCATCGAAAAGAAGCATGTTTTGTAATGGCTGTTCTCGCGCAGAGAGAACATTAATCACATCCTGTGCTAGTGCACCACCGAGGAACGCAGCGATGGGACTCAATTCGCTGCCCAGGTTCTGGAGGAACATACGCAGAAAAATGGAGTCTAGGGATCTCATGTCGAGTTTGAGTTCCTGGTGGCTTTCACTTGCAAGCTTGGTGAAGAGTTCTAGATCGGCGTGGTTATTTGTGGGGCGCCGGCCGCCGGAAATCTTTTCGAATCCCCATAGCGCGCGCAGGCAGCTAAGAAGAGGTGTGACCTGTTTCCGGCGACGGGGAAGACGGGTAAAGTCCTCTGGAAGAGGCGAGGTGTTTGCCAGAATAAGCGGCGAGTAGGATTCGCGCTTGGTGACTAGTTCGATTGTCTTGTCCGTCTTCTTGTCCTTTTGCTTAGTGGTGACCTTCACAATGCTGCGTGTTGGTGTTTCTTGGGTTGCCGGGGGCACATTAGATTTTTCGCGCTCGATCACAAAGTCGTGAGAGATGAGGTCTGCGAAGACGTAGCCATAGAGTCCATGAAGGCCAGCGGCGTAGAAAGGGCGGTTTGCAAGGCGACAGGCTGCGTTGATGGTTGCGTTGGTGCTGAAGTCAAGTTCCGTTGCAATTGTGATATCAAATTGGGCAAAGAAATCAGGTTGCTTTATTCGGACGTCATCGGTGTCAATGGTGAGCTTGACTCGTGGGTTCATGCGCTTGATCTGAGGACCGGCAATCTCGGCGCGCTTTGAACTGTTAGCCTCAAGAGCTGAATCAAAAGATGGGCGAAAGGGCCTGGGGATATCAACATACATTTTTTCCTTGCTTGATGAGTTCTTTATCACGGTATACTTCCTCCAAAAAGAATTGTCCCTCCAGGTCGTTCTCCGTCACCGGCTCATGGTCAATGATGGTTAGAGAACCGATACCTGCCAACACAAGATTCTTGGCAACTTCATTCGCAAGGGCTTTCACAGTGATCAAGAGAATGTTGGCCGAGCGGATCCTGGGACAAGATGTCAGTATCAGACACGACATGCTCACTGGGTCTTATTACTTCTCTTGCGCCTGCATGCCCCATAGTCGGATTTGACGATCATAGAGAGCGATCTCATCTGAACTTTGTGAGTACTTGCTCTATAACAAAACGAAAATCTACCTACCGGCGCTGATCTGGCCATTCTCCTGTTTCTCAGACTCAGTCATATCGGCGGTAGTAGGAGTGCGGAGTGGAGAGAAGGAAGAAGCTCTCCGATAAAGAAGCTCCCCACAATGACCTAATCTTATCACGTGCGAAGGTACAGGGAAGCACCGGAGTCAACTGTCGATCGATAGTTGTGTATCTCTTTCTTTCTCCATGGCGCAGTCTTGGATATCATATTTTCCGGTTTTGTATGAAGTCTGAACCCTCAGTCTTTCTGTTCCAGGTAAACAAATAACCTGGAAGTGTTACCTCGCTCCCACTAACCACACAGTATGGTATGTTTGACATCCCTGACTCTACTTCCTAAACTCACAGGCGTCCAAGTCAGAAAACTACGATCATCCTCCTGCTTCGTCCCGCCGACCATCGCTTCCCAGTGATCAAAACTCTACTGCTATTGTTCCCGAGAGAGGACACTATCAACAGCGACTGTGGGATCTTATCAACGACAACCCGAACCTGGAACCTGTCGCTCGCAATTTAGAGGCTCGTAGGGAAGAGGCTCGCAATTCACAGCGACAGCGCCCAGATGAACACGAGTCAGACTTGGACACGATACTTTCCGATACTCAATTTGCGAATCCCACTTCGCGCCTTTTAGACCGATTGATTGACGAAGAGTCGAGCGGGACCCCGCGCGACAACCAGCTTTCAGCTCGGCCAAGAGAACGCTTAATATATCTCCGGAATCTGATCCATCAAGAAAGCAACCACATAAATACGGATGATACCACTCGTGCCTTGGAGACGTTAAACCGAGAGATCGAAGATCATTACCTTGACCAAGCTCGGGATGGACGCATCACATTTCAACAAGCCTTTCATTCACTTCTAGCGATTCCCAACTTAAATTCACGAAGAAACTTGCTGGATCAACTTCCCCCACGCCAGCCGTCTACTGTGGCTCCTTCCAGTCCTGAGCCCCGCCCACCAAGTAATAGAGGTCACCGACGCCGTTCGTTCAGACCAGACCTAAGAGAATCACTTCCTACGCCATCACTCATGCCTCAATCTCAGAACAGCCGCGATCGCGAACGCCGGCAGAAGCGGCGTAAGCTGGACGCTGACGACAATCGTGAGGAATCCCGTGGGTTTAACTATGGACACCAAGGCCAGGTAGTCCCCGGAGCCTTGAAAATGGAAATCGCCAGCTGTGATGGTGTCTTCAATCAAGAAGGAGACAATTTCTTCCCAGGGAATGTTTTGCGGAATGATCAAACTGTTTACAGCACCAAGTCTGACCGTTGCAACGTGATTCTTCGTCACAGAGATGAAGCACCGTTTTGCTTGAAGAAGATCGTCATCAAGGCCCCTCGTACCGGGTTCGATTCTCCGTATGTGCTGCTATATTGGTTCTAGAACTTGACTGACTCCAGTAGAATCCAGGAAGGCATGGTGTTTGTGTCGATGACGTCGGATGAATTGCTTGCCCGAACCGCTCAGTATCAGATCCAGTATTCCAGCACACGACGCCGACGTGGATATCGCCGAACGGGTCTACAACCATCCCAAGAATACTTAACTGGGCTCCGAACCCCTCTTCAATCTCTCGACCGCACCGTGCTTATGGGCCCTGATTCCAATCTGGCCACCGAAACCCAGACCACACATGATCCCCAGACTGAATTCCGAGTCACCACCGAGTACAATGAAACCGTTGAAGATAACGTGTTTGTGGAAAGGGAAGATGACGGTCTGAATGCCTCGGTCACCACCGATCCGGAAAGAGCCAACGAACTAGACGATCTACTCTGTTCCGACACCGATGACGACAGTCCCAGTGACGACGATGAAGATCATCCAATGACCCGCCGCCGACTAGAAATCCAACGCCGAATTGGCTCCGCGCGCCGCTCAATGAACGGCGATTTATCTCAACGACGCCGCCAACCTCCAAGTTTGATCGATCCGATTCCTCCTCCACCCGTTCCTGGCCCAGCGATGACCACATCCAATGGCGAGGTCCTCAAGCCACATGCTCGCTTCTTCATCGAGAGGGAGAAGAGCGTGGTCAGCATCAAGTTTGATCCGCCTCCGTATGTCCTTGTCTCCCTTTGTTCTCCATTTCTAGGTGCTAATTTTACCAGATCTGGTCGTTTTATATTGATCAAGCTCTGGAGTCCCCGCAGTGATGGAAATATTGATATCCAAAGTATCATTGCCCATGGATATGCGGGTCCAAGATTTTTTCCAGCAGGCGGATTCCGATGATATTCTGCCAATTACGCTTTGATGGCTGCTTCTAAACTTGAGTGTTTAGGTAGCTATTTCGGATTTGGACGACGACACGATTATTGAATGAAGTTATGACTATTATTACCGGATTATGTTGATATCAAACAGCGCTAGAGCACTACCATGTCTTTCGATATTTAAATCGACTCACGTCTGATGTTCTTTCGTACCCACGGCAGCCTGGTTCCAGAAGAATAGGCGAAAACTATTGATCCCATGACTATGGAACCACCGTAGTGTGGCTTACTCGCATTATCCGCCCTCTCGGGTAGTGTGGTAGACTAATGGATTCATGTGGAGAACCTTTGTTGACCCATGAAGGCGATTCAAACAAGGTGGTCAGCACCACTTCAGCAACCTTTTCTCTAATTGATCTGGGACCTAATAGTAGGACGAAGTCTTGCTACTAGAAACGCCACAAGCAGATGGATGCCAATCGGTTCTTTTTGCTTCGGGCTACATGCTACACAGAAAATTGAAGGACACAGCTGCAAGTAAAGTTTGATCGAGACCAATCGCCAGGTATCTCGAACCCTTTTTCAGCTCTTTCCTCAGGTATCACTCACCCCCGCATTCATGAACTGGCACCAATGATCGTCTTGAGTGTTGTCAGACGAGGTAGCTCCTAATATTTAGATGTCAAAGTAATGAACCCAACTGTTGCCTGATTCCAGAATTGCCCTCTGACGTCCAAGCAACAGTCAAAATGGATGCACACAGCGACGATAAGGAAGCCCTTGCAAATCCAAGGGAAATAACTTATGAATGGCTGAGTAACTCCTGCCGTCTCTGCACAGAATCCCTTCTGCGGTTCGAGAGCGCCGATACGCCAAATCAAGAAGAATCAAAGCGACTCACCAAGCTCCTATTCCATGGAACCTGCTCTAACGAGAGAGATACCCACGAAGCACAGAAGTCACTCTGTGACTTTTGTCGCCACTTGCGCCTGAACCACTTACTGGAGTGTCTGAGATCGGGCAAGTTACAATGCAGTATACGATTCTGCGCGTTCGAAGACATCGAGAAGCGCCAAAGCTGCCCGTTTTGCCATCTGCTCATCCGGAGCGCAATGCCCTATGAATTTTTCTCCGGGATAGCTTCACACTTCGATTTTGAAGGTGGATTTTTGGAGATCATAGTTGAAGGTGGAGGATCAATATTTATGAAGTTCCAGTACCCCGATGGTGCTTGGATGGGTGCGAGGCGGATTTATTATGATTCCACGGAGGTGTTGGAGTTACCATGCACTGGATATACTGAGCTGTATGTGGATCTCAGTCTCTGCTGATACATCTCTAATAAGCACTAGCATGGCTGAGCAGTTGATCAAGAAAATCGTGGCTCAGCCTCGGCGACAGTTTCGAACCAATGCTATGCCAGACACATTCCGGACAGTCAAAAGAATCAGTGGATTCGTGGATTGGAATCTTCTCTCGGGCTGGTTGTCGTCCTGCGTACAGAAACATCCGGATTGTGGACCTCGAGACCTAGGCGTGAGACCTGCTCATTTTCGACTGATTGATGTGCAGCGGCGATGCATTGTCTCCCCGTCTCATGACTGTCGCTACGTTGCACTCAGCTATGTGTGGGGACCCAATCCTAATAAGACCAAGGAGATGACCTCTCGAGCGACCCTGAAATTGCTTCAGAAAGACGGCGGACTGCTTGCTTCAAATGTGGCAAAGACTATCAACGACGCGATCCTCATATGCACCAAGCTCAAGGAGGACTATCTATGGGTGGATCAGTACTGCATTATTCAAGATGATCCGAGTGACCAAGCAGAGCAAATCGCGTCCATGGCTGCGATATATTCATCCGCGGCATTCGTGATCATCTCCACAGATGGCGACATGCATGACGGAATTCCAGGCGTGAGCAGCGAAAGAGCGCAGAAACAAATCCAGTGTCAGCTCTCAGGAATCGAACTCATCAACATGGTTCCTAGATGGAGAGAGATAACTGGTGGGTCATCTGTATGGTCAACGCGCGGCTGGACATACCAAGAAGGGATCCTGGGGAGAAGAAAGCTCTATTTCAGTTCTTCCCAGTCATTCTTCGAATGCGACAAGAGCATCCTTGATGAAGATGGAATGTGGCAAGAGGCTCTGTATTCATCAAACGGGCTACATCCGCAGGTATGGCAACCGCTTGTTGATAGCTTCTATAATCATGTGTGGAATTATTCAGAGCGCCACCTGGGAAGTCAATATGATATCTATAACGCTATCGAGGGTGTGGCTAGTGCGCTATACGGGAAGAAGCATCCTCTTTGGTTCGGGCTTCCACGCAATGACTTTGACAAGGCGTTACTGTGGTGTCCTGACTCAAACCAGGCGAATCGGAAAAGCGATGGTTTGTCACCAAACGTTGCACCAAGAGCTCTTATCCCCAGCTGGTCCTGGTCCTCGACCAAGGGGGAAAATTTACTGCTAGATGATTGTAATCGAAGACCAATTCGATACTGTGGACCACTGGTCGTATGGCATTCATGTCAGCAGACAGAGAATGGTTTCAAGTTTGAGAGTATATCCCCCAGCTCAGCACCTGATTTTCAATGTTCCCTCTGTGAGAAGGGCAACGAATCAACAAGAACCACCCACAACGAAGGGTACGAAGACGAACAGCTTTTATTCATAGTCATTGCATGGGGACAGGGGTGCATAGAAAGCGCATATCCATTCAAGCTTCTTCGAAAGACATCACTTTCGAGTCTCAAAAGGGCCATAACCTCTCAATGGCCGTGCATGCATACATCATGGCAATTCCAAGGCCTGATAACCAGACCGTCCAGTGAAGCTGTATCTCACGCTGCATCGCTTGAGCCCAGACTCGAGCCAACCGTCGTTTTCACACGTGCACAGTCGACGTTTTTTCGCCTCAATCTTCCGACTGACCAGGAAATCTTGCTCCGCGATTACCCCATCATCGACGACGACGACGGTACAGTGGGTGTCCTCATCGGTCAGGATCCAGACCTACAAGCAGACCTACGTAGACATGTAGAGTTTGGCGAATATTTCGAATTCATTGCCCTGTCAGTCAGTACATTCAATGGCATCATTTCGCCAGACGCAACAACCAATTCCGGAAACTTTGAGTATAGAGATCCTAAGGAACACCTGCGTGAGAATGCAGTGTTGAGGGAGCTCACATATTTGGATAAGAAGGGAGCACCTCTTCTCCCGATCCCAGTCGTGAATACTATGCTCATACGACGCACTGGATTCACATCACGTCGCGTGGGTATTGCTTGGATTTACCTGAAGAAATGGGTGCAGGCGAGACCGCAGTTTGTCGATATTTTCTTGGAGTAGCTCTTTACAGTTCTACATGAAGTTGTCCAAATCGAATTTCTGAGAGCTATGTACCAACTTCTAACCCCCGACGTCTGCCCGGTATATCGGCAGTTCAAAGCCTCACTGCCGAACAAGCTTGCCTGGGATGTAGCCTAGGGCAGCCTAGCAGCCCCACAAATATTTTCCTTCGCCCCCACTACAGGGTCCAGCTATAAAGCTGCACAACACTTCATCCCCAAAGCCATTGGCAGATCAGAATGTCTTCAATTCCAATTTGGCAGCTCCCCGAGCTTCTAGAGAGAGATGATCCAGCCCCAACATGGATGGTGGTTTTTACATGTCCAATGAAGGAGGAAGAACGCGACGAAATCATGCAAGACCTTATCACCGTTGATAATGACTGGCCTGATCGTCCTCCCTATGAGCCGAGACGGTTATTACAGGTTCCCTGGTTGATGGATACGCCGGCATATCCGTCGAATATTTTCTCTATCGTCAGGCGGGCAGAGGAGCCCGAGTCAATGATATTTGTGGACGAACGGTCGTTGAAAGATGATACCGTTGTTCTGGCCAATTATGAACAGCCTGAGGAGAAGTTTGGGGTTCTAAGAGCTCCTATTCACAGAGCCAATGGTCTCTTGAGTGCCGCGGCTGAAGGCATGGCCCTTGAGGGGATGATGCCACTCCCAGATAGTTTCGAAGCGATGAAAGTAAATTTTACTCTAACTGGCGCTGATCCTAACTAACCTGATTTAGAAACGAGGAACCAAGTCTTATGGTGAAAATCCAGTCTTTATCCTAGAGGAAATGACCGAGGAAGAAATCCAGAAAATCAAAGACCTATTTTCTAAATCTGAGAATGAGTCTGATTGCGACCTGGATTGGGTAGACGTCTCCAGCAAACTCGATATCCCTGATATAGAAGGTCTTCTGGAGTATTTCGAATCCGAAGAACACGAGATGGAAAGGCCACCACCTTATTTCCTCGCAGTGGATCGCGACACTTTGGAATTTGCGAATCGGTCAGAAAGAAAGGCAAAATCGGAGGCTGTGATTCTAGCATCGCAAGAGGCTGGAAGACTCCGGTTCTGTGATGATTTGGGTGATGGACACAGCGAGGTGTGTATGGGATATGGCGTTGTATCAAGGAGTGTAGAAGATGCCATGAACGCCGTGTTGAACCTTTCCTTGGCAAATATGGACTTTTGTGAACTAGCCTCTGGGTATGAATATGTGTATTGGAAGGGATACCAGGCTTGGGTGGATACTAATATGGATGACTATGACGAAGGAGAGAAGTCATTTGCGAGTGTTTGGGTTCCTGGAGAAGGACGAGTCGACTGTGAGAGATACTTCTAAGATTGAACTATTCTATAACCTCTAATATCTATTTGTTTCAATTGAAATCATGCGCCACAAAATAGCTCGAAGGCGGTCCTAGGTAACTTTCCTTGACGCCGCCGAGATCTAAAACGATCTTCTCGAGAAGCAGGTTTGGATGTTTCAATCGTACCCGGATTTTGTGAACACCTGCATCCAGAAAGCCAATATGGTGAGTCTTCTTCCAGACACAATCCATGACAGCATCTAACCAGCCTTCTGCAGGAAGTTTGGCTTTGTCAGTCGATTCTCGGACCAGAGTGTGAGATGTGGAAAACTGATTGTCAATCCCAACATCATAGGACATTTTGTCGTTCGGATCTAGGTCAAGTGTCATATTGAAGTAAAGAGTAACAGTCGTCAGCTCCCGGGCGGAGAAGGTGTAGATGGGATACTCCAGAAACGGGACAGCAGTCTCGATTCCTAGAGCATCGCTGCCAATGGTAATTGATCCTTGGTTTCCTCGTCCTAGCTCCTGGTGATGGACATATGGTGCTTTGATGCCACCAAAAGCAGGAATGGATACACATCCGTCTGCTTCAACAAAGCCATGGAAAGAGCCGGGAATTCTGTGACCATGAATAGGAAGATGTATATTTTCAAAGTCCCCCTCCGTCGACTTAACGGTAATAAGAACCACCTCTTCAAAGTCTGTCTTAACTTGGTCCCAATCGATACCGAGCCAGATTCGTGCATCGTTACCATCAGGATTCAAAGTTCCCTGGTCTAACGAAAGACGAATCCACGGATAAGGCGCCGACGCGGTCCAGTGAATCATTTGTGTCCCTCGAGTGAAAATATCAAACCAGCGCCCTGCAGGTCCATACCGACTCATTGGTCCTAATGTCAAACCAGGCACCAGATCCCGACGACTAGGGTGAGTACGCTCGCTTTCTTCATTGATGCGGCCAGCTCGAATGCCCTCATGACCCTCGACAGCGATACCCATCTGACCCACAATCGGGTTACTATCCTGGCCTCGTTGCACATAAGCCAGTCCGAAGATCGCGTCTCGCGATGGCGCATGCCAGGTATCGCCGTACCCGAGATGGCTCTGACACATCATGTGATTCCATTTACCATTCAAAAGCGAGTGGAACTCTTGCGAGAGTTTGAAGTCGGCGTCAAAGAGATCGAGGACTTCTCGCAGGAGTTTATTCGCCGTGTTGCGTCTTTGGCGGGCGTGCAACTGATTCCGGGCTTGGGTCACTCGCAGCTGGGTAAATATCGTGCTGGCTTTGACTGGGTGGACGACGAGTTCCCAGATTGCTGCTTTTTGTTCCTCGGTGGCGTGGTCATGGATGGTCTCTGCGGCTGACGAGAGCTTAATCCACCGCTTTATGATATCATCGGCTTCGTTGTAGTTTAGGAGTGAGAATGTTTCTGGGTCGATATGTTCATGTCTGCGCAGACGAACGAGACGATCGTATTCGTGCCAGATATCAACAATCCCAGGACTTAACTTCGCACCAAAATATTCGGTGGAAATATTGGCCAGGAATCGAGGAATGCTGTCTTCCTGTACCGAGTTGATGTTCCATGCCATTTCCATGGCAAAGGTAAGAGGAACCTCGATGGGCTTGATATCGCCGACATTGAACACCCATATTTTGCGCGCATTTCGACGATACGCTTCGTGCAGCTGGTGGTATGTTTTCCCCTATATTTGTCAGACATGTTCATTCAAAGACGTATCCTGACTAACCAACGAGTTTGAGTTGATCCATTTGTAGCTCCGAGGCGCCCCAACATATTCAAAGTGGTAGTAAATCCCGGCGCCTCCTGGACGAGTCAGTTCAGCCCCGGATGGCAGTCGCCGAAGAGAGCCGAAATTATCGTCCGCAAATAAAAGAGTCACATCGTCAGGTACGGTAAACTCTCCTGCCTGGTAGAGATCCTGGATTTCCTTGTAAAGAGCAAGAACCTGAGGAACGGCATCCTCCCGTCCATGGACCTCCTTGAAGAGAGCGCGCTGCTGCAAGAGCACATCCCGGATCACAGCGCCAGGATCATCGGTCACCATTCTTCTGTCATATTCACCTCGAATACCCAATGTGAAATATGACTCGAGGCCCTCGGCTCGTCGAACGCCCTTACGGAAGAACTCGATAATCTCTTCTCGGCTCTTAGTCCAATCCCATGTCCCGTCTGCCCGTGGCTCCTCCTCAAACCACTCAGTTGTGGCGCGCTGCATGGGCTCATGATGCGAAGTCGATACACAGATTCCATATTCATCTGCAATGCGCTGATTCTCCGGGTCATCCATGAAGAAGACAGCTCCCGGATTGGGGTATCCGGGCCACATAGCCGGCCACATGAAGTTGGCTTTTAGTCGAAGAAGTAGCTCATAGACTTTCTTGTAGAAGTGGCTATTGTAGGAACCGAATTTCTCCAGCACCCACCCTGTCAGCGCCGGTGCCTCGTCATTGATGAAGATGCCTCGGTATTGGATGCTGGGCTCGCCGTGGCATGTTTGGATAGGAAGGGCATAGATATCTGGGTGAAACTGGGCTGGGACATCGGCCCACCAGTACCATCTGCATCATTAGCAAGACATTAGGATTTCGAATGTGGCAAACCTACGGAGATACGCCAATCTGGCGGGACAAAGTGTATGCGCCAAATATCGCAGCTCGTTTGTCACTTCCCGCGATGACCAAGGCCTTGGAACATCCCGTGATCGGCTTGTCAACGACTGTAGTCAGGAATGATTCCCATTTTCCTTTGATCGGACCGGTGTCAATTTTCCCTTCCTTCTCAAGCTTTCTCAGCATCCAACACGATTCGATGCAGCCAATGATTATCGCCGTGCTTGTTTCTACAGGGTTCAATCCAGCCTCGTCTACGAGCTGGAATGGACTCGCGTTCCCCCGCGTCACTCGACCGAAGTCGTCGGCCAGGTCTCGACCCGCATGCTGGATCCCAACAAAGTCGACTGGATCAATGAGAATAGAAGCTCCAATGAGATTGAGAAGGTCCGGTGACCCCTCGAAAGCGACGAGCTGCTCCTCAAACATGATGCTTTCTCATGCCTGAGTGGAGTGACGCGGTGAACTTCCATCATTTTCACATCGGCTGCAATGCGGAGCTACCCCCACCCCCGCATGGCGGACCGACGGCAACGGCCACAGCTTGAAATGATGCCTGAAAATCAGACTCGTTGCGACGAGCCCTTACACATCTACCTGTGCCGGGCAGGGGAATTGCTAGGTAGCTACGTCTGCATCGGATTCCAGTCTCGGAATGACAAGTTGAGAGATTTACAGAATAGCGTGCGATTCAGGCCAGGTCATCTCTCCAAGCTATGGCTTGCGGGAAGGCTGTTCGGGAGACAACAACCCGAGCGTGGCCGTGGGGGATTATGACGGACTGGCTCGGTGGACCCGACTAGGGCTGTTACGGCCAACTCCGTTGCCGACCAAGCAATCAGAGTTTGAGCTCGGGGCTCTTGTACCGAACTCTTGGCTTGAGGCGTCATTAGTCCCAGTCGGTTAGCAATTAGTTTCGCGCCGTCAAAACCCCGACCAGGGATGGCATGTTCAAGGCGTGGGGGACAGGGACGTTCCCCACGGGGCACATGTTGCGGTCCACCCCCGCTTCCCCGGATAAATGAGTCTGATATTCTGTTTCTTTCCTGCTTACATTTTACAGTTACGGTTGGCGCACGGTGAATATCTTGGCTTCAATTACTGCGATACGGGACCATTTGACTGTTTCATTCTTTTCGCTTGGTCTGAATTGTTCAGAGCGCCCTCATAATGACAAAGACGGAGAACCAGGAGATTGAGAATGTGGCTGGCATGAACGATGTTGACGAGCCACAGAAGAACCATACGGATTACAGCCAGGTTGACAAGGAAATTGCCAAGTACGCCACCGATGGCGCTATCGAGATTGACGAAGCCACCAATAAACGGCTGAAGAAGATGATCGATAAGCGGGTGTTGGTGGTGATGATGTTCACATATTTGCTGCAGACTTTGGATAAGGGTGCGTTGTCTTTTGCTTCGATTATGGGCATTAAGACCGATGCACACCTGCAGGGTCAGCAGGTAAGAGTCTTCAAACTCTGTACTGGTGCTGTTACTTACTGTCATAGTACTCGTGGTTGACTACGATCGTCTATATCGCTATCCTTGTCGTTGAATATCCCGTGAGTATCACACACTCGTACCGATTGGCAAATGCTGATACCTGGTAGGAAAACTGGATCATCCAACGAGTTCCCATTGGAAAATGGCTTTCCATCAATATTTTTCTCTGGGGGGTTTGCATCTCTCTAATCGCGGCCATGGACACATTTGAAGGCTTGGCTGCTCTTCGTGCGTTCATGGGTGTCTTCGAAGCCGCATGCCAACCGACCTTTGTCGTGCTGTCGGCAACATGGTACAAGAGAGAAGAGCAGGCCAGCACTATCAACTTCTGGTGAGCACCCTACTCAAGGACGTCAAAGATGATAGACTAATCTTGTTAGGTTCATGATGAATGGTCTCCAGAACATTGTCGGTGGTCTTCTAGCCTTCGGATTTTCCTTCGTACCCTCTACCTCTCCTATCAAGTCGTGGCAGGCCCTCTTCATGAGCTATGGAATTATCACCGTGATCTGGGCCACCTTTGTCTTTTTCTGGTTGCCCGACTCTATCATGCGCGCCAAGTGTTGGTCCGAGGAAGATAAGCGTCTGATGGTTGAGCGAGTGCGACAGAATCAGACTGGTCTACAGAACCGAATTTTCAAATGGGACCAAGTGAGAGAGGCCTTTGCTGATCCCCAGCGTATGTTCTTCAATCTTCAAACGAGAAGCTTTTTACTAACGAACCGTAGTCTACGCATTCGCTCTCATTCAACTATTGACTACCATCCCCTCCGGCGGCATCGGTGCGTTTGCGAACATCATCGTCAGCTCTTTCGGTTTCAGCACCTGGGCGAGTCAACTCCTGTTGATGGTCGTCGGAGCTGTAACTGCCATCACGATGATATCCTCCGCCTACCTTGACCGCTACTTCAAACAAACCATCCTAATCATGATTCTCTCGCTGATCCCCTCGATCATCGGCACATCAATCTTGGTCGGAATTCCATTTTCCTCAGACAAGAAAATTGGCATGCTCATTGCATACTTTATTTTCTACTCCTTTTTCGCTGTCCAATCGCTCGGATTGAGTTTGATGTCTCGAAATGTGGCCGGCCAAACCAAGAAATCTATCGTCATCGCCTGCAATTTTGTCTTCTGGGCTGGTGGAAATGCCATTGGACCTCAGATTTTCCGGGATAAAGATGCGCCACGATACTATCTTGCCTTTGCGATTATCTTGGCCTGCTTCGGATTGTGCCTTATTCTTCTCATTGCGCTCCGGATGTGGTACAGTATTCAGAACCGCAGGAGAGATGCGAAGATTGCATCTGGGGAGATCGTGCCCGATGTGAACTTTACGCATGCTTTTGAAGATATCACCGACTGGAAGAATCCTCACTTTAGATATAACTACTGATCCCATCCCATTGATGATTTGGGAATTGTACATAGAATGACTTGCATCAATACAGGAATGACCGCCCTCGAAGTGACGAGATAAATTCAAGTGATATAGAACAGTAAAAGCAGGTACAACTCCAAAGCCACATAATCAGCATGGATAAAGATCAAACTGAACTCTTCCGATCAATCGTCACCTCAACATCATGCCGCACGCGAATATAATTCAAACCCAAATACTCCTCCAGCGGATTCAAATTCCGATCAGGCTCAGGACTAGCCTCCACCCGCGCAGCATGAGCAAACAGCCTCACAACGTCCTCCTCCTTTTTACCCCCAAACGAATCAATCGGCGTCATACTGCGGCCTGTACTGTTCACATCAATACTAGCCCCCGTCCCCTTGAAGATCCCACGAATAGAATCCCTCGCGCGAGAAGGCATGCGTTTCCGGATGTAGTAATTGTGTTCGAGTTGGAGTGCCCATTGCACGACTGGTTGCATTGCGGGGAGGCAGGAGCCGATCACTGAGATGCAAGGTTCAATTGTGGACCAGAGGCATACGGGTGCTATGTTCCAGGTGATGTCGATCGAACCCTCGCCTTTTAGTTTTGTCAGGTAGTGGATTCGGATGATACTTGCTGCGAAGACACTGTATGATTGTTAGCCTCGTATACACAAATATAATTGGAGGAATAGAAGAGCCTACAAGCATCCCAAAAACAACACGATGGAAACCATGATCTTCTGGGCTACACGCATCTTCAAGCGCCAAACGATTGGAATCGGAACGGTCATCACGAGGAAATCACAGACGACATTCGTCGCCGCGTTCCCCACATAATAGCTGTAGAAACTGTATCGATAGTATCCGCCCGTTTCATCGGCAACTTGAGTCCAGAAATAGGAGATTGGCGCGGGGGCCAAGCAGAGTGCGACGGTACATCCGATGAACCAGCCCACAGAGAAGAAACAAGCTAGCCAGTTCAGTGGGTTCATGCCGAAGACGCGGCGGTAGAACAACAGAATAGAGATTTTGATCATGCAGAGTTCGAAATTATAGATTACTAAGGAGACGAATAGCATCTTCTTCATATTAGTTCATGTTGAATCCTCATCGGTGGGTATATCTACCTTTTTAAGAGTGATCATGTGCCCGACTGTACAGAGCCAGACATGTTTTCCAAGACCGTAGTGATCGGCTAGATAGTGTGAGAGGATGTTATGGAGTGAAGAGGATGGTACATACCGACGAAGTTGATTGCAAACAATACACCGAGAGGAGCCTGTTGAATCAGTCAGAGGTTAGGATGAGTATTGGTGAACCTCCGACTCACCATCGCAATAATCATAAGCCAGTCATCAATTCGTAGTGTTTTATTCGTACGGATGCGGACAAAGATGCGTATCGGAAGGACAATCGCTGCCAAAGCACACACGATGATGATGGCGATGTTATTCGGCAGATTCTGGTCCTGGGAGAGATCCACCCCCGCCGGCGGGGGTGAGAGTTCTGCAATAGTCGTTGATAGATTCATCTGTGCAGTCTGCCAGCAGACGATGACACGATGACACGAAGACTTTTCTCTTCGCTCGCTTGTCACTTCTCACTTCGATCGCCTATCCTTGCTCCTCGAGTGCTGACAATATAGTAAAAGAGGACCAGCAAGGGTCGCAGATTAGAACTCGCGCATGTCGGATCAGCCATTGTTTTAAGGCAGTGCAAGACTGAAATAGATACATGGCCATGTGGCGATTTCCCCGCTGGGACCCGTCTTCATAGCGAATGATAGCAGCAGGAACAGATGGGCGTTGGGGCCGTTCATGCTATTTTGGGGGCGGGCAAGCTTGTCTACGATGGGATTCTGACCCCCAACTTGTTTCGCATAACCATGTTCTCTGTTTTCTGTTTTCGCTGACTGGGATGGGGGCGGAAGTATACTTTCTCGGTCGATGATTGGGCGGCGATCTTGAAGGATTCGTGCCAAGAATTATAACTCCGGCATTGCGTGCAGACTGTGCTTTAGTCTTCTTCTCTCGAATGTTCTCAAAGACAGAGAATGAGTAGGAGAAGTGTGAATACTTCATGGATTTGACATGGATTCGGTTTAAGCTTGTGGAGTTTGACATGGGGCCGTATGCTGAGATGCAAGTGACTGGGATTGTAGAAGCACCGGGTTGCGACTTTGGTCACGGAAGCCCCGAATGCAGGGTGTGCGAGGGCGTCATGGTCAGAGAGACATGAGTATACAGGGTTGGTGCGTCACCAAGTGCGCGTGATGATGTACCTGTTGATCCTGTGGGGGCCACGAGGCAGTTTACGCTTATCCTGCAGGATTCACGGGAAACAAGGAACTGCAAATCTAGGAAATTACACTTCGTCCTCGGCGATTTTGTTTGATAGTATCTCCTATATTGGACAATTCTACAGATAGCCCACAAGGCTGGCGGTGTCGTTGCCACAAATAACGAACGTTCGCCACAAGTGTCAAAAGAACAATGGCGTTAAGGATTTCGAGTCAGCATAAGCAACGAGAGTTCCTTCTGGAAGCCAGTTTCAGGCTAATCTGAAACGAACAATGGTTCTTGCAATCGATTCGGAACATATTCTCTGGATCTGCAGATCTGGCATCGAATCGGATCCACCTCGTACTGGATAGCCCACTGAGGAACCCCTGGACCTAAGGAGGAAGTGGGCCAAAGACGCTTTTTAGTGATTTCGCGTCTATTATGCGATCGGATGGGAGGATTTACGTCACAGACGCATGGTATTCCCGTTTTGGTATCCGGTCATGTCATGGTCTCCATCCAGAGGCAACAACTTCAAGTCTGTACCTGATGGAGGGCTAAATCATGAACCTCTTACGGTGGTAAAGGTCTCTGGTAGCCAAGTAGCTCCATACCTGGCCCTTTGGTGAAATGCCGGAAAACCCAGCTTCGAAAAGTGAAGAAATGTGCGACGATGTTCATTCACAATACACACTATGTGCTTAATATGGGAACGACGATCATACCACTACGATAGTCAAAGCTAAACCTCCAAGAACAGCCTCCAAGACAGAACAACTACCACTTTGGATTGGCCACTCGGAAAGGGTTCGTATCACGAAGACCGTGCGCACAGCCAATTGCCTCATTGAGGATAACCAAAACAGAGGAAGGATCAATCCTGAAAGCCAAGACCTTGGTAAATGCAGACAAACAAAGCCGTCAGAGTTGAAGAAATATTGCATCAGACCCATAGTGTTCAGAATTCCGCCCACCATTTCGACAAGAAATGATAGTCATCCCAGCGTAAACGTCTAGAAATCAATACAACCCTTCGCGTATACTTAGATCATAGCTTCCACTGATTCTTCTTGTACTGTCGAGGCCAGACACCCGATTTCCCCGGAGCCATAATGCCATTGGGATCAATAGCATTCTTCAAGAGCTCATTGAATTTCAAAAAGGCCCCATCATTCCAGTTGTACGTCCCCATGATCTGGTCCATAACCGCCAAGTGCGTCCGATACTCACCCCAGCCCTTGGCAGCACAGTCATCAATTAGCGTCTTGATAAGCCAGTGCGCTTTCTTCTTCTGCTCAGTGTCCTTTTTATTGAACACAATACAGACAATGTGATCTGAACTGGAATTAGTCGAGGATAACAGTGTAGATCGGTGTACGTACGCATCTCTCGCATGCCAATTGTAAAAGTTCCGATAAAATCTAGACCGGCTTCGTGACATCTCTTCTTCGTGACAGCGTATTGCTCCATCGCATCTTTTCCTTGAACTGGAGCAATTGGTGAGAAGAATAGATGAGCGCCGTTGGGGAGCCAATCTATCCATTTGAGTTCGTCGTACGTCGGTATACCCTGCATGGTCTTGTGTCGGATGCGAAGAACCGAGTTCTCGGGTGTATCCTCTGGGAAGAAGAACTGGGCGCCCGGGATAGCGGAGAAGGCTTCCTTGATGGCGGCCCAGAGAGCATTTCGGATTGGCTCGGGGCCCTATAGAAAGGTTAGCATCATAATCAATACTTGAGGGATAAGACTCACATAGAGTGCTCCGTAGAAGTTCCATCGACCGAGCTTTAGTCTCTTGGCAATTTCATTCAAGTCTTCCTCCCCGAGTGGCTCTGTTTTCGTCGTGTACTCCTTCTTGGATCCCATGACTGCGGCATCTAACAAGATATGTCGAATGGTCGGCACATTTTGAAGCGCCATGTTTAAGCGAAGCGGCCGAATAATATCAACTGCCTGCTTCAAATCCTCTTCCCGGGGAATGGTAACAAGGTAAGACTGATAACCGCCGGGGTTTGGCATAAGCCACATCCCCAGCTTGGTTACGATCCCAAAGTTCGACTGGGTAAAGATCCCATCGACGTATGGACCGAAGCCATAATTGAACAGCTGCGCTGTTTTGTTCCACGGCTGATCTTCTGGTTTGAGGCCTGCTGTTTCTGGACGGGGTGGTTCTGGGAGAGCACCCATTCCGGTGCGTAGAAGTTCGCCGTTTGGAAGAACGACTTCCATGCCGCTGTGCATCATCCAATGGTCTGATAGGGTTAGTTGACGGTTATGATATGGTAACTGTGATACGTACCACCGTACGGTGTGTAGCCCACTCCACGTTCCATTGTATTTCCAAGGACAGAGCCCCCACCAAGGTCAGGAGTGTCGATCCAGAGTTTGTCCTGCAGGTTATTGGCAACGAGGTAATCATACAGTGCTTGGAAAGTGACGCCTTGAAAAGCTTTGTCAGTCATGCCCATAGATTCCGCCTGTTCCCCTTGGCTCTCTTACCTGGCTCCAGAAGACAGTATGCGCCTTCTACATTGACTTCCAGAATCTTGTTCATGTTTTTACCCATGTTGAGCACTAAACTTCCAGACACACGAGGCGCCGCACCGCCGTAGCCGGAGTTTCGGCCAATGGAAATCGGCCAAAGAGGAAATGACAGCGTATTAGCTAGTCGCACGATCGCTCTGTGAATTATTAGCAGATTCCTCTACATCGTAATCCTCTGCCACATACTGGACGTCGGAAACATCCCGAGGCGCTACTACCGCAGAGGCAAGGAAGTAATCTTGCTCCATCACATGGTGAGGGTCATGCGTATATGTCGGGTCCATGTATGACTTGTCGTCAATTTGATCCTTGGATGTAATGATGTCGACATTTTCATCGCCAACGAGGTTCGTTATATCTTGGATGAATTTGTTGAAGTCAGCGAGTGTCACCTTGGGCGGCAAGGCCAAAGGAGTGAACTTGTGAGAGCCGGACATGTTTTCAATGTGAGTTTGAGATGATTGAAATGGAAAAGCGAAGGACGGGAAATTGGAGAACTGGTCGCATTGACTGGACCCGCTGTCATGCATTGTCTGTGAAGACCACCCTATCTACATTTACAATTGCAAGCGAGCTCCACCCAGTGTCGTGTCAAAACTCGCACTACATAGAATAGGAAATGATAGCCAGTGAGATTGCTACGGGCTCAAGCTCTGAAGCTATTGCGGTGTGGCTAGTTCATTGGTGGGGCTTCTCCACTAACATTACATCTAGATGGGGCGGAAGAGGGGAAGATAAATGCACGCTTATAACATCAAATTAACCATCATCCCTGTGATCAAGTATATAAGCCTACTATCATCACATGAGGGTTACAGAAATTGACGGTATGTAGAATGGATTGTATTGCATCGGAAATTTACTCTTCGTTCTCTGCTTAATCTCTATTGAATCCGATGGACCGACAATTCGGCTTGCAACGATGGGAATGAAGGGAAGGAATAAATGAATAGAAGAGAAGGGCTGGATACAGGAACAGAGGGGCGAGATCATACTTGGAGATCGTGTCTTCTTTATATGAGATATCTTCCTTCCTGATATATGATGCTGCCACGACATGCCAAATAATGCCTAAACAGAACTATCTAAGCGAACAACAAGCTTCTCACCCTCGAACTCATCAATGCGCTGCATCCACTCATCCAGTGAATCCAGATCAACCACAGTAACCTTTGGCACAACCACACCCCGACGCACAAACTCTGCCGCCTCGGCAATATCAGCGCGATCCCCCGTAATACTCCCAATCATCCGAATCCCATAATCAATCAAAATCAGGGGATGAATCTGCACCTTCCAAGACGGCGGTGGGATTCCAACAGCAACAAGTGTCCCGAAATAATCCAAACACTCAATCGCACTCTCATACGCCGTCGTGGCACCCGCACAAACAATAGCAGCCGCACAAAGATTCCCACCAGTCTCTTTCAGCAATACACTCTTCAAGTCATCCTGTGCTTGATAATCGATATAAGCCTCCGCACCAGCGTCCATGACAACTCTCTTCCTTTTTGAACCGCCATCAACGCCGATAACCCGATACCCCATCGCCTTCGCATAAGAAACAGCCAACACCCCAACTCCGCCTCCAGCGCCTGAAATAAGCACCCACGATCCGGGGGTCGCCCCAGCCACCTTCAGCGCCTTGTACGCCGTAACACCAGCACACATCACCGGGGCCAGTAATTCAGGCAAAACATCCTGCGGTAAAGACGTTATGTAGCGGTCCGGAACCGCGACGTAGGAAGTCAGTGTACCCGAAATATCACGGCCGCTAAATACCTGCGTCTCGCACCGGGTCGTATCTCGTGCACAGTTCTTACACGAGCCACACGCATCACGGATCCAGCCTACGCCGACTGTTTGACCGAGCAAGGCATTGGGATTCGTACATGCGGCTCCGACTTGGACGATTTTGCCAACTCCCTCGTGGCCGAGGATTTGCTGCGTTGGGCCAAGGTAGCCTTTTGCGAGGGCAACGTCTGTGCCACAGACGCCTGTGACGGATAGTTTGACAAGGACTTGTTGCGGGGTAATTGTGGGGATTTGAACATTTTCAATGCTGAAGGCGAAGTCCGAACCAGGCTGGGAATTGTGAGTATGGATAAACTTTAGGACTGAATTGGACTTACGTTTTGGAGGATTCCGGCTTTTTGAGTTTCAGGTATGTTTACGCCGGGCATTGTGAAATTGCACTGAGAGTTGAGATGCCCACACCCTGTTTGTGGACGTTAACCCCTCTCTTTTTGAATGTATTGATAATAAAGTGAGAATGTTTGAAGTGGCAGACGAGGCTTTTGGTGTTGACGTACTGTAGTGGTGCTTTTTTGTGACCAATTGAGATGGTTGAAGATCGTCACATGATGAACACTTCACATTGGGAGGTCGGGTCCAGATTCATCTTGGACAATCGTTTCGTCTAGTGAAGCCTCGCAAAATTGATTTGGGACATATCTCGACGCTACCTGGGGAATTGGGATGTGAAGGGATTTGGCATAAATTGCCTGTTCGCCTTATTTTTAAGGCACCATTAATTTCAGGGGTCTATATTATATTTTACAGAGGTCGATGCCTTATAATTCAGGGCCAGACCCTACCACAATCTCAGTGGGACCCCAGTGAGTTGATTCCTGGTCTGACTTGGCGAAAAGAATTGCATCAAAACAGTAATGTTCAATTCTTTTTATTTGCGACCGAGTAATATTGTTCAAAGACCTCAGTTTCAAACATACCACATAGAACCACAAGAGCCAGCGTGTATTTTGAGGATGGTGTTTTTCAACCTGATCATTCACTAAAGTGGTGGGTCGGGACTGGGCCTGTGGGCCATGGTTCCAAGGGGCTTGGGGCTGGGGGAAGCGCGGGGAGAGCCCGATTTCTCGGGTATGAGCCTTCTCAATATGTGAGCTATCATATTGCATTCTAATCGATCCTCTCTTGCAAGCCATGGAATAAGCTCATTGCGCCACGCGTAAAATCAAGTACTGAGAGCTGAAAACCCGAAATGACGTAATTCATAAACAACATAAAGTTCTGTCAGGTTGGGATTGTCCTGTGCAGGTCCCAACCATGATCAGTCCATCGGATCGCGCATATTCCTCACCCGTCGGACAATCTTGGAAAAGACCGGTCGAATCATCTCCTGTAGCCACATCGGAGCCGCCCGAATAGACCCCGCTATCGAAAGATGTCTAGGAAGAATAATCTGTCCGCTCCTCCTTGACATGATTTGCTCAACTATAACACCCGAGACAACCTTCGGAGACATGATGGGTTGTCCAAAGTGGGATTGGTGGTCTGTGAAACCCTTGATCATGGGCGTCCCAACCCAAAGTGGATGAATGATGCTAAAGTCCTCAGTTAACGCGGCTTTTTCCATGTGAAAGTGAAATTAATGTATTTGAACTAACCTCGTCCGCACATTCGGCGCATTATACCAATACTTCAACTCTTGCCTCAACCCCTCGTGAAACACAAGGGCTCCAGCTTTCGAACAACAATAATCGACCATCTCGCCCACGGCTACGAAGCTAGCAACGCTAGCGACTGTGATGACGTGGCCGCGGTTCTCCCGGATCATGTACGGGAGAAACTCCTTTATCAATAGGTAATGAGCAAGATTGTTGACTTCGTATGTTCGTCGGATCTTTTCCTCTGTTTTCTCGAGGATTGTTCCATGTTCGAAGATCCCGGCGTTGTTGATTAAAATTGTTGGATCGCCGTGTTCTGTCTTGATCAGGCAGGCGACTTCGGCGAGTTCCTTGGAAGAGGTGATGTCTGCCTTGTAGAAAATCACGTTGCGGGGAAGCGGGTAGTTTGGGGTCTGGATGTCGAGTACTATCACGCGGAGTCGTTGATTAGAAAGGTCTTCAGCTAGTTGTTTTCCAATTCCGCTTGTGCCGCCAGTCAACAGGACCAGTTCATTTTCTGGGTCCCATTTCTCCGATTGTTGAAAGTTGTTTAGCACCAACTTCGTAAGCTTCCTGTGGAGGAGGTAAGCTAGAAGAGAGCTTCCGAATGCTCCTAGGAGTATAGTGGACGGGAGATTCAGCGTGGGCGTATTCATGGTGCTCCCCGATAACCACTGCATCCTTTTTCGTGACTGATATTAACAGAGAAAATCAATTTGAACGGCAGAGTTTAACTCGGACTTATCGTTCCTTATTTATTCTCGGATCGCTCAGCTTCTCCGTCTGCGCATAGTTCATCCATTTGCTTTTGCTTCTCGCTTATCCACATCCGGCTAGCCCAATGAATTAAAGCTGCACTCGTCCAAAAAAGCCGATGTCAGAGTACACATCATTCGCGAATCGGATAACATACCCCTACTCTGCTGACTTTTAATTTGTGCCTGTGGCCGAGCCATACACGTGTGGTTGCACGTTGATGCACAGTGCGGCTGGACCTATCATGACCCCTGTATGCAAGGGAGGCTCAAGACAGGAATGGTTCATGGAGGTGAACCCAAATTTAAGTTTGTGCGTCCATTTTCGAGTGCCACTGACAGTGAAGATCCGGCGATCGTGATATTTCATTCGTTCTTGTCAATTGATCATGGGGAACCGGTCGGCGTTGGATTCAAGCAGGTGCTGTATCGGGTCATGCCGAGCTAATTGTGCTTGGATGCTGGCCCATCGGGTTGCAATCAAGGATAATGGGTCAGCTTGTGCGTCGCCTCGGGCCGGCCCCACTGACAAGGCATTGTGTGCCTGATCCAGTGGAACCGAGATGTCGCTCATGTAACTACCAAAAAACTTAGAAGGTCGTACTGCGTCAAGATTCGGACGGATGTTTCTCTGTTTGCAGCTTTGCAAGTATCTCGGTCTTTGAAGGTTCACGAAGGGGAGATACGATCAGGCAACACGATGTTGGTATGCATGAGCTTATCAAAGAAGTAAGATGTGCGGCGCGGGGAAAGTCAAATGGTAGATAAGAGGCCAGGAAACGGGAAACTCAAAGGTGCCATTGACGTCCTTTACGTTTTACCTTGTCATCTACCCTACCCATCTACCCCAGAATTACAGGTCACACACGTCCGAGTCTTGTCATGTGTCATGAAAAAGTATATGGTTGGAAAGTGGTAGAAAAAGTAAATAATATCATTAAACGCATTAATCATATCCAGGATAATTAAAAAGTCCTTTCAATCATGGGAATACATAATCATAGCCAACGCCTTACAGAGAATTCAAAATTCCCTCAACCAACGGCAACAAGCCCGAGACATCATCAATAATAGTGGCTGTCTCGTTAACGAACTTGGTGGTGAGCAGGTCACCAGCGTTGGTCAGAAGGGAGTGCAATTCCTTGATAGTAGCCGGCTGGAGGAGGGATTCGAGCTCGGGCATAGACTTGTCGAGACTGGTGACCAGACCGCTGAGGGACTTGACGGTCGAGGGCGTGAGAAGCTCGCCCGCCTCGTCGATGAGGTTCTTGGTATCGGTGACGAAGGCGGTGTCGAGGAGAGTGGTTCCGTTGCCCAGGAGGTAGGTCAGGTTCTTCAGGGTCGTGGCGTTCAGGAAGTCCTCGGTGATGTTGGGGACGACCGGCACCAGGTGGTTGAGGAGTTCGCTGAGACCGCCGACCACGTATGGTGTAAGGAGGTCGTGCGCGCCGGAGATCAGGGACTCGGTCTCGTTGACGAAGGTTGGCGAGAGGAGGTCGTTGGCGTTCGTCAGCAGGGAGGAGATCATCTCGATGGTGTCCTTGGTGAGGAGCTTCTCGACCTCGGGGAGGAGTGGGGTCACCTCGCTGAGGATGCTCTTGAGACCAGAGACCAGCGACGGGGTGAGGAGGTCGTCCGCGTTGCTGACCAGGCTCTGGGTCTGGTTGACGAATTTGCCGGTGAGAAGGGCATTGCCGTTGTTGAGCAGGTCCTCGAGCTCCTCCAGTGTTTCCTTCGTGAGGAAGGTCTTGATCTCCGGGAGCAGGGGAACGACCGCGCTGAGGATCTCCTTGAGAGCGTTCGACACCGAGGTAGTAAGCAAAGCAGAAGCACCGGCCACAAGAGACTTGGTCTCCGACACGAACGAATCGGACAGAAGATCGTTGCCGTTGGTAAGCAGAGTCTGAATATCCGAAATGGTGTCGTTGGTGAGCAGGTTCTTGATCTCCGGCAACAGCGGCACAACGGCTGTGAGGATCTCCTTGAGAGAGTTGGTCACGGAAGTTGTGAGCAGGGCAGAAGCGCCGGCCACAAGGGACTTGGTCTCCGAAACGAAGGAGTCGGAAAGAAGATCGTTGCCGTTGGTGAGCAGAGTCTGGATGTCCGTGATGGTGGCCTTGGTGAGCAGGCTCTTGATCTCTGGCAGCAATGGCACGACAGCGTTGAGAATCTCCTTGAGGGAGTTGCTGACCGAAGTAGTAAGCAAAGCAGAAGCACCGGCCACAAGAGACTTGGTCTCCGACACGAACGAATCGGACAGAAGGTCGTTGCCGTTTGTGAGCAAAGTCTGAATATCCGAGATAGTGTCGTTTGTGAGCAGATTCTTGATCTCCGGCAACAGGGGCACCACAGCGTTGAGAATCTCCTTGAGAGAGTTGCTGACCGAGGTAGTAAGCAGTTCAGATGCTGACGCAACCAGGCTCTTGGTCTCAGTGACGAAGTTTTCAGAGAGCAAGGAGTTGCCGTTCTTAAGCAGGTTCTCCAACGCAGTAAAGGTGGAGGGTGTGAGGAAGGACTTGAGCTGGGGCAGCAGAGGCACAACAGCGTTGAGGATCTCCTTGAGCGCGTTGGTCACAGATGTGGTCAGGAGAGCAGTGGCGCTCTTGATCAAGTTCTGGGTTTCAGTGACGAAGGACTCGGTCAGCAGAGAGTTACCGTTCTTCAGCAGGTTGCCGAGCTCGTCGAAGGTCTCCTTGGTGAGGAAGTTCTCCAAGTTGGGCAGCAGGGTCACAACATCGTTCAGGATCTTCTTCAGTGCGTTGGTCACATCGGTAGTCAGCAGATCGTTGGCGTTGTTGACCAGGCTCTCAATAGACTTGACGTTCTTGGTAGTGAGCAAGTCGTCAGCATTATCAATGAGATCATTGACCTTGTCGATGTTGTTAAGCAACTTCTCAATGCCGGCCAGGTTCTTGTCAGACAGCAGAGTATCAGCCTTGTCGAGAATGTTACTAAGGGTCTTGGTGTTCTTAGCCGACAGCAAGGTGTTGGCGTTGGAAATGAGGTCACCAATAGCCTGGGTGTTATCGTTGGAAAGTAGAACCCGGATGTTGGTGTCAACAGGGGGAGCCAGACTAGTGGACAAGTACTTGAAAGTCGAGGTGAGCTCGTTCAGGAAATCGGGGTTCAATAGATTCTCCAAGCCCTTAGCCAGATCACCCAGATCACTGCCAATAGAGCTAAGACCAGAACCAGACAGAAGGCCCTCAATGCTGCTCAGAAGCCCGCTGTCACTGCTGCTTGATGAGTCGGTAGACTCTGACTTGGTGCTAGAGCTAGTAGTTGTGCTATCAGTGTTGGCAGACCCGGCAGCCGCGCTAGCACTAGCAGTGGAAACGGCAGCACTGTTTGTCGCAGCGGCAGCGTTCGAGTTTGCGGTGTTGGCATTGGCAGTAGCAGCATTGGCGGTAGCAGCATTCGCCGAGGCAGCATTGGCATTGGCATTGGCATTTGCATCAGCAGCCGCACTGGTGGCTGTGTTCTCAGTGGACTCCTCCGAATTGGCACCATTGGCAGCAGCTGCGGTTGTTGCGGCGGCCTCGGGGCCATTGACATTGGCCGTGGTAGCCGCATTTGCAACGGTATCGGCCGCATTGTTGACTGCAGCAGCCACGCTGTTCTGACTGTCAGCAGCAGAAGCTGCAGCAGTGGATGCTGCAGCGGTTGGCGACGCGCCTGTGACCGAGGAGATGGCCAGGAAGGTCGTCGCAAGGACTGGAATAAAACGCATGTTGTCGGTGTGGCTCCAATATCTTGTGTATGCGTTTAATCCGCAGTCACAATGGGCGTCGGGCTAAATGGAAAACCGCGAGAGGAGAGCCTGGAGAGAAAAAAGCATGCACGCGGGTCGCGCCAGGTCTTTATTTTGGCGGGTCGTGGGATCGTCCATCTGGGGTATCATTTCGGGGGATGCCTCCTCCACCCGAGTCTTGCGCTAAGAGGCTGCAGTGGAGGAAACCGAGATGTGGATCGCCGTCCGAGGCAGCAAGCTCGCCATGTGATGAGCAGAAAAAAAGCAAAATTCCGTCACATCGCTAGCGTTGAGAACCGCATCTTTGACATCACTCGGGTTCCTGGGGCTTGAGCGGAGCGCCATCGACCGGGGTGTCTTAGGGGAACTAGGCCGGTTCCGAGGCACAGGGGAGCCACAGTCTGGACGAACTCAGTTCAGGGGCGTAGAACCACCAGTTCACATGTGTCCCATTAATTTGGCATTGTTAAATTTCGTGGCTTTTGTGGAGATCGTGTTGGAGAGCAAGAGCTAAACCCAGACGAGCGGACCCGTCTCCACGTCGACGCCCATTGTTGGATCGAACCTGGCCGACCAAAGACCAAAATGAGGGGTTTTCGGAGCTAGAGCTCGAAATGGCAGCGAATCCTACCCCGGACCTACTTCAGCGGGGCCTCAGTGGGGCATTATTGATTGCAAAGCCTTGGAATTGGCAGTGTCCTACGTCCTGCGTCTACGGTGGAACCCGACGATCATTACTCCACATGAACATAATGCGCCGGAGAGAAAAAAGTGAAAAAGTGCAATCATTGGCTCGACCGCCAGGGACCAAAGACCCTGCACAGTTCCTGGATGCGTCATTTAGTCATCCATGATTATGGTGTGTACTGCGTTTTTGCGATTTTTTCAATGTTTCGCATGGCAATAGTTGTTGAAGTGGGCTCTCTCCACTATTAGTCTACTATTCCCATCTATCCTCTGATCGACGGACGTTTCTCCATGACAGAACTAACTCATGTACTAGCGCAAATCGCTTCGTGTACAGTAAGACATGGGATCGTGGTCACGTTCCCACGATGATTGACAGATTTCTGATTGGTTGAGTTTGACTTTGCTTTTCTCTCCACTTCCCCGGCCTCGTCTCCATCGCCAATCTTCATTTCCCGCTTTCCAAGGTTCTTGTTTCTTCCCAGGTTGCGTCATGTGGAGGGCTGTTCAACTTGAGCAGTATTGGTAAATAATTGGGACTACATTATCTAATATAGCAGACAAAGCAATTACGTTCAGGGGAAGAGGTAGCAAGGGGGAACGTGGCGTCAGAGGCTGCCAAGCAACCCGAAATGTGGACAAACCTCGAAACGAGCCCAATCCTCGGCCATGGATCAACCTCGATGGCATCAGTGCTTCCTTCGCGTCATACAAATCTGTGTGCATACAGTATAATATGGTGCAACCGACGTGGACTCAATCTCGCACGACATACATTATCGTGCGTCGCTTTGACTCCTGGACCCGCACGCTAAATCCTGCATGCATGCTAGAAAGCTCTATAGCCCGCTAGTCCAGCCCAGGCTCCACGAGGTCTGTGTAGCTATGAGAAAAGGATCGGTCACAATGGACCTGCAAGATCGGAACGCCTTTCACTCTTAGTCCCCGATGACTACTAGTTGGACATAACAGAGATCAGACAATAAGACAAAGATGAATCGATTGCTTTGTACGGAATACACTGTAGATTGTGACAAGAGTCTGCGAGATCCAGATCCCCTTTTTTCTCAGCTGCGGCCTCCCGTTTAACGGGATCCACATGCCTACTTCGTCTGTGGGACGTGATGCATCCTATATTGATGTAGAACGACAAGTCGGGCATTCTTCTTATTCTAGTCACCGTATTGAAAGATATCGAAATTTGTAGGATATTCAAATTGAAGCTGATCCTATATCCGATGTATGGAGTTAATATGTAGACTCTAAATAGCATGGACCCCGCCAAATCTCGTTAATGCCCGACATCGTAAACTTTCCTCAAATTCGAGTTTTTTCCCGCAACAGATCGGCAGTGATTCAACGGTTGCGGCTCTCTATCTTCCAGCTCAAATTTTACATTGTTCTATTTATGATATTGTTTCTATTTATGAGATTATTTAAACTATCCATCGCGTCTCAGATTATCCCCATATTCCAGTATCAGCCCCGACCGGCCCGGCCCTGAAAATGAACCTGACGAAAATTCAGACACTGGAGGCAGACTCGGACCTTCCAGAGTTGCCTAGTGCTTTAAGTTTTCTGTTTTCCTTGTTCGGCCAAGTCTGCACAGAGCTCGCCGATCTGGGCGTATGCTTTCAAGGGATAGATTAAGGGTGCATGGGGCCGAGTTGCGGGGTCATCATCCAAGCCATTCATTTAATTTCATTAATATCGAAGATTCCGAGGCTTAAGTCTTTACGATAGATTAATCATGTGTCATTTCCGTCATCGCTTCTCTGGACGTCCACTGTACATTCGAGATAAACAGCGACCGGGAAATGCAACTAAAACGGTCTATTCCAAGCTTTTATCCTGTATATACTCTACTGTAAGATACTCATACTCATATCAGCCAATCCAATCTTTGCTTGAGCAATATCATCTACGTGTGGCCGTGATATAAGGGGTGTAGGATGCGGACCGGCTCCCAACACTATAAACAACCCCAGTTCCCGAGGTCAGCGGCAACAATCTCACTGGGGCGCAGCACCATTCCCAGTAACCCCGCACAGTGAATAATCGCCTAGTTTCTCACATATCCTCAACACGAGTTGGCTATATGTAATGTCTTCGTAGGTATATTGAAGGGCTTATTGTAGCTCCCGCACCGTTTGTAGAGGCCGGGCCGCGTGGGGCAATGGATCAAGTCTGTAGCAATGTTCAATTTCATCAAATCGACAAAGGTAGGATATACAGTAGTTCCGGTAATCGGTGTCACCATCTACTGTATACTCTTCTATTCTTTTTTGAACCCCTAATGCTAAGACGTATTAGGCTATATAAAGACTACAGTAGCCTCGGAATAAAGGTAATCCTGTATTATCCGGTAGTCACGTACTAGATTTGCATATATAGAGAGAAATTACTCAAAAAAGTAGTCCATCGCTTATATAGTTAGAAAACCCCATTTTGACTGCCTTGATAAGACTGTAAATATAAATTAACGATTTGAAGGTAGTGCGACCGATGTTAACTTGACATCGGTCACGTAGAATAGCACGGATCTCGTTATATATGCGCTCCGACTGGATAAGCATATTAAAAAGGTCTTTATTAGCGAAAAGCTCTGATCTAGGCGGCATTTTGTAGGAAATAATGGTTAACTCAACGAAAATCATAGACGATTTTGAAGATTTCATAAAAATTCAGAACCAGGCCAGGCCATTACAAAACTACTACCGAATTGATCAGAAAGCCTAAGGATCCAGAACCCTTGCTCATATTTGTCCTAGGTTGCATGGCGGTGGGGATGTGGCAAGATGAAGTGTTGGGATGACAGTACCATAATGCTGTAACTTCTAAGGCTCTTTATTGATATTGTGGGCGTTAGAAACCACGGTATTTTATTAACCAATCAAATTAGCTCATCATTACAGCATGGTATACTGTACCAGACCACGTAAAGGCGGTCACCAAGGCGGCTAAGATGGTGTTTGGAGCTAGTCCTAATTAGGCCAAATCAGACATCAATCAGGCCAAACGGAACCAAAATCATGCATACGATCTCGGGGCGACTATTAGTCGCCGTAGTCAGGACATTAACCGCATTTCTGGGGTTAGTGAACTGCACTGTAGCGGTCATTGCGGTTGCTGGAGTGGGAGACCAGGCGTAATTGAGGCTGCGAGATAGTAAGACAACTAGGCGCATGTCGCTATCCGGCTTAATAATTGACGATACTGATTGATATATCATTCCCCTATAGCTAATTAGCGGACATCACAGGAGGGTACGCAGATTCTCTTATACGTGTCGAAGGCATGTGTTCATCACCCCCCAGGATGTATTCAAGACCAGGTCCGTGGGTATACAATCGCATGCTCGGTTTGGATATTAACGGTTTCGATGGGGCCATAATATCGAACGGTCAAACTCGCTGTGTGCTGCATCGTGGGTGCTCCAACATTTTGTTACGAGAGTTAGAGAGGGTGTGCGAGGGGAAGAGCCGCATATTTCTTTTGTAGACCGAGAAAACCACCCATGACTACAACGCGAGCGCAAGGCAGCAGATGCACGCTTCAATTGTTGTGTCGCTAGAGCCATCGAGCCTTGAGGAGGGCTACCCGCGCGGGGTTGTGTGGCGCGACCGATCGAATTGGTGTCTTTGGCTGTGCCAGGCTTATTGGTAGGTCGCACTAAGCAAAACTGCACTTTTATTGGGAATCCACGCATAAGAAAAAGGTAGCCTAAAAGCAATTCAGGTCGGCTCTAGCTACCTCGCTGTTGGCTTGCTTTACCGCGTCGCCATCGACGTGACGACAAATATTGAAGCCGGAAAAGAGAACGCTGAACCCGAATCCTACTGTACGCTGACGTGGGGGATTGGCATGTGTCATACGGTGCACTACAAACCAACCCTTCGCAAAGGCTAGCCAAAATGTGCTACCCTATCTCATAGGCTGTGTACCGATGCACTAGCCCCGGCAGCAGTTCATCCTCTGTAGTAGCCCATGTCGCTGTGCGATATATACCGGTCTACTTTCTGGCCTTTTTCTCAAAGATCTCGAGGACAGCGTTGTTCGAGGAAGCCGCTGCCAAATCAATCGCCGTCTGCTGCACGTTGTTCTCCATCATCGGATCTAAGCCCACGTCCATGAGCTCCTGGAAGCGTACGACATCGCCGGCCGCTGCGACGTGCAGTAGCCCTCTACCCGCATTGTCCGTGACGAAGAAGTTGGCGCCTAGCTCCTGTAGCAGTGCTATACTCCCCTGCTCTCGCGGCACCTCGTACTTGACACCTCGGAGTTCTCGCTTCATGTAGTCCCTGTCGTACGTATCGCCGGAGCCTTGCGGGTACCGGCGAGCGAACTTGAATAGTGGCGTCTCGCCTAGCACGTTGCGTCCGTTGATGTCGGCCCCGCGATTTACGAGATCTCTAAGTAATTGGCGAAGCTCCGCCGTACCGAGATCATTTGCCAGCATGTGCAGCACACCTTCGCCGTGCTTGTTTATCGCTAGCGGGGATGCACCCGCTAATAGCAGGCTATGTATAGGCTCCGTTTCAGCCGCTGATTCCACGGCCTGACGTACAGCATGCATCAACGCAGTATCGCCATGAAAGTCGACAAGATGTACCAGCTCCGGCGCCAGGTGGATCATAGCCTTCATAGTTGCCCTCCACTCCGATGAGATAGTCCACCTGTGGCTAAGCAGGCATATCAAGATCGTTCGGCCAAGGGCATCTTGTGCAGTGAGATCGGCGCCAAGTGCTACCAGGCGCTGGAAAACAGTTTCGCCTTGTAGTTCGTCAGCAGTGGAGTACTTGGGATGACACGGTTTGTCGATAAAGTCTGCTCTCAAGCATGCAGCATGCAGAACAGTGAGTCCCTGTGGATTCCTGTAGTTGACATCAAGCCCGGGAACTAGGAACAGTTGCGTTTGAAAGCCTCCGACAGTTAAAATCAGCTCGTGCAATAAAGTCGCTTCACGATGATCAGGTGTCGCGTCTAAGGGCGATGCTCCCTTTTGGAAAAGGATGGACACCGGCCTCGAACCTGAGCTGAGGTCCCCTTCTACAAAGAGGTAATTAGAAAGGGGGTTCGCTCCGTGGTCGATCAGGATCTCAATGCACTCATTAACAATGATATCGTTAACCTCCGGCCTACAGAAACCATCATCTGGGTGCGGTTTGATGAACAGCATGCCCGCTGCGCGCAATGCTGGATCTAGATCTACATCGGGATATGCTCCGTCATCTCTTGCGTGCAAAAGCTCACGGAGTGCATCGACCTGACCAGCCTCGACTGCCGATACGACGTCATCAGGCATAACGATGGCTCCGTGCTTCATCAGTAGGCGGATCATCAGGACATCATGGTGGGCCATGCCGAGGCAACTTTTGCCCCTCTTCGTTAGGGCGTGAATGTCGGCTCCAGAATTTATAAGGAGCTTCACTGCATCGTAAGAATGAGGTCTAGGTTTGAGGACTTCCCCGCCACTAATCGCCACGTGTAGAGGTGTGAGACCACCCTTGACGCGGAGGTTAATGTCGATACCCGGCACCTTTAGGAGATATTTCAAGGCTTGGTGAACATGCCACCAGCGCAAGCCTTGTGCAACGTGATGAAGAGCCGAGTCGCTATATGCAAGTATACGATCGTGCCCTGTCCATTCTGTACCCCAAATCCTCTCGTTAACGTCCACGTGGAACTCCTCGACGAGCAACACAACGACCTCATGATTGGGAAGGTCGCGCTGCACGGCTTCGAGGAGGAACGGTTTTGGAATGTTTCGCACATCTGACTCGAGGGAATACACGACTCGTCCCTCTGCTTGCATTTCGTTCGCCGGCCGGTTGGCGCACCACAGCCCTGCTTTGGAACTATCGCCAAAGGCGTGCCAGTCGCCTTGACCGAGCGCGCGTTTCGCCTCAATAATACCAATTTCCTTGACTAGCAGGGCGAAACCGTGCTGGACTAGTACCGCAAAGTGCGTGAAATGGTACTTGTCGCGAGGATCCGGGAGAAACCTCGTGCCGCGCTTGGCAAGCTCCTTCACCAGTCGATACTGTCTTTGACTATACTGTGTTAAATCGTAGTAAACGAAGCAAGTATAGAAGACTTTTCTTACCGTAGAAACAAAAAGAAAATGTAAGTGTTCTGTGCGCCGGTCTCAACCCGTAGAAAGCTCTCCGATGAGGCGAGTGTAGGATCGTATGCAGGAGCGCTGACGGCAAGGATAGCAGTGTAAGGGGATGACTTGCCGGGCTCGACCCAAAGGCAACGTGGAACTCGATCGACAATGCAGCTGGCTGTGTACGCCTTGCCATGCCATATACAGTCCCCTATGATCCCTCGAGCATAGGGCTGTCCCATCGATCCGAGCCCGAAAGGGTCAGCACCAAAGTTAACAAGCAATGTCACAATCTCCTCTAGCCTAGCCGTGTCGCTAGTGAACAACTCAAGCCCGAGGGAATTGATAGAAGAGGACACTGCTTGTTTGCTTGAGGCATCTAACCTGACTTCCCTCTGCGTTAGAGGATCATGATTGACGTGGCATGTCGCCTTGCGAAATGCGTTCTCTTCTTCAAAATCGCTGCAGGCTTTGAGCAGGTTGCCGCCTGCGTTCACATTCGCCCCTGCTTCGAAAAGGATCATGACGGTCTCAGGTCTGCCGCTTCGGACAGCGTAATAGAACGGACTAAGCCCATTTACATCTTTCGCATCGATGCCGTCAATACGACGTTTGTCGCCATCCTCATTCGGGAGAAGGGCCTCCGAGTTTGTGTGTGGCTTCTGGCGTGACAATTTATGCAGCGAGCGCACGAGCATACCGACGATATTGCTCTCTTGTGCGCGAGCAGCCAGATGCAGTGGTGTAAGGTATTCATGGGTAATGGCTCGAGGATTGGCGCCGGCCTTCAAGAGTTTCTTAGTACAATATTCCGTGCGGGCCGACGCAAGGTGCAAAGCTGTCATGCCGGCATGATCCGGTGTATCGATGTTCTTCATCTGTGCGATGATGAAGTCAATGGGCATAGGATCATCGTCATAATGCTGAGCATCGTCGGGATATGCATCACAGAGAACGTGAAGTGGCGTGCGGCCTAGGTGCTATATATTCGCTATTTGATCAGCAACGCTTCTCTTTAGATTCAAGCCATAACCAGCTCCGCGGACACAAGAACCTACGTTCTGCTGGTTGACATCGAGACCAAGGGTGCAGACAAGTCGATTCCAGAGCGGATTTACCCACTCACGGCCATATGCCTTTTTCGATGCCTCTCTGGCTGCAAGCTCATGGAGCAGTGAGTTGCCATCGTAATCGACTATAGTATGGTCAAGACCGATTGCCAGCAGGAAGTCGAAACGTGGAGTGTCCGTTCCCTTTTCAGAGCCAATTGGTTGCGTTTTGATAGCCTCATGCAGACAAGTCCTTCCCCTAAAGTCTCGCAAGTGGGGAGAAGCCCCGTGACCAAGAAGGAAGGATAAATCGCCGGGAGGCTGGCTTTCCTCGTCATCTCTCGGCTTTGGCATTTGTGAGATTCGATGCCAGAAGATGCTGTGCCCGGCGCGATCTCGCGCGTTGATGTCTGCACCCGCTGCCAGCAATAGGGCCCAAATTTCTTCGGCATCCTGGGACTCAAACGAGCACATCAAGGCTGTTTGGCCATGGCGATTGCGTTCATCTGGCCCAACACCGTTTTTAAGGAGAGCATTGACTATCCTCTGCTGCCCGTTAGCTTTTGAACAGTTATCGCAACGTCGGCCTGGCGACCTAGCTTACCGGTGTCGCGTAGTTTTCGAGTGCGACATGAAGGGTGCTGTCACCGGCGGAGTTGAGGATGCCAGCATTCGCCCCACACTCTAAGAGCAGCTGTACTTTGAGTTCGTTATCATGCTCTGCCAGGGCCGCGAGAAGGGGCGTGTCTCCGTATACGTCCCTGACGTTGACGTCGGCGCCGCCCTGTTCCACCAGGAGAGGGACACAAGCTGGGACCCGCGAGTAATAGAGCGGTGTCCGACCTTTGGAGTCCACCGCCTCAGTCGACGCTCCCGCCTCCATGAGAAGCCGGGCCAAATAGTAAGACACCTCGACGACATGATGCAGCCCAGTTGTTCCATCCTCAGTCTGGCGGTGAACATCAGCGCCAGCATTGATGAGGAGCGTGGCTATCTCATGGCAGTCATCCTCGTTCCAATCATCATAGCAGTGCGAGAAACCGGGCAGGCCGCAGAGAGCATGAAGACAAGTGAACTGGTCATGGGAGCCGTTCGGCTTCTTGGATGTCGTGGCCGATCCGAATTGCTCCGCCCAAAGTTCATTCAACATCTCTGGGTCAGCTCCAGCTCCGATCAATGCCTCCACGGTATTCAGGTCCCTACTTAAGCAAGCCTTGAACAGAGCAGTGCTGCCGCGGACCATGGTGTCAACCTCCACACCTGGCTGTGACAACATGTGTTTGACGACTCGGGCCTGCCCCGTCCGCGCAGCCCAGGCTAGACAGCTGTGCATTGCTTCGAGGTCAAGGTATGGTAAGAATGCGTCAAGCACCTCTACATGCCCGTGTTCACATGCGTGTGCGAGGGCTAGTTCCCCGCTACCGTAGTTTGCGTAGCCCGCGGCCTTCGCATGGTTGGTGAGGCCTACCGATGTCAAAGGGTCAACGCCAGCCTCCAGCAAGACCTTTACAACTGCGTCATGACCTTTACTAGCAGCCTCGTGCAGTGGTTTTCGTCCACTCAATCCATCTTGATGATCCGGGTCCGCGCCCGCGGCTATTAATTCGCCCACCGTAGCAGCATGGCCATGAGAAGCAGCCCACCATCTGTTGGGCCGGGTTAGATCGATCTTTGCCTCAGTTAGGTCTGGCAACTCACAGTGGTGTTTTGCCCGTAATGTCGCATGTGTCTATGTCGCCAGACCAATCCGCAACGAGCTTCCTTGTATATGCTACAAGACCATATCTCCCTGCGAGGTGTAGGGCTGAAAACTTTCGTGCATTCGATACACGTCCGGGCCAGGTCACCTCGAGCCATGCCTTTATGACCTTATCCACGCCAAAGAGTTGCTCAAGAAGCTCATTGATCTCATCTTGCGCATGGCACACCGCCTCCGAGTTTCGGATATGAACGTGCCAGTTGCTAGTAGCATACCTAAAGAACGGAAACTTGATGCGTAGCTCGCATATATGGTGCGGAACCCATTTAGACTTCTTATGATTGTATGGCTCATCACTATAGCCCTCTGTCTCGTCGCTATCATCAATCGTAATCTCGACTTCATCAAGACAGTGAGTCACTAACAAATACTGCAGGCACGATAGAGCAAGCTTGGCGTGGGATGGCCCTGGTAGCAGCACTAGATGGCCATTATCGTGCTTAGATCGTGTAGCGCCATTGAGGTACTCGGTGAAGGAATGGTGAATGACGGACACCGTCTCGTCCGGTAGTATCTCCAAAAGCGGTCCACACGCAGTCCTAATAAGTTCTTTCATAGCCCTTAGATCCTGGCCCAACCCAGGGTATTCAATCACCCTACACATCTCGGCGAGTTCGAGTAGTCGTAGCGGCCTTGTTGCATGCGTAACAGACTGGAGAAGGAGGTGCTGCACGCTCGGTGATACGCCGGATCGCCTAGCATGTTCACGTAATAGATCGGTGTAAAGAAGATTGAGATCTGCAGGAAGATTCGCTAAAACGGTCCCAATGTCGACGCCTGGCTCAAGAAAGGCCTCCATGGCCAATTTTGCGTAGAGAAAGAGACCGTTGGCCCGGCCAGGTACGGCATTTACGATTACACTCCACTCGCTGTAAGGAATATGTGATCCTGACAGCGCGGTATGCACGTAGGTCGAGATGTCGACATCGACGAGTCGCTCCTCGAGTCGGATTTGGAGCGCTGGCGTCTGTAGCATGAGAATCTCGAGCCTGGGAATAGGTCGACTCGTGACCAGGACCTTAACCTTCATGGGCCTCCACTGGCTAAGCGACCCGAGGGCCTGGATGAAGGTATCATTTCCAGTGTCCATCTCGTCGAGCGCATCGGCGATACAGAAGACTTTATCGGGCAGAGCACGGAATGCCATCTGCAGATCCTTTAACAGATCACTCGTCGAGAATGAGCTTAACGACATTTCATCCTTGATATAGGTGAAAAGCTTGTGTTGTAGTGGCGGGCTATACTTCAAGACTTGATCCATCCAATCTCGAAGCAGGGCTTGCGGGTTATGGTTGGCCGCAATAATCTGTCGAAAAAAGAAGAACAGCACTGGGCAGCTAGGGTTCGCCTTGCCGAGGTCATCAATCAATTTGGCAGCGTGAACAGATTTCCCTGACCCAGGAATACCTTTTACCCAGAGCAGGCCGCATTCATTTCCTTGAAGCCATCGCCGATATTCATCAGTGGAAGTAAGCCACTGTCCGGTCCCCGGCGAGTGGGATGCGAGATGCTTGCGGAAATCGCCGCCAGCAATGGCGTATGAAGTTGGCTCCAGCCACTCTCGAATTCTCTTGATCTCCTCTATCGATACTGGAAGGATATTGTCAGGGTTGTAGTTGCTCACATCTTCTTTATTGATGATGCTGGCATCAGACTCGCTGTAAGTCTCGCTGCCCGACATTGTGAGCAATGCGGAGAGAAGTTTCTCTATCAGTACTTCGAGAATCACTCCCTTGAAGTAAGACTAAGATGTTTCAAAAAATTGTCCGCAGTCAAGGGCTATCGAAGTATTGAGTCGATAACAGTCGGTGTACAATTGGAAAAGGAGAAGTGCAGGTCACAGCGTACGTAGGACCGACCGGGGACCAATTATCATGGTCGGCGGCTGGCCGTGACCAGTGCACCTCTCCCCAAACACATCACATTACTAAAGAGGCATCCTGCTCCACTCTCTCACCGACCGCAGTTGATTCGTGCAAATCCGCGGCAGACCTAGCGTCATGCCTTGATGATGGCTGTACAAGTACGACCCATTTTGATAACCATATCATGCCTCCTAAAAATGTCATGCGTAGTGCACAATTCAATCTTTCTTGAGCCAGAGTTTCTTTCAATCCCTAAGCTGTGGTTTCCTTGGCCCTGCTGTCTAGCCATGCAGTGAGTACAGCTGGTGAGGTCTGGCTCTGGCTCGGCAGGGTAAAGTTTCAACGAACGGCGTCGGACCGACCCGCCTAACCTTGAACGTGTTCATTTTCAGCAAGGCCACATTGACGACGGTTTGGTAATGCGGCGTCTAGACTCGCAGCCTAAATTCATCGGTGATTTGCTGATGACCGCTCAGGTTGCCAAGAGTGCTGACTTCTGCGCCCGTTCAGTAGCACAACACAACTGGAACATAGATGCAACGGAATATAGGTCTTTCCCCCGCCAGGTGTAGGTAAAAGTCAATGTTCAGTGGTTTGTTTTCTCTTCCATTTCTTTCTTTCTTCCTTCCTCCGCGAATGTGTTTGTCTTTTTCTCTAGCAACTTGTATTCTCTCTGGTTTTTTTATCGGTTGCTCACTTAATTTACACGTGCCGCCGCATCAGCGAACAATATCAACAGCCTTTGGTTCCCTTGTCTTCATATCCACTTCAAATTGAATTTATATTCTATGACCACAACCCACGATGTCGGGGACCTACGCAGACGGCTACTTGAGGCAAACCTCGGAAGTACCCAAAGATCGTTTGAAGTCTTTCATTGGCAGGTTAAACAAGTCGAAGCAGGCTGCTCTACACAATTGCTTGATAATTGGTATCGATTTCGGAACTACGTCAGTCTCCTCTCCAATCTTGATCTAGAAGTCCCAATGCTGATGCCGGTTCTGAGGGTAGGTATTCCGGTGTCTCGTGGGTAACATTGGCCGATTTCAAACAGGAGAATATCAACATCATCACACAATGGCCAGGGGTGCGCGGTGACCATGCTAAAGTGCCCACTAAGCTGTACTACGAGTATGGACCCGAGACTTATACCCCCTTGTGGGGATTTGAGATTCCGCACGATATAGAAGCGCTTGAATGGTTCAAGCTTCTTCTGTTACGGGACGATGACATGTGGAAGGATCTCCAAGAGTCGGTGCATATTGGTCGTGCCAAAATGCTACTGCGTGAAAGTGGAAAAACGGCCGAGGATTGCATTGCGGATTACCTTCGGGCAATTTGGAAACATACACTCAAGACCATTCTCAAAGCTCGTCCCAGCTACCTCGTTGAGTCTCTCGAGTTCCACGTGGTTCTCACCGTGCCTGCCATTTGGAAAGATTATGCACGCAGTGCCATGACGGAGGCGGCTAAGAAGGCGGGGATTCTTGATGATCGCCCTGCCGGCCCGACCTCCCTAACTTTTGCTCCCGAGCCTGAGGCAGCCGGATTAGCAGCACTCATTGAGCGTGGCAGCGACACTAAGCCAGATGACGTGTTCGTCATTTGCGATGCCGGAGGTGGGACCGTAGTAAGTCGCACCCGAGCACGTGGTAAAGTACTATCTGATACAACTCCCACTCACTGCTGTTTTCACATTATTAGGACGTCATAACCTATAAAGTGGGACACCAGCAGCCATTGCAGTTGCACGAGGCAGTTGAGGGCGACGGTGAGTTGATAATACCCTCTCTTTGTCTTGACAAGGCGAGAGATGTTTTAGCTAACGGCATATTGACGATGTACAGGCAGTGTGTGTGGCGGTATCTTCATTGACGAAGACTTTACAGTACAATGCAGGAATCGTATTGGCCGAAAATGGTCTGGCTTCAGCCCAGCGGATCGAAAAGCCATTTTAACAAATGAATGGGAGTACTCCATCAAGCCTTCGGTTTGGAGAAGCAAATGATTGGGATACGTATCCAGTGTCGATTAGACAAGGGCCATTAACGGCCGCGGAGTTAAATGACACTTCCCGCAAGCCCCATATCAAGGATGGCCATATTTTCTTTTCTGGGTAGGTCTCCTCATCGACCCCACCGATAATCTTTGACTGACCAGAGATCCAGCTCGGACATTCGCGACGCTTTCCACAAGAGAGCTGTGCCCGGCCTCTTGAGACTGGTGGAGAACCAGCTAACCGAAGCCCAAAGTAAAGGGCTACGTGTGACGGTAAGTAGAGCTCTGTGCCGTCGGTTCTAAAATGCTCATGCTCTATCAAGGGAATTGTTCTTGTCGGAGGGCTTGGCTCGAGTCCCCACATATATAAATGTCTTGTGGCCAAGTATTCCAGCCGAGGAATTGAGATCTGTCAATCTAGCGCTATCAGAAGGTAGGCCCCAACTCCATGATATTTGCTGATGGGGTAAAGTCACCTAACATCCGATTTGAAAGACGCACTGCTATCTGTCGTGGCGCTATCCTGAAGGGGCTCATGGATGCTCCAATCACTACGCATGTGCCTAATGCTCCTGAGATATTGTCGAGAATCTCGAGAATGTGCATCGGTACCTCATGCATCGAAGAGTTTAAAAAAGGAGTCCATCACAAGAAAGAGAGGTATATGTGTAAACACGAGGGATACTATAAGGTGAGGGGTATGATGGATTGGTACATTACCAAGGTATGCGCCGTTGAACATATCCGCACGATCTTGAGTCCTGATTAGGTACCACCAGGGCGAAGATGTTGCAAAGTCACATGCAATTCGAAAAGACTACTACCGAACCTTCATCAACAGGAAGGACTTCCCACCGTCTTCTTTTACAATAAATATGTACAAGAGTGAAGCTGAAAGGCCGCCTGCTCGGTTGAGCGATGCTAGTGTGATGGAGCATTCCACGCTTGAATTTGACCTCAGTGACTACGATTACGATGACCTTGAAGATTTCAAGGGGCTTAAAGGCCAGAGGGGGAAGAAATTCAATTATACAATTGAGATGGTGCCATCGGGTGCTTCCACAGAGTTTTCGATTTATTTTCAAGGCAAGAAGGTGGGATCAGACTATGTATCAATAATGGTGGACTAGCGGCTTTAAGTGGAAATTATTCTTAAGGGCTGTTTCGATTTAGTCGGATTCCTGTAATTTCTACAGTTCTCCGGACAAAAGGTGCCTCTATAGATACCACTTAATTAAATTATAGATATATCATACTTTAGATAAGTAGGTTAATGATTCATACCTGGGTAAATTATTTAGTATGTAGCTAAAGCTCATACCACTTATATAGTGCTAACTAGTAATCAAATAATATAATAACTAGGCGAGGAGAGGTGAATAATAGTATGTATTCGGTGGAATAATCCAAGACTAATTCTGGAAGAAGAGACGGGGAGAGGCCTGTCCTCTCTTCCCTTTAAAGTAGGTTTTATAAGCAATTTGTATGCGAATCGGGAGGGTGATGTTAGGACTGGAGTCCCAAAGAGGATAAAGATAAGAGTGATGACGGAGAAGTAGAGTACTGGTACGCCACCGTTAGATTAATGGTAATATAATCGTTGAAGAACTTGTGAGAGTTCTCCCGCGAGCCGCCCTCTGAGGGGTAGGTTTTTACCCTACTCGACCCGCGGGCAGGAGGAGCCCGCCCTCCGCCCGCAAAAGTGCGGGTCCGTTGGCGGCACTCAGAGGGCGTCTGGCGGGCCGTTATGAAATATAGATACTCAGCATCGACCAAAGCATTATCTGATATTGTTTGCTGCTATGTCTTTCATATTTCTGTCTGTTTGTACACGAGACTCGACAGGAAAAAAGCAATGCAAAGTATGAGATACAGCAAATTCTACACAAAAGGAAGCACCACATGACTGTCATAATCCCCTCCCATATGCACCCAGTGTAATCCCTTGTTCAAAGTGTGATTCGCACCGAACTTAGAGAAACCCTGATAGCGACCACTGATTCTCAGCTGCAGGGACTCTCCAGCTTCATATTCCACCCCCATGACCCAGATCCCAATCTCCAACCGCACCACTGTGCCAGGAACAACCTTTTCTTCTTTCTCATGTGTGTAGAAAGGCCAGTTTGGATGCATAGACCGAGAAGCATCTATTTCTCGGTTCGATGCACGCTGAATACCAGTAGGACCCTGGTAAAGGATAAGCTCCGAGTGTTCCTTCTCTGGTATCTCTGCAATTGACGAGACCGGCAGGTTCTTCCAAGGAATGTTAAAGTTCAGCAGCTTTTCACCAGAGGCTGAGATCTTCTCCAGGACCAGGAAAACATCCATGTCATCGAGATCATCACAGTGCATGTAAAGCACCGCTTTGGGAATACCCATGAGCTGCGTCCGCTCAGGGAAGGTGTACTTGAAAGCGACACCTGCATCTGGGTCTTCAGAGTTGTACGAGATGGCTGTCTCATGATCAGATGGTTTATCAAAATTCAAACCATCGGGCGTCAAATATGCTTTTCGATACTCAGTACGTGATGGTGGGAAGTCCGACTCGACGACGTTCTCGATCGGCGCTTTCTCCCCGAATCGTAGGAGAGACATTCGGACCCGAGGAGTAGATTCCCAATCATTGTTGATGTCTTTCAGGTATCGATCAAAGAAAGACAGAAGCTCATCTCGCCCTTCCTGATTGCCCCAAATATCATACCACTCCTGATAAGGGTGCCAGCGAAGCCATTTCTGAGGGCAGCTCACTTCCAGCCAACCCCTGATCGCTCCCATTCCATGCATAGTGTTCGTATAAGTACCAGTGATGTACGTCGGGATGTTGATCTTGGTCATGTCGGGCCGCTTATCATTCCACCACTCATTTGCGCTAGGGTGCTGCTCGAACATCTTGCGGAAACTCTCGATGCCATGTCTCCCTCGAAGCATGTACTTGATGATAAGGTTGTCGAAGAGGTCACCACCATATATACCACCTCTTGCAAATTGCTCCCGATAAAGATCTCCACATCCCTCCCAGGGTGCAATCGCTTTCAGAGATGGCGGGTGCAAGGCCGCGATGAACCACTGGATAATTGCCAAATGGGAGTTACCAGCCATGCCGACATTTCCATTGCACCAGTCTTGTTTGGCAATCCATTCGATCACATCATAGCCGTCTTCCGCTTCTTGAGTTCCCATGATAGCCATTACTCCCTCCGAGTCAAATGCGCCACGAGAATCCACATTGATGATGGCGTACCCGCGATTGACGAATTCTGCAGGATCAGGTCCTTCGAATTTCTCCAAGCCGCTGAGCGCGCTCTCAGGGATCCCAAGATTCCATGGCGTCATCAGCTTGAGGGATTGAATTCCATTAAACTTTTTGCCGAAAGGACTCCAGGATAGAACTGCTGGTGTGGCTCTATCGAGAGCGCCGGGTGGTCGGTAGATATCTGCGTAAAGGGTGCAGCCGTCTCTTACTGGGATTGCGACATCATGTTCGACGAGAATATCACATGGTAAGATGAGGCGTCCTGGTGCCGTTGAAGTGCCTTTTGCTAACACCTCGGAATGCGGTTGAAGACCTGCATAACCCTCGGATTGCTCTGGTGCTGAGAGCTCCTCCCACGGAATGTCCACGTTGAATTTGACCATAGTGTGATAGAATGATAATGACTGATAGAGAGCTGTTAATAATTACTGACGAGAATCTAGGCGTATAATATAGTACAAATTTTTGCTTTGCACCCATCCGGCTCGGTTCGGCTCGGTTGCCGATAACCCCAGACTGTGCCCGCTGTGCCGTGTGGGGGACGCCACAACAAAACCCGGGGTAAGATTGCTTTCACAGGGGAATTGATAGGCAAGGGTGACCAGCTATAAGAGTATGGCTATCGTTCGACTCCACAGTCTCCGCAGAAGCTGTCAGATTCCAGCTACGCTCCAATCACTCTCACCATGGACAAGGCCGACATATCGCACGTTGAACTCGCCGAGACAGGCCACAAACAGCCTACAGGACTGCATGTTGAGTTATTCAAAGGAGATGACGTGGTGCTAATTCCGACTCCATCAGCGGATCCCCGGGGTATGTTCCATCCTTGCTCGAAAACTCGGTCCCTGACAAGATGAAGATCCATTGAACCTCCCCGCTTGGCGCAAATGGATTCTCCTGATCATAGTGTCTGCATACAGCTGCACCGCCGTTGTTCTCGCCTCGGGAATGGGATCGATTTTCTCTATTGTCGAAGCATCTTATCCCGGACAGGAAGCGAAAGCTAATGACTTGATGACTTATCCAACGTTGTTCATGGGGATCGGGAACCTCATCTCCATGCCTTGGGCCTTCACGATTGGTCGTCGGCCCATCTTTCTTGCATCGATTCTGTTGCTTCTTGCAGGTGGAGTCTGGTGTCAATGTTCGACGAGTCTGGACAGTCATATCGCTGGGCGTATTATTATGAGTATTGCTGCTGGACAGAGTGAAGCGTTAGCTCCCCTGATTATTCAGGAGATTCATTTCGTCCACGAACGCGGTCGGAAGATTGGGTGGTTTATCTTCATCCAGAATATCGCCGCTGGAGTTTTCTTCGTGATCTCAACGTACATGGTCTCGGCTTGGGGCTGGAGATGGTGGTATGGTTTCTTCACGATTATGAACGCAGTGATCTTTGTCTTTGCTTTGATTTTCGTTACGGAATCTCGGTTTGAGAGGACAGAGGCGCAAATGCGCGGTGAGGCTCTAATTCCAAAGACTGTTGTGGAAACTGCCGGAGGAGAGCAATACAAGCCGCGTTGCTGGCGCGATGATCTCAAGCTCTTTGTTTCTAACCCCCGACTTTCTGATATTCCAACTTTCTATAAACACATCTTCCAAGGCCTATTTATCCCGACAACGCTTTGGCTACTTCTTTTGAACGGCGCGAATCTCGGAACATATGTCTTTGAAGCCTCGACCTTTTCCAGTATCTTGATGGCTCCTCCATACAGCTTCAGCTTCAATGCCCTCGGCTATGTCCAAGCTGGTCAGATTGTTTGTTGCCTCGTCTTCCTTCCACTACTCGGCTATGGAAGTGACATCGTCATCCGGGCCTTTAGCCGCAGAAATAGTGGAATATATAAGCCAGAATACCGGCTACCAGTCATCGCAATCCCGGCAATCGTCGGCGTCATCTGTGGTATCATATATGGACAGGCCGGTGCGCACCCCGAGAGCTGGAGCGTTGCATCGATTGTGATTGGTTACAACGCCAGTTACTTTGCATTCCTGGGAGCCAACATTGTTGGCATCACATACGCCGTTGACAGCTTCCCATTCCGTGCGGCACCATTCTTGGTCGTTATCTGTGCTGGACGAGGATTCATTTCATTTGGATTGAGCTATGCCACTTTGCCTGCTATTTCTACTCTTGGGTATGATGGAACGATGATTGTGGAGGAGGTTATCTGTGTTGTGCTAGCGTTGCTCGCCATTCCAATGTTCTTCTTTGGTCCTCGTGTCCGAGAGTATGTTCAAAGATGGTGTGATGGTGAAAAGACCTGTTGATCCAGCTAGTTATTTGTCAGTGGATGTGACCTAAGAGCAAATTTGAAACTTGAAACCAATCATGCCGAAGTCCGCAAACAAAGTAATCTCATGACATGTTTGTCAATGAATATTGAACAGCAATGATTCATCTGCCACCTAATAAGACTTGGACGATGCCTCCCGGTATCGAGATGATATCAAAGCTTCAACCTTGAGGTTTTTGCATTGAGATGAGAGCACAGAGAATCCGTAGAAGACTGGCAAATTAGCTTAAAGCAATACGCAATTGAGATCATGTTATGTTTGGTTTCCCTTTTCGGTGATTGATAGTTGCCATTACTTTACAGTCCCCTCCCAACTAAAACGTCACTAACCTCATCCTTCTTTCACCACCTCCAATCTTCCTCCTTTATCACCCCATCTTCAGCTCTGCTCCCGTTTCTACTTTTCATCATTCCTCACGTAGTTTCTGCCTTTTATTGCAGTCCCAGTCCTCAACCGTCATCATGCGTAAGTGCACAACTTCAAGCCTTGATGCATGATTTGAGGGTGCTGACTCACGTCATGTCAAAAGCTCGAAAAAAGAGAAGTTTGCAAGCACCGGCCTTGACACGTAAGTCACGTCATGCGTGAGTCTAGCTGTCCATTTTCGAGCTAAGGTGACTTGCAGCCGCCCCGTTGGTGGGTGTCGACAGTGAGGGTAACCCCAGCTTTGAGGAGATCCACAAGGCTCTTATCACGGAATTTGACGAAAAGCTTTTGCGAGCCCCTCTTCTTCGAAATGTTGACTGGCGACAAAACATTGTGCAGAGTTGTGTCACTGCATACTCCAAGCGCTCTGCCCTTGTTCAGCGAACAGGACGTATCGCTCCCGCTGAAGAGGCCTGCACCTGCTGCGCCAGAGGCGAGGGACCGTTCAAAGGGTGTGTTGTCCTTATCACTGAGGGGGATCTGATCTACAACGCTGCGTGTGCAAATTGCTGCTTTCGAACAATGCCGTGGAACTGTTCCTTTCGAGCGGCTCTGCCTGCCTGGATTTTCGACTGGCTGAAGCAGGAGAACCCAACCCACCGCATGATGATTGAAGCCAAAGCCACGGTATGTTGAATTATGCTGAAGGGCGCTATTCTTTATTGGCTAATGCATGACCCCTTCCAGGACCAAAAGTTGAAGATTCAGCAGCACAATATGGATCTGTTCCCTGCCCGTATGAACTCTCAAGCGACCCAAACAACACCCGAACGCCCAAAAGTACCCGAACTCAAGAAGGAGCTTGAAGCAAAGGAAATCGAGAAATTCGGGCCGGACTACAACAGTACTTGGTACCTGTCTCCTTTGGAAGACCCGACCCTCTTCGGCTCCGATCAGGAGAGTTTTGCGAGAGCACGCCTCGCTTATCATTCGCACCACGCCCTGATTAACCGTGCCTACTTCGACCACTCTTGGCTCAAGAGGTACCTTGACACTCACGGTCGACTTGAGGCTGTGGATCCCTCTGAGATGGGAGACTCAACTCCCAAGCCTTTCCTGGCCCCTTCGTTGGCCAAAATTTGATCGGTGGTGCTTCAATAGTATTTTTATGTGATTTCTTTTCGTCCTTTGGAGGCTGAAGGGACCGATTGATATCGACGCCCTGGAATTTTGAGTTGCCCTAGAAATTTGTCATCTCAGAACAGCCTTGGTTGAGGATGTAGGGTGAGCAACTTAAGAAATGACGTTTATTTGCTAGTTTCCTTTCTCCTTGTTCATTCCTAAAACTCGTACTCTCTCTTCTCTCTTTGGATAGATAGTACTAGACACCATGGTGACACAAGAACTGGGTTCAAGCCTTTGACCGGGATGTGGACACACTTGAATGAGTAATGTCAAACTCAATAGGTAGACGAAAAAACTCACAAGGTCCGGCATTTGACAGCAAACGCACCATCCCCGGGTACACCAGGTGTACTTAAGTCCCCAACCGAACCGGGCCGACCCGAACCTAGTAAACCGAACCGGAATCAACCACTCCCAAATTCACAGCGCAGAGGTTGGATATAAAGATTCAAGGTCTCAATCATATTCTAGTAAAGCCAGTCAAAGCTAATTAAACATTGTGAAGTTTCTTAAGAGGTAAAATATCACCAGTGACCCAACATGACCACCGCCACAACCACGGCAACTTCAACCTCCACCAGCCTGACAGCACCAGCTGGACGTCTATTCTCCCAAGGAGCTGACGTAAAATATGGTGACTTTCGCGATGACCTGCTCAAAAATGGCTATGCGGTCATCAAAGGCGCCGTTCCACGCGAGCGGGCATTGAAATACGCAGATGATATCTATGACTGGCTTGAAGGCTTGTAAGTGCATTCCTTCCACACTGAACAAATCGCCTAGTCCATCCACTGACCAACCATTTTCTTAAAATAGCAACCTCGGTTTCAAAAGAGATGATCCCTCAACAATCCATAAAGACCATCTCCCCGATATCAACGAAAAGGGAATGTGTCTCGGCTACGCCATCTCTCACGAATCGTTTACCTGGGCTGTGAGACAAGAGCAAGGAGTAGTCGAAGCCTTTGAGAAGGTCTACGATACCGAGGATATCATTGTTTCGTTTGATTCCGTGAACATCGGATTCCCGTCGCGCAAGGATATCGAGCCCAATACACCGTGGCCGCACCAGGATCAGGATCCCGAGAAGCCAGGATTCCGCTGCTTGCAGGGCCTTGTGAACCTTTTGCCAAATGGGCCCAAGGATGGAGGATTGATTGTTTGTAAGGGGGCTCATTTGCTGAGTGAGGAGCTGCATGAGGTCTTTAAGGGAGAAGAGAGGATTTGGTCTTGGTATGCTATATTTTTTTGTCTGTGTTATCTTCATGCTAAACTAGTGCGGTACAGGACGAAAGAGTGGTACGGCCTGACCGACGCGAACAGGGAATGGTTGAAGGAAAGAGGATGCGAGTGGATCAAGGTGGAGGCTGAGCCTGGTGACTTGTTGCTCTGTAAGATCAGCCTGTGAATATAACCATGCCAATGCTAATGATGTTCTAGGGGACTCCCGCACCCCGCACTACAACCTGTCATCAGAGACATCCCAGCCGCGTTTCTGTGTTTACACTTGCTATATGCCAGTGGCGGACGCTACCAAGGAACAGCTGCAGGTGAAGAAGAAGGCTTTTGAGGAGACTCGTATGACCACTCATTGGCCAAACGCAATGCATGTTGTGGATCTGCCAGTCTTCAGAAATGGAGAGCCCGATCCCCACCAACGCTCGAAGCCTCGATCTAAGGTTCAGCTTTCGGACCGAGGCTTTAAGCTAACCGGTATCCCATATCTAGAGAGCATGGCTTGAAGTAGGACTTTCTCTTTGGTGTTTAGTCATTGTACATGTTCAAAGTTATTGAATTTATTCATTTCATACGATAATTTTTCTATTCACTATGCGCAAATAAGTGGCTCAAATCATTCCAATCCCATCCAGCCCAATCTAGAGCGGACGGGCCCCAAGTTAACCCTGCCTCAAGAACGGAGGCTGTATCTCCTATCGGTATGTCACTCAAAGCGAGACCATCTGTGTCTAGAGGGAGGAGATCGGGCTGGCTTGCCGTTGGCGCTTCCAAGCAGCGAGATGCGTATTCCTGCAAATCGCGGAGAATCTCATCGACATTCCCTGCAGTTTGATGCCTATCATAATATTCCTTCGTGATTCGAATGCCAACTTTCATAAGCTGGGAAGGTATTAGCCTCGAACATGTACTTAGAAATTCTACTTACCTCGAAGTCAGACCGAATAAGGAGTGAATTGCGCTCCTGAAATATATGAACTGCCAAAGCATAGACTGCTGCCAAAGGCGAGGTTATACTCATGAGATAGTTCGGTGTTCCTGAGTCAATGAGTGCAATAAATAACTTGATCGTTTGGCGAGCGGCTTCAATGACCATTGTTGGTCCAGATAGGAGACCTTGGCGCCATGTCTTTCCAGCAGCGAATTTGTTGATCATGGCATGAAGCTCATCCTTAGGTACAAGGATAGTAGATCGCGTAACTAATATCACACTGAGAGAGCGTTAGTAGAGAAGTTACGACAACAAAGAATACCGTACCCGAGAACTTACCCGATATTATAGTAATATGAAAGGAATGCAGACTGCGGTCCACTGCTGAGTGCGGATGCTGATCCAGGTCTGTAGATTTTTGAGTTCCTCAATAAGAGCAAGCTGCCTAGATGAGCTCGAGACATACCTGTATGCAGAAGGCAGACTATCTTGCCATTCCGAAAGCAAGATTTGCAACTCTCCTGCAGTCTGTAGTTTGTCCTCAATGGCTTGCTCTACCGATTGTGGCATCCATTCCTCCCGCCTCCAGGCTCTAACAGAGCGCTCCTGCATTTCATGTAACATATTTGCCAAGCTTATCAGGGCATTTCGAAATTCTAGTCCCGCCCCACGGTCTTGATCGACTTGAACTGGCGACGAGAGTGTTCCAAATAAGTGACGATCCCAGATGGCGGACGGACGACCAAACTCCAAAGCCAAAATTCGTTCAAAAACGTACATACACCACCAGGTCTGGAATTCTGGAGTATCCTGGGTTAAAGCGTCATCTTGGGCTGAGGTTGTTTGGTTTATGCCAATCGATTGCGCCATGGAGACCCCCATTGTAAGGATGTCCCATGCCCAGGCAACCTTGTCACAACTACGCAGTACCATTGCGAAAAGAAGAATGGCCTGTACTGATTGCAAACCGCGACTCGAGATAATATGACCAAGAAGCGAATTGCAGTAGCTGATGTACGAGGAAATGAGTGATCGGGATGACCCGTCAGCTGGCATGGCGAGCATACCTGCTGTCACAATAAGATATTTCAGAGCCTCTCTCGGTGCGTTAGCAACATGACATGGATTAGGTGTCTGTGTGTTGTATGTGTCCGCATCGATGAGTGAGTCGACAATACTTCGATTTAGAAATGGGAAAATCCCGTGGAGGGTATTCCAGTAGCTCTCAATGCAAAGCTGCAGCAATTCCCGGGGTGGAAAATTCGGCGGCTGTACGCAAATGACCGATGCAAATTCCTGATCAATAACAGGAGAAATCGCATGAGTCTTGGGGCCTTTCAAGCGATAAAAGGCCATATCGAGCCACTCAGTCATCAACTCCAGCATACTAGATCCCACAAAGCGAGGCATCATCGGAAGACGCCCCGTCTTCCAACCTTCTGGTCCCCAGCATTGTGACCAAAATCGTGGTCTTTGTTCAGCCGAGGTTCGAACACCTGCGGAAGAAGGTGACTCTAGTGTTCGAGGTGTACACACTTCCTGTGGTGACATTATTGTGCGTCTTTGACATTGAGTATATGCATTCGTCGCATTATTAGAAGGCATGTTATCATGGTCTTCCCGTCTGCGATGCCTTACTATTGCGCCATGGCGTCGTTTGTCTGTTGTAATGCATTCCACCTCGGCGATGCGGCAGTTCCGACATGGGTGTTCCTCGTCACAGCGCGTCTTCTTCTCACGACAGTAGTTACAGGCATAACTAAGTCTTTTGCGCTTTGCAGTTGGCTGGTCAATTAGTTTGTTCATAGGTCATGTAGAGAGTCTTTGGACATGTATTCCCGCAAATTCAGAGTGGATGTGTTTCATCGACCTCCTCCACTTGCCGATATCACGTGATAAATTGGTAGGTTATTCGAGGATAGATTATCTTTGAATAATTATGTGGAATTTCCTGTGCGACAGGAAGATGGGAGAAAATAGCAGCGAAGGGACCGTGGACACTGTACTACCTACCTATTTTGCATGAGTGGAACTCTCAGCGAAGGTAAGAGATGCGCTGAGAGGTTATGTTTGCGAGGCATTGTGTTTGCGTTGATGGGGGCTTAGCTAAGGGCGGGACTAACGGGATTGGATTGTTCGGTGTTGAGTCGCTCGAGAGCTACAGTACAATTGGATTGGTAAAGCACTTGTCTGAACTCCTGTGCCCTTCCAGATTTGAAGCTCGAACAGACGGGTCTTCTACAATACGCATTATCTAGCTCCTGTCTCAACGACGTTGTTTTTGATAGACTGGGGCACCTAAATGAATACTCCCTTTATAGGATTTGTGAGAGTGTTCACGATTTAACCAGATCAAGTAGATTGATTTTTCTTTGTCTAAAACAACCCTACTTCATCCTGGTTATCTAGCAACATTAGTCCTGCCATCTATATGGTTTCTGCGTAGGCAAATACAGTAGGTGGTATTAATCAATGAGTTAAATTAGTTGATTGGTTGTGTCAGGCATATAACAAGGAAGTCATGTCACACAGGGGCGCGGACTTAGATTGTCACAGGGCCTGAGCTCAAGCAACAACAGACATGCATTCCAGAGTTTCATTACGCGGATCTACAAGTGTGATCCACAATTCAGGTGGCGAATTCATCTGAATACAGTATACAGAATTACATGGTAGTTTAAAAAACTTTTCCTATTCAAATATGCCTTTGAGCCCCATTTCATCCTAGATGGGCATATTTGGCCAAATATTCTTGAATTTACAGCAAGCACAACATCCATGATGCGCCCTCGATCCTCTTCGCTTTTTTTCTCTGCTCAAAATTTAGCCGATGAGAATCTTTGAGGGCAAATACGCCTGCCACAGACTATTATTTACCTTGAAATCCTTGGCACACGGGAATCATTGAACTTTAGGCGTGCGAGTGGATACTCAAAGTTTACACTGCTCCCTAGAAGTATAAGGATTCCTAAAGGCCCGTGGGCTCGAAGTCTGCTAGGTGTTACGAACCCTGCAGCCATTCGTGATTGTAGTGGCCGCATCATACGAATGGGCTAGTAAGAGTCAACCAATTCCTAGGAACCAGGTTTAAAAACTTGCTCATGAGTATATCTTGGTGTAACGATATAGCGCCACTACCGTATGAGGCGAGCGGCAAGTCATACGAACTATGAATCAGGAACTATTGGGAGCAAGGAAAATAGAGAAACCCAAAGTATGGTTCCCGACTGTGCGTGTTGGAACATCCCGTGATCACCACTCACTATATAAAGTGGTTCTGCATTATCTGCAAAGGCTTCTTACTATATGTTATTCATATTTTGCTCTTCATATCAATACTAAGTCATACTATATTGTCTATTATCTGACCGACCCCTCCGGCGTATCCAAAGAATTTTTGCGCCCTACGGCCCCTGCCTAATATGAGAGCCATTTCATTGCTTCTTATCTCCTGCATCTTCTTGGTCGCCATATGCACGGCGAAATGCCCTCCAGATGAGGACAAAATAAAGGAAATAGCTCACCCTTTCGGCGAGAAGTGGAAAGAGATGTGCCAAAAAAACAGCGGGTGTAAACCTGGGACAAAGCCCGCTCACACGAAGTTCCTCTTTCATATTCTTGAACACAAAGCTTGGAGAACGTTTCCATGCTTGGAAAGTCTGCCGTTTTCAAAGCTCAAGCCGGATATAGACAGGCTATGGAAAAAATGCCACAAAAAACAAAACCTGTGTATCGAGAAGCACCGGAAGGCTTTCGTCGATTGTGCGAAGCAGTTCATTCCCCCCTTGATTATGAAATATGGTGGCCCAGCGATAAACGCCTGTAATTGCGCTGATGACAAGATTATTCCTAATTGGGACTCGCAGTATAAGGATACTGTGATGGGGTGGATGGATAATTTCTTCAAAAAGTGCTGATAATCCCGGTATGTATCAAATATTCAATCCCTGGATATTAGGATACAGATTGGACTGATATCTGGAGAGTTTGCTTATAGTGATCCCACGTATAAACTCTCGAGTTCTATCAATGAATGGAGTCCTTATGTATTCTTTAAGTTCTTACTTTATGCTTCATTTTTACCAGAATTACTTTCCACCAGAAATCTAAAGCTAATAATGCCATGAGCTGGTGTGCGTAGACTCCTACTGGGACTTGATACGGGGACTTGGAGGCGGTAGTTGACTGCGCTAATTCATCAGAATTGGTCTCCGAAACTTCTTTTCCCTTGCCTTTCAGCGATATCGGATGATCAGAAGCTGTGATGTTGGAGGGCTCCTGGTGAGTATTGCCACGTTCCTCGTGGCTGCAATCATGCGTGCCGGTGTCAGCTGTGCTATCATGAGCTCGCGCACTAGCGGAGGATCTAATATCCAGCTGCGAAGAACACACCGGATAGATTTCTGAATTGAGACAGAGAGTGTTTCCACATCGGCATTTGGCCGGAACAATACAGGGAATATCTCATTCTCGACCATTATCCGCTTCAAATCCTTCGAACGTGTATTTAGCTTCTTGAGTTTCTCATCAAAATCGGCTCGGCGATTCCTTTCATCTCGAGAGAAACTAAGATTATCTCGGGCTGAATTGCTTTCAGCTTGGATCCGCCGCTTTTCCCGGCGAGGATGATTGATTGCTCACTCTCCATTGTAGAAGCTGAGCTCAAGAATTGAAGGAAATTTATTATCCCTATCCCAATTGGAGAGGATATTATAGAGAGGGTCTTTGGACAAAGCAAATATTTTGACGCAGAAGTTCTTGAGGGTATCCTTGATCTTGTTGATTGATTCGTGCTCCGGAAGAATGTCCCCTCAAAAGCGGAGCGACTCTTCCTTCTCCTTCTCCATTGTTCCAAAGCGTCCGCCGTCCAGGATTGTTTACAGGAGAATGAAAGGGATTGAACTGGATTGAGGAAAGGGAGGGCGGGGTAGGCAACCTTGGGTAAAGCAGCAAACAGGCGTCTCTACACGTCCACGGAAAGGATGCCACGTGGTACTGACATGGGTGATATGCACGCCTGACAAGGTGAGCATGAATCCTCAGATGATCTGATCGACGAAACGGTCAATTTTGAATACCGTAACGGGTGACCTTCGAGACGCTAAGCGGCTACTCAGATGGTATTTGCACTATAGCCCTTTTCGGTGGTCAGCAAGCAGATCGCATTAGGCTCTGTTGACAGAACCATCTAGCTCTGTAATACCGATGAATCTCTCCAAGCCTCAAAATTCACTTGACAGTGTTTCACTAGCTGTTTCAATCTCATATTGACGAAAGATTGACAAAGCGTAAATGTCTTATTTGTGCGACGTTTGGTATCTTATACTTCGTATTCGTTTCCCCCTCAACGCACTCGTAAATGCATCAATGCTTTCGAAGTTCTAATATTTGAGGACACAATAACAATCCTTTTCGGACACTATGACCTTCACGCGTGTTTATCGGAAATAGATACCAAGATATGACTTTGAGTTAGCGGAGGTTTAGGTTGATTAGTCGTCGCGTCGAGATAATTCAATAGCTCAAAACGTCTGTTAGGCAATCCTGGAGTTCATATCATTGCAAAAATCATCCTCCACGCCTAATCCCTACTATGCTTTCTGTTACCTTCCTCTGCTTTTAATTCCCTTCATTTTACATTGCTAACGTGCTGACGCTTAATTGACATCAATATCTACGTGTGGCTGACTTTTCATTGCACGAAATCACGCCGGAGGCTCAAACCTCATTCAGACCTAACGTACGATTTCCAAGAGTTCGATCCCTTTGATTCTGATTATACCCCTTCTGAGCCCGATTCCAGCCCTGTGCTTATTAAATTGACCCACAGGTGACTCCGACGTGGAGGACGCTGACTAGAATCTTGAGGAAGATATGACCGATGAACAGCCCTCTGCATCTGATACTTTGCTCAATCTATCCGTGAACCCTATTGCGAACGAACAACCTATTTTATCTGGGGATTTCTCTGGTGAAAGTATAGTGTGCTACGCGAATATTCAATTCTCGGACTATCTGAATGAGGTTGAGTATTTCCCTTTGTCAGTCTTTCCTGCCGGAATGCCTAGGGTGGAGCCTATCAGTGTGTTTGGAGAAATGGTCTCAGATTGCACTGTACTATTTGACAGTGCTTATGAAGGCATAGAAGACGACGATCCCTCCAGGTCTGTTGCTCAGCTTGATTACAATCCCAGCAACCGCCACCCGCGCATACCTTACACGATCATACCTCCTGAAGAGATGTACCAGAAACAGTTGCCTTCCCCAGTGCAAGCCCCTTGTGTATCAACCACTGTGCAGGCCCACATGAAGCAGGAATATGGCGAGCAATCGCTGGAGTTCTCTCAAGTTCTGACCTTTGAGAGCCAAAGGCAAGCTCCTTTGTTCCAAGGCTGTGGGTTTCAAATGCCGCCTACTACCAATGCCGAGCCTTATCAAGATGACCTCTTTCGGATTGAACAACAAACAGAGCTTCAGCGGAGTCAAGACCTTACCCACGAAATACAGCTCCGCCAAGAGCTTCGCATCCCGCTACCAGAATTTGTCGTGAAATCACCTCTTCTGGATAGTGAATATGATCAGGTGAGAAGGGCTTCTCAAACACGTGGAGATTCTTACTAATCAAATTGTATACAAGCCCTCTACGCCTACGCGCCCCCAACGCAAGTACATCTATGAGACTCCTGATCAGGGCACCCAGACTTTTCCGAGTATCAATCCTCCTGCGCAGACCAAGGCACACAGAGAGGACAAACAGCGCGGAAAATCCGATTCTTTTTCAAAAAATGATTCGGGTTTCGACGTTGAGAAGGCCCACAGCCAACTTACCGGAACCCTGATGGAGATTGCTAAATGTGTGAAATTGAACCCCAATACCACTCTGTCCAGGTCCTTTTCTTCCAAGTCTATCGAAGAGATTGGCCCATTCCATCATGCCTTGCAAGAGTCTACCATGACAGCTCGTCGGAAATCGGACCCAGAGAATCTTGATTCAGTCCGCTGGGAAAAAAGAATGCATGCTTCAACTATGGACAAGCGCTCTTCACCAGATGCGGAGCGAAGTCAAACACCAATACAGGGACAATATGACTCATCCTCAGGGCAAGATAGTCCCACGCCAAAGAGCAAGAAGGCTCGCGTTCAACTACATACTTCCAGCAAGAGAACTCCGACCACAGCCCGCAGCGCCAGCAAGAAGACGCCGGCTAAAAACTGCAGCACCAGAAAAAACACTCCACTTACGAACCGCACTGCCAGCAGGAAGGCTAAGCCCAAGGACTCAAGCCCTGACAGGTTTCGGTTGCACACTCCATCGGCCAAGGCCAAGATAAGGCATCCGATTCCCAACAACTGGGAAGAGGCCTCTGCGGAGGACGTCTTGTTGTTTGAGCTCAGAAGGCAAGGCGCGGGATTTCCAACCATCGCCGAGGTATTGAGGACAACTCGCGGCACGCCTTACAATCCCAGGACCCTCCGCAATCGCCACTGGAAAATCGAGCACAGGCTCGGTGAATTTCCCAATAGCCTCCAACCCAGTAAGCCGCGTCTGCTTTTTATCATCTCTAAGACAAGCTTACGTTGAAATTTCATTTGCTAATCTTATTGTTTACTACAGACAACAAGCAGAAAGCGGATGGAGACACATCTGACCTGTCTTCTCCTAAATTCGATACCGAAGAATTCAATTACTTCTAGTTCGAGACTACCGACTAACTATCTGATATGCCGCGAGGGGTTGATGTTTGTAGAATAACGAAGGGTGGTTTATGTGGGAACAACATTCTTATGAGATTTGATGGAGGGCTTCAATGGATGGAAATTATGGGCGAAAGTTCAGATAAGAAGTGACCCACCGGAAGGTTATCTTTAGGCTTCATGCGGAGGATTTAACGGATCTGGCGACCTAAGGAATGATCTATGGGAGAAAACCATTTTTACAAGTTTTCTGTTACCCGTAGACCGTGGAAAGGTCTGATTAACCGAACTCGATGATGTTCTGGTCCTTACCCTAGTTCGGTCGTATGCCCTAAAGACCTTTAGCTAGTTGGGTAGGTATTATGAACATCTTCACAGACTTCTATGAATTTTGGTGGGTAACAACCTTGGAATGGTCCGCACTTCGGCTCCGAGGATGAGATTACTGAAAGTATCATGGAGCATTGCAAGCTGTGGACCCCGGATGGAAGCTTCAAAGATACATGAACACCTGAGTTGAGATGTTCCAAATCAGAGAGGGCATTCCTATGCTCTGTATTCTTTGAAACCCATTCATGACCATAAAAGCGCAATTTCGGGTCAACAAATGTAGAGAATTACACTATAGATGCAATGACGTGGGTAATCCACGATCAGGGTCGTCAACAATAAGCCCTATCAAACCTTGGAAGCCAAAACCTCATCGAGCCAAACTCTCCGATGGATCAAAAGTGGGTCGATCAGAGACACACCCGTAGATCGACCAATGGACGTGAACTGAACAAGTGGAACCCGGTGGGACTACCGACTTTGCTTTTTAGTCTTATCAGCACTATCGATGTAAATCGCGTCAGCAAAGCGAAAATAAACACCCTAGAGCAAGGAAGCGGGTCCTGCATGATGCAGTGGCCCCATTGGCAGCCAATGATTCCCTCGGGTTCGAGCGGACCACATTCTTTCGGCACCTTGATTGGCGATCAGTGCAGCAATCAGTGCAGCCAAAAATGCAATACTCGGCGATCCACCGAGCTGGGCTATGATCGGGGCGGATTCTTTAAACAGTCACTCCGTGTCATTCTACCCCTCTTGCGCTCAGCTGGAAGTCAACTCTGTCACGTACCTCGACACCGCTCGCGCCATGAGTAAAATCATGGAAGAGGAACCTGAGCAAACAGGAATCCCCTACTGGCGCTTTATCTTCGATGCGGGCGTCATTCCCCATGAGGTCGCAGCACACCACCACGATGGCGCAGGTACAGACGAAGATCCCTTCCAGGTGACATGGATTGAGAAAGATGCGCGTAATCCCATGAACTTCGGGATCGTGTATAAATGGTTGATCACGTTGTTGGTCGGCATTAACACCCTTGCCGTCGCATTGGTCTCATCTGCGTACTCTGGTAGTCTGGTTGAAATCATCGAGGAATTCCAAATCAGCGAGGAGCTCGGTATTGTGGGAATCTCGTTGTTCGTTCTGGGATTCGCTGTCGGTCCCTTGATCTGGGCGCCGCTCAGTGAATTATATGGGCGAAGGCCCATTCTGATCGCGAGCTCGGCCGGATTGACGGCCTTTACGGCTGGTTGTGCTGGTGCGCAGAACATTTGGACTCTGCTTATCCTGCGATTCTTCGCTGGATCGTTGGGTTCGGCTCCGTTCGCTGTTGCGGGTGGTGTGATCGCGGACTGCTTCCCTCCCATCAGCCGTGGGCTTGCGAGTGGGCTGTATTGCGCTGCGCCGTTTTTGGGTCCGACACTGGGCCCGATCATCGGCGGATTTTTGTCGGAATCTGCTGGTTGGCGTTGGGTGGAGGGACTGGTGGCTGCGTTCGCGGGACTCTTGGGACTCATCACGCTTTTCTTCTTGCCCGAGACTTTTGCCCCTACCTTGTTGAACAAACGAGCTGATCGGTTGTCCGCTTCCACTGGTCAAGTGTACCGTAGTAAGATCGAAATTGATCAAGGCAAGAAGACTCCCGCGGCTATTTTCAAAGTGGCTCTCTCAAGACCGTGGGTGCTTCTTTTCCGAGAGCCCATTGTTCTGCTACTTTCGATCTACCTCGCCATTATCTATGGAATGTGAGTACCTTTAGGTTCTGCTTAACGAGTTCTTTCACTAACTCCTGTCAGCCTGTACCTGCTCTTCGCGGCAATGCCAATAGTCTACCAAACGGAACGCGGCTGGAGTGAAGGACTCGGCGGACTCTCGTTCTTAGGCATCACAGTCGGCATCCTCTTGTCCGTAGTCGCAACGTTCCCGATCTACTTCAGCTACAGGAACAAGACTCTCGCGGCCGGTGGTCGCCTCCCACCGGAGCAACGTCTCCCAGGTGCCATGATCGGCTCAATTGCGTTGCCAGCGGGTCTATTCTGGTTCGCCTGGACCAATTCTCCCTCTATTCACTGGATGGCTTCCATTGCAGCTGGCGTTCCTCTCGGATTTGGTATGGTGATGGTCTTCCTCCCGGTTCTAAACTATCTGATTGACGCATACACGATCTACGCCGCATCTGTCCTGGCTGCCAACGCTGCCTTGCGCTCGCTCTTTGGTGCTGTATTTCCTTTGTTCACAACCTATATGTATGAGAACCTCGGTATCCACTGGGCATCGTCTATACCGGCTTTTCTAGCCCTTGCGTGCGTGCCCATGCCTTTCTTGTTCTACCGTTATGGTCCCCAGGTTAGGAAGCGGTGTCACTATGCTGCTATCTCGCATGCGTTTATGGAGAAGCTATATGAGAAGGCTGCATTGCCACCAAAGGTTGAGAGAGATGAGCCTACCGATGTCGAGACTACGTCGGATTAAGTTGGAGTTGGAAGAGATCACATCATCGTTCGGTTCACTGTTGGCAGGTTCACTGTTGGCAGAATGACGGCAGACAGAACAGAATACTAGTTGAAACAATGTAATTATTAATGTCTTCTTATCGATGTTAGCTGTTCGATATCGGTTTCGCCTCTATAAGTCCGTTTCCCTATGTTTTAAGTATGAGAAGAAGGACAATCTTTTATTTCTTACTTCCTATACTAATGTCGAAGAAAAAGAGATTTCGAGTGGAAATTGAGGCCAAAATACTTATCACTGAAGCACATTCATCTAGGATCAAGCAGCGCTTAGAAAGTACTAGTGTCTTCTACAGCCTTATCATGTGGTCTTCGGTCTATACAATCGAATTTTAGGTATTTCGTGAGGCGTAAGAGATGGGTCTTACGATAGAAGCTTATCATTATTTACCGGTGTCTCTGAGGGCCTCATACAGCGTTTCAAGTGACTTCCAGTGGCCAAAGAGTGCTTTCCGGCTCATTGACTATATTCCACGTTGAGAATCCTATCCAGAACCCGCTTCTATAATGGGAAAAATTCTCTCTTCAAGAATCTCTTCTCTCCATATCATTCAATCTCTTTCCCGATTATCCACCCAGACAGTTCAGTAACCTCAAATCTTAGCAGCTATTGCCATTTCTATATCTGAAAGCTGCAATCAGAGTCGCCAAGCTCGTTTTTCCTCTTGCTCGCATTCAATCCGTCTATTCAGTAGTATGTCTTGTTCTCTAGTGGTCCAAAAGCGATAGTGATACGACCTAGGATGAGAAGCCGGACTGACAGGACTGACAAAAATGGCCCTATTAGCAAGTTTCAAGCATATTCGCGCTCCAGGCTCAAGGGCACAAGAAGCAGACGATACCAATGTTGGTCTTGGGTCCAAGAAGATGCAGAAAGCTAACAGGGAGGATTTTGGTCTACATGCCATTTTTCTGTTTGGACGACGTGATGCGTCGATCTCTCTCACTTTAGAGACTAGCTAGAGGCTGGAGGCTTTCACGAATCTCAACGAGGATGAGATGACTGGCGTTCTGGGTCGCATGGAGGCCAAAATGGCTGCTAAGAGGCTAAATGATACAACTTCTTCGGAGGTTGGGTTTCGAAGTCTCAGTCATGTCTTCATGGCCATCGAGGACCGGTCCTGGTGCCAGCACCTGGGATGTCGGACCTGCACAGACTACCCAGCCCTTTGGTGGCTTTATAGATATCATGGAGTTTGATTCGACAATGCAGGTTATTGGACATTGAATCCAAGACCTTGTCAGAACGATTGGATCAGGAATTTCATCCAGTGGCAATTTTCTATTAAACGGCAACGGGCAAAAACAAAGGCTAATATCAATATGATCATGTTCACTGATGATCAAAACAGCATGTAGTAATGATAAATGCAGAGAATTCAGATAAGGAAATGGCTCGACACGCGCTCATTACGACACCCAATCCTTGTTCAAAGTATTCGAACAGTTTTCGTCCTGTGAGTCTCCAATTCTATCCAAGATATTATCCAACCGGTCGATATTGCGCTTGAGAGCCTCCTCTGAGCTCTAAGATGGTTTGGCCAAACAGGCTTACTGGTGAATAAAGGCTGTACAGAAACAAACAGTCTCCAATATGATGGACAGTGAACTTCAAAAACAGCTCTTCCGTCCCCACAGAGAGGTGGTCTCCAATTGATTCACATCGAACTATCACTTCCTTTGATTGTATCCCCTGTTCTTCATGCGTAGGCACACTGGAGACATATTCAGATAGTCACATTGCTCCAGAAAGGGGACTACATCTTAACAGAGGTATTCGGGTTCCATCCTGAGTGCCTGGGGTGGGGAAAACATCAAGCCAGCCCGGACACTTGGGTTAGAGATGAGGCCTCTTCGCATACCACGTGAAGACTGAGAACACCCGATCACGACAACTGGTAGCGAAGTGGAAGTTTAGCGCCGCCGTCTTTTCCACAATGTGATGACTCCTCTACTCTCATCCTGGCTCATGTAAGCAAAATATAAGGCTGACATTTAACAGAAGAGGACCGACCTAAGGGGCAAACCAAGAGTCCGAAAAAGTCCGCGACAGGTGAAGAGAAATATCTGTATACTTTGATATTCGAATCTATCTTAAAGTCCGGCCCTGTGTAGTGCTTTTCCGTGCTTGTCCTAAATCAAAGTATTGTGCAATCGAGAATACGTCTAGGCGATGACAGTAATGTGCTTCATAAATAGATGACAGATATCAACCGATGTCAATAATCGTGAGATCGGAGTATTTAAAAGAATTAAATTAGGAAAATATCTTGCTTCTCGGGACTTGGACATGCCGACATGGATCTTCCGAGGTGTAATATTCGAGGCAAAGGTGCACGGGTCAGTCATTTATAACAACCTGGATACAGAATCAAGAGGAAAGACCACATTGGAATTTTAAAAATCTCATTGAATCTTCATATCTATTAGAACACCAGGATACTGGCTTCAGCAAAGGGACGAACATAATGTTTTCCAATATTGCAGAGAGTCATAATCTCTAATTGTGCACAACACTTCCTTCGCTATCAGACGATTGTTCAGCCTTAGCCAAGCTCTGCTCCTTGGTAAGCTTAGGATTCCGCAGGCAAAGAGCAAACGCAATAAGCGGGACCGTCAGACAAATTCCCGTAATGCACAAGAGTCGCTGGGTCGTTTGGTAGGCAAGGATCACTTCATCCCGGGCAAAGGTACCGACGGGGTTCGCAGCTGCAAACACCAGTGGTTCGGCGTAGACTGATGCGGCGAGTGTCTCGTTTCCGAGTCTGCGGCTCAGCTCTCCGGGAAGTACTTGGTTCCAGATGGAACCGGAGATTGTGTTACCGAGGGCACTTCCGATGTTGTAAGATGCAAGGAAGATACCGGTGACGACAGCGAGATCTATATAAGTTTAGTATGTGATTGGATCTCGGATTAAAGTCAGTTCTTTGATCACGTACGCTCATGCTTAGATACTGCCTGGATACTAGCCTGGGCAGGGTAAGGGAAACATCCACCAGCTATTGAGTTGGGTATTAGTACTTGTTCCTGGGATAGTGATTTTCCTGGTGACGTACCTATTCCTAACAGAATCTGTCCACCGATCACACCAGAGTGACTTTCATGTCCACTTCCACCACGGAAGTGGATCAAGATACCGAAGGCCACGGTGAATAACATAGTTCCGAAGATGATGAAAGGCTTCAGCTGGCGGACCTTTATGATAATGAAACCTAAAATAGTTCCGGTGATGACGGATGTGAAACTGTACAGTGAGGTGATGCGTGTCGCGCTGAGAATCGACTCGTCAAATCCCACGTAGAGTACAGTGTACAAGAAATCACCCTGGAGATACCATGCTGAAATAATGTCAGACCAGATTCAGACTTAATGTTGTGCCAGTCATACCTGTGTTAAGCATAACAGCAATTCCGAGGGCAGCCCATACGCCACGATCTTTGAGGTGCTACTAAAGTCAATACCTCTGAACATACAGCACTCGAGCCAAGCTACACACCTTGAAAGGAAGCATTGGGTATTTGCATTTCTTTTCCCAAAAGACCCATACTGGGATCAACAGGACACCGATAACCAGGGGCGCAATGACCTTTGCCGTTCCCCAGGTTGTTTTGACACCTCCGGCGAGCGTGAATGGAACGAGAATGCAGGCGAATATGGCAATCATCAAGAGTAAGCCAATGACATCCAGGTGCCAGAAAAGCGCGACTGCAAGTTGACGACCACCCATAAGATCAAAAGAGCTCTTATAAGATTCCAGCTGACCAGATTTCTTTGCGCGACGGTGGACGATGAAAAGGACTGTGAGCAGAGGAAGCGCACATACAGGGTAAATGATGGCGAACATGCCGATACCCCATCTCCAAGATGTGACTTTGAGAACAGCGGCGGTCAAGTTACCACTGATCCATGTATTGATCTATTTGCAGATGCATGGTCAGAGACGTCCTCATTCTTGTGCAAAAAGAGAAGACTAACAATAAATGGTAGAGCTGGAATGTATGAGAACAATAGACGAGAGCGAGTAGAGGTCAAATCCGCAATAAGGACCTCGACAAGCAGCATGATACAAGTGTATCCGATCTATTTCCGTCAGAAAATCTCTATTATGTATGCAGGGCCTACATACCTGGTAGATTACAGCTCCGGCGCAGAAACTCTCTACGTTTTTCGCGCATGCTTCGATAATCGTACCGACCGTGTAGAAGACAACGGAGACAATAATGAGTTCAATTCTGCCAAAGACATCGGCAATCTTTGCAGCGGTAGGCTAAATAAAAGACTATTAGCCATGGAACTCCAGTCCTCGAAACCTGTGGTATATACCTGAGCAGCGGCGGCGATGACAGCGCGGAGAACATTGATCGTGGCGAGGAGACTGTGCTGACCATAACTCTGAGTAGCATAGGGCTATGTCAAGCTTTGGTCAGTATTATTGATATCAATCGTATGATTTTCCGGGCACTCACCTGGTAGGTGTACCGAACGGTTCCATCTAGACCATAAACGTAGGCGATGAGGAACACACTGGCAAACAAACAGATGCGATCAACAAGACGGAAGTGCGAGTTAATAATCTCAATCCGGTGAACTCCAGGACTACCTTCGCCGAGCAGCTGAGCGTTCTGAACCGGGGCCGTCTGAGTCTGAGGGTCCTTTCCCGGGATTTCCCCGCGGCCGCTGGCCGGGCTCTCAGCGCTGGCCATGATGAACGATGTCAGAACAGGTTCAACAGATACGTAAGATCCACGCGCTGATCACTGGATCAGGGGGTTTCTGGAGATCTTTTAAGTCCGAGGGAAAAAAAGAGAGAGAAAAGTACGCCTCATGAGTTAAATTGGGAAGAGTAAATTCAGGGTCTAATCCATCTTATCAGATGGGGCCCCATGACGGTGGGCCAATCACAGAGCTCACGGCCACACCACAGGAGCCTGGACGCAATTAGACTTTTCGCTCATTTGCTGACACAAGTTTGTTGCCTGAATACGGCTTAGTGACTGTACACCAGGCTGGATCAGCCAGTCAAAGCTGACTTGCCAAGGTCTGGACCGGAGCATAAGCCATATTTGCCGTGTGGTCCGACTCACTGGGCCTTGGCCTTGTAGCGCAACTCTCATAACTACGAGGCATCTCGGACCTTGTGTATATCTGGTCGTGTGACCATCAATGGTAACTTGAAGTGGGCATGCTGATATTGGATCCCTTTGAGATAGAAGTTAGCTTTCCTGCAGTTACAACTATCCAGAAACCCGAAGAGCACGTAGGCTTGAAAGAAGAAACCCTGAACTTGAACTAATGCCGCCAAACGCCATCCAACCTCCATTCCAATCCAACTTCATAAATCATAAGTAAAAAACATCAAAGAACGCTCAATTCCCTCCTTCCACTGGTCCCACTCCGCATACTCATCCCCATTCCCTGTCCGCTCCACTCCGAAGACGAAGAATCTCCACGAGCACGTGAGCCACCAGTACTGGTACTAGCACCGATACTGATGCCCGCCGTCGTGAGGGAGTCTCCATCATCCATAATCGTGGGAACGGGTCCACCAACCATGACCGGACGGATCTTCGCGCCAACGAAGCCACGACGATCCCGACCTGTGCGGCCGCGGCCGAGCCAATTGTGTTTAAGAGCTTTGCTAAGCACTTCGATTCTTTCTTGCGATTCATCGTCTGTTTGGACGCTTGCGAGCACACTGACGCATTGGAGCATGCGGCCGACTGTCTCGGTGATGACGTGAGATGAGTCTGCAGAGCCGACGCGGTGCATGATTGTTGGGCGTTGGTTCGAGGTCGGGGGAGACGAAACGGAGGAGAAGATCATTGGATCTGGGTTGGAGGATGTGTTGGATGTAGCGCGACTGCGGGAGTCGCTGCTTCCGGGTCTGAAGTTGGCATTGGTATGAGCCAGGATACTCACGGAGTCGGAGGAGTAGCTGTCAGCGACATTGCTGAGCATGGTCGAGGACTGAGAGTTGTAACTGCCGAGGCCTGCGTCTAGTGATGCAGCTGTACCTGGTCGGCCGCCTGTGCCGGTGCTTTTGGCTGTCACGCTCAGTGTAGGGAATCCAGTGTTGATACTGTCCAGGCTGAGGCGAGAGAAGGTTTGTTTGAGGGTTTCGTAGCGGTTGAGGATCATACGGTCTCGGAACGCGATCAACACTAGGTTTCGCACGTCAAGCAGCCCACCGACTGGTAGTGATCCCCAGAATTCATGAGCTTCACAAGCAGACATCAACGAGCCAACGCCCTTGAACTCAAGGTCCAGAGGCAAGAAGACGGCTTGGATAAATGGCAATATTGTGCCAAAGACCAATAACCACACTTGAACTAAATGAGGAACCAGCTTTTCATCGGCAATTCCAACCAAGGAACTGTGGTTGAGCGTCGCAAAGCCGGTCTCCAGCAGTTCTTGGAGATCTAAAATGATTGATGTGGGAGTGCGTTTCTGGACACAGCGTTGTAGATGCACCAGCACAAGCTTGTTAAGATCTTCGATGGCTATTCGCACGTCCTCGCCATCAAAAATGACCAGCAACTTCGCCTTGAGAAAGTCCCATGCGTCCTCAGGAGACATGTTGTTAAGTCCGAACCCTTGTAAAGTCTCTCGTAGGACCGCCTCTCCCATCGCACCAGACGAGCTATTTAAAGAAGAAGGTCCAGTAAAAACAGTGGCGGCAGCATTTCCACCCGCCGCCGCATTATTGAGCCATTCAGTATGCTCGGATTCCGCAAGCGCCTTCTCCTTTCCCTTTTCTTCCTTCTTCTTTTCGCGCAGGGCTCGACCGCCATGTAGCAAATCCAACCCACTGACAGATTTCCCAAAGGTGGCACCCGGAGCCGGGGAGGAAGGCCCGGTGAAAGAGTAGAGGGACTGGGGAGCATTGGGGTCAGCAGGACGAGAGTTACTCGATGCTGAGGATAGAGGTAACTTCAAGTGCTCGTCGCGGTCCTTGAGCTTGAGCTTCTGTCGCGACAAAAAGTGATGCTTGTGTTTATCCTTGTCTTTGGTGTCCTTCTCTGGTACAGCAGGCTGGGATTTGTCTCCTGCCGGTACCACGGTATTGACAGAGGCATTGGAGAGGTTATACATAGAGGAGTTGTTAGAGGGCAGATCGGCCAAGCTAGCCGTGGACCCGCTAACCATGCGCGAGAGACCATTGCCAATCTTGCTCGGAGACGGCAGTCCACGATCCCGATTAAAAGGATCTGATTTCTCTCGACTGAGCACGATATGTTTCGGTTTTGAGAATAGCTTTTTTTTTCTTCTTGTTTTCTGGTTGGTCCATCAGCTGGGCTGCTGCGCCAGCCCGCGGGAACACCACGTTGGCGGCCGTTGTGGCCACATTCGGAGAGGGTTGGTTGAGTCGAAGGGGAGCAGGCACCAACGCAGGTAAAGGTGGAGGGGAAGAGCTGCCACTTCGTAGTGCGTCATCTGAACGTTTGATTTGCTGCATAGCAGCCTGAGCAGCGATGCGGGAAGCCGACACCGGGGGCAGCTGATCGGACGATGCGGTGGGTAGTGAGGGCTCAAAGAAACCTTGTGAATGATGCCGAGACCTGTGTCGTGTCAGTTCAGACGAAGGGCCTCGACCCGACGGCCGACGGTCTTGCGGCATTCTAGCGGCCGCGTGTTGGGGCGACGTGGTTGCTGAGGATCGGTGAGGAGAGAAATAACTACCACCGGTAGGCGGGTTGATCGGGGTGATCGGGGCGGCGGAGACGGTGGTCACATTGGAGGAGGCATCACTACCGGAGGATCCGGGGCGAGCCAATTCGTTGTCGTCTGAGTCGTCTTCTTCGTCGTCGTCGTCGGAGACTGGTGGAGGCTGGGGGTGATGACGATAGACTGGGGCGGGGCCTCGTTGGGACCGGCCCGGAGAGTTAGGAGAACGATAAGTAGGGTTCATGGCGAGCGATCCATGAGGACATTAGGCTTTCTATCTATAGGTAGCAGTGTCAGAAGTTGACAAGGTTGGATGCCTGTTTCAATCGGTGATCAACAAGCTCACCCCTTTAGGTTTAGTCAAATCGACTTCTCCGCCGATCTTTTCTTTTTCTCCCCCGCCGCTCCCACTTTCACAATCTACAGACTACAATTCTGCAATCATGGTCCACACTCCTCTTCAAGCTGTTTACACCGCTCCAGACGCCACCAAGTCTTTCCAGCATGCAACCCCTGTGGCTGGTGGGACTGCCTCTGACCCCCTCGCCGCCAAGCTCACTCACCTGCGAGCCCTCCAATCCCTAGTCCCAAAGCTCCAGGACGAGATCAACGTCTACTTGACCGCACGAATGGAAGAAGACAAAAAGGCGCAAGGACAAACATCGGATAAGGAAGCTAAGGAGGAGGAAAACTACGGGGAGGAAGTTGTCGAAGACGATGCTTGATCAACATCATGACGTGATATAATATGCTACAACTGGGTATCAAACGAAAACACCAAATCCTGCACGATGCAGACGAAAAAAAAAAAGAGAGAAAGAAAGAAAAGGAAACCGAAATCTAGCAACCCTACCCGGAACGAACACTCGCAACTCGATTCGCGCAACCCAAATGAACAACAGTGTTGCTAGACAAGTCAGCAGAAATTCGAACTTCAGAATATACCTTGGAACTTACTCGGGGAACACATTGATTACACTCCCTCCCAAGCGCTTGTGACACACGCCACAGATCCGCTCTTCCGTGATCGTAACGTGTCGCGCCCGGGTTCCACCTCGAACATTCTCGCCGAGTGCGAGTTGGGCCTCGGTCTGCATGTCGCGTGCCTTTCGCAGACTCGCTACGATGCGTGCCTCGTTGAAGACGGAATTTGCTGCGCGCATTCGGCCCTTGAAATAAAATTCGAGGTCCTGCACGGCCAGTGTGGCGGGGATCAAGCCTAGAGCTGCATCAGCGGGCAATCGGGAGCCGTGCTTGGCGAGCAAGGCCAATGCGGGTCCATTTTGGGCTGGGTAGCCATGTGGTGGGGCCAGGTAGAGCGACAGCAATGTGAGATAGATGGATTGCTCTGGTTCTTTCTCTTCGGTAGCTTCAGTCAAATGGACATGGTTGCAGTACCTAATACGATTAGCCAAGTCAAATGTGCAAAAAAAGAGAACTTACTCTTCCGCTTTTTCGTGAGCCTCTAGCTTAAACACGTATATCTCAAGCACTTGACGATGCTGGCCCATCTTGCTGAAGACAATAGCTCGTGCCTCGTGGAATTCAGGATCTGTTTTGTCAGTATAATCCTAATTTTGGGTGAGTCTGAGCCTACCTTCGCGGTCCAGCCGGTTCAGAATTTTAGCTGGCGAATATTGCTCGCTTTCCTTGAGCATGTCCAAGAATCTTTCTTTGGTCTGGGTGTCAGTCTTGTCGGCTATGATCTGATCAAGATACAAGACTAAAAGCTGCTGATGTAGATCCGGACTCATGTCATTCCACTCGTGAATGACATGTTCAAGGTATCGGATGGCGAGTTTGGAATCAACGCTCTGCAAGAACTTGAAGACCTGAGGACGTGGCAAGGTCTCGGCATTCTCTGTGTCTGTCAGAAACACCTCCATGCCGATATTTTGGTCATATTGGAGCGGCCATTCTCCGAACTCGAGGATCAAGTCGATTTGATCGGGTGGGAGGTTCTGCAGATAAGCCACAGTACGCGTTGGCCCACTAAGCACGCCCTCCTCATCCTGTCCGAATCGTTGAAGCAGTTCCAAAGCTTGACGATGTAACTTCTTTCCGTAGAGGAAATCTATTAGATCGTTGTACCGGCCGGTTTCTTCCAATCGTTCCATTACCACCTCCGGATCACAAAAGTTGGCAATGCGAAACAGAGACCCTGCGAGTGATGGCGTTGCATACATATGGGCGCGGAACAGGGTCGTATCGACGAGTCGTGCCTTTTCCCGAATTGTAGGCAGGAAGTCTTCGCTGGCTGGAAAGTCCAACAATTTCAGCACAGAGTCGCTGGCCTCGTCCATGGATTCAGTTGGCACGGGAGCTTTGAGACTACCATCCTGAGCCAAGAATCTCTGGAATCGCCGACGAACGTCTGCCAAGTAACCTTGAAGTTCACGTACAGCATTCTTCAGATCCTTTTCTTCGTCACGGATGCTGCCCGAGTCGCTGCTCCCATCAGTCCTCGTTTCAGCCCGTCTGAGGAAGGACTGGACAGACGGCGCATAAACGGACGAAGTGTGAGCTCCATTGGCCCCATTGGTTACATTGGCTGGAGGATCCACAGGACCGTCAGCTTGCGAGCCGTTGATCTTCGGGTCAGAGCTCCTCGGGTCAAAGCCGTTGTCCATCTGCTCAGGGGCAGCTGAAAGTTCACCAGCGATTGACCGAGGATAAAGACGAATGACTGTCTCAGGAGAAGCAGCAACCTCAGTGAACAAGTCCAAAGACTCTCGGTACTTGTGTAAAGCAAACAAGCTCTGGGCCTTTTCGAGCTGTGCAGTGCGTAGTCGGCCGGCTTTGTCTCGGAGCAGAGCATCTTCCAACATTCCTAGGAGACTAATAGCCTCATCCAAGTACCCCTTCTCGACCAATGTGTCAATCTGGGTATCGTAGCTTAAAGCATCCATCCGCCAGATTGTCCGGTCACTTCCAACCAAGAACCCTTTTCCGGCATGGGCAAGGCTGATATTTGGCTGAGGGATGTGCAAAATACTTGCTGATGGAAGCGGGATCGATTGCAATAACGATAGTGTCTCTGGGTTTCGCACTTCAAGAACGCCCTTAGCTGTATCGTGAAGCGCGAGGAGAAACGGATAGGAGTAGCCAATTTCCATGGGAGCATGGCTCCAAGGGATCTGCCGTCGCCCCAGTGGTTGACCTTCCACATCGATGAAATTGGTATTCACATCCTTGGCCAACAAGATTTGGCCTTCTCGTAGCCTCGAGGCAAGTGGCTTAGGTACCATGCCTCCCATCCCAATATAGCTCATGCTCGCTGCACCGACTCCCGTAAACCGACCCGATTCCTCCAAGCTCCCCGGACTAGGTAGTTCGGTAACCTGCCCGCCTTCAACATCCACCATAACGAAGCTCGAGCCCAGTCCCACAACCATTCGCGTCGCTGATACCCAGGTAAGCGTCTTAACCCCGCTCACCAAGCTCAGCTCCGTAGTGTTCGGTTCCAGCTCCATATCCCGCCACACCCACATCAGGATCTTCCTTTTGACGGCGACAGCCAATCGGGACACAATAGCAGGAACATTTGTATCGGGGTCATTGACGACATTCGAAGTGATTGCAAACGCCGAGGCGCCTTTTGTCTGCGCAAGCTGTTCCTGAAACTCATAGGTCTGCGAGTCATGGAAGCTCACATACCCACCAGACAGCGAAACAATGACATGTGCCTCCTTGACCAGAGCTAGCTGCTCGATCTTGTATCGGGCGAACTTCTCCAGCTCTCGAAGTAGCTCGGTCCTGCCATCGTCTGTCACACGGTAGATGCGGAGTGTGCCGTTGTTGAGGCCGGCTAGTAGTCGGTCGCCGTAGGCGAGCACCGAGTCGATTTTGGATTTGTCGCGTGGCTTGAGCTCCACCAGCGGTTGCGCGGTGAATGCAGATAACATCGCGCGCCGCCAAGGGTCAATTTGTCCCTGTCCCTCACTGGGCTCCTTGGTGCTTGTGGTGTCGAGGAAGCTCCGCCATGTGACGTCTTGCTGAGTCAGCTTTTGCCTGAGGCTTTCCCCAGTCTCGACGATAGCAGCAGTATAGTGCGATCAAAGGTTGGACATATTTTTGATGAAATTTAAAGGCTAATGGCTTGAAGAAAACGACCCCTGAAATTGTTTGTTCATACGGGGTTTTTTTCTGAAAATCCCAACTTTGTTCCAAATTTCTAAACGATCTCTACTTGGCTTCGACCAAATCCTCTTCCTATTGTCATCAGTATCACCCTGAAAATTACCAAATTTAGAATTATGAAAGTACCACATCTATTGTTGCTCATAGTATACCCATGCTTCATGGGAATTAGACGCTATCCAGGGACATTTCAAGACTATTGGATGCGAATGCTCATAGAGTCATGAGTAAAGATCCATGGGTATACCTACCTTGATAGGACAAGGACACTAAAAGAGGAATTCATAAGATTGCAAGCGGAATAGTGACTGCCTAGACGTCATTGAAAATTCAATATCTCCCGAAAGTGCTTGAATATCAGATCAATTCGACTTCTTTGATCCAGAAATCATTTCAGATAGGCTTACTGGTTTATGCACCACCATTGGTGCTCTACCTACAATTTCCGGCTGTACGGGGACATTAAATGCCCGGGCACGAGAGGAATCGCAGCAATAGAAGCAGACGAGTCAGGTAGCTATTCGAATGATTCAACTCATACTCGAAAAGGGCTCCGACGTTTCACAATGACCAATGTTTTAGACAGGCAAATGCCAACGGTGGTCAAAGAGATGATGGAAGATACAATGTATGAGAGGTGTATGCTGAATTCCCGATCTAAAAATACTCGCTCGGCAAAACAACTGCTGTTGGATGACTAGAATTGACTTGTAATTGTCATTTTTGGTATCTGAACATACATATTTAAAAACTCTCTTCTAACGCTATTTCCGTTCCTGTTACTTCTGTTCCTGTATATCTACTGGGAAATCCTGGTGCTTTGCTGAACTTCCCTTCCCACGCCACGTAGATACGGCAGAGATACCTGCCTTGAAGCGCTGTTCTTCTGTGCCATACGCACGGGGCGTAAGCTTGATCAATGTATGCAGGGGAACCTCCATCCATGGGCTCTGCTCCTGCGGCACGTTCATAAAGTACGCATAGATACAGCGCAATACCGCCTGATGCGTGACAATAATGACATTCTCACTTCGCTCCAACTCCATGATAATGGGCTCTAGGCGAATGACGACATCGCGATAGGATTCGCCGCCACGGTAGCGGTAGTTGTATTTGTCTTCGTCGCGGGCGGCGAAGTCCTCGGGGTATTTCTCGGCGATCTCTTCATAGGTGAGGCCGTCGCAGACACCGGAGTCCAGCTCGTCTAGCGCTTTCCATTCTAGTTTCTCGAAGCCAGTCTCGGCTTGCAGGTGCCGGGCTGATTGGATAGTGCGACGGAGAGTTGATGTCCAGATGACGATTTTGGTATTCTCGGGGATTCCAGATTTGCGCATTAGCTCAGGGAGAGCACGGGCGTAGGCTTCACCACGCTCTGAGATGTTGGAGTCACCGCCGATACGGCCAGTAAGATTATATTCCGATTCGCCGTGCTGCTAATATGAGCTTTTGTTTTATCTTTTTTATTTCAGGGCGGAAACTCACTCGAGATAGCCAGATCGATCGTGGCTTAATGTGCAGGTTTTGAATGTAGTATACCAAACGACTGGACAAATAATCCTTGATCTGGTTGATGATAACAGTCGATCCAACATTGATGAGTTTGACATAAGTGTACTGCTTTTCACCATCGTCAATCGTCTCATAGGCCTTTTCGTAATTGACAATACGATTCCGGAAATCCAAGGCGGCCAGCTCAGGGTCCTGGCCCTTATAATCCGGGGAAGTAGTCTTAACCTCCAGAATATTGTTCATGATGAGATCCTCGTCGTCACAAATCGACTCGACAAAGAGAGTCTCAACGTCGGCAGCAGTACACTGCTCATGAATCCACTTGCGGCGCTCTTTGGTGGAATTAGTCGCATCTAAGATGGCAACTACACCCTTGCCCGCTTGGAACCAAGCCAGCATGTCGGACAACGCGGCCTCGGCGGCCGCCCGACGCATACGCTCACCCTCGGCATTGTGAGGATCAAAGAAAGTGGCTTGTGGCTGAGGAGTGTTATGGCGCCGGTAGCTGCCGACATTGAACACACGAGCCGGGATGCCAACCCAGGCCAAATATCGCATGGCTGGAGCAATTAGCCTCTAGGATCATCATTTGGTGGGGTGGGTGGGGGAGCTTACCCTTTCCAGCTATGAGACTCTTGCCCCGCGCTGGGAGGCCTACCATGACCACGCATATCTTGGAGTCATCTGACTTGATGGGAGGTAAGCTCGGTTTCATGGTGAATAAATATCAATGGACGGAGGTGGCAAAGGAGCACATGGGCGGGATTAATCAATATGATTAAGAAAGAGGAAGGGTCAAGGCAAAGGAGTAGCAAGCATCAGATGATCAGAAAGATCCATTAGGGTTTCAGGGTCTCATGATCGTAGCAAGGGTACTTCAGCCTCGCCTAGGTTACCCCCATGTTCAAATACAAACGTCTTGTAGCATCAGGTATGGGGATAAGCTTGGGGATAAGCTTGAACCGAGGCAAAGAGGGGCAGGGATCCCCGCGGACAGAAGGCGATCCGGAACTAAGGGGGAAAGAGGGGCAATTGCAGTATAACTTACGCTAGCAATAAACACCTTATGCTGCTGCTGACTCCGGATAACACTTTTTGAAGACATTGCGAATTTTCGAGATCGGGAGGAATAGGGATACTTTCCGACCCGAGGCCGAGAGATGCAGGATTCGCGGATTCACCTAAGCATGCAAGGTTCGCACGGCGAGATTGTAAGTGATTGACTAGTCGTAGATCGAATCCCAAACGTAAAATGAAAAAGAATTTAACTTTTAAAATGCGAAGGAAAAAGGAATGCGATCATGCGGTGAGTCTGGAAATGGTTTGCTCCACTATCGATAACTAACGTCATCAACCCCGTTTTCCTCCCAAATGCTTGATTTCCCACTTTTGAATGAATTTATCCCTAATGCCCTTCTTTTAACTCCTATCTATAATTTTTTTTTTCTTGTCATCTGGTCAGGTCATGATCATCAGTCTTAAAGAGCCTCGGAGCTAATGCGCTCCTCCGGCTTGGTAATGCCCCGCGCCCGCTGCACGCGGATCGGGCCACCCCACGGTCCTTGTTGGCCATTCAGAGTATTCAAGGCCCGTTGAGCCTCTTCCACGGTGCTGAAATCGACAAAGAGATAATAGTGCTCGCCGGGCTCGAATCGCTTCGCGGGGTGGGGGGAGAACAGCTTGCTCACTTTCTCACTATGGCGCGAACACGTCAGTAACGATCGAGGAGAGAACGATTATTTCGGGGACATACACGGTGTATCCTTGGAAAAAGGTCTTGATCTGGGCCTCCGCAACCTCGGGCTCGGCCACACGAGGCAATCCACCCACATATACGCGCTGGCTGAAATCAGAGCTGACTCTGGGTGAACTCTCAGTCTCCGAGCGACGCCATCGGTCCATGGCAATCGGGGATCGCTGCTGTTGTTCACTGGCACGCTCGGCCGATGACTTAGCCACACCGGGCTTGATCTTCACGGGACGACCTAGCATATCCTTTCCATCCAAGTCGATCATGGCCCGCTCAGCTTGTTCCTTTGTGTGCAGGTCGACGAAACAGTACGATGGGTTCCGGCCGGTAAAAGGGTCAATGGCAATGTCAATGCGCTCGCTATCAAGTTTCAGACTCAGCAAGGCCGACTCGCCAGAAGAAGGTTAAAAAGGCCATACATGGAGAATTCGGATGCTGTGAAGAGTGCCTCAACATCCTCGGATTTGGCGGTATAGGGCATGTTGCCAACATATAGACGGCGGCCATCAGAGATAGCTTGGGGCACATGGGATCCTGGACGACTAAAGGCGGTGCGAGAGGTATTGGTTCGCGGGGAGGGGGAGGGGGTTGAGGGCTTTCTTCGCCCTTCATGCGCCAGTTGGCCGAGTTGAAGGCACGGCCGTTGGTGCGGATATTCTGGTGAGGAGTTCTCGGAGCTGATAGAATTGTCAGACCTCTAATGCTCTAGAAATGATCGGCTGTATTTTTCTGCATACTTTGCTGCTCCTCGGGTCTGAGGATCTCGGTATCGGCCATTGCCTGGAAGTTCAGTTGGGATTCATTTAAAACCATGGACAATCCTTACTGAAATTTCCTATGATATCAATCCTCCAAAGATAGTTTTCGTGCAGAACCAAGAAACGCCGTGATGCTTCAACACTTTTTTTTGTTTGTGAGTGCAAACGGTGCAAACACGTGATTCCACTATTTATTTTTTCGCGCGGCGTCTCGCTTCCTCTTTTTTTCTTCGTTGCGGAAAATCTGAAAATTTATGTTTTTTCCTTGCTTTCAGACCATGTGCTTATGGCTTGATGCCATTGTGCTGCAATGAAGCTTTCAAGGCTCCTGTGGTGCTCGCACAATGCCGGCATTGCATGAGCATGAAGCTAAACTTGTCTTGCCTCGAAAACTCTAACCACGCCTCGACCTGACACTCGATCTATTAACAACTAGTGAGTCCTTGTCTAGCTTTCCAATCCGCTTCAATGATGAGTATGATTATACACAGACCTGTTCCAAAATACCTTGAGGATACCAGATCGATATTCAAATCTGATGAAGCTTTTCCATTGTGTTTTTTTTAACGCTATGTCTGATCATTGCTAATGACTATTCAGTAAACAGGAAGCATTATAATCACACGACCATCGACCGAATGATATACACTAATCGGTGAGTCTCATTTGTTCTTGTCCCTCCCGCTTCAGTGATGAGTAAGATTTTACACAGACCTGTTCCAAAATACATTGAGGATACTAGATCGATAATAAAATCTGATGAAGCCTTTGAATTCTGTTCGATTCAATACCATGTTTGATCGTCGCTAATGATCATTTCAGCGCAGGAACTAATCGACCCCGACATTCTACACCAACCCAAGAAGACCCTGCACACTAATTGGTGAGTCTCGTTTGTTCTTGTCCCTCCCGCTTCAGTGATGAGTAAGATTTTACACAGACCTGTTCCAGATTACCTTGAGGATACTAGATCGATAATAAAATCTGATGAAGCTTTGCCTTCCATTTTACTTGGCAATATGTTGTGATCAACGCTAATGATTATCAACAGATTTCAGAACTCCATAATATGAACGCTAGCGATATGATAATATAATTGCTATACCATCTTCAAATTTAGTTTCAATCTGTAGACGTACTTGAATTATAATCGCTTCGTCTGATAGTCATTCTTATGATAGTACTCAGCAAACCCAGTCTCGATCAAGCATTATATCCCAAATCCTCATGCACTGGACCCACGTACTCCCTCTCATACAAAACCTCCGGCTTGACATCCTTCCGCAAAATAAATCTCTTTACAAAATACGGAATCTGCCTCAGTCCGTACTGCGCGTGGAACTTAGTCGACACTGAAAAGACCTGATCCAACTCCTCAAGAGTCTTATTCTTCGTCTCGGGCATAAAGAGCAAAACAAGCCACCATCCGACAAGATTCCACCCGGCATAAAAGGCAAAAGCACCATGCGCCGTAAATGCACTCTGCATAGCCGGCCATGTAATTCCCAGAACGAAATTAAAGAACCACGTCGTCGCAGTTGCCAATGCCATCCCGTGCGGTCGGACATAAAGCGGATACGCTTCCGCGGAGTAGGTGAATGGTACTGGGCCAGCGCCGGGAGAGTAGACCATACCGAAGAGGTAGGTTCCTAGTACTATGCATGTGATTCTGGCGCTGTGGTCTTCTGGTATCCAAAGGCTAAAGCCTGTGAAGAACATTGCTAGTGACATTAGGGGGAATGTTACCAGAAGGAGATTGCGGCGGCCGAATGTGTCGATTGTGTAGATTGCTGGGATTGAGAAGAGCCAGTTTATTACGCCCCAGCCGAAGGAGACGAGCATGGATGAAACGGCGGAGAGGTTTGCGTCCTGTGATTATTTAGATGGATTAAATTCGGGGGGAGGAGTAAGAGTTGATTAGAATATACCATGAAGATTGCTGATGAGTAGTATGCTATTACATTGACACCACAAAGCTATTCCATTTAGTAGACGATCGGGCTTTACGTAGGGGAGTTCTCACCTGCTGCATGAACATGAGAATTTGCGAAGCGATCATAGCTCGCCGATTTCGAGGTACTTTGACAAGCTCCATTATCGAATTCTGTCCAAGTTTCATACTCTTCTCCGCTTCCAGCAACGTATGCATATAAAACATGTCTCTCGCCGCCTGGATTTTATGATGCCGCAACGAGCACATCGACTCGTAAGCGCGGTAATACTGATTCTGACTCATATACCAACGCGGCGACTCGGGACATGAAAAAACAAAAGTCAAAACGATGACAGCTGGAATGATAGCAGATCCCATCATGAATCTCCAGTTGAGACCCACGATTGTGCGAGGATCAGTAATCTGATAGAATGCCAAATCCGCTACATATCCCAGCATGATACCGAACGCAGTCCACATCTGCCATTGCATCACCAAGGCACCGCGGATAGATGATGGGACTGTCTCGGCTGCGTAGATGGGGACAGTAGCGGACTTAGGACCAATACCAAAGCCCAATGCAAAGCGCGAGAGGAACAGGTTCCACCATTCCGATGCGAAGCCGGACCAGAAAACGGACAGGGCACTAAAGGCACATGTAATGAAGATGGTTCCGCGTCGACCAAACCATTGATTGAATGGGACTGTGAGCCAGCAACCGATGAAAGCACAGCAGAGATAGGGCGCTGAGGTGATCAGACCTAAGATCCAAGTACTTCGGGCACTGTCATCTGCGATTCCAAATTGATGTTTATACCAAAGCTGGGCACCGTTGATGGTGGTTTCGTCTGTAATATGTTCACGTCAGCTCTATCATTCTGTTGGCTTGGGGGTGACATTAACCCATTCCCTGAACAGCAGCAGAAAGCGAACACAACACAATCACCAAATACATTTTCTTCGGTTGGGACCATCGGTGCTCGACCTCGTGAAGCAGTATTGCTTTTTCATGAGCCGTCAAGCCCTCTATACTCGCAAAGCGCTCTGGGGCTTGAGCCAACACCGCGCCCAGTTCAAAGGCACGAACGTCCTCCTCTTCGCCTATCTCATGATTGAGCGCAAAAACACGACCCTGCTTCCGCAGCTCGGCGTGGCTATACCCGGCAAGCGGATTCGAGAGCTTAGCATTAAGATTGCGACGGGCGCGCTCGGCCGCATTGCCGAAATCGCGCTGCAGCACAAAGTCAGCAACCGGCTGTTCGTCCAAGGTTTTGTTCTTCTCCGCCATTCAGATCTTGTCAAGGATAATCACAAGAATAAAGATTTAGCGAGGATGCATCGGTGTTAAATGGCATGGAATTACGTGAGCGGACGAAATCAAAACAAAGAAAGGCGAACATGTTGCTTGCTTTTCGAGTCTGCTGGGTAATACTCGTCCTGTCAAAGAACAGACTTCCAGAACTAGAAGCAAGCTAGTGCAGAAGACCGCCTGGTGGAAAATCGGTTCGTGTGTTCTTTCAAGTGATTGGTGGGTAGGAGAGTAACGGCCAGATAGACAAAGGATCGTCGCTCGGTCTCTCATTTGAGTGCAGGGGTGCACGCAATTCATTGGAGTGGCTGGGCGCCGAAAGATGCATGGAGCAAAATGCAGGTAGAATCACAGGGTGCATAGAGAACAAACCTGAGTAATAAGAGGCGGGCAGAAAAGATCGCAATAGCGAAGTGGACCTTGTTCCATAAGATCAGGAACCTCGGAAGTATTTGGCCTTATAGCCCTAGAGTTGCTTAAGCTGCAGGGGTCATGCAAATACTCAGTGCCTAGATGTTCTCGTGACAGAGAATCACCGACACCGTGACATCCGAAGCAATCTACTCCCAACATGTACGTATATATATACAACCCACTTATGCTCAATAACCTTGGAAGTATATAGTGTTCCAAGCTTAAGTGCATTGCTTTTTGACAGTTGCCCGATGGAGTTGCATTGCATTATAATTATACCTGTAACGATTTAGAGCTGCTATAATACCGTCAACTCGTCCACATACGAACCACCAAGGTAAGGTGGAGTTGGATGATAATTTTCCCGCTTATGACGTCTGCGATGCCAAAGGATATGACGGGCTTTCCTGAGCAGAGTAGGTCGTCAACTGCATATATGTAATTGCATAAAATCCAAGCAACAGCCGAGTCAATTCAGCCTTACGCCTACTCAGGGACTAAGACCGTATTTTATCGACAAAACCTCTCTGCATAGATAACTGCACAGATCATAGAGCGCCCGTCGGATAAGGTCGGCTCGGCGTGGGGAAGTGGGCGATCCGCCCCGCAAAACCATGTAAAAGCAGCCGCCAGCGGATCGCCGACCGTCGGATAAGGAGCCGATTTACTCACTTCCGATCGTACATAGTGATGCTTCAGCCATTGGAGGCTCGAAACTACCTTCCGAAGGTGCGGGGAAAGCAACGAAGTGCCAAATATAAAGTGACGCGAATAAACCGCGCAACTGAATCCCTCACTTCCCTTTTTCCATATACCTCCTCCACCAATATTACCACACCACAAGATGCTGGGAAAGATTGCCCTCGAAGAAGCTTTCGCGCTTCCCCGTTTTAAGGAGAAGACAAGATGGTGGGCTGGCATGTTCGCCACGGATGTCGATAAGCACACTGCCGAGATCACAGACGTGGATTCTATCCGGTTGAACTTCGCCGAAAAGCACGGCGTCGGTCTCCAGATTCTCTCATACACCGCACCAGGTGTACAGGATATTTGGGATGCCAAGGATGCACAAGCACTGGCTGTGGAAATTAACGACTATATCGCCGAGAAGGTGCAAGCGCACCCGGACCGGTTTGCTGCTTTTGCGTAAGTCATACACCATACAACTAGTCATGGCACGTCGTACTAACGGTGCGTGTAGTACCCTCTCCATGCACGATCCCCAAGAAGCAGCTACAGAGCTCCGCCGCTGCGTAACAAAATACGGTTTCCTCGGTGCCCTCGTCAATGACACCCAGCGCTCAGGGCCAGATGGCGACGACATGATCTTCTACGACAATGAGAAATGGGATATCTTTTGGCAAACCTGTACCGAGCTCGACGTGCCACTCTACCTTCACCCCCGCAATCCCACCGGCACAATCTACGAGAAACTCTGGGCAGACCGGAAGTGGCTCATCGGACCCCCTCTCTCCTTCGCGCAAGGCGTGAGTCTCCATGCACTGGGTATGGTTACGAACGGAGTCTTCGATCGTCACCCCAAGCTGCAGATCATCCTTGGACACCTTGGCGAACACATCCCATTCGATATGTGGAGAATTAACCACTGGTTCGAGGATCGGAAGAAGTTGCTCGGATTGCAGGAGACGTGTAAGAAGACTATTCGGGAGTATTTTGCGCAGAACTTGTGGATTACTACCTCTGGTCACTTCTCGACTCCTACATTGCATTTCTGTATGGCCGAGGTCGGGGCTGATCGGATTTTGTTCTCAATTGATTATCCGTTTGAGACCTTTGAGGATGCTTGCGACTGGTTTGATAAGGCTGAGTTGTCGGAGCCGGATCGGTTGAAGATTGGAAGGGAGAATGCTAAAAAATTGTTCAAGCTGGGCAACTATAAGGATAGCAATGCTTGATCTGCATTGTTATGACTTATGGTTATGATGATTATAATGTAACAATTACTTGGTCACGACTTGATAGCGAATATGCTTAGTTATATTTGAGATTCGCAGAATGAAATTGGGTATCTGATCATCATATCATGCACACATAGAAGATTTAGCTCGAACTTGCGTATTTCGTGTCGTTTTCCTTTCAAACTTTATCTTCCTCGAAGCAGCGTGCCACCCGAAGGCCACCTGATAACTCCACCATAACCGGCGCAAAAAATCGGCTCTTGATACTGTGCAGAGCATCCCGGTAGATGGCGTAGCTTTCAATCGCACGAGACAGAACATCCCAAATAGCATGAAGTGTCCGAGTCAAATGCAGACGGCCGATATCAAGATTCTTCTCATGGGTGATTTGGCTGTTACGGAGATGAAGAAACGTGTTGTGGACCCACTCGTCGTAAAAATCGAGGTACTTGGAGAGGAGGGTCTGCTCAAGGTGTCGTGGTTTTCTAAGATGACTGCCTGCCTATGTTAGTGTGCTTCAGTGGAGGCCTCGAAATATAGCCGCACTAACGTCGCGACGAGAAGCGCCATCCGTCGGTATCGAGTCACCACTGCGACATCCTCGACGGCCAATAATCCCAAAGTGCCAGCCACGAAGCCAGTTGTCTCAACAAGCTCTTGCATCATCCCGTCTACCCATGAGGCAAAAGCGAGAATCACAGTGGCGATTGACTGGGCATCTTCTGTGGCCTCTGAGTCCAGGAACTGTTCCTCATCGGAGAAAAGGGTGTTTTCCAGACGGATGATTATGTTGGTTAGCGCAATGAATCGCAGGCGAGTTCTCTGACGAAGCTGCGGGTGAGAGAGAGATTCCTTCATGGCTTCCAGTGTTTTATGTTTCTTGTCTACCACTTGTCTGAGCACCAAGATGTGAGGGTCCACGGCTTGGGCGCGGATCTCCTCCTGCATGGCTGCAGTGAAGGCGACTTTGTAAGCCTTTTCGGTTTCTGCATCGGACGCGGATGACTCGTCATCATAGTCTGGGAAAGGCTCGGAATATATGTGTTCCTGTCGTGAGTCGGTTTGCTTCCGGTCTCCGGGATTCGACATGGACGGTGGAGAAGCGTCAGCATCCCAGTCGACAGCGAGGTGTGAGCGAACTGAAGTCAGCAATGACACGGTAGATGGAGCACTCATACTGTGGACAGCCACATTGAAAGTGGACGATGGGAAGGGATAGTGGTTGTGGTTTAGGAACAAATGAAGTGAGGAAAACGCCAAAAGCGCCAAAGGTAAACAATGCATCAATTTCAAAACTATGCCCTAAATATGATTACTGTAGATATATTCCACTTCTCAATCCCCAAATGCATCTTGGATAATGTCAGAGTCACATGAGTGACCCTAACAGAAAGGATGCCTTCTGATTAAGTAGAGATGTGGTCTTGCCTTCCCCTAGATGAAAGCCTGAATAGTGAAACAGACCAGTAACAGCGGAACAAGACGTTCCAGTAGTCACTAGAGCTATCTCTCAGGTGATTCCACCAAGAGTTAATGAAGGCAAACTGGTTCTTCGCACATTGACTAATCAACGTCTCATCGGAAAGGAGGACGGCAACTTAAGTAGTGCGATTTGATGTGTTTTCTACTCGGTTTTGGGATGGGCAGAGGGGTCATCGGGTAGCACTTCATCCTCTTCCTCATCCTCTGGCAAGGGGACGTCCATGACCTTTTCGCCTGCCCATTGTAGGGTTCTTTTGCTCCAAGACCGGACACCCTTGTAAACAGTCTGCAGAAATGGGGTTAGTAGATGGAGGTAGCGTCTCAGCAATGCTCAGCATACCCAAAGGAAAGTGGCCACTCCCGCCAGAATCACTAGCCAGTTCAAGTTGGCAGCGCGATTACGTCCCGTAGACCGACCATTGCTCACAACACCTGAGCCACGTATCCAGAATGGCGGCGAGAGGGTAAACAACGCCCTGAGGAACGACGTCAATCCCAGTGCCGCAAATCCCTTCACAAAGTGTTCAAGCCAAGAGGCCTCTTCGTCCAGCTCCAGGTATTTATCATCCAAGGGGCCGACGTAGAGATCAATGACGGGGTCAGCAACAAATCCAAGTAAGAAAATAGTCAATAGAAGAATGGCCATGGTAAGAGCTAGCTGGGTGCCAGTGCTACTGATCCAGCGAGCCCATGTCAAACGCTCCAGGCGATATTGAAAACCGCAGGTCGGACACTCCCAGTAGTTCCGCGTCGCATATCCAGGGTTTGCATGTCGCCAGGACTGCAAGCATCCTTCGTGTACATATCGCGAAGATCCTTTGCATTTGCAGGGGCGAAGCAGTCGACCGGATTCCGGATCGCTAGACTCATATACCAAGCGAGGTTTTTGGAGAAATTCCGAGGGCTGAACGGTTGGCCATACTGTTTCCAAGCAGATGCGACAGACTCGGGGGGGATAATTCTGCTCGGAAGTCCCTAACCCCGATGAGTCCGGCTCATTGCTTGGGGAGTCCATCGAGTGTAGTGAAGATCATATCCCTGGGCTAAAATTCGCTTCGGTGAAGACAAGAGAAGACTGAAGGAAAAGCGGAAGAAGACAGTTAAAGAAAGTGTGGGAAGACTTGAGGAACTAACCCGATTGGACTCACCGCCTTGGAGCAGCTCAGTCACAGCTACCTAAGCAACCGCGTCAAACGTCACCCTCCGTCTGCCTACTTATCCAACCTCCTTCTTCTCATCTTTTCGATCTCTGTGATTTGGTGTTTGTATTCTACACATTATCATGGCTGACCGTTATTCCTTCTCCCTGACCACTTTCTCCCCCAGGTAAGTTGATGGTCCCAACCCTCAGCATTGGTCCATAAGCTAACCCCATCCTCCACAGCGGAAAGCTGGTGCAGATTGGTAAGATCGAATCAAGAGAATTAGCGGAGAAGGTCTCAGCACTGACACTGTTCAAACAGAATATGCTTTAAATGCTGTCAACCAGGGTGTTACAGCCCTCGGCATCAAAGGTAAGGCTTCCGTCTCCATCAAAACCTACAAAGCTAATGATTTTCCAGCCACCAATGGCATCGTCCTTGCAACTGAGAAGAAGTCCTCATCGCCACTTATTGATCCCCCTCTCTCTCGAAGATCTCCCTCGTCACCCCCGACATCGGTATGGTTTACGCCGGCATGGGTCCCGATTACCGTGTGCTCGTGGACAAGGCCCGCAAAGTGTCACACACTGGCTACAAGCGCATCTATAACGAATACCCACCGACTCGGATTCTGGTGCAGGACGTCGCCCGGGTGGTGCAGGAGGCCACGCAGTCTGGAGGTGTTCGGCCGTACGGTGTCAGTCTGTTGATTGCTGGCTGGGATGAGGGTGTTGAGCCCCAGTCCGAAGAGGCTACAACTGAGGAGAAGCCCACCACCAAGACCGGCGGGATCCTTAAGGGGGGTCCCAGCCTGTACCAGGTGGACCCCAGTGGTAGCTACTACCCATGGAAGGCGACGGCCATCGGCAAGCACGCGACAAGTGCTAAGACTTTCCTTGAGAAGCGATACACTGAGGGCTTGGAGCTGGAGGATGCCATCCACATTGCGCTGTTGACACTCAAGGAGACCATTGAGGGCGAGATGAACGGAGACACAATAGAAATCGGTGAGTTTGAGCAAGTCCGGCTGTTTTTGCTTCGGAACTAACATCAAATAGGTATTGTTGGCCCGCCAGCAGACCACCTGCTGGGCTACGAAGGTGTGGAGGGAGCCCAGGGCCCACGGTTCAGGACATTGACCAAGGAGCAGATCGAGGATTACCTGACCAACCTATGAGAGACATGATAGAACTCGAATGACATTTGATTTGTTTGAGCAATTCATAAATAGAATCGCAAGGACAACTACCGCTGCAGCTTGGACCTTGGACCGGGTAGATGCACTTGACACTTGACAGCTCGTCGACAGTAGACTTTCTCGTCCCGTATCCCCATCCGACATCCTGTTCGGAAAGCATACTAGATACTCAAGTAAGTTTTCCAAGGGCCAGGCCCCGGCGAATACCCGCGTGAAGTACTACGTATCTCGCATGAACCACCCAGGTACAAAGGTCTGTGCCACCCTTGTTATTGACTAAGGCAGGGATCCGGGCAACACCCGACAAAGTTACAATACTGTCCGCCAGTTCTCGTTTCAAAATCGTTGAACAATGTTCTAGATCTTCCGTCACCTCGGGGTTGGCTAGTGGATGCTGAATAGCTTATTTTCTTGCTATTAGCCATGTACCGCATTATTGAAACAGTATTTGGTTATATTTAGTCCTGGGTTTACAAGGTAGCAATCGAGATACATTTCTGCATTTGTTGCATTTGTATCTTGCTTGTACCACCCATCCGTCTTTCTTTTTCTTGTTCTCGTTTCCTTTCTTTTTTTCTTCTCTTTCCTCTCTACGATTTCCTCTATACCCTACCTGCCTAGAAAATGTGGGCTTACCAGACTGGGTGAAAGGCTCTGCCGAGTCCATTCGCTTTTCATTGCTCCCCGAATGACCCGCTTCTATACAGAGTACCCATCATGCCCCCACTCCCCCAGGATCTACTAGATGGAATCTCCGGGGGCCTCGCAGCAGAAGGAGACGTCCTCAGAATGGCCCTAATAATCTTCATTGGGTTATCATGCTACAACATCGCCGAGCTAGTCGTCTTAGTGACAGCCACCTTCCGCCGATGGCGCGGTTTATATTTCTGGTCTTTATTGGCATCAGGCTGTCTTGGCGTGGTACCATACACGATTGGATTCATGATGAAATTCTTCACGCATGCCGACACCGTACTATCCGTTACTATCCTCACAGTAGGATGGTGGACGATGGTGACTGGTCAATCGATAGTGCTATATTCGCGACTGCACCTCGTTCTCCGGGATGAGAAGACCTTAATTTGGGTCCTACGGATGATTGTGTTTAATTTCTTCCTGTTGCAAGTCCCTACTACCACCCTGACGTATGGAGCTAATATTATCCATACCGGTAGTCTGACCTGGGTATGGGGATACAATGTTATGGAGAAGGTCCAGTTGACCGGATTTACGATCCAGGAGAGTCTTATATCTACGCTTTACGTGATCCACACAGTGAAGTTACTTCGTCTCGGTGCGAATACGACGAATCATTCCGATTCGCGGACGATCATGTACCATGTTATTGGGATAAATTGTACCAACATAGCAATGGACTTGTTATTGTTGAGTTTGGAATATGCCAACCAATATGCCGTCCAGGTCGTGTTGAAGGGATTGATATACTCCATCAAGCTGAAGTTGGAGTTTGCGGTGCTGGGTCGGTTGGTCTATATCATTCAGAGATCGAGGCATCCTATCTCGGTGTCTATTGCGGATACACTGCCTCTTTGTTCGTATCCGCATGCGCCTGAGCCTTCGAGTCGTGCTGAGCAGACTGATTCTGAGCCCGAGCCGAAGGATATTATTACCCCGCTCGAAGGGGAAGTGGTTGAGACGAAGGATTTTGTCGAGTCGGGGGAGTCACGGAAACCGGCTTCATGACCTTGTAATGAATAATGTGAATCTGAGCTATGTCACGAATCATTCTTCGGCGCTCTTAACAGCGGCCAACGATTCATCATTCCACTCAAACTCGTCCTCCGAGTCTTCATCCTGACTATCAGCAATCTCATTAGATGCTTTTCGTTTCCGACATGGCGTAGGCTGAGTCTGCTGCAATGGTAACGGTGGGTGTAAGCCCAAAGACCTCCGATCAGCCACATCAATGCGTTCACAAAGACCACCCTAGACCCATTAGAGAAAGGAACCAAGAACCTTTAAAGTAGCAAACCAACCTCCTCAATTCGGAATGGAATAATCAACTCCCCGATCCTAACAGGGAATATCTTTCCACCCCTTTTCGTAATCTCCATGAATCGCTTATCAGGTAAATCTCGATACATAGCAATGCGCGTCATAACATTTTGTTCCCATCCTCCACCCGCAAGGATGGGCTGCAAAGTTGCACGTAATTGGCCCTTAATCTTCGTATGTGCCTGATTAATGGCTAGCACGGCGATACCCCGACTCGCCAACCTGGCCAGATGGACTGCCAAATCAGATGAAACGTTCCACTTCCGATTAAGAAGCCACTGTAGCTGTGACTTGTCGGTGATTTTGCCTTGGGATTGGCGTTCTTTGAGTTCTGCTGCGTTTGGGAAATAAGAGGGGAATAATGAGGAGACGGAGTCGACTATAAGGAGAGAGGTTTCTTGGGGTGGGAAGTCTTTGGGTGGATGGGTAAGAAGGGACATGAGATGAGGCAGAGTTGGAGTGCGAAAGTAGATTAGGTTTGTTAAGGGGATTTGGGTTAGTTCTTGGAGTCTGGGAAGTGGGATTGGGGCGCTTGTGTCTGATATTGTTAGGTTGATTCCAAGATTGCTGTGGTTGGAGAGCGTATAGCGTACCAATCCAGATGACTTTTCCGCCCTCACGGAGTGCATTTGATGCAATATTCATCCTGTACAGAGTTACTATCTCACGTAGTATCGGACAGAGGAAAGACGGTTCTCACGCTAATGCTGTTTTTCCCACCCCTGGTGGCCCAAATACTTCCGTCACTTGTCCACGCAAGACCCCGCCAGGCCGGCCCGGATCTACCGACGCGCTATCCAGCGCTTGATCAAGACGCGCCAGGCCCGTCGAAATGGGTTCCCGGGAGAACTCAGACGCATTCAGTGACTGTGAGGCCGAGATTGAAACAACAGGCTCTATCAAGGGTCAGCATGGTTTCTGCATCTTGTGAGTCAACGTACGCGTATCTTGGCCGTCGGCGCCAAAAAGATCGACGGTACTGCTCATTATGAATGGGCTAGTCAGTTGAGATTTAAGGCTATAACATATTGAGATTGATCATCAACATTGATTCCTGGTCTGTCACGTATATCGTATTCGTGAGCCTTGAGGTGTAGTCGAGTTGTGTGGATCAAGTGGGTCCAGATAAAGTCGCGTGTAGCGCGCCGTGATGCGTACCTGGAATTATATGTGCGGTCTTATTCTTGGGGTCACGCCCTATTAACTTAATTCCGATCTAAATGTTTTCTGCTGCATCGCATACTGAAACCTAGTGTTTCTATTTTGGCAATACATGGTGGCATTTCTGGGGTTATAGTGGAAATTGCCGCCACCTATTAAACTATGTGACACTATGTTCTTGCGCTAATATTCGAGGTTGAACAGGGAACTTATTATTTCCAGTTGATTCCATCAATGCAAATACCACCTACTAGCTAGGTAGGGTCATGAGAAGGCTATATACAAATACAAACGCTAAGCAGTTAAAATCCCAAAATTTACTCAAATTATGCCCAAATTATGCTGTAGGCTCCAACTTGCCAGAAGTTGTCACAGTGGGCTCAGCCTGCTCAACAACCTCATCCTCCGACTCCAAAACAGGAACCTCGTCTGGCTCATCAGGAAGGAGCAGGTTCAGAATGACACCCACAATGGCAGTGACTGCGAATCCATTGGTCATCACCAAGTCAACAGCATTCAGCAGACCCTCCAAAGCACGGTTATCACCCGAGTAGGTGAAGAAGTAACTCCACCACGAAGGAACAAGCGTGATACCCATGCCGAGTGCAAAGCTAGCAGTCAGGATGAAACGGTTGCGACGGGTGAAGTCGATCTGGGAAATAATGCGAATACCCGAGATAGCGACACTGCTGAATAGGAAAGTTGTCATACCACCAAGGACAGGGCTTGGAATGGACACGAGGGCAGCGGCAAACTTCGCGAACAGACCCATGACAATCAGGAAGAAGCAGCAGCAGTAACCGGCAGTGCGGTTGGCGCATTTGGTGAGAGCGATGACACCATTGTTCTGGGCGAAGACAGACATCGGGGAAATTGTCATCAATCCAGCGAGAACGCAGGTAATTCCGTTACCGAGAACTCCACCCTGGATCCGGGAGTCGAACATTGCGCCCTCAACTTGTAAACGGGATACATCGCAGGTTGCGGTAATATCACCGATAGACTCCATCATGATAACAATGTACAGCGCCAGCAGCGGCAGGATGAGTGGGGGATAAACCGATAGCGGAAAAGTGTGGACCCAAGCGAATGAGATGACGGGCGCCTCAGCAATACCCGAGGACTCAAAGTAGTTGCATGCAGCAGCGACGATCGAACCAACCAGCAGACCAACGACGACGGCACAGGACTTCAGGATTGGAGGTCCGAACCGTTCGCATAGAATGATGGTTACGAAGACCAGGAATCCTAGACCAATGAATTGGGGGCTACCCCACAGTAACGCGTGCGGAGCATCAGCACTGGGACACATACTGCGTGGGGACGGTCCACAGCCAGAACCACCACCCCAGTCCTCCATGGCAGACTGAATCAGGGAGGCGCCGATCAGGAGGACAGTTGGGCCAGTGACGAGTGGGGGGAAGATGCGGGCGAGGAGGCGACTGCTCATGAAGGAGAGACCGATTTCGAGAAGAGCGCATAGACAGGACGTTCCGAGGAGGGCACCGTAGCCCTTGGGGCAGGGAAGTTTGGTTCCATCGGCAGAGGTAGGACAGTAGCCTGTTTCGTACATTTGGGTGAATGCACCCGAGGCAACGGTAATTGTGGCGAAAGATGTGCCTGGAAAGCTATAGTTAGTATGCAGAGTTCCTGTCTCGTCCGGGTATGTTCCAGTGACCACATACCGACGACCGATAGTAATCCGGTTCCAATGTAGTATTTTGTGCCGTAGATGTGAAAGCGCGTCATCTGGATGGCGCTGAGAATGCCCGAAACGATCAAAGAGGTTGAGACGAGGTACTGGTAGTCCTCTGTTCCAAAGTTGACACCAGACGTGCCACCGAGCATAATTGGTGGTGAAATGACTATTTTCGGTCAGCGTCGGATATTTTATGAAATATCCAGCGACGGTACTCACCACCAGCCAACATGGCGAGCGCATGTTGCAATCCGAGGATCAAAGCGAGAAGGATGGGGACGCGATCATCGAGACCGAAAAACGGCGCGGATTTCCGAACTTGGTTGGTGAAGGGTAACTTGGGTGTGAAAAGGAAGGCATAGTCGTAGTCGCCGATGAGACCATCGCTAAAATCATTGTTAACTGGGTGATTTGGAGTAGCATTGGCGATGAGCATACCGAGTGGTAAAAGTTCTCACGAAGCTTCGTAGTTTGTCGCTGTAGGTGCGCTTGGGCGAGAGATCGGGACCAATCTGATCGGGGCCGTCCATGATGGGGAAGTGGATTTGTTTACTGGAGCCCACTGGAACCTGGGGGTGTCCCGCACTATATAGAATTCCATGTCGCGTATGATTCACGAAATTGTCCAAGAGCACTAAACCCCGGTTCCAATATCGTTCGCAACATGTGGAGTATGGCCGATAAGATTTAATTCTCTATCATTAGGCAAGAGCATCGAGTAAATCCAATTGTAACTAAACTCCCTTCGGTTAACAGAGTCCACTTTCACTCTTATCTGGGTGGGGCCCCTTCGCCTCCTGCTTCAACCAATCACCGCCCATTTGCCCACAGGATTCCGAAGCCTCGAGATAAGGAACCGAATATGTCTTTAGCCGCTATTGGATTTACGGTTTGTCTTCATTGCCTCTCTACTCGGCTGTCAACTCACTCATGCCTGTCGAGTGGGCCTAACTGCCGTTCGACGCCCCTTTTGCCACCTTGTGATAGGCCCGGGAGCTATCGGGCACGTGTGAACGCGGGTTTCCCGAGACTGACTCGAGGGTTATCGTGATATCTGGGGTTTATCTCTGCTGTCCAAACCATTTGACGGAGCCCCCCGTGGCTCATGGAAGGCGCCGATGCCTTATCAGGGTGACCAAGGATGCAAGAGCTGCGGTATATGAGCTGACCAGGTTGTAGAACTCAAAACGACAGAGATTAATCCAGTCTTCTGCGATTGATGTATCTGAAGGGTCTGAGCATGGCTTTGATCAAACAAAGCGAGATTCAAGAGGGAGAAAAAAGTTTGACATATCAGGGTAAAGAATGTGGTTGAAATATTTGAATATTTAGAGAATTACATATTATAGAAGAGGCCCTCCTAGGGTGAACGTTTCATTCATATTTCAGTTCAGGAACAAGAGTCCGACAGCCTAGTCCATTGTGGATCTACTCTGATCGCTGGTGAAAATGGGGTGATGGTGATTGAACCCTGATGATCTGGAATTGAAGCTATTCACAATGTACCGCCCCCTTCCACGTACTTTTGTAGTCACTTTGCTTGGATTATTGCCACGAAGGTGTTTGCACAGATCTCACTTTATTTACTTTTTGGCTTCTAAGTCTAATGTTTACCAATGGACCAAACCCAGGGCTTCAGGCAAGAATTGCTACTTGTGTATACTTCCAATCATTAGTCAAGGAATTATGTAGCATTAGACAATGTGGCGACTGTGCGTGGCCTTTAGGTCAGCAATTTGTGGGGGTTTACGCCTTTAACGTTTCCGCTAAGCCTAATCATGATTAGCACCGCTTTAAAGCTCCAAAGATTGACAATTTGAATAGCGAAATTGCATCTTCAGCGTTAAATTGCGGTTTTCATCGCAATAACACACTTGATTAAAAGTTAAAAATCTTGAGACTCGACAAAGTTGATCAATAGATAAATCAAAGCATTGTCAAATTGGCTTGGAATACTTCGTTACCTATGAGGCCTGTGACAAGTACTCAAGGGTGACAATGTAGTTCGAGTGCCTGATTAGCCTTTGAATACTGATCAGCGTTGTCAAAGCTGATTAAGCTACCTGTCGTGGCCCTTTCCACAGATAGCGTTAAACTGTATCTTTAAAGTGCCGTCAACCGCTATCATATCCACACTAAAGAACAAAATTTTGAACTATCCTTGTCCGAACAAATTCCTTGCAAGTTGCAATACTGAGGTGTCTCACAATACCAAATCACCAGACCAGTAGTAGAGTATCGTCAGCCCTCAATAAAGAATATAATATGGCCACTCAGCTCTGCGTCTTGGACGGCCGTCTTTTTCTTTTTGAAGGGACTCTGTCGGAGCTCCAAATCCTTTCATTGCTTCTGTTATGATCATCGTAATGTTGCATGTCATCGCATCGAGGCTCTGTAGCCAATGTCAATCATTCCAGTAGAGCATAGTATAATATCCAAGACAGACCCATCTTTTCGCGTGACTAGTCAGCGCATGGAGTTGTCTTGAATGACTGCACGGACCTTTTCGGCATCTACCATTTCCTTTTTAGACAAGTTACAGTAAGTTCGAAATCAGATTTGTCTCGACACTCTTCAAACTGCTTTCCCAAATGTAAACTCAGATAAACTAAGACAAGCCTATCCCGTCAGGGTTGGCTAGATATGTTCTGCTTTCCATAATATAGCCTGTATCTATGTTCACGCTGATACAGTAGGACCATGGTACACTTTTTATTCCTTTTTAATTTTATTTTTTGGGGAAAACAACAAAGTAATCCTAAACTGCATCATTAGCTTCCTGATCTCGTCCTTTCCTGATGTCCAACTGCATTTAGCCAAGTTTCAGCCTGATATGGGATGTCAGAGTCATAATTAACGTATTTCACCACTGAGCGAGCCGTCCCGGTCGGGCGAGCCGCCCCATCAACTTCAATTAATTCAAACCAGCATAATTCACCCGAAATAACGTAATATTGAATATCTAAGCTATTTAATCAAATTTGGACAATGTGTTCTCTTGTGACCCTGAATATTACACTCTGAGCATCTTGGTGGCGCCCTAGGTCGTCGTTCTTGTGCTTCTCGTTGACCGGTTGGCTGGTTGGATGGAGCTTCAATTTGACCATTTCCATCATTTTGAGCTATTTCTCGAAGCTCAGCGACAGATAGGCCCTCTGGAGCTGATATCCGGAGCTTAGAACGTGCTTTTTTTGACTCTGATTTCTCCGCTCTAGCCCGTAAAAGCTTGATATCTTAAGTCAGAAGAGCATAATTATGCATATGGGTTTGACATGATTTAAGCACCCGATCTATATGAGAAAGTAGCGGGCTTAGTGGGCTCTTAGAGCGTGCTTTTAAGAGCTTTTTAATCGAAATTTCATGCTTCTGGAGCTGCTTATAATTTAATGGTGTCTGATATATGCTACTTTAGCTACCTCGAGATGGTGGTGGTGTAGGCGTCCGGAGCTAAATATTAAGCTTTGAAATAACCCGATTTAGATTATATGGAACTAAACCGGTTGCCGAGAAGCTATTTTTGATCGTTTCTGCTTTATAAGCTTCGTTTCGAGCGTCCGGAAAGGCGTCTAAAAAGTCTAACTTATCGATATAGTTCTAACCTAACCGCATCACGTTCTCGACGCACTTTCCGTACGCACGCTTTAAGACGGCAAAACAACCTATATCTAGAGGTTATAAAAGATATGATAAGTGCGGTGGCATATAGATTAGAATGATTCGATTTTTAGAGTAAATTTCGTCGAATTTTAGAGTTAGATAGCTTCCATGACTATCTAGAACCAGGAGTTAATATATCCCCTTTAACCTCGAGGAGGTCGATGGGATAAAGACCTTTTTAAGCCAGTAAAGTCTAATCTCGTCCGAGGTCCATCTATTTGGACTAACCTAGAATTGCTAGTCGCCTAGAAGCTTTAACTCTTAAGCCTAGCCTTTCGTGAATAATTTTGCCTTAAAGATAACCATCGGAGGAAGGCTATATCTAGACGCGCCTATACACTTAATCGCGGTAACCCATTCACGATTTCTAGGCTATAAAAGAGAGCGTCGACTATAATATTCTACTCTTATAACGACTTTTGCGGTCGCTGTTAAGCCCATCGCGAACCCCGTCTCATCAAAGTTATAGATATCGTCTTCGTGGATCCCATACTTTAGGGTCGTCTTTTGAACTAGGTCGAACCACTCTATAATGATTTTTAGGTCCTCGCACTTTGCCCGCTTATAATTATAGCGTCTTAAGAGCCTTGTATCGAGTTCTGGGTGTCGTTTAATGTATTTTGTGACCTAATTTTTGCCGACGGTTTGGATCGGGGTGGTTCCACGTGTGGCGAGTAAGAGATTAGCCATTTCTTGGACCATAGAAGGTCGTGGAGCTGCTCCGCGTATATCCATAGAGATCACCCATTCTTTAAGCGAATTCTCCTCAATTTCAGTCAATTTAAAGGAGGTTGCGCGAAATTCGACGCGGTTTTCTCGTCCGCTGAGCCGGTGCTGGAGCGTTGTTCTAGGGATATTGTACATGCGTGCTGCTTTGGTAATTGACAGCTTTTTTTCCTGCTTCTGGATAGCTTGGATAGCAAGCAAGATACGACCTTCTTGTTCTATCAAATTCTGACGATTTTGAGAGCGAATTGGTGGCATGGTGGTTGGTTGAAGAAGACAGGTCTAACTAATTAACGCATTTTGGTTGGGTCGGCTCGCCCGACCGGGACGGCTCGCTCAGTGGTGAAATACGTTACGCTGTTTGATGACAAATCAACTTGCATGCTGGTTCATAGTAAACCGGCGTATATCTCCCCATATGTTCCATTCTGAACACCCATTTTCAAATAACGAACCGTGACCATAGTCATGAGTGAGACCTTGGCTGATCCTTTTCTCAACAAGTGGAGCAAGCGAAATGCCTGGATCAAGAATTCCACTGATAATGATCAATTGATTCGCATCAGCTACATCGAGTGCGCACCGCCAACAACCAGTGCTCCAAAAGGGAATATACTTTTAATCCATGGATTTCCACAATCTTCGTACCAATTCCGGCATGTGATAAAACCCCTCTCCGAAAAGGGATATCGAATAATAGCCCCCGACTATCGCGGGGCTGGTCAATCGTCGCATCCCACCCAAGATTTTAGAAAATCGACAATGGCACGCGATCTTTTCTCCCTTGTTCATGACCATCTCGGCATTACGCAGGCAATCCATGTGGTCGGGCATGACATCGGGGGTATGATTGCGCATGCATATGCCACGCTATATCCCGATCATGTTGCGAGCGTCATTTGGGGCGAATGCCCGCTGCCTGGAACTTCTATTTACGATAAGAACAAAATCATGCCTGAGCAGTTCCACTTTGTGTTCCACAGTGTGCCCGATGATTTGGCACTTTCCTTGGTGACTGGAAGAGAGAAGATATACCTGGATCATTTCTTTTCTAAACTGAGTTTCAACGCCCAAGCAATATCTCCTCTTGACTTGAACTTCTACACTCTACAATACTCGCAGCCGGGAGCACTACGGTGCTCCTTGGAGGTATACCGGGCATTTGAAGAAGATGCTCGAGAGAATCGGGAAAGCTTGCGCCTCAAAGGGAAATGTACACGACCTGTGCTCATTCTCAGCGGCTCACAGAGCCGGCATGTGCACGAGGCCAGAGAAATGGTGAATGAAGTATATGCTGGAGAAATTCAGATTGTAGAGATTGAAGAATCCGGTCATTATATCGCGGAAGAGAACCCAGACGGCTTTGTGCAGGCGGTATTGGCCTTCATTTGTTCTCATGCGACTGTGAAGTGATTGTTATTTTGAAACGTATCTTTAGGTAAAGCCCTTTAATTGCCTGATCACATTTTTTTCTCCTTTTGACAGGGTAAAAGGAGGGTCTCCCGAAATCTGGATCCATGCCAAGAGTATACAGAGGAATTTGAGTCAAAGTATCTTTCTAAATACCAATTTCTAGGACGCGTTGGTATTGATCAACTGCCGGACCTGAGCCATTCTGTACCGGAGACCGAAAGGGGAAAGAAGAAATAATCCGCAAAGAACGCCGGCGCATGTAACTCCTGTCTTGGTTAGGTTATTATCCGAGCCTTTCTCCAGTCGATACCGCCTCTACTTCAAACAGCATTAAGAAGACTTATGATACTATAAGAATAAAATAATTCTAATTACGTCTGAGTGTAATACAAACCTGCTGGGATTACGGAGAAGGCCCCAATCTAAATTCGCGTATGTCGATCCCGTGAAATTACCTTGCCACCCAGCTAATGCGTTTCCCTGAGGGTTTCGGTTCAACACGGGACTACCCTGCTGCTCCAGCTTTCCCGAATTTAAGCATCTCCCCGAATATGTAGATGGTGAGGTTGTGAGAGGACCAACATAACCGCTCCAGAGGCTTGAGCCCAGGGCACATTTGACATCAACCTGAGTAGTCCAGGCCCATTCATATTGATGTCCCTATTAGGGCGTCATTTTCAACATAGCTTTGGCTTCAAGTCACTTGAGCTAAATTATACGGACGAGATTACCGATGATGAAGTCATGTTATGTTATCAGCACATTTAAAATTGACCTTGCTCACATCAGCAAACTACACACAACAAACAAGCTTGCGGTCACAGGCTTTTAAATAGGTGTCCGAGGCCAGGGGTTCTCGTCCACCAATGATCATTTCCATCCATGTCAAAGGGCAGACTGGCAATACAGTAATTGTTCGGCCAACCAAGTCCGATCAATGTTGAGATTCAAATTTACCTGTGATGATCCTGGCCTATACCATATGGTCGTAAGAAGTGCCGAGGATCTACCATTGTTGACGTAGTAAACCCAAATAGGGTTTACGCCGGCTCAGTACAGTTGTTTGCCTCGGTGTCCTCGACGATCGACCGTCCTGAAAATGACGTCTATGAACTATATTGCCACTTTTCAATCTCACTTTGGAATTGAAAAGCAAGTATATGAACAGGTTATTTCCTGTGCCATTTTATGCTTTTGAGTTTCTTTCCTTGCAAAGACCAAAGTGGGACTGTGATTGTGGACCAAAAGCTTAAAAGGATTTCACGTGGTGGCACGTGATGTCGATGGCCTACTGCGGAGTAGTTTTTATCGGATTTGCCACCATAGGGCGTTGGTGGCGCAGGGGTCGAATAACCATGGGTTTCCAGGAGGGCTGTGAAATTCCGGGAAAGCCCAATGAAAAATCAGGCAATGCATGTCAAGTCAAGTCAAGTGCACTGAGAATTCTGCGTCCTGTTAATTGAACACAGGGATTGTCCCTTGCTCTAGCATACAGAGAATGAAGATCCCCCTGGTGCCTGTGTTGGGAATCACGTGCGAAAGCCCAGGCCCTGCACCTTATTTTCCCTACAATGCAGTTCGCGGGTATACGAACTAGCACGAAGACAAGGTACGGAGTACATAGTCGCACATTGTAGAACGTACATTACCTTCGGCCTTAGTCATGGACCATGAAAATGAGCTCCAAAAATACCATGCCATCCCACCCTGGGCCAGCAAATCAGAGAGTTACTCAAGCAGGAATTTCCTAATCTTTCCGGAGCTTCCGCATGGAGTAATGGTTCCGTGCCTCAGGCAACAAAGCGTTGGGGCGGGACCCAACATTGTTCGGGAAAACATTGATCTCGCCACTCACGATCAGGATAAACTGAAATAAGAGAATTGATCTTCCTCCTTTTTCTCTTGATTTCTCTACCTCGGGATCTTGTGATTGAGTGGCCTGTTCTTTTCATTCGCTTGGGTGCTGAGCTCCCCCCATATTCGTTGGCGATCAAACCCTTCGAGGCCCCCCAACGTTGGTCTTAAGTGGGCCCTCCCCATATAAAAAAAGCTCTTGTCCGCGCCCTCATCCCACTCTTTTTCCTTTCAAACCTTTTGGTCGTCCTCACATTATCATCATCATGTCGACCAAGGCTGAGGCTTCCCGCCCCCGGCCGGCAGACACCAAGAAGGTGCACATTGCCGACACCCAGATGACTCGTGCCAACTGGTACAAGCATGTCAACTGGCTTAACGTCTTCCTCATTCTCGGTATCCCCATGTATGGCTGTGTTCAGTCTCTTTGGGTGCCGTTGCAGCTCAAGACTGCCATCTGGGCCGTTGTCTACTACTTCTTCACCGGTCTAGGTATCACCGCAGGTAAGTTTCCAGTGTTCTAGGTCATCTATTGGGAGCGGTTAATTCTAACTTGCTATAGGATACCATCGACTTTGGGCTCACTGCTCGTACTCGGCCACTCTTCCCCTCCGTATCTGGCTCGCTCTGGTTGGAGGTGGTGCCGTTGAGGGCTCTATCCGCTGGTGGGCTCGCGGCCACCGTGCTCACCACCGTTACACCGACACCGAGAAGGACCCTTACTCCGTTCGCAAGGGTTTCTGGTACTCCCACCTTGGCTGGATGGTCATGAAGCAGAACCCCAAGCGTATCGGCCGTACCGACATCACCGATCTCAACGAGGACCCTGTCGTCATCTGGCAGCACCGTCACTACCTCAAGGTCGTCTTTGGAATGGGTCTCATTGTTCCCATGCTTGTTGCCGGCCTCGGCTGGGGTGACTGGTTTGGCGGCTTCGTCTACGCTGGTATTCTGCGTATCTTCTTCGTCCAGCAGGCCACTTTCTGCGTGAACTCCCTGGCTCACTGGCTCGGTGACCAGCCCTTCGACGACCGCAACTCACCCCGTGATCACGTCATTACCGCCCTGGTCACTCTCGGTGAGGGATACCACAACTTCCACCACGAATTCCCTTCGGACTACCGCAACGCTATCGAGTGGCACCAGTATGACCCCACCAAGTGGACCATCTGGACCTGGAAGCAGCTGGGTCTGGCCTACGACCTCAAGCAGTTCCGTGCCAATGAGATCGAGAAGGGTCGTGTGCAGCAGCTACAGAAGAAGATTGATCAGAAGCGCGCTAAGTTGGACTGGGGTATCCCTCTGGAGCAGCTGCCCGTGATGGAGTGGGATGAGTACGTCGAGCAGGCCAAGAGCGGCCGTGGTCTCATTGCTGTCGCTGGTGTTGTCCACGACGTGACCGACTTCATCAAGGACCACCCCGGTGGTAAGGCGATGATCGGTTCCGGTATTGGCAAGGATGCCACTGCCATGTTCAACGGTGGTATCTACTACCACTCCAACGGTGCTCACAACCTGCTGTCCACCATGCGTGTTGGTGTCATCCGCGGTGGATGTGAGGTGGAGATCTGGAAGCGCTCCCACAAGGAGAACAGCGAGTACGTCCGAGACGAGTCCGGCCAGCGCATCATTCGGGCTGGTATGCAGGTGACCAAGATCCCTGAGCCGGTTCCCACCGCTGATGCTGCTTGAATGTGCTTTGATTGAGATGACGTGACTTGCATTGTGTGGGTGGGTTTGGTGTTCACTCGGCGTTATTCCCTCTTTTATTGTGTATCAGAAAAGCGACTTTCACATAGATAATCTGTCATGAACTAGAAACGACCATTGATTATATCAGACCTGATTGTGCGGACATTGCAGTAGCCCGTAATATTGTAGCTTAAATATATTGACTGAGTCAGTTCAAGTCAACAAGCGGGGAACTTGGGTACAGACTCCGGAGTACACATCACCTGACGGCCCCGTATCTGTTATCTGTGTACTCCGTAGACCTCGATCCCGAACTTGGTTGCATCACAGCTGCAGCTTAATTCTGAAACACACACCGCATATTTCTTCTACCTAGTTTCCGCCATTCCTTTCACCCGCCACCTCCTCATCATCCTTGCCGCTATCATCGTGGCGCCCCTCCTCCGTCTCCCCGCCGCCCGCCTCACATCCGTGCTGGGTCATTTGCGTACAACACCTATTCGATATTTGACAACCTCCAACATGGCCCCCGCTCACCTCCGGCGCCCACCACAGGCCCCGCCGACCTTCACGGCTACCCCGCAGTCCGTTGTCGCCGATGCCGAGCGACTGCTGAACACGTCCCGGACCATTCAGGACAAGCTTGTTGCCGACATCAAACCCGCTGATGCCACGTTCGCCAACGTGCTGCGTCCGCTTGCTCAAGATGAGAATACCATGGCGTTGGAGGCACACATTTTGGGCTTCTACCAGGCCGTATCAACCGATCAGAAGCTTCGGGATGCTTCCTCCAAGGCCGAAGAGCTCATGGATGAGTTCTTCATTGAGGCCGTCATGCGAGAGGATGTTTTTAAGCTGGTGGATGCTGCTCTGAATAAGAATGAGGATCTCGATCCCGAATCACGCCGTCTGTTAGAGAAGGCACACAAAGACTTCGTGCGAAATGGATTGGGTCTGCCCGCGGGGCCCCAGCGAGCTCGGTTCAAGGAGATCAAGAAGCGTCTCAGTCAGTTGAGCATTGAGTTCCAGAAAAACCTGAACGAGGAGAATGGTGGTATCTGGTTTACTCCGGAGGAGCTCGACGGGGTGCCGGAGGATGTGACCTCCGGCCTGAAGCGCGGCGAGGGTGAGAATGCCGGCAAGCTCTGGTTGACCTTTAAGTACCCGGATCTGTTCCCGACCATGAAGTACGCCAACAATTCGGAGGTCCGTAAGCAGGTCATGGTTGCCAACGAGAACAAGTGCAACCAAAACGTCCCGCTGTTCCGCGAAGCTATTGTGCTGCGTGACGAGGCTGCCCGTCTGCTGGGCTACCCCAACCACGCTGCCTTCCGCATCGAGGACAAGATGGCCAAGACGCCGGAGACCGTTGACACATTCTTGGGTGATCTGCGCGCCCGGCTGGCTGACGGTGGTAAGCAGGAGATCCAGACCTTGATGAACCTGAAGAAGGAGTTGGACCCTAAGTCTGATGGTCGCTACTACTTGTGGGACCACCGATTCTACGACCGACTGATGTTAGAGCGGGATTTCCAATTGGATCACCAGCTTATTGCCGAGTACTTCCCGTTGCAAACCACCATCCAGGGCATGCTTAAGATCTTTGAGGAGCTGTTTGGATTAGAATTCGTTGAGATTGTTGGGGAAGACCGTGCGGCCTTGGCTCCCACCGGCCAGGGTAATGATATTGTCTGGCATGAGGATGTGCAAGTCTTTAGCGTGTGGAATGACGAGGGTGAGGGTTCTGGCTTTGTCGGCTACTTGTACCTGGACTTGTTCCCACGCGAGGGCAAGTATGGCCATGCCGCCAACTTCAACCTCCAGCCGGTATGTACAGCAAAAGCTTCAAACAGCAAGAAACTAACGGTCAATTCTCTTAGGGTTTCGTTGATGCGGAGGGCAACCGACGCTTCCCCGCCACCGCCCTGGTGTGCAACTTCACCAAGCCCGGTCCTAAGAAGCCCAGTCTGCTGAAGCATGACGAGGTTGTGACCCTCTTCCACGAGTTGGGCCACGGTATCCACGACTTGGTTTCCCGAACCACTTACTCCCGCTTCCATGGCACCAGCACCGTGCGGGACTTCGTCGAAGCGCCTAGCCAGATGTTGGAGAACTGGTGCTGGACTCCCTCACAGCTGCGCTCGCTTAGCCGACACTACTCCACCCTATCGCCCGAATACCTCGCCGGGTGGCAGGAAGCTCAACAAGCGCGTGGCAAGACAGACACGACCCCGCCTTCGGAGCGCATCCCTGACGAGGTGATCGACAACCTTATTCGCACCAAGCACGTTAACGACGCCTTGTTCCAACTGCGCCAGCTTCACTTCGGTATCTTCGATATGACCGTGCACGAGCCTAAAAGCCATGCCGAGATCGAGGCTCTGCCTATCTCGGCGACTTACAACCGTCTCCGCCAGGAGATTACCCAGATGGATGGCCTGGAGGCACTCAATGGTGGTCAGGAGTGGGGTCACGGCGAGGCAACATTCGGTCACTTGATTGGTGGTTATGATGCTGGATACTACGGATACTTGAGGTGAGAGTAACCCTACCTTTTGAAGATTATTCATACTGACCCCATATAGCTCCCAAGTTTACTCCACCGACATGTTCTACACGGTCTTTAAGGACGACCCGATGAACAAGGCTGCTGGCCGTCGCTACCGGTACCAGGTGCTCGAGAAGGGTGGCAGCCAGGATGAGATGAAGACGCTGACCGAGTTCCTGGGTCGTGAGCCGCAGACTACTGCGTTCTACAAGGAGCTGGGTCTGGCGTAATAAGCTGGATGTGAATAGACAAATTTAAATACAATGGTGGTTCCACCTTATAAATATTATTGGGGGCCAGTAGGTGTCGAACGTAAAAGTCAGCTTTGTAGGACATTCGAAGATTGACAGGCTGATACCGATAAGCCCACCGCCTTCAAATCCACATCTCCAACTTGCAGCTCTGCAAGCTCAACTTCAGTTCAATTCAATTTAGCTGGATCTCTACGGCCGTAAGTATTAAAAGAATGCCTTTAAATGCAATTCTCTCGAGTGATAAAATCTAATAGTCTCAGCTAGACCCTTCAAGCCCTCCCAATCACTACAACCACCACAGAAATCAGAAAAACCAAGCTTGCAAACCGTAACAAGCATATTCACGCATATCCAAAACAAATCCAATACTCCCGTCGCAAACCCTCGAAGCAAATACAATGACATCCTCCGAACCCCGCCTTCAGATCCGAACCCAACACTGCACATTCTGCAACCACCTTCTCCTCGCGACAACACGAGATATATCAACCCTCCCCCGTCGAGGCGGCGAAGCAAAGGATAAAGCCATTATTCTCCCACTGGAGGACCGTACAATTGGAGAAGACGCGGATATCAACGAAGCGCAAGGCACAAGGACAAAACATGCGACATTACTTCTTTCCACCACTATACCTGATCGACGCGCTACACTTATCAGACGTGAAGATGGGATTGAGAAGAGAGTTCTTTTGCGATGTGGACGGTGTAAGGCTGTGATGGGATACTATCTCGACAGTGTGCATTATGGAGAAGAGAAGACCAAGGTTGTCGAGGATGATGATGGGAATGTGGAAGAGAAGAGGCCGGCGGTTTATATTCTGCCCGGAGCTATTGTTGAGACGGACAAGATGGGAGGGAATAGTGATGATGCAGAGTGGCAGGGGTGGAATAATGAAGCCTAGTCATACTAGGTAGCTAATCAGTTTACCGTGGACTAAGATCAATTGAATACATTTAGTAATATAGACATCCATTCGCACTGGATTGTAATACATTCCCTTCACGCCGAGAACCGTGGATAGTGTAGGGGCTTAACCAAAAGAAATAATAGACAGCATTTAAAAAGAAGAAATGTGAAGCCCGATTCCGCCAAGACAAGACATGTTCCATAACCGTAAACGTGTGCGCATCATAAACAGAAATTCAAAGTTGCATCGATTGCAGGGGTATCGGGTGACCTAGTTGGCCAGAATGGTGCGCACAAGATCAGTGTAGTTGATCTCGCCAGAGCTAGTATCGACAGCCTTGAGGAGCTCATCGACCTCGTCATCGGACATCTTCTCGCCGAGGTTGGTGAGGACTGCTGATGGTTAGCGTACGTCAATAACCCAGGGCTTGTTCGCGACGATCACATACTGTAGCGCAACTGTCCCACTCCAATGAATCCCGTCATGTCTTTATCGAATACCTGGAAACCACGGCAGTATTCCTCTGGCTCGCCGGGCTCACGGAAGCCACCAGGGCGGTTGAGGACCTTCAAGAAGGAATCAAAGTCGACTGTTATCATCGTTAGTTGGAATCCATCTATCGCGGCATCGCTGTCGACGTACAATCAGGTCCGACGGACTTCTCGAGATCACTGATCTCGGCGAGAGTGGGATTCTGTCCGCAAGCGCGCAGAAGGTCGCCCAGCAGGTCACCGGCGACACGGCCGGTACCACGGCGGTCGAAGAGAGAGAACGCTTCCTTGTAGTTGGTGGAGGCCTGATCGTTTTTATTAGCCATGATGAATCGAGATAGTGTATCTTGGGTGCATATGTGGAGTGGTGTTGTTATGACGGCGAATGTGGAAGGGAGGTGATCCAGGGATGAGGGGGCGGAAAGTCAATCCGCGGAACACAGGGACGGAAGAGGCAATTCGTCAACATCCCTTTGGTACGCACCATTTTGGAATTGTATTGCTTTGAAGGAGGTCAAATTGTAGGGGGAAACAGAGAGAGGGACAGAGGAATGAGAAGTGGGAATCTGGGAGAGTGGATCGGCGGTCGTTGTTGCGGCAACGGGCAGCCAGATTAAGGTGAGATCATTAGCCTAGAGATCTAATGTGGGAACCCTTGCACCTTGAAATATACAATAATTAAGTACTACTTCGTTTACGATTGTAGTTTCGCGATGCAGCTGTCCAGCAGCCGCGCCGCTTCACCTAACAATTCCCACCGTGAACTCGCGAATGAGTCGCGCAGTACCATCAACAGACCCAGACACGTATTCCGCCCTTTCATCCCCTCCAACTCATTCGGCTCGCGTACCCCACCAACGCGCTGCAGAAATATCTGCATGTCTCGACTTCGTTCGATAGAAGTTGGCAGTATTGGTGGGGGTCGTAAGGGGCCATCCAATGCAAACCCATAACACCACACCACCAACACGGCAAAGTACATAACCCAGGGCCGGTTGAGAAGGTAGTCGTCGCGGGCGACATACTCTCCCGACCCCTGCTCCACGAAACAAGTTGATAAAAATTTAAGTGCATAAAAAGTGGCATCGCGGGCAGAAGCTTTAGTCGCCCAGCGCCCGGTCTTCTCAAGCGCAGTACTATAGTCTCGCGCCGTGATGGACCGACCCATCAGCCGATCGGCGCCAGCAAAGATCTGGAGATCTACGATATCCACATGAGATGCCATGTGGGCAAGGCCGTGGAGTACATCGCGAGACTCGGACTCAGTCGACGGGGCCGGACCTAATGCCTCATCGAAGTCTCGACGCCAGTTGTCAAATGCGCGGAGAAGCGCCGTGCGCCACTTGTCACGACCACCGAGGGTCTGCCCGACTCCGAGCGAACTAACTTGCAGATCTCGCTGGTTCAGATGCCAACTCACGCTCAGTAACCCCGCTATTAGGATACTCCGACCGAACGCGTTTGTACGGACGGGCTGACCATTCAGGGTGCGTTTCAATCCGTCGAGGAACATGACAGGCCGCACACCGTGTGATTGGAGACTCGACTGCACGCGCGCTACCTCCGCAGCACTGGTTGCAGCCCACAGGGCCTCATCGCACGGCAATGGCAGCCGTAGCTCATGCGCTACCATCTTGGCCGAGTGTCCAAACATCGTGGCGTGGGTTGAATCTAACACAAATGCAGCAAAGGCGACTCGCCGAGTCGCTTCGGCCTTGATCCAATGTGACCATGACTCATCCTCCTCTTTGGATTCCGGGGTATCAAATGACGACCGTCCAATTAGCGAGCTACCTCGCCGCATCAGTGTCAGCGTCGTGTCATGGTGGATATGGGCACGCTCATGCAGCGCCCGGGTGGAGAACCCCTTCTCATAGACCTCCAACAGTAGCAAGGACTGGAACACCCATAGTCGTGCGGGCGGACGGAAATCTGCATCCATAAAGATCTCCCAGCGTAAATGCCATGCAATAAAACTAGCTAGTTCAGCGGCTGTTTCAGTAGCCGCTTGTCCATGAATCTTGTCCAACGTAGCTGCTCCAATCGCCATAATAGCTAATAACAGTAAATTGGGTGTGCGATCAGCCGCGAAGGTCGGCTGGTGAAGGATCGGCAGTTGTGCATGGAAATGATACCAGTAAGATCCGATATACGTCTGCATCATGCGTAAGCTCAAGACATGTCGGTCGCTATCCAGATCTCCGTCCATCAATGCGTCTTTGCGTTTGGTATCAGCCGAGTACGCTGCCTCGTTGAACCGCGTCGCCATCAACTGAAGCAGTTCCTGCCGTTTTTCTTCTGAAATGATAGCCGGTAGCGATCCTGAATCTAGGATGCTGGTCACGCTCATCGGATGCTGGGGAATGACGGTACAGAAATTGTGATAGGCTGGTTCATTCACATAGAACTGGTTTTGCACCAATGGCATCATTCCGTAGCCTAGCGGCGCGAGCGGTTCACTGAACAACCAAGCCGCAAAGTCATCGGCCATGGCAAACGGTGACCGGTTATACGTCTCTCCGCCAAAAATGGGGTATGCATTTGACATGGCGTCAAGATCCAGCATGCTATCGGGTTGGGTAAAACCCACAGTGAGGTCCGAGTAGCCTGATACCGGGATGCCTGCGACATCAATTCCGGTAGATAGCGGGTAATTCGAGCTCGGGGGAGACTTGGAACTGGGCGCGTGGTCGGTCATGAATGTATATTCTGCAGCGGTCATGGATGGTGACGAAGGGGACGAGGTGGGGATCAGCGATTTGGGCAAGTCATCGTGGCTGTCCGCTGTGAATGAGTCGCGCTTCTGTAACTGGGACCCGCGGGTAGTATGGCGTTCGCGATGGCGGATACATAAGTCCTGGCGCACGAAGGATCGATAGCAGTTGGGAAAGTCGCAGCGAAAGATCTGTTTCGGGGCATCTTCTCACGGTCAGTTCTGAGTGCGAAGTGGGTTAAAGGAGCATACGGTTTAGCTGGTGTCGGTAGAGATGCTCGGCGCGTGAATAGCTTTTCCCACAACCCTCATGAGTGCATTCGAACTTGCGATCTGACGGGGCGCGGCGACTGCGTCGACGCCGCTTGGAGGGTTGTTCGTCGTCCATATCTGTGTTAACGGCGGGCCACACCATTGGACGCCATAGCAGGATGATCACGGAGGAATGTCGATCTACCGGCGGGGAGGAGCTGTAGAGAATGTGGGAGAGAGGGACTTCTGGGGAGTGCGGAGAACTGGAGTGGGGTTGGTTAAAGTTGGCGGAGGTAATATTCGCCGACCTGGGGAGATTAGTGCTATGAAGGTTATGGCTTGACAGATGTCTCTAGTAATATCCCAGAACCTAAAATTATCATCAGTTCAAGTGTTTGATTTACATATAGGTAGGCATATGACGTTTTGTACATGAGGATGTGGGAAGATGCAGGTAATGGATGCATTTGGACTAAGGTATTCCAGTGTGGGAACAATTGCTCAAGCCAACTGGTCAGTCCCACGAGATACAAGAAGTTGTCCACTATTGAATGGCCTTGGAAGCTTTGTATAAAAATTTAACTATTTCCATCATCATGCATGTTATCAGATGTCGAGTTATATACAGTGCAATTGACCTGCGTTAGCAAATGGACTCGGATGCATATTTACGTGTGTTTCTACTGGTTCAAAATTTAGACTTTGATTAATTTCTAGAATTGTTGAGTCTGTTCCAAGGCTCTATACGTTTAATACTGTGGTTCTTAAAGCCAACTTATTCCTTTATCCTTAATCTCCTGAATTTTGTTCTATATTCCCCTTGGACAGTGTTGGGATGAGAACAGCAAGGGTAGGACCAGTTAGTAGTATGCACTAGCCGCCCAGGATCGTAATCATTCTCAGGTTCTTGGCCTAGACATCTGACTGGTCGGATTTAGGCTCCGAAGCAATTATTGATCTGAAAGAACGATATATCGATATGTATCAAGCAGTTGAACTAAGTTCACTACTTAGACATAGCTAGTGCTTGTATTCCGTTGATGCCACGCTGCAGAGTTCGGGTATACGAGTACGAGACCCGTGACTACGAGCACGACTCTGGTACCTCGTACACCTGTGCACCCGTGCTTGACCTTGGAAACACTTGAATTCTACCGGGACATGAACACATGCCGTAGGCCCCTATACATCGCCATGCTACTACAATTCCAATGCAAGTTGGCCCACTTATCTTCAATCTGAATCACTCGCGTGCCTCGACCGTTCGGCGGAGATGCTTGGCACAAGTCAATATCATCCCAAGTTTCCCCACTACAACACTGAAGATCCCATTCCATGGGTAACTTTATATCCAGGAGATATTCAATTCATTCACCGTATCCAGTACTTAGTTTCCTAATGGTGCCTTCCATTCTCGTTCCGTTGTTCGAATCGTTTTCTCATACGCAAGCGCCCCCCCCACACTCGACGACGGAAATGCCCCACAAGACGCGTATTCCGCCACAGACTGGCGTGGACAAGATGCCGATCGCTTCGGTCTGTCAAATCCCACTCATGCAGGCTTACTCTTAAGGGGTTTTCAAAATAGTGGACACGCGGTCCTGTCCAATCGGGAGCCATGAACATACGAAATGCTTGGTTATCTCCGACTTGGGAGGTCGCCTTTGCTCCTTAAAAAAGTCGGTCTTCGGCACTAATTGCGATCTTCTGACCCTTAGAGTTGCTCGGGGCTGTCCCGCTCCACCGTTCAAACCAACACGTTTGATTTCTTCTCCTTCTTTTCCTTCTTTGTTCAACTTTGTCCTTTGCTTTGAAGGCCTTGGCTCTACCATGCGTGGTGTTCCCTTATAGTCACTCCTTTTAATGTTTACCATGCTGTTCCTCGCTCTAGGACTCATGTTTTTACATGGGTCCGTCGCGCAACGTGATAATGACCTCTACTCCTTTGTCACAGTGAGTTAGTTTCAATTTTATCTGTCGCTTATCAACTAATCGTATTTTATTCAGCTCCCTGAAGTGCGGGCACTGAAATTTGAGATCAAACATATCGACCGAGAGCGACAACAGCCGGGATACTGGTTTGTGGCCCCGTATGGTCAAATTGACCCTGAGGCATCGACGCACAGGTACACTCAGTACCAAATTGGTCCGTATATCTATGATAATGATGGCGTAGGTTGATCGTGATCTCCGATAATTTGCGCACTGCTGACATGCGCATAGATGCTTATCTGGGCCGGGTCACCGATGTACGACAACCGAAATGTTTTTGACTTCAAAGCGAACTGGAATATCGACGACGACCCCCATCTATCCTTCATTATCCAGCATGACGACCAAGTCAAAGGAAGCGGAATGATCCTGAACACCAATTACGAGATCGAACATGAAGTGGACGTGGTCAACGACCTCGAAGCCTTCAACATGCATGAATTTAATATCCTGGATGGCGGTAAGACCGCACTCGCCTGCACATATCGAACCCAAACGATCAGCTTTGCCGATTTCGGCAGACCCGGCGAGGAAACCTGGGCACAGACTGGTGGATTCGTCGAGCTGGATGTCAACAACGCCAATGTTCTCTTTGAGTGGGATTCCAAGGACCAGATTTCTGTCTCAGAATCCGCAGTTCTAAACGCCTGGAGTGCCGCATTGGGTCCACCCGGCACAGACTATGTTCATATCAACGCCGTCGACAAAAACGAAGCCGGCAACTACATCATCTCTATGCGTTTTACCAACACCATCTACATGATCTCCGGCATCGATGGTCACATAATGTGGCGTCTAGGCGGAAGGCAAAGCGACTTCGATATGGACTTCACTTTCCACAAGCAGCACGATGTGAAATTCATCGAGTCGAACAGTACACGCCACGTTATCTCGTTGATGAACAACGGCGCGGACGAGGGCTATGCCGACGAGCGTGTCTCCGCGGCTCTCTATATCGACATTGACGAGGCCGCCATGACGGCCCGCGTGATCCAGCGCATTGAGCGACCCGACGGCGGTCTCACCCGTTTGCGCGGTAACGTCCAACAACTCCCAAACCAGAATACATTCATCGGATGGAGTCAATGGGGATACCACTCCGAGCACGCTCCTAATGGAGACCTGCTCATGTGGGCCAAGTTTTCATCTGAGCGATTCTCGAGCTACCGATCTTACAAATTTGACTGGATCGGCCGCCCTAATACCACTCCCGATGTCGTCTCTTCCGTCTACGGCACCAACAACAAGGACATCTTAACCATCATTCACGTTAGCTGGAACGGAGCCACAGATATTGCCCGATGGAACTTTTACGCTCGCGCCTATGACAAGGGTGAGAATGTCTTTATTGGACACGCCGAGAAGTCTGATTTCGAGACTATGTACTTGGCAGACGGGTTCATGGACTGGGTCTCCGCAGAGGCAGTCGACAGCGAAGGAAATGTCCTGGGAACATCAGATCTCCATCGAACCAACAAGCCGGATGACTGGAAAGCCATCGGATTCGAAGGAGCTTCTTCGCCAAGTCCAGACGACCCTTCCATTCTCTATGTTAGCGATGATACCAGCGATGACACCAGCGATGACACCACCGAAGACGCGGTCGATAATTCTCAAAGCTCCATCGACTCGAAGGTCAAGTCGCAGGAAGCCGTTTACTCCGAAACGAAAGACGTCGCCAAGGCGGTCTACAAGGCATATGAGATCCTGCGTGGAGTAGAGGGCTTTATCGTCCTGGTCCTGCTCGTTGGATGCATCGGTGGGGCCGTGGTGGGCGCACGGAGGTTTCTTCGTCGCCGCCAGGTGCGCTCTTATAAGAATATCCCCACTGAGGAGGGTGGGGAAGCGGGTGAGAATATTCCCGTGGAAGAGATTCCGTTGCGTCGGAACTCGAATGGGTGATCAACCGTTACCATGGTTCCCATCTTAATATTGTACAGTATATATATTCGGTTATGAAAATAGTTAGCGCTCCATTCAAACTAAGGTTGTAGTCTTTTTTTTTTTTTTTGGAAAGTATTACCTAGTTGCATGCCATTGGTGTTACATACAATTGAATGTTGATAATAGGGTAGCTAAGTACATAATTAAATACAGAAGATGATTTTACATCCGATAACCTTGGAATCTATATACTTTTATCTGAATGACGTTCAGTCTTGATGAACTGTCACCACCGGCCCCTCATACTCCTTCTTGCCTTTCACTGCATACATCACCAGGCTAAGAATAAACACGGCACCAAAGATCACGACGCTCCAATTGAAGTTGTCAGCTGTGACGGGCAGCTCAGTTGGCCAGAACGACCAGAACATCGCGAAGACGCAGTAGAGCAGACCGACGATATTGACAACCAATCCTCCCCGCCCAATGTCCCATCGGCGAAGAGGAAGGGTCTCAGGGTGCCATACCTTTCGGTAGATGACGCAGGAAATCGAAATAGTGTAAGTAAACATCAACGCCGCCGTGTTCACGGAAATGATAGCGTTAAATGCCGTACTGGAGCCGATGTTGATGAGAGAAAGCAGGCAACTGATGACGCAGGACAAAGCGATAGAGTTGACGGGGATCTTGCGCTTCGTATCAACCTTGGAGATCCACCGCGAGAACGGAAGACCCTTATCGCGGGCGAATGCCCATGTTTGCCGAGAAGTGGCTGCGTTGAACAGAATGTTGCTGAAAATCACGGGAAGCAAGATGATTGACGCAAGCGCATTCACTCCGGCGGTGGATGTGATTTGCTTAAACACGTAAAGGAAGGGGAACCCACTCGCATCGTTCAGGGAGTCTTCGACGGAGGGAGTCGCGAAAAGATAGGCAACCAGCAGAATGGCAGCCATGATACCATTGACGAAGTATCCCCAGTACATGGCTCTTGGCACATTACGACCTGCGTCCTTGATCTCTTCAGACATGTGTGCACACGCATCCGAGCCTAGATAATTAGTCAGTTTATTACTTTGTACCCAACGCAAAGCCTTTCACGTACTAAGGCAGCCGTAAATGGCAGAGATTTGGCCAACCATCACACTAACTCCCATGGTGGGCAATCCGCCGATATTCTTCCAATTCGTGACAAAGACCGCTTCGGCAGATTGGTGGGGAGCCATGGCCCACAACACGATCAAGATCGCGGCCCAGGATAGGACATGCAGGATCATCAAGAGGTTACTCAGGATCGGCATGAGTTCCGAGGCATACACATTGAAAATGTAGATCACCAGCACCATCGAGAAGACGAGCAGGGTACCCTGCCAGCCTGGGGACGTATAGTCGGGATTGCGGACACTAATCAACCCTTGAATAATCGTGCCCGTGAGGAAAGAGCCAGAGGCTGTTCCTGATTGCCATGCCAAAACGGACATCCAGCCTGGAAGAAGAGGTTAACGGTGAACATGCCAGAAAGAGTGAGCGGCTAAAGGACTATACCGGTTATGTAACTCAGAAACTTCTGGTGTCGGGGAGAACAGAATTCCGACACCCAATGGTACTGTCCGCCATCAGTTGGCGCCATGGATGCCATCTCAGCCAAAGAGGCGATGATGAAGCCAAATCCAATGAAAGTCCAGATATACGACCAGAACATGCCAGCCAAACCACCATCTTCCAAACCAGTGTAATCCGAACTGCATACGTAAGTTTACGAATTACAGATGAGTGGGCGCGTGAGCTCTGGGGAAAAAAAGCAATAAACACTTACATGATAAGATATTCCCACGTCGCTTGCAGGACCGATGCGAAACTCAATGCTGCCAGGGGTCGCATGTTTCTCTAGAGCCGAGAAAGGTCAGCGGCATTATGGGACATAGACCTAGTGCCTACGCACCTTGAACTCTTGGACTTTCCCCATGCGATGCATCTCATCATCGTCGACCACCGTCCCACTCTTTTGGGAGACGTCCTGGTCTCTATGAGTTAACTCCATGTCCATGGTGTCTATCGCGGTGGTTTTGGCCGCCATCGTGACAGTCGAGGAAAAGGGACCGGGGTGCACAAGGGATCAAGGGAAAACCGTCGGGGGCATGAGATATAGGAGTTGGGTTCTGCTTTTGAGGCCGCTGCAGCCGACCCGGTTATTAAGAGGCGCCACACCATTTCATATTGGTGCGCCATGCTGGCGGATCAAATATGCAGAGATTAGCGTCTGACAAGCGTGAAACAAGTAATTAAGCGATGATAAGAACGGTCGAGACGCCAGAGACGGCAGGTGGTCCCGGCGCCATTTTTCGAAGCATGTTCGTGATGCATCCCGCCTGGACCAAGTGGGGTATATCTCGGGGTTGGTTGGTCTGTCCGACAGTTAGCCTTTCGTCCAGGATTGTTAGTGACTTGAGTAAATTAAGTCGATGCATTGTTGTGCAGACCTGCGCGGGCCAGTGTCCTTAGCGTAATTCGCTAGACCAATGGGCGTTCGTGGATTCTCCTGCAATAAAGTCATTGTACGTCCTACACGTACAGGAAATAGATTCCACGTTGCCACTAGTTCCAGATCATACCGCTACCGTTGCCTCGCATAGAATTGCCTCGTAGTTAAGGGGGGTGAGGGGACAAAAGTACGAGAAACACGCGTCCAGCCAGCTATGCTCGATGCGGGATAGATGCAGGATGCATCGTGATCTGGCCCTGCAGCCAAAGCCCGTGAATGGCTTCGTATCCTTATCGCTTGAATTGCCCTGCTCATGCGGCGTTTTGGTGTTAATGAAATCCCGTACCCTCATAATGAAAATGCGCCGCACATCGCCTGTAGAGGAATTCTGCGATATTTGTTTCCCTTGCTTTCGCCGTACATCCTCCGGCTGGGTTGGTCATGTCGAAGTCATGGCCTGCGGGTGTGACCGCACCACTCACGGTGGACAATGCCCATAACCACAGCGGACTTATCGTTGTCCTTACTGCGTTTGCTCTGGTTCTGTTCATTGTTGCCCTTGCAGCGCGGGTCTACTCATCGTCTCAGAAAGCCAATCTGCAGCCAGACGATTACGCATTCGCCGCTCTCGTGGTACGCTTTTCACGAAGACGATGGCTTTTCCTGGGTCTTTAGCTGAAACTAATGGCTCATAGACAGCAGCTTTCATTCAGGTCTCTTTAGTGTTCGGTCAGGTCCATTATGGGTGGGGAACTCAAATGGAGACCATCGATACCGGGAGCAAGAAGCAAATGCTCAAGGTAGGATTGATCCTATTCTGACTATGAAGTCTAGACATTCACATTTACAAGCTAGGATATGCGGCCGATATTTTCGCCGTCATCACTCTGGGTTTCTCCAAGGTGACCACTTGCTTGTTCTATGAAGGACTTTTTTCCCAGATGCAGCGCCGATTTGTCCGTGCCATCCTTCTGGGCGTCATTGTGTGGACCTTCGTCTCGGTGTTGCTATTGGCAATTCGATGTACCTCCCAGCCTTGGTACGATATAGATTCGACTCAATGTGGTGGATTGGTATGACTAGACCTGCCTTGAAGAGCCTAAGCATGATTAATAACAGCTGACTTGCTCTATAGCTGGCCCGCTGGGAAGCCGTCACCGTCATTGACATTCTGACCGAGACTTTACTGCTCATTTATGCCGGACTTGCAATCAGTAAAGTCAAAATCTCAACCAAGAAAAGAATCATTGTGTTTTTCGCTCTGGAGAGTAGAATTATGTGGGTGATACTTGACATCAAATCAACTATTGAAACAACTTGCTAATGACCGACAATGGCACAGCCTCATCCCTACAGCCGCTGTCCGTCTCCACCTCATCAAGATGCAGCTTCAATCAACAGATCCCACTCTATCCGGGTCCTATGCCACATCCATCACCGAGATATACCTGGCTTTGAGTGTGACCTGCCTTTTAACGGCGTTCGCGAAATCATTCATTGCGGTGTACGAGGACGAAAATGGGATCTCATACAGGTATAGGGAGCCTACTACCAAGTCGGATTCAAAGGGGACTTCTGGTCTGGGATCTCGATCGGGAATGACCCGATCGAAGGATACGGTCAGTCGGCGCTTTTCTCGCCGCGGAGACAGAAGTGAGCACCTTCAAGGATGGGAGCGTGAGGAGGATCCTATCATTGGTCAGTCGGATTCAGGGCAAGGTCTCCAAATCCTCAAAACGGTGCAGTTGAGCGTGAGGAATGAGTCTATAGAGCTGTCGGAGCGAGGGGGTTCTTCTTTATAGGATCTACAGGTCCGACCTGGTCTCGATTCTATGATTTGGGTATTAATTGATCTTCGGGACTCATGTTGAGAACTTCATGGTCATTCATGGACAGGTTGTGTAAATTAGCTGTAGTTAAAAATAGAAGTCAAAAGGTATATATAGTATGTATATAACAGCCCGTGTCGGGGCTCATTTTTGCTTCAAGCGTCCAAGAGGCATTGGGATTCATTAAATAAGTTTCAAATCAGTGCAATTTCCCCAATATTACCGCTGTGTTGCTGCCCACTCACCAAGCAAAGCCAACGTAGGGCACAGTGGACATGTGCTCGATCATGATATCTCGGTTTTTGACACTACATTGATATGGCTATCTGGACTCACTGGTGACGTGACACACTCGCCTTGATATTAAAACCAGAGTTACTATGGTTGTGCTACTGTTATCAATTGATGTAAGCGCAAAGCGTTGTGGTTCGCTGGTTTCTTCGCAATGCAGTCAACAATTCGGTTGGGCTGCGACAGAACAAGGTATACGAGACTCTCGACGCGCAGTAACGTCACCCAATTGAAGGTTTTTCGAACTTAATTCCGCTTTGCCTAAGACCTGGTGTCAAATTAAACAAGACTACACCTTTTATTGACTGAGCAGCAAATTGAGGCACCGGCGAAAAATGCTCATGCAAGACCCAGATTTGACTGTGGTGCATTTAGACAAAAGACAACACTATAGATGTGAACGATTGAGTCAGTCTCAGCCTCTTGATTGACATGATAACCTTGGAATGACTACCTAGGCAGATCTACATGGATGCATAGGGCGACATATTGTCTATTCGTATCTTCTACCTGTCATAACGCACATAACTGGGAAACCGATTCGTAAAGTCCCGAGGATCCGGTCACTGTCGAAAGACCAGATGCAAGAAGATCTGGCGGCCAGCGTGGAGCCGGCGGATCATAATTCATCACGAGCACGACCGGATTCGTGTGCCTTCATAGCATACCACACATGCCACATATCGCGTTAAGAGGAATGGACTAACACCTGTTGTGCAAATGCTCCGGGGGTTTCTTTTTTGTTCCGGAGAACACATGAAGGATAAAAGAAAAAAAATTGTACACATGAAAAGACACCTCATCCGCTGAATCGGAATCGTGTCGCCTCCAGGCGGCCAAGACCGTCGCGGGGGGCCACGTTGCGGCGGCGGTAGGAGTTGGTGAAATCTGAAAAATGTTAAAACGAAACGATAAAAAAAGTGGATTTGAGACAAACCTTGCAGTAAAACGCGAATCTTCCGTGTTTCACCAGACTGGACCTTCTCAGCAATGCCCTTGAGCAGTCGCTCGGCCTCGGCTGGCTTCATGGAACCCGGGGGCAGCATCTGCAGGGTGCTCTCTAACCAGGCGCCCGTCTCATGAGGGAGAACCTCGAACAGGGTCATCATGACTCCCGAAGCATCCGGGAAACAATCACCAGGGAAGATGAACATCATGCCTGTCAGCACGCGCTGGGATAGAAGCTGACCCTGCGACAGAAGAAGAGCCTTGACGGCCTCACGGACCTCGGGCGGGTTGCTGTAGGGCGTGCCTTCGGGGCTGGTAAATTCGGAGACAGTAGGCTTATCAAATGCAAAGCTGAACAAGTCACGGTAGTAGTGAAGGGTGGCGATAAGGGGATCGACTTGTTGAAGGGTGAGAGCACTAAGTGCAGCGGAGAAGATAGGGACGGCCAGAGATGAGCTAATGCACTTCTTGGGGTAGTAGCGGACGGCGTCAGAAGACAACCGGAAGAAGTCCTCAATAACTGTCCAAATTAGTATTAATATATATATGAAAAAAAAAAAAAGGAAATCTCATGGAAATGGTGATCTTACCATCGGGAAGATTCTCCGGGGGCAGATCATTCAGGATCCGGAGGAATGAAATGGCTTGCTGCTCATAGAACTGGTAGACAGCATCACTAGTCGCCTGGTCCACATACTCAGCACCCTCAGAGAACTCGCGAACCACTGCGTCAGTGGCCCACAAGAAGCATCCCTCCCGGGACGCCTCGAAGCCGCTGGCAATGCTTTGAGCGAGAGTGGGAAGAAGGGGGATCATGGCGGTGCGGTAAGAGATAATCATGTAGCGCCAGCATCGGCAGACGCGCTCCAGAATAGGGGTAGAAGACGTAAAATTCATAACGATCGTGGCCATGATAGGCAGGATTTCGCCGCAGTACTTGACGGCAGGGTTTTCCTCGCCCGGCGCAACGATGGGAGTCACCACTTGAATAAAGATTGTGATCAGCTGCAAATGGTCGGCAACCGCTCGCTGCCCCTCTTCATCTTGGGCGTTGTTGGCGAGGTTCATAATTCGTTGCATGATCGGGTCACAGAACATCTTGAAAGAGTCGTAAATCTTGTCTAGGGGTTGCACGGACACTACAGCTGCAACACCCTCTGTCACTTCCTCTTGGCTGGTGGGCTTCAGCTTGTCAAGCACAGACAAGAAGAAGGAATGCAGGTGGTCAATATGACCACCAAGCAACTTTTGGCAATCGGTTCCCAAGAACTTGAAAGCAAGAGCAGCCGCCTGGATAACTTCCGGGGAAGGGTGTTGGAAGGCGGAAATCACGTAGTTGAGCTGTGCCTCAAGGGTTTCTGGGTGAAGAGCGGTCCATTCGGTGTAGCGAGCGAGAGCCATGATCGCTTGGAAACGAACTTTTTCTTGGTCGGGGATCTGGACAATCAAGCTGACCAATTGGCCCAAGACAGTACTTTCCTCGGGATCAACCATGCGGCCCATGGCACGAAGACCAAAGAGAGGGGCCTCCAGTTCCTGCCAGTGCGGAACGTGTTCGTTACTAGCCTGCGCCGCGTACTTGCCCACCCATTGCTGGATTAGCTGATAGATCTTGCCGAGGCAGTCGGTCACGCCCACGACAGAGCAACAGTCCTTCAAGACATCACCCATGGAGTGTCTGAACTGGCGGAACTTTTCTTCCTGCTCTCGATCACCACCAAAGAGGTCGGTTTCGCCATCCTCGGGGCTAGGGAATTCCAAATGCTTGACCATGATATCCACCAGCTGGGAGAAAATATCCTGGAAATTAACTCGAGAGTCGGCGTATCGGTCGATGGTGATGTACTGTTTTAATTCGTACCAGAAAATAAAGGTGAGAGAAACTGCGTCCCGCTCCCAGTCCCGCGCGCAGCACTCCAAAACAGCCTCGACGAGGCCACGGAATTCGGCGGGCAGGCGAGCGATAAGAACGGCCCAGGCCTCACCAGCCTCTGAGAACATTCTGGTAATGCCCTTGAAAGCCTCCAGGTCTTCGGCTTCAGCGGTCTCAAGAATCTTGGGTCGGAGAGACATCAATCGGGGGTAAAGGGCTTGAATTATGGGGAGGGATTCGTCGACATCCTTGGTATCTCGGAAGAGGGTGCACATGCAGTCAACACCAGCGTCGAAGGAGCCGTCATTGTCCAACGCCTTCATGATAACGTCCATTAGAGGTGACTCAACGACCCGTGCGGGGGGAATTTCGCGAAGCCACGAGGTAACGCAATCTAAAAGACGTGGGTTGGTTGCAGCGGAAGGCGAAGACTGAGAATATTGGATCATCAGCTGCATGACCTGCTCCGCATTATCCTCCAATAGTTCCTTCGTTCGCGATAGGAGCTCATCCTCGCTGAGATTGATTTTGCGGCCTTCTGTAACCTCCTCTGGGAGAATTTTCAGGAACTCTAGCACGCAGTCCCCCGCACTGTTGCCCAATGCAGATCCTACGGTGGCGAGGACGTCCTTCCAAGCGGTCATCTGGATCGCCAAACTGGCCAAACAAACGCATAGCTGGGTTTGAATGGGTCGCGGACCGGAGGCAAAGGCCACGAGGAGGCCAAGGACGGAATCCCGGAGGGCTAATACGGACTCGGGGTTCAGTTGGTCCAAATCGAAGACAATCTACCCGGTGTCAGCCCCGCGCATTCTTTGTGTTTCCCTCGTAATCAGTATCGCAGTGCTCACCTTTCCCTTCAATGTGGTCGCAGCAAACAATTTGGCTTCGATTGGTACGTCGGGTGACTGTAATAGCGAATGCGTGGTTTCCCATGCCTCGATCTAAGACTCATTAGCTCCAACTTTTTTCTTGTTGTGAAGGTGGGGTTCGTACAGATTTCTGGAATTTCTCAAGGAATTCATGGGCTTGGGTCTTCTCGGCCCTGGATACGTTGCCTTGCATTGTCGCGACGGCCGCTAGGACCGGGGCGAATGCCTGCCCACCATCCTTGCTGGCCATATCGTCGGGAATTGCGATGTACAAGAGATCAGAGCTCAGCAATTTAGACCCCAAGCGACACAGAAAAGAGAAAAAAGAGAGTGTGGAGGGGTTAAGGTAAAGGGGGTGGGGGGTGAAGTCGCGATATAAGTGCGAGACTGAGAGGAAGGTGGGATGTTGGTGCCCGTGACTTGTGTAATCGTATTACCGCAAATCACGGGACGCAGAGCTTGACTTCTTCATTGCTTCGACACCTTATCGATTCCAACCAACCACCTTCACATTCATCATGGCTGGCCGCAAAACATTGTTGGCACCAATCCACTTCATTTTCAGCCTGCTGCAGAAACGCAGCACCGTTTCTATCTGGCTTTACGAGCAGTTGGCCATTCGAATTGAGGGAAAGATCCGGGTAAGTCACAAGTTCGCAGGGCAACACGATTCCCCACTAACATGGTCTAGGGCTTTGATGAGTTCATGAACTTGGTCATTGACGATGCGATCGAGGTGCGTCTAGCTACAAAGACAGAAGAGGAGAAGCGGAGGCCGCTAGGTATGGTTATTTCCGTCCAAAGAGTTGAAGGTAATTAACACCGCGATAACAGGCCAGATCCTCCTCAAGGGCGACAACGTCTCCCTCATCCAAGCCGTTTAAATCAATTTCTGTTTCTGTTTCATTTCGGCGGTCCGGATACCGCTCACCCACCATGCGCGCATCAACCAGCCAGGCCAGTCATGCGCCAATACCGGATCTCCTCGACATGTGCTCCTGGAGCGACAAAGCCACTAGTAACGGAGTTAAGTTATTTCGGATAGGAAAATACAAGGGGACTGGGTTTTATCAGGGAATGGCATCTTGCCAGCTATGAACATCGTGTTAGAAATGGTTATAATATTCTCACCATATCCGAGCAATCCCTGAAGCGCTATGCCTGGAACTACAATCAGATCGAATCCGTTTTCAAGTGCTCTACCAACCCATTGTATTACCTAGCAACCATGAAAGCCATAGCAAGCTTCTGGGGCTGGGTTCTTATCGGATTGACGGCGATCGTCTATGCCTGACACTCCCGAACATGAATGTAAACGCTAGCCCACCGCATAGTGATTTCTACTTCTCAGATTTATGGAATAATGATTTTCAACGCATGTTTTGGTCCTCAAAGAGAGGAGATGCCTCTGGATACTATAATACATCTGTTGATACATATCGTACACGATCAGTTTGATGCTAGTGCTTTCTTCACCAAAGCCGGCACATCTGCCCTATTCACTGGCTTGCCATCCAATGGTCCTCCTTTGGTAAAAAGAGCTCCAATCAGAGGACCGGAACGCACTGCCTCTCCCTTTGCTTGGAGTTGAGCAATCTGGTCCGCAATGATGGTTTCCAGCTCCTCAATGGGCATTGTTTTGATTTGACCCGCATACTCCTCCAAGATAACGACTTGTTCATCTTCCTTTGCTTTCAAGTCCGCACGGTTTTCTTGAGCAAACAGTTCAGCGGCCTCTTGGGCAGCCTTTGCACGTCTCCGGATAAGGGAAAGGAGCTGGATATCGGTCTCGAGAGGGCTGGAGGTTTTGGCGGCATTGTTGGTCTCGGAAATCAATGCGCGAAGGACATTGAGCCTGCAATGTTCAGCTGAGAGGCAATTGATTACTTGAGGATTCGGCCATACCGGGCAGTATCTTTGGCACGCATGGCTGTCTTAAGATCAGCCCGCAGTGTTGCCATCATAGGTGGTGTAGTAGCGGTAGAGTTCCATCGCACCTGGCGCAAAGGAGCGCAGGCGAATCTTCCGACACGGAACATAATTGAAGCTGTAAATTTGAAGCGGGATGATGAATCAAGTCAAAAGTGCAGCCATCCAAAAGGCGGAAGATCATTGAACGGTGGTCCGTGCACGGGAATTGTTGACCTCGCAAAAGAAACCTTGAAACGAATCACCTTCAAAAGCTGCCCGCAACTTCCTCCTCTCTCCACCGCCTATCTCCTTGTCTTGCAGCTTTGCAAATTCCCTGATTCTTACTGCAGCTTCCTCTTCGTTTGTCTCTTCAGCGGGGAGTCCGTCCCTCTCTCCTCCCCAGCTGAGCGCAATGTCGTACCCGATTCTTCAAGCAAACCTACCTCCGGCGACGCCGCAGAAACCCCTACCGGGAGCTTACCTGCAAACGCCAGCCGTACCTCGCAATGGTCCCATGTCTCCTCCACAGCAGCAGCAGCGGCCTCAAGTTCTTCGAAGCCCGCCCCAGATGCTTCCTAAGCTCCCACCGATCGCCGCGACACAAAGTCGGAACCTGAGCACAGAAGAGCGAGGAGCGCGCACCATCAATGAGTATCTCTTCCAAGAGTCGCGATACCCAGATTTGGATAGCTATTTATCACGTATGTTCAGTCACTCTGCTGGTCCAACGTGATTGGTACTAACCTTGAACAGAGGGATTCTCATCTGAATATGACATCCCCACGTCCCCGTCGTGGGCACCTTTCCAAAAAGTCAAAATGTACAACATCCCCGACCAAATTTTTGACCAATACAATCGCGCTCAGGTGTCGACAAGCATGGGACTTTTCGCCGAATTGAATCACGCGTGGGTTGCTATCGACAACGCGCTCTATTTGTGGGATTTTACACACCCGAATCCTCAATTGGTTGGGTTTGAGGAACAGCCAAACAGCATCAATACCGTCAAACTCGTCAAGCCTCGCGCAGGAGTATTTTTGCCGGCGATTACTCATTTGCTCGTTGTGTCAACGACAGCCGAATTGATTTTGTTGGGCATGGGAGTGGAAACCACCCCGACGGGCGGGCGACAGGTTACCTTATATCAGACTGGGATGGCAGTTCCAATTCGAGGCCTTGATATTCACGTCATTGCGTCATTTGACTCGACTGGCCGGATCTTTTTCGGTGGTTCGTCCGATAACGATGTTTACGAATTGACATACCAACAAGAAGAGCGGTGGTTCCAGGGTCGATGCGGAAAGGTCAACCACACTAGCTCCCGATTAGCAGCATTCACACCATCGCTGAGCTTGACGAATCTCGCGAAGGTAGCTATGGAGAATGTGGAACAGATGGTGATCGATGACAGCCGCAACCTTCTCTACACTTTGTCTTCGGCCTCCACCATTCGTGTTTTCCACCTGAAGCCCGATGGCTCTCTTTCACTCGCCATCACCAAGCATGCTTTGGACATTTATTCAAACATCGGACATATCATTGCATCTAACGAAACTCTCAACCCTAAAGTGCCAATTGTCTCTATCAGTCCCGTCCCTGCCGCGGAGGCCTCTCGCTATCACCTTGTTGCAACGACCGCTACTGGATACCGTATCTATTTGAGTGCCACAGGTTCGTATAGCTGGTCGCCCGTGCCGAATGGCACCAATGCGCCTACCAGCATGCAAGCTCAGCACGTCAAGACCCCACCTGTGGACGCTCCTTCCGATTTTGAGCTTCCTCGCTTCCAGCAACCTGGTGGCAAGCTTGCGATTCACACTTTATCGCCGACACGCATGGCAGCTCGTTTCCCGCCTGGATACTTCTTCTGCTTCGCCTCCAAGGATCTCGCGCAGAAGGCCGATACTTTGTTCATCTCGTCCCCGGATTCTGGGCGAGTTGCCAGGGCCCAGGATAATGTTCTGACTGGAAAGACAGGCGAGTCCGCCATTTGGATGAGCCTAGGCGGCCGAGCAGAGGCCATTGGTCTTTGCTCCCCGCCTCCGCCAAGTTCTTCGGGCTTTGGAAATGAGCTGGCTATCCAGTTCGATCACCCTGCTGCCGAAATTGCTATCCTGACAAACACAGGAATCCATGTTATCCGTCGGCGACGCCTTGTGGACATCTTCGCCTCATTGGTTCGTGGTGGTGGCACCGGGGAGGAAGGCTTGGATGGTGAGGCTAAAAACTTCATCCGCACATATGGCCGACCCGAGGCTCTGGCTACTGCACTTGCCGTGGCTTGTGGACAAGGCGTGGAGATTTCATCGGATCAGCGACTCACTCAGATCAATGATCCCGACGTCCTGGAGTTCGCGCGTAAAGTTTTCATTGACTACGGTGGCCGCCCCGCGATAAATGAAAACATCGTCGCTGATAGCTCTACCCCGACGATTGACCTTGTTGAACCTTCCCCCCGACATGCTGGTATCTCGTTGTACCTGTCTCGCTTGTTGCGGTCAATCTGGAAGAAGGAGATCGCTCAGGTTGGCAAGGGAGCCAATGGTGCTATGACTGTCTCTGCTTCAGTGTCTGCTTCCAAACTGCAGACTATCCAGCATGATCTCTCGGCCCTTCAGCAATTCTTCAAGACCAACAGAAGCTTCATTGAAGGGCTCAGTGGACCCGAGGCTCTCGCACGAGCGGCCACCAAGCAAGAAGAAACCGCACTGCAAGGCGAGCACCGTGCCTTACATTCCCTTGTTGAGTTGGTCTCGCATACCATTGAAGGAATTTCGTTTGTGCAGGTTCTTTTCGATGAGCGGGTGGACGAGATCGTGGCTACCCTGCCCGAGGAGTCCCAGCAGAAGTTCTTGAAGCTGACATACGAGGAGCTCTTCAGTACTGCCAAAGGCAACGAAGTTGCCAAGGAGTTGGTCAAGAGCATTGTGAACCGCAACATTGCCAAGGGCTCCAATGTTGAGACCGTTGCTGATGCCCTGCGACGCCGTTGTGGCAGCTTCTGCAGTGCAGAGGATGTGGTCATCTTCAAGGCTCAGGAGCTCCTCAAGCGGGCCACTGAGGCCGGAGCCAACTCAGAGCTGGGCCGCAACCTCTTGAATGAGAGTTTGAATCTGTTCCGGCAGGTGGCTGATAACCTTCCCATGGACTATTTAGTTTCTGCGGTGGAGAACTATATTGGAAATCAATTCTTTGCTGGTATGTTTTTTCGGCCAATTTCGTTATCTTGCTAATGTTTCTTAGGGGCAATTCAACTGGCGCTTACCGTTGCGGCTCGCAACGACAAAGCGAATATCGCGCTCTCCTGGATCATGGATGGGCGCCCCGAACAAGTAACGATTTCCCCCAGACATCACACCATGCACCGACTTACCGACCTACAGGACCCACGGAAACCCATCTACTTATTCCGCAAGCAATGTTATGACCTTGTCTTTAATGTTATCATTGCGGTTGATACTTTGGCCGCAGCCGACCCCGGGTTTGTTGATGGTCAAATGACCCAGATCGCCAAGCGCCAGAACGAGGCATACACCGTTATATCCGACTCCAATGATGAGGTGTTCTTGACCAGCCTTTACGATTGGTACCTGGAGCAGGGATGGAGTGATCGTCTTCTGCAGACACAATCTCCATTCGTGGTCACATACCTCGAGAGAAAGTCTACTGACGACATCGCTCATGCCGATCTATTGTGGCGTTACTATGCACAGTCCCAGCGCTTTTTCGAGGCTGCCAAGGTGCAGTTCCAGCTCGCACAGAGTGCATTTACCCTTCCCCTGAGCCGGCGTATCGAGTACCTGGGCCGAGCCCGGGCCAACGCATCCACTTTCACACCGGATGTGGGGCGTCAGGCACGGCAGCGCTTGTTGCAGGAAATTTCTAATCTGATCGATGTGGCGAACATCCAGGACGACCTCCTGCAGCGCCTGAAGGATGATGATCGGATCGCTCCGGAGCGCAAGGCCGAAGTCCTTCGGGATGTTGATGGTCCCGTCATGGACATTAGTACAGTAAGTTCGGTCAATTTCCGATAGAAGTCCGGGCCGTGCATCAGCCACTGACTAAAAAATCAGCTCTTCAACCAATATGCCGACTCGGCCAGTTATTATGACATCTGTTTGCAGATCTTCTTCCTGGCCGATTACCGGAACGCAGCCGACATTAAGACCACTTGGCACCACCTAGTTCACGATCTTCACGCCGTCACTGTGGAGCGGGGCTCCCCACAACCCTATGAAGCTGTTGTTGAGAAGGTTCGGAGTCTTGGCAGTCGGCTCCGGATGTCGGAGACGGTATTCCCTGTGCGTGAACTAGTTCCCTTACTCGAACGCTATTCGCTCGAGCACCAGCGCAATGTTGGCCCTGATCATTGGATTGTCGATCTCTTCCTGGATCTGGGAGTTGCACACGAATCCATTTATGCAGTTCTGGAGGCCATGTACTACACCGACGAGGCTCCGTTCCAGGGGCCTTACCGTCGTTTCATCGCCACCGATCTGCTCTACCTATTGGAAGGATGGTTCCAGGAGACCATGCGACTAGGTGGGATGGTGTTCGGGTCGGATGTGGTTGCCGAACGCGTTTCCGAGACCCTCTTGTTGCTGCAGCAGGGAGCTGCAGTCAATGGAGCTGACATTGAGGGGCAAAGCCGGGACCTTCAGCGGAGGATTTTGGACATCCTGAACTAATTTTTTTTTGTTTTGTTTCCTTGTCTCCACCTGGAAGGATTGGTGTCTTATGTACTCTAGGCGGCGTTCGGAGGTAATGAATCTGAAAATCAATCTTCATTATAATGAACCGTTTCAATGCTTACTAGGACACGAAAAGATATAGGTATTATCAATTAGGCAAATAACATGGACATTTTTGAGAGGAACCGAGAAATAGAAACAGACACAGTCTAAATCAAACTCCCGCCAAAAAAGCAAAAATGAAGAAAAAGCAAAAAATGACCAAAAGTCTATCTACACTACTCGGAATATTCGTCGTAAACGGGGATCGGCTTCTCGCCCAAGGCGATGAGACGGAAGATATGACGAGCCTTTGCGCCATATTCCTCATCAAGGTAATCCACAATAGCAGAGTCTGCACACTGATTAGCATCCGTTCCCACGTCCAAGAAAAGAGGATACTCACGGGTCGTAGCCCTATTATCAAACAGCACAATAGTTCTGGGCTGCCACCGCACTCTGGCCTGGAAATCATGTCCAGTCACAATGTGATTCATCAAGAAGTCCAACATCCACTTGGTCTCAGGCTCCTTCATCCCCTGGATCTTGGTGATAAACTCGGCATTGACAAACAAACACTTCTCCCCCGTCACAGGATGAATCCGTACAAGCGGATGAACGGTATCAACGGCATCCTTCCGCACCAAACCACCCGTCAACCGCGTATGATTAATCATCTTCGCAGACGAGTGCACCGTGTTCAGCGTATCCAGGAATCCGCGTAAAGTCGGCGATAACCGTTTATATGCCATGTCCGTCGCCGCGAAGACCGTATCTCCGCCCACTTCCGGTCCCTGCAGAAGACCCAGCATGACATAGCCTGGCGGCTGGATCTCATAGCTGACATCCTGGTGCCAGAGTGTCGTTGTCGTCCGCGCTTCCAGGAAGCGGGCGATCTCCTCGCGGTTCCCATCGCGGTGAATCACATGGAAAGCGGGGTGATTCCGCACAGTCCCTGACACGGGCTGGTAATTCGGTTTCCCGAAGTAGCGCATGAAAGCTTCCTGTTCGGCGGGTCCGGCATCGATGAGATCCTGGTCTGGGAAGGCGAGAACCTTGCGCTCAGAGATGAGGAGGGCGAGTTCATCTTTTTGGACATTTGTGAGCTTGTTTAGCTGGATGCCTTCCACCACGCTGCCGATTGCTGGCTGAATGTGGTTGACTTTCACATTCGGCGTGAGGAGGTTGGGCTTGGAGTGGTCTTTCACGCGGAGAGCTGGGTCTGCGTAGTCGTGTTCTGGCAGTGGGTCGAACCACATCGGGTCCCAGGTTGGGAGGTACTCCGGGTATGGGGTTTTGATTTTGGATTGTTTTTCCACGTCCACATAGGGGATGTTGATGTCATAGCTGACGGGGATTTCAGGCTTATGGCCATTGGGGGCTTTGGCTTTGGAGCGGATCAGGGGGGCGGAGGAGGGCATCTTGAAGGAAATATGTTTGGAGGGAAGCCTCGGTTGCGCTCCAGTATACGTGTTGATTGATAAGAAGAAAGGAAAGCCGGGGCGTCCATTTGATTTATATACCCCATCAATTACGTCGATATCATCGCCAACTCGAACACTAGTGGAAACGATGTAAGTGGTCTGTGTCCTGTTCGCCAGATGAGCGGTCTGCACAGGGAAATCCATAGTCCCCATAGACCACCCTGATCCCGGTGAGTTCCGACCTGGGACCCCGGTATTTTCCTGTGCGATGTGCTCATCGGCATTATTTTTCTGGGAAGAGAAGAGAAAATCGGATTCCATGAAGAAACGCTACGCCGCGGGCTTCATGTCCCGCTTTTAATTTCTATGTATTGGGTGTTTCAGCCATTTTACCGTATAGTATGCAGTGACTACAACTGATAAGGCAGATGCAGGCAGGATGGAAACTACGTTATCTGCCGTGATCGGTACGGGAGTTAGGATTGGTCAATTGGCATAAGCCGATAAAAGTCCACAACCCACATCCTCGGCTCCAGAGGTCCCAAGAAGCTAATCTCTCGCCAACCGGATGGGGCAGCTCCTTGGAGAAGAAGCGTAGAATGCCTGGGCGTTCGATGGGTTCAGGGATTGGATTGGGTGGAGAACATGCGGTCTGCAAATCCCGCATCCCAGAGCCAGATTAACGGACACGTCGCACGGGAACTTCGGTGCTACAGGATTCCGAGGATGTGCATGGACACGTATGGTACCTGGATGCAATGGCAGACCATGTAGACGGTAGCCCATGGGCAAGTTGCCATCCTGCTCATCCTGATGGAATCTGAGCAAGCAGTTCATCACATTCCCTGGATTGACACATCCACTCATCGCACAAGGTACCTATGTCGTGTTACTGAAGAGATTTCCCGTTTCCCCTCAAAGTGGATCTCCCCAAAAACGAAAAAAACATACCCAAAAACAAGGATCGGCCCGGAGTCAGCTCCAGGGCACAACCACGGTAGAGCTTCGTAACGACTTTCCTGATTGATAACGAATATTGGATATCACGGTGGACCGAGATCTCCACAAGCTTATTTTGGAGGAAAAAGCAATATGGTGTAGCTACCGCCGATCTGGTCGCCCCGCTCTAGGGGCCGAGAGCGACCAGAGGTGCAGTGTTTACTTTACACCGCCTCAACCCAAACAGCTATACAGCGATCACATCAACCGACTCCCAGATCAGCTACAGGCTACCGCAACTCCCACCGCTGGGCCTATCACAATGCTTCGCAGAGACTATGCATACCTCTTCTTCTTCCTCATCCACATCCCCATCATCTTCCTAGTCGACACGGTCCCTCTCCAGCCAACCTTCCTCCGCACCGACCTTTCCAAAACCCTGCGCGACTTCTACATCACCACCTACCGCGACAAATTCTTCGAAGAGCCCGCCCCAGTCTGGTTCACCACCTTTATTTGGATGGAACTGCTGTACCATGTTCCCCTGAGTGCGTGGGCCGTTTGGGCATTACTCCGAGGTAACACCACGCTATCTTGTCTTGATATTTATAGTTCCTCTAATAGCTCACATGCGTGTGATAGATCATCCGCTTGTGCCTGTGAATCTTCTTATCTTTGGCATCCAGGCTTGTGTGACGTCGTTGACTTGTTTGGTCGACGTGTGGAGTTGGGAGGATCGCTCGACCGACGAGAAGGTGCAGATCACATATCTGTATGGACCTTATGTGGCTTTGGGTATGTGCATTCCATGCATGGTCGATATCTGCTAACCGGTGTAGGGGCCTTGATGGCTTTGGATATGGTTTTTCGGTTACGGGACAAACTTACGCCCAAGCCCAAGCGCGAATAAAGCGTAAACACATACACACACACAAGACTCTTAATCGTACATTGATTCGTTACGTGCTGTGATATAATCCGCTAAAAAAAAACACACCGGAACGCCTTTCTCCTGCTTAGCATTAGATCAAGAATCCAATTGCCCCATCTAGATCGCCATTGGCGGCTTCCAGTGCCCGTTCTGCCTCGTCCCGCGAGAATCCCAGCTCCGTGATCTTGGCAATTGAATCTTGTGGCCAGCGCGATGTCGGAGGTGCTGGTCGGGCCGGGGCCTGGGATGCACTGGAGCTCCCTCCGCCCGGTCGGCTTGCCTGATGCGTCACCGCTCCAGTCCGAGCACCCACCTCGGCCCCGTCCGATCCCTTCACAGTAGGCTCGTCCTCAAACTCCTCGGTCAGATGCTTGGGGATGTCTGCCTCTCCAAGGAAGGGGACCGCCTGGTCTTGAATCACCAGTGCCCCGCGCTGGAGGTCAATGCACGCCTGGTGTCGTCGGAGCATGTCCAGACCCAGGAGCAGGTCGATTTGTTTACCTTCCATGACTGTGAAGGAGCACGGCAGGAACATGTCTCCGATCTTGATCTGAGCAGAGTGTACCCGTCCCAGAATCGGAGCAGTTCCCACGCCCTTGGCGATACCCCCGTAGCGTCGGTCGACCAGTCGCATGATATTGCAGGCGACTGCGCACTCTGGCGACATGATGGTGACCTGGGCGCCAGAGTCGACGAAGGCGTTGAGTCGGTGGCCGTTGACCTCGACGGGGATGTAGAGCATCGTAACGCGACCGAAAGCTGTCTTGGAATTAGTTTCTCTGCCGTAGCATCATAACAAGCCGAGTGCGCGGATGCCTACATTCAGGATGATGCTCCATCGCATTATGCAGGTTCTCCGTCACGGCATTCTGGCGAATAATCTCCTCGATCTCGCGCTGGTTCTCGGGGTTGAACGGGTCAGAGTTCAACATTGCGATCCTCGCCTCCTTCTCCGCTTCCTGACGCGCCTCCCGCTGCTGCTGCGAGAGCAACACTTCCCGGAACCGCTGTGCACTATCCGCTGCCTCGGCCAGCTCGGGATTCTGTCGGCGAACGGCCTCTCGCACGCGCGGGTCACCCAGGATATGTAGTCGGATAGTCTCGGGATCGGGCATGCCGGGTCGGGGTGCGAACTGATTCTGGCGCGGTGCGCTGGGGCCGGGGCTGGGACGCGGGGGCAGTTGTGGCGGACCACTGCGGAGGGCGGCGTGAACACCTAGCATGTCGCCCTCGCCGATGCCGACCTGGTCTAGGGTCTGTGCCGGGTTCTGGAGGAGTTGGTTGTTGTAGACAAGTTGTTGGGCTTCGGGTGGGATGGCGGTTTCGCTTTCGATGATGGCTTTGAGGAGCTCGATGCTCATGTCGCCGCCGACTTCTAGGTTGATGATGTCAGAATCCGCATCAGGGCGGATGACACTGACGGTGATACGCCTGGATCAAGGTCAGTGGTTGTGTCGCAGCTGTCAGCTTCAGCTTGGAGGGGTAGGTACATGACTGTCGGGTTGCGTCAGGTGCGGGGAGGATGGATGGAGAAGCAAGAGCGATGAAGGGAATATATGCAGGATGATCACAAATCCAGGCAGAAATGAAATGAGATCCTGAAATAGATTAGAAGGAAGGTGATAGAAGTGGAGAGAGGTGCGGGCTGTGTCCTCCTTACATGATCCACAGCTACGATAACCGTTCTAGACCAGCTGCAGGTCCATTCACCTCCTACGTACGTGGATCTGCCCCGCATTACTATTATATCCCCGGTAGTATAGGCGGTCCTCTTAAGGGAGGGATCCTAATGCCCTTCAGCTATGGGCTTGACTGACCCGGCTTTCGGGAATTTCCGCTCTAATCTGTTATGGCTCGAAATGTACGTCCGCAGGAGGCTAAAGTCTATTAAGAAAATCCGGATTATGCTCTCGGATGTAAACGGGCCCGCAGGATGATCCCGTCCGCCTGTATACTCCTGAGTCTTGCCATTTGTGCACGCAACTTTGACTTCGACCTTACATTAACTACCGCACACTACGATCACACTATAAGCTGACCGGCGTCAAGCTCGCAGGTGCATGGACAGCCGCAACGTCTGATCACGATGCATGTGGATGATCTCTCGGGAACCAGGAAGGGACTAAACTCGAAGAAGAAAACACTAAACATGGATTGGCTGCACTCGTCCCAATAGAGTACGTACTATTCCCGCTTGACATTCACTCAATCCGCTGAGCACTTGAAACGTCAGGAACCCCTCTTCCCTCGGTGATCTTCGCATCAATCACCTCATCAATAGGAATCTCCGCCAGCCGCGACACCACATGATGAAGCGTGGGGAGCGCGTCCCAATCTAACCCGCTAATCTCCACCTTGGCATTCTTGGTTCGCCGCAGACGCGTCACTTTCGACGGGACAACCTTGGATTCTTGCGCATGGGGCACAAAAATGGGGTACTCCGCCTCAGCCTCGCCTTTGGTGCTTTTGCCAACCTTGGGCATGTATCGGTATACAAGGATGCCGTCGTCGTCCTCGCCGCCAATGGTCCCTTTGTCCGCTGCGGGATCTTGGTCTTCCAGATCCTCGAACTCAAAGTGTCCCCACACGGCTCCTTGCCAGCTTGTCTGTAGTCGGAAGGACTTGTTACGCTCGTGGATGTCGACCGCTGTATACAATTTCGGCATGCCGAGTTCTTCGCGTCCCGAAACGATCGGGTCCGCCAGACTCTCGAAGAGAATGGGCATGTAAGTACCCTTGAGCACCTCGCCGTTCTCCTTTGTGTACTGCACCCCGTGAATGTACAGTCCGATGTGGCGGTATCCACCGCCACCCAGCCAGTCCATTCCGTTGAGGGTGGTCTGTGAGAAAGAAGCCCGCGCGACGGATGATGGGGAGATGAAACTGTATCGGTCGGAGGGGAACAAGTTTTGAAGCAGCGTGCGGCTGGTCTTGAACTTGATAGAGGCAGTCTGGAAGGTTGACTCTAGGGATTTGAGTGCGCGGTCTCGTCCCATGTGATCTTGTCGGGGGCCGGGCATTGGGCCAAATACGACGGGCTGACGCCAGTACATGTGCGGGTTTTGAGACCAGAGGTGCTTTCGGAGGACCTGGGCGGAGTGGTCGAATTCGTCGTGGCCATAAATATAGCTGACCATTTCCCTGGCTAGAAAAAATTAGCAGGCGCTATCTGATTCGTGATGGGGTACTTACTTCGTTCGGCGGAGATCAGTGTGACTGAATCGCGAGTCATTTGCTGAATGGTTGTTGCGCGCTCGTGGCGTGCCTTTTGGTATACTTTCAGTCGCTCGGGAACGTCTCTGGTAGTAACGTCACCAGATAGCATCACAGATAGTGAAACAGCATCTTCAATCGCCATCGCACCACCAGATGCACGGTAGGGCAAGAAAGGATGAACGGCATCACCTAGAACGGCCAGACGACCCTCCACCCACGACGGCAGAGTGTCCATGTCCAGGAGAGGCCACAGCTTGAGAGTCTGTGGGTCCGCCTTCTCCAAGAGCTTGCGGACTTGCGGGTTAAAGTCCTTGAACACACTGAGCAAAGTATCCTTGCCAATCTGCTGGTTGTAAGAGTCCCCCTCGGTCTCAATGGTCGTTAATTCTTCGGGGTGGATGCAGACGAAGTTGAGCAATTCATTGTTCGCACATGGGTAGATAACCACGCGGCGATCAGATGAGTCCCACATGTCGACAGAACCATTGTCGCGTGCGATACTGTTGGTCTCTGGATCATCCAATGCTTGTTGACGGCTGATAAGGAAGCGGAAGGCATTCTTGCCCGAGCTGTATGGCTTCTTGTCTGACAGCTTGGTTCGAGTCATAGAGTGGACTCCATCCGCACCGATCAAAACGTCTCCCTCGACGACCTCGCCATTCTCAAGAGTCACTGTTGCTTTGTCTGCGTCGACGTCGACGATCTTGCTTGCGGTGTGGAGTATAGCAGGCTTGCCTTTGCCGGCACCTGTAGCTGTGGCTTTCAGTCCTTCGTGGAAATGGGCACGGTGCACGAGCAGCCATCGCTAGTGATTTCGAATAAGTTAGGAACTGGCAACGTGTCTAGAATACTTACATGTCTCCACATGTCCGCATGTTCCTTCACAGCTGTTATGTGAACCGGCTCCCCGGATGGAGTGTATTCGCGCAACTAACCCGTTAGCTAGATTTCCGTCCGATCAGGGATAAATTCTTACCACCTCAGTCTCCACAGCCCCAAATTTGGTAGCATCAATCCCCAGACGTCGCAGGACGCCATTTGCATTTGGGGACAAGTGGATAGCAGCGCCGATTTCATTGGCGAAGCGTGAACGTTCAAATATCTAACAAGTCAGCCATATTACATGAATGCCTCGAAAAAACATACCTCTACATGGTGACCTTGTTGCCTTAAGGCAATCGCTGCAGTAAGACCGCCGATCCCCGCACCAACGATCAAGATGCGCAGACCAGAGCCACTGTTTAATTCTTTCAGTGTCATTTTGTATTTGTACAATATCCATAAACTAGTTCCCTGGGGACTGTATCACTCTATTATATTACCCTCGGCATCAATCCCTCCCCCCTCACGCTTGTCCTCTCGGTTGACGACAGGGTTGCTCGGAACTCTGCGTTTCGGGACGTTCTCGGCTCCACATACAGCGCTGCGGAGCACGCTCAACCTTCCGAGGAGTGGGGGAGAATGTATATGAAAGCTAACTCCAATTTCTTTTCTATTTTCAATTCGTTTACACATTTCTCAAAATGCCTAACGAAATCAAAAACATCACGACCCGGGACGAGGTCTCCTTCCCTTACGTCTTTGAGCAAAATGTATCCATCAACCTCAAAGATGAATCAGGTATCGTCCGCGCAAACGTCTACCGCCCTAAATCTTCTTCGAAAGTTCCCGTGATTGTCACTTACGGCCCATACGGAAAGGATATCCCTTACAAGGATTTCCACGCTCAAAGCTTCAGCGAAGTGAACCCTGAACAAAAGTCCGAGCATTCGTCTTGGGAAACTCCCGACCCTAAGTACTGGACTAGCCAAGGCTATGCCGTTGTCCGTGCAGATGAGCGCGGAACGGGTCAGTCGGTTGGTAAGCTCGATACCATGTCGCGGGGAACGAGTGAGGCGTTCTTCGATGTGGTTGAGTGGGCTGCTGAGCAGGAGTGGTCCAATGGCAAGGTTGGCTTGCTGGGTATTTCCTACTACGCTGGTAGCCAATGGCGTGTTGCGGCGCGTCAGCCTAAGGGCTTGGCCTGTATTATTCCCTGGGAGGGCATGTCAGACTACTACCGGGATCGATGCCGCCACGGTGGAATCCTGTCAAGCAAATTTATCAAGTTCTGGTGGGATCGCCAGGTCGTTAGCAACCAGTACGGACTTGGTGGTCGTGCGGCCAGAAACTGGGGCCCTGATACCATTGAGGGAGATCTGAGTGAGGAGGAGCTTATCCAGAACCGCCAGGATCAGAACATCGACAATGTATCGAACAAGTTCCGCGATGATCTCTACTACGCTTCCAAGGAGTATAGTATGTCGGATATCCAGGTTCCGCTGCTGTCAGTCGCGAACTGGGGTGGAATCCTGCTTCATCTGCGTGGAAACGTCGAGGGTTATACACAGGCTGGCTCGGAGCTGAAGTACCTCCGCTTCGTCACTGGTCGTCATGATCTTCCCTTCTACTACAGTGAGGAGGTCGAGCTCCAGCGCAGTTTCCTCGACGCCTTCCTCAAGGGCGATGACCGTGTCGGTTGGTCAACTGGCAAGGCTCCCAAAGTAGATATCGTCCTACGCAAGGGCGATGTCGGCTTCAACAATGCCGAAGCTGAGAAGCAGTACACCCGTCGCACCGAGCACGAGTGGCCGATTGCCCGTACACAGTACACAAAGTACTACCTCACTTCCAAGCAGGAGCTCCTCACATACGCTCCTGTCGAGCGCCCCGTCAAGGTCTCCTACGAGGCCCTGGGCACGCTGGAGACTCCCCAGCTGGTCCAATTCACCACACCTGCCTTTGAGAAGGAGACCGAGATCACGGGCCACATCGTCGCACACTTGAATGTTTCTATGAGCGCAAACCCTGGTGCACCTACACCCCAGGATATCGATCTTTTCGTCACACTGCGCCATATCTCTCCCGCTGGAAAGGAAGTCTTTTACACCGGTACAGCAGGTGATCCCGTTCCGCTGTGTAAGGGTTGGTTGCGTGTGAGCATGCGCCAGGTGAACAAGGAGCATGTGCGGAATCGTCCGTACTTGCCTCACCGTGATTACTACTCCACTGATGTCCGGCCTGTCATTCCGGGTGAAGTCTACCCTGTTGATGTGGAGGTTTGGCCCACCAACGTCGTTGTTGAGAAGGGTGGAAAGATTGTGTTGGAGATTTCTAGTGGTGATACTCAGGGCTCTGGCATGTTCCAGCACAACTCGCCTATCGACCGGTAAGCTTACCCTTTTTTGTGTTTCTTGGATTATGCTAATGATGTTTAGATCTGTCGAACGCTTCCAGGGTCAAAATCATATCCACTTTGGACTGGGTGAGAACTACGTCACTTTGCCTATTATCCCTTGATTTCTTCGCTCGATGCTACCTCCGAACGTTATAAAGTAAATATCAATGAAATGTATGCACATATCAAATACTATCTAGAGATGATCAACAATGGCAATAGTGTGCATCTTAGTAGCCAGAAACAGTTTATCACAGCTCAGCCTTGACTTCACCCTTTCTCATCTGTTCAACCCTAACCGAGAAGGGATTCAAATCCAAATTCTGATCTAAATCCCCAAGCGTATGATTGACCTCACAATGCTTCGCCTCATCAGCCCTCACATAAAGCAACAAAGAGCGCATGCACCGCTGATCAACAGGCATCTCCCAGTATCTCACGGCCATATCAGGCGCCCGCAGTGATTCCCACCGTGGAAGCCGCCCATTATCGAGGTCCCGAATCGCCTTGCTGTATGTGATAACAGCCTCCTCTTCTAAATACCCCACGAAGCGGTGACAAATCTGTGGGGAGATGAGGTATGCGACTGAGAAGCCGGTGAAGAATACGCATTGGGCGCCTAGGACCATGAAGCGCATTAGGGGGGTTGGTTGGGCCAATTGGAGGAATGTCAGCAGATGCATTCGCTCATTGTAGGCTTCTTCGAGGAGAGTCTCGATCCTAGTAGCTCTAGTTAGTATCCAAGAACAGTATTTTCTTTTATAAATCTCAGGTATCCCTTACCATCCGTTGTCTCTGCGCATCTGTCGTAGGCTTTTTAGGTGACGGAGCATTCCGGCTACCATGCCTGGTACACCGGCAACACTTTCAAGGAATATAAATCTCCGAAGCCATTTTTCTTCCGTCATATCCTCGTTGAGTATGGTGGTTGGCCCTGAAGATCTATATCCGGTTGCAAAGTCCATGCCCCGGCGTAGGAAACGTACTTTTTGGAGAGCGACTCGATCTTGCCATGTGTCGGGCTTACGATGTGCGGGCTCGACGGCGGTGATATGATCTTTTGTGTAGCTGTTTTTGTTAAAACATGTAAATGGACATCATTTGCCGGGCTTACGTAGGATGTTTCCATGATGACTTTTGTGGTATCTGGGATGTTGTGTGGCGCCTTGTGTGAGGGAATGGAATTGGGTAGAAGGTAGTTCTGATGATCGAACCACGCAGAGTACGTGGTATCAATATAGAAGCCGCCATCCTGTCTTCAATGATTCTGCGGCTGCTGCGATTGATATAAAGCTACGAGTTAGACGTCGGATTACTATCATTTTATACCCCAAGGATGCTCGTTTTTACAATGTAGAATGTAGAATATCATCCATTGTTTTGTTGAGGATGGGGTGTACTCCTATGTACAGCGCAGTCTATGCGACTTATCGAGTTGTTTCCTAAATATCCCGAACGAACCCACTGTAGATAACCTTCTGACTCACTTTGAGTTTAATCGCTTAGCGGTCAGGATCGACGTACACCGGGCCGGTTGAGCCGCCTTGGAAATAACAAACAGGAAAACACCAACTGTGGACTGGCCTGTCATGATCACTTAAGCTGAGAACTCGCATCTAGTTTGAGAGAATTGCCTCGCTTTGAAGAACCAGAAGAAGTTGTTCAGTTGATGAGCCTTGAATGGTAGCTCTTACGCCTATCACTTGCTGTCTGTCATCCCACCACGCTTTCGGTAGCTAAGGCTGGAATTTTAGTTTGTTAATTCTTTTCTTCTGAGGAGCTTTAATGCCCAGGATTTCCCTGCATGAGCTTGAAAGAGGGTTATACAGGAAGATGCGGGGTGAGTATCTTGGCAAGCCCTCGACTCGCGGGCTTGCCCCGACACGGCACCTCTCCACTATCCCCGCTTCCATCTCCGCATTTTCTACAGGTAATTGCGATCTCGGTATGATGCCGTGGCATGAGGGTTGAAATAAATCTATTGTCTAAATCTCCTCATTTGGAGGAAAGATATTTTGATCTCATCGGTCTAAGGCTTTCGGTGCGAGCATACTACTATCCCACAAACATCGAGGTGACCAGCCAATAGCCCGCTTTCAAGCTTCGCGATGGCTACCTTTGCATCGATTCGTGCCTTGGTGCCAAAAAAGGCCTTCACACTATTTCGACCATCAATCTCGCGCACGATCGCAACCCGGGAAACCTCATACACTTTAAACACGGGGTACCAAATCCCCGCACTCGGAATTGGCACATTTGGAGACGCAGATTCCCAGGAAGCTATTGTCACCCAAGCGTTGAACAAAGGCATACGGTTCATTGATACAGCCCGTGTATACGATGTCGAAGTCCAAGTAGGCAAGGGCATGAAACGCAGCGGCATTCCCCGTGAAGACGTGTTCCTCGCTACGAAGCTCTGGTGCTCGGACTACCACCCCGAAGATGTGGAGCGTGCTTTAGATGACTCCATCCGTGATCTGGATACTCCATATGTCGACTTGCTTCTCATGCATTATCCGTGTACCTTCAAGCGAGGATCTGATCGGTTCCCTCGCGACGATGGTGGAAGAATGATCTCAGGGGAGACCAGCTATGTGGATACGTGGAGAGCAATGGAGAAGTTGACTCAGTCGGGCAAGGTGAAGTCCATTGGGGTTTCCAATTTCAGTAAAGGGGAAATCGAGACGTTGATCAAGAATTCGTCAACTGTGCGTTCTTCTGGATCTTTGAAGTGAGCTCATGAGTTGACTGTTTTAGATCCCGGCCGTTCATCAAATGGAAGTCCACCCTTATCTCCAACAAAAGGGATTCAACAATTGGCTTCAAGACAAGGGAATCCATGTCGTTCAATTCAGTCCTCTAGGCAACATGAATGATTTTTACCGGAAAACAGGCTGGAGTAAAGAGATTTCACACATGATGCGGGTGATCGACCAACCGATTCTGAAGGACATTGCCGAGAAGCACAATAAAAGCCCGGTCCAAGTGGTTCTTGCGTGGGGGATCAACAGTGGACGCAGTGTTATCCCGAAGAGTGTGATCGATTGGCAGGTCGACGAGAACATTGCTGCTGATTTTGAGCTAGAGGAAGAAGATATGCTTAGAATTGCGAGTTTGGACGCGAAAGCGAGGTTCAATGATCCTAGTTTGGATTATGAGTGGAGACTTTATTCGGATCTGGAGGGCATTGATGGAACAGTCAGAGGAAAGACCCATTAGATGGTTAAGGAAGTGATCAATTTCGGTATTTCTCACGTTGCCCCAAGGATGCGCATCCATAGGTCCGAGTATAGTGACGAGTAGCACTGTGGAATGGAAGCGAGGTCCACGTCAAACCCTATTCAGGAGATGCAATCGTCGGTATCTGCCGAATGCTGGTGCGGGGTCAGTGGATCCAAGAGGATGATTCATCCAGAAGATGTCTGAGCCTCCAATCGTCTCTAAGAAATTACGAAGATCGGCAAAGTTCGAAGGAACGCTAAGGACAACATATGCATAGTTGATGTATTTGAGTATTTTATACTGTACTGAACAACATGTAGCGCTGTGAAGGTAGAGTCGTTGACCTTGGATTGTTATGCTAATACGCAACGGCATTGCAGATACTAGCGTGAGTGACTTCCATCACTTGTCGGGTCCGTCGCCATGCAGAATGTACTTTTGTATGAGGCCCTTGCACACGGCATGTCTTCATTGTGCCCATTTTTATAAGAACCGAGACCTTTGCCAAAACCGACGTTTTAAATCGTTGAATCAATTCCTCAGCACAAAATGACCTCTCTGTCTTCTAGCTCCGGCCTTGCCTCGAAATGGCCCGCTGCCCTCGATCTCGCAGGTTCGGCGGCACCTTGCCGAGTAGAAGGCGAAGTTGGGGATTTAGTCGTCTTGGGTGAAATCCCAGACGGTATCAATGGGACTTTCTACCGCGTGATGTGCGACCCATACATGCCCCCACATCCCGACAATATCCCTCTCGACGGGGATGGCAACGTATCGGCATTTCGAATTCGTGATGGCCGCGTCGACATGAAGATCAAGTATATCGAGACGGAACGCTATAAGCTAGAGCGACATGCGAACAAAGCATTATTTGGCCTCTATCGGAATCCCTTTACTCATCACCCATGTGTCAGAGCCGCAGTGGACTCAACGGCGAATACCAACCTGGTCTACTGGGCTGACCGGATGATTGCTCTGAAAGAAGTGGCCCTCCCTTACGAAATAGACCCCGACACTCTGGAGACACTATGCTATGATCCGTTTGGTGATCAGGTCAAGTCAAAAACTTTCACGGCCCATCCAAAGGTTGACCCGTACACCGAAGAACTGGTTGTCTTTGGCTACGAAGCTAAAGGTCTTGGGACTAAGGACATCGTCGTCTACGCTCTTGATAAATATGGAAAGAAACACGATGAGCAGTGGATCGAAGCACCCTGGTGTGCTTTTATTCATGACTGTGCCATTACGCCAAATTGGCTTATTCTTGTCTTGTGGCCATTTGAAGCTACCCTTGAGCGTTTGAAGGCTGGGAAGCACCACTGGGCCTGGGACTACAGCTTGCCAGTGACCTTCATTATTGTCCCAAGGAGAAAGACCACACCCGTACCAGCTGGATGGAAAGAAGGGGAGCATAGAGTTTATTCCTGGAAGAACTGCATGCCTATTCATACGGGAGGGGCATGGGAAGCTCAGAATGGAAAATTATATCTCGAGTCATCTCGCGTACATGACAACGCGTTCCCTTTCTTTCCGACAGCCGATGGGGAACTGCCATCGCCGGGCGCCAAAGCAGACTTTGTGCGTTGGGAGTTCGATCTGAATCTTCCTGATGGAAGTCAAATTCCGGACCCGCAGCTTATCCTCGATACGCCTTCGGAATTCCCTCGCATGGATGAGCGGTTTATGACCAAGGAGTATGAATTCATTTTTCTGAATGTTTTCATTCCTGATCGGTTGAATGGGGAAAAGAACATTTTCCATGGGCTCAACGGGCTTGCGATGCATAGTCACAAGACCAACAAAACTCATTGGTACTATGCCGGAGACGACTGTCTCGTGCAAGAGCCGGTATTCATTCCCCGTTGTGCTGATGCTCCCGAGGGTGATGGATGGGTTCTCGCTATGGTCGAGCAGCGTACTGTAAATAGCTGCCACCTCGTCATCCTCGATACGAAAGAATTCGAGAAACCGATCGCTTTCGTTCAGCTTCCTTTGCATGTGAAGGCACAGGTTCATGGCAACTGGGTTGGTGCATCTCTGCTTCCTACGAGCAAAAGTCTTGTTCGGACCTTCTCTCAGCCTATCATTAGTAACCAGGGATCCTTGGTCTCTCTGGCTTAGATCAAATAGTATACTGAATGTGATTCGTGCGAAAGTTTCAACTTTTGGCCAGTAAATTTTCAAGGAATGTGGGGGCTTTTGGCACCGTGTCGTGGCCAAACCAAGAGTAGAAGGCTTTCTGACGATCGCTCTGCTCTGATGTTCAAATTGTGTTTCAAAGTGAATATCGGATACATAGCATATTTCTCCTGGTCATCTCGGGAGGCTTTCCGAGGAGCTCGTCTCGCGTGTTATCGCCTCGTAGTGGTCATGTGAAGCTTCACATATATCACTGTGATTCTGCTGTACCTATGAAAGTCACTCTACTGATCCCTCTACATAGATCAAGTTCTTTCGTCAACAATCTCGTGGACATTCTCTTCTCGATAGATATGAATTCTTTTGAGCTTCCGAGCTCCATGCGGGCTCTAGGTAAGACCGTCGATGCTGTCTTCACGTACATGGAGATAACAGTTCAGAGTATTCCGAGGCACAAAAATTCAGCATTGTGGAAAAATATTTGCCCCAGATACGAGAACATGACATCCTGGTTTGTCTGCATCCAGCTCAAGCGATTAAACTAACAGGTTGAAGATCCAAGTCAAAGCATGCGGAGTATGTGGCACAGACCTCCATATCCACGACGGAGAGTTCGGAGCTCAAGTGAGTCAAATAAAAGCCCATGGTTCCTTCAGATCTCTCATAAAATCAGTTTCCCCTTGTCCCTGGTCATGAAACGGTAGGTATTGTCGCAGCATTTGGCAACAAGGTTCACGGTTTCAAAACAGGAGACCGTGTTGTGGCCGACAACTCCGAATTATGCAGTACATGCCACTACTGCCGTGTCGGTAACGGCAAAGAACTATTCTGCGAGAACTTCATTGCGCATGGAGTGATGGTTGACGGGGGATTCGCTGAATATGCTGTTTATCCCGGGCATCGCGTTTTCAAATTCCAACATTTGTCAGATGCCGATGCTACGCTGATCGAGCCCGCTGCCTGTGCTGCACATGGGATTGATATCATCGCCCCGCATATGAACTCCCGTGTTCTTCTTTTCGGTGCTGGGCCGACGGGATTGATGCTAGCGCAGCTTCTTCGTCAGAATGGTGCCAGCCATCTGGTTCTCGCTGCACCTCGCGGGTTGAAGATGGAGCTTGCCAGGTCGCTTAATGCTGCTGATGAGTACTTGGAACTTCCTCGTGAGGCGGATGCCGCGAATGCGATATTGGACAAGCTAAATCTTGAGAATCCGTATGGATATGACATTGTCGTCGAAGCAACGGGGAGCGCTAGGATCCTGGAGAACGCGATTAATTTTGTGACGAAAGGAGGGAAGTTAGTGGTGTATGGTGTGTACGACGATGATGCCCATATTTCACTATCGCCGAATAAAATCTTCAAGGAGGAAATCAAGGTGATCGGATCATTTTCGCAGATCTATAAGTTTCCGGCTGCGATCGATTATCTAGGTAAGCGATGCAATGATTGGGGAAAACCTTGGCTGATAAGCATTCAGATGGCAAAAAGGTCAACGTGCAGGGGATCGTCAACAAGACTTTTAAGCTGGAGGAATGGGAGGAATGTCTGCAGGCGATGAGGAACAAATCAGTGGTCAAAGCTGCAATTGTCTTCGATTGATAAGAGATGCATGTGTATGCAGCAGTGCACACAATTGGGCCACTATCGGCGGTTAATACTACTCTTTTGGTATCGTGCGGAGTGGGATTAGACGTGGGATGATCAGAAAGACTTTTATTTTACCGAATGGACCCCGAAGTTCCTCAGTGCCCTGTTTTGATCTACTTGATCCGCTGTCTTTAATCCTCATCACTTTAATCTCAAGTTATTCACCGTCGCTGGTAAAGTTCCTCATCTAAGCGCATCATGAGGAAATATTTGCAAAAACCACCGACTTACCTGTTAGCATGCATATTATGCTCTGCAAATGGCCTTTTGTTTGGCATGGACACGGGGATTATAGGTAATTTCTACGATCATAGCTTGTTCGCAACGCTAATGATTACAGGCCCTGTGACCGATATGAAAGACTTCAAAGCTGTCTTCGGTGGAAGCCAGAGCTCGACGATCCATGGATTAATTGTCTCCAGTATATTAATTCCTGCTGCGCTATCCTCACTATTTGCTGGACATCTTGCCGATCGTCTGGGTCGTGCCATGGGAATTAGCACCGGATGCTTGATCTTTGGAGTCGGAGCTGCTATAGAAGCATCGGCTGTCACTCTCGGAATGTTTATTGCGGGTCGTGTTATTGAAGGACTTGGAGAGGGCTTGTTTTTGGGAAATCTGGTGGTTTACATTTGCGAGGTATCGCCTACGAAATATCGAGGTCCGCTGACAACTGGTCCGCAACTGGTGATCACGGCCGGTATCTGCTTGGGATATTTCACTTGCTATGGAACTTCGAAGCATATCGAGTCATCCTTTTCTTGGCGCACCCCTTTCATTCTTCTTGCATCTCTTGCCATGATTCTGTCCGCGGCATCTCTTCTTCTCCTTCCCCCGTCCCCTCGCTGGTTGGCGATGAAAGGCCGTCACGCGGAAGCCAACGCGGTGTGGGATAAGCTGGAAGTGGATTACAGCGAACATGAAAAGATCGATTTGCAAGAGATACAAGGAGGTTCCCCGTCCAAGCAGGGTACAGTGGAGAAAATGCTTGATATTTTCTCCAAGGATGTCCGGTCCCGCACAATTCTCGCTGTCTTCATGATGGCTGCACAGCAGCTGAGCGGAATTGATGGCGTGCTATATGTATGCATCGCATCCAGGTTCAGACGTTTTCATACTGATTTGTATCTAGTACGCACCACTATTGTTCCAACAGGCCGGACTCACATCGTCCGATGCAAGCTTCTTCGCCTCCGGCATCTCCGCTCTAGTCATCTTTGCCGCGACCATCCCCGGAACGCTGTACGCCGACAAGTGGGGACCGGAAAAGTAGTATTATCTGCGGTGGGATTGGACTTGCAATGACTATGTTTGTCATCGGCTCTCTCTATGCCGGAAACGCTGTGCACACCTCCACTGGCGCTGGTCGCTGGGTCGTTATCGTTTTCATATACGTGTTTGCCGTGGTATATTCCATGACCTGGGCAGTGAGCGTCAAGATTTTTGCGGCGGAAGTGAATCCGCAGAAATGTCGTGCGGCAACGGCGACTCTTGCCCATAGCTCGAACTGGTTGGCTAACTTTGTAGTGGCGCTTGTCACGCCTATCTTACTCTCGAAGAGTAGTTATGGTGCTTACTTCTTATTTGGGGGCTGTTCACTTGTTACTGCGGGCGTTGCAGCCTTGTTCATGCATGAGACGAAGGGAAAATCTCTAGAGGAGATTGAAAAGACTTTCAAGCCCAAATCGGCGAGGAAATCTGCGATTGATGACATTTCCACTACGATATTTTATCAGCCAAAGTCGTCGGTCTGAGTCTAGCACGTGGAATAGACGGATTCATGATATCAAGAGCAACGACATAGATTAGATTCATGAGCGTGACTTTATATAGATGCCTAATGGGAATTATTGAAAGATGTTTGAAATTGTATTTCACTGAGAAATCCAACATAATATGTGCGAAATAATGCCACAGCCAAATTTGAAACGCTAAAATTGTCACCCGTGATAATCATGCATACTTCTGAGGTCGTTTCATAGACTTCCATTGAACAAGCGCAGCTCCAACGAAGGAGAGGGCAGCGGCAGCAACAGAAACATAAAATGTCTGCGTAACCGCAATGTTATAAGCATATAACACAGATGGAAGAGCCTGCTTTGGGATACTGTGGGACAGATGGGCTGCCCCAGCATCGATGATAGCTCCTGGGCTAATTTCTGGGGCGTACTTGGTGATGCTGGCCACCAGGCGATTTTGGAACACGGTTTGTGCGATGGAAATAAACAATGCGCCGCTCAAACTTTGAGCAAATGTGATTATCGCAATTCCAATCGGAATATCATCCAATGGTAGAACGGTTTGCAGGCAATTAATGCACTGTTGGAACCCGAGCCCTGCGCCAATACCTATTACAATCTGGTAGCCGATCCACTTGCCGGTTCCTGTGTGAACTTGAAATGTCGTACAGAGGCCGGAGCCGATTGTGAGGAGGGCACTGCCGACGAACATTAGGGGTGTGTAGTACCCAATCAAATTCACCATGAGTCCTCCAAGCGCTGAGGAGATGATCATTGAGACAACCATTGGGAGATTGTTGATTCCGGACACGGATGCTGAGACCTGCTCGATAGCCTGGAACCAGATAGGAAGCTGCGCTGTGTAAGCTAATGTCTCCAGAAGGGTGGTTCAACTTACATAGTACCCGAACACGAAGAAAGAGCCCCCGAGAAAAGTTGCGTGTATGACAGCGCCAAGAATATTGCGGTTCATGAGTAGGCGAGGAGGAACGGTAGCTTCTTCTTGTTTCCAGTGCTGAACATAGCACCAGGCCAAAGAGAATATTGAAAATAAGACGAAGAGTACAATGATACGCACATTTGCCCATTCATACTTTGTGCCGCCCCACTGCAAAGCCAGAAGAATCGATATAATTCCGGGGATAAAAAGCATAATCCCGAGTGGATCCATCCGTTTGACTTTGTTCATTCGTCCTGATTCGATCGTTTTCCTCGGTTTCACGTCCTTGAAAAATACAGCGATAAAGATACCCGTAATTGCACCAAGAGGAAGATTGATATAGAAACACCATCGCCAACTCAGATGGTCCGTCAATAGTCCACCCAGCCTAGAAAGGAAATTAGCCGCTGCACACTTTCTGCAAAGGGTTGTCCTACAATGGCCCAGTGACGGTTGCAATCCCGCTCGTGCTCCCAATTATGCCAAAATATAGAGCGCGTCGGTGGAGGGGCACACTATTAGCCAGCACTAATAGTGCACCGGGTGATAATCCACCTGACCCAATCCCTGCAATCGCTCTTCCCAGTATCAATCCCTTGGAGGTTGGCGTAGCCGCACATGCCAGTGACCCGATCTCGAATAAACCGAGGGCGATCATGTACGTCCATTTCGTGGAATAGTAGGTGTAAATCTTGCCGAAGGGGAGTGTGACCGCGCACGATGTCAGAAGGTAAGCACTGGCATACCAAGATAAGTCTTCCAAAGAGTTGAATTGTTCGGTGATCTTCGGTACGGCTGTCGCGAGGATGGTATTGTCCTGGACAAATTAGATGAGCACTTCCAAGTTGACGACGGACTCACCAGCGCGATGCAGAAGGACTGAAAGCAAAGTCCTATGAGGATAGGAAGAAATTTGATTGTAGACGGGTACTCGATCGTTTCATCATCAATTATATCGCTGCTGCCCGACTCTTTCAAAGGGATATCATCTCGACACTCGTCACTGTGACAATCTCTCACTGAGCTGTCTGCCATGAAACACGTTACTCCACAGCCAAGTCCAGACCGTGAAATATAATCGTTAAATCGTTTGGGACATTCGGGTCATAGGTGAGTAGGTTGAAGAAGGTCAAGTAGAGATTAGGCCTGATCGAAGGACTCAAAGCTAAGCTCATAGAACTGCTACCTTAAGCTTGCTTGTAGCCCATATCTAAGCAAGGGGGATACAGGAGCTCCCCAGCGGAGACTCGGCTTTATCAAACATTCCATTGACATCAAGTATGCGCTAATTCCGTCACGACGCGAAATACACAGCCAAGGAGAGCGCGCCATCTTATCCCGTGATTGAATGGAATTTCCTATTCGAACAAAAGTCCCGATTCTAGAATCGATTCGTGGGTCAAATGTACTTTCAGTCTATCTCGCGGATTGCGTTCCGGTATGTTTTGGGGTTGGGGAAGCCACGTACCTGCATTCCTAAGATGAATTACCGAGCAGGGTTCATGCACTCTTCCTAACTTTAATTCGTTCCGCGGCGAATTTTCTAATGAAGCCTTGTCATGTGAGTTTATTGCATCATTCACATCATAGGGATAGAACGCTAAGGCCTGGGAGTAAGTTTGATGTAAATTATGCAGACTGGGTGACGATGGTACTCGCCACCTTAGGAAGTGATCGACCCAATTTGCTTCTAAGGCTCTAAAGTTGAAAGCTGATGAGGTTCTGATCCTCCGAAATAGCCAACTCAATAATGCTGCTCTAGCATGAAATCTTCTAAGATCAGTTAGTCTAATCTCAGTAGATGCTTACAAGTCGTTTATAAGTGAACCATTAGAGTACTACGGGAGAGAAAGCTTAGGATCTCTGGGCCAATTGCAATATATATTACGCACTTATCTGACCAGGCATTAGCAAACAAAGTGAAGAAGTATAGACAGATCTGAATGGGAATGTTCGACGACTGAGTGTTTTCATCGCGTGGAAATGAAAATATATTAACGCAACTACGAAGCTGGCTATGAAGTCCATCCGGAATTCCAGACTGAGGCCTATACTTGGAATTAATCGCACCAATAAAATCCTACCACTCTGTAGCTTCTGATAGGGAAAGTTCCCTTTGGTCCCATGGCCTTGTTGCATCAACTCTTGTTCATAGTACGAAGCTTTCCCTGCTGACTAAGTTCAGCACTCAAGGTTGCCTGGTTACATAAGAGGCGGTCAAGGCTATCTTTTTGCCAAGGCGGTGGGGAATATAGGACGCACAAAAAAAGTTTGATATTCGACTCAAGCAACAAAGTAGGCGCCAAAGCACCCACTTTTGCAGGGCAAAAAATATGACCAGACTGGGGCTCGATCCCAGGACCTTATCGGTGTTAACGATACGTGATAACCAACTACACCATCCGGCCAATTGATATAAGGAGGTGGAGATTGTGCCACTATGAGCCAAGGTTCTGTTCACGATCCACTGTGGAGCCAGGGAGTTCAGAACCTGTAAATTCTATCAGTCGTCGAGCTTAGAGACCCACCGGCATGGGGGCATTGATATCGGCAGAGATACTAATACAGGCCAGCCATGTAGAATACCAATGCGACTATCGACCAGTTAGAGTGTGCCGCAGTGGATTTGATGGTTGGTGTTCAGTGGCGGAGTAGAGACCCAGCTTTCGGCGAAATGTTGCTTCGTGGAAGTAGAAGTAACTTGTCTGGCTGTACTTCAAAGATAAATTTGTCAAGATTTGGCAATGTACTTTGGTGTAAGATATGACTCTGCAAAGGCGACGCAAGAGCTCGATAATTGCAACGAAGAGGCCAGGAAGAAGCTCTCGGTAATATCTATGCTCTTCTTTTTCTCATTGGCAACAATTGCATCGATGCCAAGCTAGATCTCATGAGTTTTCACCTTTCTTTCCCCCAAAAATTCGTAGTCGCCGTTCCAGTATCTTGTAAAAGTTCGGCTGGAATACTCTTGAAAGTTTAGCCGGGCGAGACCCTTATCAGCAAAGTCAAAACCCAAGGCGGTTGATATTTTGGGGCGCAGGGAGGTGCCTGAGTGCCTCGGATATCAGTGACGTAAGCGACGACAACGGTTCTCAGCTTTGTGCTTAATGATCCATCAGTGAATTCAGCCAATTGACTTTCTCTTCCATAGAATCACTATCAGAGAAAGCCATTCCGCTAGGCAAGTTTAATCTGCATCTCGGTCCGGTGCCTGAAAATAGGTATACCTGTTAAGTGGTGTCGCGTATGATTGTGATAAAATAACCTCGAACTTGAACTTGAAATCCAACAAGGCCTAGCCATTGGATTAGTCCCGTCGTATTCGATCGTATCCGGTCCGAGGTTCGGCACATTAGGGACATTCCCCCTGCCGAGTCGGTACAATTATATACCTAGCTTAGGCTTCGAAACAGAAAAGTCGCGAAAGCGATTGAAACCACTACTGAAACGAAGAATCTGCTGCAATGGGCGCTTCACTAGGAGGACCGATTACACTCAAGACCGGGCCGGCTTACGGATACAGGGCTCTGTAGATTGATAATCGTTAAGGATGACGCGGTGGATCCATTCCAAATGTAGCATGAAGAACATCATTTTCCCAAAATGGCCATCGCGGCCGACCGTTGTTAACTCCGACCTGCGCTAGCCAGTGAGATAACAGTACAGCTCGGATATCCGACTCCCAAAGTTCGTACCTGCGTGAACCTTGGAGCTCCCTGTCCCACGAGTCATGTGCGTCCCAGATAGGTCTGGGGTTCGTTGTTTCGTGTCTGTGTGGTCCACTTTGAATAATGCTTAATTAAATCAAAATTCTGAAGTGACGAACGCTAGTGAAATGATTTCACGGGGGACGCGTTGGCATGCACTATACTTGATAGTGGTTCGGACGTTACTTTGGATCCGTTGCCGATCAATGGAGAGATGTGCAAGTGAGAAGTCTATTTAAGATCCCATGTCGATCCCGCTGAATGCATTGTAAAACCCATTCCATTCGTTCTTCAATTGCAGTCTATCGTTCATCATGCGGAGCAGCGCACTCCCTATTGCCTTGGGCCTGGCGGCGGCACCCGTCGCCTCTGCCGCTCTCTACGACACCGTCATCGAGACCAAGTATGGTCCCGTCAAGGGTTATCCTGCCTTCAACAGCACCAACACGGGTAACATGACGAACTGGAAGGACATCACTGTCTGGAAGGGTATTCCTTTTGCTGCCACCACCGGTGGTGAGAATCGCTGGAAGGCCCCCCAGCCCGCAAGCACCTGGAAAGAGACTTTGGATGCCCGCACCTGGGGTCCTGTCTGCCCTTCTGCTACCACTGGTAACAACGACTACACCATCAACGAAGACTGTCTGAACCTTAACATCTGGTCTCCTGCCAAGATGACCGATGCTAAGCTCCCTGTGGTCATGTGGAGCTACCCGGCCGAGTCCACTGCTGCCGATCCTCTCTTTGACGGTGGTGGTATGGCTGACAAGGGCATTGTCTTCGTCAACTACAACTACCGTACCGGTCCCTTCGGATAGCTCGCTCACTCCGAGCTCTCTGAGGAGTTCGAGAAGGTCACTGGATCCAACAGTTCTGGTAACTGGGGTATGCTGGATCAATTCGCTGCTCTGAAGTGGATCCATGCCAACATTGCCGACTTCGGTGGTGATCCTGACCATATCACCGTGCAGGGTCAGTCTGCTGGATCGGCTGCTACCCAGCACATCTTGTACAGTGAGCTCACCAAGGACCTGATCGTCGGAGCGATCATTGAGAGTGGTGTCCGTGACCCTCACGACCCTCTCTGCACCAGCCTTGCAGAGGCCTACACCACTCTTGATGATGCCCTGGAGGATGGTCTTACTTACCTCTCCAACCTGGGTGTCTCCAGCATTTCTGAGGCCCGTAACATGACCATGGAGGAGCTGATCAATGGTGCCACTGGCACTACTCGTGAAGACACCATCATGTTCGAGGCCACTCTCGACTACTATGCTATGCCTGATACCTACCTCAACATTCTGAAGAAGGGACTGGCCCACGATGTCCCCGTGATCACCGGAAACAACAAGGATGAGAACGGCGCCACCTACGGACTTCAGCTCTCCCTCGAAGAGTACTACCAGGACGTCAATGAGACCTACAGCGGTGAATGGATCGACCGTTTCCTTCAGCTCTACCCTGCCAACAGCTCCACCGCCGCCGGTGCTTACAACTCCATGTTCACTGACCGTTCCAAGGTTGGAACTTGGTTCTGGACCCAGCTCTGGTACGGTGCCAAGAGCTCCAAGGTCTGGAACTACTTCTGGGACCACGCTCCCCCTGGCCAGACCTCCGGTGCTTACCACGAGTCCGAGATCAACTACGTCCTGAACAACCTCTATGCCACTGATAAGCCTTGGGCCGCTGAGGATTACGAGATTGCCAAGAAGATGAACGATTACTGGGCCAACTTCATCAAGACCGGTAATCCCAACGGCGAGGATACCATCGTTGCCTGGCCTGCTGTTGGCTCCAAGAAGCTTGTCCAGCACGTTGGTGACGGATGGGGCCAGATTCCCATTGCCTGGAGTGAGAAGGTTACCCTCTTCAAGAAGTGGTTCGCGACCCTGGTTGCTTACTAGACAATTGTCCTATAACTAGCTTTACATCCGGGCATGGTTCGCAACTTTATTTGCTTACTGGACGATGTTGTATACTAGCATTATATATGGCCCCAGCCATCCTGTCGCTATTAGGAGATAGAATGTCTTTAGTGGAATTTAATACTTTGAAGATGAATCCAACTTTCAGTAACCCAACACATCCTGAGGCCCGTGGCCCTCTTCGCCTCCGTGTTTTGTCACTTCTTTCCAAGATTTCACGGGTCGCTTGAAGGCCCTGGTAACTAATCCCAAAACCGACCAATACAAAAAATTTACCGCATAGTCCAATCACTACTATTTGGTCTTTAAAAGACACGGTAGATGCAAAAAGACCAAAAAATTGACCGACGCAGGGGTCGAACCTGCAATCTCTTGATTCGTAGTCAAGCGCCTTGCCATTGGGCCAGCCGGCCTTGTATGAGTGGAGGTTCGGTTTGTGGATACATATTCCAGAGCTAAAACTCTGCGCGGGCTCGGGTTCGGGTTCGTAATTGTGGAGACCAGGATCAGATCTTCAATGGCAATTTCTTTGGCGAAGCATGCTCTAACCGGAATTAGGGACTTCTTCTTGGGTATTCTACAATTATATAATGAGTTTCATATTTATATTCTATCTGTCAGGGTTCTCACTGCCTCAACGTAATACCTTTGTCGCCTAAGGTCCCAAAATTTGCGTCAGCCCTGGAGCTCCGTCTCCGATCTTGGCGTCGAGGATATATATATATTGAGATACGAGTATATTGGTGACATAGATACCCAAACAAAATTGAATAATCTAGAAATCTCTAATACATATTCAAGTGAATCAAGATTTGAAAGCATTAATCCGAATTTACAGGCCATGTTCGTATCACTCTTTGTCTATCGTAAATAGTTGGTTAGCAGGGCACACACCCTGGGGCTACTTTGGAACGAGCGAGGATGAATATTCACTGATTCTTGAGTCAAAGAAGCGCCCATACCTGTTCCTCAATCTTTCGTTTTTCTCCTCTTCCCCTCTTCCACCTTTCTTTCTTTTTCAATTTTTTCCCAATGACCACTCACACACCTGTGACTCTCGCCACCGTTCCTCTGATTCAGACTAGTAGATATCTAGCTATGTCGCCCTGTGCATCAGCTAAAAGTACTCAGCATCATGAATACGGATGAGGATACCTATTTCGACGTGTCGCATCACCTCAATCTTCGTTGCATACAACAATACCGCTTGACCCAAGGCCGCAGAATCACACGGAACTCTCTTTGGCCTGGCTAATGGCCGAAGTACTAAACTTAACTTCCCACCGATAACATCGATAAGTCAGAATCCTGCATGAGGGATTAATGCGGGCCGCACCTGCAGGATGCACACGAGTCTTTCCGTGCAATCTAGATTCGAAGCAATGATCTCGCCCTCAAGGCGATTTTATGGCATGCTGTCAGCACGAACAAGGTGACAGCCCCTGGAGTAAGCACAGTAAAGAGACAGTAATGAAGAATCAAGGTTCCGGACCAACCAACTTCCTGACCGTCGAGGAATGCCACATCATTCCTCTTTTAACTGCTCCCGAAACTGTTAAAGACTGACTTTCAACCACTAGAATAAGGATACCCTGGCAAGGAATGATTTTCTTTTACCGACCATGAAATGGGTACGGGATTCAGGGTCTGTACTCAGATGCATGTGCTCTCAACGTAGCAGTCTCGGACAGATTCAAGTTTGCTGCAACAGAAGTCTGGCCGAACCTTCTAAGCAAATGTGAAAAGCAGGGCTTTTCGTGCATATTGCATGCGACATTATTTTCCAGAAACAACGGTGAATGATGCCCTGGAGTTGTGGAACCACCGAGGGAAACCCTTGCATAAGAAACCTTAATGTGTGGTTCCGGTCGATTCAATCGTATTTTTAGACACCAGGTTGACTGGATCAACACTGATGTTTCCACAAATAGGTCATTCGATATACACCGGTAGTATGGCGTTCCCAAGATCCACCTGATCACCTGGAAGACTGCGCCCTGTCGATCGGGCGTTGGAGCCGCATCCTCGGCGGCGAATGGAGTAAAGATCCAAATGCATACGAGAGGGCAGATGCAAGAACTGTAGCTCCACAGTGCAGGGGCCAGAGTTCGCCTTCGAGAAAACTTTGGAACACACATGGACCAACATGTGGCTTTGAAACGAGATACATCAGAGATCGGCAATGCGAAGGAGAACGCATAGAGTACATTGACTTTCGACGGAACTTTTTTCCCACTTGAATCCACAGAGCATCAACATTCCTTGCGATTATTAATTCGGATCTCTTAATCCCAGATGCACCCCGTACCTACACGATCGTGATATTCCCCTCACCCCGCAAACGGCAGATAGCGATGAGCACAGACCAAAGCGCCCGGACCCGACTTCCCTGATCCGCACGCCATCAACACCGAAAACTCAGAATCTCGCAAATGATCTCAGCGGCGGCGGGAAGTGCCCCGTGGCGCGAAGGCATCAGATATCAAGGCTTAGACATAGAGCATAGACCATGCTTGCCGTACACTCTTTCTAGAAGAGTGTGTACGCATGGGAATGACGGGAGCGCGTCAGATCAGGCCATGTGAAACGAAGCCCGGAACTGCCTGTTTAGGCAAGTCGAGCGACTATCCCCCAGGATTTCGGATGTGACCGCGGGGAATGACGTTGCACTCCTGGTTTGCGGCTTTTTGTTTGTGGGGACGGCTAGGATGCCTGTTTAGGGGCTACGAGCCTACGACCACGGGAAACTGCATGACCCCAAAGGGCTTTTCTATGACAAATCCCAGTCCCGATGCCAATACAATTCCTAGGGAAAAAGCAATTTATAGAAGTTTCCGCTGCTACAGGATACATTGAACCCCCTATTTTTCATCGACGAGAAACCGGATTTTCCACGGTTGTTGACCTTTAGGTTAGCGAAGGTTTTCCAAGCCGCAAAATCAGTGGCTTGACCCATCCCGGCGCCAAGCCGACCGAGTCGCGATTTATCCCGGTTATGATATGAACACGACTAGACCTTGTATGACCCATCGGGTCACCTACGTCCGGCCAGGTACAAGGTACCCCATACCGCTTTCCCTTTCCTTCCACGGTTCGCCTAAATTCAACCGATTCGATTCCGTGGATTCCTTTGATCCCTTTGTTTCCTTCTATTACGGGCTGCCTAAATAAACTTCATCGCGTGCCCTGAGATCCTACTCCGCAGAGGCCAATTCTCCAGACCCCAGTAATTTTCCCATTTGCACAAAGCAATAAGCGGCTCCACTCCTCCAAACTGAAATCTGACAGGCCGAGAGCCGATCGGCAGGCTGAACAGCCTGGGGAGTTTTAGTGCGAGCTTCCTAACCCAACCTGGTGAACCCGGACGCCGATACCCCCCGGATTACTTGATTCTGATTGGATCTACGGGCTCGCGTGGCCCGATCCCGTCTGAGAGATTACTCGGGGGCCGTTTCCCCCAGTCCTCGTTGCGCCCTGATGACCCCGGGTCCAACCATGGCGCCGTCTGGGGACGGTGGAGCCTGCGCCATTCGCTCCGACCACAGGTCTCTCTGTGTACTGAGGGGGACTCACGGTCCCCCATTGGGCTTTTTAAATCCGGCCAGGTCCCCCGGACATGATGATCTTTTTTGATCTCTCTCCAGCTAGTGTTCATATATCATTTTTGGTGGCTTTGTTCTTGTCCTCCCGGGGCATCTTTCTAGACATCTGTTTCGCCGACTGGGTCGGTTGTGTATAACCTTGAGAGTACTACAGCCCTATACTGATTGGACTGGATCCACGTTTCCAACACTATGCAGACGAAGCGCTTCTTGGGCCTCAATGGCACCAAGCTTCAGATCGCCATCGGTCTGTTGGCGGGCATGGACTTTTTGCTGTTCGGTTATGATCAAGGTGTGACTGGTGGTCTTTTGACACTCGACTCATTCGTCAAATACTTCCCCTCTATCGACTCGACTGGAGCTAGCGCAACCAGTTCTGCTTCCACCCGTCAAGGTATCACTGTCGCCGCCTACAATCTCGGATGTTTTGCCGGATCAATCCCGACCATCTGGGTCGGTAACATGCTCGGTCGTCGGAAGGCCATTTTCCTCGGTTCCTTTATTATGGTTATTGGTGCGATTCTGCAATGCACTTCCTACGAACTCGCCCAGCTGATCGTGGGTCGTCTGGTCACTGGCTTTGGAAACGGTATCAACACATCTACCGTCCCGACCTGGCAGTCCGAGTGTTGCAAGTCGCATCGCCGTGGTCAGATGGTCATGATTGAGGGTGCGATGATTACCTGCGGTATCACGATTAGTTACTGGGTCGACTTCGGTCTCATGTTTACCGACCCCAATGAGGTAGCTTGGCGATTTCCCCTGGCATTCCAGATCTTCTTTGCAGCAATCATTCTGGCCTTTGTCATGTTCCTGCCCGAGTCCCCTCGCTGGCTCATCCTGAAGGGTCGCGAGGAAGAGGCCCGCGAGGTTCTGGCTTGTTTGATGGGCGATGAAACCGATGAGATCTTTCTCGATACCGAGTTCACGGCCATCAAAGCCACTGTCTTGGAGATGGCTAAGGGTTCGTTCCGCGATATGTTCACTATGGGTCCAGATCGTCACTTCCACCGTACGATGCTCGCCTACGTCAACCAGATGTTCCAGCAGATTTCGGGTATTAACCTGATCACCTACTACATTCCCACCATCCTGCAATCTCAAATCGGCCTAACTGGCACTGTCTCCCGTCTTATCTCAGCTTGCAACGGTACTGAGTACTTCGCTGCGTCTTGGGTGGCAGTATTCACCGTCGAGAAATTCGGTCGTCGTACCTTGATGATCTTCGGTGCTGTCGGCATGTCTCTCTCTATGGTCGCTCTGGCTGTTGCCGAAGCCGTTGCCGCCTCAAGCGAAGGCCAAAGGAAAACCTCTGCCAGTATTGCTCAAGTCGTCTTCCTCTTCGTGTTCAACACTTTCTTCGCCGTTGGCTGGCTTGGCATGACGTGGCTATACCCAGCTGAGATCGTGCCATTGAAGATTCGTGCCCCTGCCAACGCCCTGTCCACCTCCTCAAACTGGATCTGGAACTTCATGGTCGTCATGATCACACCCGTCGCATTCGCCAATATCGGATACAAGACCTACGTTATCTTCGCCGTCATGTAAGTACCTTCTTTCAAATTGAAGATTTCAATACTAACCTTCACAGCAACGCATGCATCGTGCCAGTCGTCTATTTCTGGTTCCCAGAGACAACCAACCGTTCTCTAGAAGAGATGGACCGCCTCTTCCGCAAATCGAACAACATGTTCGATATCGTCTCCCTCGCACGTAACGAGCCGCACATGTACGGACCAAACGGTGAACTGCTCCGCACTCTCGACGACGTCGAAGATGAGGCCGTTCGCCGTGCCAGTGTGCTGAGTAACCCGGCTAAAACTGCCGAGCGTTCTCACCACGAGCACATGACTGAAATCAAGGATAGTGATGGAGGTAGCAGTGAGGAGAAATAGTGTGGTTATGGTCCACTTACTTAGATACCCGGATTCTTTTCTTTTGTCGTGTAGCTGGAATGCTACTATACACTGTTTATGAGCTTTAATGTCCAGATATACATTACTTGTTCATGTTTTGCTTCTATGAAATACCTTAGTAGTTTCTGATTTCTTTATAGAGATTAAATTGGCTCTGGTCGTTGCAAATGTGTACCCTAAGACAGGAAGAAAAAGGACATTTAGGTCACGTAATTCATAAATCTTATAACTGTTGTAAAAAGAAACGGAAACTTTCTGTGTTCATAAATGCATTTCAACCCCACTCAACTCCCGAGGTCCTCAAATATCAAGGTATAACCTTAACCTTATCTAAACAACTTCTTTATGATCAACCTCCTCCTTGGCCCCATCAACCTTCTTTCCAACCTCCTCATCAAACTTATTAGAAATGACATTTGTTCGCCACGGCTTCACGTCCGTATCAAACACCATATCAATTTCCTCGAGAGTCCGTCCAGCAGTCTCAGGGTAGAGGAAGAAGACATGGAAAGTCATGACGAAGCAGAAAACGGCGAAGATAACATATGTCCGCCATTGGATGTTGTGGAAGGCCGGTGAGACGAAGTAAGCCAGGGCGAAGTTGAAGATCCAGTTTCCAGATGCCGACAGACCGACTCCCTTTGCACGGTATTTGAGGGGGAATACTTCGGACGCGTAGATCCAGGCTGCTGGTGCCTATATATTATGTCATGTTAGTTTTGCTTGTGGAAAGGCATTGAGACTGACATACCCAGGTGAAACCGTAGACGGCCGTGAAGATATATGAGAACGCGATCACGGCTTTGCCGGCGTCGCCCTTGATTACCCATGTCAGGTTGGCATTGCCATTGACACTAGACACGGCATGTCCCTTTGTGGCCATAACTGAGGCAATGATGATGTGGATGGCCATGGCGCACACTGATCCTACGAGTAGTAGTTGCCTTCGCCCGATGCGATCGATGACAGGGAGCATGATACCCGTGGTGAAAACGAAAATGACGTATTGGATGACGGCCGAGTAGAGCGAGGAGTTACCAGTCTATACGAAATAGATTAGCAGTCGCTTTTTGGATCAGTTGATCTGCACTCACCATTCCAGCCATCTCGAAGATGTAGACAACATAATACATGGCCACGTTACCACCGAGCAACTGCTGCCAAACCTGCACGCTCACACCGCATAGAGTCCGCTTCCAGATCTTTGGCCCAAACAATGCAAGGAAGGAAACATCCTTTGCCTGGTGCGCGATGCGGGCAGCTTCTTGGACTTCTTCAAATTCGACCTGCACAGCGGGATCGGTCCGGTCGCCGTTCCCATGCAACAAAGCCAAGGTATCCAGCGTCTCCTCCCAGCGCTCCTTTCCAGCCAACCAACGTGGTGACTCAGGGAAGAACAGCAACGCAATAAAGAGCACCAGACCCGGAACAGCCTGAATACCCCAGCAAATACGGAACGCAGATGGTCCATCAATACCAACGGCACACCCGTATGCAATGAGATACATAATCAACATGCCCCACTCAATAGACCATTGCTGCACACCGACAATTCGACCTCTGATTCTTGCAGGTGCAAGCTCAGACATGTAAACCGGTGTTTGAGAAGAAGTAATACCGACAGCAAGGCCACTGACAACACGTCCAGCGACCAGATGCGTGACATTCTGCGCACTGCATTGCACCATTGCACCGACGATCCAGATCCAAGATGCGACCATGAGAGAGCGGCGGCGACCGAGGTAATCACATAACCAACCTGCTAATATGGAGCCGGCGAATGAACCTGCGGACATGGAAGCTGTAATTCCACCTTGGAGGTCCGAGTTAGGATATCCGAAGTATTCTTTGTAGGCATCTACGCCTATCCAGGCGCTCATGGAGCTGTGGCGCGTTAGTTTTGTCTCATGCTTTGGTTCCGCGTGCAATTGACCTACCTCACATCGAAGCCGAAGAGGCCTCCGCCGATGGTGCCGAATGCGGCGAGCACTGGATTGACCCATCAGTATCGTCTTGGAATGCGAATGACTTGACAGATGCCCTTACCATATATATTAGAAACACGATACATGTTGACGTGCCGCTATGTATGCGGAAAATTGAGTCCAAATCATGAGTGAAAATCCAGCTTTATAACTTTCACAGGACCAGGGTCCATGCGCCATTCTTCGGGTGGCTCACGGGGTGGCTTCAGACCCGGCGCTACTAACAAAACTGCAGTAGCGTAATGACACAGTGTTGGACCGGGACATCCCCAAAACGGGAGCGATCAACCGGGGTTAATGTGGAGGTGGATCCCGGGGGAGGAAAGTCGGGGAAGGGCGCTGCGTCATTGGGTGGGGAGATTGCGGTGCGAGCCAGTCGGGATATTTTGTGTTGAGGGGGATTCGGGTCGGCGGCGGGGTTTTTAACCGATTCACGTTGCTTTTAGCCGGTTTTTAACCAGGCCTGGGGATGATCTTAGCCCTTTTGAACGTAGTATTTGCAGGGCGTTTTGTTCCTTGCGTTTGCGGTTCTGTAGTTACGTAGTAGAACGGTGGTCGGCTTGGTTGTAGGATCGGCATGCCGACGTCATGACACCGATCAGACAAGCTATGTTGTAGAATAGCTGTAATATAACCTAAGTGTACTTTGTGTACTTGAATCGACCTTTGGCCTAACGTTGGATTGATTCTGAACTAGTAAGAGTGATACTAGACTCGGACCACAGGAGATTTGGACGTAAAGCTTATCATAAGCTCGGTTGAATCAGGTTTACGTGAGATTGCTCGCAATTGGATTGATTATTCCAAGAGTATTGGCAGGGTTACATGGCAGAATCCATGATTCCCGGTGGTCGCAGTAGTTTGACCACATTTCGGGCCGCATTCTCTCCCGATGGCGTGGCGCCACTGAAGGGAATGGCGCACATGGCTTGATGCCGAGACTCTCCGACTGGTTGACGGACGCGCTATTTAAGCCCAACAATTCTAGACTTTATCCTGAAGTGTGAAACATCCTGTAAAGAAAAACATGATATTCATGGTCCTCGGTTAAATGTGGACGGGCTGCACCGCCGGGCTATTACTGTTTCGGTGGACCCCTCGTTGGTCAGGATTCGGCGACGCTGTTTCGTCACATTCTGGCCTTAAACCGGGTCCATTAAGACATCAGTCTCGAAGACGTTGAACTGCTTCTAATATCGTTCATGTGCATTTCGGATAAAGTAAATTTGTATTGGTATTTTTTTGCCCAGGAACTACTTAAAAAACAATTCACGAAACCTGGCTTAGCTAAATATCCGTCCATCTAATCATGACCCATGCGATCAATTTCCTCGAAACCAGGCTTCATCATTGCAACCAACACCAGCTCAGAACTCAATGACTTGTGAAGTGAAAATAAGCAGTGGTCACCCCCTAGAAGCCTCACTCAATCCGCAAGACTAGGTAGACTTGAACAGACGCCTCAGACGGTCCAGCAAAGCGATATCCTAGTCATAATAGCCTCAAACGTTGTCATGACCTCGTCGATCAATGCGCGCCGCGACCGCACAAATTCATCACCCAAGAATAGATTGTATTCACTCAAAAGATGCACACTGTGCTCAGGTGAGAGAGGCTGGTGATTCTGGGGGTTGTAATCGGCAACTTGCTCAGACTCAATGCGCGAATCTCGTATGATCTGTCGAAGATTCTTCATTTTGGCCTTCAGAACTGATCGCTCGTGACGGATTGCCTCCTTCTCCTGACGAACAGAATCGATTTCCTCTTTCTTCTTCTTCTGTTTGTCAGGATCTGCTTGGGACGCGGTTGAAGGAGCTGGCCGAGAGCGACGACCAGAAAGAGGAGGCAAAATAGGCTGCGGCGGCCCAAGAACAGACACGTCGTAGAATGAGCAACCATTCATGTTCCCCTTCCAGCGGCAATTGCCGCACACGGAGGATCCTGGAGCCTTCACGCAGAGCGCGAATGGGCCATCTTTTTGTTGACAGTGCGTGCACTCAGTTTGCTGAACAGTTCCAACCACTTGGATAGTGGCGGCTTCAACACGGGCAATCTCCAGACTGATTTCTCGTGAAAGATTTTCATCAGTCCACATGGTTTGGCGGCCAGGCCGCAGGGCCAACTCTTGCTTTGGTGGCAGGAGGTGCAACGCACACATCAGATCTGTCTTCGCCTGCTTGCCCTCAATCCTGACTGGCCATGGCATGTTCAGAATATGTTCTGCCCATAGGCCGGGCTCTCGCACATCAGTCCCCATTGGTACTGGAGGGATGGGGTGTGAGGTCGCATTGTGCTTGGGCCTTTGACCGGGTCCTGGTGCTTCACTATTGATCTCCTGTCAATTCTTACGCTCAACAAAACAGGCAGAGCTGTCTCACTCAGTCATTGGGGACATTGAGGGAGAGTTTGGGTGGGAAGAGACAACGGAGACTATCAAGATGACAAGTTGAAAGGCGCAGAGAGAGCATGCGCGTGAAAGATGGGTAGAGGGAGGAGAGAGAAGATGAGATTCAGAAATTTGGGCAATGAACAGAGACGAGGCGTGCGCTGCCTGAAGAGTACATAGAGTGTCATGGTCATTGATGGAACCTACGCTGTTTGCCTTGAATTATATCCATGTTACGTTTTTAACTGCAATTATTCGGCTTATGGCCATTGTAATCCAATATTTCAAGGATTTGGGGACTGGTCATTATAGAATACTATACTCCAGCAAGGAGATGGAGGCTGCTAGCTGACCTATGGCAAATACTGCACAAAGGCGATTCAAGTGCCGCCGGTGATGCATAGTCTGGATTTAGGGTATATCCAAGCCTTTTACCCGGACACTCTGCTCAAAGAACCGCGACTACGTTTCAAGAATACATAGCCATTGAAACATAGGCATTTGCTTGATCTGAAATATCTCGTGTATTCTTATATCCAACGCTCTTAAATCCAGAAGTCACCACCAAAGCATCCAATCTTGCTCAGATTGATTGCGGCTCTCGAGAGGTGGAGCCACGGCGGGCTTCTACTTCCAAGCGGGCCAATGACCAACAGCATAGACAACTGCGAGCCTATCAGATTGAAATGTCCAGGCTCAGGGAACATGATCTCTGTCGAACCATATCTTATTCAATCGTGAAATCACTGCAACGATATTCTTCTGAGCGAACTTGGTGGGTCAGTAGAAGCGGAGACAGGTGGGGGCCAGCACATATAATGATACCTTGCTGCCCACGATGAGGTGTTGACACAGAACAGAGATAGAAATGCCATGAATTGGATATAGAAATCCTCTGACTGAGCTGAATCTGTATATACCAGTCTAGTATCGATACAACTCAGAAGCAACAAGGCCGGGAATAACGATAGGCGGGCGAGGTTGGGTCCAAACAGACCAAGTGGAGCCCGTGATTTCCATGTTGGGAAGGAGTTTCAGCACTAATAATCTTAGGGAATGGCTAACACAACAACGGTAGATCATCGGCGCGCAGAAGAGGCTCGAGCATCCCGCTGAATCCTTCTCGCCCTCTTGGGGCTCGCGTTGCTTTTTGTTTTCTTCACTTAAGCACGCCAGCGATACAATGGCCACACAAACACTGGCCTCAACATGGTCTCCAACAAGCTGCCCAGCATCAACTGATCTTTGGGAGATCTACCTTACGACTAGCGCTGTTTTCTTTCTCTTGGGACCTCTGACGGCAACCTCTGAGTGCGCGCCCTCTGGCTATACCCCGACAGTACCTTATTATGCCGCATCCTGTCCGACTGGTTATACTTCGGCCTGTGCTCACGGTCTCGACGATGCGACAACCGTGTGCTGCCCCACGTTAGTCTCCACAATTCCATGCGGCTTTCTGATATGGCTGACAGTTGTGACTAGTGCGCGCGCCATGACCTGTGCATCAAGCGCAAAGGTGTACAGTTCGCTCACCCTAAGCTGCGAAGAGAGGTTTGCGAGTTCATATACGGCAGAGGTCACCACGACCTCGGTTTTCGTCACCACCGGTGAAACGGGGACTGCCACGGTTGTTTTCACGCCTGATTTCGATGCGGTCAACGGGTTTGGTCTCGAATATGTTCCAGTAAGTTCTCGGATACCTGATATGGCTATCGTTGACGCCTAATATGGTGAGCTTTCTTTCAGATGACTTCTACGAGCAGTAGTTCATCTACAACTGAAGCGACCACAACTGCGACGACTACTTCATCCTCAGCCACCACGACAGCCACCTCAATCAATTCGGCCACGACAGATAAGACCACTGGGAGCAGCCTGTCTGGTGGTGCAATTGCCGGCATCGTAGTCGCAGTCGTCGCTTTCATTGTCACCATCACTCTGGTTTGGAACCGCTCGAAGATCACTGCATGGATCCACCGTCATACTGCCCCACGAACAGATAAGGCGGATCAAAACACATATTCAAACACCTTCCAACCAGCTTGGGGACAGCAAACCACCGGATATCATACAGCAGGCATGGGTCAGCCTACAGAGCTAGATTCAGCGTGGGGACCATCGGAGCTGTCGTCGACGCCACAGGTCGTAGAGAAAGGCTGAGCAGTTGACCGTAAGATAAAGATATAATTATAATTGATTCGAAGATAGTCCCCGCAAAGTCGGTCGCGTACTTGTGAAGTGTGGTACTTCGATGGCCAGGGGTCTGGGAGAGTATTCTGTTTGAAAATGCGACGTCGGGCTCAGCGGGTGAATGTCAAAAATAGCAAAAGAGGTGCTGTAATCACCAGCCTAAGTCCATAATTTCTCTGTCGATCTAGGTTGCGGATGGATTGTGGAATCATATTTGACTGTATCATAAATCGGTTCTATGAGATCTACTTATCTCTAGTCTATCCGAGCCATTAAACAAAACGCAATAGATACTAAAACAAGACACCAGGGAATAGAAATGAAGAATTTACAGCTTGCTCTTAGCGGGCTCGTTCTTGAGAACGTTCGTGTTCCACGGGTAAGGGTCAAACACCAGATCGTTGACCGGGTTCTCTTGACTGGCCCGGCGGAATAGATCTTCATAGACCTTGCCGTCAGAGCGACCGAGACTGCTATCCAGCTGCCAGTCCGGAATGGCCCAAGCATCAACCAAGCGAATCGCGTGTGGGCGGACCTCGTCCAGTAGCTTCATCACGGCTGTTGTGCGGGTCAGGGTAATCTGTCGCACGGTAACAGCGCCCGAGGAGAAGAACTCCGCGGCCTCACGCTCAAGGGTGTGGAGAGCGAACAGACGGAAGAGAGAGTGCATCAGAGACTTGGTGTCCTGGTCCAAGGCGGAGGACAACTCGGGGGAGGTAACAGCATCGTGGAAGTTCTTCACCACGAGGTACTGAGAGTGAGCGGTCGAAAGGCGCCAGAAGTCAACCAACAGGCTGTTCCATGAACGCTTCTCGGCATCACGGTGCTTCAGAGCCTCGAAGGTCAAGTGGGCTGTGCGCCAAGCGAAAGCAGCCACGATATCGGCGTCTTCCTCGAGCACGTCGAAGGAGGCACCCTTCTCCCGTCGGTTAAGGTAGTTGCGCAGAATGCGGGCAGTATCATTATCGGCAGCCTTGCCAGACAGGACGGCACGAGCAGATTTAAGCAGCTATATAAACGTTAGCCTGGATGATCTGACGAATATTTTTCAAAAAAAATAAAATTTAACTTACGTAACGAGCGACCTGTTGGGTCAGCATGTAGTTGTCACCCTCCCAGGTGAGAGTGGGAAGGTAGTCAGCGTACCACGGTCCAATACCGCTGTAGCTGCTGTAGCCGTGACCACCGCAGGCGCGACGGCACACTTCAAGACCTTCACCGGCGGTGGTACTGGCAAGAGCCTTCAGACCGCAAGAAGTGGCGTGCAGATCTGCCAGCAGGTCGGCACCAGCCCGAAGCTCCTCAGGGCCAGCTCCACGAGAGTCCTGGCCTGGGGAAGCGGCCGCCTTCATGCGCTTCTGGTTCTCCTGGTACAGACGCATCATACCGCGACCAGTGAAGTGCAGAGCATACATAGATGCCAATAGTGGCAACAAACGGACCTGCACCATCTTATAGTTGAGGACTTGGTTTTCACCAGCGTGGGGCTCCGCATCGCGGTCCTGGAATTGTCTGCGAACAGCTGCGTACCGTGTGGCAATAGTAACACCACGGGCCAAGACACCACCAGCCTGAAGAACAATGTTGGAGCGAACCCAGGTCAGGGTGCCGTACACCAAGCTTGGCATCGCAGGACGAGTATATTTGTTGGTTTCCTTGTCAATGCTAGAGAAGCGGGCCAGCATGTTGACGTGGGGGACCTTGACATTGTTGAACAGCAGGAAGCCATTGTCCATAGTGTTGTAGCCGAACTTGGGACCAATGTCGCCAACATACACGTTCTCCAACGGCTGGTGAGTCTCGAGGTCACGCACTTGTACCACGAACGGGTGAGGACCAAAGTTCTTTCCGCCGATGAAGAGTTGCGCCATCACTACGGCATGATTGGCAGTGCGGCCCAAAGAGCCAATCCACCACTTGGAAGCAGTGAGGGTTGGAGAGGTGATGGTGAAGGTCTTATCGTCGGGGTTCCAGGTGGCGGTAGTCTCAAGACCACGGACATTAGATCCATGGCCCAGCTCTGTCTGAGCATAGCAACCGATGATCTCATATTTCTCGGCACGTTCGAGGAAAAGCTTGTGTTGCTCGGGGGTTCCTTGTTCGCGGAGGGTCACCTAAAAGATTCGCGGGTTAGCCAACTTCTGTGTTGATGGGGGGCTTATGGCTTAGTACATACCAGGAACATGGTCGCGTGGAGGCCATATGGTGTGGGCTCGCCAATGAGATCATTGGCGGTATGAAGCTCCTCCATGGTCCATTTCTCCTGCTCGGCTAGCTGTTGCAGGCGTTTGGCCTTGGCCAAAGACCGCTGCAGACGCTCAACGCGACCAAGAGTGTGGTTCTGGGACTTGTCGAAGACCTTCTCCGGCTCAACAAGAGCCAAAATCTTTTTTTGCCTTTGCAGGGCTTCCTTAGTGTGGAGCAACTCGGACAGCTTCTCGACGTTGACGTTGGATTGGGCCCGCTCTTGGGCGAGTAGCTCGGAACCCTGCGGGCCCGACGGCTTCAGAGCCTTGACCCAGTCAGGAGGTGGGGACGGCATAGTGAGGAAATTGAGGAGGAATTGAGGAACAGGGAGTTGGATAGAGAAGGAAAAACCTGGGGGAAGAGGTTATAACTACGGGGCCCCGGGAATTGCGGACTGAAAGAGCGACGCAGGCCGAGGGACCAAGGGGGCCCAATCTAGTAAGTGCCTCGGCTTAAGATTGACCAATCAGTGGCCTCGCCGACGATCACCGACATGCCGACTCTAGATGTACTGAGTTGTGTCCTATGACTTTACTGAATTTTATATCGAAAATTACTACCCCAAATTGTCTGTCAAAACCATCAATGCCTATTTACTGTCATCGCCGCCCTGTTTAAGTGTTTTGCGGGGGAAGCCGAGTGGGTGTCGGCTGGGTCCATCCCGGGGTCAGCTTACCTTGGCGTCACCGAAGTCGGTTGTCAGTGTAGAGGGGATCGTCACCCGATCAGCTACGGCGATGGCCGGTGTCGCGCTATAGTAAAACCCCTCTGGGAGGGACGCCACAGTATACGATTACCTCGGTACCCAAAGTCGAAATAGCCGTTGCTATTACCGCATCCATATATGTAGTTCTTGCTTTGTCCAGTTGGTTTGCTATACAGGCAGGCCACACTTCATTCCGACCGGGCCCGCTCCGGTGTCGCGGAACGCCACATTAAAAAACAAAAACAAAATAATCTGAAAAAGAAGTTGCAATCTGGAACATTTTACCCTTTTCCTTTTCTTGACCATGAGAGATGTGGAACATGACATTCCATCTTGGACATGAACAACCCCTGTCATCGGGGTAGAGCGGCTCGCCGATCGGATCAGATAAGAGATCGATCCCGATTTTCACATGCTCACATGCCATACGTTCCTTTCCTTGTGAAAAGACACGAGCTTGCTACTTTCTCGAACCCGTGAATTATTGCACGCTCTGCTTCGAAACCCGCGGTAGTCCCAGCCAAGCCAGAAAAATTGCTCCTGACAGCGCGATAATGAACGGCTGGAGGACACTCACACCCTTGGCTTGGGCCAGTGCACCCACCGCAAAAGGGAGAATAGCAGCTCCAGATCCTCCAAAAGCTGCTGCAAAACCGATCGAACTGACGTGCAAATGCTGAGGAAGAAGCTTGGTCATCATGATAATTGCACCTGGGAACAGTGGACCAAGGAAGAAACCCTGCATTGAAACCGCCACAGCCGATGCATAAAACTGAGGCACAAGCCACAAAACTAGACCAAAGGCGATCGAGCAAATAATATAACCCTAAACTCCTGTTAGATATGAATCAGTCAATAACAAGTAGTGGATCTTACCGCGATCGCCAACTTCTCGCCTAGTCGCGGTGTTACAAATCCCAGGACAATCCGACCGACGGTGATTCCTAGCCAGAATCCAGTCGCCGTCATACCACTAGCAAAAGCACTGCCATGTCGGACGCGGATCATAAAGGTGACAATCCAGCCACCCAATGCAACTTCCACGCCGACATAACCGAGCAAAAACAAAGAACATAGCCAAGTGACTCGCGCAGAAGGCTTTCGGAAAAGTGCACTTTTTAAACCACCCTTGTTATTATCTCCAAGCGCCTGTCCATTAGAAGCGCGGAATTCTGCCCCAGTGGATTTCCAGAAGCACATGCCGCATGCCACAATTTCGATGACTGCACAAGCCACCTGATAGCCATCAATACATGGATCTCAGCAGGCGAGGAAAAGTTGAACTTACCATGATATAATAGAAGTAAAACCACGACAAGTTGGCCTCGGTAATCATTGATGTGGCTGCCAATGGACTCAGAACAGCACCAACGCCATAAATTCCATGTAGAATTCCTAGGAGTTCGTTCGCATTGGCCATATTTCCAATCCATGCATTCCATGCCGCATCTTGAATGCCGTTTCCAAACCCAGCAAATATGAAAGAGATCACCAAAACAGGGTATGGGGGATGCACACAGTTGATGATATAGGCCAGGAGGTGGCACCCCGGTCCAATAAGAGCTGGGCCACGGCGACCGAAGGAAAGATGGATGCGCTGATTGAGAAAAGCAGCAAGGGTATAGCCGACTAGCGGCGACAAGAAAACAAGCGACACCACTGTGTAGCTTAGTTTATAATATGACTCGAGCTGCGAATGATCAAAAAAAGTCCAAGCTGAGAGCTTGAGGGTTGAATCTCACATATGGAATCAATGCCTGGCTTCGTTAGGTTGAAAAGTCGTCTTTTAACCGATGAGTTCATTTCTTGAAACTTACACCGTACGCAGCATCATTAGCACCCATCACTAGAAAACTCCAAAATGTCGAAAAAGATCTATAGATATTGATCCGTGGAGAGTTCCATTTCTCCAACGCTGGAAAAGCGCCCGGCGGATCATTCGAGGAATCCGTTGTAAGCTGCCCACTTCGTGGCAGCGCCTCAAGGCTAATGTGATCCGCTTCCCGTGTCTGTTCTTGCACGACACAGGTAGAAGCCATGATGAATATCAGATTTCGCTGGAAGCCACTCGGTGTGAGACCCGGATGTTGAAGGACGTTGTAAGATTTTGAATTTATGTGGGGATTTCAAACTTGGAAGAGGTCATGCTGTCACTTGCATCTCCAGTGCGGAGATGCTTGGCGTCGGAGGGGGTCCCTGGTTGCGGGTGGAGGTCTATGCCCGGTAGAACTTCGGGATGTAACATTTTGAACTCAACAAATATTGCCTCTTTCATATTAGCGCAGATGCTTTTTGCATAGACCATGTAGATTGTTCTAGCACAATGGTATAAACTCATTTAAGTCATCGATCAAAGACATTGCAAGGAAATGACTAAACCTTTTGCCGAAATTAACGTTGCCTCGCCCACGTCTTGAGCCAACCGTCTCTGCAATGCTATGAAGTGTTCTATATCACAAATTTTACATATGACCCCTCAGCATGGGCAAGAGTAATTAGCAAAATGAATAATGATCTTGAGTATCTACTTGAGGATAGAACAGGCTGGTTGGTTCTCATTTGGAGAATAATGCCACCTCGCCTCTATACTGGAGCTTGAAAATCATACAACGAATCAATTTCGACCCGTCACATCCTTCGCATTCGCTGTACTCGTGGAGGTCTAATGACGGAAATTCACCAGATAGACCAAACGTTCGTGAGATGCTGTATTTTCATATTAGAATTTTGAGATTTTTGTTTAGTCCGGAAGCTCCCTAGTCCGGCGACATTCTTCGCATAGGGACGCAGGTATATCCCAGTGGGCTTTTGTACCACATTGAATGGATTAGCCTGTATCTTGCTCCTTTTATGGGTAGTATCCCCTGATCTCTGCACAGTCAAGTTTCCACATGCTCTTATTTCCCTAGAGCTGCGATCAATTTTTAGGGTAGGTGAGTATACTCAGGGAGATAATCGAGGGGCAAGTGGAAGTCGCGCGGCCGAAGGTTATTCCCACCTACCTTCTCATCATATCCAAATTCTCGCACTCACCCTTCTCACCTGGGAGACGCCATTCGATCTACGCCTGGCCTATGTATCATTCAATCTTGTTACATAAATCATAAATAACAACATGAACTTCCAATACAGTTAGCTGCGATCCCCAAACATAAATACTAGCGGGAAACAAGGTTAGGCTGTTCTAGGGACTGTGGGGCTGGTTAGTATGCGGTAAGAAGAGCTAGTATCTATGCACTTATACCTATCGCCACAATAATTAAACTATATAAGAGTCAGGGGCTATACTGATTGTCTAGCGTTACATGGTATCATGTTATATTCTCTTCTATGCGACTCAGCCAGAAGAGCACAAAAGGTTTGCCATATGCGAGCACCCTCTTCAACGCCAATTCTGATCATACCGCTTTCATGGATTATGGAGTATACCCCTCCCTGTGGATATCATTCTCTGCAGGCTTCAGCTATGACTTCATCGTGCATGATCTTAAGATCGCGCCATCACCCCGCCATCGAGATCTAGTACTTGATGCCGTATTCCCCATTCACTTCGTACTTTATGCACAAAAAAATCGACTAGCTTCAATTCCTAGTCATCCCCAAAAAGCCTAGTCTATATTGTATTAGACAAACTCCGCACGTTATTGACATTCAAGAGTATAATTTTCTATAGTCATGTACATGTATTTTTCCGTCATTCACCATGTCAACAATATCCATGGATGTCGGAAGTGAAGTGGAAACTCCCAAGGTTCTTTATTATCATTCAGCGGCTAAGTCATAAATATAAAACCTATACTCCATATACACATACTGTAAATATCAATACAGATGTGCAGGCAGTAAAGTGGAGAAGACGTGCCGATCGTTCGGTACCCGGTGGCGGAGCTGAAGGACCTCTTAGGTGATACACGTATTTAGTGCGTTACAGGTGTACAATGTGGATCAACAACATCGGCAATCCCACGCAGGTCAAATTCTCTTTACAGGAGAGGTGAATGAATTAATCATAGGCTGCTTCCCAGTGACAACTTCTTACAAAGTGTGTAGATCGGATATGTAAAATAGATGCGCAATTCATCATGGGCCATGGTATATAAAAGGTATAGTGAATGAAAGCACAACGATCATATTACAAGATCGAGACATCGTCGGATAGTGGACTAAGAAGTGGAAAAGCTATAACTAAGAGATCGGCAGAATTTACGTACTTTGTAGATGAGCAGTTCGATCGGGAAAGCTTTACCCGATGGATTAGAATAGGCAGTGAATTTATATATGGACCATGCAGTAGGATCGGAAAGGCGTGTACTGCAGATCATCGTCAAAGAATCCGAAGTGGTCAGCTGCAGAAGTAGTCTGATGGAGCATAACTTTAGCCGATGCAGTAGACAGATGAGTGGGGAAGTGGCGGCGTGTGACTGTGACCAAAATAATCATGTTGGCTCCAACCTGGGGTTGTCCATGAGTACTGGAATACAGATGAATAATTGAGAACTCTGCAGCTTGATTTGTATACGGAGCTCTAAGTTACTACCTGTGGCCACTAAATATAGGGGTGTCCCTTTCACGCGTCGTAGGTCCAGAAGGATGGGATATTATGTTCCACCCTGTCGTTAGTTGTATACAAACGAGCCAATCAAAAATGAGAAGAACAAAGTACGGAACATAAATCCCCGTAAGTTTGGAACGCAAAACAACTTTATTCGTAGTGGCAGGAATTGATATAAAAGGCACTGGGCTTGCGTATCAATGACCCATATCCATCCTCAGCTCACCTTGACTATCATAACCACATGCTTCTGCATTAATGCCTAAAATGTCTCCACTATCCTTTTCTCTCTCCGATTTTGATCCGATTGTCTGTCGAAAATGGGTTATAAAAGGCACCGTCATCCTCCCCTCTGGAGCAACTTATCCTCACTTGCCAATCCAGCTACTGCCTCCCTCCTCGAAACATCCTCCAAAGAAATCAAACGCAATCATGGTGTACTACGCCTACGCAAAGAATTTCAGACTTCCTTTGAAGGCCTGGTATATTTCTCAGGAGCCGCTGCTAATTATACAAACAGAGCAATGATGATTGGTCATGGGCGCTACATGATTATTGCACCTTCTTACGATGTCCTGAACCAATGGTTCGAGGCTGTCAAGGCACGAGTCGCCGATAATGTCATTTGGCGCGTCTCTGAGGATTTCTACGTGTTCGATCGGACCAAGTTGAACCTCGGAAGAAGTACCGCACCAAACGCCGAGGCCCCACAGTTCATGAACAAGCTCATCTTCCAGCTTCAGAACGACAATGAGGGCCGAGGTATCTCGACTTTCAACAACAGCTGGAACCGCTGAGAACAAGATTCGAAGCTGTAAGTGCTTAGAGAATACCTATGTCTGTTTAGGTTCCAACATTTATCTCAAAGATGTTGTGCCTGATAGCATCATCTTTGCATTTCGCTAACCGTCGCTCAATTACAGGTGCAGCACGACGATGTTTCCCTCCAATATCGATTTTGTTCCACTTGTAGCCTGTCAAGGCCGGTCTTCCCTACAATTAGCTACGTTATCATGGAATAAAGCCTCTTGCTTCCTTTTTGGGGACCCCTAGATCTACCTACTCTTATCCTGACAGAAGCCACAATGTGAAAGAAGTCTAGCTGTAGTAACTTCTAGGTAATCGTCACCGAAATTCTCTGATTATCCTCACCATGGCAGACTCTACAAAAAGGTCTGTTAGACGAGATGTCGAGGGAATCAGTACTAAGTCATCCTGTTAAGCGCGTTTTTCATTGAAACAAAGGGGTGGTAAATCTGACAATGGTAATGCATACGCAGACTAGGCAATGGGAACAATATAAACTTCTTATCGGGTAGCACCTCATTTCATCAAATACCGCGAGCAGGAATAAGACAAAAAGGAAGAGCATGAAGCATAAGTATTTCCTAAAGTAAACTGTAAATGTAATTGTTTCACTCAATTGCCATCCTCATACTTGTTGAAAAGGGTCCGCAACTACTGCAGCGTCCATGTGAGGCGATTTCTCTCTGTTCCTGGCGAATCAAGTTACATGGCTAGAAGTTCCAATATAAATGAAGAAGATGTGGCTTATCGGGAACTCAGCGGTCGGGTCGGGACTGGAGTGTCCTTTGAACCACGTTCTTAGAATGATCCTATCTATGACGTCAACACTGTCATGGTCATGGGCTCATTCCAGCTGTGCGAGGTCAAATATTGAAAGCAGATTGCCGTAAATAGATTTAAGAGTGCTTCACCGAGATCGAAACGAAATGCAGGCTCTCAATGATTATTGGTAGGGGCATTGTCAGCTCTTGTTGTGAGTTCCTAACCCGACCCCTACGATTTGATCAAGCGCATTACCACTCTTTCAAACTCTATTCAGCTTCAAGGAGGCTTCATATCTTGGTACAGCGGAAGTCTCAGATATTATCTTCCATTTATAGTTTACGCTTCCTAGTGGTTCTGAAAATACCCATGGTCAACATGGTCTGGAACTTGAGCGTTCAATTTAGCGATGAGGGTGTACATTCCACTCCCCGTTCTATCATTCAATCAACACAACTGACCTAATGTGTATCTCACTCGGTCAATTTTTGGTATCGGAGATCTCGCCCCTTCGGCTCAAAATCTAGGCATGTCTCCAACGACACCTGGAAGCTCGGAGAGTCAGAGCTCACGAGTCAGCTACCACAGCGTCGAAATTCCAGACTCGGGGCTTGCCAACGAACGTGACGAACAGTCGGATGTTGCCAAGAATGGCACTGGTCTGCATGAACAATCGCGATCCCAGGCGCATAGGGTCCATTTCGGATGCGATTCGACAGAAAACATTGCCAACGCAATTACAGCTCCGCAGGATGGTCAATCAGCATGCGATTATCGACCACCGGAAATTCCCGAGGCTGCGTCCACTGGCCATACGCCCTTCTATAACGAAAGTTCGCAGAGTGAGAATACTTTGGGCCAGTGGGAGAAGTCATCTCCTGAGACAGAACACGTTGTTCAACCGAATTGCTCACAACCTCACTCACAGAAAAAGCGTGGACACTCGATGTTAGAGAAAGTTAAGCTTTTGGTTACCCGCTTGTATCAGCTATCTCCTATTTATAATGGCGAGAGGTCCGCCGCACAAAGTCATTCATTGGATGCGAGTGAGCCTGGGAACGGCGACATCTCTGCCAGCGTGCAGGCACATCAGCTAGTTCGGGGATTAGTATACGAGCAATCTGACCAACATACCACCACTTGCCCACCGGAAAGTCCAATCGCGGAGCCTGTAATACAACGCCGTGAAAGTGAGGGAGGTGTTCTGGCTCAATTGCTGAAACTCTATGGGGGCTTGGATCCACCGACGCGAGATACACGACCGCACAGCAATGTCTTCTCAACGGCTGCGACACCCAGTACCCCCTTTGGTGGAAGCAGGTCAGGTAGGAAAAGAATGCCAAAATGGTATGAGAAGCCACAGAATATGCCAATGGATACCAGAATCGACAGTGCTGCCCCTTCGGGTGAGAACAGCCCCATAGCTTCCAAAGAGATGCTTAGTGCTACCCCCAGACGGGCACACAGACTAGGCCACCACATGCGATTAGAAGACGAAATTCGCGTGACTGTTCATATTGCCGATATAATCTCGCGCCAAAAATGCATCATCCAGCTCTGCAAGGCTTTCATGATGTTCGGGGCTCCAATGCATCGGTTAGAAGAGCACATGCAGAAGACTGCATTGGTTCTGGAGGTGGATAGCCAATTTCTCTACGTGCCGGGATGTATGATTATGTCCTTCGACGATCCCACCACACGCACGACGGAGGTGAAGCTGGTGCGGGTGGCTCAAGGCATTGATCTCGGGCTTCTAGCCGATACCCATGATGTGTACAAGAATGTGGTTCACGATGTTATGGGGGTTGAAGAGGCCACCAGCGAGCTTGAAGAGATCATGAACAAGAAGCCTCGGTACAACAAATGGATCATTGTGGTCCTCTACGGGATAGCTTCAGCAATGGTTGGCCCGTTCGCATTCAATGCCCGTCCGATCGACATGCCAATAATTTTCTTCAATGGCGCCCTCCTTGGCATTCTACAACATGTCATCGCTCCACGTTCTGTGCTATATTCCAATGTCTTCGAGGTGACCGCTTCGATTCTGACTTCATTCATCGCACGGGGATTAGGAAGCATCAAATGGACCACACCAAGTGGAAACCGCGAGCATCTGTTCTGCTTTTCTGCAGTTGCCCAATCGTCCGTTGCGCTCATTCTGCCGGGATATACTGTACTCAGTAGTAGCCTGGAGCTTCAATCGCATCAACTTGTGTCTGGATCAATCCGAATGGTATATGCTATCATATATTCGCTTTTTCTTGGCTACGGAATCACGGTCGGTACTACGATTTATGGACTGATCGACCCCAATGCCACGTCTGCCATCACATGTCCAAGCACCGAAGCTTGGGGTAACGAATATGTTCAACGATTTCCATTTGTGGCAGCATTCGTGTTATGCTTGTTAGTAATCAACCAGGGCCGGTGGAAACAGGCACCAGTCATGCTGTCCATTGCAGAAACCGGCTATGTTGTCACCTATTTTGTGACACGACGCATCGGTACCAGCTCCCAAGTTGCCAACACTGTCGGTGCATTCACTATAGGCATGATAGGCAACCTTTATAGCCGCCTGTGGCATGGTCATGCGGCAACTTCTATATTGCCGGGAATCTTCGTTTTAGTGCCGTCGGGCCTGGCGGCATCGGGGTCTCTCATCAGTGGTATCAAAACTGCTGACGAGACCCGTGGTAATGCATCAAGTGCTATAAACCACACTAGTAGCACGACCTATCCCGTAGAGTCTGATGAGCTCTACAGGTCGGATCTGGGATTTGGCATGGTGGAGGTATCAATTGGCATCACCGTGGGACTGTTCATTGCGGCTCTGATGATCTACCCATTCGGGAAACGACGAAGTGGGTTATTCAGCTTTTAGGCTATTCGAGGTTAGTGTAGCATCTATAGACTTAATTAAAAAGATTTAGAAAGATAAGAAATTCAGTTGTATTGTGATAGATTATAATCTTATGCGAGAAAATACGAACGACCCCTTAGTATCTAGCATGCCTTTAAAACTAGTGAATAATTTCCACGACGGGAAGAGCCTCCTCGGGCTATTGGGTACCAGCGTTCGCTCACGCAAATCTCCTAGTGGATTCTAAGGTAAGATAAGTTAAGGCTAAAGATATGGTAATAGGCTAATATATGCGGGCATTTCTTTAAAGGAATAGTCCACGGGTATTCCCGAAGATTTAATCGTGAAAAAGTTTCATCCTGAAGTTCTATCATCAGAAGACTGCTCCCTAATCACGGCTTATGCGCTAGAGTCGTTGACCCTTTAAACTAATATATTTCCTTATATCCTCGTTCTAGTTGATTTTGGAGAGGAGCCCTTGATAGGGCACCTAGGTTTCTTTATTATAAATATCCTCCTAAATATCCTGAAATATTAAGAAGGGGGTATATAAGGAAAATGTTTAAATAGAAAGATATAGTATCTAAATGAAGAGTCAATTATAATTTCTAACATATATTTATTACCAGTTTCATGCGAAACCCCATAACGTACACTCCTATCTCACTACCTATATGTTCGAGTCATTCCAAAAACCCACATCGGCGGAAAACAGTCCAATCTCAGAACTCTGCAGCTTCTTTCAACACTCAATGAGGTACGAACTTTGCGCCTAAGGACTGCACCGCAGATTCGATCAGATGTGTCACCGATGGCGCGTTGCTTATCTGAAAGATGCTGATATCCAAGTCAAGATGGCGGCGCCACCATTTTCGAATCTCAACTTTTACAAGTGAGTCAACTCCAAGATCGGAGATGGCCCTGTCGGGGTCAAACTCCTCTTTTGTTATCGAGAGCAAAGAACAGAACATGCGAGAAATTTCCTTGGTAAGTATCTCCAAACTAGTTGGATCCGCCAAGACAGAGCTATCTGCAGCTATGCTCGATAGAAAGTCTTTCAGTGGGGCATCAGTATTGCCGAGACTGCTTGCTGTGTCTTGCTTAAATTCGCGGACAAGGCTTAGGCGGACATCTTGCCGCAATCGAGGAGCACTGCCTGTCTTCATGGTGACGAATCCAACATTCAAGTGAGTGAGCCCGAGTGTGCTCGACAAATGGTGTTTCGGTAGCTGGTTGCCAACAGTGAGTTCCATGGCGTCCAGAAGATCCCGTATGGTAAGGATATGCGTTCCTTGCTGGCGGAATCGCTCTAGCACAAGCGGTGTTCTAGCGACGAATCCCACTTCGTCCATGACCCCTAGATTGATAACCGATGCAGGAAGCCCCAAGGAGTGGCGGTAGTGAGCGAAAGCGTTTAGGAATGAGTTCGCAGCCGCGTAGTTTGCCTGGCCCGGGTAGCCGCGGATTCCGCCGATGGAGCTCATCAGAACAAAAAACCTCAAATCCGCACCTCCAAAGACGGAATGGAGATTCCAAGTTCCGTTGACTTTGGGCTCGACTGCAGCGCACCATGCATCATAGGCCATACCGATGGTTGAGCGGTCCTAATTTTATCATGTTAGGCTTCATCTGTGGATTCTGATGGTCTTAAACGGCCTTGCTAAGCAGCGGCTGATTGGCAGTCATACCTGTAAAATCATTGCTAAATGTATGACACCCGCAATTGGCTTTGGGCTCATGTTCACAATCTGTTGAACGTCACACAACTTCCTAACATCTCCACTGATAGCTGTAACCTCAGCACCATGTGCCCGAATTTCATCGAAGAAAGCTTTGTGCTCCTGGGAACGTCCGGCAGATGGTGAAAAGAAGACAAGGTGGCGTGCTCCATTCTCGACGAGCCAGGTGGCGATTGGACGACCTATTCCTCCAAGTCCTCCAACTATCAGATAGGCGCCCTCCTCGAAAGGTTCAACTTTGGACCGAGTCGGAGCTAAACTCAGAACCTCGGATCTTTCAGGCATCCTGATGACAATCTTCCCAATATGCTTTCCTCTTTGCATAAGACGGAATCCCTCTTGGGGCTTTGTAGCTTCAAACATATGGATAGGTCTGATGCTCTGGATGGCGTGTTGTTGATGGAAAGAAAACCATTGACGGAGAAGACTATATATCCCAAGGAGGTTAGCCCAGACACCTGCCACTTACTTGCCCCTGCTGCTCCGCTGCTTGGGCCACGGGAGAACTTACCCTTGGACTAAATCCGGTTTATCTCTGACAATTTGCGCCATATCGACACCGAAGAATGCTCGATTGCGGAGGAGCTCATTCATGCTTAGCCTTCCATTCCCAAGGATGTCGCGCTTGCCGATTTCGACCATGGTGCCGTATTGGGCCACGCACTGCCAGGATATGTGGAGTAGCTCCCCGCTCAGGGAATTAAGCACAACGTCAACTCCTCGTCCTCGAGTCGCTTGCATGACGCCAGCAAGAAAGCTGGGGCTTCTGGAATTGAATATCTGATCCGAATGGATACCATATTTCTCCGTCAAATAATTAGCTTTTTCGTCGTCCCCTACTGTTACGTAAACCTGAGATGATCAGCAATTAATGAACTGGCTCACGAGTGAGTACATGACGTACAGTTGCACCGACGTGCTGAGAGATCTGTATAGCTGCCTGCCCCACTCCTCCCGCACCGGAGTGTATCAAAATGGTCTAGGATCTCAGTCAGTCAAACATTAAGGAACCAGGATGCGTCATATCTCACCTGTCCCTTCTCAATCCTAGCCACGTTAAGCAGTGAATGTATTGCTGTACTGAAGACACAGGGCATGGTGGCTGCTTCTTCCAAAGGAAGGTTGTCTGGGATCTTGTGACAAAGCTTCCTAGGGACGACTATTGGCGATGCAAAACAACCACCGGCGGAAAGAAGCACCACACTGTCTCCCACGATCAGGTCGTGCACCTCAGGTCCCACATTTGTTACTGTCCCTGAAGCCTCTATACCCATGCTTGTGGGAGAGTCGTCCACAATACCCATAGCCACAAGAAGATCCTAAACGGTGTTATTCCTGTACACGGAACCCCGAGGGCGGTTGGCTTAGTAACGTACTCTGAAGTTCAAGCCCAAGAAACGCGGTGTGACTTCCACCAAGTCCCTGGTGAGACTTGTTGTTTCTTGAGCTACCCATCGCATAGCTTCAAGCAGACCGTATTTGCCAACTGTTAGCACTTTCGAATCACCTGGATCCGGTGTCGCTTCCAATTCCGAGTTCAGGGAGCATGGCAGGTACCTTGGCACCTGGATTGTGCTACCGGTCAGGATATACTCGAAATCAACATCTGCGCCAGGCAATTGTCTGAAACTGTCAAAATGTTCATAAACATCTACAATCCCTTTGGCGGCCGTCTGGCTTGAACCATCGATTTCTAGGGTAGCAAAGTCCAATGAAGCCTCCATCCGGATAGTCCTGGCTAGACCAAGGATCATGCCATAGCGCGGGTCTGTGCTTTGCAGTTGACTTTCCAGCGTCACCCAAAGTACGCCCTGGGACGTCAGTCCGGACAGCAACCCCTGGATGTTATTCCAGTTATCCTTGGAGATGTCATGAAGGAAAGGTCTGTCCAGCTCCAGCAAAGATACGACACTTTGATTACCAGGCAAATCCTGGCCCAGGTTGCACCAAGAGACAGTATATCCGCGATGGATAAATGACTGTTGAATGGACTTCCCGGTGTTGCCAATGAGCCCATCATGGAGCAAGGTAACGGACTTTTCCGGGTCAATCTCTTCACGCATGGATACGATGTGAGCCATTTGATGAAATGGCTTTTGATCATCGTACACAACCGACTGTGCTCCACGAAATCCAGACTTCCGAAGCTCCTCGTGCCATCTTTCGGGCTCCACATAAGGACTGTTAACACGTTGGTCGTGGTCACCTAGCCACCACCCCGGGAGAGAACCCTTGATACGAAGTGAAGAGTTAATATTTAATACTGTGGATACTTCTCTTAGGATACGAGACTTACCATAATGTATGATTGTGCGACCATATCTTTGGTATTGTTAACTCATAGACGGAAGATAAGAGGACAATGACACAAACTTACCTCCGCAGACCTCCTGGAGAAACAGACGGCCGCCTGGCGCAACAAGCTTCCTTACGTTCCTAAGAGTCCTGGAGAGTGAAGGAGTTGCGTGCAGAACCTGTGCAGAATTTGCAAGTACCTCGTCAGTAGGCGATCTTTGAGCAGTCCTTTTGTGCCGCCTTCGTAGTAGGCGTGGCAATATGTGGGTTGGGTTTCTTACATTTGCAGCAATAACCAAGTCATACTGCTCTGCGGCAAAGCCTTGCTCAATCGGATCGCGGCTGATGTCAAGGACATGGTAACTTATGCCCTCGTACCCGGAAAACCTTTTCTTTGCTGCTTGAAAAAACCCTGGAGAGATATCGGTGAAAGTATAGGTCGAAAACAAGCGGACTCCGCTAGCTAAAGACAGGGCTCGGAGTGCAGTCTCGGTCATACCGCCAGTCCCTGCACCTATTTCGAGGATCCGCATATTCGGGCGTGATTTGCCGTAGCAGGTGAAAAAGTCTCCGAGATCCATCGTGCTCCCGATGGTCCGATAGATGTCAGTCAGACAATCGTCTCTGGCCAACAGGTCGAGCCCATGGACTCTTTCCTCAAGAATATCGTCCATGTTGTTATAAATGGATAATATTGCCTGCACATAGGGCGCAAATTGACCAGACTTTAATTTTGCCGCAGTCTCACCGATCATGGTCCTTCTAATTGATGACGATGTGGCTAACAACGCGCCTGTCTCGCGGAGGACAGAGTAATCGCCTCTTGCAAATCGTTCGACCTGGAAACATATCCACGATTGAAATTTTCGAAGGTGTTCGGACGAGGCACGACGCGTACTCATTTGACATGCACTTTCAAGAATGCACGAAACTGCTAATTTCTCCACTAAGACTTTGCTGTCACGATGCGAATTTGGCCGCATAAGTTGTCCGTATGATGCGAGATCTATCAGCGGCGTCCACGTCATCTGTGCGCCTGCTAACGTATCACGATCTTGCGCATCCTCAGTGACGCTGACGCGTTTCAAGAGCACATTTCGAAGCTGCATGACAACGATACCGGCTGAATCTGCAACGGCGTTTCCAATCACAGTACCGCTTTCAGCTCTGTTTGCCGTGCCTTTCGCGGATATATGAGAACTTCCCTGACCGATGAATATCTCGTCTATGGATTGGGGTATCAAGGCTTCCCCTAGTTTGCGAACTAGACCATTGCAAGATGCCGCTGCAGAGAGAACAATGCACTGGTCGATAGTGGTAGGATGGAGTGGATATGGGTTGTTGTAGGGGTCTTTTTCCTCGTAGACAGTGGCTGCAGCCAAAGGGTGGGTTGGGCTGGCAGAGATATTTTTCAGACATTGGAAGCTGGGCCCATAACGCAATCCAATGTTACGCACGCTACGATACCATGACGGTGACGGTACATGTCGTGCAAGATCGCAAATTCTTTCAGTTGATCGACGACCTTCAGCCACACCTTTAGCCTCCCCGGCGCAATGTTGCATCCAATGCGTGCCATTCCATGAGGTGACGGAGAATGACCACCATGCGGAATCAAGCTCATCGGTCAGCCGTACTGGCCTGAGGCTTGTAAACAACTCAACTGATTCGGTTTCCTTGAGAAGCAAGGCATTTTTGATGAAAATGTTTCGTAAGATGTAATTGCCATACCCTGAGATCTGGCGGACAGCTTCCCCTGCCATAGCCACATATGCGCTGCAGGGAAATACAATATCATTGCCGACTTGGTGGTCCCGCAACCAGGGCACGTCATTCAATCGAATGACATTCCTCCAGGCCGGTTCTAGGGAAGTAGTTTCGAAAACACGGCTTCCGAGCAACTCGTGGTTAGCGTGCTGCCGTGACCTCCACTCTTTAACATGTCGACTCTCGTCCCAGAAGTTGGTTCCATGCTGCCAAGGATACAACGGAATATCTGTGACGATATTTCTCTCACCAGCAATTCCGTTGACAGCCGCAAGTTCTATCGGGACGCCAAAGGCGTGGAGGTTACCAGCGGTCTTCATTAAGGAACACAACGGGCTTTTGTCGCGTACGACCGTAGGGATATAGCGTAACACCTTATTCTCAGCTGCAAATAGCTCCCGTAGAGGACCAGCTAGGGCTGAGTGTGGCCCAACCTCGACGATCGCTTCTATTTCTTGTCCTTTTAAAAGCGCCATCACAGCCTGAGAGAAAAGTACTGGCTTCTCCAAGTTTCCACGCCAGTAGGAAGCCCGCATTTCGCTGCTACTGGGCATTGCTTGACCAGTAACCGTAGAATATAACGGTATTCTGCACCCACCGCTCTGCACACCACGGCCTAGGAGAGACTCATACTCTGGACCAAAATACTCCATATCCCCTGTAGGAGCTCTCGTTAGCATTAATACCACCAGAAAAGTCGTCTCCTGAGCGAGCTTGTTACTGACGCGAGTGATATGCCACATTCACACGGAGAGGGCGGCAGAAGGCATCCTTTTTTTCTGCCTGAATATTCTCGGTGATCTTGTTTAACTTATTGCTGTCGCCAGAGAGAGTTACGCTTCTCGGGCTGTTTTCGCACGCCACTTTGACTCCGTCCATAAGGTACGGAGACACCTCCTCACGACCAAGTCCAATTGCTGCCATGCCACCTTTTGTGGAGCGCAAGGCAGCTTTCTCTGCGATCTTACCGCGGTAATAGGCAACAATAATTGCAGACTCTGCTGTCAAGGCACCGGCTGAATAGGCTGCCGCGATTTCACCACTGGAATGACCCAGGACAGCGGCGGGATGAACGTTCCATTCCGCAAGCATATCGACCAGACCAATCTGTAAAGCCGTGCAAAGGGGTTGTGATAGCCCGGGCGTATTGATCTGATAGCCTTTCTCCGGATACGAAAATAGATCTGATGGAGTCCGTCAGTCCCACTGCTCTATTCCACTGAGTAGCTGCAACAAAGGGGCACGGCACTCAATCTAGACAAAAAGCTACATACCTATTATCTTCCACTCGGGAGGGTCTGGTAGAGATTGTAAAGCTTTGTCAAGCTTGCTGACGCTGTTGCGAAAGCACTGGGAGAGCAAGTAAAGGTCCTTTGCCATTCCAGCCCACTGAGCCCCCTGTCCTGTAAATACAAAAGCAAGTCGCGACGTCGATGGGAAGGATTTTTCGATACTAGAGAATGAGACGGATTCTCTTCCATCCGCGATAGCGAAAGCTCGGTATTTCAGATGCTCTCTGCGTTGGCACATGGTATACGCGATATCACGTATTTCTTTCGAGGTCCGCGCTAAGTAGCCTTCAAATTGCGAGATTCTCTGTTTCAGGGCGCTGCAGCTTTTTCCAGACAATACAATCAGCTTTGGGCCGTTCGTGGAGCGATGGGTCGTTCTTTGACGCTCTGTCCTGCAGTAGTTGCTCGATTCAATGATGGCCTGAGGGTGTAAGCTATGGTTAATCAGTTATAGGCCGCCGCTGTAATCATCAACTTACGTGTGCATTAACGCCCCCAATCCCAAAGCCGTTGATGCTGACCCTCTTACGGCGGTCTGCAGGCCATTCTGTAAGCTGTACAGGGACCTGGAGATGGGCTTTCTGAAAAGGGACTATTGTTCAATTAGATTAGCTTGTATCGCTCCCCAAAGGAGGGCTCAACCATACTCCGAGGGTTAGGCATGGAGAAATTGATATTAGGCGGTATTTGCTCATTTTCAATAGAAAGGACAGCCTTGATGATACTGGTGATACCGGATGCGCCCTCGGAATGACCAACATTTGGTTTTACCTGAGATCAGGTAAGCCATGTGTGTACCCTCTAGATATTTCGCAACCAAGTCTTACAGATGTGATCATGACACCCTTCTCCCCAAATACCTCGGCAATGGCGCCTGCCTCTAGAGGATCTCCAACTGTCGTGCCCGTTCCGTGACACTCAACAAAGGCGGTCTCGGAGAAGTTATGGATCCCAGCGACATCATAAGTTTGACGTATCAACTGCTCGTGGCTTCGGGGATTGGGTGTCTTCATATCTGCAGTTTTACCGTCAAAGTTTGTCGCCGTGGCCCGGACCGTCGCTCGAATACGGTCATTGTCTGCCTTTGCTCTGTCTACCTTCTTGAGCAGGATAGCAGTAATCGCCTCTCCACGGCCATAACCATCTGCTGCTGCATCGAATGTTTTTGAGGTACCCGAGGAGGATATGACTCCCTCCGCAGTCATCGCCATCATCATTGTCGGTGTGATGATTAGATTCGTTCCCGCGACTATGGCCGAGGTGCAACTGCCGCTCGAAATTGCCTGACAGGCGGCGTGGAGGGCCACCAAGCCCGATGAACAAGCTGTTTGGATTGTCAGGCTGCGAAGTCAGCTTTTGTGTTTTCAAATAGATATCGGAGCACGGATGTTTACCTTGGGCCCCTCAGATCATACTCATAAGACACACGATTTGCAAGGGCAAAGTCCATCGTAGAGTTCACCTGTCCATCCCAAGGACGCTGTAGGTCTCTAGAGGTGATGTCAAGCCAGCTTTCTCCAAATACTCCAACAAAACACCCAACGTCAGTGCCTTGCCAGCCTACCTGTCCTGCGTTCTCCATGCATTCCCAGACTACTTCCAATAGCATTCGTTGTTGTGGATCCATGTTGCCTGCATCCGTGGGTGAAATGGAGAAAAACTCATTGTCAAAATGACGAATGTCCTCTTGTAAAAAATGACCATGCTGTGTGCAGATTGAGCCTGGTCGACCCGCAGGATGGTAAAACCCCTCTGAATTATACCTATCTTCCGGAACGCGAATACAACCACTTTCCTTGTTGGCGAGGAGATTCCAAAAGTCTTCAGATGTCCTTGCCTTCCCTGGAAGTCTCATGCCCATACCCACGATGGCAACAGGCTCGGAACTGGCACCTTGCCCGCCAATCCCTCCACCGTCATCCAATGCACACATTGGCTTGGTAGTGGTTCTAGTGCACACATCGTAAAAACCTGTTCCGTTAGCAGCTTGAGTGATTTGACTGTCGTTGTTGAAGGTTTTAGCTGCTCCGGAGACTTACCCTTATCTTCGGAGGTAGTAGCTATTTCATCCTTGCCACGGTCTATGAGTGGACCACCAGGCGCAAAGCTATCGAAAGGAGCCATTTTGAATATTGAGTCCAAAATAAAATTAGGATTGCACCTTGACCAGGAATATGCCGAGCTTGTTCAGGGATTGAACAGAAAATTGAGCTTCCCGCGTTCTTTTCAGGAAGATTAACATTTGAAGCGTTCACCTGTCTATCTTTGTCCACTGCATGACGTGCACTTTACTAGACTTTTCTTGTAGAATGACTGCCTTCCTTCCCTGTTATTCAGGTCTTCACGAGGTTGGTAGATGTAACTCTTTTGGAGATAATACAGGTTTCTGGAATCTGAGATTTTTACCACTACAAAAAGCAAGCGTCATCGACTTAGACACTATTAAGGTTTGGATGATATTATTCATGCCTCAACATAATCACTTCATGATATAGAGTCAGACTAAGATATAAAGTTGGGCTCCTTGTTTTAAGAGTGTCAATTAAGATTATGGATCCTCTCAATTCGAGTAATCATCCCGCGACATATAATGAATAGAATGCTTCTCGAGTCTCGACTCTACTATTTATTACCCGTTCAGTATTGCAACAAATAATTTATAATATATACTTATACAAGAAATATTTTAAGTGAGATTGCCTCCACTTCGAAAGCATTAGCTAGAATTATAATGAACTTTTCCTCTACTTTAAAGCAAGGAGTCTTGGGGTTAATTATATCTACTAAGAGTAAGACCCTCTCTTAGTAGATATATACCTCCAACTAATCTTCTATATTCAGCTCCCTTTGATCAATTTTACTGCAAACTAGAGATTTCGGTAGAAATAGTGATGAATATAAGAGATTATGCTTAAAAGCAACATTTTTTGGATTATTACGTTCTACCTAGCTAATTCTATTATTGGTAAAACGGTTAGTAGTGGCCGAATGCTAATCATCACCTTGTCACTCATCCATCATCCACTTATTCATCATCCACTCATCCACCCGTTTTTTATTTTCCATCAACAAATCTCCACAAATGCCTATCTTTCTATCGCGGAGCGCGCACCAGCGGAAGGAGCCACACCGTCAGGCTCGTGCAGAGGCCATCGCCGGCGTGACTCGACTGCATAAGCTCCTTAATGAGTTTACACAAATGCATATCCACCCAACGCAGCACAACACACTTAACGTCAAGTGTAAAAATTTCCCAATCGACCAGAATGGCCACAATCAATCACCTTCGGCGCTTAGCGACCGTGTATCTAGAGAGCAAGGCGTATCTTTAGAATGGACGTATAAATCAGAGCCGTAATAAACTGCCATAGCCCACGCCCAATCGTGAAGCGCCTGTATTCAGTCTACTTGATAATATGCGATCACCTGGAGGATGGATAAGTTCGCCCAAATGAAATAGAATAGTGTTGCGCCGAGGGGACCGCTTCCCAATGGATTGATGGCCCTCGGTTGCATCAGTCTGCAATACGAAATTCTCATCTCCAACTAGTGTTTCCCGCATAAAAAACAAGTTCCAAACGGCAAAAACATACAACAGTTATTATATGGTCGCGGTCACCTAGCGCCATGGTTCGGGTGTGGGCAGCTCGCCGCTATGTTTAAAACTCCTCAGGACAAAGTTCGTAATCTCCGCGCTGATTGGTTCGTAGGGCGAAGGCGTTCGCGTCGGTCTGAGTGATGGTCCATGCTGCACCGGATAGAAACTGCTGGACTATAACACCATACTCATTAAGCACGGACCGGCCATCGTATTACAAACCTGCCGCAAAACCCGCCAATCCCAGCATCTTATTTAGCTAGATGCCTGCCACAACTGATGTTATTTATTAATTTATTAAGCCATTTCGTGCTAGAGAGACACGCGATCCATAAGGACCGGAGCTGATCGGTCGCGTAAGAGGTAGTCACGATATTTCGAAACAAGCTGAGCAAGTCATCAATCAAGCTACTTGTTCATTAAAAACCTGCCCATTAGTATTTGTTACGTCTAACGATATATTCATTTCTTGACCAATAGGTTTAAATAATGATTGTCCGAATGGTCAAGCTAATACCTAAGAAAGGTTCTGGAGAATTACAGTCAACAATCAAGTCTTCAAAAACCTCAACGTTTTGGTGACTGAAACTAAAATTTCTCCAGCGCAGTACTGTACTTTCCTTTTTTATTGAATTTTTCAACCAGAACTTGCTGCTTAGAAATACCAGTCTCTCAAGGGTTATAAGGTACTAAGGCGTCTAACTTTTACATTCGATAGATTAGCCACTAACCCACCCGTGGGACAGGTCAGGTGCAGGGTGTATACGGTGGCTGGTGGGTCTGTGCTAGGTCTAGTATGTGGGCGGTTTAATAGGAACTAGAAGTTGGGTCCTGCTTACTGTATTGAGTGCGTGTACCTCTTTGTCTAAATCAATTCGTAACCAAGAAAACCATGATATTAGATTATTATACACGAGAATAACAAACATGTTGTTGTGAGTATCACGCCTGTTATCTGATTATGAGAAACGGCTAGTTTACTGCCAAAAGGCAGCAGCGCAGGCCACAGCTCCGAAAAGGCTGGCAAACACGCTCACACTGTTTCCACTTGCACCATTGTAAGCCGGGGTAGCGGATGCAGACGCGGACGACCAGGTCATGCTACCCGACGACATAGAGGGCATGCCCGTTTTAGAGGCACTGGGCATTGGCATGGAAATAGAGGGCATCATAGACATGGAAGCACGCGAGCCAGACTGTCCACACTTGGTGCCCATACCCATGGGTCCATTGGGCATACCAACTTCGACGATTGCGGGACCTGCGACAATGTTGTCATCGGTGGCCTGCTTGTTGCCCTTGGTCAGGACAAGGTAGCTCTGACCAGCAACGCCCTCGGGAACGACGATAGTGTATTCTCCGGTACCAGTGGACTCGAGGGTAGCCCAGACGGGTCCAGTAACGGTGATGAAAGCTGCGTAGATGTCCGAAGTATTGACCATATCGCCGGCAACCATCAAGTCGACTTGGGAGCCGGTCATGACAGGAGCCATGGAGGGCATAGTCAAAGCGGGGAAGGCTTTGACTGGCAACTTTTCATTGCTCTCGGGGCATGAGGCAATGAAGAGCGAGGCGAGGGTGTACACCTCATCGAAGTCAAGAGGGTCGTCGAAAGCCTGAGCAGCAGGGGCCTCGCCGAGGGTGGTACGCAGGTAGGCACTGTGACGGGCTTCGACGGTCAAGATGCTGCCTGCGACAGTGAGGTAAGCCTTATCCATGATGCTGGCGGCCGCGCCAAGGTAGGCGCTGACTCCGACGCCTTCCAAAATGCTACCAAGGGCAAGAAAGGATTTGACATCCGTGGAAGGAAAATTATAAGTGCAAGCCTCGACGGGGCTCGCACCAGCAGCCTTGAGAGCCTTGGTCAAGAACTGGACGTGCTGCTGCTCGTCGCTGGCAGTTTCCTTGAGGTTGGCGTAGAACGGGTCCTGCATACCGACCTTCTGAAAATCGGCGTGGGTGTAGTTCTTAAGACCTTCCTGATAGAAGGCAGCCTCGAGGTGCTCAAGAGTCAATGCATAGTTGAGAACGTCGGCGTCGGTGACTTGCGCGCGCTCAGCGAGAGGAGTAGCTTGGGCAAGGCCAATGGCTGCACTGGCAAGCGCCACAGAAGAGAACTTCATTTTAAAGAATGACTTTGGTAGGAAAGTTAATAATGAAGATTCATTGAGAGTGAAGATTAATTTGTCGGCCGCAAAACACCAGCCCTTTATACTCCAATCCAAGCCCACTAAAGCTATAGAATCGCAGTTTCTTAGTCCGGTGCCCAAAATTTCGAGGTGTACCTGTACCTGCCAAGCGTGTCTTAGCTTCAACCCTTTGTCAATCATTTCCAAATTTAGCATGAGCTCGAACGTATCCGCAGTCGATCTTCCCCAAAAGTCATGCCAAAGAATCAGTGCCTGCATGGTGATTATCTCCGGAGTTTCCTAAAAAGGTATTGATCTTCAATCGAAGTCCGTGCTTCTTACAGAGAGCACTTGGTGGAGTCAATATCTGGCAGTTCAAAAAACCCGACTGGTACAAAAATTAGGCTTCATTTGGCTTGTACGATCCCGCCGACTAGTACTGTAAGATAGTCCGAGTGCATGTGGAGTCAAAGGGCCCCACTTACTGTGTCCGAGGACCAATCGCATAGTTTCGAGATAGAGAAACCGCGAACAAGAGCGAGAGCGAACGAGAACGAAAGCGACGACGCGCTAACTTCCAAGATTACACAAACTTTCTTCACTTAAACTACTCATTTTTCGTTTGGCAGGGTGCTTCGCGATATATCGATCTACAGTGGCAAAGGATAATTTGATTCGATTGTTCGGAAATGATATCACACAAAGGCCGTGTCTCAGTGCAAAAGCTTATCACCAAAAACACATCCCAAGTCAAATACGCAATTATTAGCCACCTGTTCGTTAGGGGAAAAAGGATACAAGTAGCTTTTGCTGAGAGCACGTATTATTTTAATGAAGCCGTTAAGGATAGTAAGGAAGGGGCTTTTCCAGGTACATGAGACCGGACCATCAAACCAGGAAACGATATTATCATCTCAGACTATCCGACAATTCCAGCGGTGTTCTCACAGAACACGATTCAGGCTGCATTGGGCGTTCAGGTTCAGGTTTATGAGGCCATACTGTTGATGGTTAATCAATTTACAAGATCGCCCACTGAAGTGAAGAATTCAATTGCACCATACCTGTTCGATGTCCTTTTGGGAGCAGCAGTAGACATCCCCGCCAGAGCAACTGGCGCCGAGCAGGCCAGGGGCGATATTACCCAGGGAGATAAGGCCATTGCCATTGCCTTTGCAAACAACAACCTGGCCACTTTTGCAGGTGGTATCGGTGCTGCTTCTAGCAATAGACGCCGCGATGGCAGAGGAAGCAAGAGCCAGAGAAATAAAGAAGACCTTCATGACGATTGAAGTGAGTATTGTGATTATATCGGAAGATAAGTATCGTTTGTTGATCTTCAGATAAAAAAAATGATGATCTATATGAGCAATCCAAGCTCGAGCTAGAATTTATATGATACTGACTCGCCAAGAGGAGGCATTTAACTTTTACAATAGTTGGGAAACTATGAAAATCTGGGATCTCTTACCCCAAGAGTCTGCCATTCATGTAGAATTCAGTGGACTAAACAATCCTATTGTGGTCATAATGACATGAACGACTGTTATGGTCAAGGCCTTGTCTGTTCCGAAAACAGCTACGTAGTATTGACAGTGTAAGGATCAGCGAGGTGATGACAAGGATAGCTTTTCTCTGGCTCAAAAGGATAATCTAAAACAATTGGCCAGTTCTAGAGCTCCCAGTACTAGATAGCGCCTTCCTCTTCCGGGACATCCGGTCGATCCGTGGAGCAGCTGTACCATGGGTTCAGACACAAGTTCGTAAATTGATATCGCGGAATAACAAGCCACCGGCCTGGCCATATCGGGGTTCCATTATTATTTTACTCCATCTTCAGATATTTGTTTTTTCTCTCCGTGGTACATGGAGTTAACACAACCTTGGAACGCTCGTCAATGCAAACTTGTACCGCTTCCCATATGACCACTTCCGTGACAACAGAAACCGTGGTGGCGTATGTGACTGTTTGTCCCATTGCGGAGGCAAAGGCAAGCGGAGAGACTAGTACCATAGCTGCTCTTGAAACTACGATTGCGCATGGTGAAAATTCTTTCGCTGCCGCTAAACAATTGCATCGAGCAGTAATTTCGCGACTGTCACCTCGACTTACAGCTCTTTCCATGAGGTGTCTATAATTGAGGGTACCACGACCTATCTCAGCACTATCGCTATTCCCGTGACCCAGATGCTTGTCTTGGGTACCGTCATGGGTACTGAATCAGCCAGTGTTTCCTCTTCCACCATTGATACCTCTCAAGCCGCTGAATCCAATGATACCCCATTTGATGAATCCCAAAATGAGAGTGTCGGAAGTGAAGATAGCCTCTCTGTTTACCCTAGGGGTGGGACTGAATCCTATCCTTCAGTGAACATCTCCCATGCTATCGTGGCTTCTTCTTCTTCTTCTTCTTCTTCTTCGGCATTCCCCCGTTCCACCAATGAGGCTGCTCGAAGTGGCTCATCCACTGTTATCAACTCTTGGTCCAGCACCTCTGCTGGTCTTACCGCTGCATATACAGGAGCTGCGTCTAAAGTGAATGTACTAAGCGCTGTGTCTTTGTACTTAATCGTCTTTGCTGGACATATCGTTCTTTGATGTGATATTTATTACTTTGAATGAATTGATACTAGCTGGGGACTTTTCATTTCTATTTACTTGTTTCATTTCTCAATTGATACGCCAATTGTTTTTAACTTGAATTTCTAATTACACTGAAGTCTATTATATACAAAGCCACCACATAAGAACATACTTTTGGGGCCATTCATGGAGCCTTTATCAATTCGGCAGAATTCTTGCCCGGGCACAAGACTGCAACCGAAGCGCCAAGCCTCCAGGGCTGCCGTTTAGTCGAGCATCCCTGATTCTGCCAGCCCGTATATCCTCTTCTGTCTAATAAGATCATCCATCGCGGAGAAGAATAATTCTTATTCCATCTTGGCTGCTCGGTTCATGCGCGAGGATAAAATAAAGTTTAACTCTGAGCAGAGAACACATGGTGAGGGATCCATTGGAAGCAAGAATGTGATATGTGACGACGCTACAGACCGCCTCAAAAAAAAGACAAACATATTGAGATGACTCCCTATTCATACGGAATATCAGCCTTCCGATGCGACTACGCTCCATTTGCTAAAAAACCTTTAGTTGTGAAATATCTTCCCTCGCAAACTTTGAAACTCCGAAGCTAAACGGTCAAGGCAAAATGGGCACGTTTAGAATAAATTTCCCCCACCCCCTGTGCCGTAGATCTTCCTCCGCTCTCCTCCGCAATCTGCTCCACCAGGGGGTAATTTCGTGCACCCGGATGCTTTGCCTGTTTCTTGTGCGGTGCTCTTCACGATTTTTGCTGCTTCGGAAACTCCGCCTATCATCCCTGGACTTGCTTATCTTAAGTGACGCCTAATAAAAGAGCGCATCCTTCGCTTCATTAATCCTCGGCTGCATGTTAAGGTCAACAATGTCGCACCACGTGGCAAATAACGGTTTTTTGCCAAATTAAGCACTAGTGCAATCCATGATCTTCACCAACCGACTTGATTTGATGAAGTGGACACGCCACACGGAGCGAATGGAAGGATGATTGTTTGGCCAAAACCTGGAAACCCGTGGTTTCCGGCTTCCTGGCCAATCGTATTACGTTGGTCTTTGTGCGCCACGAAGCACTAAAAGGAGCAGAGAGGGGACGTCGTATGAGGGGGCAGGAACATTTTTCCCTTTAAACTCCCATCTTTAAGTGTTGCGACCGCAATGTGAGCCGATTTCTGACACTGGATAACATAGTGGATTCTCACTTTCTTATCTCGCATTTCCCCTCCCCCTTCCCTCCTTTGTAAGACTTTGAGCCACCAACCATGTCTGATAAGCCAATCGCCGTGGTATGTGTTGCGACTGATGGAGAGAGTTATCATCCTGATTTTCTACCAGGATCCAGATTACGTTATCGCGCGTAATACGTACCAGCCAGAAGATTTTGAGTCGTGAGTTCCTGCCTCATTTGAAATGACAGCAAAGGGACGTGCCTTAACAAATTCATCGCCAGTGAGACGACGTCGCTTTCATCAACCATATACAGAGGAGTGATAGAGAATGGACGTCGGTACCAGGCATTGAAAGAGGGCGAGTATTGGTGCGTTCCATCCTACAATTGGTTATTGGACCAGTGGAACGACGTTGACTGGGGAATAGGAGTCCAGCGGATGAACAGCAGTTTGAGAGCTATGAAGCCGGGTATTTAAACATATTGCTGGATGTTATTGCAAAATTATGCTAATTGTAACAGTCATTTAGTATACGTGCTGCTTGACTCTGAGAGAGAGAATCCGCTTTTCCACTCCCCGGTCAAGAATCCCAAGGTATGTTTCTCCACAATGGCCTCTCGTGAAGGAGATAGCACGGATTTTCCTGACTCATTATCTCATATATCTAGCATGTTTTGGACATGGGAACAGGCCGTGGCAACTGGGCAGTGTAAGTAATGCGTTCCAAGTTTGCCATTTTGTTGCCAGTATCCAGACCTGACTAGTGGGATGTTAGTGACGTTGCCGATATCTTTCCAGACTGTATGTTGCTTGTTTGATCAGTCAATACGCAAACCTAAACCTAATATCTCGCCTGACAGCCACTGTTAGGGGTGTGGACTTGTTCCCTCCACCTGAAAACTGGCTACCTCCAAATTGTGTGATGGAGATCGACGATGTGCTCCAGGATTGGACCTGGCGCCAACCATTTGACTTGATCCACATACGCCAGCTCATGGGTTCTTTCACGGACGATGAATGGGCAAAGGTGTACAAGAACTGTTATGAGTAAGCCAAAGCGACCTATGCTATTCACTGTCTCCTAACCATCGATACATGACACAGTCACTTAGAACCAGGCGGTTGGATCGAACAATTGGAAGGTAATCCACGTATCCGTTGCGATGATGGCAGCGTCCCAGATAACAGCAGTGCATTTGTGCTGGGCGACCAGTCATGCAAGGCGGCAGATAATTGGGGCCGTCCCATAACAATTGCGGATACGATGAAATCGTCGCTGGAAAAGGCGGGGTTTGTGGACGTGCATGAAAAAACATACAAGTGGCCTATTGGAGCGTGGGCTAAGGATCCCATTCTCAAGGAGGCTGGAAGACTACACTACCATCAGTGGGTTTCGGGTATGGAGGGCTGGGCCATGTTCTTTTTGACAAAGTATGGTGTCCCGCAGCCGTGGAGCACTGAAGAGGTTCAAGTATTATTGGCTAAGACACGGGCCGAAATTCAAAATCCACGTCATCACGTCTACCAAGTTGCGTGCGTTTTTCTATTCCCAAGTTGGTGGTCTGAGTGACTAACTATTATAGTCGACGAGTTTGGGCTCGGAAGCCCATGCCAAATGAAGAGGGGGTGGAGAAGACAAGCGAGTAAATCACTTGAGGCATTTTCGACTTCGGCTTTCGATTTATTTTCCGACGCAGCAATGTTCACCAGAGATACCCTCTCTTAAGTTTTGTCGATCAATTTTTTCACGTATGGGTCTCTCATTTGACGCTATGATGGTTCAATGCCAACAGGGTAGACTTAAAATCTATCGTAAGAAGATCCAAGGTCAGGGTGCGTATAAGTCACCTGTATCTTCCGGAATTCAATTCCTAGATATACTTTTCAAGTTCCCTTCCTCGTTTTGCTGTATCCCACGTATCTAATCTTTTAGGTTTTCATAAGCTAAGGTTGAAATGTGATTTAATGAACATAGATTCATAGACTGAATTTAGAACTTCGAGCATAGGTTCGTCGCAGGGGTAGTATGTATGTCTCCTGTTTATACATTTAGAGTTTTGGGTTCGTGAAACATGACTTAATGTCATATGGCTGCAATTTCCGGCTTCTAAGATTCTTAAGAAAGAAAACTCGTCGTCACCTGGGCATCAAGCAAGCAAACCACAGACTTTAGCGATTTATGTCTTCTTCTAGCTAAGCGAGATTATCTTTCGGTAGTAGCTTAGGTCTTCCAAAGATAGCTTGGAGGAATAAGCACCACGACGTATTGTATTTCTCGGCATCCACCGTCAACATTGACTATTCATACCTGCCGCCTAAACAGGACTCAAAATCTTATTCCTCGAAAATTAGTGCCTCAATTGGCACCTCTTGATATCCAAACTCCGTCATGATGTCTTGCTTCTAGATTTGCTATTCCTTTAAGATGAAGTCTGTCAGTCAACAAGTCTTTTGGCGATCATATCATCAATCCATCACTTAGGTAGAAGTCCTGCTTGCTTTCCATCTTGGATAGGAGTCGCTTCAAAAAACTCGTCACACTTTGAAAGACTCTGTCGACACCATACTGTTTGGCAGTATCCGCGTTCTCGCAGTCACCATCTACATATATTGAGCCTTTGATAATCAAGGTGGATGGTTGCTTATATTGAAAGTCATATCCAAGAAATAGTATAGAGGTTTACATACGTCCTGTTCCTCCGTCAATAGATCTATTCTTATTCATCAAACCCTGCCCTAGCAACTCTAGCAGTGAACAGGTCTTAGCAGCTTAAAAATTATTGTTATGTTGCCCAGGTGATATGATAAATGAATGGGGAGATTAGGCAGGCTATCATTTTTGAGCTGGTGCTATGAGCATGGACACAGGGTGCCTTGATTTTAAGGCGTGACATCACGTCAGGTTCCGTGCCCCGCCTGCTTTGCACACAGCACAAAAGGGGCCTCTTCAACTGAGGATAATGACAACATCTCCTCTTCGGTGATCCATCATTGAAATCCTTATTTATATCCCTTGGCTTTTGACCTTTGAACAGGTGGTCGCAGCCCAAGTCAGTTACCCCTTGGACAGGTTGTCCTCTTGCATAAGTACCTCGGAATGGAGAACACGACGGACCTTTTGCAACCTTTGGGGGCCTGTTCAAAAATGAGAGGAAACCGCGCTATACGTGTTCATACTCGTTCCCTGAGCAAGGGACCACTTTGTCAACCTTGCGCTAAGAGATCGGATTGGCAACTGCTGGTAGTAGTTAAATCCTCTATTTAGAGTAATCGTGGTCTTTACAGAGTATAAGAGCTACTGGATTGAACCGATGCTTCTTGGAATTGACAATTTACTGAAACCAATGTTCTAAACTTGACACACATTGATTTGTCATCCTTGTTGTGAGAAGAAATGAGCATGTTTTGAGGGCGCTAGAGCCACAGGCGCGGTCAAGCCCCTCGGAAGTATAGTGCTGCTAGTTTAGCCACACCGGCCTAGTTCGCTCATTGTCATTCAACTAATCTTGCCCAGCATACTTTGCGGTTGCGCTATGGGGCCAAACATGCCACATAAAATGATTGAACAATAAGCGTCTTTGTTTTGCGGGCAATCTAGGGTGTGCTTTGGTTTTACCGAATCAGATTTGCGCAGATTTGAGCGTGTTGCTTGTTTCCAGAGAAGTCATCCTTCGCGAACTGTGATGGTAAGATGGTGGCTGCAGCATCTCCAATCAGCATTCAGAGTACATCTAAGAATTTTTACATTTAGTCTGAATCCCCCCTTTCCAATTTCACCTGCCTTTTGCCAATCCTGTTCCATTGTCTATGCGACAAGATTGATCGACTTGTCTTCCGCGTTTCTCAAAACACCATATCTGCCCAGCTTCTGTCTTCCTATAGCACCGGAGTCGAAGGGTGGAGAACCAGCGATCCGATTCAAGCCTGAGCGCCTTCGTGAACATGACGGCGGGTAAAGTGGGGAGTGATCCGCAGAAAGCGGCCGACATCCGGACAATGACTGGTGAATATCAGGCGAACAGCGACACTCAGAGCCTGGAAGAAAGAAATGAGAGACAGGTGCAGGACCATCCCGATGAAATCACCCACGACGCACAGATTGGAGTTCAAAAGGCTGAAGCCACGGCTTTGGTTTGGTCCAGGACTGCCTTGTACGCGGTATATGCCTGGTAAGTGGACCAGAGCCCTTCAGCGCTTCCTTAGAACAGACCGAGGGCCATCTCTTCTGAGTCATTTACGAAAGAAGGGTTCTTATATCATTAACACCGTTACTGCTAGGATTTGGTTGTGTTTCTTCATTCTATCAATGCAGTTGTCAATCAGCAGCAACGTGATGTACTACGCCTACGCAAATTTCGCCTCAGCCCCTCAAATCTCCCAGGCTTTCATTGTCTCGACCATCGTTGGTGGAGTTCTCCAACTCCCCATTGCAAAAACTCTGAACTTATGGGGCCGGGCCGAGGGCTTCCTAACATTTTTGGTGGTCTTCGTCCTTGGTCTCATCGTGATCGCTTCTTGCAATGGCCCGAATGGCTTTGCAGCCGGCTACACCCTATACTGGATTGGTTATACCGCCATGAATTTCATCTTGAGTGTCTTTGTCGCCGACGCATCTGGACTGCGGAACCGAGCCTTTGTTTACGCTTTTATCGGGACGCCTTCTATCTGTACGGCCTTTACTGGGCCACTTGCAGCCCAAGCATTCATAACCCATTCTACCTGGCGATGGGCCTATGGCTGCTTCGCTATCATCACCGTTATCGTCTTCGTGCCTCTTGCTCTTGTCTTTAAGTTTTACCAACGTAAAGCGGAGAAGTTGAATCTTTTCATTCGGGTACCAAGTGGTCGAACCACTGCACAGTCTTTCATTCATTACTTTCACGAATTCGATATCATTGGCGCTTTCATTCTCATGGCGGCTTTTATTCTGTTCCTTCTGCCATTTAGTCTTAACACTTATGGCTTTACTGGATACTCCTCGGCGACCTTTATCGTTATGGTCGTCATTGGAATCTTACTGTTCCCGGTCTTCGCCATTTGGGAGCGTTTCTTTGCGAAGACTGCTTTTATCAAATGGGAGCTATTCAAAAAGCGCACGGTGGTAGGAGCCTGTGTTCTGTCGGCTGTGATCTTTTTCAACTATTACACCTGGGATCAATACTTTTACTATTACATACAGGTTGTCTATAACCTGGATACATCGAAAACCGGATACATGACACAGATATATGGTGTCGGATCCACCATTTGGGCCGTTCTATTTGGAGTTTTGATCCGCCAGACGAAACATTTCAAGAACGTGTGTCTTTACTTCGGTGCCCCCCTATTCATACTCGGTGCTGGACTCATGATCCACTTCCGAGGATCCCAAAGCAACATCGGGTACCTGATTATGTGTCAAATCTTCATTGCCTTTGGAGGTGGCACACTAGTCATTGGTGATGAGATGGCTGTGATGGCCGCTGCCGACCGGGACGGTGTCCCATTAATGATCGCCATTATCAGTCTGGCCTCCAGCTTCGGGGGTGCAGTCGGCTACGCCGTTGCAGTTGCTATTTATTCCAACACTTTCCCCCAGGCCTTGCTGAGCGCTCTTCCCGACTCTGCCAAAGCTGATTATGAAACAATCTACGCTGGGGGCTCAGCAACTCAGCTTCTGTATCCCCCTGGCAGCGAAACAAGAGATGCGATCAACTATGCGTGGGCATACAGTCAGAAGTACCTGTGTATCGCGGCAGCTGCTATTGCCGTTCTTTCTTTCCCAGCCATCGCCGTATGGAAAAACTACAATGTCGACAAGAAGCAAGTGAAGGGCACCGTTATCTAAGACAACAGGAGTTATTTTTTCGAGTTCGTGGCAGGGACGGATTGACATAGAAAGAATGTATAGCAATGCAGGAGCCGCTCAATAATTGTATTATAAACCACTTGGGGGTTGCTTCAAACATCTAGGCATATTCCCGATCTATGGACCATGTCAATTTAGTAGAATCATTTTTCCTTTCTTTTCTATCTCGCCCCGGGGCTTCACTCGCAAGGAATGACCGGTTCCCAACCCCTATCTTCCTAGACCTGTCTTTTCGCCAAGTGAATCGTTAATAAATGCATCACACTCATCCTGAAAGCACCCCATAAGCCACGTGGCTCTGTACTGACGTGCGGATCGCCCCTGGAACCGGAAATGACAAGTCCGACATGGATTCGGTGCATGAATCTGCATCGGAATCTTACAACAGCTTTGGGGATGACACTAGCCGCCTTCCTGTCTAAACAACATGCATATGTCTACCATACAGTATTTGCATCCTGTCTGTCTGTGCATACGAGAGTCTTCTGCAATTTCCCAAATTCGCGAAACGCGGCTTGCACTTAAACACAAGCATGCCCTTGTAATGCAGGCTACCGCGTTTTCCGTTGGATATTACGTTTGAACGTGCCTGACATGAGATGTTCCCAATGGATCTCATACAGCCACTAGCGTGGTCGCCTTGCATTAGCTCCCGAGATGGTTACACCTCGATGGAAAAATCTGCTCAATTGCACTCACATCCTTGGGAATCGGACGGACGGGACTGTGAGAGTGAGAAAGGATCTCTGGAACACTTCAGGATTTTTTTCCTCACGTACGCTGACTTCTTACATTTCTCGTATACCGGGAACGCTAGGATCGCTCCACCTCCTGAGTGATGGCTTGAAAAAAAATTTCATATCTCCAGCCCCATTTTCATTTCCATTGAGACGGATTGCTTGGCATTTACTAATAACATGACAACGCTCTAACCATCTGTGCCTGGAAACTAGGAGGAATCGGCGAACAAACTTTACCAAAACGGTGGATGACCGAAAATTGAGCATGTATACTCGATGATTGGGCCGTGTATTGCTTCATTACAACTGGCATTTGATCAGGTGGCAAGTGGCAAAGAACATATATTGAAGTTCGTGAAAGGTGCGCGTACAAGGTACTCCGTGGTTGGAAAGAGGACTCTTCCAACCTGCGGCGCAGGGCGAATTTCATGAAGAAACCGTCGTTGAAGTATTTTCTTGGCTTATGCTACCAGCTTTCACACTCTTCCACTCGAGGAAGCAAGCGGCGACAAAGGCCGCGATCATCAAAGCCAGGCTGACGCGATAAGTATCTCTCAGTCCACTCATATAAGCCTGGATAACGCCATCCAGCTGATCAAGGTGACCCAAGGTACTCAAAACTTTCCTCATCTCGGTAGCTCCGGCCCCTATTATGGCGCTTGGATCAACACCAGTTGTATGGGTGGAGATGCCTGCTATTAGACCATTCTGAAAAACGGACTGGCCTACTGCAATGAAGATAGCGCCACCCAGAGTCTGAAAGAACATGACCGCGGCTGTTCCAACAGGAATGTCTTCTGGCGTCAAAACAGTCTGCACCGCCGTCATTGGGACTTGAAGACCAGCGCCAATGCCTGCGCCAACGACAATTTGGTATCCAATCCATTTTCCATTAGAAATATCGACGCTGTACAATGTCATAAGCCCCGCACCGATGACGCCAATGGCAGTGCTGATGATCAAGAATGGTGTGTAATAGCCGACCGCAGTGACCAGCATGCCCACGGCTACAGATGACACTACGGTGGCGAGCATAAATGGCAAAACTTGAAGTCCAGAAGTCATGGCAGAAGATCCTTTGACGCTCTGGAAATAAATCGGAATGTAGTAGACCAGAACGAAGAAACTGCCGCTGAAGAAAAAGGCGAAGAGCGCGGCGGACCCGATAGTGCGCTGCTTCAGGATCGACGGTGGTAAAGTTGCCCTTCCACTCTTTTCCAATTTTCCATTTTCCTTGTCTTTTTTGTCCAGGTAGATCTGGAACCCTGCAAAGATGATAGCCAGCAAACCAAATCCCACAAAAAGTCCGATTATTTGAGAGCTTCCCCAGGAATAGGTATTACCACCCCATTGCAAGGCAAGGATTAAACAAATGATAGCTGGGATAAGCAAGCTCGCACCGATCAGATCAAGGTCCTTGATCCGGTCAATGATACTCAATCTGGCGACCGTGTTATCGCTTGGCAGTCTAAGTACCAAGAGAACAACTACCATTGAAACTCCACCAATGGGAAGATTGATATAGAAACACCATCTCCAAGAGGCACCGTCGGTGAACGCGCCGCCAAGTAGTGGACCGACAATAGACGCAATACCCCACACCATGCCATACACACCAAAAACGAGTGGTCTCTTTGCCAGGGGAACAGTTCTGGAGATGATCACTAGAGCGCCGGAGAAGATACCCCCAACGCCAATTCCTGCAATCGCGCGGCCAACGATCAACACCGTACTGGAGGGAGCTACACCGCAGATGAGGGATCCAATCTCAAAGATGCCAACTGCAGCTAAGAAAGACCATTTGACCTGAAGCAGTGTCAGACTTTGTTCAATTGAGAGTTTGGAGATTTCGATCCAATACCTACGTTGAAAATTTTATAGATTCTGCCGTATGAAGGCTGCAATGCCGTTGAAGTCAAGAAGTAGGCACTACCATACCATGCGATATCGGAAATACTCTTGAACTGATCCGTGATCTTTGGAATGGCGACTGCGATGATTGTCTGGTCAAGAGCGACTAGAAAAGCTGCCAGATATATTGCCAAAACAATCATCACGACTTTGCTCATTGGGGGCCATTCTGGCTCTTCATTGGAGTCCGAATCCTCCATATTGGTCTCTTCACAGTTCACCTGCTGGGATTGCTTCTTAGAACAGGCCTCTGCATCCGAGGAATAGCTTCCTTCACTCATGATTGTGGTTATTGAAGTGGCAGAGAGAAAACAGCAAGAGTGCGCTCTACCTGAAATCCCGAGTCAAAAGGTGAGAATTGAGACTCGAAAAGTAAATCTTGGAATTTTGCGAAATTTGGTAAAATGCACAAGCTACACAGCCGGGGGAAGCGTCCTCGTAAAAGTGTATTTGATCTGCATCAGGAATATCTCAGTATTAAAATCATCGACGGAGGTCCCCTTCCACATGAATGGGTCCAGATGGAGACTAAGAGCATCACAATTGCCTCAAACATGCTCTTGTAAGTAAATGTAACATACCTCCATGGACAAAGCTTTGTCCCCCTTTCCCGTCATCCTAGGATAGTTAGTCTAAACATGCAAAAACTTTAATGGATTTTTCAAAGTCACATTGTGGCGCCAATGGCGCGAATGACGCGATAGTGTTCTGGGACGGGCCGATGTTGAGATTTCTGCATTGTGAACAATAATCCAACGTCACTTGGTCCTGTGGCTTGACTTAAACTTTATCGAGTGGTGGTCATTCTAAGATCATGAGCAGCCCAGCCATACGACGTAGCTTTTGGCAGGTCAAGATTCCACATATCTGAGGGAAAAAAACAATAAGGCCACTACCACGCTGGGCTCCATGGTAGCCGAGGTGTTGCAGAGCCTCGTCTGACTCAGATAGTATGGATCCTGGCTTGATTATTTTCGCTTAGACCTCCTCGTAGCGTCGGGTACATAGTACTGTTTTTTAGTACGGCCCCATTGTCACTCCCCTTTGGCCTCTCGAGGCCCTTTCCGACGAGTAATTCTCTCAAACATGCGCAGCTGCCCAATGCACCAGGGCTCTGGAGGAGTTCGTATTCTTCAGCGGTGATATTAGTTCAGGAGTATTTTGTTGACATGAGTCTTGGCATCCGAGGGAAATGATATCACTGGCCGCTCATTGGCAGAGCGCGTTCCGTTTGCAGATGATCAGCACTTCCATGCCAGATTTGATACAGGGCTCGAGATATGATAAATGATTACGACTTGCACTCGGAATTGCAAGCTCGGTTATTCTCATGTTCGCTGGGCCGCCTTGATACAGCGTTGGTGGAGCTTTTCCTAATTGTACAATCCACAATTCCCTTGTTTCTCGGGCTGCAGTATACCATTTTGGGAGAACTTTGCTACATTGAGTCACCATGGCTCCAGTGAAGATTTACCCTTACCAGTCAACTGAGAGACCAACAAACAGCCATGTCGGGCCTGGCGAGATTTCTCTGGGCAACTCTTCACACCCTTCAGATAAGGTGAAAGAGGTCTCGCGGCTCATTCTAAATATTTTCCTCGCGCATGCTCTCAATAAGTTTGAGTATTCAAAGGATCACCTTGAGGACTCACAGAATGGCTTCCTTGCTGTCATCGCTCGGTTTGTTGCCAAAGGAGAGCGGATACAGGCTTGTCTTCCCGCTTTCCCCTTCAAGTCGGCCAACAAGGTATATAAGGTGCTTGGCAGTTTGCCGGACATGGCAGAGAAGCTGGCCCTTGAACGATTGAATACGATTTGTATACGCATTGAAGAAATTTACAGTCCAGGCGCTGAGATTGTCATCATCTCAGATGGAATTACCTATAACGGTATGCGAATAGCTTTCTCCATGCAAATTGACTGACTGCTAATTACTTAACGTTCATATCAACAGACCTGTTGTGCATCTCTGATCAAGAAACCTGGATGTATGGTGAAGCTCTGCGTAAAATGGTCGTCGAAAAAGGATTCAACAACATCTATTTCTCGAGAATCAGAGACCTTCTCGACTTTCCGCTACCCGAGAAGTTGAATGAGATTGTCTACGTGGCTAACTGTACCACATTCCGTCGCTTGCTCTTGAACAAGTATGGCAAGGACAGCCTTGACATCGACCAGGAAATTGCCACGAATCCAGATACAAAGTTGACATATCTTGGATATAAACGCTTTCTGGAATCGGATCTTCAATATATCTTTCCTCGAGGACAAGGTCGTTCCGCGCACAGCTACAAACGGGATTGCAAGTACGTGGCCAAGCAGATGCTCATTAGAGGATATGTAAGCAAAAAGAATTCACATAGACCTTTACTCCAATCTCGAATGTCAGTCTGACTTAACGTGACAGGCATTTGCAGCGGCAATCCGGAATGCCTTCCCCAATCACCTGCGTCTTTCAATCCATGAGTCTATCTGCGGTACCAAGCTACCTATCAGTTTACTGAATACAAAAACTGGCTTCACGACCCCATGGCACTGCAGTGTAGCCCAGTTGGCGGATGGAGTATGGGTTAGCGGTCCTATGGGCGAATTAAGTCAGGATAGCCGTCTTGAACTTGTCCATGTCGATGGTAAACCCAGTCACTATCGGGAAAAGCTTCATCACGACAGCCTCCCTATCAGCGAGGGAAATGCAAGTTATCTTCAATCTGGCAAGTCCATCCATGTCAACCAATATAAGAATGGAGCCTCAAGAGGGGCGCAAATCACATCTTCCTCCAGCGAAATCTCGCTGTCTTCGTCCGAGGACAAAATACCGGAAAGTGTTCTCACCACCCCAGAGATTCAATCAAACCACCTATTCTCGCCAGAGAATTCGGGATTGAATATCACTTTGGACAAGGAAATTGACTCTATAGTACCGAGGGAGCAGTCAAACGATACATTGTCGATTCCCTATGGCAGCAGACTCATTCCTCAGATAATGGACAGCCTTGCTGCTAATGAGCCAGAGAAGCCAGTTTTCTCTCTCTCAACACTCGTGAATGGGTCTCTCAAGCTCAAAGATGTCTCCGCTCGGCTTTTCGCCAGAGCAGTGAACAAGACTGCTTGTTGGCTTCGTGATCAGGTTGAGATTCCGAACGGAACACAACCCGTCGCCTACATTGGACCGCGTAAGTCAACCGGCGGTAGGCAAATTGCACCCGGGCACTTACTAAATTGATTGACTAAGACGATCTCCGACACATATTGTTGACGTATGCATGTATCAAGACGGGATATGCGGTAGGTCTACATCAAGAGATTGCGATATCAAGCTTCCAATTCTAATCTTAGCGTGACAGGCTCTTTTTCTATCGCCGAAGAATAACGCGGATGGAGCTCTTGCAGTGTTAGAGAGGACGGGCTGTAACATATGGGTCAATGCTGTCGACGCTTCGCCGCCAACCTTGGTCAAAGAAGTTCTCCAAAGACGATCTATGACTTGCTTACAGCTTCCTCTGCTCGACGAGCTTCTTGATGCCGACTTTACTGAAGATATTCCATATACGAAGACGTTCGAAGAGGCTAAGAACGATCCATTTTGCATCCTGCATACGTCAGGAAGTACTGGGCCACCTAAGCCTATTCCTTGGTCTCACGGGTTGATCGGAACGATGGATGCAGTCCGTTTACTACCACCGATTGGTGAAAATGCTGATCTTGTTCCATGGACCTCTGACTGGCATGAAGGAGATAAGATATACTCCTCATTCCCAATGAGCCATGTAAGTAAGCCACTGTTTGTATTATGCTGCGCTTGTATTGCTGTGCAAAGACCTACAAACTGACTGGAGTATTAATAGGGCGCTGGTATTATCATGGATATTCTGATGCCTGCACTTTTCAATCTTCACTGTGTCTTAGGGCCAGTTGGGGTTTTGCCGAACCTCAATCTTGTTGAAAGGTTGGCTTTGGATGCGAAGATTGATATATGGAGCATGGTGCCATCTCTGGTGGATGAGTTGGGTGAGACCCCCGAGATTCTGGCAAAGCTCGAGCCGAGCAAGTTCATCTGTGCATCCGGCGGTCCTGTCAGCCCCATCAGTGCTAGCAAAGTGAATGAGGTAGTAAGAGTGCTCAATCTGACAGGAACTACCGAAGGCCTTTTCATTGGAAATTTGAAAACATCACGAGAAGACTGGTTCTGGTTTTGCTTTCATCCCTACTCTGGCTTTGAATTCAAAGAGCTGGAAGCGGATACATATGAGCACTGGGTGCACCGCAACGAGCATTGGCCTCTTTTTCAAGGCATCTTTCACACTTTCCCAGACAAGGATTCGATCAATTTCAAAGACCTATACATTAAGCACCCTACCAAGCCCAATTTGTGGGCCTTTAAGGGAAGAAGTGATGACCTTGTTGTCCTATCAAATGGATATAAAATATCACCGCTGGAGACGGAGGCATTTATTACCATGCATCCAGCCATCAACGGATGTCTGATATTCGGTACCGGAAAGCCTCAAGCGGGACTACTCGTTGAGTTGAAGGATCCATCGAACAAGCCACCCGAGCTTATTGACAGTATCTGGCAAACCATACAGAAGGCCAACTCCATGTCTCAGCACAAAAACCAATTACTGAGAGATTTTGTCACTTTCACAGTTCCCGAGAAGCCTTTCTTCCGGACGGATAAGGGCACTGTGAAAAGAGCAGCCACCCTAGCTTTATATGCCGACTACATTGAGCGTTTTTACGATTCTCGCAGCGATGATATAGATGAAACGATTAGTCTGGATCTGAGGTCTGACAATGCGATGCAGGAATCTATCCGCACAATATTCAGCTCTTCACTCCCTGAAGCCCAAGTCGCCCCTCCGGATGTAGATCTTTTTTCACTTGGGCTCGACTCGCTCGGCGTTTTTGCGGCTGTTAAAAGTATTCGGGTGGCTTCAGGTCTGGGCGAAAAGATTGCACCTCGACATGTTTACGCGAATCCGACCATTGCAAGCATCACCTCCACCGTCGCCTTGTTAATGACCGAGCTACAGAGTGCCAGATCTAGTATCCCACTTGAAAAAAAACTGGATGATCCTGCTGGGATTAACGCCATGATCGCTCAGCACAAGGCGCGACAGTCCTTCAGGTTGAATGCCTTCGACTACGTCAACCCCAATCATGGGATGGGCATTATGCTCTACTTCTCTATTCATGAGGAAATATCATTTGAGCAAGTTTTTTCAAACCTCCAACAGGGACTGAATCGCACATTTGATATGATACCGGCTCTCAGTGGCAAAATGATGCACTGCTCCGAACAAGAGATTGGTTACACTAAAGGAGACCTCTGCGTGACTATCCCACCAAGTTCCATGGCGGCTTCTGCTCACAATCGTCTTGTGTACAAGGATATTTCGGACATAGTTCCATCTTTTGCGAACCTACGAGAAGCCGGCTTTCCCCCTTCGGCGTTCAAAGACGGTCTCGTACTGCGGGACGATCCGTTCCCTCGATTCCCAGCTGATATCTTCTCCGGTCAAGTGAACTTTGTCGCGGGTGGCTGTATTATCGCAGTTGACCTCAACCACTGCTGCCTCGACGGTCTGGGAGCTATGGTCGTGCTCAAGGCTTGGGCAGAAAACTGTAGATACCTGCAAGGGGACCGCTCTGCAACTTGCAGCTGGTATGACCCCGAAAGCTTTAATCACAGCCTACCGGAGATCATTCATGAACAAGAAGGATGGGCTCGGCCGGTAGAGGGAATTGACCCTGGAACATGGGGATTCTTGCCTTTCTTCCCACCTGACGACAACACAAGGCCGAAAGGCGACTCAGTTGACAACACCACATCCGCTACCAAGGGTCATATGCTACCACCTGTTCCTGAATTTGCTTTGCACAAAGTTTGGCCCCTTCCCCGTGCTGAAAGATGTCTCAAAACCACAATGTTCCTGATTGAGCCGGCCAAGCTTGAGAACATGAAGCAAGAGGTCATAACCGATCCCGAAGCTAAGGGAGTCATCACATCAATCAGTGACATTGTGCAAGCCTTCCTGTGGCGAGCTGCTATCAGAGTGCGATATAGAGTGGCCAAGGAGATACGAAAGCAGACTTTCAGACCTGACGAGGTGTCTATTCTTGAACTACCCACCGATGGCCGCCCGTTCTTTTCTTCCTTATTGCCCTCCACGTATATGGGAAGTCTGCTCATTCTCAACCGAGCAACCATGCCAATTGAGATACTCTGTTCAGATGAGACCAGCATAGGCCGCGTCGCTTACTTGCTGCGTCAGTCTGCTGCACGCATCACCCCTTCAGTTGTGCATGACGCGTTTTCGATCCTGCAGTCTTTACCGGATCATAGTCGCTTCTCTACTGCTAATATGGGCATTGAGCACATGCACGCTATGATCTCCAACATGATGCTATTCCCAAATAGTGAGGTCTACTTTGGGGACTCGTTCTTTGCTAACGGCGGATTGCCGGAATCTTTGAGACCCCAACTTGAGCGCGGAAACGGGCGATTTCGATTCCTGGTAATTCTTCCCATCAGGGAAGATGGAGGTGTTGAGTTTGTCCTGGGCACTCATCCAGAGGAGCTGGACCTGTTCCAGGCGGACGAAAATTTCACGAAGTACGCGAAACTTGTAGATACTTGCTTCTGAGCTCTCACTTTTGTAACGTATCAAGTTTGCATATTATTCCTACTCATTCAGTCTATATAATGTCTTTCGTCCTGGCATAATTAAATACTCGTTATGAAAGACCGGGGCTAAATCATGCTTAGACCTATTCACTATTTCTTTTACACGCAGAGAGAACTATGGTGGGATGGAAGGATGTGAAAAGGAAGATTGTTCATGACCACGAATGATCATTAACTTTTCCTTCTTGATCGGGAGTTTTGAGGACAAAAGCAGCTAGCCAAGGGAGGTTTAATGCATAAACACAAAGACAAAGACAAAATACGGGGAAGTGGATGCTAAGGCGCACCAAATCTATGATTTCTCCACCAATGAAACCGTAGCCGGAAATGATCCGCATTGCGGCACCTTTAAGACAGCCGCCTTCCTGCTGATGATGAGAACATCTGAACACGTATTGCAAGGTTCTATCATGAGTTTCACAAATCCCATCATACCGGGTTTCAACCCCGACCCTTCCATTATCCGAGTGGGTCGGGATTTTTTTCTGATCACTTCAACCTTTGAATACTTCCCTGGCATTCCAATCTACCACAGTTGCGATTTGATTCAATGGAAACTGATTGGACACGTTCTGACAAGATCTAGCCAGCTTCAGATAAACACCCCCGAGCCGGGAGGCGGTGTATGGGCGCCGACGTTGCGTTATCACCAAGGGGTGTTCTACGTGGCAGCTGCCAGCTTTTCGCGTTACCGACCGCAAGAAGATGACCGAGTCTGGCCACTGGGCTTCTATGTTCGAACAACCAATATTTGGGATGACTCTACGTGGTCAGATCCTGTTTATTTCGATCAAGTTGGATTTGATCAGGATGTATGTTGTATCAAGGCTCAGACCGGACTGCGGTGAAATGTTGTTAACATTTCTACAGCTTTTCTGGGATGACGATGGCACAGTTTATCTTTCGTCAACTTATAGAAAGCTTAAAAGAACTCCAAATGCCAATATCAAGGATTTTGCGGTGCACATATGCACCGTGGATCTGGACACGGGCCACTCTACATCCGAGCCGAAGTTGATTCGCGAGTCAGCCTCGGGTGTCGCAGAAGGTTCTCACATTTTCAAACGTGGTCACTATTACTACCTGTTTACTGCTGAGGGTGGCACTGAGAGCGGGCATTGCGAATGGGTCTCTCGCAGTTCACATGGACCGCTTGGGCCTTGGGAGCTTGGGCCGAATAACCCGCTTTGGCGGAACGGAGCCGAAGACGAAGTACAGAACACAGGCCATGTTGATCTGGTCGAAGATGCTCAGGGTCAATGGTGGGCGGTCCTTCTCGGAGTAAGACCTGTTCAACGTGGGAACAAATGGGAGGAATCAGTCCTAGGTACTTAAATGTTATAAACGTGGCCTCCTGTTGAGCCTTTCATTAAATCTGCCGCAGGTCGCGAAACCTTTCTCGTTCCGTTGAATTGGGAGAACGACTGGCCAGTGATTGATGGGGGGAAGATCACCCTTCAAATGACAGGACCTGGACTCTACCATCATACAACACCGGTATCCTGGAAGGACGAATTTTCGAGCCCTCGACTACAATTAGGCTGGTATAGAAAGAGTAAGACCTTCAAGCCTTGGCTATGACCTTGACTAACTTTCAAGATACCCCCTTGATAACCGATTACTCGCTTACGGAACGCGTGAATCATCTCCGACTTTATGGCGGCCCTTACAATCTGTCTATTCCCGCATGTCCGACACTGTTCTTACGCAAACAAATCCATAGATTTTGTACCTGGGAAACAAGATTGTCCTTCCAGCCAGAATCGGAACATACCGAGGCAGGGACAGTACTATGGTGGAACTATTTTACATACATTAGCCTTGGAATTCGGAAGCGCGGTGATAGTCGCATTCTGCAGTTCCAGCAATCCGGTGGATCTTGCATGGAGCATACTCTGTCCCTAACATCTGAAGTGGTACTCGTGATTGAATGCGGTGACCAATATCGGTTTGGATATCGCGAGTTGACGGATCCTGAAATTACTTGGATTGGTGCCATTGACAACATTACTGTGGCCAAATCACCACCTTTGGGAGCAGCATTTACAGGAATGATGCTTGGATTGTATGCATTTGGCGAACGGCAAAAGTCCTTGACTCCCGCCGATTTTTCGTACGCGGAGTTTCGATAGAACGAAACTTCGGATAGGAACTTAGCATTCTACTGGGGTCCATTTATTTCTACCTGTCATACAGCCTGAGTGTTACTGCGCCTGATGATCTACGGTGTGCAGTCATAATCATGAAATCAGAAATGGCAGAATAGAAAGTGACAAATGGCGACCACCTTTGGTGTACACATTAATATTGCAATTATCTCCAGTCCATGGCAAACACTACACAGCGCCATCTTGCTATGCGCTGGTGTGGGGAAAGTCGGACTATTGTAAAGGAAGAACCAAGATGGCCAGCCCGAGGGCCCACAGACTGCCCGAGACAGCTTTGGAGCCGACATTGGAGAGGACGACAGTAGATGTGGGCTTGGGTGGAGAAATTGGGAGCGTAGTAACAGTGGTCGATTTCGCTTTCGTGAAAGTTGATGTACAGGTAGTGTGTCCATGGGGCGAAGTGGAGGATTTCGTGTCTGGGTTACCAGTCACCAGGCTGACAACGGTGGTGGATGCATCCGTGTGGGTACTGAAGCCCACCTGTGGGACAGTCACGGTGTGAGAAGACCAGGAAAGAGTCGTGCAAGGAGGCTCAGGTGCCGATGTCATTGGGACGATATGTCCAGTAGGCGAAGGTGCACCGGTTACATGCTGGGCAGGCACACTGCTTGACGGTGTGGTGGTTGGAACAATACTGATAATAGCAGGATTCTTGGGAACGTAAGGGGCGCAAATTCCGGCGAAATAGGCAAGTGCGGAATCGGTTTCCTGTTGGGAGCTGCTCCAGGCATGAACGCAGGAGTTAAACTTGTCGGTAAACTCAGAGGAGGGGCAGAAGCACGCGGCATCACTGTTGGATGTACACTTGGGAACAGAGAGCCAGGTATTCAAGCACTTAGGCACCAGATCTGGGCAAGGGGGGAGGGCTCGGCGCAGCCGATGTGGTAACGGGCAGTGGGACAGTGGTTTGCGGGGGCTGCTTGACGGGCTCAGTAACCGTCGTGTGCCAAGGCGTGGAGGCAGTAACGGTGGCATGGTCAGGACAATCAGTCACCGAATCTGGGCAACGAGTCACAGTGACAACACGGGTAGTCCAAATGATCGGAGCTGTCACCACAGGGGGCTCATGAGTGGAAGTAGACACTTTCACAACACTGGTGGAAGGCTTGTGCGATTCAACTGGAGCTGTCGGTATAAACACAGCGGATGTCGAAGGAGACGGAGGAGCAACGAGCGGCCCTGCAGGCTTAGGTCCAGACGAACAGTCAAAGCCCATCTGATGCAGTTCCAGATCAACTTCGCCAACTTGATCCAGCACAGAGAGTTGAAACTTCACTGAAACTGCATCACCACACTGCTCATTCACGACGTCGCTTCCCATGGGAGAGGTTGAGGCTATCTGGCGGCAGGTCGAGCCATCTGCCAGAAGATAGGTCATAATGATATCAGCATCGCGTGAGGTGGTGATGTGGAACTTTCGAACGGAGAACGGTGCCTGCTCAGCGTCGATTTGCAACTCCCAGTTATCTTCCCGGGAGAAGACTCCCTCGATACATTTGCCCTTTTCAAAGTCAGAATGAGCAATGTCATCAGCCGTCTGTACTTACTCCTGAGGCGCGGCAGCCATCCTTGGGTGCAAACCCATCAAAGCTGAAGCCTTCATAACTCCAGTTATCTCCATTGCCCAGTTCAGACCAGTCAAAACCAGACTCTTGAGCCGTGGAACAATGGTTGTCGGTATTTTCTGGACTCGGATAGCAGAAGTCGGTACCCCACCACTAGCATATGTTAGTTTGAGTCACAAAATTGAGAACACTTTGTACGTAAGTGCATGCGTATCTCAGGAGAGCTTACAAGGCCACTTGGATGGGCGAGAGCCACGGCACTCAAAAACACGACAGATCCAATCAACTTCATCTTGGATGATGGAGCGGATTTATTTGCAAGTAGTATTGCGAGAATTAACGAGAGACAGCAACGAATCAGTATTAAAGTTCTTATGGGAAAGAATAAGTCTCACGAAGAGAAAAAGGAGAGACGAGAAAGCAGAAGGGCGAAGTTGTCGAGTTGTCGAGTTGTCGTTGATTTGGATCCTGAACAGCGCAATAGAAGGCTTTTAAATCTTCCAGTCGCTAAGCATGAAAGCCACCAATCTCCCCTGGTATCAATGAGGGACAAGGAGGCTTGCAATGATTGGATCGTTAGATCACTATTGACCTCCTGGTGCCAAATAACACCGATTCTTCTACGGAATGTGATGCCATCATCACACCTTGAGCCCTGGGCCTAGTTCCGAATTAAGGTCAGAGTTAGAGATCATACGCGGGAATTGAACCAATCATGGACATCCGCTCAACCTCCACGTGAGTTCTTGCTTCTCATCCCTTGGTCGATCCCAATCGGATAGATGGAATGTCAGGGGCGCCAATCACAGAAGTCGGACCTGGAAGCCGGACAATATTCCGTGACGCATTCTGTACAGTCCCTTGCCTTGTTCTCAGGAACAAACCTGTCTCTGCGAGCTTTGTTATGAAATCCAAGGTCTCGATACTTGGTTCTGCGGCATGTTACGTCTAGGTGGAAATTGCACAAAGGCCATCGAGGTGCCCCAAGGCGCATGGAATGTCCGGGTATTGTTTACAGGTCGTTCTTCTATATGTGTGTGGCATGAGAGTTGTTGTTTTCCAAGTTTTGGCTGGTCTCCATGTAGACACCCACGACCAAAATGATTGCGGCTCTTTGATCATCGTCTACTCTATCAGCCCGCTGAACCACAACCTCTGTTACGCCGGCGCCATTGCACGATATCCAATGTACCCTGAGGGTGGCTTATATCTGTTCCGAGGATCCGACTGGGCCATACGACCTCTGTTATAGGTGCCATATGTGTGCTTTCAAAGGCTCAAGATGCGACCAAAGCAGGTTGATCACATATCAACGGGGTTGTGTGTAACAAGCGAAGAAACTCCCTGCACTAGCCACATGATCACCTGGGTATACTCCTAGCTTTAGACCTCCTTATGGACTACAAACTCCCAAAGATAATGCCGATTGTATGTGCTGTCACAGAGACTGGAGTAGAGAAATGGACAATGATTGGTGTGTCTGTCCGAAGAGACAAGACGACTCATAGAGCAGCCGATGACGATAATGAAATGTATTCATGATACCATTCCAAAGGCAAATTCCTGGAAGCTGTGTGACAGAGGGAAACTCAAAGCCTTGCGACATGGACTTGAAGATTTGCTTGGTCCTGTCTGCCACTTATCTACTATCTCCCGCTTATTAACCCCCACCCTTCACGAGTGCACTCTCTTCCTCTCAACCCATCTTAGCTACATATGACCAACTGGCTGTTTGTCTGTCCATTACCAACCAATGCTTGCTTGGGTGTTGCTGCAGGTGATATTTCTAGTCTGCGTTCCACAGAGGAGTGATTGAGAAAGCTTGTACCCCGGTCGAAAAGGTCAGGCAAGTATCGACATTGCTGGGAGTGTAGGTCACCACTGCGTCACCCGAGCAGTCTTTGGCCGCAAAGCCTACAATCTCCCAGCCCTCGTTATCGACTGATGTGCCGCAAGCCCACGTATATGTTACCCCAAGATTGAGATAGTAGCAGTCCGTGGGGTCATTAAGGGTTAGATACGCGCCCAGGGTGGAGCAGGTATTATTCAGGCTGCTTAACTCTAGCTCGACGTCAAAATTGGTCGGGACTGCATAGGACGAGTTTGCAGGAACCGAGGTGATGGCACCCGTCAGATTGGAGAGAAGGTGCCCGTCATAATTGGCAATATACGTCTCTTTTCGGAAAATCAGTATGGTGATGAAAGTCTGGTTTTTTTGGCTTTTCACTTACCCAAATCTAAAGTGGTGGTTCCATCTTCGGATGAGTACGTGCCATCGCAGTAGCATTGCAGAGTAGATCCACTATCGACGAGCTGGCAGTCGTCGCAAGAAGACCAATAAGAGCCACTATAGATGAGTTTGGGTTATGAAAGTTCAATTAAAAAGACAGACCCGTGGACGGTGCATGTAAAAACTCACTCTGTTTTCCACTACCAATACCGACGTGTTAGTTGTCAGGTGGTTACTATGTCATTCCAAACAGGTGTTGGGAATATTACAACATACCTTAAGAGTACCTTCGCTATTCTCGATTTTATTAGGAAGGTACACGCTGCTTGTGATCTCCCCGGTGCCATCATCTGTGGGACAAGTCGCGATCAGCCAAGAATCAATTAGGGATATATCCGTGCATTCAGAGGAATATCCTTGTGACTGGACCAGAGATCCCAGTCCAAGGACAAGAAAAGTGACTTGCAAACACTTCATGATGGTGAATTATAGGCTGCTGGAGTGATATGTAAGAAATGTTGATTTTCTTTCATCGCCCACAGTCTTTCTCCAAGGTTATATATGCCCTCACCTGGCAGCCACAATACAACCTCATGACGCGGCCAGCTTATCCCCTTTGACTTCTTTATTCCTGCCGAAGCCTAGTTCCACACTTCCTGTCAGTCCTCCACTTCTATCACAATCCTTCTGAATAAGCCCTAAACCGGTTCAAGAACGACTTCGGCAATAATGCGCTAGTCAGGGACTTTGCTTACCTCTAACCTGAATAGAAGATGACCTGCATCGGGGATAAAACTCTTGGGATCAAGCTTCACCAAACTCGGTTGTGAATGCATTGAACCGGGATATTGATTGGCTCTTGGGACTTTGCTCCCCTAGTCAAAAGCTAGTGTAGTGTGGCCTTGAAAAATCTCCTGCAGTTGCCGCATTCCCCTATCCTTCTAACGCATTACTCCCATTTACAACTTTTGCCCTCAGTCAAAAGGAGTAACCAGGAAAAGAACCATCAGACGTTGCAGTGCAAAGCACGGCGTGTAAGAGGGACTTCGGGTTCCTTCATCCATTGACTGGCTGGTGTTCAGCTCGGGAAGTGGGGATATCTCACATCATGTACTAAAATATTTGCGTGAGGCTGTAAAGCGTGAACCAATGATATGAATATATTTGAGAATTGAGCCCCACGCCCGCGGAAATGAATACTGCCCCACAAAGTAAGCACCAATAGCTTAGCGAGGGATGCTCCGTTACAATCGACGAAGCAGGTTTGGGTCGCGGAAGATGCATTCCTCTTTTCCCCTTTCTGTTTTCTTTTGAGCGTTTAGGAACAATAATATAGATATTCGGGGTAAAGTTCTAGATCTAACTTGGGTGATGGGCTCTATTTTAGGCTTAGAAGAAATAACCTGGAAGGCCACGAGATTCAAAGCATAGACTCCTGATTTTCAGTTGAGCACTGAGCAGCGAGGTCTCATCAGTAGTACTCGGCCAGTCCAAGGCTAGAGAAATCAGGCACATCATCCCCGCACTTGAAAGAAGGTGAATACGCTTTATCCGGTAAGAACCCCCCTTTTCCACGCGGTGCGATAGCTCCACTGTGCTGCGGTTTCGGTGCGCCAGGTCCAGTAGAACCAGCCCATGGCAGTCTCGAAAACGGACATCTGTGCTTCGGCGTAATATAGGAGCCATTTTTTGTACGCATCCGAGTACTCGGAGACGTCGGCGTTGGCATCAGCACAGCTGCATGTGCCCTCGCTGGCCGTGGGACAATACTGCGTCGAGGAACTCGTGTCATACGTTCCCTCCCACCGAGTTCCGCGACCGACGTTGTTCAAATATTCCGCGCAGTCAGTGTCAGCTTGGGACCACTCGCCACATATTGTAGGGCCCCATCCAGAACTAGTGGTATTAATAGCCTCGATCATACTATACCAGCTGCTGCAGATGAGCTCAATCTTGGCCGTGTGGTTTAGCACAATCTCGCCGGTATTGAAGGTGGTATACTGGTGCGTGTCCAGATACATGTTGTCTGGGTGGTCCTTGAACATTGCGTCCCATTTATCCAGATTCAGGAACCCGTCGTGGAAGACGATGGTGGCATTCACACCGTTCTCCCGAACTAGTTTAGCTGTCTGATTGTTCCAATCAAGGACTTTTTCCACGGACAAAGAAAGCATGAGTGGCTCATTGACAATGCCATACATCGTCACAATATTTTTATATCGGTCTTGGGCAAAGAATGTCGAGAGTTGATCATGAATCTCCAGACTTCGATTCGCGTTCAACTCCCCGTCTGTTCCATTCAACCAGCGGATTTGTCCTTGATGGCCACTATGTTGCCAGCCGTTTTGGCTACCAGGGACGCCATGAAGATCGAGTTTAACTCGGAGTCCATATTTGCGACAGTACTCGATTGCACGCAGGAGGTATCGCCAGGAAATCTTTGCCACGTAGGGATCGTCGTCATACACTTTCACTGCCCAGTAGGAATATTGGATGCGCACGTGGTCCAGACCTGCTTCTTTGATTTCGGCAAAGTCCTGCTCCGTATAGAAGGTCGCGTAATGCTTTTCGATGGTGGTTGCGGCGCTGGAGCCCAGTTGTTCACTCAATGTCCACTCATCAATAACACCAGCATCGGACGAGTAGGTGTTGAACAAAGATGGCACGATCCATGGTTCAATAGATAGCCAACCGCCAATATTGACTCCTCGAATAGGTTGTGAACCGTAGGGAAATGCTTCATTTAATGGCGGCACGTTATTGTTAGGTCTGGCAGAATCATCCCACGACGAGTTAAGACCCATGATGTACAAACCACCAATAGTGTCATTTGTAAAGGTTAGGTTGAACCCTTCGGTTTCATACCAGGTGAAGGGATCGAGGACGGTCCCTTGCGCATACGACTAATAATCGGGTTAGCTTCACTCCTCGCCAGTGCACCAAAGGCCAACTCACAGGAATGCTATCCCGACTAATTGTGTCCAGGTTGGCGGTCAAGTTGCTCGAGGAGCTTGACGAGCCCGAAGAGGAAGAAGACGAGCCTGTTGATTTCTTCTGGGATTCGATGACTGCGATTGGGATGATAATGGCAAGCAACAGCAAGATTCCCGCCATCGTTCCAATCCAGATACGTTTTTTCCTGGACCATGAATCCCAGAACTTCCAAAACGGTCGCCGCTCAGTACTCCCATAGCTTCCTTCCCAACCATCCTCGTATTTCCATGCCTGGTCCATCGCAGGACCACCTCCGCCACGGCGGCGAACATTCATGTCCGGGCTGTGGCCTGCTTCTAAATAAGCCCCAGATACGACTCTAGCTCCAGACTTGTGTCTTGGCCTTCCCTCAAGGAGTTCGGCGTCGAGGGCACCGGCTCCTGCCCCCAAAGCGGCTCTTTTCCGTTGTCGACGCTCTCTGCGTTCATAGTCTTCATCTTGGTGCCTGGATCGTTCCCGCGCTCGCTCTCGTTCTCGTTGGCGACGCTCCCATTGCTCCGGTAAATCTTCCATCTCGTGCTCAGAGGTCTGTCGCGTCAAAGCATCAGCGGCAAGTAAATGGGAAGCACTGCTTGTCGACTCCATGCTCCGATGCTTCTTTTCAACTGCCCCGGCAGCAGCAGCTTCCATGTTCCGCTCCCGCTGTCTCTCTCTTTCACGCCGATCTCTTCGCCTCTGTCTCCTCGCCTCCGCATCAACATCGAGTTCCCCTGCCCGATCTCTGTCCCGAGTCCGTCGCTCTCTCACTTCCTTTGTAGGACTTCCCTCTCCCTCCACATACTCTCTCCTTCGCCGATGCCCGTCGCGATCCCGCTCCCGATCACGTTTCTTGATAGGCGATGTAGCGGGCGACTCCTTTGCCTTGCCCCCCTCCTCTTCCCTCCGTCTTCGTCTCCGCTCTCTGCGTCTCTGGTCTTCTTCGTATGCATCAATTCCATCTCGCTCTTGGTCGTAGGAATCATAACCCGCATCCTCCCCCTGGAACCGATACTTTCTTCTCTGTGGATCCCCAGGACTGGACACTGCGCCATCATCATCATCATCATATCTCCTCCGTCGATGCTCTCTTTCCCGCCGACGCTCGCGGTCGCGCTCTCGATCGCGGGACTGCCCGTGTCGATCGCGGCTACGAGACTCCCCCGGCATCCCCTCTCCTTAACAGTGTCACCGCAGGACCGGAGGTTCGTGATCAATCATGCACGGATCCTTCAATGTGGTTATGGGGCTTAGTGCGCTGCAGCGGGCCGAGCTCGCTCTTTCGGGCCGCTCAGGGGCGTGGAATGCTCGCGTGAGAATGTGAAGCCCCGCGCAACGTGTTCGGCAAATCGGTGTGACGGCTCGGATTATTAATTCTCGTGGTTGGTTTGGAAATTCTGGAATCGCAATGAAAGCGGTTAGGCAAGTCGCAGGCGTTGGGGGTAAGTCAAGAGTTGTTTTGATCACCTTTTCGCGCGCGTTCCAAGGTTAGTGCGCGTAAGGCTGTTGAAGACGCGGGGTTTCTTCCTTCGCGAACGTCGGGGGCTTAGTCGCGTTGTTCTTTGCTTTGCTCTTTCGATGTGATCAGTAGCTTATCTTGAATCACAATGTTGGTGTGGACTCTGGAGTCTGCGATGTGAGGGACGCGTAAGTGGTGGAGCTGTGAGGACCAGGGTCTTTGCGACACACTACATTACCCTATATAGTCCTGGTTTACTAGAGTCGGTTTTTGCTTCATTTTTTGGAAGGTACAGTATACTACTCGGGTCCTCTAATTGGGCATTTTTACCATTTTCAATCAATGTGTATGCTGAAGTTTGATTGGAAATCGTGCCCGCGGGTTTTCTTAGGTGGTTCACCGTCTCGGCCATTCGGTCTCGGTCATTCAGTTCGAGGCCGCCGATATATATCGCTGATCTATTGTCCCGCCTCAGATCTCCAGATTTTTATTAAAACACCAAGACTTCTAGAGTTTGAAATCAGAGACATTTTGATCTTGTTTCATAGGTACTAAAATGCCAACCAAAATTCAACCGCGCAGGGCAGAGCATCTCGGCTCCCTCCTGTGTCCTACAGAGCTTCTCCAGGCCGCCTCTGGCAACAGAGACCCAAGGACATTGTAAGAAATCAAGAACCGAGAGATCGCAGTGATTGTGAAGGACCAAATCAATCTTGGACTCAGAGTAGTCAATGATGGAGAGTACAGGCGCACTCGTAAGAACGCTTGAACCCTATGCCGAATAACCATTGACTTTCTAGTATTTTGGGGGTCTTTTTTTGACTAGCTTGATGGGTTTGAGGAAGTCCCGTTGGTTGCAGAGGACATTCGGATGTATATTCCCAAGAACAAAGCGCTTCTGAACTATCATATTGGAAGTACGGTTTTATGCACGAGCAAGATCAGACACCCTGGACATAGCCCACACTTAGAGGAATTCCTCTACATGAGATCGATTGTTGAGCCAGACAGGCTGGGTGATGTCAAAATCACCATTCCTGCACCCCATTGGTACCATCTCCGGTACAAGCATGGTCATGCTTACCGAAGCGAGGTTTATGCATCCGATGAGGAATACTTCAAAGATCTGGCAGCAGCCTATCGAAAGGAGCTACAACTTCTGTACGATGCAGGTCTGAGACGGGTTCAAATAGACGATCCTGACCTGTCATGTGAGTTATCCCAGTTTCATTTCGTATTTCGACATGAAAGACCGAAGTTCCGAATCTGATGGTGTTCACAGACTTCTGCTCTAAGGATGTCCTAGAAAACTGGGCTCTTGACGAGACAAATACACAATCCCCCACGGAGCTACTTGCATCATACATCAAATTGTACAACGACTGCCATGATGTGCCTCCTGACATGCATGTCGGAATCCACATTTGCCGGGGCAATTTCACCGACAGCCGATATTGGTCGGCTGGCGGCTATGACGCAATAGCGATTCAATTGTTTCGGGAGCTCAACGTTAACACCTTCTATTTGGAATTTGACACTTCACGAGCTGGCGGATTTGAGCCTTTGCAATTTTTGCCAGTGGGAAAAAATGTGATCCTAGGTGTCGTCTTGACGAAGTCGGCAGAAATTGAAAACATTGAGGAGCTGAAAGAGCGCGTCCTCAAGGCTGCCAGCTTTATCGCAGAAGGAAATGGTATCGGCCTTGAAGAAAGTCTTCAGATGGTAGGTGTCAGCCCCCAGTGTGGCTTCGCAAGCAACAGTCGAGAGGATCGCTTTACAAAGGAGAACATGTTGGACAAGTTAAAATTGGTGAGAGAGTTGGCAACTGCTATCTGGCCGGGAGAGGCGTGATACGGCCTCAAGCTCCTGCATTTGCTAGGGTGGCGTAACGTGGAAATTGTGCTCAGAGAAATGGACTAACTAAAAATGAGTCCGAGGATTGAGAAACATGAACAGCATGGCTTAGCTATATTCTATGAGCTTCCAATGTATTTCCCATTAGTTCCATCCAGCTGTGCTTCTAGGACCGCACTTCTACCTCCTAGAACGCTTTGGATTGCCTCGGGTAGCCCCTGTGCCAATTCCGCCACGTTAGATGCCCGGCCAGCCCACAATTCCCCACCGGCGGCAGCTTTCGCAATTCCAGCATAGTCAGGGGTGGGCGCAAATGAGATGTTCAAGTCCTCATTCGTAGCTCGGGAACCATCGCCATTTGGGTGAACCAGCAGCATGCTTCGCCGAGGCGCATTCCATCCCTTGTTGTTCAACACGATGGTCAAAATGGGGATATTGTAGCGACGTGAAATCCAGTAAACCGAACCTGGGACGGAGAACAAGAATGTACCATCACCGACAACTTGTACTACAAATTTACCCTTACCGGGACCTCCATTCTTCACATCCGATGCCAGCTTGATTCCAAGTGCGCCACCACCAGACCAACCCAGACCGCCGCCGCCACAGTTAATCCAGGAGTTTGGCAATGTCGCAGCAATCTGATCCGATACAGGGTGCGACAGTGTGACCGCTTCGATCGCCCAAATTGCGTCTGTAGGGCAACCCTTGCGAACTTCCGACATTAAATACGAAACGTTGATCAAGGCTTCGTCACCACCTTCAGGCAGAGCAGCCGAGTCGGTGATCTCCTGTCGTCGCTTTAAATATTCCTCATCACGTTGCTGTCCCATTGCTATATTGTCCTTGGATCCAATGTACTGTTGGATCTGGCCGTTGATGCCGATATAGTCGTTGAGCTGCTTCAGTGCAGTTGCGGAGTCCGCACGGAATGTAGCCATTGAGTTGATGTAAAACACAGGAATTTGTTGCTTCAGGGGGTCGACATCAATATGAATTATCTTCGTCGAATCGGAGGGCTTGAACTGAGTTGGCACCCATGGAACATCGCAATCAATCACAATAATAAGATCAGCGGTCGTCACTAGTTCGTGGCCTGGATAACTTAATCCCACCCAGGCCGGGTGGTTGGCAGGGAAGCACATGTCGCTTCCACCAGTGTCTAGGACTCGAATTCCCTTGAAGTGATTTGCCAAGGTCACCAGTTCCGTCACAGCCTGGGCTTGTCGGCCAGTATATCCGACCACCACTAACGGGCTTTTCGCATTCGCAAGCTCGGATGTAATCAACTCGACTCCGGCTGTGGGCAGGGCAGCGGGTGAGACGGGTCCCCAGACCTTTTGATTCAGCTGATAGGGTTCGATCTCTTCCTCCATGACTTCTCGAGCTCCGACCAGATAGACCGGGCCCTTTGGGTCACTTGTGGCCCATTGAAGGGCTCTGTTCACGATCTGTTTCACATTCTTCCCGGATTTGAGTTCTCCGGTGTAACGACAATATTGTGACACAATTTGCTTTTGGTCTGGCACATCCTGAATCCAGTGGATATACTCAGTCCGTGATCCCCGGGTCTCTCCTTCGATTGTGTACGGAGACAGACCAGCAAAGATCAGAACCGGAGCTCGGCCGCAAGAGGCATTGTGAACCGCAGCGCCCAATCCTTGAGTACCCACATCGACATGAACGATAACAGCTTGAGGCTCACCAGTGAGGCGAGCGTATCCATCCGCCATCGAAAGTGCTACCATCTGGACGGCAGGGTTAGCTCTTGTTCCCGTTCCACACATGACCGCGCTATGAAAATCGCTGAAACTGCGAGTCTCAGACGATGACAGGAGGCTTCACACATACCTCATTGGGACATGTGATGATTTTCGGAAACTGGCCATTCTTCTCCCGCTGTCCTTTCAACATGGCCTCGAGAATTGACGGGTGGTCTGACCCCAGATTAACAAAGACATGACTGACGCCACCCTGAAAGGAAAAGAGCATTAAAATGGTGTGATAATGACGATGTGCTGGCCACAAACCTCCCAAAGGGCCTCAAAGAAGGCAAACGACGCGGTATACACCCTGGTCAATCGACAGTGAGTTTCTATGCAAAAGAAGCATTGTGGAGATATCAACATACATGACTATATTATGATTCCTCTTATTGTTCAACAAGAGCTTCAAGGGTAGAGAATAGGATAAATAGTTGGAAAAGAAAGATCATTGTGAATGCGGGGCAATTCCGTTGCTCTCGATCAACCAAGTTGGCGATCATTTCGGAGTTGTGTCCGAGATGAGGAGATGTGGGGGGCAACATCCACCGGATCTTTTGGAATCCACCGGATGTTCTTCGCCCAGACTCAATTTTGGCTAGGTTGTGAGCCAAGGGTATTTAGAGTGGTGATCTTGCATCGGGCTGAGCTTTCCCATATTCTTAAGTCGGGATGACATTTTGTTGATGGAGCCCCAAGGGATACTATTGGATCACATCAGCTCCTGTGAAATGATACCGCCCCAAGTAAGAGTTCAGGAATCAGGTGACAGCAAGGAGCACATCACGGCATCCATAGCTCACCTGTAACCTCGCATCCCCTTGTTCTTGTGGTCTTCACCCCCTGCCCCTGGCTTCACGGCTAGGATGGAGAAAAGAAGCTTTTTGGGAAAATATAAGTGTTCTTCTGTTTTTGGTTTGTGAACAGGGTGCACTTCGCTTAATCAATGTAATCTTGTTCATTGGTGGAAGATATTCACCAACCCTTGCTATACCCGGGAAGATCAACGCAGACTTGTTCCCCAGGCTTTTCACCACCCGGGGATATTAAGACTTTTCCGTCGCTCCCCCGCAGGATGTTTCTCCGCAATTGAAGTTCGGTATAAAGATCTCCGATTCAATAGAGACTTGACTTGGAGCCCCATAAATATGGGGCCATTCAACTCTTCCTCGTGGTTTCCACTTGTCAGCAACTATCACGATGCATCTACTGGAAATCTCTTCAGTGCTGGCCATTGGGCTGGCGCTTTTGACTCCTGTCTATGCAGTTCCGACCAGTGGAAATGTTTGCACTGTGAAGGCAAGAGGTCACCAAAAGGATGACGTTGAAAACATTTTACAGGCATTTAAGAAGTGCGATAACGGTGGCACCGTGGTTTTCCCCGAGGATCAATCATACTGGATTGCGACGCGATTGAACCCAGTCCTTAATGATGTTAAAATCGAGTGGCGCGGCAAATGGACAGTGAGTGATCCATCCCCAATCGCAGGCAAATTTTGATCAGTGGTCATCTGAAGAGAGAAAGCTGATGATCTGAAGTTCTCTGATGACCTGAGCTACTGGCGCAACAATTCCTACCCAATAGCCTTCCAAAACCATCACGCTGGTTTCATCATTTCTGGAAACAAGATCACCATTGATGGCTATGGAACAGGCGGAATTGATGGAAACGGAAATGTGTGGTACGATGCGGAGGAAGGGACTACGCAGCCAGGGCGACCAATGCCATTTGTGTTTTGGAATGTGTCGGATGTCAACGTGGAGAACTTCTACGTGAAAGATCCACCGCTGTGGAGCTTGAACATTATGAACGGCAAAAATATGCGTTTCAACAATATCATATGCAATGCTACCGCAGTGAATGCGCCGTATGGGGAGAATTGGGTACAGAATACAGATGGCTTCGGTGAGTAGCTCATCCAACCCACTGTTAATCAAAAGGAAATTAACGGAGGCAGATACGATGGATGTGGACAATGTTCAACTCACCAACCTGGTATATCAAGGTGGGGATGATTGTATCGCGATCAAGCCACGTTCCTACAATGTCGACATTCGCAATGTTACCTGCCACGGAGGAAATGGCGTTGCGATTGGAAGCTTAGGGCAGTATCTGGAAGACTCGGGTGTGGCCAATATTCTAGTCGACAACGTGAAGATCATTCGACGCAATAATGACATGGAAAACGGCGCCTACATCAAGACATGGATGGGCGGCCTCGTGCCCCAGAGCTCGTATGAAAGTGCCGGCCTTCCCCGTGGCGGTGGCTGGGGGAGTGTGCGCAATGTGATATTTTCGAATTTCGAACTGGATGGTCCCAGCTCCGGAATTGCCATAACTCAAGACAGTGGTGACAATGGTTCATACGTTGGAACGAGTAAGATGAGCATTTCCAACGTTGCGTTTGTGAACTTCACAGGATATATCGACAGGGACTCGACTAAAGTCGCGTCGGTATCCTGTTCCAATCTGCATCCATGCTATAACATTGACTTTGACAATGTTGTATTATATCCCGAGAACACCACCACTCCAGGCATAGGATCTTGCTCTTACACAGCCGATGATGGGGTGCATGGGCTCGAAGGATGCTAGTCAAAACTTTTCAGTGCTGCTTAGCTAGCTCATTGTTCTCCAATTGATATCTGAGATATAATTCATTCTTTCAATGCTTCTCACAGACCCTAGTAGCCAGTCTACGCTAATCTAGGCTTAGCTCGTACTCCTACCCCTACCGCCCCACGTCTTATCTCCTTCCACTTCTTTGCCTTCGTTGTAACTGCCCATATCTGCTTCCTGATCAACGTCAAAGTTTGCTTGCTCTGTGTGGAACATCTGGAAAGGCCGACAAAGGTAGCATAATGAGTCGCCATGGAAAGCTCCAGGTCGCACCGTTCGGACAATGGATTAGCCCTATCACGGACGAGATGATCACATCTAAAAGTATCGTCTTTACTGAGATTTCCGCTGCTGTAAGTATGTTCATATATTCGGCATAGATATTTGCGCATACTAAACAGATAATCAGAAAGATGGTATATTTTATGTAATTGAAGCTCGTCCAAGTGATGCTGGACGATGCTGTATCGTTCAATGGCGCGATGGACAGGCTAGAGATGTCCTACCTCAAGGATATAGCGCACGAACGGCAGTGCATGGATACGGTGGAGGCGCAATCAGCCCTCTACCAGACAACAAAAGATTAGTTTTCTCGGACGCACGTACACACGGAGTTTGGATCCTCGATTCTACGACCTGTCGCGTCACAACAGCTATCATGCCAAATCCCCATGTCTATTTCGCGGATTTTCATGCCCATCCAATTCAGGAGGAGTGGATCCTAGCAGTTCGCGAAGATCATCGATGCTCGTCAGGGCAGGTTATTAATACCATTGTCGCGATCGATTTAGTCAAAGGCAAAACACACAGCCTGGCCAAAGGCGCTGATTTCTACACGCACCCACGTTTTGACCCGTCCGGAACTCGAGTGTGCTGGACGCAGTGGCACTATCCAAACATGCCTTGGGTTGGGACCGAGCTTTTTGTGGCGTCTTGGAAAAATGACGGCTCTATGGATAAGCCTACCTTACTTGCAGGAAGAGAGGGCCATGAGAGTATCGCCCAGCCCCGATGGGGCCCCGATGGTACGCTTTATTACGGTCCTGATATCAGCGTTAACTGGCAACTTTGGCGATGGCATCCAGACTGGGTTGATTCTGTTCCTACACCCGTTTCCCTGGATGGGCTAGAAACAGGCGAGTTTGCTGGACCAGAATAGTGGCTTGGCAGGTACATATATCCTTCATCTATTTTCTCATGGATTGGTCTCATGATTAACTCTTGTGCTTTGTAGTTGTGCATATGGACTTCTCGATTCCAACACCATGGTTGCTACATGGACATATAACGCCACCGAGCATCTCGTTCTCATAAATCTCACGACCTTGAAATATCAATTTATCGCAGCTCCGGTTGCAGCGCTTACGGGAATCGTTGATAGCGCCCTAGCTGTAACTTCTCCCATCAGCGTGGCTATTATCGCATCTTCACCCAACTCTCCGCAGGCCTTATACCACGTGAAATTGAGCAAACCGGTCTCTTTTACCACTCTCCGGTCTTCGACTACGATTTCCGTCCCCAAAACATTTTTCGCGCAAGGCAGATCTATCTCATTTCCTCGTTCGAATACAGGACCTGACTCTGGCGAGAAAATAGATATAATCGCAAAGGCTCATTCGACTGCGCATGCATTTTTCTTCCTACCTCAGAACCCTCACTATGTCGGTCCTGAGGGCTGTCTACCCCCATTGATCATTTCGATTCACGGTGGCCCCACCCTTCATTCCAGCCCTGGGCTTTCTTTACAGTGGCAGTATTATACAACCCGTGGCTACGCTGTCGCCCTGTTGAATTATGCTGGGTCATCGGGATACGGAAGAAAATACCGCGAGATACTCAACGGGAAATGGGGGACTCTAGATGTCCAGGATGCCGCCGACTGCGCACGATACCTTAGTTCTTCAGGTCTAATAGATGGAAATGCGATTGGAATAACCGGGGGTAGTTCAGGCGGCTACGCTGCTCTACAAGCTATCTGCGACTTCCCATCCCTTTGGGCAGCCGCAGTGAGTATCTCGGGGATCAGCGACATTGAAGCGCTTGTCAAGGACACGCATAAATTTGAAAGCTTCTACCCCCTGAAACTTATTTTTGGACAAGACGTGCCTAGGGATGAAAGTGTTCGACAAGTGACATATCGTCAGCGCAGTCCACGTTTCAAAGCACAGAAGAACAAGATTACAGCTCGGACAATGTTGCTCCAGGGACGGGAGGATCAAATTGTTCCTTTGAACCAAGCTGAGGCCATGACGCGCTCAATCCTTTCCAATGGCGGTACAGCAAAGCTCATAGTCTTTGGTGGAGAGGGTCATGGGTTCCCGCGGGAGGCAGAAAATGCACTACGCGCGGTGCGAGAAGAAAACAAATGGTGGCGCCAGAGTCTAGCCATTCAACAGGCATCCTCGCATCTAGAAATCAGTATCTCCTTGGCAGCTTTATGTTACATTGCTGTGATCTTTTGGTTGTATCAGCGATTTTAAGATTATTAAATTATTGCTTATGGTTTTTATGGTCAAAGATTTTGACAGTTTATGCATATAGTCTAGTATGAACTCAGTAAGTGATGATATTGTAAGGAGAACAGGGCTAAGTCAATAATGGCAGCCCTCAAGTATAGCCAAGTAGGATTTTCTTTACTCAATCCTTGGACCTTCAACAATGTATCAGTGGGACAATCATGACTAGGTGCTCGCCTATTACATTACTATAATATTATACTCTTAAGAAACTCACTCGGACCTCGGAAAACCCACAACTCCGTCCCTTCTGGGCGTTCTCTTCATCCAGACCTCTTTATCCGGAATGTCCAAATTGGCAACCATTGCCTCGGGAACCAATTTCGCCTTGCTATAAGGGCTTCTGAGACTGACCCCATTGTAAATTTCAATCACATGATCAACTTGCCGAGGCAGATCTCCCCAGGCTTCGTCACCTTCATTGTCCGCTTTTGAAGGAAGGTGGTACGATTGATGAGAGGTCGGGATCGGCCCGGATGGTCTAAGCCTGCCTGGTTCACTACCTGGAAAGGAGTCGACATGATGGGAATTTCTGCCTCTTTCATGGATCTGCTTTGCATCAAGCTTACCTGAGATAGCATCGTTGCAGGCCTGGCGAACAGCCTTCATCTCATGGGCCAGGTTGATGACAGTGGCAAATATTTCCTCAGCCTCATCATCGTCGAATTGACCAATACAGTCATCAACAAATGCCATCAACCTATGCAAATTATATTTGTTATAGTCGTCGGTACGGCTCCATAGCACAATTCGCAGACCTCGGAGTATTTGCTTCTTAGATGAAATCCGGGCCAGCATGCATCCGGTACATTTGTTGGCCTGGTATCGCCAGGCGCCAGGCGCCACAGGTATGGTGTTTGGCGGCGTCCACATCCCCTTCAACGCTCGAAGGTCTGCTAAGGTCTTTGTTTCACAAAGGGGAATAAGCTCTGGGTGTACATCAAATGCATGGAAATGCACAGTAATCTCCCGTTGAATAAGGTGTAATATGTCAGTGGTCACTTCAGGATTCATGAGGTGGTGGACTCCACATAATTTGGGTGAATTATTCACTTTAGGGCGTCTTAGGCATTTAGGTAGAACTAGAATGAATCGCAAGATGCGAGTCTTATAAGATGAATGAGTTGTGTTGTCTAAATGCAGTATCTGTGTCAGCATTGTGATCTCAGCTTGTGTGAGCTCTACAAGTGACTCTGGGTACTTCTCAAGTGGTTCAAGGTCGGGTCTATTGGGTCTACCAATAGGCGCAAGAGTAAGTTGCTTTCTATGGTCCTGGCTTCTGTGTAAATTCATGCCTGCGTCGCAAGGCAATCCTGAATGCGTATCTCAGTCGTAACGTTTGTGAGAATTTGGAATTTTGGCGAAATTGAAATAGGACAATCTGATGGGGAATGCCACTACATTTATGCAGTGCCTTCGTCTATGAATATCCAATGTCTCTGTTTCTATCGGAGCCATGAACCCGGTTTGTTTCATGTTCTTTATGCCTGGACACAAATATCATTATGCTCTGTATCTTATTCGATTCTTTGTTTATTCCCATACAGTCCTTTGGACTATGCTGTTTTTACAACCCTTTATTTTCGTGAATGAAATTCAAAGCATTCGTGTCTTTCATTGTCTTCCACCCATTGTTTAACTTGCCGGGGATTTTTCCCTTCAAGCAGTCCATATCATGGCTTCTAATACGTCACATCCAGATCCGCACGCAGGAGTCCGCACCTCCTGTCCCTAGAACATGGCAAATTCCATGATCTCGATTAGTCTGCCTGGGGCCCCACCTAATACAAGTTAAGAAGTGCTCTGAAGAATCATCAATGGTTTTCACTAGGCGTGCGTCCTGTGACAAATCCCAGCACCGGATCGTGCGGTCGTCACCCACACTCATCAGGTATCTCCCTCCTGGATGAAATGCAAGGCCACGGACCCAACTGTCATGCCCTACCAGGGTTTTGACGAGGATCCCTCAATCATTCCATAGTTTGATTGTTTTGTCTCTGCTTCCAGTGGCAATGAACGTGGAGCCCCTCAATGACGATACCATCAATGGAGCAAGAGCAGCTATATTGGAATGGCTCAAGGCAGGGGCAAAGGCACAACATTCGATGTAGCTCTCATGGCCTGGTAGACTGGTCTTTGCTTGACCGGAAGAGGCTTCCCAGATCGTAGCGGTGCGATCATCTCCCCCGGCGACTAAATACACTCCATCAAAGGAGGGCGCAATGTCGCGGATCCACTCGCCTCCGGTGTCGATACGCTTCACACAGTAACCTGTGAACACATCCCAAATGCGAATTGAGGCGTCCCGACCGGTAGATACTAGCAGGGTCCCCGTCGGCGTGAGAAAGCGAACGGCCGAAACGGGTTGATCGTGGCCGTGCAAGGTGCGAGCATTTGTATAGTCTGTATTTGGATCCCATGGTGAGATCGCCAGAGCCGGACGCGAGCAGGGTGCGCCCTTGAGGCCCACCGAAATCTAGGCCAAATACCGGTCGTGAGTGGCCTTTCAACGTGCATTCCAGCACACCAACTTCCCGATCCCATATCTTGATAAAACAGTCTTCGGATGCGGAGGCCACAGATGGATGGAGCGGGTGGAAAGCAAGACAGGTTATTGCCGCGCGATGGGACTGCAACATATGTTTCGCGCTAGATGTAGGCAGCCAGTTGGTTGGCGTCATTTCCATATCGATAGGAGAAGCACTTTCAAGTTTCGATTCTAAGCTGGTGATTCTTGATTCTAGGTCCAAGATCTATTCGCTTATTAGCCTGCTACATCTCAATGGACCAAGGACATACCGCACCCTCCTCTGTAGCCGCATCACGTTAGTCCATTTCGCGCCAAAAGTCCTTCGTATTTCTTGCGGGCGACAATATCGAAGCTGTTATCCACTGGAAGCTCATTTTCGACGATTTCAACACTTTGTCGCGCATTTATGGATGCTAAATAAGCAATCATGGACTTGTGACTGTGAGAGATTAGCTGAAGGTCTCCGCACTAACGACTATCAACCTACAGCTCTCCGGCCTGTCTAGTTGTTAGGATGTGAGTCATGACGGGAAATTTCTCTAATAAGGGAAGCGAAAACCTCAAGGGTCAAGAGACGATACAAATACTGCTCAACTGGACTCCGAGCCATCGTACAAGCTGTGACTTGCATGTCATCTATCATGTTGACATGCAGTCCAGGTCACACAAGATCTGGGTGTCGTCCCTTGCCAAAACAAAAAAGATCTTGATAATATTCTTTCATTGGATATTGCCGGAGTATTTGTAAAAAGGAGTCTCACGTTCTACGTCATATAGATTGGACGTGAGTTTTTTGAGTTGTACATGAGCAGAGGCCACCTAGTGGCCGTACAGGATCTGCCGGTCCGTCACTCACTCCAGACATTGGCCGCCCAAAGGCACCAGGTATCAAGAAGCTGCGTGTCCTCTATCATATGGGAAGAAAAGAAATAGAGAGAAAACGCCCGTCGCCGTGCAATGCAAGTGGAAAGTGTAGGAAAGATGAGTGGGAAAACAAGACAATCTCAAGCCTTGCCCTTCTTCTTGTCCTTCTTTTTCTTATCCGAGTCGGCTCCCGAGCTCTCGCCAGACATGCCAGGCATGCCAGGCATTCCTGGGATCGAAGGCATACCGGGCATCCCCTGCATATTCTGCAGTTCCGCCATGGCTTCTTTGAACGGGTTATCGCTCACGCCACCTCCACTGTATGCAGGCGAATGAATGGGCAAGATGGTTCCGATTTTCCAACCACGCGGAGCCTGGGGAGCTTCTGGGAGTTTCTCGGGGGTCGGGAGGCCACGAATGCGGAGTCGGTATGGGGATTGTTCGTTGGTCGGGTGAGCTTTCAGGTATTGCGCGACGATGATGAAAAGATGGTGTTCTGTAGGAAAATCAGTTAGTGTCGATCCAATGCCATTGACAATCACCAACAGCGCATTGTGGAGAGATGACAACCGGGCACGTACTATTTTTGATGTTGGAGTTCATCAGGCGGCCATTCTCATCCTTCAAGAGCACACGCACCCGGCCAGGATTCGCCCAATCCTTCGGGTGTAGCTTCTCGGGCTCCAAGGCGACTTTCAATCCTAGCATCTGTACGGCGTCCACAATGTCTCGAGCCAGCGGGTTTTCGACTGCAAGTTCTGTTCCAACCTTGCGGCCCTCCGCGCGGGAACGGGTCTTGTCGAAATAGACGGGGTACAGGCATTGGTAATGTCTGGGAATTTCACGCTGGGGCTGAGGCTCGGGCATTTGGGGCATCTGGGGCATCTGGGGCATCTGGGCCACGGGTGGGCTTGGGGTGGCCGTAGGTGCGGAGGCCGGGGCAATGACGAAGTCGCTGGGAAGGGACTCCGAGGGAGCGACCTCATCGGGGTCGGAGTCAGACAGCTCCTCGATGCGGGCGTGGTGCGACATGGCGATGGTGAAGGGTGTTGGGGAGAGAAAATACGGAAAGTGGCCTTCTGCTGCTTGTGTTCTGTGCGGGCGGAGTAGTGTGGGCTGCTTCTCCCCGCCCATTGACCAGTTGCCATTGCTGACATTTCCATACTTCCCAACAATCGACTTGGAACCAAGGTTGCAAATGTAGGTTGTTCCAAACGCGACCTGGCGGAAAGGAATCTTCAGGTCAACCTTGTTGTCCATCATTCGGAATCGCCATCAGTCAGGCAAATGCTTAACGAAGGCACCCGAGACCAATAGAATATCCCAATTAACGATACGATCTACGCCAATGGAAATCATAAATTGATGCAATAGATCTTGAATGAGATCGCTCTGCATGTGACCACTGAAATGTAAACAAAAGCTGGACTTACGATTGCCTAGGTTCTCTCCGTCTGTTTCTTTACCCCCTCCGGTATATAGACATCCTGAGATATTCTTTTGGACTTCGCCAAAGTAGGCCGGGAAGTTTCTTTCCGGTCCTTCCTTTTCCTTACCCAGCTCACCTTTTTCTCTGCTAGTACTTTCGACAAAGATTCCTGATAGGCGATCTGATGATCCGGCATCAATGTCTCCAGAATCCATGGAATAGAAATAGAGTAGAATCATCGGGAGCGCGGATGAAACGGCATTGTCATACTACCTTTTAATATTGCAGATAAATAATACTGCAGTTCAGATGGGAAAAGCCGATACCTATGCAAACTGATCGAAAAGGACTCCGGTGATCAAATGCCCTCTTTTCAGGGATCACCATCTTTGAACTACTATGTGCGGGCAAAACTCGATGATGCCATTGAAAATGTTTGGGGGATTGTTCCTTCAACATTAGTAGTTTGTCCCCCTAAACAATAAAAAGAGAGGATTTCGCTTCTTGAAAATTTCGGTTCCCCGGCCTATCTCCGTTTTTTTTTCTTGGTGAATCCCTTCAACTCCGTTCTTTGTCTCAGTCGATGGATGGTAACCGCCGAGAAATATGTATATCACGTCGAGGAGATCATTATTTGGGAGACATAACCCGATCCATTTTGCTCACAGTAGTCTGGATCTTACTCATATGATCGGCTGATTTCTGATAGTACAACCAAATAGAGTTGTTCAATTGCCCCTGATACTGACGCCCAGTAGATTTGTGAATCACTTTGCCACAATCGCCGCGCCAAATTGGTTCCGGGCGAAAGGGTGTGGGAATAAAGTTGGAGAAGGTAGTGACATAGACGAGAGCAAGAATCCGCGCCAGGTTCGCCGGGAGCTACACCCGCTCCCCGACACATAGTACGGTATGATGTTCTAGAATCCACGGCCTCGGGCCGATGCACAGGATTAAGTATGCATAAGTTGAAACTTTGTTGTGGGGTATTCGACACTTATCCTCGCACCCATCTCATAATTGATTATAGTGAACATGGTAGGAGCACCTTTAAAGATTCTTGTGGTTCAAGAAATAACAACCTTGGAAATGAGTGGTAAGGCTGACCCCAGTTTGGGACGTACTATATCCTGCGTATCACTGCATCCTAATTTCTACCATGACTAATAGTTTGATAAGGTACATGTAATTCATGAATGTGAACGAAGAGTTCATGTATGGGCTTGAATTCGGATCAAAACAGTGACGTGTAAACACGGGGACAGTTCGTGCTGGCCAAGATGACGTTTCGGGCGGCGCGGTGGTGGAGGTGTTGTTGAAAAAGACGTGTGGGGATGGTTTGGAATCTGAACGATTCATTGATGGAATTGCAATTACTCCGTGTTCACTATGCGCGAGAAGGTCCAAGCGCTTTTGGAGGAACCCACTGAGCGCGGGTAAGCCAATGGTGTCATCGGCAGTCATTTCACGAGCCGATCAACCCACGAGGCCAGGTATGCCGGAAAGTGGCACGGAGCGATCGAGCCGATGGGACCGGGGTTACTCCGAGTGCTCGCAAGTTCAACTCGGTGATGTTTCCGTAGGAAATCTAGAATTATTGACAAAGCAGTGTTGAATGAACAGTTCTACTAGGAGAACTAAACCGAATTGGGTGCCCGACCATGGAATCCGTATGGGAATTGGCAAGTGAAAACCGAGTCTCATTAGTCAATTCCCCAGGTCCCCAGGTCCCCAGGTCTCGGCGCTAGCTTGCCCGTGGAATCGGTAAAAAAATTTATCTCCGGTTAAAAGCGGGTAATAAATATGACATCACTGAGGGAATATGCTGATGGTATACGAGGCTGTGAACTAAGAGAGATGTAGAGGTGTGAAGTGCAATCTTCAATCAAGAATTCTCCTTCTGAATCAATATATATCAGACATCACAACACATCGTCGAGCTACACGGTCAGTGCATATGGGGAATCGACGACAGCCGATCTTCCCCTCTCGGTGGGGTCCAGTCCGGCCAAGGGAGGGGCTGCGTGGGATGTATGCCAACCCCGCCGGGGACACGTTTATTAAACCAGTCTCTCCCCAGTTTCTGCTCCCTTTCCTTTCTCAATCCATTTTTTGTTTTTGAAAAAAGTATTCTCTCAAACCTATCCAACATGTCTCTCGGAAAGAAGGTCACTTTGAACACTGGAGCTCAGATCCCGTACGTGTACCTGAACAAAAACACCACATTTGCCAAACACCAATTGACAATTTCACAGCCAGTTGGGATTCGGCACTTGGCAGTCGGCTCCTGGTCAGGTCGGTGAGGCCGTCTACCAGGCCCTGAAGGCCGGTTACCGCCACTTGGTATGAGCTTCGTGCCCCCTTGCAGAAAACTAATGGAAGGGGTTACTAACGTGCGTTCTACATTAGGATTTGGCCACTATGTACGCTATGATTGGCTCCCACGGCCTCAATTGCCATTGACTGACCCTTTTCTGTTTAGCTACCAGAACCAGCGTGAGGTCGCCGAAGGTATCAAGCGTGCCTACAAGGATATCCCTGGCCTGAAGCGAGAGGACCTCTTCATTGTAAGTATACGATTTACCGTCGTGAACTCATTCTCATTGCGCATTGCTAACTTGATTAATTTTTGCAATAGACCTCCAAGCTGTGGAACAGCCAGCACCGCCCTGAAGTTGTTGAGGCCGCTCTGGATGGCTGCCTTGCTGAGCTGGAGCTGGACTACCTTGATGTATGTGAATATTACAATTTTTACAAAAGAAGTCTGCTAATAGGCAAAGCTCTACCTCGTCCACTGGCCCGTTGCTTTCCAGAAGGGTGACGACTACTTCCCTCTCGTCGCCAACAGTACTGTCGAAGGTGGTGATGTCGCCATTGACGATGATGTTTCTATTGTCGACACCTGGAGAGGTAAGCCAAATGAGCGATTACATTGTGATGATCTGTTAGGCTTGCCAGCTAATGTTTTGATTTCCTATAGCCATGACTAAGCTTCCCAAGAGCAAGGCTCGCGCCGTCGGTGTTTCCAACCACACTATTCCTCACGTTCGTTAACCTACCCAACGCCGATATACCCTACACCCATACTGACTCTCCCATAGCTCGAGGCCATTATTAACGGCACCGGTGTTGTTCCCGCCGCAAACCAGATTGAGCGTCACCCCGTCCTGCAGAGCAACGACCTTATTGAATACTGCCAGAAGAAGGGCATTCACATTACTGCCTACTCTGCCTTTGGCAACAACGGTTTTAACGTTCCCCTCCTGATCACCCGCCCTGAGGTGAAGGAGGTCGCTGAGTCCGTTGCTAAGCGCACTGGTAAAGCCGTCACTGGTGCTCACGTTATGTATGTATCCCTCCAGTGGGTGATCGTTGTTCTATCGCTAACACCATATTTTCAGCCTTGCCTGGTCCCAGGTCGGAGGTCACAGTGTCATCCCTAAGTCGGTTACTGCCTCGCGTATTCAGGACAACTTCCAGGAGATCGAGCTCACTCCCGAGGAGGTGGCTAAGGTCTCTGCTCTGGGTAATGACCGCAGACGTTATAACACTCCTTACATTGCTAGTAAGTGCCTTTCTTGTCGGCTTCCATATGGCGAAGGCAATTTATATGCTAACTCCATGACAGACACGCCTCGCTGGAACATTAACATCTTCGGTGAGCCCGAGGAGCAGCCTGCTGGTCACAAGGTGATCGTTTAAGCGCCCTTGTTACGCGAACGAAAATGAAAATATGAGACATGTATATCCGTGGACTTTGAGTAGGGATTCAGATAGAACCAGTGCATAGAAAGAAATTGGATACCCACTGCTGTTTCCCATATTGAGCTTTTTACAGTAACGATTCACGGCCTTGGGCGCAGTGATCTAATTTCCAACATAAATAGTCATGGCTCCTCGCAAGGGGCAACCTGCGGTCCTAGGCCGCCCGTTTCTATCACGTCGTTTTTGCTAAGGAAATTAACGGTGGTGCTGATTGAAATCCTACCATCGAACGAATAAATGAATATGCAGAAGCTTGAAGATAACAGTCACCTTCGGGCTTAACTTAGACGTAGAAATTAAAGATCAGTAATGGCATCGATAGGGCCAAAAATGTCAGTTTCAGGGGCCTGGACCCTGGCGAGAAGCTTGTAGTTGATAGAAGCTTTACGTACCACGTTGGAAACTAGACTCTTTTATACCTGTTGCATCTCGATAACCTTCTCGTACGACTTACCTTAGTTTGTGCTCCAAGGTTCTTGTATCGTTGCTGGATTGGGCCGCATGCCACCGCATGTACGACCGAGTCTGCTAAAGAGTGTTACTCTTTTACCTATGTGTTTTATGAAAGCTATAAGAGATTCTTCGCTAATGGTTACCAAGTATGGTACCATAACGTGTAGTCCACCGGTGCTAATAAGCAACCCTGAAGTAGACAAGTTGATATAAGCACCTTCGGATGTAAGAAAGCCTGTCGAACTAGTTCTATGCAGAGGTTTAATTACTTCGAGCCCACCTTACTTCTAAGGTCCACACCAAAAGTTTTGATGTCAAGCCTAGCCTGCGGTCGACTCGAGGTGCCTGGTTCCATTCTTATCCTGGGTGGACTTGGCTGTATTGACAGACTCAGCTCCGTCAAGATATCGCGGTGACCGATCTAGTCCCGTCGTCTCCGCGCCCATGCCATCAATGATAGTATCATCCTTCCATCCTTGCTCGTCATCAGGATCAATACCATCAAACATCTCATTGATCTCCTCTAATGTCTTGCCCGCAGTTTCCTTCAGACAGAAGTAAGTCACGACGAGAATAATAATATCCAGCAGACCGAATAGCAAGAATGTCGCCCAGCCAATTCCGGCCATAATGTATGGAGTGGAAAAACTCCATACAAAATTAAAGAGCCACTGAGAGCCAACGCCAAAGGCGACACCCGGCTCGCGAATTCGAGTGGGAAAAATCTCACTTGCGCATGGCCAGGGCAACGGGCCCCAACTCAAGTTATAAGCGATAATATCGAGATAGATCAAAGCAACTGTAGCCATGCCCGCAGAGGACACCACTCCATCCACTGGTGGGTAGTTCTTGACGACAGCAGCGGTGACCAGCATGCACACAGCCATGAAGCCAGCTCCCCCAGCCAATACTGGGCGGCGACCGAATCGGTCAGACATGAATAACACGAATATCAAACAGGCTACAACCTTCACAGCACCAAAGATGCCAGTAAGTAGCAGATTCTTGTCACCTGGGCCAACGATAAGGGAGAAAAATTGAGGGCCGAAGTAGGCGAGGGCAGTCGAACCAGTCGACTGCTGCGCCAGGAAGAGACCACCGCCGACCAGGAGTCGGTGCAAATTAGGCCCTTCAAGCAATTCACGCGGATGGAAGCCAGCCGTCGCATGACGCTCTTCCTCAAGGCCACGCTGCATTTCTTCAAATTCCTCCAGCACTGCAGCCCCGTCACCAGCACGTATCCATACAAGGCTTTCCCACGCCTGCGCGGTTTTCCCATGGGCCAAGAGCCAGCGCACACTCTCATTCAAAGTGAACATGCCCAGGCCCATCAAAGCACCTGGAACAAGCTGCAGACCGATTGGCAGCTGCCACTGCTTGGCACTAGAAGGCATCTTTTCAACGCCGTAGTCAATCCAGTAAGATGCCAAAATGCCAATCGTGTAGGTCAATTGGTAACAGCTGCCAAGCCGGCCACGAATCTCCTTAGGACTCATCTCGGATAGGTAGATTGGAATGACAGTGGCGGATGCTCCGACTCCAAGACCACAGATCACGCGTCCGACATAAAATGCTGATAATGAGTTGGTGTCGATGACCTCTAGCACGACGCCTATGCAGAAGACCACGGAGCAGACCATCATGGCAATTCGTCTGCCCCACCGGTTGGTCACTGGCCAAACGATAAAACAACCGGCTAGTGCGCCAGCCTGTTGGATGCCAACCGCAATGGCACTGATGCGAGTCTTCTCTCCTGAAGTGAATTTGAATGATTGTTGAAAGGAGTCGAATGTGAGAACACCGCCTGGGTGAAATTAGAGACAGGAAAAGGAATAACGGATACCAGGGGTCACCAGGGTACACACCAATAACGCCTGAATCATATCCAAACAATGCACCACCACAACAGAGAACAACGGCAAGCCAGTAAGTGCGCCATCGGGCTTTAGATAACCGCAATGCCTCCATTGTGGAATCTTGCGTCTCACCCTCCAATCTAGGGGACTGTTGATCGGGAGCTTGGGGAAGCTGCGAATATGAGTTTGAGGACGGATGAATATTCCACCAGCTGGTCAGTCCGGCCCACCAAGCTGAGAAGAAAGAATCAGGGGAGGCGGAGGCGGGCTGGGAAGGAGATCTTGATATAGAATCGGTAATTACATGGTCGGACATGGTTGCGAAACAAGAAAAAACGACACAGCTAGACAAAAAAGACTTCCCAAAGGAGTGAGAGAAAGTCGGCTGCCAAAGTGTAAAGTCTGGGTCGCTCGCTGCATATGGTCAACCTCATCTCCGGATTCGCTGATGCGGGTCCAACATGGGCGGTGAATTGCTCGAGTTAACCAGATGAGAACGTCATGGACTGCCGAGAGCCGATGTCAATGGTCGATCAGTCAATCGAGGAGTGATAACACTGTGGGTCATCAATATACATACCGTTACGGAAATAGTGCGTGGGTTTGGACTAGAATGAATCTATGAAGTAATGAACTATTTGCTGATGAGCCCAAAGTCTTGTTCAAGGCTGATGGGAGTGACTTGTACCATCTCAAAACATTGTTACCATGCGGATTCGCGGGCTTGAAACCTTCCCCGCATGTAATGTTACAGCCGATTACACAATACCGCCAAGGGCGGAACCCGCGTATCCACAATTGCTCCGCGCAGCTCATTCCGCAGCCGACGGCCGACTATCGAGTCTTCTAACTTGATGCATCATTCGCGGGGGAAAATTCCTGAAAGAATATGTGCCAAAGAAGCTGCCGGGACGAGCCTTGATATAATCTTATTATACACACTAGTATGAGGGGCTAGAGGAACTCCAAGCTGTGATTTGCTTCGACTCAATGGTTGCAAGACGCGAAATCTCGAAGAATTGATTCAAGGGAGTCGTACAAGCTATGAAAGTCTAATTCTTGTAGGCCTTTATACTTCAAACATCTCATCAGGCATTGTTCCCAACTATATCATCTTTATGTGCTTCCGTGGAATGATGATGAATGATTTATGATTTGCGGTGCATGGCACCAGCACCCGCCTGATTTCATTAGCTTCAGAATACCCATGCAGGCCGTGGAATAGAACTTACCTGGTGGCTAGGGTAGACTAATGTGTCAGCAATTACGACATTCTCCCTTCGGCCAGCGGCGAAGACTACAACCTCGGCAATATCATCTCCAGTCAATGGCTCGACGCCCCTGCAGATAAAAGTCAGCTACGCGAGCTGCGCTATGACACATACTATTCCCGCTTACTTGTACACGGCATCAGCCTTGGACTTATCTCCATAAAATCGAACAACAGAGAATTCCTAAATACCTGTTAGAACATTTTGAAGAAGAACTCCAAGGGCAAACATACCGTCTCAACCTGACCGGGGTCGATCTCAATGACACGGATTCTGGTCGCAATGAGCTCTCTTCGAAGAGAGTCTGTGAAGGATCGCACCGCAGCCTTGGTAGCACAGTAAATGCCACCACCGGGGTAAGGCTCGCGACCGGCGATACTGCCAATGTTGATGATATCACCACGGCCGCCCTCCGATCGGCTCTTGAAAATAGGAAGGATAGCCTGGGTCATGTGGATCAGACCAGTGACGTTGGTGTTGAACATCACATTAATATCCTCGGTCTCGATATTGGGTGCCTGAGCAACGCCCTTCACGAGACCACTGTATGTGCACTTGATATTAGTATATCATCCTGCCCCTCAATTTGTTTTCGGAATGACTCACGCATTGTTGACCAGGACATCAATGTCCTTGAACTCCTCCGGCAGCGAGGGAACAAAATTCTTGATCTCCTCCGGATTGCTGACATCCAGCTTCACGGGAAGCACCTGGACACCATCGCCCACCTCCGCCTTGATCTCCGCCGCAACTTCCTTCAAGGTGTCAATGCGGCGCGCGGTAAGGATCAGCTTCAGGCTTTTCGGCGACGTGCGTGCAAACTCCTTTGCAGTGCTCTTTCCGATGCCAGAGGAGGCACCGGTCACAAGGATTGTCTTGCCCTCTAGGCGCTTTGCCATTGCGGAAGCCATAGTACGTCGAATGGAGGTTGGGTGAACGGCTAGAGCGAACGGGTTGGTGAGCGTACGGTAAGGCGCGGAGAAGGGGTATCGGAGTCGAATTGATTGTAGACAAGTCTTAAGACTGTTCATAGAGACAAACCAGCTTTACTCGCAAGGACGAATTGCTCAGAATGAAACAGAAGCAATGGGGAGATAACGTGCGGGGACGGCGTCATATCGGGTTAGGTATAGAATCGGCTAAACATTCGGCCCGAGGGCCGATTCCATTCCCATTAATTTTGAGACTAAGTCGACACCGGAAGTGACTTCATGGTGGAAATCTCTCTGGCGCTGTCCACGCTGGAGTGTCAATGAAACCTGCTGTCCAAAGTTTGGAATACCACATGGTGACTGCTTCCGATTTTAGATACGATGATAATTACGGTGGTGACTCGTGTGTAAATGTCATTGTGTTGATCTGGAAAGTCTATGTGAATATATCTGGATATCTAGAAAACAGTCAATAGTATACAGCCACCGAGCAGTGAGCATCATTACATCTTAGGGACGGGGATGGCGGTGCTGCGCCGCTGACGCTTCCGAGACTGAAGGGTTTCGATCCATCCACCCGACCCTACGAGCTCTTGGAATGCCTTTTTATTTGGCGGTGCGTCCCAGAATGATTCACCCTTGGCCTTTCGTCGTGACTTCACGTCCTGGTCATACTGGCGAACAATGTCTCGCAAAAGCTTGCGGATTCGACGACTTGGATCCAGGCCAGCATTATCCATGTCACGCAAGAATGAGACTACCGCGGGAAGGTCATTGCAGCTGTACCAGTAGAAAGCCATCAGCTCGTCGCAAAGAACCTCCGAGGTTCCCAGGAAGGCAGATGACCGGCCATGCGCCTTGGCCGCAGTTCGGAATTGGCTGATGAGTTGCGACTCTGGAAAATGAGTACTCAGGATTCGGAATGCGAGAAGTAGAAGCTGCGGATAGAGCTTTGCGACTACGGGGCCAGCTGGAACTGCCGCCGGGATGTTCAAGGGACCAGAGGAAGGGGATGCACCAGGGGCCTGGAGCACATTGCTGCTAGAGCTGGAATCGGGATCCTGAGCAGGTGTTGACACCGGTCCTCCTATATGGCTTATCATGGTGAAGATCCGCTGCCTGCAGACTGCCCAGAGTCCTGAATCACCTTTGCCCTGTTCCACAGCTTGGAAAAGCTCTTTTTCAATCCTCTTCGCCTCTCGCTCGACGACCATATTCACTGCCTCTGCCATGGTGACAACGGCATCGGCGTCGGCACTTTCAAACAATTCTTCGAATCCCAGATCTCTGAGGTGAATCTGATCCGCTCCATCATTTTTTTCTTCTACTTGGTTGTTTTGACGAGGAAGGGCTTGCTCCTGCTTGTCTGCTGATACGCCATCTTGAGATTTCTTGACAGTCTGGGATTCTTTCGCACCGGCACGTGTATCCTCCAGAATCGATTCAAAAACGCTCATGATAGCCATCAGGTCATCGGTCTTTGGCACGGGCGCTGGTTCCTGGGTCCCTAGCGGGCTTTGATCAGGCTGCGCGTTATTCAACCGGCTCAGTAGCCCCCCGAACGCCTCACGTTCATTTCGAGTGATTGTCCTTGACTTCTTGTTTGGTGTCTGTTTCTTATTGCGCTTTGGCTCTGGACGAGGAATTGAAGCACCACGATGGCGCAAGTAGCTTATGTGCCGTGGTGGAGGATCCGTGGGTGTTGATTTCGTGAAGTCATTTTGCTGTTGCTCGTCTTGGGCTGCTGAAGATTCATGGCTTTCCCCTTCCAGATCTATGCCATTGCGCTCTGTAGAATAATGTCGGTGGAGTTTTTGAGGCGGTCGGAGGGAACGAGATAACTGCGAAAGAGTTCGGGTCTGGTAGAGGAATGGTGTCGATGAAGTCGCTGCTGACAGGATGTACATGCGTGAAAGATTGGTGGCCATCGGAGTGGGATAAAAGTGCAGTAGTACACAGCACAGAGCAAAGCTCAAGCTGAGACTTTCTTTTAAAGCGACGTCGGTAGAAATGTCTTGAAGTTCAAGCTGTGTTTTCTACTTCTTAAGTTTTCCCACTAATATAGTCACCTGATCTCGCGTTCCTGTGTCGCGTTTACCCGCGCATCTCCCACTCCGTCCATCATCTCTACTCACACTCCGGATTGATTTTCATTCCTTTGTTCCAAAATGGCTATTAACACACCAAATACCCTATCCGAGATTGAAAGGCAACGCCAAGCCAATATTGCCGAGCAGAAAGCACTCCTGAAAGAGTTGCAACTAACACAGCCCACTGGGAAATTTGCGAGCGCACAAAAGTCAGCTAAGAATGATGCCACTAAGAACAAGAAACGAGCTCCGCCGAAGCGAGTGAAAGAGGAGGAATCTCCCGCCCCACGACGACAGTCATCCCGCCTGCAGGGACTCGCTGCTGACAGCGAGGTTGCCAAGCGCAAGGCCGAGGAGCAATATGAGGCGGCCAAAGAGGTTGAACGTGCGAAGAGGATCAGACGCACAGATTCATTTACGCAGAACGACATGTTCATTGCTGGACAAAAACTGAGCGGCGATAGCCTGATTGGGATCGACGTCGTCAACAAAGGTGTTGCGGAACCATATCTGCGAACATTTGGGGACGAAGATATTAAGAAAACCACTGATAAGGAGCTCAAGGCTCTTCGCGAGGAGATGAATGGCTTGCAATTATGGGACAAATGGGATCCACAGAGTACGCCTCTCTACGCTGAAACCCCCAGTCGTTATATGATTTCGAACTCACATGCAATGCGATATGCACAGGGATCAAGATCACCCCCGAGCGGGTTTATACCATGGCATTCCACCCATCTGAAACAAAGCCTCTCGTGTTTGCTGGCGATAAGATGGGACATCTGGGCATTCTGGATGCTTCGCAGGAGAAACCTGAGGTGAAGCAAGAGGATGAGGATGATGAGGATGATCCCGACCCCGTTCTTACAACCCTCAAAATTCACACGCGCACGATTAGCTCGATGACTATCCACCCTTCGAAGCCAACCGCCTTGTACACAGCGAGCTACGATAGCTCCATCCGCGAACTGGATTTGGAGAAAACTGTCTCAGTCGAGGCGTATGGGCCGGAATCCACAAACATCGACGAGGCAATTTCTGGGATCGATATGGCACCAGAGGATCCCAATGTCCTCTATTGGACGACTCTTAACGGTGGATTCGCTCGTTATGACGTGCGCACCCGCAAAAACACAGTATCATCCTGGCAATTGTCTGAAAAGAAAATTGGCGGTTTTTCTTTATGTCCATCGTCTTCGCATATCTTTGCTACCGCAAGTTTGGATCGCTTTATGCGACTGTGGGATCTACGCAATTTGTCATTTGACGAGCCAGAGCCTATCGCAGAGCATGAGAGTCGTCTCTCTGTCTCACATGCCGCGTTCAATGCCGCTGGTCAGATCGCCACGTCCTCGTATGATGATACTTTGAAGATTTATGATATGGGCCTGAAGGGTATCTCCTCATGGGCAAAAGGCCATACAGTGCCTGAAAAAGAATTCCGCCCCGATACTGTGGTCAGGCATAATTGTCAGACAGGTCGGTGGGTTACGATGTAAGTCGATCCCGTATTTTCTATTTCGCTTATAAATTCTTATTGACTCTTGTTTAGTCTGCGTCCCCAATGGCAATTGAATCCGCAGTCCCATATTCAGAAGTTCTGTATCGGCAACATGAACCGATTCGTCGATGTTTACAGTGCCGGTGGTGACCAGCTTGCTCAGCTGGGCGGTGATGGGATCACTGCTGTCCCTGCAGTAGCGGTCTTCCATCGCAGCAAGAACTGGGTGGCTGGTGGTACTGCTAGTGGCAAGCTGTGCTTATGGATGTGAACCTGCATTTGGTCTGGATGTCCTTTTACTCGGTGTTTGTGAGACCCTATGCTTCTGCACGGGTGGATGGTACTTAGATGCTGATACTAGGCTTGGAGTTTCAGGTGGTGGGATTTTCACAGCTCAAATTAGCTACCTTTTGTGTACACTACCCGAAGCACATATGTTTATCGTGGCTTCTTCCTGAAAACAAAATTCTCCCCTATCTGGAGTTTTGTCTACTTGTAGTCCTCTCCATTCTAGACAAGGAACGATAGACTTTGTTATCATTTCCTATAAAAATTGGTTGTAGACCTACGAAGTATCAGCTTCCCTAGGGTAGGCTTCAATGTTAGATTAGATAGCCACTTCGTGATAAAGTATGTAATGAAAATGAAATATGTAAATCTGTCTTTTGCCCCAGGAAACTCTTAGGCTTGTGTGAAGAATGATTGTTGTCGATGGAACTAGGCCCAAATCGAACCGACATCCATATCCGATCCACCGGGCGCAACGGAGGGACAGATACACCCAGGAGGAATGGTAGTAGAAGACCAGCCCGAGGGCGGAGAAGGAATAGATCGGCCCATGGCGCGGGCAAGAATATTAGTTGGACTGGAGGCGGCGCCCTCACGGGCATGGAGAAGACCGAAGCGGAGGAAGACCTCGGAGATGGTGACGAGGATAGAAATGACAATGAGGACAATGATGATCCATGTTTGGTCTATGTCCAGAATTAGTCAAGTTGAAATGCTGATCACTAGGCTTTCGAAGTAAACATACGAGAAGTGCGGTTGTCGGCGATGGAATCGGACAAGATCTCCGCAAGGTCTAAGAAGACTCGACAGCGCTCATTGAGCACTTGAATTCGCGGTTTGATTTCCAGGTATTCTCGTACAGCGAGGTAAAGAGGGTAAAGTGTGGGCTCGCTTTCCCAGAAAAAATTCGGAACGTCGAGCATATTAGAAGCTGAAAAAGTGAATCATTAGTAACTTTTGAGACGCAAATGAAAACACAAAAAAAGAAAAAGAAAAGAACAAGACATACAAAGATTCACTTCCACTCGGCTCTTGAAGAGACGCCCAAGAATCCGGAAGACCTCTTCCCGTTTCATGCCTAGCTTTCCGGTCACGGCGAGACGGCGGGGAACGTCTTTTGCGTCTGCCATTTGACGGGCCATGACCTCCTCGAAGAAACATAATTTTGTGCTTTGAGAGATACCGTGACTGATTGCCAGCTTGATCATGTGGTCACCACTGCGCAGGGTGATCATATCATTGTACACGCGAGGACGCGAGATCTCAGTTGAGTACTCAAAGTGAAATTCTTCTGTCTCGAAATCCTCTTCGTGAAGCGGCATTGTAGTGAGCGGGATAGGCGTTCCAGTTGCCGATGACGTTGCAAATGCCAGATCTGCCAGCAGATCCTTCTCCTGTCGCTCAGTAAAGTTCCAAAATACCACAACTCCGTAACCAAAGACGAACATCTCCGCAACGTTGTAAAGAGTCCGCGCAGGCGCGGGAGATCTCGATGATGATGCCGTTGCTGCTGGCGAGGGAAGGTCTCGCAAGATGGAGTGACTTTCGCCAGAACTGTGTCGACGACGAGGAGGCGGGATCTCAGGAGCCTGCTGGGCTTGCTCCGACCCACTCTGAGTGGAGGAGTTGAATGTATTAGAGTCAACGGCCGATTCATGGTCTTCTTGAATGCGACTGTCCTCTTCCGAAACAGTAGTTAAGAACCTTTCTTGGCTCTCCTCCTGCGAGCTTTGATCATCTGACTCCCGAGGGGATGCCTCTCGATGATGCTCGTCCTCACCGCGATTGTGGCGTCCGACTGAGTGCTCTTCAATCTCACCGATGTAGTCGTCGTGGTGATCACGAAGTTCATTTCGTTCAATTTCCTCATCCAGGAGCGACTTGCCACCAGGGAATTTCACGACGGGACTGCTCCGCAGACGATATCCCTCGTGGCCTGGGAGAAGTGGAAGGTGGTAGGCTGTGTAGAGACAGTCGTCATATAGTTTTGTCCGAGCTCCGTGCCATTCCTTGACAAATGACGCCAGGGATCCCATTTTGTAGGCCTGTGCTGTGCAGTATGCCGTGACGCGAGCCAGCTTCTCTGCACGGCGTGCCTTTGGTAGTCGCTCGGCATAGCTCTTCGCCTTTTCGGGTGCGACGCGTCGCTTTCGGAGTAAATCTTCTTCGGCCAGCAAAGGAGCAAGGTCATTATCCACACCGAAATCCCCGCCCAGTCGCTTTTGCATCAACAATTGCCGTCTGATCTGTTCCGGGTCAACTCGTTTTTCCTTGGCTAACCGATCTACAAGCTCCTCATCTACAAGATCAACGTCATCTTGAGCCTCATCGTCATCGTCCACGGTATCTTCCTCACCGACGCCACCCGTGTCAGGTAAAAGCACGAGCTTTTCGCTGACTTTAGTTGTTCGTGGGGGAAGGCGTGGTTGTGCCGCCAGTCGGCCAATGGTGCCGCCCGAGGTCGCGAGCCCTCCCGAGGTTCCGCCCGACGGGAGTCGGCGTTGTCGCGTGGTCGGCGGGGGTTGTCGCTGTTGCATTGAGGGAACATCGGAAGCATATTGGAGCACATTATCGACGGTGATGAACCGGGTGGCGGGAGATCGGTGTCGTCGAGGTGTCGAAGCAGATTGTTGGTCGCGAGAATCGGTGACCTTAAAAAAAAGATTAGCTCAACACTCATGAGATGAATTGCGTTTTCTGCCATACCAAGACAGTCGGACTCCGCTGACTTGTGCCCCGTCCACGCGGAGGAGGAGCCATGATTGACTCTCAAATAGAATGGTTTAGTGAAGATGAGAGAAGATGCACTTTCAACTTGCTTCCGTTACGCTAGACCGGATATAGATTAGCAGTAGTCTGACGTAATGACTTCATCTAACTAATAAGTCAATTCAGTTAACAACTACTTGTGACTACTTTGTGAGTCAAAAAGTCAAATCCTACTGAGAAATTCAAACGCTCTTTCATTGGAGTATGTGGCAAACAATCTGTGATATTCTTGGCTGATAAACGAGTGTACCTAGTAGACGTACCAGTGCCCAGTCAACTTCATTTGCATGTTTCCGTGGATTAGGTAAGCCCTGCAGAAGGTTTCCCTTCAATGTTCGCTACGTACAACCTTTGGAGGGTGCCGTTCACCTATTCATAGATATACCTTATGTCTTCAATCATTCTAAGATTTCGGATTCTCGAGGTTATCTTTCATTTCAAGGTTTGGCGCAATTTCTTTTGCGGTCAGTCGGAGGATCTATGCAACTCAGATCTTAGAATGTTTGTCATCATAGCATCGAAAATATATTACGGGGTTTCAAGTGGTCAAGGTATCAAATGGCATAGGATTTACCAATTATTAGCAGAAGAACTACATATTAGCAGTACCAAATTCTAAGTATACTCTTCTAGGAGTTAATGGCAACCTTGCAAAGAGAAGCCCATGATTGAAGCAAGGTTGAACGTAGGTTATTTTCCAGAATTGGAAAGTTCGCAAATCAGGGCATAGAGGCATACAACATTGGGCAAACGCATTTCTACCACTACATTTCTAGGTATATTGACCTCCGAACTGTTTGCCATAGACCTCAGTTTCTGACCTCATCACCCACATGAAGTACCCATGTTCCTGTCAGTCAAGACCTTCGAGGGCCAACCATTATGATCAAACGCGGCTTGTGCACTTGACACAATCATCACATCCGTACCTAAGGATCAGCAATTAGAATATGAATTATACGTCAAATAATATGCTGTCACTCACGGTCGCCTTTGAGCGCCTTTTAGCAAATAGATTGATCCGTGTTTAGTATCAAGATGGCTCAACAATTGCTGACTGTCAGTTCCAAACGAGACATCCACCCAGTCATAGGCCGCGATAGATAGTCCAGCACCACTAAAGCGCCCGGAAGAAGCCTGATGACCGTCCTCACAAGGATCAAGAGGAGATAGAAATTCAACTGTTTTCTTAGGTAGTGTTTCGGAACCAGTAACTGCGCCCATTCTAGTCTTTCCGAGAATCACAGCACCCTGCGAGATGAGCTGCTTGAAGTATGAAGAAGATTCCTTCTGTACCAATAGTAAGACGTGTACGATTTCCCATACTTATGACTACTGCACTTAGGTGAAAGTTATTCTTATTGCCGTGTTTGATTCAATCGTAAATCGGCAAGATGTCCGATCCGCTCGGAAATGGGTGACATGCATTGCTTGGCGCACCGGTTAACCACACCAAACAAGGGATGTCAAAGAAAACAACGTTGGGAAAACCAGAGCCTTTGTATTCAGCATGCGGAGCTCCAAAGCTTCAAGTTTCGGATTTGGTTTCCTGTTCCGGCATGAGTTTGGATGTTCAATCCCCCGCGATGCCAAGTACTGTTGTCACGGAGCCGGTCCGGCACCGATCTACCAGCCGGTGCAGCTTCATTGCCCACAAGATCCGATCTGTTTAACATGAAGTCAATCAAGCGAAACCGTTGGGTAACATTGCAAGGTCTAATAATCAAGGACTATGGATAATATCTAGTCTTTTCCAAGTGGTTTATGTTTTGATGGCCTCGGGTGCCTGGATCGTGACGCATGCGGTTAAAAATTTTTAAGTGAATTTTTGAATCGCAAACGATCTTCAAGACCTCAATTCTTGCACTGAAGCCGGGTGGATGTGTGAATTTTCATGTGAATTGAGACCTGATGTCTAATGTAGTAGTACTCTGGGTTGCCACTGAAAAATGCCTAAACTTTGCAGAAAAAAGCCGTGTTATCCGAACGCCGAATCGATGGCTGATCAACACCTATACTACCACATTGGAATGGACTAGGCTGGAATTTCTCAGAATTTTGTCCAGAACCGACCCTTGTCAAGCCTGAGAATCCAGATCATCGCGACACTTGGCGGGTCCGTATCCTAATCGGAACTAGTAAGTGTCGGGTTGGCAGATGCTCTCGTCATGCTTAGGTCGTAGACAATGTCAAAGTATTAGGTCAATGTGGAGCCAACCCATAATAATGTCGAGTTTCATTTGCCTATTACCCCAACTTGTGACTAGGACCCTGCGAGAGTGGAGCTCGGTTTACATTTGCTAAACTCTGCTGGTAATTCTTTAGACTCGCACATCCCACCTATATGCATTCAGTACGTTTTTTTTGTCAATTTGATGTGACTCACCAATTTAATCATGGCAAACCATTTTCCAACGGAAGAGAACCTACAAAGGGCACTTTCAGCGACGGGTTAGTATAAATCTCTTCCTCACTTTTCCCGACAAGGCTTGTTAAAGTTTCCCACAGAGAATGTAGTCATGTCTCCCAATGAGTCGCTCAGAGACTCGGATCAAGACTCAGAATTCCTGCATGAACCTATCCAAGAACGTTACAATAACCCATCTTATGCTCGCTTTCGACGGGTGGCTTCAAAGACAATTGTGTCATTTGGGCCAAATGACCCAGATAATCCTGTCAATTGGAAAAATGTACAGTGGAACCAGACACCCTATACCTCGGCATTCCTGAGGCTATCTAGCCAAGAAAGGTACCGGCAAAGGATATTTCACATACTAACAAGTAGCCTAGAGTCGCAAGTTTCTGGTGCTGGCTGCCGGTGTAATGCAAGTGAGTACCCTTACTGGAATCCGCATGTCCCTCTTTTAACGTCATGTGCAATACGTATAGGTCATGAACAGCACCATTGCTTCGTCAATCTGTAGCAACGCAATTCCTCAGATCGCCACAGAATTCAACATCCATAATGAGCAAGCTCTAGTGTTGCCCATCTCCATCTTTCTGATCGGCTACATCCTAGGTCCCCTTCTTTGGGGTCCTAGCTCCGAGTACTTTGGGCGCAGACGCCCTTTGCTCATCGCATATTGCGGCTTCATGATATTTATGCTGGCATGTGCAGTGGCAAATTCGTATCCGTCGTTGTTGGTCTTTCGCCTCCTGAATGGAATGATGGCATCGGCACCGATCGCTACAGTGGGTGGACTGTTTGCTGATGTGCATGACAACCCTACCAAGAGAGGCCGTCTAATGGCCTATTATATGGCAGTAGGTGAAACAATCTTCTTTGATATTTGCCGATCGCTAAATCTTCACAGTGCACGACTTTTGGCCCGATTGTGGGTCCCTGGGTATCGGGATTTGTCGCCGTCGTGAGTTGGAGATGGTGCTTTTGGATTGGCCTCATCTGCTCTGGCGCGTCTTTTCCTTTGGTCGTTTTGATGCCGGAAACTTATGGACCCGTTGTGCTGAAACGACGTGCGATGAAGCTACGCAAAGACACCGGGAATTCAAATATCGTGTCTCCGCTGGAAGTAGACAGTCGCAATATTCGTCAGATGTTCTTTGTCACCATTTCACGACCATTCCGCATGATACTCCACGAATCCATCGTGTCGCTAACTTCTCTGTATCTCGCCCTGGCGTATGCAATCTTCTACCTGTATTTTGAGGCATACCCCATCATCTTTCAAGGTAAATGCTCTTTGGTATCCTCTATTCCAAAATTTGAGCCCTCATACTAATCAGACTCAAACAGATTTGTACGGAATGAGCGCTGGTGTTGCTGGTTTAATGTTTTTGCCCAGTAAGTGCACAACCCCTTTATAAAATGAAATTGTCTGACGTAACGAGCAGTTGGTATCGGGGCTATCCTAGCCTGCTTCGTATTTCTCTGGTATGACGGCTACCTGGCTCGGGCAAAAGCTCGCAATGCCCCTTGGGCCGAGATCGAAGAATACAGGCGACTTCCGCTCGCTTGCCTCGGCGGTCCCTTGTACGTGATTTCGCTCTTTTGGGTGGGATGGACTTCCTCAGAGAATATCCCCTGGGTCGTTCCATTCCTCTCTGGCATTCCATTTGGAATGGGTTACCTCCTAATTTTCATGGCTATGCTGAATTATCTGACCGACGCATACGAAACGCTATCGGCCAGTGCTCAGTCAGCTGCGAGCTGCACCCGTAGCATTTTGGGGGCAGTGCTGCCCCTTGCTGCAAAACCGATGTTCAATCGACTGGGTATTCACTGGGCCTGCAGTCTCATTGCCTTTCTGGCTCTGGGTGTCTCTATTATCCCGTTTGCCTTCATCCGCTATGGTGACCGCATAAGAGCCAACAGCAAATTCTGTCAGGAGCTCAAACGTCTTAAGGAGCTGGAGCAGTTGGAGCTTGAGCGAGAGGAGAATCATCAGCAATCTGAGGACCACGATTTGGAGAAGGTCCCAACAACGCACACTGGCCCTATAACAAGAGTTGATACAGCTCGGAGCCAAGCCGACAAGGCTTCCATCATTTATTAAAGCGGTACAAACATCCGCCTTACGTAGGATTGTTGGTTTGAACACTTAAAAGCCCTTTTGTTGCATTGCTTCCTTGGCGTTTGGAGTGACTATGAATTTGCCCTAATGTCTAAAAAATATGTTACTGACTTTCTTCAAGCATATTGTCTGATGTTCGCATTTGATTAAATAGAAGCTGCCTAGCTACTATTAGATAGGTCTAATATAAACAATTTCTGGGCCTATACCCTAATGTTTAATCCATAATGACATAATGCAGACAGCCTTGGAACCTACCTTCCTCTGCACCCGCGGACCAGGGCAAGTGGGATTCCAGGCGTGTCGGCTCTTTTTTTACTCTCGCTTGAGACCGACCTTCCCTACTTGGCGCAATCCCCAGGCACTGATACCTACAGCAGCCAGTAAGAGCCCAAAACAGGTCCAAAAAACCGCCCGATATCCGACCATAAGAGCTTCCGGCGAACTTTTGTTCTTGTATGAGGATGCATCCGTGACACTAGCTGCAATTATGGCAAAGGTAGTGAGACCGATCGATGTACCGAATTGGGCGATAGTGTTGAACACAGCTCCTGCAAGACCTTGTGTTTTGGGCGAAAAAGAGTCCGCAATAATCAAATTTGCGACAGTGAAAATAACTGCGAATAATAAGGTCAGTTTCGAGACAAACTTAAGCACCAAAGGGATCTTTACCGTCCGCTGATAATGGGCCTAGTACCATTACCCAGAACACGCAATACCACCACGACCATTTGGGATCGATAATTGCCATGAGTAGTGGTGAGACAGCGGAGAGAATCGAGGTAAAGATGATGAGGTAGTTAGCGCGAAGGCGATGCACCACTAGTCCTGTTCCAATATTGACGATGATCCCGATGATGACGTTAGGTAAGAATCGGAGAGCTGCTTGGATTGCAGACAGCTGTTGAACTTCCTGCAAGCTATTTTGGGTTAGCTTGAGGGAGAATTTTGATTATGATGAAGACTAACAAAAGACTCAAAATCGTCTCCATGCCGTTCAATACGCCCCAAGAGAAAAGAACCATCACACAGATGGTTGCAAATGCTGTGTTATTCCATAGCGAGTTAGGAATAAGTGCTGGCCTCCCTGACCTTTCTCTCCATTGCATCCAGGCCCAAAAGGAGGGTATCATAGCAGCAGCCACACAAAGCAAGCTGATATTTTCTGGGTTCCGAATAGTAGATGGGTTATCTGTGATATTGCTATACAAAAAAATCAGTTCCGGGTCCGCCTCATGGCAAAGACAAGATACTCACGCGAAAACATAAGATATGATGCCTAAGCACGCGCTCGAGAGGAGAATTCCCACCCAGTCGATCTCGGTCCGGAGTCTGTGAATCGAGAAAGGATCTCGAGGCTTGTCCTGAGGTAGTTTGAAGTAGTTGACGACTGTTAAAATGGACGTCGCCCCTGCACAGAGATAGTAGCCAAATCTCCATCCGAGTGTGGAATCCTGGAAGATCCCACCCAAAACAAGACCCACAGAAAAGCCAAATGGTTGACCTAGCCCCAGACAGGAAAACCCGATATTTCGACGTTTGCCTGCGGGCATGCTGTCCGTCATAATACTGAAAGCGGTTGGGAGACACATTGAAGTCGCAATACCTTGAAACGTGCGAAACAAGATAAGCTGGAGACCACTCTCTGCTAGGCTGCAAGCGAGAATAAACACTGTCAAGAGGCAACATCCGACCAAATTGATGACTCGATTCCCAAAGAAATCTGCCAATGAACCTGCCAATAGCAAGCAGCATCCGTTTGCAAGACTAGGCTTCTCGTCAATTTCGCATTCCACAAGTGGAGTGGACGGTACTTACGAATATACCGAGGCTGGCCTTGAATTTTCCAAATCAGTCACCTCACGTCAGCTTCCTACTGCGCGTTTCAGAAACAGGGGTCTCTCACCATAGAAGAAGGTTATCAGGTAGATTCAAGTCAGCCGCCATCCCAGGCAGACAAACTGTTAAAAGACCACCACTCATACTGCCGACGAAGGTCAGTCCGGTTAGCGTAATCACCAATATAACTGCTCTAGCTCGGGAGAGTTCCAAAGGCTGGGTCTCCTGAGTCAGTCGAGAGAGCTCATGTGCGTGATTGCTCAGCGGGCCATGGATCGATACTCGTGAAACAGGAGTATTCCATTCGTCGTTGGAGTCGACTATTTCCAAGGGAATCATTTGAGTCTGGGTCTGGACTGCGGTCGCCATTGCAAAGACTTCAATCAAACTCGTTCTGCAGATAGTAGAGGATCAGATTAAAGTGCAGATTATTATCAGTTAACGGGGTCATGGCAAAGGCATTAGTCATAGAAAAACCACACATGTGGGGACACGCCTTTCCTTGACAAGTGGAGCTCAAATCGGGGTCAAAGTGGATCGACAACGGGTGTCAATAGAAACATATTATTTATGATACTTGAAATGAATACCCATGGCTGTGTAAGCAGCATCACTGCCTATTTACGCGGCAAACATTTACAGGGTCAACCTTGTTATCCCTCTGAGCTCCGCCTCTTGTCCTGCCAATACCCTTTCGAAACGAAAACGAGACTCAGCACAATGCCTAGCCCAGTCAGCCCGATTCCAAAATACCAAGCCCCGCGATACCCAAGGAGGACATCGGAAGGCGTTTTGCCGCCATTGTTTACATGCACCTCTATCGTACCCGCAAAGCCCAACCCGAGCGAGATACTATAATTCACAACAGTAGCAATCAAGGCTGCTCCCATGCCCTGGTGCTCCTTCTTAACAGCATTCGAGAAGATGACCGTCGCCGCAGGGAATGATGTGTCCATGCCGAACGGGATGACTAGCATGCAAACAAACAACTGGGCCCAGTACGTTCGATGCACTGGCGCTGTCGCCACCAGGATAGTTCCCACCATGAAGCAGGTTAGTGAGAATGTCATAACCCACGCCGCACGAACATGATGCAGCAAGAAGCCAGTAGCCACGGACGCGAACGCGCCGGAGACAGCAACAGGGCAAATGTATGCGGCTAGGAGCAGCGGCGAGGCACCCCTCAACACTTCGATGAACTGCGTCAAATAGTATACCCAGATACCAAAGCAGGCCCAGCCACAGGCGATGCAGCCAACCACGAAGATGATGTCACCCGTAAAGACCTTGAAGGGCACAAGCGGCATCGTGGCCCAGCGAGACTCAACGAAGAAAAAGCCAACTGCGAAGAGAACACCGAGGATCAAACAGACGTAGATGTATGCTTGTTGCCAACCGTACGCTGGGCCTTGGTTCCACGCAAAATTGAACAATACCAGTGCTGCGACACCGGTGACGGCCCCAGGAATATCGAGCATTTGAAGTTTCTCTTTCAAACCCTTGTCTTGGTCGTGCGAGCGGCATTGCGATGGGATGACCAGGGTGCTGAAGCCAGCAAGCAGCACGAGTGCGATAGCAAAACTCCAGAAAGTCCACGGCCACCAAGCTAACTCAAATAGACCGGAGAAGACGAAGCCAAAGACACCACCACCGGGTGCACAGGCACCAAATAACGCGAATGCCATATTCTTCCTTGGCCCCGGTGGATAGGACACTCCCAAAAGTGCAAGCCCGTTGGGTAGTAAAGCCGCAGGGCCCAGTCCCTGAAGCACCCGAGCGAAAATAAACAGGTACTCATTCGAATAGACACTGAGGCCCGCAACCATACTCCATACAGAAAACCACAGCATGCCAATGACGAAAACCTTTTTGTGACCAAACAGATCGCCGATCCGACCCGCAACGAGAATAAAGGTTCCCGCCGTCAAGCTATAACCAGCAATGAACCAAGAAAGTACCCCGGGATTTGTAATACCGAAGCTATCGCCGATCTGATGCAAGATGCCCAGTGTTTGGGTTAGGCCCACTTGCGTCGTGAATTGAGCCGTGCATATCGTTGCGATGAAGACGCATTCGTGGAAAAGTGACATTTTCTCAGAGGCGAACGTGGAGGATGAGGTCGTCTTCTGATCATCGTCGCAGGTGGTGGGTGTGGATCCCTCAGGCTTCTGCTCATCCTCGACTGCTGTCTCTTGACTCTCGTCATCATGCGGGGATGTAGCCTCATAATGGGGCTGTCCCTCCGTATCAATATCATGCTTCGGACTCGCCATGGGCTCGATCTTTGATTCTATGTTCATATCGCCAAGGCAATTATAACCCTATAGAGACATTAGACGGGTATTTTGAGTTTGCAAGGAGAACAGACCGTGCTGATATAGAAACCTTAGAATATGGGCCCCGGATAAGGGCGGTTAGCGTGGAAATAGTGCACCGATGTCACTTGACGCTTGCGATCTGGCGGGAGCGATGAATATGCCCAGGTATATATCAATGGAAGAAAACAAAGACTGCACCTGGGCAGGATTTTTTTTATTGAATATTGAGCGATGGACTCAAAGTATGGAGAGGTAACGTCACGTGTTTTGACGGGATCATAGACTCGCCTCGACTTGATAATAGTAGGAGTATTAAGTCGAATGATTCAAAGGGTTACATCAGTGATCATGGTGTGGCTCTGGGAACCAGGTCTCATTGTATCTTAAATCAGGGGAATAGTAGTCTATTAGTCAGTTTGCAGATCATAGGCGGAAAACTTGGAAGACCTGATGGTAGCGCGATCAACCATCCATTAACTTTGTCAAATTCCGGCCTACTGTGGATCGTATGATTGATAACAAGTTATTTCAATTTTGACCTCTTAATGACCATTTTGTTCAAGATGATCGCCGAGTATTAAAATTTGTTATGAGCTGATGGTGCGACGTAGGTGGAAAGGCGGCCGTTTCCGGCACCAAGCGTCGATAAGAGCTTTCTCTTCACTTCGCTTTCTCTCCTTCTCAGTTCTCGACTTTAATATGGAAGGAATATGGAAAGCCTAAAAAGCTGAGCTGAGCTGACCAGGTGAAAACCGGAGACGGAAAAGCCAGCCCCACTTAAATCAAGTTCAAGCCGAACTCGCATGGCTTCGGTCAGCTAGTCCTCCCTGTGGGGTATTCTTAAAGGAGTGACCTGATGGAAGCAAAGAAAGCTCCGTGGATAGTCCGAACTTAAGCGACGGGAGAACATTAAGGTTATCACCGGTGAGATGTTGAGGTCTCGACGCCGACAATCGGAAGAATTTTTCCCGCATAACCTCAACAGCTCAACATCCCGGTCTTGGTCTTCAGTTTTGGGTTTGGTTTGTGCTTTTTGTCTTGGTTTTTCTTCTTCCCAAACCGAAAACACGTCAAACTCTTGACTCACACGCAATTCCCCATAAGAGTTCGCGAATAAATTTCAGCTGCATTACCGACTCCTCAGTACGTTTGCCAAGAACTCTTCTGATTATCTTTATCAGATCGGCCTTTTTTCTCCGCCTTCAACTTTTTTCCTTCTCCCCCAGGCCCATTTTGTTGGAGCTCTTCAGTGCACGGGCTACAGGTTGAAGGTAGGTTGACCGGGTAGTTTTTCTCCCCATTGTTACGGACTCGATAAGCGATATGCCTCGGTTAAGGCTGAGCGAGAACAGCGCGGAGAACGTGATTTTAGCGTTTGGGAAGAATTTTTACTAATTAATATTTCCAGGAACGGGCGAAATTTTGTAAAAATCATCTGGCACAGTTTTGATGGTTATTATTGTCTAAACCAGGTCGCCTGGGTTATATTTGGCAACGGGCCTGCCCACTCCGAAAGAGAGAAGAAGAAAAAAAAAAACATAACCAAAGCTTCAAAATGAGCGCCGACGCATCTGAGTTCGCGAGCATCCCCAAGGACCCCGTTTCCGAAGATGTTCATGAACGCCCACAGGATGCATCGGACTCCGCATCTGGGAACGACCTTGCCCCGGGCGAGTTCAGCGTCGATAATGTCGAGCGCATTTATAAGTAAGGACTAACGCAAACCCGTCTTGTTTCATTTACTGATAATTTCGACTTAGTAAATTGGATTGGCGCATTATTCCCGCCCTCTGGGTGCTCTACTTTATGGCTTCGGCCATTCGCTCTAATGTTGGTTTGGCGCAAACCATGAATGAAGGCGCCGGTCACGACATCGGCGATGTTCTGCACATGACCAGTCACCAAATTTCAACTGCCTTGGCTCTCTTCTACGTCGGCTATGTGGTTTTTGATTTACCATCTAACTTGGTCATGACGCGGTTGAGTCCACACGTCTGGATGAGTCGCATTGTGATCAGTGTCGGACTGATCGGTACCTGCATGGTGGCCATGAAATCGGCTTGGAGCTTCTAGTATGTAGAAATCGTTTGCTCTGACAGATTAACACTAACGGACATACAGCCTGCTCCGCCTCCTTCTAGGTATCGTTGAAGCAGGATTGTGGCCGGGGATGACCTATTACTTGACGCTCTTCTACCCGCCATCTCGCATGGGAAAGCGTATTGGCCGGTACTTTACCGCTGCGCAAGTATCGGCCGCCGTTGTGGGACTAGTCTCTGCTGGATTCCAAAAGATGGACGGAGTCCGTGGCTACGTTGGATTCCAATGGATGTTCCTGGTATGGGGTGTGATTACGATCGCGCTTGGATTTGTCTTGCTCTGGTGGCTACCGGACCGTCCTGTGGCACCGGGTGAGGATGAATCTACTCGCGCATGGTATATGAAGTGGGTGCCTCGCAGTGCCCCGGCTTTGAAGGGACGTGATGCGGTGATTCACTACCATGACTTGAAGCGTGTTTACCATGCCCCTGCATGGAGCTTCCGCGATTTACTTCATGTGTTCATGGACTGGCGGCTATGGCCGCTCTTGATCATGTACTTTGGCGTTGTTGGCGTTGGAATCGGCGTCCAGCTCTATGCGAACCTGATCATCCAGGCAATCAACCCGTCCTTGAATGGAGTCGATGTGAGCTTGCTCACTGCTCCTATTTGGATTGTAAGTTAATCAATCGAGCAACCTTTACTTCGCATCTAGCTAACTGAGTTTCCAGATGGATTTAATTGCCATCTTGCTTGTTACACCATTCTCCGACCGCTTCCATCGGCACCGTGCTCTTTTCTTCTCCATCCCGACTTTGCTTCAGATCCTGGGTCTCCTTCTCACGAGCTATGCCGGTTCTGACGAAAACCCTTGGCCTCGGTACGGTGGCTTATTGATCGTCGGATTCGGTCTCGGGCCTACTGTACCCATCACGATGACGTGGACTGCAGAGATTTTCCAGCCCCGTCACGGCGAAGTCGGCGTGGCAGCTGCTTCTGCCGTGGTTTCAGGCTGGGGAAACCTGGGAAGTATCATGACAACCTATGCCTTGTATTCTGGATGGGCGAGCGACGCCAATGCGCCAGGACGGCATAAGTACCGTAAGAGTAACTTGGTGATGATCGGCATTTTGATTGCCAGTATTTTGGCAGCCATCTTGATGCAAGTGACACTTCACTATACGGATCGTCGGTACCGTCACACCGAGGAGCACGAAGGCGCTGTTGACGGAGCTGCACGGCGAGAGGCGCAACAGCGTGGACTGCGGGGATTAGGATCGGGCATGGGTCAGTTTTTCCGACGTGGCAAAGCCGATCAGGAGTGAAACCCTCCCCCCCAAAAAAGTGACAACTAGATTGCTCTGTATAATCAGGGTCGGAAAACGATATCCCGACTTTAATCGCGAAAATGAACTTTGGATCTAAGTAATAGTACGGGATACGGGTCGGGCCTTAGGTACATATGAACACGAATACATACAGTACTGTATCCGGGAAACCTGGTCTGTGCAAGAGTCTGTGACCAATTGGATGCTGAGAGTCCTGCAGATTATGCTAATCCTTCCGGCTCAGCTGGCCGTGTTTCGCAACATACGAATCATGTAGCATGTAAGGCTTTCGCTCCATTGGTTATTGAATAGTTGAGCTCCACTACCCAGATTGATTCCTTGCTAAGGAATTTCAGAGTCGCATTCTTCACTGCAGCTACCCCACTTTACTAATTCTTACCGTATACTTCATCTGCGGAGGTATACTCTAATCACCTATAATTCCTGACCAGTAGAGCACTGACACTTATAGCCTAAATACCATACTTTGTAATCATACCGCGAGACTATGGGATATCCACCCTCGTGCATGTCATTGCCAGGGACTATAATTCAATACACCTGTTTCAGCGGCCACATCACAACCGTATACATTATTTGATGTACGCATGAAGATGTTCGCTCAGTTTATAGCCAACGTCAAGGTATTCCAAGAATGTTACATCACGAATTTTCATGGGCAATATCTCCCTTAATCCAACTCTCTACCTCATTTATACTTTGCATTCTAAAAAGGATGTAAACATGATCTACCAAACTCTCTCATATAGATACTCGACTTATGAAACTCGATAGTCTGCACTTCCTTCAATTTCGGAGTTTCTCCCAGTCCGTAAGGCTCTTGGACAGCCGCGTATCAATCCTGCCATGACTCTGCCGCGATTTTTCAGTATGGCTATCCAAAGGCGTGGACAGTATGCAATCCAGACTCATTGGTGTTCCAGCCACCGTGATGAAATAGCACGGACGGCTCGGGAAGGCTCTCAAAATATTAATACCAAAACGATGGATCATCGTTGTAAGCTACCTTGGCTGCTCTGAAGCAAATAAAGAATGCCGATGAACGGTATTTTTCCATGCAAGCAGCAGCAGACGAACGAAATTCCATCTCGTATCTCATTAGGTATTGTATTCGCGAGAATCTGCTGCACAGGGTAAACAAAGCGAAACCTAAGGCGTCGACTGCTGGAATTGATTTCAGACACCCTCATTGAGTTAGGTAAGATGTCAAGATGGCACGTTACCCGGGGCCGCAGATAATGATTAAGTTACGATCGATACCAGTCATCTAATTCTAAGATTTATCTTGCTTACAGGTATTCGAGTTTTGGATGGGTATGTGCCCAGGAATGGCTTTCTTTCAGTTGGTTTGGGGTGACATGCATGATGAGTTGACATGATGACCCACTCGCGATATAAAACCCTGAAAAATGAGAGTTCAAGGCTCGGGGAAAGCTTTAGGGGAAGCATGAGAAACTGTGTGTCCCGAAGTCATTGTCATGGATTCTTCGATATTGTCTCGTTAGGCGAATAAGTCACAAAGTGACATGTTGAGATTCGCAAATAGTATGCGAGTTCGCCGATAGGGCGATCTCAAGCCGGTTTCGGGCAAAAGAGGTGGGACTGGCGTTCGGCAGACGATGGTGGAGATGCTCGCCAGGGAAATTATCATATCAGAACCCGGAGATTGAATAATAATTGACTATCAATTCAACCGGCACTCGCCGCTGCCCCGCCTTATCACGTGTTGATACCCCACTGTTGTCACGGTGGACTTCTTTTTCTTTTGACAAAGGGATCTCGTCTAATTCGGAGAATCGCTCATCAATAGTGAGGTTTCCAAGCTTCCTAGCATTCAAGGTCGTTGGCTGCTTTGCGTATTTGCTGTTGTGTTCAGCGCAGGACATTTCCCCGCCAAGTGGATCTCCAGTTCTCGGGGACCTTGGCGTGGAAAAAGCGGCCGATAAGACCAGGAGAAAATTCTGCCAAGTTGCATCTGCAAGCCAAGTGAAAGCCAAGAGCAGCTGGTATAATAAGTTGTCTCTTCCGCTGCTGTTCTTTGATCCGTGCTCGGCAGGGTTTTCAACATCCTGATTCCGACCAGAGTCTCAAAGTCTAGTGGGGAGAATATACTTCCGGACGATCGGCATTCAGTTGCCCTTGAAGTCACAATGTCATCAATTGTTGACGAAACTCCTGCGGACTCGCACAGTCTGGACAGTGACAAGAAATGGAGCTTGCAACCCTTGATCCGCAAGGCCGAGCGTTCCCATAGTCGAATGCCAGGAATTCGCAAAATTCCTCTTCGGGCCATCGCGATCATCATTCTGATTGCCTTTTTGAATATCATCGTATGGGTCGCCGCTGCGATTGTGCTGGTATGTCGAGTTCCATTCGTTCATCCAAACTAAGAAGTGGAATTGCAAGACGCTAACATCCTGACAGCACTTTCATCCGTATGTTTAGGTATTTGATAGATCCTGCCCATGGTATATGAACTGACGATGTTTTAGAGCCATGATTTCGACTGCAGCTCTCGCATACTCTCTCGGCTTAAGACATGCTTTCGATGCAGATCATATTTCCGTAAGCCCAGCACGGAATCCGCATTTTCACCAATGCGAGTTCTAATTTGAATAGGCCATTGATCTGATGACACGACGATTATTGGCGACTGGCCAAAAGCCCGTCACTGTGGGAACATTCTTTTCCCTTGGGCATTCCACGTGAGTAACTGAAACTCGACTATCGTCTAATGAACATCACGCTAAGTCATTTTTAGAATCGTAATCATCACGTCCATTGTAGTCGCAGCTACCGCCGCTGCAGTCTCGGACAAATTCGACAGTTTCAGCAAAATTGGCGGCATTATCGGTAGCTCCGTCAGCGCAGCATTCCTGATACTACTTGGTCTCATGAATGTCTATATTCTGTTCAAATTAATCAAGCAGATGCAAAAGGTCTTCAACTTACCGGAAGGACAAGAAGACGAGGCTTGGAAGATCGAGGGTGGAGGGCCACTGTTCTCCATCTTGAAGAAGATGTTCAAATTGATTGACCGGTATGTCGCAAATACACGTTGGTCTTGACCTCATATGCTGACCATGTCCAAGTCCTTGGAAAATGTATCCTCTCGGTATTTTGTTCGGACTTGGGTTTGACACTTCATCTGAGATTGCGTTGCTTGGTATCTCATCCATCGAGGCTGCCAAGGGAACATCGTTCTGGGTGATCTTGATTCTACCTGCATTATTTACCGGTAAGAGCATTTCCATGAGCACTAGCTGATATCCTACTGATTTCCATCTAGCTGGAATGTGTCTCTTGGATACCGTTGATGGAGCTCTTATGTTCTCTTTGTACATTCAACCTGCTCAGAACTTCCTATCCCAGAAGGCCGCCACTGAAGTTCTTGAAACATCTTCGGATATTGACGATGACGAATTGCCCCAGTCCAGAGACAATCACCGAGATCCTGTGGCGTTCTTATACTACTCGATTGTATTAACCATTCTGACCGTTATCGTTGCCATCGTTATTGGTGTGATCCAGCTCCTGACCATGATCCTCAATGTCACCGATGCCACCGGAAAGTTCTGGGACGGCGTGCAAATAGCCGGCGATTATTATGATGCCATCGGTGGTGGTATCTGCGGGTGCTTTATAATATTTGGAGGATTGAGCGTTGTGGTGTATAAGCCGTGGCGGAGATGGATGGACCAACGCTACGGGCGCTCTACCGTGACAGGTACCGAGAGATCCCAAGATGAGGAACCTGAAACCGGAGAAGACGATGTGTATGAGCGTGGACAAACCACTGTTATCACCAAGGGGGACTCTACTCGTGTCACGGCTACTGAAGGGCGACGGATCGAAGAGGAGATCGTCTAGTGTCACCTTTCACATCGAACATGACACATCTTCATCGGCCGTTGAGCAGTGCAAGGCATAGATAACAAAAGAAAACTGTTGATATTTTTCGCAGTTCGATCCGCATGTGAGAAGTCAAATATTGAAGGTTGGAGGCATCGCATGATACCCACGTGCACTAGAATTGCTGTGTAGCAAACTTAAATTACCACCAGCCGATGTAGCTAGACTTGCTTAATGATATCCATACCTACAATATTTTACCCCTATCTCTATCCACTTATCCTAGCTTTCCATATTTCTTTCCCCCGTTGCCATTCTATTTTTCATATCTCCCAATGTACAATTTGACGTGACATTATATCAGTACCTGGTAGGAACCTCCGCTCAGGTGGTTCTCTTCCTAATCATATACTAAAGTTTGTCAAAAGTACCACTCTAAAGTTGCCAGACATATCATCAGGCTATTTATGTACTTTGGTCTTAGCGTAGAATGTGTATTACCGCCTGTATATGTAACATAAGACAATATATCAAAGATTCGAGTTATTGAAAAGTCCTTTCATCATTCTATTTACTAAATAGTGCATCTAAACCACCAAAATCGCGATTCTCATGTTGTCCTCTAGTTTCCGGCTTCCAAAGATCTACGATCCTGGAAGAACTCCACTTTTTCGTTGTCTCAGCGCCACATCCGACGGCTTGTCTACGATGAGCCTTTATTGTTGTAATTTACGGAGCGTATTTGGTATACTGGCAAGTTGAATTACTGTAAACATACCCACATGCCCGGGCGAGGATGTGTCTGTCTTGTCAACACACCAAAGCCCGAGAATCTTCTGTGCAACAGGGCAAAGTGTAAAAAATACGTGCTGTCTTCTTTCAGAATGGGCTAGACCCTGATTCAATTTGATTGCACAGACCTCAGTAATGTATTGCTAATTAGGTTTTACCGCTGGGTGTATAATACTCTTCGCTGTCTGCACTGCAGAAATGAAGGATACAGATTGTACACAGGAGCGCAGGTCTTACATGATATGTATTCGTAATGTAGTTATTTCCCCTGGAAATTAGTAGAGTCTTGTCAGTTCAACACTTGCGCATCATTCACAATCCCAAGCAAGTTCTTCCGTTCGGACGGTTACCCGTTCCGAGAACAACGTCCGAGATCAGCCACATGGTACACGTATTACTGTGTTTTGTACCTTATCCATTGTCGTTATTACCCGCGCAAAAGTACCGGTACCGTGCGTGAAGCACTATAACACTACCGAGGCCCCCCCCCCCCTTGCAAATGCATTTTTTTAATCCACCACATCCCTGACGATCCGCCATTCATGACACCTGGCTCCACCCCCAAAAACTCCTAATACTGTACTTTGCAATCTACCGCAGTCCGACCTAACCACGGTTCGGTCTAAATCTCTAACCATGACCGATCAGATTACTGTGGATGTGGATCCGGATTTGCATATAATAACGGATGAATACAGTCCTGAAGATTGGGCCTCAGAGACCACTTCCATCGGTTCCTCTTTGTACAGGGGTCTGATGGAAAATGGCCGAAGATATCAGTCTCTGAAGTCCGACGAGTATTGTTTTCCTGCCGATGAAAGACAATTCGAAACCTACGATGCTGCACATCTTGCAGCTATAATCGGGGATTCCGATGAGGAGAACATGCTATTCCAAGCCCCATTGAACCCCAAAAATGTTCTTGATATTGGGACTGGGAAGGGTTCGTGGGCCATTGACGTTGCCGATATGTTCCCTAATGCCGCTGTCCGTGGCGTGGATCTTTTCCCCCCCTCCAGTTAGCTGGATGCCTCCCAATTGCGTTCTCGAAGTGGATGACGTTTTACAAGAGTGGACTTGGCGTGAAAAATTTGATCTAATCCATCTTCGCATTATGGCAAGTGCCTTTACTCCTGCGGAGACAGAGCAATTGATGAAGCAAGTTTACGACTGCCTAGAGCCGGGTGGATGGATTGAACAGATGGAAATTCACCCGACAATCTATTGTGATGACGATAGCATTCCGCATGATAATGTGTTATTTGATATCGGACCGAGGTATGGAGAACCCCCCTTTCCGCCTCCCCAAGGATATGTGACGGTAGCTGTTGATGAGACAAGTCGGACTGATTTGTTTTCCTCAGATTTGATGCTGCCGCTAATAAGTCTGGGAAGCCTATGGACCTTATCAAAACAATGCGGGCCTCGATTGAAAAAGCCGGGTTTGTTGATGTCCACGAAAAGAACGTCAAGTGGCCAATCGGTCCATGGCCAAAGGACAAGACCCTGAAGGAACTTGGGTCGGTCAACCTCCATCATTGGCTGACTGGTATGGAGGGTTATACGATGTATCTAATGACTAAGTTTGGAAGTCCGACCCCGTGGTCGCCAGAGGAGGTGCAGGTCTACAACGCTAGGATGAGAAAGGAACTGCTCAATCCTCGTCACCACGCCTATCAACGTGCGAGAAGAGTATGGGCTAGGAAGCCATTTTCAGACCAGAAGACCGAGCAAAGAGATTAATGACGGCACCTGGAGGCAAAAGAGGCTGCGCGCTTTTTTTTTGATGGCGAACACTACTTGACGTTGTTCCAGTAGCTGTTCCTCTTCTGGCGTGAGCTGCCAGGACTTGAGCTTGACCAGGAGACTAGAAGGAACATTAGGGAGGTGCGTTTCTTCAGGCCATATCTGCATTCCCGAGGTCGTCTTTTTATATATCAATGTCGCATAGTTTGAATTTCAATTTGACACGCGAGACACTGGACTGGCTAAGCCTTGGGAAATTTCCACGTTAAGCTTGCAAGAGATGTTTGACGTCGCTTCGAGAGTTCTAGAAGCTCGAAAAGGCGAATTAGACAAGGCCTCGCGGACTACAAGAATCAAAGTCGCGTTAGACACCGTGAGGGCGTCACCGCAGTTTTCAAGGCGAAAGCCACGAGAGTCGGATACCTATAGACTAGTTCCAACGTTGCCATAAAATGTTTTCAAAGTTCCCCTTAACCTTTTTGGCCTATTTACTTACGATCCTTCAATTACCTTTCGAACCTGGATCTGAACCACGCTTTGATTCACCTGTGCAGCGCTCTGTTACACTAGCTTACAGAGGGCTGACTCTTGTCCCAAAAACGTGACAAGAGAAAGTGCAAAGAAGCTACTCATGCTCGTATCTTGATTTGGTCTCTAGTCGATAACGAAATAGCTATGTTCGCTCACTACTGTATCAAAGCTCTAGTGATACGCTAACGGTCAGCCTTCTGCTATTTGCACAACAAACGGATCAGTTTTGAATACCAGGTATATGATTCGAGAGTTCAGACCAATCACCTATCGTTGAGTGATGCTATTCCGGTGAAATGTTGCACAGCATAGCTTCTCGCGGATTTCGATGAGTCAAGATCTCACGATCTACTATGTATGAGGGTATTTGTCTGAGATCATCTTCAGTTCAAACTTAGGTACTCAGCAGGACCGGAAACGCTCGATTGGTCAAGATGAGAATACTTGTAAATCCTTCATTGGACTGGAATGCGCTACTTTTCGTGTGTGTAACTCTACGCTGTTGTGATCTTTGATGGGTCTAACAGCTTCCAGTATAAAAGGAGTTGATAAGTGTATCAATTTGGCAAATCATCTGGGGTGCCACTCCTTATTGAACCTGCTTCCCGAAGAACTGCCCCCCCTTAAGATTACCAAAATGACGATCTCGGTGATTATTGCACTAGCTAGCTTTTTGTCATGCGCGTTGGGTGCCCCTGTCGACATCGACACGAGCAAAAACTACGGAATGACTCCATGTTTGGTAGGAGATTAAGTTTAGTTCAACTTTTGACATATTACTGTTTTGCTCACGAATATCATTGCCATAGCTCGTGTGCAACGAACAAGCAGCTATCGTCGGAGAGTGCTGGAAGGGCGTCTCAGATACGGCATGCACGTGCCCAAGTATACCCTACCTGGATCATTTGAAGAAATGTATTAAAGCATCGTGCCCATACTCTGACTGGGAATGTATGTTGCAACACCGATTTTCAAGGGAAGCTCGTCGCTAACTTCAACAGTGGCCGTTAAGTTGCACGTTGAGGTCTGCAAGTCGCCCTTCTTAGAGGGGACTTCACTGGATTGATGATAGGGTTTTATCGCTTCATCTGAATGATTTTTCTCAGCTACTTATGGTGGGCTTGAGTATCGCATAAGTGGTAGACGGAAATTTGGTGGAACGACTATCATATATTGGCTTATGATCGAGAACCAGGCATTCCAGCAAATGATACTTTGACATTATGATAACTCATATCCACGTAGGCGATCAGTTTGAATACTCTAGTTTCCAATGCCCTCAGATTCACAAGATGCATAGACAAATGCACAACAGTGAAGCTGAAGATATATGACGTCATTTAAGGAATCCAATCGGATAACGCCCACTCAAATCCCAACCTCACGTCTGAAATCTGAACTTAGGCGCCACACAACGGGACACGACCCGATTATGTTCACGGGTTACTGCATAGGAATGTGGTTGAGATCACGATTATCTATTCCCTGCATATGTAAATACACAAAAAAATGGGTATCGAGCGCCCCATCCAAAGTGCGTCGGACATCAAGACCGAGGTGAATGAGAAATTATTTACCGGGCACCCTCCAATATTCATTCTGCCCACCCACATGACACTGGACAAGCTACATGAAACTGAAGATCGTCTACTCAACCACGGGGGAAACCTAACATATGACATCACGGAAGCAGGTATAATATTGGGTAAACTTTCCCATAAAAAGCGAGCTGCGCTGGAGCTGCGCTCGCGTGGGATATGGACCGAGGAATTATGCGCAATTTCCGAGCCAATGTCAACTTCGTCCAAGGCCGAAGTGGGGCCTCCGCTGAAACGACAAAGAACCACGAAAGTCAATTTCACTGTCGATGCTGCAACAGATATCGTGAATCTCAGCACGGAATCGGAAATAGACAAGGCGAGAGGTCAACATTATCAAGCCGAGAATGAGGCTCAAACAGTCGCAGTCGTTCAACTGGATTGGCTAGATTGTTCAATCAAGAGTGGTGAACCTCTCCCCTACGGTCCATTTCTAGTTTACAAGGGACGGAAAGGCATCGCTGCTCCATCAGCCACCCCTGCAGCGCCACCCACTATCATATCTAGCCAGATCATAAAAAGGGCAAGGGAAGATGCAGCGGGACGTCCTTCACCAGTGCAGCAACACCACCAATTTCAAGCTCGACGCTCCAAAGAGCCCACAAACGAAACTCCAAGTCAACGAAACCCACCGGTGCTTTATCGACAATCCACATCCGAGCATGACGAGACTGTATCACTCCCGCCCCAACCAGACTGGGTGCGTGACCAAGTGCTGTATGCCTGTATGCGCTCAGCACCCCTTCATCCTCCCAATGAAGAATTCATCTCTCAGTTAGTGAAGATCCGTCGGATCCGGGAGCTGACTCTCGATGAGATTGGCGTACGAGCGTACAGTACATCCATTGCTGCTATAGCTGCATATCCTTATGTCATCAAACGACCCAGTGAGATCATCGCTTTGCCGGGATGCGATGTGAAAATCGCCAATCTGTTCGCAGAATTCCAGCAACATGGTGCCTGTAGTCACACTGATGACGATGGCAATGTTGCTGCTGCAAGTGCCTTGGAGGGTGACCCAGTCTTGCGTGTCCTAAACATTTTCAATGAGATATGGGGTGTGGGAGCCAAAACAGCCCGGGATTTCTATTATCATCGTGGGTGGAGGGACATCGATGATATTGTGGAGCATGGTTGGAAGTCGCTCTCCCGCGTGCAGCAAATCGGAGTCAAATTCAACGATGAGTTCAAAGCGGGAATTTCGCGCTCCGAGTCCGAAAGCATCGCTGCGATTGTGCAGTGGCATGCTAATCAAGTGCGACCGAAAGCAAACGGCGAGGTGCAATCCATTTTGGTCGGGGGCTACCGACGTGGGAAGCAGATATGCGGCGACGTGGATATTATACTGACTCATCGTGATGATACAGTCACGCGGAGCCTTATTGTTGATCTCGTTGCTAGTCTCGAGACGAGCCGCTATATTAGCCATACGCTCTCCTTGCATCTCACCTCAACGCTTCGTGAGCAGCAAACAATACCATTCCGAGGCGATGAAACAGGGAAGCATTTCGATACGCTCGATAAGGCATTGGTAGTCTGGCAAGACCCGCACTTTGATGACCAAAGCTCTTCGGGAGATCAAGATCCCAGTCGTCACAAACGAAATCCCAATCCTCACCATCGTGTGGACATCATTATATCGCCCTGGAGGACCATTGGCTGCGCCGTACTTGGCTGGTCCGGTGACACGACCTTTCAGCGGGATCTGAGACGCTTTGCAAAGAAGGCTCATAATTGGAAATTCGATTCAAGTGGCATACGAGAACGCACTTCGGGGGGCCAAGTGGTTGACCTGGAGCACGATGGCGACAACTGGGAAGATAGAGAAAAACTTGTAATGGAGCGAATGGGGATTGGATGGAGGCCAGCTGAAGAGCGATGCTCACGATGAGGAATTCCATGTGAGTAGCGGGCACTCTAGGTTTCTCCGTGGATATCTAAAACCTTCTAGCCGCGTTGAAGACGACGGGCCATTTAAATTAATGAGATACTCGTTATGTATGAGTTGGTAGGTCCAATTTCAGTCAATATAGTGGCTCTCATAAGCAGTCCAGGGTATCCTGGCAAGGGGAAGCCCACAGAGAATAGGGGCAACGCAAATTGTCCCCCGAAATTCTAAGAAAGATGATCGTCTTAATTTGCCCATTTTGGAGATGCCATCCAGTTGTTTCTGAATGCATTCATGCCCACCATATTGAATCGTGCGTACGTCGCGATTCGCGATGAAGGTTTGAAAATTGATGGGTTCGGTTTCAACATCGGTTCCGAGTGGTATGCGATCAGTCTCTTCATCGACCCTGGTATCGTTGATTGCCGGCCCCAACAAGCTCTGGTTATCTGAGCCATCTTTTGATGGAAATGCGTCCTTCTGCAGATGCTTCAAATCCGCGGCCGACACTAAGATTTGATCTAAGTACTCTTCCAGAGTTAGGTCGAGGCTCTTTTCGACGGTGGTCAGAGTTGCGGTTGGATAACTTCATAATATGACCCAACATAGTGCTCAGTAAAATACTGGTTCGCGTGATCCATGATTTCAGTGTGGCTGTCTGTGGTAAAGCCTAAGTATTCGGTGGTTTTGGTAGGTACGCGACTTGACGAGTTGCACCGCATGTGGCATGTATACGTCTTCGACTTGGGAATTCGAGACCAACCATTTCTTTGATCGCCTGATAGGAATGATGAGCACCGGCTGGCTGTTCCAAGGCCCTGTTGTGGTCTTATAGTCTGGGAAGGCTGCCAACCACGGGTATTCTGAGTGCGTCCATTCGACTGCATGGTCGGACCTCGCAAATGCCCCATTCAACACATCTTCAAGATGCTCACAACACCAAGCCGTCTAAACGCTTGAACCAGTATCCAAATGATTGTATAGATGTGGTGATCTTCAGAAACATGTAGTAAAGGAGCTGCGGACGACTTGCCCATCACAATAGATTGATAAAGTAATTTTACCCGTGGCTAAGGCCACTTGATTGGGTATTATGCACAATCCAAGGTCAGTGGTACTGCAACTCTCAATGACGACATTCCCGGACAACTTCGTATTGATTCAACTTGCAAACGTCAAGCTTTCTTTAGGACTTCAGTTCGAGCCTTCAAATAACTGAGAAACGAAATACACATTTCAAATAAATTCCTAGTCATGCGTGTCGCCATAGCTGGAGGTACTAGCCCTACTCTTGGCACAAGTATTGTTTCCGCTCTTCTCGCCACTCAAGGCCGTTATACTCCGGTGATCCTCTCACGCAAGAAACGAGACGTTTCTCGGCCTTCGGCCCAACAAAGTTGCGAGATTCGATATGTGGACTACAGTTCACAACCCTCCCTTGTGGCAGCCCTGCGGGATGTGGAAGTTGTCATCAGCGTTCTCCTAATACCGGGTCCGGACTGGGTTACCGCACAAGTGAACCTCCTCCACGCAGCGGAAGAAGCTGGGTGTCGACGATTCGCACCGTCAGAGTTCTCACTCACAGAACATGCACATACAATGGTTGATCTACTTGCAGCAAAGAACGTAGTCTGGAAAGAAGTTCAGACCTCAATCCGCCAAGGCAAGATCGACGCCGCTCGGTTTCCATGCGGTATGTTCATGAACTACCTTGGCATTGGAATTCCAGAGGAGGAGATAAGGCTGGAAGCACTCGCAGGTTTCCAAGAAGGGTCTTTTCTCATCCATCTAGATGCTCCATCACCTTGGATCGAGGTCCCAGTACACGCAGATGGATCATTTCCGAGTTTGAGCATGACAGACATCAGAGATGTGGGTTCGTTTGTAGTTGCTGCTTTGGACATTGAAGAGCCGTGGGGAGGTAGGGATCTGGGAATGGCAGGGGATACTCTAAGCTTCGCCGATTTGATCAGTTTATGCGAACAATACACTGGGAAATCAATTGAGGTCCGCAAGGTGACGAAAGCAGAGCTCATTACACGGCTCAGAGGTATACCTCCGAGCCAATTCATTCAATACATGGAATGTCAACTGGAGATTGTGGGGACGTTGGATCAATGGGTGATTGATCCCGCGTTGAATCGTCTATCGTCGGTCCAGCCAACCACGGTGGAACAGTACATGAGACAATACTGGGGCAGAAAATGAATCTACTATATGTTCGGATTCACCGGTACTTATTCACAAATTCAATTACTGCACTATTCACCTCGGTCGGATGAGTGCAGTTTAAGAAATGCGCACCTCCTTTGAGCAGCACCAAATTCGCATCCTGAGACTGCGTAAAAAGCTTGATCTCTTCTGTGGCATTCGCCGCGGAGAAAACAACATCCTCAGTTCCCTGAATGAATTAGCCAGGATCGCAGAATGGCAAATTCATACACCTACATGAAGCCATAGAACCGGGCAGCGAACGTCCGCCAGCCGAAGATGCATTGATCCACGCTCTGCCAAGTTGATCGCAGCCATCCGAAGACGTTTGCGACCGTCCTCTCCACGATAGTTCGATTTGATGGAGTCGCGCCAGAAGTCGTGAACCTCGGCAGAGCACTCATTGAAACCGACTCCAATCAGTGCATCGCAGTAGTCATCCCCGGGCTCAAAGTTAGGCACTGGTTTACTGACAGTCCATTGATTCACGAAGTCAGACACGACTTTTAAGCCGTCCCAGCAATCAAGTTTTCGACTGCGATCTGACTCTGAATCCATTGACGTCCCCAGGGGGATGATACCCGCAATCTAGTAGCAAGTCAGCAGTGGCAAAAATGGTTGGTGTCAGCTATCATACCATTTCTGGTCTAAGCAGGGCCATTTGAACGGTGACCCAGCCTCCTTGACTAGTGCCCAACACAAAGGCCCTGGCAATTCCCAAAGCATCCAAGACTTGGAGATTCATCTCAGCTGTGTCCCAGTACGTCCACTGCTCAGACGACGTGCGTGTCTGACCATGTCCAAGGAGCTCGATAGCCACCAGGTTCACCTTGGCGGCAAGCTGGGGATCATCAAATTGCTGTCTGTATAACTCAGATGTAGCGGTGAAGGCGTTCACGAGGACAACCGTTGGCTTGGCTGGATCATACTCGGGCATCTGATAGGCGGCGTCGATTCCGCCTAAATGGGGAACGTGGACAATTTTAGTATTCGGCATGGCTTGCTATATGGATGAGGCTGTTCTTTCGTTTCAAAGAAATTGCCCCTCGTCAGGCTCAACCCCACTTCTTATATTCTGGAGCTCTCATTCTTGGCACCATCGTAGAGTTTCGGGGAAATAGGAAATAAGTGGAGTGGACCCTCCACTGGTCCGACGGGTGGCAAGTCAACTTTACGAGAAGAATGAAGACCTTGGGGTCGGGGAGATAATTCAATTCATACATCGTTGCTCCTATTGGCAATATTGTTTTTATATGTCCTCTGCTAATTCCACCACCGGGCCTGAAAATCGCTTTTTCCCACCAAAAGCATAATAGTACACCCCACCAAGGAAGACCCAGCCCACCATCACGACTACACAGTAATTCATGTTGTTGGGCGTCACGGGCTCGACGGTAGGGAATGTACTGAACACCATTGCAAGGGTCAGCCACAGCAGCGCAATGAGGTTCACCACTGGGCCCCATCGTAGTCCGAGATTGAACATGCCCGATCCCAATCCACCGATGGCAGATGAGGATGATCGTCGACCATAGAGAAGCATAAACAGAATGGGAGAGAAATAGGACGCATACATGCCGAGAATAGCCATAGAAAGGACGGCATTGAAGGCAGTCGAGCTTCCCAGGTAGATCAGACCCAATAACATCTGCAGAAACCCGACAACCACCACCATGCGCACGGGCACTTGCAAGGTCGGGTTAACATACGAAAAGAATCCCGAACCCGGTAAACCGTGATCGCGCGCAAAGGCCCATGCCGTGCGACTGGTTGAGGTTGTACCAGCAGCATTGGCAGCCAAGGCTACTAAGGTAATGCAAAGCGCCATAACGGAGGCACCGGCGCGGGAGCCTGTCACGTTGAGGAAGAGTTGCATAAAAGGGAATCCTGTGTTGGACTCGAGGAGATCTTGCAGATTGCCTAAGGAGAACAACAGGATGATTGCATAGACAAGGCCAATCACTCCGTTAATGGCGACACTGCCGATCATGGCCAGGGGCACGTTACGCGAAGGCTTGGGAAGTTCCTCGCTTAGGTGGCAGGCGGCATCGTATCTGCAATCAATGTCAGTCAGGTCATATGTGAGATTTAGGATAACTTCCTACCCGAGAAAGGGATACACAGTGCTGAGTAAACCCACCAGCCATGAGACTCCGTCATTTGTCCAGCCACTGGTATTGGAAAACTCCTTGAAGACGTAGTCGGCGGAATGTTTGTCGGACATTACACCCAGGACACAGACGATCGCGATGAATCCCCCTACGTGCAGAATTCCTGGATTGTAATCAGCCTAATTACCTCATACAGGACATTTCTCTACTGACCTGCGGTGGTGTTGGTATGAGGTAGAATCTTGGAGCCGAAAATATTGACCGCCATCGAGTATGCTAAGATTAACCAATAGAAGAGCATTCCCTGCCATCTCGTCGGAACATATGTGTCGGGGTTGTTGAGGGTAATGAGAGACTGCAGCTGTAGCCCGGCGGCAAAGGCTGCTGAAGCGGCGAGAACGAGTTGGCCACCGATGGAAATCCAGCCTGTGAACCAAGTTGCCGTGGCTCGAGATGATACAGGACTGAGACAGTAGACCCAGTGATATTGTCCTAACGTACACCTTGTGAGCGGGTGAGGCAAAGGGGAACGAAACAGTATCTTACCTCCTGCAGTAGGATAAATTGCAGCAATCTCACACAGTGACAAAACAACGAAGATTGTGCCGATCAAGGAGATAATGCTGGAAGAAAAGAATCAGGGTTTGCCCGGATACAGAGTGGCCTTCCGAGTAACATACTAGTTATAGAACAAACAAGGGGCACCACCGTTGGTCAAAGCCGTGGCCACTACAGACGAGAGAGCCTCCCATGTTGCCATCAACGAAATTTGAAGACACACAATAGACCATAGTGAGAATTCACGACGGAGTTCCTGGACGTGACCGAGGGCAGCCAGCTGCTCCTCGTCACTGATGGGCTTCTCGGGGGAAGCCACCTTGGTCTTGTCTTCTAGATCAGAAATGGAATTCATCTGTGCACTGCACAAGGCCACGAGCAACTCTCCACGAAATCTATCTTGGTCTTATAGCCGCGGAACTAGTACGAGATAGGGGGTAACTACCCAATTCGCGGTGCACAATCCGCACTTCCCTGATAACCTAGGTAACGATCACCCTAGATCATAGGGAAAGTAAGGCTTATCGCCAGGGCTAATGCAGACTGTGGTGATTTATCGCCCCAGATCCATCTCTTCCCCGCATTTTAGGTAAATAAATGTCTAAGGCGCTACTTTTATCTCTGCGCGTTCTTTCCGCATTTCCAGGATCAATGCAGATTGACCCAAACATGACAAAACCACGTCCAATGGCTGTTCAGTGACAAAAGCCACCGTTGTTGATTGGGCACGACATATGCCGTGGGTCTGTCACTCTCTCCGAGCCGTTGGGATGGCAAAGGCAAAGGCTCGGAATCGGAATTTAAAGTCAGATAGGACGATAAGCAGCAAGCTCGGAATGGCTGTTGAACTGTACCCGAAGAAAGGACCTGTTCCCCGTCGATCATCATCCCAGGGATGTGCGACTCATATTGTATTGGTCTCCAAATTCCCTCGGTAATTAGGGTCTCATATATGGCTACACCACGGGCCATCAAATCCACATCCCCGCATTTTTCGAGGTTTTGCGGAACTACTTCCATCCAGAAGTCTAAATGGGAGCCTAATGATTCCTTGGCACAAATTCCCCTGTTCTGCTAGAGTCATCGCAATCGTGATTGGTCATGTCAGTGGTTATTTTATGTAATGTACTGCAGCTTGCCACTCGGCGATGGAAGGTCGGAATGGAACCTGCGATAACAGCCTATCGATAGGACTGATTCGTAGCAAACAACAACATTATACTCGGAGCCCGTAGAAATTAATGTGAGCTATCGATTCAAAGATTGTATTTTATCATCCAAAGCCAACAGATAAAGATTCATTACCTAGACATGTGACTTAGACAATCGTGATCAAGGAGCTCGGATCCATTCCGGCTTTCCGAGCCCGGAGCCCCCACTCGATCCCCTCATTCCGTACCGTTATATAAGTCACCCTAGCATGCCTGGGAGCTTGTCAAGCTTGTCAAGGAGCTGCTCAGACTAACCACAATCATGCTTCACCCACTTGCTATCCTCTCCGAAGAGGAGACCAACCTAGCCCGCGATGTGGTCACAGCCGCTCACCCCAACACCATCATCGACTTCCGCGAGATCTACCTACAAGAACCCCCCAAAGCGCAATTGCTCGAGTTCCTTGCCATCGAGCATGCCGGTCGCTTGAGTCCAACGACCCCTCGTCCACCGCGTCTAGCCTTGTGCCAGTACGACGTGATTGGCACTGACCGGATCCCCTCCTACGAAGAATCGGTCATCGACATAGCTACTCGCACCCGGGTCAAGCACCTCGTGGTGGGCAAGGAGCACCATGCGGCGCTCACCCTGACTGAGTTCGATACGTTGGTAGAGCAGTGCATGAAGTCGCCTTTGTTCCAGCAGGCTCTCGCGGACTTCGATCTCCCAGAGGGTTTCGAGGTCGTGATCGAGCCATGGCCATATGGTGGTCTGGACAGCACCGAGGACAACCGTCGTTACTTCCAAGCACTGTGCTTTGCCCAGGATAAGCGTTCTGGTAACGAAGACTCTAACTTCTATTCATTCCCTCTTCCCGTGATCCCAGTCATGGACGCACACACACAAGAGATCATTCGAGTGGACCGACCTGCAACCGGTGGTAAGGGAGAGGGCCTGCTTGAGCAGACCTTCAAGCGCGATATCATTGGACACTGCAAGCCTTCCGAGTATGTTCCCGAGCTGCTTCCCGAGGGAACACGAAAGGATCTCAAACCTTTGAATGTTGTTCAGCCTGAGGGACCCTCCTTCCGGGTCACAAACGACTCTCTTGTGGAGTGGCAGAAGTGGCGCTTCCGTGTCGCCTTCAACCCACGTGAGGGTGCCACTATTCACGATATCTGGTATGATGGTCGTAGTGTGATGCACCGTTTAGCGATCAGCGAGATGGTATGTTTTCTTCCTTATGAAAAGTTGCCTGTTGTTAATTGTTACCAGACTGTTCCTTATGCCGATCCCCGGCCACCTTTCCACCGCAAACAAGCCTTCGATTTTGGTGATGGTGGCGGTGGTAACATGGCGAACAACCTGTCTCTGGGATGTGACTGTCTCGGAGTCATCAAGTACCTCGACGCCGTGATGACAAAGCCCGACGGTACTGCTCAAAAAATGCCCAATGCCATCTGTCTTCACGAACAAGATAACGGCATTGCCTGGAAGCACTCCAACTGGCGTACTGGTCGGGCTGTGGTCACTCGTCTCCGCGAGTTCGTGGTTCAATTCATCATCACTTTGGCCAATTACGAGTACATCTTCGCCTTCAAGTTTGATCAATCAGGTGGTATCACAGTGGAGTCCCGTGCAACCGGTATTCTTAACGTGGTCAACATTGATGCGGGTAAAGTCAGCGATTATGGAAATGTCGTGAGCGGGGGTGTCCTCGCTCAAAACCACCAGCATATTTTCTGTGTGCGTATGGACCCAGCCATCGACGGGCTGAAGAACTCCGTCGTAGTGGAGGAGTCGCACGCCGTTCCCAAGAATGCGGTCACAAATCCCAACGGAAACTTCTACCAGGTTACCAAGGAGACCATCAAGCGTTCCTCCTGGATCGACGCAGCACCCCAGCTGAACCGGACCATCAAGATGGTCAATCCCCACAAGACCAACCCCATCAGCGGAAACCCAGTTGGATACAAATTCATCCCCTTGGCTACGCAAACATTATTGGCAGATCCAGACTCGGTGCAGGCACGCCGAGCTCAGTTCGCTCAACATCACGTTTGGGTCACCAAGTACCGGGACAATGAACTCTATGCAGGTGGTCGGTACACGTTGCAGAGCCAAGTCGAGGTTGACGGTGTCTCAGATGCCGCTCGCCGAGGTGAGGCAGTCGAAGACACAGATGTCGTAGTTTGGAACACATTCGGTATTACTCACAATCCACGAGTTGAGGACTGGCCTGTCATGTAAGTCTTTACCTTCCCCCTTATCTTCAAAGAACAACCACTGACTAAACTATCAGGCCCGTTGAAATGTTCCAGCTCATGATTCGCCCTGCGGATTTCTTCACTGCCAACCCCTCGATTGACGTACCGTCTAACAAGAATGGATCGTCCCGATTGGCGGACTCCGAATGCTGCAGAAAGGCACACATCTAAGCATCACTGTTTTCAAAATACACATTGTATTAAACTAATGTGCTTTCTTTGTCATTATACCCAAGTCTGTATATATCACGGGTCATGAGATTGGCGAACTACTATTAGTTACATTTCTTCAGTGTATCATTCATTCAGCTTTACCTTGAAATAAGTTTGAAGGGTTAATTTGGTCAGTTTCGCTTCAAGCTCATGCCAAATATGTATCCATATATAATATATCCATAGATATGCAAATCAAAGTTTCCAGACCAGCTGGAAACCCTCGATAATCAAGGAGTGCCGGCTCCATTGGAAAATTTGACAGCCCAGAAATACCCCAGACCTGCTGGCGGCATGCAGGTTTGTTTAGTTCGGGGAAGCACCAGCTTCTCATAGTAGACAAACATACCTAGATACACCTCCAGGGCTGTCTAGGTATATACTTCGTGGATTATTCTGCAAAGTAATAATGGCGTCGGATTTTTCCCTTCTCAACCAAGAATCCCAGAGCATTCAATATCAGAATAATCCTTTCTCAGATCACTTGTTCTTGGACTCGAGTAAATAAAACGCCTCCGAGCCAGCTGAACGTATTGGAAAAGACCAGCTTTTCACAATTGATGAATCAACTTAACCTCCAGATCAGTTCCAGACCAGCTGGGCGTGTATATGGAGGCTTAGGACAATGTCAGATTCTCCTGACAGATAAATGTACCTATCTTGGTAGGTACTTCCATAGGATGTTCATATTCCGCTAGGAAACGACTTCAAGTTGTGTCCTTTTCCACTCAGGAACACCCAAAACTTCTGACGCGGGAATATGGCCTGTTCTAGCTCCCTTCCCCTTTGGTGATGGCAGATTAATTCTCGTATCAGCCTCCCAGGCCTCAAAGTCGCCATAAAGCCGAGCATCTCCTGCAAAGAAGGGAGAGTCTCGGAGTGCCTCGAGTACAGTAGTATGTTCGTCTTTAATTTCAAGACCATGCTCTGCTCTCAGGATCTTCTTGCTCATCGCGTAAATAATACTTGGATCCCAGAATATATCAACATTGTGGGTATATCCTTTTTGGATCAAAGACAATGCTCTCAGTCGAAGCTGTAGGCTCCGGCATTTTGCAATGACGAAGTAAAGATATGGAAGAAGTCCGACTTCTAGCATAAAACCTGGGGCCGAGGAAAGAAGCTGCGATTTCCGCGCGTAATCGATGATTTTCTCAAAATCTTCCATGCAGGTATCGTAGACTTCATCGGCCTCTCCGAGGCAAATGACCCAGATCTTCAACATGATCCATCTGAGTTGCAGAATGCAAGATATGTTTTCAAATTTGGGGTCAATGGGGAGTCTTGCCCTGAAATCCGCAAATTTGATTCGCAAGGACTCGACTTCCGTATTTAGCCGCTGTTGCTCTTGGACAACAATATTCCTCGAATAATCAGGAGATTCAAGCTGAGAGGCGCGGCATTGCTCTTTCATGCGAGCCAGCTGAGCGGCATCATATTGAATAGAGTTTATTGAACTCTGAACCTCGATAAACGAGTTCAATTTCTGTGGTGTCCGGTAAGGCCGACAATTTGTGAGAACAGGGAGGGTCCATATGGATTGAATGGTAAAAATAGGCGTAAGACTCATGTACCGGAAGATAGCACCTATCCTCGAAACATGTTGCGACGCATTCATCAAATCAATTCCATGTTTAATATGCGTCATTGCTGCGTTGATATCTCTCCGTGTGAATTCAATGCATGCAAATAGCACACAAACAATCAACACCGTATCGAGTTGGTCAGCTTGGACCGATTTCAGCAAGCGTATTTCTTTCATGGCGGAATTATAGTGGCGGAGAGAAAAGCCGCTATCATATGGAAGCTGGACGAATGCAGGATCCTGATTGGTTGTCTCATATAGACTCATGAGGCTGATCGTGGCGTGGCGTGCAGCTGGTTCCTCAACAATTAACCGCGCGACAATGCGTGACCAAAACAAGTAGTTGAGAGGCAGGCAAAATGCCGATTCTAGACTGTGGTAGAACCGATCCAGGCTACGCAGACAATTGCTGTCTGTATCGGGAAAGAGTGAGGGCTGCAACTGGGATAATGAGTTCTGTGGAATGGAACTATATCCGTCACATTTTCGGCCCGTGGACTCGCATCGCGTGCAAGATGGGCGTGTTTCATCACATTTCACTTTGCGAATTCTGGTTTTAAAATTAACGTTCAAGCTTTATTAAAGACGGCCGTCAACTTACTTGCAAGTTAAACAGCCGGTTCTAACTCGGCGGTGGACCATGCGCCGAGTTGCCTGTTTCGACTCTTTGTTCTCCATATTCATGTAAGCCGGAGTTTCAATGTCAAATGATGGGGTCTTTCAGGGCCAGGAAGGGGGCGGGATTTTGAATTTATGGATTTCATGATGAAGTACTGAAGCTCAATCGCCTCCCATTGGGGTCTAAAAGATGCCCACGAGCATGTTGATGTTTGCCACTTGGGCACTCCCTCAAGGCGTTTCTGATTCAGTTTCAAATTTCTGTGACTCCGTTTCAGCAGCGTTTCAGATTGTTGTTTCAGATGGTTGTTTGATGTCAACGGAGTCTTCCAATCACTGGTTACTACCTCTACCCTGATACAAGGGATATCACTGATCACATGTCAAGATATATGCCTACTGTTCCATTCTGTCTTTGCCGACACATTGTAGGAAACCTGGGCTGCCAGATCACCTTGTGTTCTTCTAATTTATATTGTAACTTGGTTTATTTGACGTGAGTCTACATTTTGAGCCGCATTAGTGCTAACATCAGGCCAGATTTAACATGGCAACTCAGATTTGGGGCCAACCGTGACGATCACTTGGATGCCAACGCGGCTTCACGCCTAACGCCCTACGAAACACCAACAAAACTCAACACAAGGCTGAGTCCAATTTGGATTTCAGTCATGCGTCGGCACTTACGAACGGCAGATATGTCAAAGCGACAAGTATTGAATGCACATGTGCGAGATCGTATTTTAGTGCATAACCTCCAAGGTTACTTCGAGCCAAGGGCTTACTAGGTCGCGCTGATGATAATAAGAACTAAACTTTCAATGCTGCGCAGGCCTCGAGATTTTTCTTTGCCCTAGATAGGCTGACCGGCGATGAAAATAGGGCCATATCTCTCCTGGCTCAGAAGCGTGGAACTAGCCAGTGTTGACCCATGCAGTGACATCAATGTTCAAGGGTCACCAATTCCAGTGCACCAAAATTAAAATTCCATCGACGAAAACCTCCACCAGGATCGGCTTCATCTAAGAAACGTGGGGCAAACTCGTTGCGAGAAATCTTACGCCGTATATGCTAGATCTCCTGGCATCTACGTGGATACATGTGAGCCTGGGAACTGACCTGAAACAGTAAGATCTTACTGTTTCCGAGAATATCTGCGGCACGGGTATCAGCTGGAAAATTATCACAATTCAACTTGGCCCTTTTACCTTATGATCTCCGGGATTCTCAATGCGGTTCATCTGGGCGTCCCTGCTGGAAGCCTAAGATCAAATCATATGCATCACCAATCCATTTCAGCGTTGATGCTTCCCACCAGCTTCTTTCCCCTTTTCCGCCACAGGAATTGGCTACTATCAGCTTGCAATGCTAGCAATTATTACGCCACTTTATGCAGGAGCTCAGAGCATATGACTTCGTGTATGGCTGATCGGCCTGGACAAAGGGATCAAGCGCCATTGATCAGGTACTAGAACGGGAGAAAGAATTCAGCTAATTTGTTCAATTCAGCGTTGTCATTGCGAGTATTGTTCGCCTCATCGTGCTATATGCAAACATCCACTCCGACGATGCGGCATGGTGTATTACACCAGTCTTTGTCTGGTCATGCGTCGAGCCTTTTTTCGGAATTGTTTGCTCGTCTATCAACATTCATACCTCTTTTCCGTCGTTGATGGGCCGTTCTTATCACACGAAAGATTGGAAACTTGACTAGAAAAGACATTGAACAGAAGAGTGGATTTCTCGATTGAAGTCAACGGTCGAGAGAGACCGGGCCGGCCACATCTTTCAGTGACCTTGGAAATAGGAAGCTTGTATACAATAATGTTTGAACAGCTGCCCCTAGCACCATAGAATACCCCGCAACCTCGAAATCTATGAACTTCGCAATTCCCCAGTGACCGAGGGCGTGTTATCGTCTTAATCATCTACACCATATTTTGAAAGTCTATACGATCAACTATACACCCTCAGCCAACTTTGTCAACGCATCACCCTCCACCATCATCTTCATCCACTCCTCCATCCCCTTAGCGCCAACCTGCTCATAGAATCGAATACTAGGCTCATTCCACTTCAGAACACTCCACTCCAACCGACGGCCCTGCGCCTCAAGCACCTGCTTCGCCAAGTACTTCAACAGCAAGAACCCACAGCCGTGACCACGAGCACTCGGCTGCACATATAAATCCTCCAGGTAAATACCGGGGGCAGAGCGCCAAGTGGAGTAGTTGTAGAAGTAAAGCGCCATACCGACGGGGATCGGAGCGGGGTTTTCGGCAGTGGGAGGCGGGGTAACGAGGGCCGTGTAGACGGCGCCTCGCTTGGGCGGGGTACCAGGGAAGGAGAGGGTGGCTAAGAGAGACTCTTCGGTGGCTTCGACTTCGTGTAGGGCTTTTTCATAATCGGCGAGCTCGCGGATGAACTGGAGGATGAGTGGGACGTCTGGAAGTTGTGAATTAGTGGGGCTCGGACTCGCGGTTTCACGGTTTGAGGAATGTGGAGATAAATGTAATTGGAAAGCAATGGCATTTCTCACTCACCCTCTGGCGTCGCCAGGCGAATAGTAGGTTTATCCATGACGTTTAATGTTAGGTAGAGGTGGAAGACATGGATTTTTTTGACAGCTAGTACTAGACCCGAATTGGCTTTGTTGGAGGAAGCGGCTCAACCCGCTTCACTAGCCCAATAAAATGCCGCCTCCGATCCCGTTATATATGGCCTTGCGACAATCAGACTGCGATAAAATGAACATGGCTATACCTCCTGGGGCCAAAGTGCCATGAATACAATTTGGCCACGTCAATTGGGGCCTCTCCGGTTGAACCTTGCAATGAAGCTCAAGCTTCCAAGATTCGAAGGCAGACATCTTCTTGTTGCTGTTTTTGCAGTAGGGTCCATGCCGAGATGGCATGACTGCCCAGGCCGGGGTGTCAACTATTTCCCCTATGATTGCTCCTCGGAGATTTGGAAAGGTGTAACCCTCAAATACGTATCCGGCTATTTGCAAATATGTCAAATCATGACTTTTGTGCCTTGTAATATGCGACTAGCGGTGTCAGCCGTGAATATAGACATACCATTGCTGACCCTATCAAGAATAGGTTAGATTTTAAGTGCAACAGGTCAAACGATGTGGCAAAGGATGCTAAGGCAAAAAAGCAAACAAACATAAGAAAGATGTAAGGTTGGAAAGAAGATCAAGAAATAGGTACACGGTGAGCACCGCGGACCAGGTGAAGCCGGCCCGAGTCTAGATATGTTAACGGAATACATATCCAGTGGCCGGGGATTGGTGTGGATGCTAGCCAAGACAACACAGCCGACCTAATTAGCTGGAGAAGCCTGATGCTCACAACCCTGGAAGGGAAAAAGAAAATACTCAAAGAAAAAAAAAAAAGCATTACAGTACTCCGTATACACCCTGTCATTAGCTACAGGTGACGTCGCAGACCTGCATGGGTAAACAAAGTTAGAAGAGAAAAAAAAAACAAGAGAGGAAAAACACAGAGTTGCCTGAAATCGAATCAAAATGTTATTAAGAATGATTATACCCTTTCAAACTTGTCTTTCGAAATTCCTAGTATCTAATTGAGAGCGACGTATAGAAAAACACCTAACAGACTTGTAATAAGTTCCTTTCAATTGGTCCTGACGGGTAACAGAGAAACCTGGAAAGCCCCCTTTCGAACCTCGCACCATCCCTAAAGTTCCCAATCCCCGTCATAGCGTCTATTTCCTCAAATCTGATTTCAATTCGGTCGCACAAAAATCAAATAAAAACCCGCCTTGCACCTCCAAGCCCCGTTGTGGCGGTTGACCGTGTAACGGGGTGTTTTGCAGGCTACAGCGGCAAGCGCGCTTTGCGTGAAAGGAGCGGTTGCAGCGACCCCAGAATTGGCTCCACCCCAAGTGGGACCGTGGAACAGAACACAGTGCGGAAATTGGGGTGAAAAGTCGAAATGCAAATTCTGGACCTGATGATCGCCGGTTTGACTATTGATTTTGTCGTCAACGCCAAGGGGGTGTGCCTGCACACCTGCCCTATGTGCCCATTTGACCAGGGGGGAAGTATCCATCTAGACCAGGTCGGGGATTGCGGGGGCCTAATGATGATCTTATTGTATTTTAACGGTTAAAAGGGTCAAAGCGGATCGATACATCATATAGCATGTCGGTGGACATAAAAGTAAAGGTACTGCTCTGGGTGGGGGGAACCCCACACAGACACAAACTCGGAGTCATACGTCAGGCTCCTTTCAGCTACATCTGTGTGGCTGAATGACCAGAGTGATGAGCTCGGATACTTGTTGATCGAGGTCTTAGCCAGTCGGATCTAGCATGTTAGTACGTCTGTAAAGTGTAGACGATCCAAAGCTGGGGCTAATAGAACCTTGGCGTGACTCAGATCAAACATCATCGAATGCTGCTGATGTGCAGAGCCCTCGCTTCACGCGGAATAAGCTGCGGTAAGACCGGTATCCCTCCGATGGTATCCGGGTTCGTTGCACGACCTGGTCTCGAGGTTTGTTTCCCGATTTCGTTCGGCAAACTCACCACGAGGGGTGCGCACGGACGTTTGAGCTTGACGATTGTGATGCCTAGATCGTGCTTTCATGCCTAGCGATTGGGTCCATTCACTGGCCCTGAGCACGTCCCCTGACTTTCTCCAAGCGCCGATTCCGTAGTGTAAAAAGGACGGCCCAAGGCCTATCCGACCATCTCCACCAGCCCCCGAGACACTAGTGGAGTCGTTCCATACTAGCACAGCCCGAGCCGCTGATGACCCCAAGCTGAGGTCAACGATCATGTGTCTATTGGAGGCGAAGTGCGGCTTTTTTTTTTTTTTATTTAATGATTTAAAAAGGTTTTTTGCGGGGAATCCTTGAGCGTATCACGGCCGTCCCGTATGAATTAGGAATGTGGAATGCAACTGCTTTCCTTCGATCCATTTTTTGACTGGAGCTAGGCCGGATTTTCACTTTGGATTTACTGGTTTTTCTCTTTTATTTGAATTAGTGCTCTTTTTGTTTTTGTTTTTTATTATAATTATTTTTGTTGATCAGCTGGTTCTATGCTTTGATTTTTGCCTAGGGCTTAACAGGGTAGTACGTCTCGTCATCAAAGTCAAAGCCTATTTATGTAAACGATCCTTCCATAATTCGGTTTAGAGCATCTTCTCTTTTCTTTTTCCTTTCTCGCCTATCATAGAAGATTCAATTGCGATCAAGGAAAGGTTATTTTCTTCAAATTGAGTTCGTCCTTTCACATATCAAGGCGCATGGAAGAAGTATGACAACATTTTCGCTGGTGGCGCTCTCTATCCTGATCCTACTGCTTTTCGTGGGATCCCAAAAACGAGTTTTACATTGGCTCAGAAAAGCATCATTGCAAAATGCCTGTTCTCAAGGGCCTTCTGACCCTAAGCGCATGGCTCCATATCCAGCACAGCCGATTCGAGGTCGAGAACGATATCGGATTTTAATGGATGTCCGCCGATTAGACACCCAGAATTGGCTCACTCTCGACAAGAACTATATGGATGAGCATCGAGTCAGAGACCAATTGCTACGAGAAAAGAGAGACAACGTTCTTCAATGTCTGCCTGAGTCTCTCGTTGCTTGCCAAGAAACTCTAGAAGAAGTGTCGGAGTTCCTTTGTGAGCGCTTCCCCGGCATGTTCAAGAAGACAGTCCAGGGGAATGAGACGTGGGTTGAAAACAAAACCACGAAGGAGAGATTTAATATCAGTGGCCAAGCCACTGTGAACAGCACTGATGCCCTGGAGGCGGCAGTGCGGCTCACAATGGAGGACCTCAGTGTTCTGATGATGAACGACGATGGCGAATATTACCTGTAAGAAGGGTTGGGCACTCTGTTCCAAGGCCTTTGCTAACTATGACGCAGGGCTGCCAGCGCGAGTTTGTTCCCTACAGGGTGGACAGTTGATCAACGCATCGGTTGGACAATCTCCCAAATGCACGAACCAGTTCCCCTCTGGCACCAACAAGTAGCCAACTCGGTCAGCAAGTACGTCAAAAAGCCTATATACACGTAAAAATGACAGTCCTAACAAGCCTTCAGATTTCTGGCTCGTTTATCTCCAACATCGCCAATGGAGCGCTCGAACTACTTCGTGGAAATCAAGCGACCAGACGAAGATCTTTATCAAATTCTATACCGACCTGGATCTCTATGTGAAAAGGAACTGATTGATCCGTCGCCTAATGAAATCATCATCCGTCGTGAAAGACAAACCTTCCGCCGCCTACCACGAACAGGCGCAATAGTGTTTGGTGTTAAAACCTATCTGACACCAATCAGCCAGCTACCAATGCAAGAATTGGAGAATCTGGCTAAGGAGATGAAGACCTGGCCAGAATATGTAAGTGAATACAAGGGCAAGGACGTGTGGGGCAGAAAGGTCCTGGAGTATTATAACAAACGTGTTGCGGAGAATCAGATAAAGTTCTCGGAGAAGGAGGTTTTTACTGAGGTATGATGTTTATACGAGTTGAATGAAGACAGAATGGGACTCGGACTTTGCTGCATTTTTTTGGGGAAGAAAAAAGGTGGGCGGCTATTTGTGTTTCTATATCTGTTGCATTTGGCTTCAATGTTTACTCGTTGCAGACTATGGATACTATCAAATCTCATGGCTAGAATAGTAAATAGCCAAAGCCATGTTGAGCTGACGTACCATTGAGCGTTGGTGCCCAATGGCGGGACCGTGAAAAGGCAGTCCGTGACGAAGGTCTTACTGATGTCACTGACATCGACCAGGGTCTGAAGCCACGAGGTCCCATTGGTCGAATCCATTATAAATAATACCTAGTCATCCCTATACTACATATAATATTGTTGACACGAAGCAACTTCTAAAAGTGGGGAACATTGCAGCAAGGCTTTCCAGATGCATGCAAATGAACTGTTCAACACGGTAGCTGACCCTACCAAGACCCCCGCGTTGTTTTTCTGATCAAAATTATGTATTTCACAGGCCAGGCAGTATTTTCCCTCGGCCCATCGGTAAAAATCGAAGGCCTGGCGCGGAATGCGACAACAATATCCAATTGGATGCCAACCATGTTCTGAAATGGTCAAATAATGGACTGGTTTACCCTCGTCCACTGAGACTTGGAATTCGAGGAAAATCGAGGTTCTGGCGGGGGGCTTAATTCGGGTGCCCAAGCTTTCTGGACAGGCTCCAAAGTGGGAATTTCGAGTCGATATGTGCTATGATTGATATCAGGCGACGGCGCCGCCGCAGAACGATTTCCCAATAGTCGAGCAAGCTGTCGACGTTGCATTTCCTCCTCGCTCAATAAGGGTGTATCGGCTTCCATCCGACGATCACCCGGGAGCCCATATTCATAGTAAATAAGAGTCGCTGCACCCCCGTGTATCAAGGTAAACGCGCTCGGCAGACCGATGGACACGACCCGGAGCGCGGACAAAGGGAATAGATCGCGAGCGTATATATTAAGGAGTATGTTGAACAAGGCGATCAAGTTGATTATCATGAATGGCCTGGCAGGCGTAAGTTGGGAAGTCAATTAACGTGAATAAGTGAACTGACGTAAAGAGTGAATGAAGAAGAAAGACGCGTTGGTGCCGTTGGAAGAATGCAATGCCGACGGACGAGGCATGCGCGAGGCCAATGAAGAAAAGAGCGGTTACGGCGGTTGTAGTTTCATTGATGTGGGTGCTTTCGTTCGAGTTGCCAAAGACCACCGCCAACATGAGGTACCTGGAAGAAGATAGTTTGATTAGCAACGTGTGGTTGAACATCCGTGAGAGCGAAAGCCGCCTACCCTGCTAGAAGAAGAACCCCAGAAAGGACAGTCGTACACCTCCATGGCCGTGATATTCGGCTCGAGTTGATGGTTTGTCCTGGTGGGACCAGTCCATTGTACTCAGACGGAGTTAGTTGCATTTCGTACAGTCATGTCAGAAGCCGGCCGATATTAGGTCCTCCGTAGGGCGCAGGAAGCACTCAAGACAGAACGAACACTTCGGAGCACAGAGCGAATGAACCCATGAGGGGTGGAACATCCAGCTCCGAAGAAATATTTGTTCTAAGTCGCACGGTGACGGAGAACGGGGGAAATGGGGCAGTGTGGCTGCAGATCCTGGTTCTGACCAGTGAGATTGCAGACTGTGGTGCCTTGTCATCGGGCGCCACAATTTCAATGCAGGTCGCCTGACTTGATCATTGCCATTCTTTGTTCGATTTGAAGCCGGTCAAGGATTTGGATCCGCGTTCGTGGTCTAGATTTTGGGGATGTCAATACAAGAATAGGGGTGGGAGGGGAACCAAGGACCAAGGTAAACAAATGTTTCCAGCCCCCCACTTTACCTCCACTCTCTTATCCACATATTGTCACAACTTGACACCCTGAGAAGGATTAAGGATTATACGGGGGGCGATCTGATCTGATGAGCTTTACCACCGTATTTGAACCAGAATGGCAGATGATTGCCGTTCGCTGGAGTTCCTAGGTCCTCGAGCCAACGCCACGAGTGATCTTGGACCTTGCCGCTGCAAGATTGCTTTTGAGCTGCTGACAAGGACAAAATTAACTCATTTCAAGCGTCCCTCGGAAATCAATGAGGCTCTCTTCCAGAGACCTTTCCCATATTGCTGTTCGGCGAGTCATATTGCCGGGTCTCGCGGAAATTCCTCGGTTCCACCATATAGCCGACTTGCTTCCCCCTCGGCGAGTTGATAATCATTACTCAGCGCATAGTATATCTGTGGAAATCTTCCATGTTATCAAGTATCCAACTATATCACGGAGAACCATGAAATTTCCACATACTGCCCTCGCGCGATTGTCAGCACCGACGATTCGCGCCCCATCACGACTGAGTCGATGTCAATCAAGTGCAGCTTCCACACACCGCCCAGCTCCTCTTGCTGGTATAACTGTGGTCAGTTTGGAACAAGCCATTGCAGCCCCCTTCTGCACACGTCAATTAGCCGACCTGGGAGCTCGTGTCATCAAAGTTGAACGACCAGTAGTGGGAGACTTCGCCCGCCAATATGATAATCGTGTCAATGGCATATCTTCTCATTTCATGTGGACTAACCGCTCAAAAGAAAGTCTAGCACTGGACCTAAAGAGTGAAAGCGATCATGGAGTTCTCATGAAACTCCTGGAAGGAGCCGACGTGCTAGTCCAGAACCTGGCACCAGGCGCAAGCGCACGGTTGGGGCTGTCGCACGAAGCATTAAAAGAAACGCATCCCTCTTTGATCGTCTGTGACATCTCCGGCTATGGTCAGGATGGCCCTTATCGTGACAAGAAGGCCTATGATCTTCTTATCCAAAGCGAAGCAGGAATGCTCTCTGTTACTGGGACTGGGAAAGAGCCAGCCAAGGTCGGCATCTCAATCGCAGATATTTCCGCCGGAATGTATGCCTACAGCAATATCCTTTCTGCTCTGTTACAACGTGGAAAGGATGGCCAAGGTTGTCGAATCGATATATCCATGTTGGAGAGTATGGTTGAGTGGATGGGCTTCCCAATGTACTACACCTTTAACAATGCGCCTGGGCCAATCCCAGCTGGTGCATCGCATGCAGCCATCTACCCATATGGACCCTTTGAAACAGGCGATGGTCAATCTGTCATGCTGGGCATCCAAAATGAACGAGAATGGGTCAACTTCTGCCACGACGTTCTCCGTCAACCAGAGCTATCCACGGATAGTCGGTTTTCCAGTAATTCGCTCCGAACACAAAACCGCGACGCGCTTAAGGAGATCATCCACGATGTTTTTGCGACATTGACTGCCCAGAAGACCATTGAGCGACTTGATGCGGCGTCTATCGCCAATGCAAGTGTCAATGATATGCAAGGGGTCTGGAAACATGCCCAGCTCAAGGCTCGCGACCGGTGGACTGAGGTTCAAACTCCCATTGGCCCAGTAGAGGCTCTTTTACCACCTGGGTCTACAAGTTCAGCAGATAAAGGTGGTTTCGGGGCTCAAATGGGGTCGGTTCCTGAGGTTGGTGAGCACAACGAGGCGATTTTGGCCGAGTTAGGAATATCACGCTAGCCACTAGGCAAGTCTACACAGATCCGAGATGAACGTAAAAATGTAGTTGTCTTTCTTGATTCTTTTCATTTGCCTGACAAATGACCAAGTCGACGATGACCAATCAATGAATTAGTTATACACAACACTCTTTATTTCAGAATCCCCTATTCCATGATCTCTAGTTTATCCGCGACGGTGAACTTGGCGTCCGTCTTGCTGCGAACCTCTTCCACTTCAACGCCCGGAGCAAGCTCGGTCAAAGTGAGCTCTCCCGTAGCCCGGTTTACTTCGAAGACACACTGGTACAAGTTAGGGAAAACCACACAAAGAAGCAGTGCCGCTCACTTACCAAGTCAGTGATAATAGTGCTAACAACGTTCGCACCAGTCAGGGGCAGACTGCACTTCTGCACAATCTTAGGCGAACCATCCTTCGCCACATGGCTTGTCGCGACCACGATTTTTGTCTGATCAGGATTCGAAATGAGGTCCATCGCACCGCCCATACCCTTGAAGACCTTGCCTGGGATCATGTAGTTTGCCAAATCGCCGTTCGCGCTGACCTGCAGGGCCCCGAGAATTGACACATCGACATGACCACCACGGATCATGCCGAAGGACTCAGTACTGTCGAATGTGGCGGCACCTGGGATCAGAGTCACGGTCTCCTTTCCAGCATTGATGATGTCACTGGCGAGTGTTAGAAATGAGGCCAACGAAAATATGGGGAAAACTCACGCGTCGACCTCCTCTTCGGTCGGATATGGTCCCTGAAACAGGTTAGACAACATTCAGTATTTTACATGTACTTCTCATTCACTAACCATTCCGAGGATTCCGTTCTCGGATTGAACCCAGACCTTGACATCCTTAGGCAGGAATGATGGAGCGAGAGTGGGAATACCTATAATTGTCAGCAGCTATGCAGTATGAAGAACTCAACATCACTCACCAACGCCCAGGTTCACATAAAACCCTTGCTTCAACTCCTTAGCAGCTCTCCGACCAATGCGCTCTCGCTCAATTTGAGCCTGGCTCTTCGTCGGGCCCTCCTCGCTGTCGGTCTCACTCTCCCGTAACTTCTTGATCTCAATGTGTTTCTCATCAGTGGCCGGCACGATTCGGTCAACGAAGATACCGGGCAAGTCGACATCATTAGGATCAATGGACCCAACGGGAACAATGTTCTCGGCTTCCACGATGGTCAAGGTTGCAGCCTTCGCCATGATCGGACCGAAGGCCTTGGTCGTGTACCTGATTGCCATTCCATGAGTATATGAGCCGAGGTTGTGGGTTGAAGAACTTACCGGAAAACACAGTTTCCAGCCTCATCGGCCTTCCACGCACGCAGGATCGCCACATCACCCGTCAGGGCAGTTTCCATCAAGTATTTTTTGCCATTGAACTCACGAGTCTCGCGCGGCTTTCCTGATTCTAAAACCTTCCCCGACTCATCCATGCGAACGGGAATCTTGCCTTCCTCGATAAAGGTGTCTATAAAAGTCAGAGATGACTTTCCACTGGATTCTGTGCCAACTTACGCGCGCCAGTCGGGGTGAAAAAGGCTGGAATGCCGGCACCACCGGCACGCAACCGCTCGGCCAATGTTCCCTGAGGACAAAGCTCGATGCCAATATCACCCGACAGATACTTCTTCTCCAAGACCTTATTATTACCTAAGTAGGACAAGATCAACCGGTTCAGCTGTCCGTTCTGCGACAATGTCGAGAGTCCTCCCTTGCCAGCGGCACCAGCATTATTTGAGACAGCCGTCAAGGAATGCAATTGATCTGCACCTCGTCGGCCCATGGCATTGATAAGCGTTTCTAAGATAGGTGACTGTGAGCATAGAAGTTGCTTCCCCATCTCCGGAATTCACTCACCAGCAACCCCGCACAATCCGAACCCGGAACTCAGAATCGTCGACCCGCTCTTAATATCAGCGACTGCGGCATCAGCATCCTTGAATACTTTTGATCCGCCGCGTTCGATCTTAGGAGCAAGAGACAGTCGCGGCGCGCTCGTTGAGTAGTTGCTCGGCCGAATGGTCGGAAGCACCGGCCGCACGCTGCAGCGCACTCCCAGATAGACCCGGGGCCTGCAGGCAGTGATCGCTTTGCGCGATAATGAAGCTGTGGTTACTCTTAAAGCCGACATTGTTCGTACCCATGCAGAAGGAAGAAACGGGATTGAATCGCAATTTAAGACGCGCCGATTGACACCAGTTCTCGGTCATCGGAGCTACTTTTGGATGCCGAGTGGTCGATGGCCCATGCTATGACGTAACCGCCAACTGGGTTTCATTTACCCGGTCATAACTAGTATAGAGAGTCGCTGAAATGGGATGTGAATGATTGCTGCTTTTCTCGACTTGCTACTGCCCTAGTGAGCCAAAGGTCTCAGAAACAGTATTCTGTATGTTGGTTAGCTACCAGTAATATGGTCAGGCACATGTGGACCGGGATGCATAGACATCTCAAGGTGAGTGCTCCCTTGGGTAACCCTACGCAATATGTATGAATTGATCGAGTAATAAATAGATTGAGAGAATATCTGCTTATGTCTTTGATCATTAAAACGACAGTGGGCTGCCATTACGGGATATCCAAGAAGAAAATTTTCAAATTAACGGACAGCGCGCATCACCTGTACCAACACCTAACCAGACTTCCAAATTCAAGATCATCAGAAACGGAGGATTATGAAACGCGGCGAATGTGGTTAGTAAAACCAGATCCTAAACGAACAATATGAATACATAAAAGCAAGTTGGGTACATTCCATATCCAATTCCAATTCCTCGTCAAGCCCACCTGGGCATACCAATTTACTTGCAGGCGCTAATTGTAAATAGTCGGTTGTTCCGGATAAACCCTTTGGACCAGAGTCAAGAATGTAGTTTGGTCAAAGCCATGTGGCAATTTAGACTCCACGGATGAATTCTCCATGATCGACCCGAGAGGAACTTCTCTCCCAGTTTCTTCAGTGGAGACCATCACCACTGGAACTGACGTGTTCGTCGGTGCCTGGATAACCGATGTCTCATTTGCACCAGCCGCCATTCCACCTTCTGTGGGTAAAATTGTTCGAGGTTTTCCGAATGGCGTCTTAATCTTTCCAATCACCATCAGGAACATAACAACCATAAATCCCCAGAATAGTACATGAAGGAATATTGCGGCAACGAGTGAACATGTAGGGGTTTTTCTGGCCCTTTCCCACCAAGTCTGGCTCGACCTGTCAATTATTTTCACTGGGGACAAAGCTTTTTCAAGGTCTCTTGCAGATGGTGCCATGTTGGGTCCATAACTAGGGCCTTGGAATTGTAAGCTCATACTGAAGGTTTCATTTGTGCTAGGGACTTACCAGATGTAACTCGGTAGACTTCACCATAGTATATCTCGTTGAGAAAGCCTGGCGTTGAGCTGGTCAGTCTATCAGTCAGATGACTCCACTTATCCGGTCTTTCTCTAGGCAATTGACGAGGCATTTGTGACTTGGATGCTGGTTGTACTAGTATCTAGGGTCAGTCGGTTGCAAAATATGGAAGAAGGAATTATGAGAATCAATCCTTCTTTTCAGTGGTTTCGAAAAGCTCCGATCGGTGAAAGAGACATGCAAGTTCCAATATAAGCATAGTCTATTCTGAAGGGGCTGAGATGGGTTTAGTCGAGGAGAATTGAAACCCTTTTTTGGAACCCCGGCTAAATCGTGCGCTTAATGCGAATGTCATACACAACATGAATCGCAATCTTATTTCCAGACATGTATTTTTAAAAAAAATATTATATACAGGGTGAATGCACGAAACCGAGATTTCTGAAACGATGCATATAACAGGGCTACCTTGCATATATGGAAGCCCTTAGGCATCACAGATAGAGTGAAGGTATATACTTAGCACCATGAGACCTTAGCTAGATCTGGACAGATATTCTCGGCGGTTTTGACTGGAAAAGCAAACATCGCATGTTGTTGCCTCGCATCGGAGATTTGATACATCAAACTGATCTAGAATATACGTGCTCGTATTCAATTCCTACCAACATCCAAGCCAGAGCCCAAAAGGGCTAGTCCGTTGGGCATTGTTGATACCCCTCATGCTTCAGAGATCTGTGCATTTGATGTGCGTGCAACCAATCGCACGCTGCGGGAAAGTATGACTCGGTTGGACATACTGAAACAGGTCACTGGATGCGGGTTGGAAGTTTACCCTATCTCGTCCTTCATACCACGTTCTATAAAGATATTGGATTCCGGTCTTTTGATAGCTCTCTGTCAATTATTTGTTTTCTTTGCCCAGAGGCCTTTCGCAGAAATCAAACAATATGGGTCGGACATTGACATATCCAAAGGGCGTCTCTAACACGGTGAATCGGTACAAGCATCGCGGTATGGGGAGCCCTGAAAATCACCGTCTGCCAATATCTAACTCCTATTCGGTAGCAACGTACGATTTGGGCGCGATCCACTCCATAATCAATACATCCCAGGTGCTTTATGTCTCCTTCAACCCGGATCCAGAGGACCCATTTCCCACTATCCTCCCTATGATCGGGCAGATGGGATCATTTGACTATCCATCGGCAACAATTAATGAACCACTTGAATGCTATCTTCACGGCTATGTGAGTTCGCGCATCATGAATCTGGCCCGCAACTCCGATTCCAAAGAACACGGTCTTCCAATCTGCATCGCCACGAGCCGAGTCGATGGAATAGTACTCTCTCTCACCCCTAATTCTCATAACTACAACTACCGTTCCGCAACATTACATGGATATGCGAGCCTGGTTACATCCGAAAAGGAGAAACTTTGGGCTATGAAGCTTATCACCAACTCTGTTGTTACGGATCGCTGGGATAACGCACGAATACCTCCCGATCGGGCAGAAATGTCATCTACTGTCATTCTCAAAGTCAAGGTGGTTTATGGTAGTGGCAAGATCCGGGATGGTGGAGTATCTGATCAGCGCAAGGATGCGGAAAATGGCGATGTTAGCGAGCGCATCTGGACAGGAGTGATTCCTGTTTGGGAAGCGTTTGGAGAGCCTATCTCCAGTGACCGAAATATGGTAGCTGAGATTCCAGAGCATATCACCTCGTTTATTGCAAGTAAGAATGCCCAAAACAAAACTTACGCTGAGGGTGCTGTACATATTGCGTTGCCCCCGGAAGAACAACATTGATCTCGAGTTTTCCTTGGATGATGGCCGGATACATTCAAATATACCGTGCAACACAGGTGACTGACCTACGAGTACTTGTGTTCTCCGTCTTTTTTAACTAAAATGTGAAGGTCTTGTTAGACAGGGAAATCTCATATAGTACATTGAAAAAGAGATTACTTAGGGAACGCGCATACTTCAGACATAGATGAACATACCGAATGCTGTGAAACCTCAAAATGATCTCTGGCCTCTGTGACTTGATGAATAACTTGAAACTACAAGCCTCCCTGGTCAAGGACTGGGATGAGACACTTGGGATGGAGGCTTCATCCGTCATTCCTTACAGCACACCGGCCTTCGGTTCCAATGCCCCGGTCATGCAGTTCAATTCCTTTGAAACATGGAACTTATGGCCTGAGTTTAACACATCAGACAACCCAATTTCGACACAAAATCCGTCCGAGTGGAACATGCAGTCCACGAATTGTATAAAGAACACTCTATTGTTTCCGTGATACGCTCATCTTGTGCCCACATGCGCAGATGGACCGCTGTTGAGATATTGCCCCGCATAGATTGACTTGATTCTTCCTATAATATACTGAGACCCACCTTCTGGTATGATCAATGCAAATCAGAGACGTCACGATTCCCATTTGATGATCACTACCTAGCAGCCTTCATCCGTAGTAATGAATTTTGACTCGACCTCCCTTGGCAAGGACGACAAATAACAACACAAATGATGACTATTAGTCGGTTTTCCAGGCTAAATGGCATGATAGGGTGTAAACCCGAACGAGGATGCAATTACAGATGCGCTACGTGTAGTAACAAGATCGCTACCCACGAGCATACAGAGCGTACATGGTGGATGATTAAAGCAAACGCAGCGTTGTTCAAATTACAGGTTCGGTCTCACCAGGTGGTGCGACACATTCATGTATATTTACGAGTGTCAGTTGCCGAACACGTTCATGGCTCTCCATGCGTACGAGTTCAAGTCTCAGCACTGTGCTACCAAACACCGCAACCTCAAAATAGCCTGTAAGTTGCGCATCAAGCTATCACTGGAGGCGACATTATTACATGTTCCCGCGAATTAGCGATTCCGAGACGGTCCCATGAACAGAACAGTAAGCCGACATCAAAATAGTTAGTGTGAAGTAGAGTTTGTCTTAACTGGGGCTGACCCAGTAGTTACTCCAAGGCCTCCGTCTGTCCCAGGTTTTAATTGAGCATATCATTCCAAGGTTGAAGTAGGCGGAGTGCTGAACCCGTTGAGAAAAGACTGCTGTCTGGGTTATATTTGAAATTCAAGGATTCAGTTCTAAGACACTCACTAGAACTCTGGGTCTCGGCCTCTTTGGATTGCATTGGATACGTTCAACGACGCCGGAGGCCATTGGTTATGCCCCGGATTCTTCGGTGCGGGGAGACTGTCGTGTGACAAACTGTTCCTTGCATCCCCGTTCGTTATTTTATGCCAATATTGGAGACAAGTTCGAGAGGAGCATTCAAAATGAAGGCGTTGATGACCTCGAAGCCCTGTGGCTAATTGTTATAAATTGCGGCCTCTTTCTCTAACCAGATTCTCATTCACCCTTCATCCAGTTTACAAGTAGCTCAACAACACTCTCAACATGGCCATGAAAATTATGTTTCTTTCTCTTCCCTTGTCGGCCTTTGCGAGAGTGGCTGCAAATATGTTCGAGAGCACGTCTGATACGCAAGCACTCGACCGAGCCACTTCCATGCCGCACTTGTTCACAAGTCAGAGATACGGTGCCTGGAGTTCCCAGATGGCGATGCCAATGAATGGAGAGTGCCAAATGCTTAAGAGCACGGATGATCTGTTAGTCTGCCAAATAATCTGCCCCTCAGTTGACTGACCTTGCTAGATACCATAATGTTGGGTCCATTTATATTCCCTGTGCATCTACGGCAGGCAAGAAGGCCATGTGCACCATGTACAGGTATGTGATAGATGATTCCCATCTGCATGGGCACATATTAACAGAAAAAGTGACTCAAACTGTCAAGACATGATGGTGGAATTCGACCGTTCGCACTACAGATTGTTCGATCGCTCCCATGGCAACACAATGCAGACCACCTACCTCGGTGGAATGGTAGAGAGCGTCAAGTGCGAGATGGTCGACGTCTCAACCGAGGTTTCGAACAACAATGGCCATGTCTCCACTATGCACATGTCCCAATGTGTCGGTGATAAGTGCAGTTCCAATCGTGAATGTCACCTCAACCTCGGCGGCCATCTCTTCTGCTCCGAGAACAACGACATGACCTGCCAAATGGGCCGCTTCCTTACAATGGGCTCCGAGTGCACCGAGGACAATCAATGCCGCGAGGGATACTGCACTAACATGAATGGGCAGATGAAATGTATGCCGAAGCGAGCACTCGATACTCTCTGCTCGTCTTCTGCGGAATGTGTGTCTAATGGAGTTTGCTGCGATCTCGCTGGAGGATCGCGGTGCAGCCGGGACCTCTGTCATGCAGAAGTCGTCAACGATGATATGAATATGTGCATGAGCACCGCAATGGAATGTTCTGAGGACTCCATGTGTTGCAGTGGAAGTTGTATGTTCGACCCAATGCTCATATCGGGGAGGTGCATGTAGGGCGGGTTGGTGATGCACGTTTCGAGAGCAAACAGGGCTGGAGGGCAAGGTGGAGGACGTGAACGAAGACACAATGACGTGGACCGCGATGAACTAGTTTGGCAGGGAAATTATGCAGAGAAATGGAAAATAACTTTGATTTCGGATAAAACGGCTTTTTATTCGCCTCTGTTTAAGAAGCCTTTCCGTATTCCCCTGTCCAGCATATGCGGGAATATTTGTATTGCGTCTACCCATAAATGCGAGCATTGGCTAAGGCAGTTTATTGATTTCTGGACCAGTCAGGATCTTCAGCACCGACCTTCTCAATTAAATTATCAGCAAGGCGAATGCATGTAGGGCATCACGAATGAGATCTAGGATCAATTGAACCGCATCAAGTTCTTTTACTGGCACCGATGAATGTTAGCCTTTCTACATTGGTCCAAGTCATTAATCTTCTTTTTCGGGACCCGTCCGGCACACGCCATCGATAGGGATTCGAAGCCCGAGTCGCTTGACCTAGGTGAACTGATTTGTTCTGGAGAAGCTCGCGGATGCGGCGGCTACTCATAGCACCTGGTTGCTTTCGCGAGTGGGTTGGGGAAAATGACTTCAACGTAGAAAGAAGGCTCGTGCATAGTAAGCTGACTAGCATAAGCCCTGGACCCAGCGTCTCAATGGTCTTAGTGCTATGACCACGTTTTGTTGCTGGAAAATGATCTTCAAGGCTAGTCACAATTAGTAAGTGATACCAGTTACAGCGGTGCAAGACTCAAAAGTGGTTCAGAAGTGCCTTTCAGAGAGAAGATTATAGTCGTCAAAGCCTTACACATTCGTGAATGGTATGGCATTTCCGACTAAGGATGATTGTTTCGTCATGCTAGGCAGGTGAAGGCAAGCAAATAGATTCAACTCACCACACGAGATAAAAGTCCGTTGGGCGTTCACCTTCCATCGCCGTTCCACCAAGAGCTCTAGACCAATTCATATTGTCCGTTAGAGGCACCTGTAAAGGTGCTGCTATCTGGCTATTCAGTCATCATAGGAAATGATCCTCCGCCCAGGGTATGGGTGCTGATTCCGTGATTGTTGTCTTTGTCCAGATGATCCTGGGAGCTTCTCGTAGTTGAGGGGGTCGGACATGGTGCTATTCAAGTCGTGCTCAGCTGATCTTTTGGACTTCTTGGCAGCAGGGACGTTCGCCTCCTTGTTCGTGTGTTCATTGCTCTTAATAGCTTTGGAGGCCAATCCGTCCTCTTGGGACTTCTCCGCGACCGCCTGATGATCCTTCGCTGACAACTCTTGACGAGCCTCGTATTCGGCATCGTCTTGTTCGAGTTGCCTTGCGCGTAGCAACGAGTGGATCTCGCTGTGTCTGAATATTCGGATCTGATCATCGGTGAGAGTCCGTTTTACCCCATCGGGGTAATAGCCCAGGTCTTCATCGCCGCCAGCGTCCTCGTCATATTCGGGTTCGTTTGCAGGCGCGCCGAGAGTTTCATGTCCTGGGAAGTGCTGCGCTTGAAAGGCTTGGAGATCTTCCTGTAACAAAAACCATCTTTTAGCATCAAGTCAAGACAGTGGATCAGAGCGGGGAGGTGGGATCTTACCAAGGTGACTGTTGGGATCTGCATCGTCGTTTTCCAAGGAGATTGTAAAGGGAGGTTTTAGCGCGACGCGGGCGCGACTGAAAAGTTACGTAACGTTTGGCTCCAGCTCAACAATCCAAAATTCGTAGATGGTCTTGACATTCAAGTTGATTTTGAATAACTTGTATTATGGTGCAGTAGTCCGTTCGAAGTTGGATTCATATCACAGTGATTCAATTGTTTGTTGGTAGAGGTATGCTCGCGACATGATTCCCAATTTTAACCTTGACGCTATCAAACCGGACCCAAAGATCCTGAAGTGGTTTCAAGTCAGTCGCTGCAACACGATCCTTCTCTTCCTGACAAGGCTCTTTCAGTGCCCATGCAAGTGAAATGTGAAAATAGTCGGAGAAGTCTTGATTATGTTGATTGCCATGCGATGCATAGAGAGGCGGCTGGCCAAATCGAGCCAGTACACGATTCGAGAGGCGTAATAGACCATTCAAACTGTCAGGTCCAGGCTTCCCAACTCGTAGTACAAGGAACCAGCGTGTCCGCTCATAGTTGGACACCCACTTCAGTCCATTAGGTTTCAATGCAAATCTAGTCGGAGTTAGCTATCATGTCGGCACCTCCTGGAAGGTGAAGCTTAAACTTACGGTGCTATTTGGGATTCCTCTATTTCTTTCTTTAAGGATATTTCAAAAGAGCTGCGCTGTTCGGTGCGAAGGACAACTGGTCGGGATAGGCTGATATGGAGGGGCAGCTGCGCGCCAAGATCGCTGTGTAGGAGACTTTGAACCCCTGGCTGTGAAGTTGAGGACTGAGGTATCAAATTTCCAAGAAGTACCAGCTCCTCCTTTGATGGATACACTAGCGGGATTAGTGCTCTGTCAGACTAAATGGGCGCGTACACTTACATTCAAGGTAGAGGTGAGTTGGCCAATTTCCTTCGACATGAGGAATTACTCGCTTTCGACCCCCATGAAGGCTTGGATCGTCTTGAGTGCTAACCCGCGTAGCCGAAGCATATAGATCATGGAATGTTGCTGGGAGTGGAGGGAGACTTGACGATGTCTTGTCCGATGTCGGTTGTTTGTGACAGGGCCTTTTGGCTGAGGGTGTCAAGACATCCGCTTCGTCTGACTCGGACTCAGAATCCGAGTACTGAACCAAGGGCATTTTCAGGTAGCCGTGACGGATTAAGAGTCGCGTGGAAGTCGAGATCGGTGATTTAATGCCACTCCTAAACTATGGGAAAGTTCCAATTCTATTGAAGCCTGACAAGTAAGGCTTTGATATCCGACCCCACAAAACTCTCATGATTGGCTTTGGATGTGCAGTCGTCTTCAAGCATAGTCAGTAAGAATTGGATCTCATCTCAACAGAATCAAGAAGTCTGTGTCCCATGGATGAAACCCTCTTTGTCCGCTAGAAATTCGACAAATTGATGTTTTGTTGAGACCTGAGGCTCCCAAGACTCAATAGAAATAGGCCGTCGCGTCTCTACACCAGCTCACTCACTCACCATAGCAACCCACTCGGTCTAGGTCCGTAGACTATAATGGACCTCATTGACAGCGTTAGCCTTGACAACCTCTCGCAGGACGCCATCGCCGCATGTTCTAGTAGGGTCATGAAGGAGGACAAGAACGATAATGATGTCGGAGTCATCTATACGCAATTGGCGAAATACCTTCTTCAGCTTTTCGAGGTCAACTTTGACCGAACTGGCGGCCTATCATCGCCACAGGCCGAAGCCCAAGGTCCTACACCGCTACGACCGCTGACATCCAAGGCACATAGTACCCTACACCATGGGGGTTTGAACACTCTCGGTACGCTTTATTGCCTTCTCTTACATTCCCGATGCTTTGATCAAGTGCGCTAATTATATCCCTCATGTCTAGGTGACCGAGCACACGGGTTTGCGAAGAGCCATGACCCCTTATGAAAAGCTGCAGTGGCTAGGAAAGGAAATGTATACATCCAGCACAAACCGTATACCTAAAGCTACCTAATGACGTGTGTTGCAAGGACAGTGTAACTTAGCAGTGTGACATTAGTCAAGATCGTCCATCTCGGCCTGACTTCGGCTATATCCCCATCATCAGGTACGGGACATGGCTACACAATGTGGGGGAAACTGACCAAACCCCACATTCGTCAGATCGGAGTGTTGATCAACCGACAAACCACCAGTCAAGTCTTCCTGAATTGCGGAGAATCGCATATTAAATATCTCATACTCCGCATTTCCGGGTTGGAAATATCCCGAGACCCTGAAATTGTCATCCAACCTGCGAAATGCCTTGGCCTCCTTAAGCGAACAAGAAACATGGAACACAACTGGCTGATTACAAAAGGGAGACTGATCCTAGACACTGAACTCATCAGCTCATCGACAATTTCTTGAACCTTTTTTTTTCTCGATGTTGAAGCCCATTCTTCTACTACTACTACCGTTGGTAGTGGCCGCATCGCGTGTGCCATACGAGGAGTATATTCTAGCTCCGAGCTCGCGAGACCTAACCCCAGCATCGGTCTACCAAGTCAATGGGTCCGTGACAAATGCAAACTCCCTAACACAAGCATCTGGCAGTGGAGCCACCTTTAATGGCGTTTCATCTGTAACATTGGACTTTGGCAAAAACGTCGCGGGCCTAGTATCCCTTGTTGTTAACTCCGTCTCGTCATCATCGGCATTCTTGTCTGTCACATTCACAGAATCAAGTCTCTGGATCAGTAACGAGTATAGCGATGCGACGGGTAACTCTGGATTCGACACACCATTGTGGTTCAATGTCGGCAAGGGCGCAGGAACATACACACCAGCCATCGAATTCCAACGAGGTGCCTTCCGGTATCTCACAGTCGCGAGTAACACCACTGCTACCGTTGCTCTAGCGGCTCTCCACGTGAATCTCACTTCCGCACCGGACCAAAACCTCCGAAGATATACGGGCTGGTTTCACTCCGACGATGAGCTGATTAACAAGATCTGGTATGCCGGCGCATATACGAACCAGCTATGTACTATTGAGCCAACGGCCGGCGACTCGATCACGTCGCAGAACGAAGATATTGTTCTGCCGGAGATGAACGCTTGGTACAACAACTACACTATCACCAACGGAACTAGTACCATCACCGATGGAGCGAAGCGCGATCGGCTCGTCTGGCCAGGGGATATGGCTATCTCCCTTGAGAGCATCGCTGTCAGCACTGGTGATCTGTACAGTATTCGGATGGGATTGGAGTCGTTGTTCATCTTGCAGCAGGCTGATGGTCGACTACCGTATGCTGGTACACCATTTAATTTTGGCGAGAGCTACACCTATCACCTGCACAACCTTATTGGCATGTCTTTCTTGTATCGCTTCTCGGGAGACAAGTCGTGGGCATTAAGCTATTGGGATCAATACGTTCTCGGAGTGAAGTGGGCATTGGAGTCGGTTGACAGCACCGGTCTGGCCAATGTAACAATGACTGCAGATTGGCTGCGATACGGAATGGGAGGCCATGTAAGGTCGATCCCTTGATCATTGAGCATAACTAACAGAATCAGAACATCGAAGCCAACTCCATCCTCTATTTCGTTCTGAACGATGCCCAAGATCTCGCAAAAGAGTTGAATAAGACCTCAGTCATCCCCCATTGGGCAAACGTCGCAGCAGGAGTCAAATCCGCCGCGAACAAACTCCTGTGGGACTCCTCAGCAGGAATGTACCGAGACAACCAGACAACGACTCTCCACCCCCAGGATGGAAACACCTGGGCCATCAAAGCCAATATCACCCAATCAGAGACACAACGCAAGACTATCTCCGCCGCTCTTAAGGCCCGTTGGGGATCCTATGGGGCTCCGGCCCCCGAGGCCGGCGCTACGATCTCCCCATTCATAGGCGGCTTCGAGCTCCAAGCCCACTACATCGCCAAACAACCCAACGCAGCACTAGATCTCCTCCGCCTCCAATGGGGGTACATGCTTCTGGACTCCAAGATGACTCAATCTACCTTTATCGAAGGGTACTCCACAGATGGATCCATTCATTACGCGCCTTACACCGATGATGCGCGGATCTCACATGCCCATGGCTGGTCTACCGGTCCAACATATGCGCTCACGGCGTACGCCGCAGGGATCCGGCTGACCGGACCGGCGGGTAAATCCTGGATTATAGCGCCTCAACCAGGGAATCTGACTACTATTGATGCAGGTTTGGCTACGGCTCGTGGTGTTTTCTCTGTGGCGTTTCAGCGATCGTCTGGTGGGGGGTACAGTCAGTTTTCATTTAGTACTCCGTCCTCTACTGCAGGAGTTGTTCAACTCCCTGGAGTGGAGGGGACTTTGATTTCTAAGACTGGGCAGCGGATCAGACTTGTGGACGGTACGGCGAGCGTTCCGGGTGGAAGGTGGAAGCTGCAAAGCCCATGATGTGTATAGCTGGATCGCAATAGAAAACATGATTGGAGTGAGAATGCTAGTTCCAGAATGGTCCATAACGTGTCATCTGAGGCGGAACCAATAAGCAAATCCAAGGACATGGGAACAGCCTCACTGTGACAATAGGCGGTGTGGTCCAATAGATCCCTTGCCCTGTTCTTAGTGGAGCAATGATGGGATCCACCTTGAGCTTGGAGCTCAGCTCGGTTTGAAATCCACCCAAACCATCATCTGGTCCTCTTTATCGTCTGGATGATTTCCATTGGTCTCTTGTTTCAAGAAACCAGGAGAATGGTTACCCATCGCATGGTCTTGACTCTTCATGGAATCTTGGGGAATGGTGTGGCTTGGTAAGCGCTTGTGGTTTTAGTCTATGCATTATAGCTTGAGGCAGCAATGCATTCACATTCAATATCTTGGCGCTGGGATACACCACAACCTCAGCTTCACGAACACACTCTGGGTTTCTGTATAAAAGGCGTCTGAGGTAGAAGCATCTCTACTCCATACTCCCATCTTTGGGCACAAGGATCAACCCGACCTGTGTGACCGAACAAACAAGACAGAGCCGCTTGTCAAATGCCAACGCATGGTGGCCTGTCCCAGTTGACCACCTCTAAGCCAACGCAGTCACATTCGTGGGAGCTCATGATTGGCTTTTGGCCTCGTCGTTGCTCTCCTGGTGATCCCGGCCAGACTAAAACCCTCCGTCTCACCCCACGCTTTCTTGTTTTCTGTTCTCTGTTTCTCGATCCTCTTTAATCTCCCCGGCTTCTCACTTCATTCTCATTCTCATCCTTGTGGTGGGAAACAATCAGAGCTCTCCAATCCAAAATCCAGCCCCGGACCCCAACCTGCACTAGACTCCGCAGTTCATTTCCCCACTTTTGGTCAAGCTTCAAGCTCCACCATGGCTGAACTCATCTCCAACGCCGCAGAAATCAAGCACGAGATTGACCCATCCGCTGAAAACATCAAAATTGTAAATGGCTCGCCGCCGCCCGCCCCCGAAGTAGCGGTCAAAGATACCGCTGCCTCCCCAGTCCTGGAAACGTCGCCCAAGACTGGCACAGGATGCAAGAAGCACGACAAGATGGACGGCATGAAGAAAAAGAAAAGAAAAACCAAGAAGCGAGATGTGGACGAATCATCAGACTCGGATTCCTCCATTTCCACTGGTGACACCGACACCGACACTTCAGTCACGGACTCAATCGCCAGTGACTCGGAGCCGGAGCGACGGAAGAAAAATCGGACGCGAGCCAAGGCTCAGGCCAAGCGAGCGCTGAAGGATAAGAGAAAGTGGAAGAAACGCAAGCAACGAGGTCGCAAGTCGGTAGCCGCTGATGCGATTTCGGACACCTCGAGCGATTCGGATGCCGAGTCGGATTCTTATGAATCGGATTCGTCGTTGGATGAGAAACTGTTGCGAAAGCTGGTTTCTAAGCTTACCGTGAAGAAGCGTCATAAGCGACTGCGGGATCAGACTAGTGATGATCTAGGCGCCACTGATTCTCCATCTGAAACTCGGCGGGAGAAGCGGTCGAAGAAGAAGAAGCCAGCCTCCAAAGTGGCTTTCAAGCGTGTAGATCAATGTAAGTCGTCCCGAGACCCATATTCTGTAATCTGTTAGCTGGACCCTACTAACAGATCACCACCTCTAGTGTGGGATAGCACGATCCACAAATACAAGCTGACCGAGACGGTGGATGACCCTGATGCGGACGAGTGGGACCAGTACATCTTCACGGTGCGCCGCAAGTTCAATTGGGAGAACAAATTCCTTGATGTAGTAGTGGATATCAAGAGCAAGCCCCTTCGTGAGGCGCTGGCCAAGGTGATGGATGGCGTTAAGGGTGTCAGTCTCGTCGAAGAACCAGCAGTAGTCGACCCAAACATGCTGTTTTTATATCTGGAGGAATCAAGACAGTACATGAAAAACCTCAAGCAACAATCGCGCAACGAAAAGAAACGAAAAGCGCGCAAAGCAGCAGCTTCCAAAGCGGCCCACCTAAAGGTACTGATCAAGTACCTCGACACCGACTATGCGAATATCAAAAAGACACTCTACCCTCTTCTGGAGGCAAACACCATCACTTTCGACCTGCTATGGGCCCTCTTCAAGCCTAACACAATTGCATACACTCCAACATACGGCAACACCGATGAGCCCCGAGCCTTCAAAATCGAGTACGCCATCAAGGAATCCTCTTTCATGAAAGGCCAGTGGTACAGCATCGAAGGTCGATACCTGGAATATGACGGAAAGGACTTCGGATTCGGCAGCATGGCCGCTGAGGTGGAGTCATTCAAGGGCGCACGCAAGATCACCAGCCTCGCCTGTTTCCCACTTCAGTACCACCGTGATGCCGATGGACTGCGAGCCCGTCTCGTCGAGCGCGGCAAGCGCTTCGTAGCACTGCGCGGTATGAACTACCGCTTCCACAAGGGAATGGCGTTTTATAAGAAGAAGCGTCATTCCGTGGGCAAGGTCAACATTGAAAGCCGAGTGATGATTGATCCAGCCATCCACCGTCGAATCAATCCTAACTACCCCATCAGCACGGTCCGGCCTAAGGATCCGGACCTGCTCGAGTTGTCGGATGCAGAATTGAGTGACATGGATGAGGGTGATAGCGAGGGTTGCTGCTGCGGGGGCTCAGACTCTGAATCTGAGCAAGGAGGTATGTCCGATACTCCACGGACGGTGTACAAGGTAGTCGAAGGTGAGGATGGTACTCCTCGCGTCGTGGAGGTGGAAGTCGACGAGAACGGGTTGGAGATTCAGAAAGAGAATATGGATCGAATTGAAGGCAGTGCAGGTGTTGTGGGTCGTGAGTTCACCGAGGAGGAGCTGCTCATCGCTAGCCCCGTCGTACTAGGCTTCGCCTTCACAGAGAAGATGTGGCTTGAGTTCACCATCTCGGGCATCAGCGATATCGACTGGGACAAAGATGCGTTCGACTCATTGGTTCTCCCAGCAAATCAGAAGTCCATAGTCAAGGCCCTCGTCGAATCGCACACCTTCCACGCAGCCCAGAATATCGACGACGTAATACAGGGCAAGGGCAAGGGTCTGGTTGCCGTATTGCATGGGCCACCCGGAACAGGCAAGACCCTGACAGCCGAAGGCATCGCCGAGCTACTCCGGCGTCCACTGTACATGGTCAGCGCAGGAGAACTAGGGACCGACTCACGTTCATTGGAAGCAGAGCTGAACAAGATCCTTGACATTGCTCACTCATGGGGTGCGGTCCTTCTTCTTGACGAAGCAGACATCTTCCTAGAGAAGCGGACCATCCACGATATCCACCGCAATGCCCTCGTCAGTATTTTCCTCCGTCTTCTAGAGTACTTTCAGGGTATCCTCTTCCTAACTACGAACCGCGTCGAAACCTTCGACGACGCCTTCCAGTCGCGTATCCACGTCGCACTGCGATATGGTGATCTGGCACCGAAGGCGAAACGCAGCATCTGGAAGATGTTCCTTGAACGAGTACGCGGTATCGAGGGTGTTCAAACGGCTGAATTCTCGGAGAACGATTACGATGTGCTAGCACGGCACACGCTCAATGGTCGACAGGTAAGAGCTCTATCCCGTTCCCTGGCTTCGTATCCTTCTCAACTGCGCACCAATGTAGACAAATATTTGTTCCAGAAACTAACAGGCTCATAGATCAAAAATTCGGTTCGTACTGCGCAGGCACTCGCGGTCAACGAGAAGACCCCATTGTCTATGGATCATATCAAGCGAGTTCTAGACGTGGCGGAGACGTTCGATCAGGACCTTCGTGGTGGAACGGGTTACCTGGACGTGATGCGCAGTTACACTTAATACTCAGTTTATGATTTTACTCGGGTGTGGGGTTTAGATTTAAGGAGCTTCTGATTGCGATTGATGATTTACATAGCCGAGGAGTGAAAGGCATCAAGAATGGGGAATCTTGCTTTTCTTTCGGGCTTTATGCATGTAGCTATCTACTCCTAATGAATGCCAAGGATCAAACAGCACTACCTATGAACCAGGACTGTAGAAAAGCAATGGTTTACAGGAAGAAATTCACGGATTAGACCGATATACATTAAGTCAATTATATCGATCTAAGAATACAAGGCCAGACGCTCTGGAAAAGCAGAGAACTGGGAAACAGGGGTTGATGGTATACAGCGACTTTTTTAAGGGTTGGCCTTGACGAAGTCAACACCCTTCTGGATGTTCTTCTTCAGGTCAGCAAGGCAGGCCTCAAGGAGACCCTGCTCATACTCGTTGACGGGGCCAACGGGGTGGATCTTCTCAACACCCTCGGGGCCGAGCTCAACGCGGGAAGCGAAGAAGTCAATGCCCTGGTCCTTGTAAAGGGGAGAGTCAACGAAGGTAGGCTCAATGACGTTCTTCTCGCCCTGGGCAGCCTTGAGGAGGGACTCAGCGAAGCGAGCACCGGCCATGGCCATGGAGAGGGTGGCGGAGCCGGCACCGTCCTTGGCCTTGACAACCTCGTCACCGCCGAACTGGATGCGGTTGACAAGGGCGTCGCGGGCCTCACCAGCGATGGAGGGGTGGCCAGACTGCGACAGCAGGGGAACGATGGTCACACCGGAGTGGCCACCGACAACGGGAACCTTCTCCACGGAGGGGTCGGTCTTCTGGACCTGGGAGATGAAGCGCGAGGCGCGGACAACATCCAGGGTGGTGACACCGAACAGGCGCTTGGCGTTGTAGACACCAGCCTTCTTGTAAACCTCAGCGACGATGGGGACGGTGGAGTTGACCTGCGTAAGACATTAGGTATAGCTCATCAATCGGTTATCAGATCTTTCGAGCACGTACAGGGTTGGCAATGACCAGGACCTTGGCGTTGGGGGCAGCCTCAGCGGCGGCCTTGGCGAGGTCGCGGACGATGGAGGCGTTGGTATTGAAGAGGTCATCACGGGTCATACCGGGCTTGCGGGGAACACCGGCGGGGATGAGGATGATCTCGGAGCCCTCGAGGCACTCCTTGAGGCCAGCAGCATCGGGGTTGTAGCCAGTGACGGTGCTGTTGGTGTTGATGTGGCTCAGATCAGCGGCGACACCTGGTTGAAAACATGTTAGAAAGGGATTGCTGAGCTAATGATACCATACAACATACCGGGTCCACCACGGATATCGTAGAGGGCAAGCTCAGAAACACGGGGGTTGAGCTTGAGCAGCAGGGACAGAGGCTGGCCAATACCACCGGCGGCACCGAGAACGGCGACCTTGGAGGCCTAGGGTAGAAGGGTTAGCGCGCGTAAATAAAACCCAATTCATCGTCATGTACCTGGCTGGCCGAAGCGGAGAAGGCGCGCTTCTGGAAAAGGTTGAAGGTAGAGCGAGCGGCAAACATTATGTCTACTGGTCCCAGATGATGTTGGATGGAGGAAGAAGAAGGGAGAGAATGGGAAGGGGAAAAGAGATTGGGGGCCCGGTGAGCTGTCTCCACTCTACGCTTCCGATGTCCCGGTGCTCGGCCGATCCCCAACGCTCGGGCAGAATCGCAAACAATTGGACAATTCGGGTGGAATTGGGATGCTTTTAAGCTCTTTTACTGGCTTCTTACTTGACATGTGACACAGTCTCTTGGAAGAATAAAACACTTGCATTGTTGTTATACCCCAAATCAAAACGCCGTCGCTGATGGAAAGCCAAACTAATCCAGGAAATAAAAAATATCCACCATACAGAGCGTCATAGAGTAAGAAAGTATACAAGTCCATGATCACCGCAAGAAGTGCAGCACCAACCAACAGAAGAGGATGAAGATCACCACGCCGCCCCAGAAAATCCATTTATCCTGTCGAGCGCGACGCTCAACCATGCGAATGGTATCTCCGCTCACACCCAGTGTATTGGCAACACTATAAAGACGACGCTGAGTACCCTTCAATACTTCTCGTTGTTGGCCCAGATCCGCGAGCACTGCTCGTCCCCGATCCAAAAAGTCGTCCAATTGGGTGTTGGTGTTGGAGAAGAAAGATTGTTCACGCAGCGCATGGCTTTCACGAGTGTGGTCGGCGGGTCCACCACCAAAGCTCAGTCCGGAGGATGGCGCAAAGGAAGAAGAGGCCTGGGGGAGGTTTGATTGCGCGTAAGGGTTCTCGGGAGTAGCGGCGTGGTGCGGTCGACGGCCTAGAAGCTCACTGCGGTTGGTGGACGATTGCTGGGAAGTCAGGTCAGCCAAGAAGCTTGTGGTGAAGCTTGTGGTAAAACAAGCTCCAGTCCGGCCAGGATTGAACTTACTGCGTCCTCTCGCTCCTTACGCAGACGGTCGAATTGTGTTCGATAACCTCCCATCTCATTGCGGAAGCTCTTAACCCGATCAAAGGCCTTCTCCTGCTTCTCCGGAATCAGCTCCTTCTTTGAAAGAGCCGAGTAATCGTCGATGGTTCGTGAAAGGGAGGCTAATGATGCAGCAATTTGGCCTATGGACGACAAGGTCAGCTAGTATTCAACATCGCATAGATCTCGGGGCGCACCTTGGAGCGCGGGCGAGGAGGTCGCGGGAGACTGCGCAAACGTGTCCAGATCCCGACGAATAGCAGATGACTGCTTCAAGGCAGAGTTGAAGAGGGAATTCTATTTACATCAATAACCATCTTGTATCGTATGGGTCGATTAACATACCATGGTGTGGGCGGTAGCTTCCACGTAATGGTTCGATATCTCAAAGTATACTAAGAAGACAGAGAATCGACAGATATGTCAGTGCATGAAGGTACCGGGAGTTTGATCCACCTAGGTACCTCCAGGTTGAGAGAGCAAAGCGATCCAAGGTTGAATTGAGCCCACGCTTCGCGCGAGGCCACATGTGTGTTTTGGCTGCTGACCGCCTTCGGACATAGCTTTATCATCGCGCTGGTAGGTCCTTCCTTTATAAGCGCCGCTGCTAACGATAAATCTACTCAATTTAGTCTCATTTACTATGCAAAAGAGTAGTCGCTGATGGAATTTTAAAGATGACGAATTGATTCACACCGCATTCGCGTCAAAATGGTATCGTTAAGGCTACTAGTACAAGCCCGATGATCCGACTCCGTCTTCTCGCCAAAGAGTACAGAATGCAAGGTCTCAGAAAAGCAGGGATGGTATATTAAAAACAGAACTCAAGCCAGGATGAGGTTTAGGAAGCACCGACGAGAACATCTATTTGGCAGGGTACTTGTTCTGCAGGAACCACCTAGACGACAAGTTAGCAACGTGCAAGTACAGCGATCACACGAATACATTGAAGCACATGTTATTCTCCAATTTTTCAAGTGTTATAAGATACTTACTTGCTGGCAAAGTAGTCCACGACACCGAAAGCGCCCACGGCACCAGAAACAAGACCGACCAACTCCCACGAAAGCTTGCCCTGGGCATGCTTGTGGTAGGCACCGAAGCCCAGACCAGCACCGACCAGAGCACCGAGAACGGCGTTGGTGATGTACACGGGGTTGTCGGAGTTGGCGAACAGACCGCTACTCTTCGCCTTGCGGGCCTTGGCCTTTTTCTCACTGGCCTCACGAGCCTTGCGCTCCTCGGCCTCGGCAGCCTCACGCTCTATCCGCTCAGCCTGTGTAGTTGTCTTGACATCCTGGTTGACGTAATCGGGGTCGACGGTGTTCACGTGCGGAGAGTCAACGTCGATGAGGGAGGCAGTGCTCTCAGACTCGTCGTGGTACACGCCACCCACGTTGGGAGCGCGACTGGATATATGTCAGCAAGTCGTACCATCTATCACGGTGTCCTTTTATTTGCGACTCACGCCTGTGTGTCTGGTTAGCTCGAATTTCTCTGCATTGATGTCACATGCGGTAGTACTTACATCCTCGGGGGCCTGCTTGGGACCCTTGGCAGCTGCGTCGGCGTAAGACATATTAATGTAATGAATCAAGGTATTTGGGGAGCAAAAGGTAGTAGTTGCAAAGTTCTGGCGATCGTGACCGAATATAATGGTTCAGGTCAAGCGAGGGGGGGTCCTTTTATACCAAGGAAACCTTGGAAGCTTTGCCGTGTGACATCACGTCATTGATTTGGTGGAGCCATGACCCTATCTTACAATGATGTTATATTTATCCCCCCAATATTCCCTTCAGCTCGTTGAATGCGATGAAGTATTTGTTCCTCCCATCACCTATATAATCAACAGTTTACTGGTCATTTGTCGGGATATCTCGACAAAGCGCAAAAGATGCGCACCGTATGACTCGCAGCCACTGACGTGCTTCCCGCTCCGGTCTCGTACCAAACCCGACAGGCAACTGGAACCTTCTTTTGGATTTGTTTTATGATTATTTACTGTACAGTCTATATAGTATTATTCACAATATATTCGGGAAGCCAACTGTCAGAGAGCTCTCGGCTTGCCTTGTTACGATATAGCTGACTGTCACATTCTTTGCGCCTTGGGGGCAACCTACCTACGTTTGCGGTTTGAGAAATCCCCCAAAGAATTTGCCAATTTTTCGGTACTGATCGAGACTGATTACGGCGGAGACATCTGCACGAGAAGATCAGTAATTGCAGAAGATATTCGGGTCTACAAAGACTTACATTGATCAGGTCGAACAATAATAAGGGCCCCTTCTTTCGGGCTGATGCCGAGGAATTCATATGCACGCCCGTGGCCGCTGTTGTAACTTTCATCATCGTAGTATATTTTGTGCAGATCTTCGGAAATTATTAGCAAGTGCGAACTCGTTTACAATGAAACCTTGGGAATTTACCCTTTGTCTGATTTTTACCAGTCACTGGGTAGAAGCATTCGGGTATGTGCTCCAGTTCGATATCATGTCGCTTTCCATGGCCAATCACGATGGTCTCGATCAGACTATCCACGTCCTGGGATTTTGGTGTAAACATTCGGACTGGGCTGTCGCGTGACGACAGGTATTCTCCGAGCTAGAAGATGTCAGAACAATTCAATCATCTCCAAGGTAATCGGGCAGACTCACTGCGTTCAACTTGGTCCGGTTCTCCGAAACTGTAAGATCACCGACAAAGGCCATAACACGCCACCGGCCATCTGATTTAAGCGTCTTCATGAGTTGGAGGGGCTTTGAATCACAGAGCCGCACCACTTGTGCACTGGGTAGGCGCATGCCAACCACAACATTCGATGCAAGCTCTGTGGACTCCAGGGCACTAGTAATGGGAGATGCATCATACTTGGCCGTGAGACCAGCGGTATATTTTCCTGCTTGGATGAACCCCTCCTGGAATTCTGCAGATGTATTGGCTCCGGAGGAGAATAGCTTGGCAAAGTAGCGATCAAAGTTGATCAAATCGATGGCGGTCTTTTCCCGCTCCAGGACATATGTCTCGAGCAAAGAAGGGCTAGCTAGTCCCGCTAAGACTTCACCAAGCTTCCATCCGATATTGTATCCATCTTGGAGACTGACATTCATACCCTGGCCAGCTTTAGGAGAGTGGGTATGGCAAGCATCACCAGCCAAGAAGACTCGATGGTCCTTATGGAAGAAATCGGCATGGCGCTGGCCGATCGAGTATGCAGACCACCACACCATCTCGACAAACTCAATCTGATACGGATGTAAGATCTTCTGTGCCTGATGCTGCAGTTTTTCCAGAGTCACGTCCTTCGGGTTTGTCCCCGCGGGGAGTTCGGTGTAGAATCGCGTCAAGTTGTTATTCTCGCCCTCTCGGGGGATGATCAAGATATTCCCGTCTTTGGAGCGAATGGCGGACTTCTTGCGGAAATCAGGGAAATTTGTGCGAGGGACCATATCCATCACACCCCAGACTGCATCACTGCTATCTCCAACCATCTTATATCCCAGAGCCTTACGAACAACGCTGTGTGCACCATCGCATGCCTATATGCTGTTAAAGATGATCACGACCCCAAGAAAGCCAAAGTACTGACCAAGACATATTTTGCCGCAAACTTCTCTAACTTCCCGTCCCGTTCCGCGGTCACGGTGACAGGATGAGTATCAGAGTCCGCAGATGTGCCATCCACCTTGACATCAGTAACATTATACCCATAATCAATCTGCTGATCATTGTACTTCTGCATCAGCTCAATAAGCAGCCCATTGATGCGGGCCTGATTCAGAATAACGTGCGGCTGATGGGACAATCCAGGCTGCGTATCAGCCGTCCGACCAGTGCGCTTAATACCCGACCCATCATCTGCCCAAAAGTTCACTTCAAGAACATGATAGGCCTCGCGCAATAGCTCCTCGCCAACACCAAAGCTCTCAAAGATCTCAACGGTTCGACACTGCACTCCATCTGCCTGTCCCATCTTCATGGGACCATCCCGGCGCTCGAGAATCTTGCATCGGATGCCATAACGGGCGAGCCAGGTTGCGGCGCAAAGACCAGCGGAGCCACTACCGCAAATAATAACGTCGAATTTGTCCATCAAGGTAAAGTGGAGAAGATTGTCAGCTTTTTCTTTGCACAATTGTACCGGAGATCTCTGTTAAATAGGCTGCAGATGAGGCGTGATAGTCTGGAGTATATGGTTCCTGCGGGGCGTTTGCCGGGATCCACACCCGGGAGTGTCCCGAAAAGTCTTTGACCAAAAATACTTTTATCATGCGCAAAATTACACCGTTTTTGCATGTATCTCTGTTTGAAACTTACTTTGCATCTCCCGATCTATCCCCGTCGGCTGATATCCCGGGTCACAAAGGCCTCGGGGTTTATTGACTCGGTCATTAAGAGGCTCTGCAGTGCCGTTGATGTGATTTGGAGAAATCTGCATAGCAATATGCCGGGCTCCGGGCCATTTGATTTTCTCGGGGTTGATTCTTGACAAGTGCTAAAATGTATTATGCATGTCGAGCGGTTTCCGCCCTAGTGCTCAACCAAGAACCTCAATTTGTGTTCAGACTGACCCCAAAGTTAATTATTAATGACCTTGAGCATCTTCGAATATTGACCTCAAACCTGCCCATTGATTGTAATTATGCACATGTATAAGACACTTGAGATCTCCCGATTCACATCGTAGGGCCGTGGAAGCATGCCACAGCGGATGTAGTGTGCCGGCAGCGCTGCTTCCGTGGGTCAACATCTACCTCAGACCTATATGTAACTATCTACAGATCTCAAGGTGACGCAACATCCACGTGCTTGGAAACAAGGATGTGACCTTTCAGGAATGAAGATAAACCTTTGGGGGTCTAACGTTTGCGACGGGGATTATCGAAACATTGAATATCAGAATAGTTAAGTACAACCTGACAGGCAGGTGGGCAACATCTCGACATGGCTTGAGTCAACATGGAAACACCCGTGGACTTAGAATCTCGAAGGCTAATTCATCTACACAGCCTTATACGCTGAACATGTTTCGAATTTTGTAACCAAGAAAAATTTGCACAACAACACTGCTTATCTTTTCAAAATATGTAGAAAATGGATTGCAATTGCTAAAATCAAACACAAAAGGACCGATGCAGGTCTAAGGGGCAAAGGAGATTTTAATACAGATTACAGTAATGGGGGTACTGAAGTCGTGGCAGCTTTTACAGCATCAGCTCAAGAGGGTTCTCAACAACCTTCTTCAGCTCCTTGATCCACTCGCCACCGACGGCGCCGTCCACGACCTTGTGGTCGAAGCTGCCGGTCACGATGATCTGGTCATCCCACTCGGTAACGGTGCCCTCCTCGGTCTCGACAGGGACAGCGACCTTGCGGACGGTGCCGACGGCCAAGATACAGGCCTGAGGGGGGTTGATGATGGCGGTGAAGCGCTCAACGGCAGGGTTCATACCCATGTTGCTGATGGTGAAGGTACCGCCCTGGTACTCCTCGGGCTTGAGCTTGTTGTCGCGAGCACGCTTGCCGAGGTCACGGACCTGGTTAGAGATGCTGGACAGACCCAAGGCGTGGGCACCCTTGACGATGGGGGTGATCAGGCCGCTGGGGGTGGCGACGGCGACACTGATGTCGGCGGACTTGTGCTCGCGAATGACGACCTGGCCGTCGACCTCGATCCAGCTAGAGTTGACCTGGGGAACCTTCAGGAGAGCGGAAGCGCAGGCTTTGATCAGGAAGTCGTTGACGGACAGCTTGTACTTGCCATCGGCGGAGGCGTTCAGAGCCTGGCGGAGCTTGAGGAGCTTGGTGACCGACAGAGTGGTGGACACGAAGTAGTGGGGGTTCTCCTGCATAGACTGCTTCAGGCGGTTGGCAATGGTCTTGCGCATGGAGCTAACGGGGATGTCCTCGTAGGTGGGGCCAGCGGCGGCGGAGGCGCTCGGCTTGTACTTCTCGACATCCTCCTTGGTGATCACACCACCCCGGCCAGTGCCCTTGAGGGCCTTGACGGGAACACCCTTCTCAAGGGCGAGAGCCTTAGCCGCGGGGGAGATGGAAGGCTCGCGATCCAGGGACGGCTGGAGCTTCTCATCGGAGTTCTCGGGCTCAATAGCGGCGGGCTCCGCCGAGGGGGCCGGAGCCGACGGCTCAGCGCTCTTGGGCTCCTCCTTCTTCTCGGGGGCGGGAGCGGCGTTGTCACCAGCATCCTCCAGGGAGAAGGACTCGAAGGCAGAGACATCGGCACCCTCCTCGATAAGAACGGCAATGGGCTGTTGATAGGGGGAAAACAGGTTAGATTCGGAATTCCGAGGGGAAGCTCGGGAAATTTCTTACCGAGCCGACAGGAACCTCCTTCTCGCCAGACTCCTTCAAGACCTTGGCGAGGACACCCTCATCCTGGAACTCGAAGTCCATCTGGGCCTTATCGGTCTCAATCTCGACCAGGACATCACCGGGCTGGAGGCTGTCACCGGCCTTCTTCTGCCACGCGCCGACATTTCCAGCGGTCATTGTAGGGGACAGCGCTGGCATGCTGATGATGGTGTGGGGAGGGAAGGCTATAGAATCATTATAAGTTAGAGAAGATGGACATGAAGGATTCGTCGAGGATTTCATGCGGCCATACACTTGGAGGCATAGTAGCGGGAGAGAGCGGAGATGGAAGGCAATTGAGATCTGCGCGCGCAGAAATTATCAGTATCATTTCATGAAAGCCATAACTCATCCCATTGCACATACTGCAAAACATCCTGGAACTTGTAGGCGGCCTGGGGACGGCGCATGGGGGTGGCGCCCCGGACCATGAACATGGCGCTGGGAGTGCGCATTCTGGCGGCGGCAGCAACCATTTTAGCGGAAATTACCGGCGATTGTGGAATCAAAAGGCCCTCGACGCTGAGATGGGGATTAACAAAGAAAGTCCAACACGGAGGTGAGGACGTGGAGGGCCGGAGATGAGAAGTTGGGGAGAAGAAAGATGGCCTCTAAGCGGGAAACTTTTCGTTGAGCTCCTAACAGCCTTCGGTGAACCACTCGAGCGCCGGAACATTGAGGGTCATGTGATGTCAGGTGACAGAACGTGGAACTTGAGCGCTTTCCTCTTATCCGTCCTGGCGGTTCAGGTTTAGTCTAGCGATGTAATACATTGTGCTTCTTTTGTAAAGCTTTCAATTCTTCCGGGTATTCCTGGGTCCCTATTCTCTCTATCTGAGGTGTGTTAACATGTATATTGAATGGCTTATCACTGCTTGATACGGAGACTGATATTCCCAAAACAGGCACGGCCGGCATGGTCACGTGCAGGGACGCGATCCGAATCACATAAGCAGTTTACGGGCCCATCTAGTTATGTAAGTGTTATTTAGCGTGGCTGAGTGTTCTCAGCCTAAACTCGATTCGGAGAGAAGAGAACACGCAGCGCCCCCATATGCTTGCTCCATAGTATCCCGCTTCCAGCTCTCACAGCGAATTATCCCCGTTCGATGTCCTTGATCTAATCCAGATAGCCTCCGCCTGGAGTCTCCATGACAATGGCGGACGTCGACCCTGGCTCTGAGCCAATTCATCAACCCGCAACCGACTCCGAGAAGCCTCCCGTGGATACTACTACCGAATCTCCCCCGGCCTTAAACCCAGACAAGCCAAACCTATCCGAAGCCACAGAATGGCAAGAAGTGACGGAAAAAGGGGGCGAGGAGGTGGACAAGGAGGAAGAAGGACCCCAGAATGAGGAAGAACTGGAGGGAAAGCCCGAGGTTCCGCCAAAGGATACTTCGGACAACACAACAGAAGCCGAAACCCCCAAGCTCGAAGATGGACCGCCGGAAATCCAGGAACACAAACCTAGCGAAGACAATGAACGAGAATCAAGAATGCGTTCTGACTCGCGGTCCACCACCGCGACTTTTGCGACAGCACGGGGAGGTGCGGTCAGTTCAGCTGTCTTCATTGTGACAGCTCTCGATAGCATTGCCGCCTCGCGGGAAGCTCGGAGGAACAAGGAATTAGAAGATTCCGTCCAGATCGCTCTGAGCAATATCAAGTCAGATCGTATTGACCCGGAACTCATCTTTCGCCCACTTCACCTGGCAAGCAAGACTCTCAGCGTGCCCCTCCAGGTGACAGCGCTAGATTGCATTGGAAAGCTTATCTCCTACTCCTACTTCGCGTTTCCTTCCGCCGATTCCCAAAATGACACCAACTCTGAACAACCACCCCTGATTGAGCGAGCCATTGATGCAATCTGTGATTGTTTTGAGAATGAAGCCACCCCCAATGAGATCCAGCAGCAGATCATCAAGTCGCTGCTGGCAGCGGTTTTGAATGACAAAATCGTGGTACATGGAGCTGGTCTCCTGAAAGCCGTTCGCCAGATTTACAACATCTTCATTTACTCCAAATCCAGTCAGAATCAGCAAATTGCCCAGGGTTCCCTGACACAGATGGTGAGCACAGTGTTTGACCGGGTACGTGTTCGGCTGGATCTGAAGGAACTTCGAACCCGTGAAGTCGACCGCGTCGCAAATGGTTTGGATGCGACGTCTAGCGACCAAGGGCAAATTTCCGAGGCTGCTTCGGTCTCAGTTGCGGACCAGGCAGATCAGCCAGACCAACCAGTCACCAAGGAACCAACTGCTGAGAAGCTCACCCTCCAGAGTTTCGAGTCGCCTAAGGAGGTGACTGGCGTGAATGACAATGCGCCAACTACAGTTACCCGTGCGAAAGCGACGCGCTCTTCGACTCGTTCTATTACCGGCATCCCTGAAGACCGGGAAGATGATGGCACCGCTGAGGATGATGTGGATGAGGTCTACGTTAAAGATTCATTCCTAGTATTTCGGGCTCTCTGCAAGTTGAGCCACAAGGTTCTTGGCCACGAGCAACAGCAAGATCTCAAGTCTCAAAACATGCGGTCGAAACTCCTTTCGCTGCATCTCATCCACTACCTGATTAACAATCATACCAACACCTTCACTTCTCCTCTGGCTGCCATCAAGAACAGCTCGACAAGCCCAGAGGCCATGACACTCCTTCAGGCTGTACGACCGCACCTCTGCCTAAGCTTGAGTCGAAATGGGTCTAGCTCGGTTCCTCATGTGTTCAAGGTCTGCAGCGAGATTTTCTGGTTAATGCTCACGCACTTGAGAGTCATGATGAAGAAGGAGATCGAAGTGTTCATGAAGGAAATTTACCTGGCTATTCTTGAGAAGCGGGCTGCTCCTTCATTCCAAAAACAATATTTCATGGAAATCCTGGAGAGATTAGGTGGTAATCCGCGCGCCTTGGTTGAGATTTACCTCAACTATGACTGTGATCGTACCGCTTTGGAGAACATCTTTCAAAACCTCATCGAACAATTATCACGACATGCCAGCGTCCCGGTCATCACTAGTATTGCGCAGCAGCAGCAATTCCAGGAGAACCACACCAAAATGTCTAGCATTGGAGCTGAATGGCATCAGCGCGGAACACTCCCTCCATCTCTCACCACCGCTAATATAGCCCCTCCACCGCAGCCAGCTGTGCCCAATTTGCCATCAGAGTATGTTTTGAAGCAGCAGGCTCTCGAATCCCTCGTAGAGATCCTTCGGTCTCTTGACAATTGGGGAGCACAGCGCCCTGATAATCAACCTTCTCAGCAAGATCCCATCGACTCATCCAAGTCTATGGATCACCCCCGGGAGTCCATAGATACCAGTGTCCTTATTTCCCCACGTCCTGATGCTGCTGATGGACTTGCCACTGGCCGGTCCACACCGGTGCCAGATGATGACCCCAATCAGATTGAAAAGGTAAAGCAGCGCAAGATTGCCCTGATGAACGCCATCCAGCAATTTAATTTCAAGCCCAAGCGTGGTATCAAGCTTTTCCTTCAGGAAGGGTTCATCCCCTCGGATTCTCCTGAAGACATTGCAAGCTTTTTCCTTCGCAATGAGCGTCTGGACAAAGCCATGCTGGGTGAATATCTGGGTGAGGGCGATGCCGAAAACATTGAGATCATGCATCACTTTGTAGACAAGATGGAATTCGCCAAGCGACGTTTCGTCGATGCTCTGCGGTCGTTTCTGCAGCATTTCCGTCTACCTGGAGAGGCCCAAAAGATTGATCGATTTATGCTCAAGTTTGCGGAACGGTATACAACTCAAAATCCCAACGCATTTGCCAACGCCGACACCGCCTATGTGCTTGCCTACTCGGTCATCATGCTCAACACAGATCAACACAGTGCCAAGATCAAGGGGCCACGGATGACCAAGGAAGATTTCATCAAGAACAATCGCGGAATTAACGATAACCAGGACTTGCCATCTGAGTACCTGGTGTCTATCTACGACGAAATTGCCAATAATGAGATTGTCCTGGATACTGAACGGGAGCACGCTGCAAACATCGCTATCCAACCTTCTGCTCCGACTGGCCTGGCCCGAGCTGGGCAAGTTTTTGCAACCGTTGGTCGTGATATTCAGGGAGAAAAATATGCACAGGCATCCGAAGAGATGGCTAACAAGACTGAGCAACTGTACCGCTCCCTCATCCGGGCTCAACGAAAGACGGCCGTCCGCGATGCCCTTTCTCGCTTCACCATTGCTACATCAGTTCGACATGTCGGGTCGATGTTCAACGTCACCTGGATGTCCTTTTTGTCTGGACTGTCGGCACCAATGCAGGATACCTCAAACATTGAGTCCATTCGGTTATGCATGGAGGGACTCAAGCTGTCGATTCGTATTAGCTGTGCTTTTGATTTGGAGACCCCTCGGGTAGCTTTCGTCACTGCCCTCGCCAAATTCACCAACCTCGCGAATGTCAAGGAAATGATGCCCAAGAACTTTGAAGCCCTGAAAGCCATTCTCGATATCGCAACTACTGAAGGCAATCATCTTCGTACCTCCTGGCGCGATATCTTGACCTGCGTCAGCCAACTCGACCGTTTGCAATTGTTGAGCGACGGCGTCGACGAGGGTTCACTGCCAGATGTTTCTCGGGCACCCACTGCAGCGGATACACCGCGCAAATCCATGCAAAGTACGCGGAGCAAGACCCGCGCACGCTCTGTCCATGGCCCCTTAGCTTTCCGTATGGATATTGCCATAGAGAGCCGATCGGCAGACATGGTCCGCAGTGTAGACCGGATTTTCACCAACACCGCAAATCTCTCACATGAGGCTATCATCGATTTTGTCCGTGCACTGAGCGAGGTGAGCTGGCAAGAGATTCAGTCCTCGGGGCAAAGCGACTCCCCGAGAACATACAGTCTCCAGAAACTGGTCGAGATCAGTTACTACAACATGACCCGGGTCAGGATTGAATGGTCTAAGATCTGGGAGGTCTTGGGTCAACACTTCAACCAGGTTGGCTGCCACACCAACACTACCGTTGTGTTCTTTGCTCTCGACTCGCTCCGACAACTGTCGATGCGTTTCATGGAAATTGGGGAACTTCCTGGTTTCAAGTTCCAGAAGGACTTCCTCAAGCCTTTCGAGCATGTAATGGCGAACAGCACCACCGCTTCCGTCAAAGATATGATCCTCCGTTGTTTGATCCAGATGATTCAAGCCCGTGGTGATAACATCCGGTCTGGATGGAAGACCATGTTTGGAGTTTTCACAGTTGCCGCGCGAGAGCCCTATGGTAAGTCACTTTTCCCAAAAAGCACATTCAAATACTAACGAAGTAAATAGAGGGGATTGTGAATATGGCGTTTGACCATGTCACGCAAATCTATAATACTCGTTTCGGAGTTGTGATCACCCAGGGTGCATTTGCAGACCTAATTGTTTGCCTCACTGAGTTTTCCAAAAACTCTAAGTTCCAGAAGAAGTCACTGCAAGCAATCGAGACTCTGAAATCCACAGTCACCAAGATGCTGCGTACTCCGGAATGTCCGCTCTCCCACCGTGGTGGACCTGCGCCTAATTTCCAAGAGGAGGGAACCAACCTTGCCAAACAACTTACTCGCCAATCCCAAGAAGAGCAGTTCTGGTACCCCATCTTGATCGCATTCCAAGACGTGCTCATGACTGGCGATGACCTCGAAGTTAGATCCCGGTATGTTTCGCTCATGTTTTACCCTCTAATACACTAGCTAATAAGACTCCCAGTGCACTTACGTACCTCTTTGAGACATTGATCCGACATGGCGGTGACTTTCCCCGTGCTTTCTGGGATGTTCTTTGGCGTCAACTTCTCTGCCCAATCTTTGTGGTTTTGCAGTCCAAGTCCGAAATGTCCAAGGTTCCCAACCACGAGGATCTGTCCGTTTGGCTCTCCACCACTATGATTCAGGCTTTGCGGAACATGATTACTCTCTTCACGCACTACTTTGATGCACTAGAATACATGTTGGGGCGCTTTTTGGAGCTTCTGACCCTGTGTATCTGCCAGGAGAATGATACGATCGCACGCATTGGCAGCAATTGCTTGCAGCAGCTGATTTTGCAAAACGTTTCCAAATTCCAGCAGGAGCACTGGACTCAGATCGTTGGGGCCTTTGTCGAGCTTTTCAATAAAACCACCGCATACGAACTGTTCACAGCGGCGGCCTCCATGACCAAAATGACGGAAACCGCCACCAATGGTGACGTTCAGGCTGCCGAGGCCGCCGCAGCCTTGCCATCCACAGGTGATCTGCCCGATGCTCTGCAGGCCAATGGATCCCAAAGTACAGCGTCGCTTCAAGACTCGGGTGACCCACCCGCTCAGAGCGAGGCTCGGGCTGAGCTCGAGGACTACCGGCCCCAGGCGGATTCACAGCAACAACCAGCTGCTGTTACCGTGGCTCGACGTCGGTTCTTCAACCGTATCATCACAAACTGTGTTCTCCAGCTTCTGATGATCGAAACCGTTCACGAGCTCTTTTCCAATGACACTGTCTACGCTAAGATTCCTAGTCCCGAGCTGCTGCGACTGATGGGTTTGCTCAAAAAGAGCTACCAGTTTGCCAAGAAGTTCAACGAGGACAAGGAACTGCGCATGCAACTCTGGCGCCAAGGCTTCATGAAGCAGCCTCCTAACCTCTTGAAGCAGGAGAGTGGTAGTGCGGCTACCTACGTCCATATCCTCTTCCGAATGTATCATGATGAGCGTGATGAGAGGAAGAGCAACCGTGCTGAGACTGAAGCAGCACTCATCCCTCTCTGTGCAGACATTATCCGTAGCTTCGTTCGCCTTGATGAGGAGACCCAGCACCGCAATATCGTGGCCTGGCGACCCGTCGTCGTGGATGTCATCGAGGGGTATAATAACTTCCCCCAAGAAGGATTTGATAAAAACATTGAGACCTTCTACCCCTTGGGCGTCGAGCTCTTGAGTCGTGACCTAAATCCTGAAATCCGTGTCGCATTGCAGGCTCTTCTGCGCCGTATTGGCGAGGTCCGACTAGGCGTTGCTCCACCCAACCCATTGGATGCCCCGATCAGTCCGCGCAGCTCCGTCTCCCAGAAGACTCCTCGTCGCGATAGCCGAGCTGCTGAGTGATGATTTTGGTATTATCTTGGGATCGCCCACCCGCATTTTGTGATATACGGGTGGTCCATGGCGTTTTCTTCTTTATTTGTCTAGCCTTCCTCCAAATTTTGTTGTCACTTGTTGCCTACGGGCTTGACAGTTGTTTTGTGTTCTAGAGATGCATAGCTGTATTGTATAAGACAAAATTCCTTTTACTCTATTCCAATCTTCAGGGATCTACTTCTGCCGCTTAACCTCCCCAAGCTTTCCCTATGCCCATCACGTTTCCAACCGGTGGACCTATAGCACAGCACACCTGCCTAAGGTATGTCAACATGAAATTCTAGGTAGAATGAGAGATCAATACTGTATATATTTTTCCACGGGTGGTCTGTTCCTAGATCCTGAATGCAGTACATACAAAACAGAAGCCCAGTTAGGGTGTTCCGACTCAAAGCTTATATAGCTTGCTATCAACAAGGTTGAAACAACCGGAGTCTTGATTCCCCGCCTTCATAACCAATCAGCCAATTCTTAATCTCCCGGCGTCGAACTCTGGCATGTTGTCCTGGATCCGGATCACCATTGTCACGATGCTCTTGCGCAGCTTTCACGGCCCACCCGATCACCCCATCAGGCAGTGTCTTTAGCGCGTCCCGTCCTCCACGACGCGTGAATTGTAATCTGCAAGCATACACGATTGACAGCACAATTAATCCAATAAACACCCCCGCAACGGTTAATACAAGCGCCTCAATGACTGGTGGCACGTTAGTAGCAAACACAATGCACCCCTGTGTCTGGACCGCATCCTGCGCTGGAACAGATAGAAGTATGTTATTCCCCCCGTACACCATTGTCATTGTGTTGAGGAGAACGGCCAGCTCTAGCGCTGGGTCAGAAACGGACGGTGTGCCGGTTCCGTAATACATCAGGCCTTGGAAGACGGTCTTCCATGACTCAAGTGCAGTTGTAGTGTTCATTGCTCCAGTGATTTTCTCCGCGAGATCGGCACTCATGCTGCAGGAAAGTGGAAGCATGATGACGTTATCATCGTAGGGCGAGGCGTTGGTTTGAATGGCTGCACGCACACCCCAGGTACCCGTCGAGGAGCTGTTCGTGTTGAGACCTATGGAGCTGCTCCACGTAACGAAATGGTTGTAGTATTCCCCAAAGCCAGAGTACTCGCCCGTTGGGTCGGGAAAGAGTAAGCCCTGCTCAATCAGGTCCGCGGATAATTCTGCCTTATCATAGGCCGCACTATATGTGCGAATGGCATCTGTGGAGCAGACCCAAGTGCCCAGAATATCTTCAACCCCAGGACAGAATGTGACATCCTGGTTGACCTTTGCATATATGCCAATGGGACAGGTGTTGTTAAGGCTGAAGTATTGCGAATTGTGAGCAACGATGTACGGCATCCCGTTTGACGGAGGTGCAGTCAACAGATAGGGTCCGGTGGTGTTGAGAACCAGCCCTTCCCCGAATGAACACCGAGACTTGACTGCAACTTGAGTGACGAGGTTCGCAGTCAGTAAGTCAGCGATCTTGGACAGTGCGAACAAGATCACCATCGCACTATATCCAAGTGCTCCGCCGGGGAGCTGGCGGAGCTGGTATACCATTTTCAACAGATCAAAGCCTTGCTGCCAGCCCATAGCTGTGTGGGCACGGATGCTGCCATACTGCATGATCCTGAGCTGGGATCTAGATTGCAGGACACCACCAGCTAACCAGGCGATCAGACTGATGACTATCAAAAAGTAGGCTCTCAGAACTAGGCGAGTGTCGCCGGACGATATGTCCGTCAAAATCATATTGGTGCCAATATGGAGTGGATCGTCTGAAACTGTATAGCCAAGTAGATTTTACCGGATGGAATATAAACCAACACTGCTGGCGTGGTCGCTATTTAAATCCTTCATCGTGGAAGACAGGGCGATATCGAGAGAAAAGAAAGCGGAGAAAGCGCTCGAGGCCAAAATGGCCGAGTCTATCTCTCATACCGTGGCGTCTTGATAAAAAAAAAAAGGAAACATTGAAATCGTCAGGGCATGACTGCCGAGAACGAGGCGATTCACAGCCAAGCAAGCCACTCCTCATGGCAGTGCTTATCTGGAAAACATTGGGGTAACAAGGGGCGATGGCCAGGACCTAGCGACAGGTCAGGAACGCCTGCCAAACACGAGCTCGGGAGCTGGGTTCATCAGCGGACAGCATGACTCGTGTTTACAGGGAAATCATTGGTAGAAACGAACGCCACCAGAGGCCCGGAGACTGTGAAACTTGCATCTCTCAGCCGCACCAAAGCCACATGGCGAACTGTGGATCAAATATGACTTGAGCAATCAAGCGTTCGAGAGAGGTTTGGGTCTAATTCAATCAAATCATCAAACAACTAACCAAAGAGTCCACTACTGTAGTAGTTAAAATGATTAAAAAATTATTACACCTGTAATCCTAGTCCAATGATTGCCATCATTGATAAAACCGCAAAAAGCGACAATTGTGTTGCGTTCCACCGGGAATTACGAGAGTCAGTATTAACTGCTGAATGTCGAACAGATGAACTTACACAGAGATGTTGAACCCGTCTGGATTTTGCTTGTTAGCGATCGATACGAGACATTGGACGCATTCAAAGTTACCGACTGGCCCAAAGACGAACTTGAACTAGTAGTCGAACCTGGCGAAATGGTCGTTACACTTGTCTTTGTCGTCGAAGTAGCAGTCACTACGGTTTCGACGCGTAGACTAGCCAAAGTGGTGGTTATGCTAGCAGGCCCTTCGATGTTAGAGCAGAACTCGTTCAGCCTCCTAGCAAACGGGTAATATGTCGGATGAGCCGCACTGACCAATGAAACATATTCACTCGCATATGTATTAAACGCAGATGCGCCATTACTCCCATTGGAGTTGCAAGCCTTGGGCGCATTGTTACAATTTTGTTCTAGAAAATAGGCGTTCTCGCCAGCGCTCATATTGTTAGTGGCAAAATTTTGGCAAAAGGAAACCTCTGTGTTGGCGATGCAGATCTAAAGTCATTTATTATGATAGACAGATGGGTGGATTTCCATGCATATTCAGGGAAATAGGGGAGGATCAACATATCGACGTGACGGAATTTCTTTGAGTTTGGTGGCAGTGTATAAGCAGTAGAAGTGGCATCGGCTGCCGAGGAATACGATAGGGTTTTCACCTTCAAGCAACGCCAGCGCAAACGCTTGATTCCCAGAACCTGGTGATGGGGCGATCCGTAACAGAATCTCGTTCTCCTCCGACAATCTCACCCTATCATTAAGTCCGAGCACAGAGATCTTAGAGCACATGGATACAAATGAGGACAGATCTGCAGAGGCAGTGTCTTTTGGAGTATCCTAGTGTTGCCACGAGCGGTCAGTTCGTTCGCATACACATTAGATTTAGACAAATGCGAATTACTGCTCGCATATTCTTCTCGTCTTCTCGGCAATCTTTGTATTGACTTGACATCATCCTTTCCACTCTCTAAGGCACGTAGCTGTCTATATTCTAAGGCTCGCTCGCATAATCAAGCTATCTCGCTCTCGGTAATCACCGACAAGCTATAGCTTCTGGTCCCGCCTTGTCTGTCCAATGAGACTGGACCTGGAATATCTTCTAGTCATGATGTCTCTTCTTCAGAAAGAGGAATAACCTTATTGGCTGGTATCGCGCGTGCAGGGATCAGAAGCCCGGTGATCAGATAAATGCAAACAACAAAATACTCCATCAACAGTCCCATGACCAAAAACGGGGCAATCGGACCGAGAAGGGCATTCCATCTGAGGTCTGATGCATGGAGTACAGATAGAAACAAGTAGGTAATACGCACACCAATAAACGGCGTACCAAAAGCCATAGCTTTGAGGATCTAAGATTCATGTCAGTGCCAGGGAAGATCAAATTGCAGGTAACAGAACGAACCGTCCGACTTGTCTTTGAAAAAAGCGAGTATTGTGTCCAGAAATATGCCTGGATGGCCAACAAGATGGCGGCAAATACCACGACGATGCTATAGCCGGCTTTCACCAACTTCATTCCAATAGGGACATCACTTGTAGTGTCACTTCCCTCCAAGGCTCCACCCGCAATGGTTAAAGAAATGCCCGCTAAGAACAGTAGGCGAGACAAACGCAACCCTTGCTGGATCTTGGGACTCATGCTTTGCTGAACGGCCACACTGTTTGATTTTAGAATCCATAGGTATGGGCTTATATACAGCCGAATAGATATAGATATGTGCTGGCTTCTCACTTACATGATTCGAATGTAGCCCATGGTAGCTGCGATCAATGGGAACACACCGGCATTGAGAAGGATTGTCGCGGCAATCATCACGCCGACGCTTGGCTTCTGCTCTGAAATAATCACCACTATTCCCGCAGCGATACGAACTGGATACCAATGTCAGATCAATGGGTGTAGGTTTAAATGCGGTGGAGAGTTGCACTTGTGGAGAAGAACATCAGGGTGATCCATGCCATGCGCGGTCTCTTGTGTCGATAGCATGCGAGACCAGTCGATAGCAGAATCACAGGTATATATAGCACTATTAGAGCAATGCTCATCTTGGAGTGATCCTGAAGCATGTTGAATTATAAGTGGATAAATAAGTGGAGGATGTGGTATGGCTCTGTGAGTACAATGTATAGAAAGACCGGCTTCCGAAAGATGTGCCATGAGAAGGGAAAGCATGCTTCTTATAGTTGTTTTCTAGTAGCATTCTGCCTGCTCGTAGCAAGGCTGTGCGTAAAAGCAAAATTGTGGATTCATCATCGAACCAAAGTATACAGCCCTGGGGGTTCGCAAGAAGAACCCCATTTTGGGTTTAGCGTCTCCACATGTTGGGCGTGATGATCTTAGTCATCCATTAGATCCACTGCGAAGGCGTGAACTAGTTAGCGAGAGCAAACTGCTGACAAGCTTGAAATGCTAAGCGGGACGAGACTCTTTTTCGTGAGCGCACTATGGTTGGGGTGGCTGGGAAGTCGAAAGGGTGCAACACGTGTCGAAAACGGAAAATTGCTGTGAGTCGCAGAACACTGCATTTCATTCGCAATCAATGACTCCCTAGTTTAGTGTGATCAGCAGAAGCCGGCGTGTAACCGGTGTACACGGTCAAATCGAGTGTGTGGTGGGTACGAGAAAGACAGAGTGTTTGTGCTCGTTCAACCCGCCGCGGAGAAAACACACATCTACCTAAAGCCCTCTTCTGACCCTCAAAATGAAGACTCTCCAGAGAGCTCAACACCTGGTTCTTCTCCGCCGGCCACGGAGATTCATCGCGTGCAAAGAACTTGCTCGTTTCCCGAGACCAGCCCCGGCTATCAACTGATCCACAGCAGCATCGAACGCCACAACTTAGTTCAAGCTTTCCTCTCCAATTGTTTCCCATCACAATGGGTGACCACGTCTCCTCGATCCTGGATCCCCTTACTTGCAGAGCTACCGACCAAAGCCAAAACCCTCGAGATATCGGCTGCGGCAGTTGCAGCCTCGGCGATTGGAAATATGTTCCATATGCCTGGTCTGGTCAAAACAAGCCACAAGTACTATACTCAGGGCCTCCGTCAGCTACAAAGGGCCCTGCATGACCCACTTCTCATGCGCGAAGACGAAACTCTTGCGGCATGCATGGCCTTGAGTCTTTACGAGGCGCTTGAATGTCCTACGGCGGGATCTGAGGGCTATTTCAGTCATTGCCAGGGTCTTATCGCATTGGTTCAAGCTCGTGGTGTACATGCACATACTTCTGCTGTTGGTCATCAGTTATTTCTAGGGCTCCGAATTCCAGGGGTTAGTCTCTGTGGTTTCTTAAAATCATTTATGTCATTGCTTACCGACTCTAAAATCTAGATATTATACGCCTTACAACGCAACACCTCTACTATCTTGTTCGACTCCATCTGGATGGAGCAGCCCTGGGTAGAATATACGAAGTCACCACTTGATTGCGTCACTGATTGCTTTGCCCATGCTCCTGGGATCCTGGAGCGGGTAAGAAAACTTCCAACCCTAAGCGCCAATCAGCAGCTCGGCTTGCTTTATAATCTGGTCCATGAATGCTGGCAGGTAGACAACCAGCTGAATATCATACACGACGGGATAGTAAAGAACGCGCCGGGTCCTCTATACTGGCTAGTGCCCTCACAGCAAAGCTTTTTGGCTCATGATGATTCCGTCGTGGGTCTTTTCCCATTCGTCTTCTGCTTTTCAAACATCCAAACCGCCAGAACACTGACGCTCTTGTGGGCAACGCGAAGTATGCTCTGGACGGGTCTATGTAATCTATACAACTATGCCAACTTCCTTGCAGCTGGGAGCTGCAAATTCATCACTGATGAGAGTAGTCTACCTCCTCTTGGCCATCGTGAAGACTATGTTTCCATGGCCTGTCATGTCTGTCAGTCGGTGGAGTATTTTCTGCAAAATGAGATGCTGCTGGCGGGGCCAATATCAGTCAGTCCAGCGCTTGGTATTGTTCTTGACAGCCTACAGCAAGGATATCATCCTCAAGAAGTTACGTGGCTTCGAGCAACACTTGATGTAATCCGCCGGAAAGGTTTGCAGGCACTGGAATATGTCACATAATCTCGGCCTCGGAAGTCAGGTAATTGATGAACACACCTGCATATCTTCCTAGGTATCGGGTAGTTCATGGTGAGGGATCGTGTATCATTCAATTGGTATATACTTATGTATACATGTATTTATCATTTGCGCACTTCCTGGAGTGTAGGCACAGTCCCTGGCCCGTATTGAGATAGCAGTCCATCCATGTCTTGTTCGGTCATCTCTACCAAGTCGTCCAGACTCCACGATTCGCAGACCGTCGACATCCACTTCATTCTCTTTGGCCCTTCCTCTTGGTTAGGTGCGACCTCTCGGAGCTTCTTCCGTAGCTTTCCGACATTCATGATAGCAGCTCCCATGTTGGATGGCAGGGTCGCTGCGATCTTCTTGCGCACAATGCTGGCCAATTTCGGGCCATTGCCATTTGTGCTGACCATAATCTGGAGAGGACCATCCCGGTGTATGCTTCCAAAGTAAAAGTCGCACTCGGGAGGAACATCAGCGATATTGGCGGGTATCCGCTTTTCCTTGCAGAGTTTCCAGACTTGCGTCGAGGCCTCCGGGTCATCAATGGCGCACAGCACCATGTCCGCATCATCTAAGTCGGAGGGTTCGAAATTCCGATCGACATGGATTACTTGGCTCTCGGCGACTCGGTAGGCGACTTCTTCATTGAGGCCAGTGGCCGGACAAACGACGGTAACGCGTGCGTCGGCATTGAGGGCGTGGAGGATGCGCCCCGCGGCGACCTAAAATGGAGCTGTAAGCAACCGAATATATAACGGCGGGGAGCTTTCGTCGAGCTACCCCATAGCTGACCACTCACTTCACCCCCTCCTACAACTAGCACGTGTTTCCCCCTGATCTGCCAGGCCAAGATCAAAGAGCCTCCACCTTGAACTTCGGGAAACTTAGACATCTTTCGGGTGAGAGATAATCCATTGAAGAGTCCTTCACAACGATAAGACGTGGGGCTTACGGGCACCCACACCGACCAACCGCGCAGTCACTAGTTTTTTCTCCGTCGCTTTTTCGTTTCTCTTTCTTTTCTTTTTTTCCCTTTCTCCATACTCAATCCCATCCGCCATGCGGGGTGTGCAAATTTTCTCGGGCAATTCTCATCCCGGCCTTGCAGATACCATCTGCGAACGGCTGGGTACGTCGCCCGCTAAAGCAGACCTTGGCAAATTCGCCAATGGCGAAACTAGCGTGAACATCAACACCTCGGTACGGAACCAGGATGTCTACATCATTCAGAGTGGCAGCAGCAAGATCAATGACAGCGTCATGGAGCTTCTGATCATGATCTCTGCATGCAAGGGAGGTTCGGCCAAGTCGATTACTGGTATGAGTTCCGAATCAAAATTTTGTGAAACATGCACTGATGATCTCTCAAGCGGTCATGCCGTATGCTACCCGTCTTGTTTGAACCCAATCACAGTGGATGCTGACGCGCAGACGAGGTACTTCCCCTACTCGCGCCAATCCAAGAAGAAGAGCCATCGCGGTGCCATTACCGCTCGCATGCTCGCCAACTTACTCTCCATCGCCGGCGTCGATCATGTCATCACCATGGACCTGCATGTACGTTTTAATCCCGTCTTCCCCGTGTCTAATGTACATTGTCCGTCGCTGGGGAATTACTGTGGAATTACTGTGTTCGATATTGATCGGCATCGAATAGGCATCTCAGATGCAAGGCTTCTTCGGCAAGCCCGTCGATAACCTCTTCGCCGAACCGTTTATTGCCCGCTGGATCCGGATGAACGTGGCTGGCTGGAAGGACGGCGTGGTGGTCAGCAAGAATGCCGGTGGCACCAAGCGTGTCACCTCGCTGGCTGATGCCCTGAAGTTGAACTTCGGTATTGTGACTACTGATCGTCGGCGACCGAAGGTTCCGATGACCATGTCGGACAGCACTGTCTTCTTCGATGCCATGGAAGAGGATAGCCGGGTACCCAAAGATCAGCAGCTCTTTGCAATTCACATGCAGCGCTCCAATGCCACGCCGCCCATTCTGGAGGAACCTGAAATCCCCAGCCCTACGGAATCTCTCCTGCGCCCCGAGACTCCCCCAGCTGCCCGCCGGCCGTCGGAGCTCGAGGCTGCTTACGAGTACACCGACGTGCGGGTGCGGGATGTGGTGACTGGCCGCCTGGTACAGGGTCAGCTGGTCGATGATGATTACCACGCTGACTCTGGCTCCCAGTCTGGTGGCACCACTCCTGGCGCTGGTAGTGGTGGTGGCGACGACAATGTTGAAAACACAGAAGCCGTCCCAGACTCCATGATGAACTCCATGATATCCAATGTCTCTTCATTGCCCCCCGATCATGCTTTGGGTGGGTCATTCGATGCAGTCGAATCTGACGATGACGAAGTCAGCGTTGCTGGTCTTGAGCACGAAAAGACCATTACCCTTGTCGGTGAAGTACGCGATCGACCAGTGTTCATTGTTGACGACATGATTGACAAGAGTGGGTCATGGATCGCCGCCGCCGAGACGGTCGTGAAGCGCGGTGGAGCCCGAAAGGTCTACTGCATCGCCACTCACGCGCTGTTTGGGGCTGAGTCCCTCGAGCAGCTGGAGGAATGTTCGTCCGTTGATCACATTGTCGTGACAAACACCTTCCCGATCCCTCCGTCAATGCTAAGGTCAAAGAAGTTGATCGTCATTGACGTTTCGAGTCTCCTTGCTGAGAGCATCCGGCGGCATCACTACGGTGAAAGGTAAGGCCTACTGGAATTATGATTGATTGAATGATTTTCTAATGGTACCTAGCGTCTCGGCGCTCTTCCACCTTAACGATTGAATGATGACCGGGATGTGACGAAACGAAAAGGACCGAAAGCAAGAATTTAACCCTCTAGGGCGTTTGATACTGATTCGCAGGCGAACTCTGCGCTCCATGATTTCATGGCATGATACCTATTTTTAACCTACCAATGGACCCAAAAAATCCGCTTTGAAGAAGTTTGCCTTCTAGTCGGTGAAGACGTAGTTTTTCTTTTTCTTGCTTTTGTTTTGTTTTGTTTTGGTTTTTTCTTCACCCAGCGATGCAGTCCACTCTGGGGGTACTGCAGGGGTATCTCGTTATCCACGAGATTCCCTTAACGGAGCGTTGGCAGAGCAAACATCGGGTTATGGGGTTGGGTTTTCTTTCCTTTCTACCCTTGGGTGAACGGAAGGAAAACACGATCCCATAGCACGAGGAGGTACGATGGCGCCGGTTTCTGAAGGTTTTGATATTCTCCGGGAATCAACCTCATGCTTTTTTCTTGGCAGTGGAACCGGGGCCAGAGAACATCTCGAACATATCTAGGATTCGCACTCACCGTAGATCAGTGAACAGTCAATATAAGAATTTTTTCCCTCGTCCAGTCATTATCCATGTTTCCATACTGCAGAACCTAAGTTTGACATCATCTCAAGCCTCAACGGCCATGCGGGCCGCCGTATGTATCCCCAACAGCCTGGGAAGCTGTGACGGATTCGAATGCGGTCCAATTGTAATCGAGTCTAGAACCGGTCGATGGGAACCTTCTACTAATTGATTCGACAGGTAGAACGGGAAACAATAGGTCATGTGAACAATTTCCCGTTTCAAGGCTTCCCAGATCGGCTCACCTGGACCAATTTCGAAGTGTCGTCCTTTCCTGACAGGTGCTTATTGCCGGAACGGATCGTACTTCTGGGTTCCTTTCCGACGGCTGGAGCTGTGGAGCCCTAGCTGTACACCCCCGTATCGGGTAATAGAGGCGGAAAGTTAGGTCACCATGTCCCGGAGTTCCCCGTGCATTGGGGACAATTCCATTTAATTTAGAAACATATTAGGAAGCAACAATCGGCCCCTGTAAGCGACGGGCCCAAGACTAGTAACCGGGGACGTACTTCCGAGGCCGATCATCATTCGACCAAGGATGTTGGGACTCGTCACCGCATCAGCCTCTTAGTGACTCGATTCGAGGCTCTAAACAGGTCTGAAACCATGAACCTATCAGGACGAACCTATAGGATATTTCCCCTAGGGGATAGAAAAATAAAAAAAAAAAAAAAAAAAAAAAAAAAAAAAAGTTCTATGGTCCCTGAGATGTGCCATGTGGAGACTAGCAAAGAGCCGTGCATTGGTCCAAGCGTCGGACCCATAATGACTATTTTGGTGTTGGGAAATGAAAATGATGTATCGATTTATTAAGTACCAGGGGCGGGAAATAAATGGAACCCAAAAAATAGAGAAGTGGAAGGAAAGAAGGGGGTTTCAAGTCATATACAAACATTGGAATGCATCAGCCCGTATGATCGGCGATCAAGCCGAAGATCGGGGAATCAGCAGTATTTTACGAAAGATTGGCGCGAATAGATATCGGGCGATCATCTCCTTGACGAGAACGCGGGTCTAATTCAACGCGGCTAGTCGGTTAGTGCTGTTTACCTAGTTCGGACGGACACAGCGAGGGGTCAATACGTGTAACTGTGCGTCGACAAAGTACAAGGGGGGACCCACAGGTTCTTTTGGCAACACGAGTCGATCTGCACAAGAAAAATGAAAACACAAAAAAGAAATGAAATATCAATCCCTTGGATCTCTCTCGGATCGCTTCCTACCAATTGTAGCCCTCCGATCCGTGAAGATCGTGATCCCGGCTAGAAACTGGGATCTGCCGTCTTCATGCGCCATGCAAGATGAGATTCGGTAGATCTAGTTCGGTTCCCTACGCATTTTGACTCTATCCCCTTCTTTTCTTTTTTTATTCCCGGTGAGCTCGAGAAAACGGAACCCTGGGAGAAAAAAAAGGAAAATTGGGAAGAAAAAAAAAAAACAATTAAAATAATTTGACTCAATCGACACAAACTCGGATACGTGCGTCATCGGCCTTCTGCAGACCCTTCACGGCTTTGGACGTGGACTGGTCTTGATTCCAGGATCATTGGTCTTTGGCCAAAGTACAGTTGATAGAAAGTTGTCCTGTTCAATCCGAGGCTATATATAATGGCCGGTCCAGATACTTTGGGACTTTATTCATTCCATCATATCTGAACCACTTACCCAAACATCCAATTCGACCATCTGGACTTCTCAAGACAAGCATCAAGTGTCTCTCTACCTAGGAACTGTGATTCCTTATATCATTTGATTTGGGTGAATTTGTCGTCCTTGTTCCCTCCCTCCCAGTCCCACACACTGGACTTGATATCCGGTGATCGACGCGTCCAGTCCCTCGGGTCCCTTGAGTGTTTAGTGCGGTAGGTGACGGAGCCTCGGGTCCGGAGAGTATAGCTTATCTAACCTGGACCAGAACTTCTATCCCCTTGAAATACTTCCATCATGGCCAACCAGTGCTCCGGTCACATCTTCGCCATCGTTCAAGCGACGAATGGCAACATCCTGACATGGCGGTGCTCGGATTGCAACTCCGGACCCTTCGTGGCCATCTGGCGCTGCAAGATCTGTGGCCACTGTCGCTGCAATGCCTGCCACAATTCTAAGAATTAGAGCAGCAAAAAAGGTACGTTGCAACCTTGCACAGTTCCAGGAACCGGGATGTTGGAAGTAAACACACCGGTTCTCGGGATTCGATATGCTTGTAGCTCTTTATTCGTCGGCTAACCTTTTCTGCTTGTAGCGCTCTGCATGAAAAGTTTCAGCCTCTTGCATATCACCCAGACCTCAACCTCAGACCAGGGTATCCCATTGTCATTGTTGCGGCATTCTTTTCCTGGATTCGTTCTGATTTTGTTCTCTTGCTTTCCCATGGCTGCGTTTGGCGACGTGCATTTGATCAGTTCAAGGTTCTCCAAAAGTTCTCTCACCAAAAGTTTTGGGTGCATTGGATGGAGTTTTTCACTTTTTTTCTTCTCTCTTCTTTCTTCTGTCATAGATTATGCCTTGCTACAGTTTATTGATTTCGGTGTATTCGTTCGGTTTCTTCGTTCGGGAATTTGTCACGGATAGTCTTTAGTGCATTTAATGCGAACCAAGATCTCCATCTCCTCTGAATACTACAGACGGTCCAAACATTTGTAATAGTTCATCAAGTAATAATTGGCGATCATATAGCCCGAATTGCCATGTCATCATTGCTGCACAGGGTCATCGATTTCCAAGTTCAAAAAGTCCCAAATCGATCGAGTACCTTTGCCCACAGTAAGGACGCAGAGTCCGAATGCAGGGCTTATCCCTTGGTCCACGGAAGTACATCTCCGTTCGGGTCCGACCTACATGAATATATGCAGCTCTCAACTCCCGGCATGAACCCCTCCCCCCGACTCTAAAACTCAATTGTACAGCCATCCATCCGGACCACTCGGTCCAGCTTGCCATCCTTTTCCACTTTTCCCATACATGATCTCATTGGGCCCGAAATATCGGACCTACCTTACGCCATGCGGTACCCAACCAATACACACCCCATGGAAAAGGAATCCGCACCCTACAGCGCCGCCATCTCGTGGCGCTTGAGTAAAGTATTCCAAATCGACAGGTCAAAAACTGGGAATTTGAAAGGGAATCATTGAAAGTTCGGTCTCGCTCGCTTAACAAGATGTGGATTGTAAGCAAAGCAGTCGAGAAAGCGGCCCAAGGAACAAATCGTAATTAAGGATTTCCAGGGGCTTGGGTCCGCTTAACTCTAACTTACGTGTCCCCACTTCAACAAAAGCACCACGCAAGGACCATTTGGTGGCACACGGCGGTGGGATTGTGGAGGTCTGTGGGTCTGAAGAAAGTACTGACCCGGATGGCTGGGTTACCTGGTTACTGGTTACATGTACACTGGTCTATCATGCTTAGTTCATGCCGGCTAGTATAGATCGGGGAGCAATCATGACGATCGCGGGAAAATTAAAAAGGACCAACATAAGTACAAGAAAAATATCAAGCGAAAGCTTGACCATGACAAATATGAACCTCCACAGACGCTACTGGAAGGTACGTGGACTAGGAGAGTGATCATACGAAAAACTTGACAACCCTCACGGTGAGCATATGCGGGATATCGATCGTCGATAGTCGAGTGGGATGGGGGGGGGGGGGGAACACAAATACACGAAAACGAAAAACTGGGTCGCTACGTGTAGATGCTCTAGCGAAAGATGTTAGTCCCGAAAATACAACCCCACAGTAAGGCACCACCGAGGCGATCCGAGAAGACAGAAAAAAAAAAAAAAGAAAAAAAAAAAACAAATAGAAACTCAAATAACACAAATCAACTTACCTCCGTAATCTGGTTCACAGCCAATCCAGGCTCGGCCATCTCGGCCTCACACAAAAACTCCAAAGGCAGCCACACTAAGTGGCCTTTGATCCGATCGAGTTTTTCCCGCACCTCGGCAATAGGCATATATGGATCAAACAGATGACCCTGCTTGTGTGACCCACGCGGATAGAAATTATCGTAATCCTCGAAAGTCTTGATGTTGTCATCTGGGTCCGCACGGAATAGCACCCGATACGTCTCCGTGTTCACGGTAGCCTGTTCGGTCCAGGTATTCCAGACCGCATCACTGAGTGGGTCGGTGACAAAGTCGTTCTCAGGACCTTCGAGGATCTTATTGAGACATACGTTGGGGGGTTGGGCATTCGGCTCGTTAGCTGCATCGTAGTCTTGGGCCGGGAGAAGGCCGAGGTGTTCGCGCCAGAGTTGGCGGCGAAGTGTGGCTGCATGACGACCTGCGCGGTAGGGTTGACCGTTCATTTCGCTGTCGATGAAGTCCTGGTCTTCCATTACGATAGCGAGTTCACTATCATGGGAGCCAAGTTGGGACTAACGGGTTTAGATCAGTGCTAGGGACACAGAATGTGAATGATGGAACTTACTCGGTCGTTGATGTTGGCACTACCGCAGATAACGATGCGATCATCGACAATGCACACCTTGCCATGCACATATAGCTCTTCTTGTACGATATTGGGCTTTTCGGCCTCTGGGTCACCTTCCCAAAACTCATCGGACATCTTGCCACCATTCAGCATGGTGACATGAGCCACCGAGTCTCGGCTTGCATCGCCTTGCTTTTCCTTGTTGCGCTCAACTTCCTCCTCGAACTTCTCAAGCTTGCGCACCTTCTCTTCCTTCTGGGAGGGGTCGACGTCATAGCTCTTTTCGTTGCGATCGCCATCTTTGCCAACGGAGGGATGCACACTCTCACTCATGATAGACTCCGCGATACCACGCTGGATATCCTGGTATGTCACCCCGGCCTTGCTCTCAAGCTCCTCCAGTGCGGGGGTCTTGTTGATACGGTCATAAGCACGCAAAGCAAAGACGAAAATGTGCTCTGTACAGGGCAGTTAATATCCACATCAAAAGACCATGAGACAGAAAGACCTACCTTTGGGGTCCACGCCAGCCTTGGCGATTTGTCCCATGATCGAATCCTCGCCCCGACAGATCGATTTGTACTGGTAATCCATGATGGCTCTGGTACCTGATGCAGCATTATCACGTAGATCGCCTGCAAATCCGGGAATAGCAGGAATCACCAAAATGACGCGGAACTTACGGCCTTCCTTGCCAGCCCGAACAGCTGCATCAACAATGGCCGCGCCAATTTTGTTGTAGATGGGATGCTGATTGTCACCCGTAGCCGTGACTGCAAAAATCAGCTCTGATCAACAAACCATGTGAAAGATGGACATACTGAAGAACTGGTTCTCAATGTAGACGAAATGCTCCGCATTGCGAATAATCTCACAGTACGCATTCTGAATACTATGCTCATTCAGAATCCCACTGCTCCAGTCATCACTACTGCGCACCACCTGCGCTCGCACAGAGCCCTGATTGCCGCGTGGCTTAGTCGAAAGCGGTGTCAAAGGATGATGAATGTACTCGCCACAGGGATACTTGGGCCGCTGAACAGCAATGATATCTTCCTGCTCATCTTCTCGTCCCTCCATCAACAACCAATCCACATTCTCATTGCGCTTGTACTTATCGCGCTTGATGAAGTTCCAGCGGAGAACAAAGTGCTCGGCAATATCGTAGACGCAGTCGCCAATCAAGCCCATTGCCACATCATGCCACGGCATGCGGCCATACTCGGTTTTGCTCAATTCGTTATTCTGCCAGTCGTCCACGCTTTGGAAGTCCATGATGCGGTTGTTATTGAACTCCTGACCAGGGAAGATGTCATCTCTGAGACCGGCTGGGTGGACGTCGGCGAGTGGGTGCTGGTGGGCGTCCCAGCGACCAAAGCAGAGATCGATACCCCCAATGAATGCCATCGCATAGTCGATTACAATGAATTTCTCGTGGTGAGCCTGTGACATATTAGGATACGTTGATAGTGCGAAAGTTGGGTGCATACCCAGTAAAGTGTCATATCAGCACCATTCTCAAAGACATTATGGTCCGGGTGTCGTAGGACTCGAATATTGCCATGTCCGGGTGTACCCTCGGGACAGAGGTTACGCAATGCATATTTGGTATGTGCCGAATTACATGTCAGAGCTTGGTTGACCTGTACTTTTTTTTAGCCTGCATATCCTTTCTTGGAGACAATGATATTATACCTCTTTGTAGACGATCACATAGATCTTAACGCCCGCCTCCGCGCGTCTCTTCAAAATATGGTCTAATCGCCATTCCTGGTGATCCACAGGAGGACGGCGGAGGAATAATTCTGGCGACAACCACCAATCGGCAATGTATATAGTCTCGGTTGCTTTCTCCAGCGCCTCGGAGACAGCCCAGAGGTAATCCATACCATCAACATACCATTTTACCCGGTTATTCTCGTGGATGGGTGCGAAGGAGTGGAAGCGGTGGGATTCGGCGATTTCTGAGCGTTTCTTATCGGTGACTTGTTCATGCTCCTCATCGTGGCGGTGATTTGGGTTGACGATGTTGTAAAACTTGCCGACCTTGTGTTTTAAATGTGCTGCGGAGGCTTTGACGTCCTGGAGATTGTGGTCTGAAGAGGGGTTAGCGTGTAAAGCCCAGAACTTTGAACACCAGTGGGGAAAATCACCTTTAAACTTCCCCTCCAAGTTTTCAATTCCTTGCTCAAACTTATCCTTGAATCGATGCATAATTTGACGTGGCTGGGAAAGTCCGAAATCGCGGTGTGGGGAAAAGAGGGAGGAATGCAAGTGGAAAGGGAAATATCCAACTCCGCTTGGTGTGACATCACTGCAGCCCTATGGCCAGATCTCGGCGTCGCGTAAAAATACACTTGGCGTCGATCGTCATTTGATAGTGATGTGTAGGCGTGCTGATAACCATGGTAATTCAGGTGTTCCTGTGCCGTTCCAGCATTAAGAGGATTTGGATCCACTGTTGGTCCGTGGATGCCGAATGGGATGACGCCCGCCCAGTTTCTTCGTTCTTGGCGGGAGGGGTTATCCCAGTCAATTGGTTCCTTTTGAGATGGTATGTATGACAAAATTTCAATTTAGCTGGGTACAGTATCAATCAATTGTCGATCTGAGGAGTGGGGTCGGGGTCGGGGTCTCACGGTTTCTAAAGCAAAGGGCACCTGATGATCAACATGGCACTTGGTGGAGAAAGATGCATTAATTCTCCGATTCGAGACCATTGTGCAACCTGTCAATAGATTCCGATTCGCTGGTTCTCTCAAAGACATCTCTAGGCTCTCGGTAGCTCTAAAGATATTGGAAGCAAAGGTTTGATTGTGATTGGGAACTCAGTGAACGCCTGTTCTGAGCTGCGTGGTTTATACTCGGTCCCCTTTGAATTTGAGCGCCTGTTTTTCCTAAAATTGGCTTGAGATAAAAGTCATGGACATCCGTTGATGCATGCATTTGTCCCAAGAAGCATCCCGATTATCAAGTTGGTGTGTACTCGATTGATGCTATTTCAAACATTTTAATGTGTGAACGTTGACCGGGAACCTTTCGCGCAATGTTGTTCTGGGAGAATATATAGTTGGGATGATAATAATCAACCTCGCTAAATGCTACCCTTTAGTTTAAAAAGGGGTCTGAAATTCATCGGCAAAGTATTTAGAGCCTATTCAGAGCCCTCTAGGGCCTTGCACATAACAAATACATTGATGTGTTGTGACTTTTCTGGTTACATGTGTGGTTCTCGAGGGTATGACGTAGGGACAAGCAAGAATTGAGTCGACTCCTTGTGTGCCAATGCATCGGATACTAGCACCTCTTAAACCATAACATCATTTTCTGAGTGAAAAGTAAAAATAATAATAAAATAAAAAAAAAAAAAAATCAAAGCGCGATAAACTTGAATGCAGAACCCATACCTTGAGATCCAACATTGAGGAGTTCTAGGATCCCGATCTCGAGAGAACGGTCAGAATCGTCTCTGTAGGATATCAATGAGAATTTCAAAATAGAGCACTTGGCTGTCAGTTCCAATAGTCCTGACCCTGTTTTCTCTGTAACCTCCTGCATAGTTCGTGAAATGCTTTGTTTTTGTTTAGCGTGGAATGCTTACCTGATGGCCTCACGTGATGACCCAAACAACGTTGTCTGAGGAACGGCCTGCTCTGTTTATCCTCCCACGTCTCGACTACACCACGCGGCCAGCGATAGCCCTGCAAATTCGGGTCGGCTCTTGTGTGGGATCTTGCTGAAAGCACTGCTAGCCATTTGTTTAAGCTCAGTACCAGGTTTCTAAGTGGTCATCGTCGCTGTGTGTGTGGGTGTGCGTGTGCGCTGGTAAGAAATTCACACGCCTGTGTGCAGGAGCGGCCATCTCCCTGGTGACGGATCTCCTCCACTTTTTTTCGATTCACCAACCGGATTCAGAATGCCTTCTGAACTAGGTGAGAAAGCCTGAGCACACTCCACTCGATCGCTCTGGTTGTAAATGCTCATAAATCATGATAGTACGCGCCCCGTCGCAAGGCAGCGCGGTCTCGCAGACAACCCAGCACATGGGCCCTCATAGTCGCCCAGGGACGGCCGACCCCTTACGATCACGGTCGGAAACGCTTTCGCGAGGTGGCCGCCGAGCTCGGTCTCGAGGCTCGACTGCTAGTATTCATTCAAGTACAACCCAACAGACTCAAGACCAGCACATCGATGCATTCCCTCAATTCATGCCTTCCCAAGTCGCCAATTCCCAGAGCATGTTCGCCAACAACCCCGAAGACATGATCATGCGTTTTGGTCATCAGTTTGGTCATCCCGCCCACGGCGCATCCCTAGGTCAAGACATACGGGAAGCTCACGCCGTCATGTCTCGGTCTGAGGACTTTCCCACTCATGCTATGCATGGACACACACTCTCGCACCATTCTTTGACCCCAGACATGGCTCACAATGGGGTCGCTGGAGTCTCGGTTCCTCAATATCAAACCATGTATGACAGTGGAATCGAAAACCACCTGCCAGAGCAAACCTTGGAAGAGCCAGACATCTCTGAGCAAGGCGGGAAAAAGAAAAGAGGATCTAGCTCCACGTTGGCAAATGACAATGAGCTGCGTAAATTGCTCCGTCAATACGAAGGTTGGTCGTTGAAGCAAATGGCTGCTGAGGTCATGAAACACGAAGGTGCTGGCGGCAAAGCAGAGAAAGTGAAGCAGGTATTCGCCATGATCTGGTAGGACACCCACCATTATTTCTTCTCTAATGGACTTTGGCTCACTATGTCCCCCGTCAATAGGTTGCGAGAAAACTGTCGGAAGAGTTCTGGGTCTGTAAGACGAGATCGTGTCTATTGCTGCTATGCAGAAAACTGTGGAACAGAACGTGTGTCGGTATTGAATCCGGCCTCATTTGGTAAATTGGTGCGAATCATCTTCCCGAACGTCCAAACACGACGTCTTGGAGTTCGTGGGGAATCCAAGTATCATTACGTCGATTTGTCGGTCATTGAGGAGAAGCAGCAAAAGCCGGCACCAGTGAACGCGCAAGTTGTACCTAGTCAACGTGGATCTGTAGCTCCAGAGAGGCCTGCAAGCGCGATGCGTTCAAGAAGGTACGTTGACACGTCTGACACTTCCACGCTAAGTTTCATCAACGCTAACACGTCCCTCAGTATCAGCATCTCCCAGCCCACAGCCGATTCTGCGGTCTTTCCCTCCCCTACTACTTCTTTTGCTCCCCGATACCCCGTCAATCCTCCAATGGCAAGCTGCGGCTGCCCATCTGATACCCAGCCAACCTTGTCTGGCCCAGATGCCACTGTTACGCATGAAAATGTTGCCCAACACGCCGGCCGGATCATTCATCAGATGCTGCAGTTCCCAACTGATGAAGCCCCGGTTGACAATGACACCCTCAATCTTCCTGACATCCGTGGTCATTTGCCTGCCAATACCGATCTCAAGGTGGCAGATGCTCTTGCGGCCCTTTACCGAACTCACTGTATCTCAGTAATCGACAGCTTCCGGTTCTGTAAGGAACGCAACCTCATGAAATACTTCTCTGCGTTCCATGGCACTTTGACCGTTCCTGTGCAAAAGCTTTTGACTCATCCCAACCTTGCCCCTTGGATCAAGGAATGTGACTGGTTGATGTACCAGAAGATGATTCCATTCGTCGCACCTCTCACAACGCAGGTTGTGCCTAAGCCTGTTTTGGATGCATTCCGCTCCATCTCGCAGCGTCTTTGTGGCCATATTGCGGAAACCTTCAAAACACAACCAACCCACGTATCTATTGCCCGCTTGATCCCGGCCCATATCTTTTGTAACCTGCTCAAACACATGCTTGACGTCAACCAGGCTGCGAACGCTGCTGCTGCCTGGCTCTGCCACCCTGAAAACCGCAATCAGATGTGGGCCGATTTCAAGTCCCTTGTGGATCCACAGGAAATGATCACCAAGGCCAATGTTCCTGCTTGCGCTGCCCGCGCTACAGAACAAATCCTCAAACACGATGTTCGAGCTCTTCTCACCCCGGTCACGGATGTTGACCCCACCGATACCTTGCCTTTCTACCGCAAACCAGATACTGCCGAAGACATTGAAGCTCACCGATTGCCTGCGGAAAACGCACCTGGTGACGAGTACAATTTCCCCGACAAATGGATTCAGTTCATTCTCAACATCCCGGCTGTCTTTGCGAACCATCGCTCCCAGTGCGTCATTGCAAAGGTTGACGCATTGTGGGAAAATATTCTACACCGGTTGACTCTGGGTGGTGCTGCTAGTTTCAGTGCTTGGTGGATGACAAAAGTCTTCTTCCACGAGATGATGCTCTGGCAGGCAGAGAAGGGTGGCTTCATGCGTAGCAATCCGGCTTCTCTGCAAAGTGTTACCGCTGCCCCCGAGCCTATGGGAATGGAAAATTTTCAGCTGAAGCAGAACCTTGGATCCGGCCGCAACTCTTTTGACGGCAATCACCCGCGTGGATCCCCCTCGGGCCCCCAAGATGGTGTGCAGGGCCGCACCCGTGATGACCATGTCGACCACAAGCATGCTCCTAGTGAAAAAGAGCTAGCACTGACAGACTCGGGCTTCCAAGCTCCCAACAATGACGACAGTGCGATTGACCTTGAGGATGATCCGATGTTGATTGCAGTGGGTAAATACGGCGACATAATGGCTTCCGACCCCGCGGACGCCGAAGGTGATGTGGTTGTCATCTAAGTTTTTGCTTTCTACATTGTGACGTTTGCCTTTTGAGGCTCGGAGTTGAGATATCCCGGTGTAACTATTTCTTATGTTCTTTTTCATTTGTTTTACGAAAGGCTTTCCTTTGTCACGGCGGAACGGCGTTTTGACTGTTCTGCATGAAGAGATGAGACACGAGATGGGCGCCAAGGTCTTGCTTGCGAGACTGCCAAAGGTGCCCGAGGTCCATACAAGCATTTAATCGGCGTGGGGAAATCCTCGGCTTAATTCTTGCTTTTGCATTTTCTTCCCTTTTGTCTACTTTTTTTTTGGCCTGCCCTTTTCCTAATAAGGCTGTACATATGCTCCTACACGCTTTGGATCGTGTTGAGTGGAGGCAACTTGAGGTGACGATATACGTTTGTTCAATTCCTTGCGAGGACATCACAACATACTTAACATCTTTAGTCAGACTACTTAAAGTAACTGTACATAAGGTAGACTGGAAAGGAACCTGGGATGGCCCCAATGACCCAATCGGGCTACCAAGACCGCAGTGGAGCTCGGAGATTTTGGTACGCGTAATCAATCTCCGAGATGATAATCACTCACCTCCGATTTCATCAATCGACATCTCTCGCTTTTTGCGAAACATACATATTAAGGGAGCCCACAAAATGCGGCCACATCAAACCTGGGTTGGGACGCTGCCCCTGCTGACCTGTCTCTCTACCCCAACTTTGGCTACCAAAGACGTCGAGATCTTAGAAAATGCTAATCACATCTTCAACGCCATCCAGTCGACATTGAGACACCACGGATCGGAGATCAACTACAACGGCATGTCGTTTTACCGAGCCAGCGTGCCAAAAGGAACTCAATTTTACCACGGCACCGGTCTGAAAGACTCAATTCAAGGACTTGAGTGGCTGGCTTTCGAGCCCGAGCACTCCCTAGGCTTTGCCCACTGCAGTGGCAACAAGTTCGCAAAGAAGGACTTACAGCAGCCCCTCGACGACTATACAGCACCAGAATGGGATGGAAACGGGTATCTTCATACCTATGCCGCTGCCAAGGATTTGCGCTTGCTGTACATCGATGGGATGTCGGCTGGGCCAGGAGGTGGAGCAGAATCCCAGGATCGCATTCTATACAACAACACCATCACTGGTGAGCTGCCGATAGATGGCCCCAAAATTGGAGGACCGCCCCAAGAGCAGCAGCGGGCGATCGAGGCTTGCCGCATGGCGAAGGAGGACTGGGGTGACAAGATCGATGGCATTGTACGCACCGAAGGTGATTTTGAAATCATTCTCTGTAACTTTGAGCGCGACCTTGAAGTGGTGCATATCATTCAGACGAAGCCCCAAGAGAATTCGGGTCGTCCAGGTGGACCTGGTGGGCCTGGAGGTGGAAAAGGACGAAAGGGTCAGCATGGTGGTGGTCCTGGCGGACCCCCCGGAGGACCTCGGTCAGGTATCAAGTACTGGTCCTTGGCTACCAGATTCGATGAACGCCTAGGAAAGAAAGTGAGAATAGACTTGGACAACTTCGTTTCAGCTTATACTTATGGCCTTGACCTCTTTCCTAACAATGCCACTGTTCCGAAAGTGGGCCATATACCAGTTGAAGAGTTGCACCCCATTCGACAGGACGTCTACAAACTGCTCAACACCTGGGATTCACCTATCGATACATTCGATTGGCAGGCTGTGGCCGATATGATTGTTTTCCAGTATTCCGATGAGCTGAAAAACCTGGCTGCAGGAACCTATTCGTCGGCGGAAGAGCTGCGAGATCACCTCGAGAAGCTGTTGGAGCCTTTCATCGATTACCGCGACTTTGATAACGGTGAGGTCATTATCAACCGCTGTGCCGGTGAATGGATTCCTCTTTCGGCTCCCGTTGGCTCACTGGGTGGCAATGCTGTACGATCCATCGCCCGATCGGTCTGCTCTACCTTGGTTTCCGCGATGATGGATGATGAAAAAGACCTAGAGGTTTTAATTACGAGCTTCAAAGACCTAATCATCTACCTTCAATGGACGACCTGGGCAGCGGATGCATAATTCAATCTTTGAATATAGATTGTATACCTGTTTATATCAAATTTCATTTGCTCGAAAGATATTACATACACTGTCAACGAAGAACTATGCCGTAATCTCCTTGGCCCAGCGACCGATTGTGAACTGGGAGTTACACATGTTGGTCAGTTCCCAGCTCTCCGCGGCCAATACGGCTGGCGTATTCTGGTCTTCAGGATCACCTGCCGCACCCGCAACAAACATTGCCGCCATGAAATGATCATCGGTGGCATGAGCGTCCCTAAAGCGAGGATGCTTCATCAGCCGCGTCATGGCAGCACGAAGCTGCGGTCCTGATGTTTTCGTAATGACATCCTCCACAGCCTGTCGAAACTCCATTGCCCAATCCTCCGGTGGTGTCTCCATGGCAAAGTTATCCCGGAACCGAAGCATAGGGGCCCAGCGATTGCGATACAAGTTGTGAACTGCACCTCCCGTCCCGATGAGCAGATAATTCTCCCGACGGAGCGGTCGTAGTGTAGCCCCCATCTTCATATGGAAATGCGGATCATACCGGGCGTTCATCGAGATCAGGGTTGTGGGTGGGCAGCCCGCAGGGAACATGCGGATGAGAATCAAATAGACGTCGTGAATCCAGTCAAACTTGGGGTTTCCGCCGACATTGTATCCCTCCTTGGCGAGCATCTTGATGCATCGGTCGGTTGTTTCCAGATCAGGGTTGAGCTGATAGTTGACGTACTTTTCCGGTTTCACATAAGCGACCGGGCTTTTTTCGGGATTTGGGTTGGTTGACAGCTCGATCCTGTCACCGAGGCAGTCCCAATGCGCGCCCTATTCCGATTGTCAGTCTATTGATTGATGATAACTGTCATGGCTAGTTGTACCATAATCACGACGCCCCTGATACCCTGCGCCAACGCTTCATCTCCGCATTTCTTCCAATAGTCGGCACTTTCGGACTCTTCTCCCAGCATCATGGTTGAGCCATGGGAGAAGAAATGTACTGGTGTGAGACCTGTCAAAGTGAGTTTGAAAGTTCATATCAATGGGAACCGTGACTGACCCATGTCGTCTGTAAAACCTGCAGAACTATTTCACAAAAATTGCCATAAAGAATCGACCCTATCCAGGCACTATATCACCCTGCGCCCACCGGAACACCAGATTGGCCCCTGTTCTCCGATTCGAACTTCCGTTGGACGGTCGGATGTCGTCCCCCACATCCCGAAAATGTCATGCGGGGATCCCAGGGATTAGGGGTTGCGTAATCCCCAGAATATTGAGTTGGACTCTATGCCCCTTTTGAAGCGAAGTGAGGGGTGAGGACCAGAAGTGGGCTTACCCAGCCGGCCACCCAGACGAATCAATAATGGTCTTCAACGACCATAATCTGGGGAACATCCAAGTGTGGGGTCGCAACTTCATGGCACTTGCAAGGAAACACGGAGATTGGTGAAAATCGCCTCGACTAAGCGAGAGATGGAAATGATCGGCAATTCATGTTGACAAGCTTGATGGAGCTATGAGTGCCTTGGTAGTAGTGTCTTGTGGCAAGACCCCATGATCTCCGTGAACTGCCGACTTCCCCAGATTTCCGCCTTCGCCTTCTGTCAATTTTCCCCTCCACCATCAACAACAGATGATCGGGGATAACAATGTTCAATGAGTCTCCGACCACTGACCAGCTGAACACCGCCCAATCCCCAACCAAATCCAAGGATGGAGGCTATTTTCAGTGCGGGTTCTGTAAACGCCACTACAATCGAGCGGATCACTTAATCCGCCATGTTCGATCGCATACAAGGGAGAAGCCATATATTTGCGATGTTTGCGATAAGGGTTTTGCCCGGCCGTAAGTGGTGCCCGGATTGCATTCGCGACACGTCACTGATAACCATGGAGGGATCTTCTAAAAAGGCATGCAGCGGGGCATGCACACGATAGGGATCGCAAGCGCAAAAGAAGCTCGTCAGTTGCGAAGCAAAGTCGAGTGTCACAGGCTTGCAAAGCATGCGCTTCGTCAAAGCTCAAATGCGACGAAACCAAACCGTGTAAACGGTGTCGCGAACGGAATCTGCATTGTGACTGGCAGGATGTCGTGCAAGACTCGTCTCCGGAGCCATCGCAGCACAATGATGAATTGGAGAGACTGTCGACTCTGCCGGTCGATTTAACCGCCACTGTGGCTTTCTCACCGATGCCGACCCCGATGGATGATTTCCCACCCACTAATGCCATCCTCATGACCCCACAAGGAAATGCGCCTGACCAGGTCCTCGACCCGGCGCTTGATTCGGTCCTTTCGCCAGGGGTGCCAGTGAATGGCCCGACTCAAATTGAATATGGTGGTATGTAGCGTTTTGACAAATCACGAGGACTCGCTGACAGCAATAGTTTCACCCACGGACCAAGAAAGTGGCATTTTCAGCGTGGACGGCACCTTTTTTCCAAATTTCTTCCCCGACTCGTTCATATCCTCGCTTGGTCGATATAACGACCCATTTGATCCGTCCAGCCTGATCCCCGAGTTCACACCTTATGGTGCACTAGAAAATCCGGCTCTGGATTTCAGTTTGACGGATGGTGACTTCGGTCTTATTGACATGTATAATGCCGGAAGTTCAATGCCGAGGAACGAAAACGATCAACAGGACCGTTTCGATGCCGACAGTGGTATTGGTATTGGAGCGGCGGCTTACCACCGGTCGTCGTTGTCGGCATGGAAACCTCTCCAGGAAGACCGTGCATTCATCGATCACGAGAACCTGTCGGTTCCCAAGGCCATCGATAGCCCCGAAATCAATCTTGCCGACCGACAAACATTATGCGAGCGGCTTTCCTCGAGCAGCCGAGACCAGATTTTTGGTCTGGTGCTTGAAATCAGCCGCGAGACCAACTTGAATCGAATTATGAAGTCCTTTCCAAGCACAGAATTATTGGATGGGTTAATTCAACAGTTCTTCGACAATCAGAGTCGCAACGTGGACTCTTTCATCCACGCACCAACTTTTCGGCCAAGCGCTGAACATGCAAGTATCCTTGCGGCCCTGGCTGCTTCGGGAGCCGTGCACTCACCCATTCATACCATACGCAAACTTGGCTATGCTTTACTGGAGGTTGTGCGACTGTACATGCCCACGAAGGTATGTCATTTCCACCCTCGAATTGGACTCGATATTAACAGCCACTAGTATGAAAAGGATAATATTGCCACACGGGACCTACGTACATCACAGACATATGCGTTGACTATCGACATTGGAGTCTGGAGTGGCAATCGGCGAAAGACTGAAATTGCAGAAAGCTTTTCTCAACCGTTGATCACCATGCTCCGTCGCGGATTGAGATTTCGTCGGTCGGTCTATACAACTATCATTCCTCTGGCAGAAGATACGGATGATATACTGGAGCGTAAATGGCACGAATGGATCGAGCAAGAATCCTTCAAAAGGTAAATACTCCAGGGTTCTGTCCGTGACCACTTCTAACCACGACTAGACTTGTTTATCATCTTTTCCTCCACGATTCCCAGACCGCGGTCACTCTTAACGTCAATCCTCTAATATCCTATGCCGACCTGGAGCTCCCCTTGCCAGCAGCGAGGTCATTATGGGAAGCCAAAACGGCTGGCGAGTGGAGACAGCTGTATCCTGCCCATGGGCCTGTGCGTGTACCGTCATTAACAGAGCTTCTACGCGACATGTCGCAGTTGTCAGTATTCCAGGATCGCATCGACACACAACTTGCCGCTTTAGTCCTACTTCATGGTCTCTCGGCCCTGATCAACGAATACCACCGACTAAAGTTCATCTCAACCAGTAACTCGAAGCATTGGCATGCTCTTGTGACCAATTCCCGCCAACAAGAGCTGGACCAAGCCCTCCAACACTTTCGCATGGTGTGCTCGGAGTTGTGTGTTCCATGCCGGCCTGAGATCATCTTGGTATGTGAGGTCGTCTCGATGCTCTTACACATGTCGCTGGAAGAGCTTCAACTATTCGCAGGCAAGGAAGACAAACAAGAGGCACATCGTGTGTATCAATCTGCCCTCGAGTGGATAGCCAGTGCCGATTCCCGCCGAGCCATCTGGCATGCCGGCCAAACCATCCGTATTTCTCGTCAAATGCCCCCCAGCTCATTGACCGGGTTCTTCGCCATTGGGGTATTCTACGCTAGCCTGGCATTCTGGTCTTATGGCGTGGTATCCAGAGCAAAGAATACCCGACTCCTGGGGAGCCCCGTTTCCCAACTTCCTAGTCAAGGCCCCACAGTCTTCCTTGACGGAGAGGAGGTGGCGGATGTGTCCAAGTTCGTCACGCTGGGCTGTGGTCATCCGGCGTTACAAGGACCGAGTGAAACCGTCTTCCTATCGGACTCTAGGTCCGTCATGCAGATTGGACAGAGAGCTCTGCGAGCAGATATCTCAGAGAGCACACCACCCCTGGTGCAGAGTTTGGCTCAGTTAATGAGCGATCTGGGAAACTGTGTCCTTGTGGGGTCTTAGCAAGCATGATTCAATGTAAAATACGAACATCTCAACGTGATACCCATGATTATGATTGAAAAGTCTCCAAGATATCAAGTATATTCTTCAAATCGGGACTCTTGTATCTCCTGGCATTCATCTGCCATTAACAACCACCTGTAGCACTACTGCCCACACATACTTCTCCGGTGCAATCAAACCCAAATGTTCCCTCAACATTTCCACATAGATACTCATCAACCTGAGTATTATTGTTGAATGTCAGATCAGCACCAGCAATTGTAATATTCTCACATGGCTCTACAGCAGAACATTGCAAAGTAGCCACCTCACCACTCGACGAAGTCCCCACAATGTCCTTCAAAACAATATCCAGCAATTGAAACTTTGATGACGTGCAATTCCCTGAAGCACCGGAAAAGGTCGTACACTGTGAGATTGCAAAAGCCGGACCCCGCAGCCCCGTAGCAGAGAGATCCTCAAATATCATATCGGAGGCATCTATAGACAATTAGCACTCGTCTTGTTCATCCTTTTTGATCAGTTCACTTACGACCCAGCCCCCCGCCACCCCCATTAGGCGGATACCCAACCTGCTCTCCAGTCCAAGTCTTCACATAAGCAGCATGCAGCGTATTATCATACGTGATGTTCCTGACCATAACCCGCTGGACAGTCTCATAGACGTCCTTATACTGTCCAATACTCCCAATGGCGACCCCGAGACCATTGTAAAAAGTACAATCCTCGATCAGGATATTAGTTGAATTAGCCTTGAGACTTATACTGTCGTCTCCGTTGATGACTTCCCAGTTTCGGAATGTGATATCTGAACTGTAGATTGTGTCTGCGCCATCAGTGTTGTGGGCTGTCCCGCTTTCTCCAGTATTATTGACGTAAATATTTGTAAAGGATGTTCGTTGGGAGTGGATTATGGAGAGTGTCCTAGTGAGGCTCTCAGTATCAGAATTGACTGGACTGCTCAGCGTGTATCTTACCACATCTGACTCCGAACAAACCGCAACCCGTCAAAGATCGAATCCATGGCCGATACAGTCATAGCATGCGGCCGACGTGGATAATTAGATACGGAGCCGACGAAATCATACCATGCTTGTCCGTTCCCGTCCAGAGTCCCATATCCATGTCCATAGAAACGAAGATTCTTGCCTCCGATTACCCACGCGGTACTTTGATTCTGGTATCCGACTGGCAAGGAGTTGTTAAGCCAGTATGAAATATTTGTGCTCCACTGCACACGATCAAAACATAAGATACTCAAGGTCTAGTTCGACTGTGATTCATGCCAAGACTTACCAGGAGCGTGCCCTGAAGATCGACTTCGCAGTCTTGTAGTCCAGTCGTATTCATCACACTCTGGATGTGGTAGGTTGTGTTTGTGAATATGATTTTTCCGCCACGTCCACATTTACTGAAGGCGTCTAGAATAGCGGGCGTGTCGTCTATACTCGTAGAGCCTGCTGCGGGTACAGTGCAGACCTTGGGAGATTCTCTTGGCAGTGCAGCAGCCAGGGAGATCCCCGTTGCTGCTAGAAATTGGAGTAGAACTCGTGGAAGATACATGATAGGATGCTCGTGGCCTCCAATGAGCCCAGACACGCCATTTGGTTTAAATAAGACTTGTTCTTCACAGTAGATTAATAGCTACTCTATTTGTGGAAATTTAATGTGCGTGATCGACATGAGACATAAGGAAAGAGAATGCGGGGAAGGGATTCGGTGTAATGAACAGCGAACAACTAAAAGAACAAATTTACGTTATGGCTGTTATATGCAAAAATTTGATTAGAATGATTTTCTTGCAATGCTCCTCATCGACGGAGTAGTGCGGCGTGGCTTTGGGCAACCAATTCGGAATCTTTCATTTCATGAACGAATGAGACAGGAAGCGGAATTGAACGATCGTATGTATCTGTAAGGATGTTACCTACAAAAGGGACTATTGCAATACAGATGGTGTGACAGGAGCTTGGGTCAATGGTGGGAATCATGCTGAAGATGGATGTGGCGGTGGCTAAATTTATAGGGCACTTACATCAGCCCGATATAAATCCACACGGCGAAAGGGTCGGACAGATGTCCGAATCACATCGGAGTTCTGCTTTTTTATGTTTGTGAAGCAATTCGGGTCGCAGAACAAACCAGGCCCCCCACATACCGAGGCGTGGTCTCCACGCTCATCCGAATATGCGGGGTTCGAATGGATCGGAATCGGTACCGAGGCCGATTGCGACAAGCTTCAGGCGCGTCACGAGTCGCGTTTGGGATTCATTATAAAAGTGGAAAGAGCAGAAGAAGACCAAAAGACATGAACTGTACTCACCATGGCCCTCAAGCTTAAGCAACGAAATGGGTCGGCATCTGCCTCCGCACCCAAGGTGGACACGACTGCAATCGTGCGGAGTGTCATTGATGACATCCGTGCAACCGGTGACCAAGGTGTGAGAAAGTATTCAGAGAAGTTTGACAAATGGAGTCCCGCTAGCTTCAAGCTTTCACAGAAAGACATCCAGTCGATCATCTCCACTGTGCCGCAACAGATCATCGATGATATCAAGAAGGTGCAGGAGAATGTTCGAACATTTGCACTGGCTCAACGGGCCTGCATTAAGGATTTGGAGATGGAGATCCGACCTGGCGTGTATCTGGGCCACAAGAATGTCCCAATAAACTCCGTTGGAGCGTGAGTACCACGGATCCCAGTGAGATTAGCCATGCTAATGATGGGCAGTTATATCCCCGGTGGTCGCTATCCCCTCCTCGCCTCAGCCCATATGACTATCCTCACTGCAAAATGCGCCGGAGTCCCCCATGTCACTGCGTGCACGCCTCCAATCGCTGGAAAGATACCTGCCAACACAATTGCTGCAATGTTCTTCGCAGGCGCGGATGATATTTATGTCTTGGGGGGCGTCCAGGCCGTCGCATCGATGGCCATCGGAACCGAGACAATGAAGAAGGTGGATTTCATCGCTGGACCCGGGAACGCTTTCGTCGCCGAAGCCAAGCGCCAGCTTTTCGGCGAGGAAATCGGCATCGACCTTCCAGCTGGGCCAACCGAGATCCTGATCGTCGGTGACGAGCACGCCGATCCATTCATTCTAGCCACCGATCTCCTCTCTCAAGCCGAGCACGGCCCTGATTCCCCGGCCGTCCTGATAACCAACTCCAAGGCAGTCGGCGAGAAGACCATCGCAGAAGTCGATCGTCTGCTAAAGATTCTCCCCACAGCCGACATCGCAGCTGTGTCCTGGGATCGTCTCGGCGAGGTCCTTGTTGTAGACAACCTAGATGAGGCATACAAGCTCGCAGATGAGTACGCATACGAGCACGTCCAAATCCTCACCCAGACCCCGCGCGAGGCTCTGGGAAAGATGTCGAACTATGGAGCATTGTTCCTGGGTGAGAAGACCTGCGTATCATACGGTGATAAGTGCATCGGAACCAACCACGTCCTCCCCACTCGAGGTGCCGCCAGGTACACGGGCGGTCTGTGGGTTGGCAAGTACCTGAAAACCGTTACGTACCAAGAAGTCACCTCCGAGCAGGAAAGTGGCGAGCTTGGTCGTCTGTGTGGTCGCTCTGCACGTGCGGAGAACTTCGAAGGTCATGCTCGCTCTGGTGATGCCCGTGCTCATCAGTATTTGGGGGATCAATTTGATTGGATCTAGTATAGCTTATCACTTACGCGTAGCTTCATGCATGCATGAGTCAAGCGAGAAAAATTATGCTTCTATTTTGCCTAAATATCTCTTTTACGCGATCTAGTAATGATAAGAGCTGAACGGAGACTGTTTTCCGAATTAAAAATCTGTCGTGGCGGTTTGGCTCCACTTGCACCCAATGAACACCCAGCCTGACAGTTTTCTTTACCGTTTTAGCTTTCATTTCTTTCTATCATTTACTTGTCTTTTTAGAATGAAAGCGGGTTCCCGATTCCTTATTCCTGAAACACGATCAATGAACTTGCCATAAATACGCAGAACCCCCGGATTCGCCTGAGTTCCTCATCGCAACTATGGCACCAACCGTGGATGCAGGTGGAGACTCCAAAACGGGTGTCTACACTCAATATGATGACCTGGGATCTACTGCTGCGAACACAAGAGCCAATTCCATGCTCTCACTCTCCACCATGGATTCTACCAGAAGGAATTCTGAGCATACTCAAAATGTCGAGTTGCACACGGTCCCCACTAGACCCCGCGGGAACTCTCATATGGGTGAAGCACTGGAGAATTTGTCTCGGACAATGTCGAGCATGCCAGAGCAAGAAGGGCATCTCGACCTCGGCGTCGTGCAGTCCCGCCGCTCAATTAAGCACATGCCCGGTCTGGCAGAAGAAGCCGGATCACCGGCTCTTCAGAAACATCAGGGCGTCCCACCTGAACTAGGCAATCTAACCTCCGAGCTGATATTTGTGTTCGTCTGCTCAGCTGGATTGATGTTTTTCGCTTTCTTGCTTGGTGATATCACGGTGAACCAGATCGCCCTTAGGCGCGCATTGGGAATCACCAATAGTGAGCTTCCATGGCTGCTGGGTGCCTATACGCTTCCATTGAGTCTTTCAGTGATTATCTCTGGTTCGTTAACTGACCTGACCCCCCCCGAGGATGATCATGGTCGGTGCGTTCGCCTGGTTGACCATTTGGAATATCGTTGGCGTTTGGTCGATCAGTCCGGAGAAGGTGATTCTCTTCTACATTGTCCGCGCAATGCAGGGTCTTGCGATCGGAGTGCTGGTCTCCGGATCAATGAGCATTCTTGGTCGAATTTATAAGCCCGGTCTGCGGAAGAACAAAGTTTTCTCCGCAATGTCCGCCACCTCACCATTTGGTTTCTGGCTAGGTGGAATCCAGGGTGGAGCGTTCAAATCCTGCCTATATTGGATTTTCGGATCCAATGCGATCATATCGGGAATGTGTTTGGTAGCCGCCTACATGGTCATTCCACCTCTTCGTCCGATGGCCGATATTGCAGGCACAGAGGCTCCTTCAATTCGGCACTTCGACTTCCTTGGAGCAGGAGTTGCTGTCACGGGCTGCGTTTGCCTGCTTTTCGGCCTTACACAAGGAGCCGTCGTCGAGTGGTCCCCATACACATACGCACTGGTGATAATAGGGATCCTCCTATTAATTGGCTTTTTCTTCGTCGAATGCTGGGTCGAACGCCCCTTAGTCCCCAATCGACTATGGAAGACGAAGGGATTTACACCACTCATGATCGCCTATTTCCTAGGATACGGTGCTTTCTCTGGCTGCTGGCAATTCTACGCTATTCAGTTTTTGCTTCGAATCCAGGGACACAGTCCACTTACCTGCGCCCTCTATCTCCTCCCGAATGCTATCGTTGGGGTACTTGCAACGTGGGTGGTGAGCAAGACTCTTCACATCGTCCCGGGCCATTATATCTATTTCACCGCCATGATCGCCTTTGCACTGGGTCCAGCCTTCTTCCTCCCACAAAACGCTGGTACAAGTTATTGGCCGCTTTCCTTTCCGGGCATTGCGCTCGTCACTTTTGGACCTGATCTATCATTTGCGGCCGCATCTATCTACATAACGAGTAATGTGCGTCGTTCCTACCAAGGAAGTGCTGGTAGTCTGCTTGTCACGATGCAGAACTTGAGTAATGCTGTTATGACGGCTGTTGGAGATGCTATTGGGAATAAAGTTGCCAGGGATGCATCTGGTAGCATTGATTTGGAGGGGCTTCGAGCTGTCTGGTGGTTTGCATTGGCGGCCGAGGTTGTTGCTGCTCTTATCACTTTGATTTGGGTGCGGATTCCAAAGGAAGAGGAGAAGGAGCATGTTACTTAAGACTTCGGGTATAAATTGTAGACGAGATAGATGGATTTCGGGGCTTCGATAATTTTTACCACGAATAAGGCCATTACGAAATTGCAAAAATTGCACCTATGATCCGGAAAGGACATTCAGTATCATCAGGGCCCATACGAGTGAAAACTTTGAATTATTACCAAATACAGTCTCAGTAAGCACGGTACAGTCTGCAAATAACATTTCAGACTCAAAAAGTGGATCTCCGCTGATATCATTGGTTCATATCTCGATGATATCTCCTGTGAAGCCTTTCTTAGTGCTATCGCCAGTACACATTCCAAGGATATACATTTCTTCGTTATTGTCATGAACCTAATCTAAACATATCGAAAAATTAATTTTTCTCCCCGTTTCGCCCGCCAAGCATTCGTGGAATTCATCAACTCCGGACACCCCCTTACGACCCACTGCCACTTCTTCAAAAACGCCTCCGTGAGTTCCCAATTCCTGACGTCCCAGGGATCACCCCATACTAGAAGTCCCACATCTTCTGACGAAGCATTAGTCCAGAATCCCATAATTTCCAAGCACAATTCCTCGTCGTTCCACTCATCTCCCGCTTGAATCAGGTTATCCCGCATCTTGGGTATAGGGAAGAAATCCAGCCAAGGGTGATGAGGAATCGTTCGTTGGACTTTAGTCGGTTGGAGACTAACAGGCAAATCGTTCACCATAGATTGGTCTGGCGACGATCCCCCTATTTCGGGAGGTGGAGAAGGTAGGATTGTATTGAAGACTGAGATTGCGTCATCGTTCATCTCATCCAAGTCCGTCCCGATTAATCGCATATTGTGTCCGAATGCACGGAACACGTTGAGTTTCGAGAGCGTCAACAGGTGATCCGGAGCAGGAGAACCGAGTATATAGCTTTGGTAGGCCGCTTTTGCGAATTGGTCAAGGAGTAGGTCTCGTGTGTGAGGCGATATGCATCTCCGCGCCTTGATTTCCTGACCGAATGGGATGTCTGAGTGGATTGATGATGGGGGTGTTGGGTAAGAAGCCACCAGACTTTTAGGATGGATGTCTTTATCTTTAGCTTGGATGCGCTGGCGCCTTCCTGTGTTGGGTTAACTTTGGGTTGTGTTGTGCAGTGCAGTGTTGGTGAACGTACGGTGGGCCCGCTGATTAATTCGATTTTGGCGTCTTCGGCGTTCTATCGGGTCAATAGTGTCTGACCAATCATCTGTTCTCTCTTCGCCTGCAGGAACGATCGTGGATTGTGGGGATTCATCCATTGTATCTGGTTGTGAGGTTGTTGTGTCGGCAGTTTGAGGAAGGATGAGGAAGGCAAGTCTGGCTTGACGAGAACAATCGAATTATTTGCCAATCAAATCCTCGGCCGACGACCCATGCGGATCCGGAGGATTCGGAGTTACGGAGATCACGGGTACAGGTATTGTCACAAAATGTATGATACCATTGTTTCTATTATCCATTCGCTTTCAATCATACATTCTTCAATGCGCTTGGTGAGCATGATATCAACATAACTTTCCAAATTGATCTATACAATGCTATCGACAGAGAGAAAGCTTTAAGTTTACTCCCCAGTAAGCTGTGCAACCATCTTTTCATATCTCTCTTTACAAGCGATTCGCCACTGCTTCCCTAACCAGATCACCGGAATGAATAGAAGATGAATCAGGAATGCAAGGTATCTAGTCAAGATGAAAGTGCTCTCTAGCCACAGTTCTAAATCAGCGAGCCCAATTCATAAATAATAATGATGACGAACATGTACTGGGCAAATTCACACTTACCAACGCATTTCCGATGATCTCATGATTGTCAGCACAAAACTTGATTTCGACATGTAGTCATATAGGAAACTGACCTTCGAGTAGGACTATATCAGAAAAATAACGAATTCAGGAGAAGCAATGCCGTGCTGAAGCCATAAACGCCGGATCCAATACACGGCAAAATCCACGGCACACCCTCCACGGTATTGTTAGTGATAATTTATTCCCGAAGTCTCGTAAAACAGCCTGCCAGACTGTGGTAATAAAGACACAAAGCGCCGTCAAAGATCTAAACAGATTCGCGGCTCAATTCCAGCCCCAATGGAATCAGTATAATTGTATCTATGTCAATTGAGGCACAGAGCACGGCGTATTGATCAATAAGCTCGGGGTAAGTGATGCCTAGGAGGCCCTCGAAGGTTTCCATACTACTGGGCCAATGCAAATTCTGATTTACGATCAGTAATGTAGTCATGAAACGCCAAACAGAATGTTCGTATCATTTTAACGGGCAAGCTCAAAATCAGAGGAGTGTAGAAGGCGGTGATTACCAAATTCACAAAATCTCTTGCTCGAGCCCAGTTCTCATAAATTATCAGCATTATTAAAAAACAGCAGTATAACCAGAAGTCTCACCAAGAGGTTACTATGATCTACATTTGGTCTAGAATGTAGAATAACAGAGTTAGCACCTAGTAGATGAGATTTATAAAATAATTGCTATTTGTACCCCGACTTTGCTAATTTCGATTCTGCTATTTGAAACAGTGCATCAATTGATAAAGTACCTTAATAAATACTGCATCTTAGCTAATAAAAGCAAAATATATGTGGTGTCAGGCTCTCTCGCTGAACTAAACTATGTCAAGACAATGGTCAGTGCCATTTATTTTACTGACAGCCACTGGGACATCTACAGCAAATACGAGAAGAGAAATCTTTGGCATCTCGGAAAGCCTTACATGAAACCGTTCAAGAATGAAACTCGGCATACTGCACTTATCACCTTCGGGTAAAGTCAGGATTGTCGTTTGCTAGGATCTCGCTTTCCCGCAGGCCTTCCGGGGGTTTATCACCGACGGCGCCAGGATTACAATTGTGCGTCTACATTGAGAATATACCGATTATTCGGAAATAGGTATGAAGAGAAGCCCCAATCCTGAAGGGTGATTTCTAGATGCTGTGGTGTTAGCCGAGCTTTTGAGAACACTTATACGGTGGTGTTTTGCAACATTGCTGAGTTTTCACAGGTAGACTGGCCATTTTGGTATTGCTTGAGAGATCTACTAATAGTCAAGCGGGCATGAAGATCCTCAATGTAGATATGGAAACTGTAGATGAAGCCGAGGGAGTCCAGAAGATTCGAGAAGATATTGCAACGCCAGATTGACATTAGGGGTATCGTCATTGACATCGAGATGATTAGAAGGTGCAACCATACTGTATCACTCAAGCATCATCGCTTGCTTGATACGAGACAATATTTGGCACGAACTGAATAGCGAGAACCGGGGAACGAAAGAGAGAACGCGACACTGATTAGCCGGCCGAGGATCGAAGAGCGAATTGCTATCCAAAAAATGTAGGAAGTGTTTAAAATTTCACCAAAAGCGAGAATCATGCCCTTTATTGCCATTATACCCGTCAATCGCAGCAGATGGTTGTTTCTTGCATCTGCGGCGCTGCATGCACATCATCAACGCCAACCGTAACCACCATCCAATCACAGAAGAACTTGCCGAGTCCTGCTCCGATAAATATGCATATGATCACGTAAACATTAAAGTACATGGCCAGGAGCATAGTAATATAGGCACCGCCAAATGTCACCGCGTGGATGATAGCACGAGTCAATTGTTGTACCGGTGTCGCCCGGAATGAAATGGTGAACGTGGTGGATTCGGGAGTCTTGGCAATGGCGTGTGCGGCTTGGCGCTGGAACTGGCGGGTTAAGAAGTTGTCATACTCGCGGCTCATGCGACGACAAAATTCGACCAAAATGACGAGCAGAATCACCCCAATACAGGTTGCAGCGAACATTCCATTATTCTGGATCTGCCACCCAGCCGACAGGAAACAGGCGTCTATTGTGTGAAAGTTGAACAACATCTGGGATTGATAAGCGAATCACTCGGGCCAAGAAATTCGCCTTGGCACTTACCGAGATCTTGCACTCGGTGCTGTCACTTGAACTCATGTCCATGATGTGTATTCGACAAAGCGATGCGAAGGGAAGGAAGGATAGAGTACTTTGTAAATGTGAATGGCGCGACGTGGAAGATATGCTTGTGACCTTATAGCAATTCTGGTAATTTGCCAATGTTTGAAGCGTAGACTAAGTGGAGCACTTTGCCTCAGGAAACCGCCAGGGCGTTTTGCAAATTTGCTCAAATGGCCTCATTGACTTGATGGCCATGTTTGTGTGCCAAATTTCACCAAAAGTGATTCCCTACAAGAACTCTCCGTCTCCCGGGGCAAAAGATCGCATAAACAACCGCCATGTCCAATACAACTGCAGAGTTCGCATTTTCGAATAAGTGAATGGTCCATACTCTTTTGGTTGGTCCTGGTACACTCAGAAGTGAGGTTCAACTTTCGCCAATTGCAGGCGTGTATTTCGCACGAAACGGTACTTCTCCGCGACACCATGTCTTTCGCGAAGCTTAATGCTCGTCACATTCAAAACTATAGCGCTGCCACCACATTAGAGCCACATTGGGGTTATGCGGATCGAGCCCTGCCATGCACCAACGATGCTGGCTCTTGTGCTTATCTGGACGTCGTTTATGCATCCCATGACCGGGGGATGCTATACACAGGCATTCTGTGGTGCGCAATTGGTGGTGTCCTCCTGATCTGGGCGCTGATTCACCAAATCGCTAAGCCGGCTACCTATTCAAACACGGGTACTGATGATTTACGTGGACTTCGCCGAGTCCAACATACCCTTGCATCATTCTCCCGCAAATATCTCCTGCCTGATGCAGCCCATGTGATCTTTGGACGAACAACAAGGCTTCAGGTCCTCATTGTCACTCTTTTGGCAGGCTACCTTTTGATTTTCAGCTTCGTTGGTATTTCCTACAACACGTGGATCACTCCCGTCTCGCCTGTACCTGGCCTTTATCAGACCCGCAGCAGCATTGGCCCATGGGCGGATCGCGTTGGCGTTTTTGCATTTGCTCTAACCCCACTATCCGTGATGTTGAGTAGTCGAGAGTCCTTTCTGTCACTCATCACGGGCCTGCCATATCAGAGTTTTAATTTCATGCACCGTTGGCTTGGTTATATCATTTTTGTGCAGAGCTCCCTTCACACTATTGGCTGGTGTATCGTTGAGCTGAGATTATACCAGCCACAACCATCTACAGGTATTGAGTGGATTACACAGACATACATGGTCTGGGGCATTGTGGCCATGTTTTTGCTTCTTCTCCTCTTCGTGCTGAGCACACCATGGGGTATCAGATTCACCGGATACGAGACCTTTCGCAAGCTTCACTATGTCCTCGCAATGGTCTATATTGGTGCATGCTGGGGCCACTGGAAGCAATTGAAGTGCTTTCTCCTACCGTCTTTGATCTTCTGGTTCTTAGATCGAGGTGCTCGTCTCGTTCGCACCGCAATCTTGCACCATCGCCCAGATCACCCGGGGATATTCGCTTTACAGGCTGCGGAAGCAGCTATGACCCGGTTTCCAGATCAGGAGCACGGTGATGTGATTCGGTTGGATTTAGAAAACGAACAAGATCCATGGGCCATTGGTCAGCATTATTACTTGTGTTTTACGCAATGCAGTATCTGGCAATCCCATCCCTTTACCCCCCTCAACGCGCCAATCGTGGAAAAGGGGAAAGTAAGACACTCATACCTTCTTCGGGCAAAAAGTGGAGAAACGAAAAAAGTCGCATTGCTTGCTGCAAAGGGCAACTCTGCTACCCCCATCATTTTCACAGGCGCATATGGCGATGATATCACTAAAGGACTTTCGCTAAAGACCAACATCATATGCATAGCTGGCGGCACTGGCATTACATACGTCCTCCCTGTGCTGCTTGAGCTTGCACGACAGCCATTATCACCAGGCCGGAAGATTGAATTGATCTGGGCTATTCGCCATACTTCAGATACTGCCTGGATTAGTTCAGAACTGGATGTTTTGCGAAAAGTCCGAAAACGTTTGAATCTCCAAATCAAAATTTTCGCAACCAGGGATGCTAGCAGCGTGTCCTCTTCAGTCGTTGACCATACAACCTGCAATTTATCCTGTTCGGACATGGACGAAAAGGTCAATAGCGCTTCAAAATCCTCTTTTCCCCCAACATGCTGTGACTGCGAAGAACCTACACCAGTGGAGAAACTAGGTGGAGGACCACAGACAGGTGGCAAACATCCGGATCTATTGAACTTGATCAACAATTTCCTAGAGAATACGGTGGAGGGTCCAACCAAAGTCTTTGCTAGCGGACCTGGTGGCATGATCAGTGACTTACGGAATATCATTGCCACTTGCAACTCGGGCCTCAAAGTTTGGGAAGGAAAACAGAGTTTTGATGTCGATCTTGTGTGCGATGATCGTCTTGAATGGTAATAATGTTTCTGAATCAAATATTCAAAATTTTCGAGTAATATTAAATGAAGTACATATAGACACAACTCATGTCAGCATTTACCTAGTAAAAGACCCCTTATCCATAATGAGGGCTCACACAACTTAAGCCTCAGCTAATGGAGAATATCTCACAGTTGTAACAAGAATAGCATGTTTTAAAATATCAAGTGTCGCCTGACAGGAATATAAATGCCCTTCATTTGCATATAGATACCACATGGCCGTGCTAACGGGGCTTTACCTTCCACGGATTGAATCTGATAAGGTCAAAAGAACACTATTTGTACTGATAAGAGGAGGGAAGTCAACAATCAGTGAGAATTTGTATATCTTCAAACATGACTCATATCATAATCAGTCCCCATAACAACCAATTCAGCTTTAGCACCAGGTCTTTTATGCACACACGTGACTTAGGTGCCATGATATAGTAGATTCAGTCTCCGTATTCCATAATCCAGAGAATTTACCACCCGTTGACGTAAGCTGCACGCATCCTTCGTAAGAAGTTCCCCAAGGTAAACTTTCCGACAGTAGCGACGCGGGACCCAGAGTCCGTCCTTGATTGTTTGCAGATGGCCTCAGCTACTAACGTATCTGGAATCGATTACCTGCCCTGCTTTTGAATGTTCCCCTTGGTTCCTAGAATCCATGGTAAATGAGGGTTGAAAACAAAGAGACTGGTCTCACCACAGTAGGATTATCAAAAGTTCCAGTAGTGATTGATGTATTCAAAGCAATATTCAAGTTCAACCGTCCAAATGAACTCATACCCAACACCATGTGCATTCCTATCTGGTTGCTGGTCTGAAAATTGTTGAAACTTGTGCCCGGTCAAGCAACCTTTGGACTAGATTGAGGGCCAGTTATTTGACCCACGCAGCCTGTTCTACGTCCAGGCTGATATTTATCTCGAAAAATGTTTCAACATTATGCTTTTATATGTTTGAATGTTTCACCTTAAGCTCTTTCATTCGTCATAACTCTTGGCAATCGCTATCATGTTCGAAGACTAAAACCCCCACAATCAATCCGACCGTTCCGACCGTGATTGGCTCCCACCTTGACCAAACGTTACGAATGTCAAATCAGATGAGATGATCAGAATGCAGGGAACTTGGTAAACGGTAGAAATATTCAAGAGTCATATGGCTAAAATAATTACTTCACGGGGAATCAGTCCTTACTGCTAGTATAGTACCGCAGACCTCCAGTGATACTAATGTCACCCTGACCCTATCACCAATTCCGAAAATTCTCAGACTCTATCATTATGCACGATGCATATGAAACACGGCTTGGAGGACTAAATATACTATGGCAGATTTTGGCTAGATTGATCTAAAATCCTGGTACTTGTGAACCTTACATGTATGAGATTAAAAATATGTAATTTCCAAAATATTTGAGTGCTAGCCGCTTCCCACCGTCAACATGCTCAAGCTAAGCTATTCATAGACTCAAGAACTCATCGATAAGATCAGATGGGAAATCGAAGTAATCAAACATGACAATTCCAACTCGCTTCCCCTTCTGCTCCTTCAAGAAAGGAACAAGGCGCTGATTAACGCCTCCCCTGGGAGTCAAAGTACCGTTTCCAACAGCCATGATCTCCGGCCAAACAGGGGGTACGTTATCGGTGTTCTCGCTGGATGTCCAAGTCCAGAAGAGACTGTCGGGGTGTTCCATTGTCGCCTTGACAATATGACTGGTGGTAGCATTGTACTTCCACTGTATGTTTTCGGCCGCCGTAGATCCAGCGGGTGTGGTAGGCTCGTAATAGTCTTCAATATAGGCGGTCAAATTAATTTTCTCGTTGTATGTGAGGGCGATATTGGGGTCATTGTCGGTCCACAGGCTTGGCGAGAAGTGAAGCCCTGGCATCGCGGCCGTATAGGAGTCTGCCAATTGGTCAAGGTCGAAACGACGCATCAAGGTTATTTTTCCGCGCCCTTCACCCAGAGTTCCAAGTTCGTTCTTTTTCTGAACAAAGTACTTACGCGCAACCGGGGAGGTCAGCGTGTTGAACAGTTTGAGCTGGAGTGACGCGTCATTGGACGCGTATTTTGCTGTTGAGCCTTCGTACTGGAGAGATAGGAATAAAGTTTCCGACGGGTGGTCATCCAGCCACTTGTAGAATCCAAAAAGTACATCATCCAGAGTAGCAATTTCAGACAGCAGAGCCTCCGAGTGGTAGAAGACGATTGTCGTGTTAGTGGGATCAAACGCGTAACGCAAGTCAAATGCCCGGATACCCTTATTCAGCATGCCGACCAAGGACAGATCCTGACAGCGGAAAGTCTCAGGCACCGGAACAGTCACCTGATTGAGATCGGTGATGCCTAGAAGAGAGGCCCGAGTTGCCTGGCTGTAGTTCCATGTCGCGCTGTCGTGGGTGCCCGGAATGTTCATGTGGACAAGCTGCGTCTCATCATGGTGATTTTTCATCCATTCCGCCTTGTCTTCTGTTTCTTTCACGTAGTTGCCAAATATAGGGGTCGCATCGGCAAGCAACCTCTCCAGAGCGAAAGATTCCAGAGAAGACGAAATGACTGGCGAGGCCCACGTGGCCAACATGGCCAGGGAAAGCAGGGGAGTGAGCATAGATAAAAATCTTCGGATGAAAAGTTGAGGAGAGGGAAGAACTCTTAGTTGGCCAGATGGGAGTTATAAACAACGCCCCCAATCTGCGTTCCGAAGCCTGTGAAGAAACGTGGCAGCGGTAGAGATGTATAATTATTGTTTGCACTCAAGGCGTCACGTCTCCACTAGTTTTTGGTGGACATCCAAAACTTCCACGCCATATTTCTTGTCGGCTGTATTAGTGCTCAACGTGCTTCACGATGGCTTCATGATGGTCCCATTACTCTGCAATGGCGCGTCCCTGAAAGAGTCTCACCCCCCACGTGGAGTGATGCCGACGTGCCGATTGGCTGCAAAGAAAGTGGGGATCCCGGACAGGGATTAGCCGAGCTCCAATTCCGACATCTTTATATTGAACCTCTCGCGCAGTGATGTTTGAATGGGCAGATTTGTGGTATCTTTTCTCTTCAATTCCTGAATATATCATGCGTGGTGCTCATGCCGCTGTTGTTCTTGGGGCTATCGGCCCCGCCCTTGGTCTAAGCCCCTTGGACACTTTCTACCCGCCGACTCTCAATGATACTTCCTATATTTCCAATAGCTCCATTGGAACTTATGGCGGTATCTACAAGGCTTCTATCAGTGGTCCAACCGAGGGCACCCCTTACGGTACCTATGACTACTGCTCGATGCCCCACCCCCGAACCAAGGAGTATGAGCTGCCCGAGCCAATCGCGAAGGGCTCCTTGAAAGGAAAGCTTGTCTACCTTGAGTACCTACAGCGCCACCAGCGTCGCTCTCCATACAACATTCTGCCCGGTGGCGAGGTAAGGAGATCCAATCTGAATAGTTGAATTGAGCTAAGCGATGCCCGCAGAACCAAGCGTACGAGTGTGACAATGTCCGCCCGTACCTTTTTGCCGGACCTAGCTCCAATAGCGGAGTTCAGCCCATTCCTATGTACGCTCAGACGTATCAGGATCCGACTAACCCCTTCACTCCTGGTGTAAATGGCACCTGTCAGTACCCGCAGATCACCATCGGCGGTATCCAAGACGGCTTCCAGCATGGTAAAGACCTATGGGCCGTTTACGGCAAGAAACTTGGCCTTATTCCCGATGAGCCCAACAGCCGCGTCTGGTTCCGCTCTAGCGAATCTGCTCTTACCCAGGGCTCCGCTGGTGCTGTTCTTCGTGGTGTCTGGCCCAAGTATAATGGTGCTCTCCCATTGCACCAGATGGTGTCCTCGGTTGACACCGTGAACGAGGGATACTCTTGCAACGCAATCGACACTACTCTCGATGAACTCGAGGCGACCAGCGAATGGAAAGAGCACTTGACCGTTACCGCTGATCTACGCTCCAAGCTTGGCTCTATGCTCGGCGCTACCTCTAGCTCGTGGCAGAATACCTTTGACCACTTCTCTGATAACTTTCAGGCTCGTCTTTGCAACGGCTATGACCTGCCTTGTAGTACCTCTAATGCCTCGGCCTGTGTCAGTATGGAGATGGCTGAGGAGGTCTTTCGTGCTGGTGACTGGGAGTGGAACTACTACTGGCGTACCAACGCGTACGTCAAGAAGTATATCCAGGTCGTTGAGGGTCTCTTCATCTCTGAGATCATTACTCGCTTACAGGCTGTCCTGGATGGCAGTTCTAGCCTTGATTACTCTCACATCTTCATTCACGACGGCGATATCGGCCCTATCCTGGGTGCCCTGGGAATCAACGCCCTCCGTTGGCCTGCTATGGCTTCGAACATTGCTTTTGAGATCTGGTAAGCACTTCTCTGGAAGTAGGTTATTTTTTTTCTTGATACATTGCTAATTGTTTTCAGGGAAACTGAGGATAAGGAGAAAGACCTCTACGCTCGTGTTCTGTATAGCGGACAGCCTGTTCAGACCATCCACGGGACTCTTGAGTGGCTTTCTCTCTCGAGCCTCATCGACATCCTGACCCCCTATGTGCCCGATGACATCACTAGTCTTTGCGGCTAAACCAGAGTATACTTAGGGCATACCAATGGTGGACGCGAATGAGGAAATTCCTTTTCACAAAGTCACTGAATCTCGCACAAATAAAAGCGGCCGCGAGCCTTTACATTCTTCGCGATATCAATCCAAGCCTTACGAGCTCATAATCTGACTTGGAGCTGTTTCATACAGTTTCATTGCCCATAGCTTGAGACAATTTACTTGAGTTCAAATCGGCATATGTGTCTACCAAGACGATACGTACAGTACTCCAAATATTTATTGCGAGACAGTCCATAGTCAATTCAAAGAGCAGTGTTTGAAATGACAATGCTTCCTCCCAATTTTTCCAGATGCGATATCTTACAAGAGCACCAAGTTAGCTGTAGGGTCGGCTGCATCGAAATCTGATTCAACGAATGGCACTCGAGCTCTCGTCAAGCCCAATCAAGCAGCGTATGCCTGGCTTATGTGTAGCTATTGTAGTGGGGAAGAGTGGTATGTGGTGACTAAGCATATGTGATGTATAACGTATTTCACCACTGAGCGAGCCGTCCCGGTCGGGCGAGCCGACCCAACCAAAATGCGTTAATTAGTTAGACCTGTCTTCTTCAACCAACCACCATGCCACCAATTCGCTCTCAAAATCGTCAGAATTTGATAGAACAAGAAGGTCGTATCTTGCTTGCTATCCAAGCTATCCAGAAGCAGGAAAAAAAGCTGTCAATTACCAAAGCAGCACGCATATACAATATCCCTAGAACAACGCTCCAGCACCGGCTCAGCGGACGAGAAAACCGCGTCGAATTTCGCGCAACCTCCTTTAAATTGACTGAAATTGAGGAGAATTCGCTTAAAGAATGGGTGATCTCTATGGATATACGCGGAGCAGCTCCACGACCTTCTATGGTCCAAGAAATGGCTAATCTCTTACTCGCCACACGTGGAACCACCCCGATCCAAACCGTCGGCAAAAATTGGGTCACAAAATACATTAAACGACACCCAGAACTCGATACAAGGTTCTCAAGACGCTATAATTATAAGCGGGCAAAGTGCGAAGACCCAAAAATCATTATAGAGTGGTTCGACCTAGTTCAAAAGACGACCCTAAAGTATGGGATCCACGAAGACGATATCTATAACTTTGATGAGACAGGGTTCGCGATGGGCTTGACAGCGACCGCAAAAGTCGTTACAAGAGCAGAATATTATGGTCGACGCTCTCTTTTACAGCCTAGAAATCGTGAATGGGTTACCGCGATTAAGTATATAGGCGCGTCTAGATATAGCCTTCCTCCGATGGTTATCTTTAAGGCAAAATTATTCACGAAAGGCTGGGCTCAAGAGTTAAAGCTTCCAGGCGACTGGCAATTCCAGGTTAGTCCGAATAGATGGACCTCGGACGAGATTGGACTTTGCTGGCTTAAAAAGGTCTTTATCCCATCGACCTCCTCGAGGTTAAAGGGGATATATCGACTCCTGGTTCTAGATGGTCATGGAAGCCATCTAACTCCAAAATTCGACGAAATTTGCTCTAAAAATCGAATCATTCTAATCTACATGCCACCGCACTTATCACATCTTTTATAACCTCTAGATATAGGTTATTTTACCGTCTTAAAGCGTGCGTACGGAAAGTGCGTCGAGAACGTGATGCGGTTAGGTCAGAACCATATCGATAAGTTAGACTTTTTAGACGCCTTTCCGGACGCTCGAAACAAAGCTTATAAAGCAGAAACGATTAAAAATAGCTTCTCGGCAACCGGTTTAGTTCCATATAATCCAAATCGGGTTATTTCAAAGCTCAATATTTAGCTCCGGACGCCTACACCACCACCATCTTAAGGTAGCCAAAGCAGCACATATCAGACACCATTAAATTATAAGCAGCTCCAGAAGCATGAAATTTCGATCAAAAAGCTCTTAAAAGCACGCTCTAAGAGCCCACCAAGCCCGCTACTTTCTCATATAGATCGGGTGCTTAAATCATGTCAAACCCATATGCATAATTATGCTCTTCTGACTCAAGATATCAAGCTTTTATGGGCTAGAGCGGAGAAATCAGAGTCAAAAAAAGCACGTTCTAAGCTCCGGATATCAGCTCCAGAGGGCCTATCTGTCGCTGAGCTTCGAGAAATAGCTCAAAATGATGGAAATGGTCAAATTGAAGCTCCATCCGACCAGCCAACCGGTCAACGAGAAGCACAAGAACGACGACCTAGGGCGCCACCAAGATGCTCAGAGTGCAATATTCAGGGTCACAAGAGAACACATTGTCCAAATTTGATTAAATAGCTTAGATATTCAATATTACGTTATTTCGGGTGAATTATGCTGGTTTGAATTAATTGAAGTTGATGGGGCGGCTCGCCCGACCGGGACGGCTCGCTCAGTGGTGAAATACGTTATAAGCCTAGTTGTGCAGAGATAGCAACTCAGACCATCTTTCCTTCTCAAGCCACCCCTAGGTTCTCCTCTCTTGTCTTCCGCTACCCAAGTATCTGCCCCGGTGGTGTCTGGTTCGCAGACAGACACTACCAGCACCAACGACGCGTGCCCCACTTCACTATATACTTACCTTTGATACAAGCCAATCCAAGCTTACTATGCTTGTCTACTCCCCGGATCTACTTTTGGCTGATTTTTTTTGTCCATTTGAGGCCAATAATTATCGTTCCGTTTTCTCACTTTTCTAATCATGACCTAGTCGATTGAAAATGCACGTGAAACTGATCCTCGCTGCTCGATCTTTCAGGTTCGATCGCCGCTCCCAGATAGTTTGCTCGACCTTGGCCTGATCCCCTCCCAACCTACATATTGCACGCAAAACTGACCGTTTGCTGCACGGTCGTCCAGATCAAACGCAAAAAGCGTCAATGTGAGGTATGGGGTTGATGGACAGGGCGGGAAGCTCCGCAATTGGCGGACATACTTCTTCGCGCTCCGCGTCTTAATCCTGGCCATCCGCGATTTTGGCATTTCTCAGGCCACAATACCCCAGACAAAGCTCTACAAAACAGTATTACCAGCTATTCGTACTATGAAGCCCAAGGTTCCAGCTTCATATGATCCAAGGGGGTATGATGGAAAAGTGGTATCGGATTACTTCAATAAAAAGCGAGGTGGCGGCCATTTGGGTCCATAAAGCCCTGTTTATGGCCATTCCCGGTACCTATAACGATGTTTATAGCTGTTCGATCCACTCGGTTGTTGGATCATCTGACTTTTATCTACAAACGAGAAATTGACTCATACACTGGTGATAGGCGTCGCACTGGCTATTCCCTTTGGCTGGCTGGAAGCCCGATGGGGTCGCAAGCCAGTCGTGCTGATGAGTATTATCGTTTTTCTACTGTTGATGACCTTTAATCCCTTCGTTAATGTATTTTGGTAGGTCTTCCCGCTACGTCTCGTCAGGCTGGCGCCTATCTTCGCCATCTTGGCGTCGACGCGCCTGTGCTGTTCTCGATGATTCTAATAGTGATTGCAAACATCATGCTGGAGAATGAAAGGTGATATAACCGCGATACTGTTGACAGCAGAAGTAATAGCTAACAATATCCGATCGACCTCCTTCTTTCAACCCATGACCGGCGAACATGTCGCGCAAATCACGGCCACTTCTATCGCGTCGGCCTTGATGGAGAGTCTCAGGCAATGGCTCCCCATCTAGCTGGGCTATGTTTGTACATTTGTGGCCCTCCTGATCTGACTTTCGCTGAAAGAGATGGCTCAACCGCACAAGACCATTAGGTGCACTACCTAGACTTCTCCATTTCAGTGTTATAATGTATCATATTTCCTTATATATATCTGCGAATATATATATAATACAAATTCCCTTCGTAGGTCTGTGAATATTACAAGGGGTCTAATCTTTTGAATGCGGTATTCCTTTGCTCTATCCAGATTTTTCTAAAACTCAAAGTATGGATCTTATCCTGAAATCTACTCTAGACCTAGCATTAGGGCCCTATTAAACCAAAATTAGCCCCGTTATTACGCAATAAAGGAGCAGACTTTGGAAATAGGCTGAAAAGACCAAAACACGATTGTCTTAGAATAGGAATGCCTACATCGCTCATAGATGTTGCCGTAGATGGATATACAACACTGTGAATATTCTCCTTCACGCTACTCAAGAAATTGAGAAAAGGGTCAACAAAGTGAAAACTGAATATAAATTTATAAAACCGAAGCTGCCTTGACACCAAGCAAGTCTTCGGCATTTCGGTATGCGAATTTTTGCAAGTCGTCTTTCGAAAGCAAGCCGCTTCTCTGAACCTCCTCAAAGAAAGCTAGACCTGTTTCGTTTGATGAGAATGGATAGTCCACGCTATATAGTACATGGCTGATATCCATAGTCCGTAACAAACACTCAAAAGGAGGATGAGCAAACATGCCACTCGTAGTGACCCAGATGTTCTGGGTCCACACTTCCCTCATTCCTCGCTTTAGCCCCCAGCCCTCTGATGTATTGATGATTCTCTCAAGTTGGAATGGGATCATCTCTCCCATGTGCCCAATCACTATTTTGAATTTCGGGAAGCGATCGAAGAAGCCGCTAGCGAACAGCTTCAAATTACTCAAGGCAGTTTCTGAGTGCCACTCCCAACCAAATGCACTAAGAGCAAGGCCAAATTTCTTATTGTTACCATTGTAGTTACCATAATAATGTCTTGAATGCTCTTCGGTTGGAAAGGAGGGATGGATATACATGGGTACATCTAGTTCCTCTGCCTTTTGAAATACTGGCCAAAAACGTTCGTTGTCGTAGAATTCCCCGTTGACATGGTTATCCTCCAGTGCGCCAACATATGTCAATTCCCTAACACATCGTTCAAGCTCCTTGGCAGCTGTGGCGGGGTTATTCATTGAAAGCATGGCAAAACCCCTCGTCCGAGAGCTTTCGCGTGTAGCAGAGGCAAGTACATCGTTGGATGCACCACAGAGTGCTGGAGGTCGAATACCAGGACCATGCGAGATCACTTGAACTGATACATTGCCGTTGTCTAGGTCTCGCAGTTGGCTTTCACCAAGGGTCTTCAATTTGGCTGAAATATGAGGAGGGAAATTGGCATAACGGTCAACTTTCTGAGCTCGAATGACTGCTGAAGAGACGTAATGCTCTTCAAGAGCAATCAACTGAATCATGATGACAACGGAATCTGCGTAAAGCCGCTAAGATTACAGGAGGAGAATGAGAACAAGCAGACTGAGATCTGTCAGGAAGGAAATAATTATCCAATTTGGTAGCATCAGTCGTCTCATATAGTCACGTTGGTTGAATGTGCCGAGAGGCCGAGAGGCCGGATATCCGACATGGTGGAAGTGGGTTAAATTGAAAATTACAAAAAAAATGTATTCAAAGCCGGACTTTAGAACGGCAATAAGAAACTGCCATGAATCTACATACCGCATAGAATAGATCGGAATATCCGAATTTATAGCAAAACGGAGGCAAGAAGTCGCAATCATTAAAAATGACGTCGAGGAAGACGGGTGATTTTGAGTCTCCGAGCCAGCTGTCTTTCTACCAATTTTTCTTGTGTCATGTTCTATGGATTGTACTAATTTTATACATTTCAGACCGCGTGACTCCCCTGCATTTCTTCCTCAATACCTCTATTGCTGTTTCTTACCCGTTCAAACAGTCAATAACGTCAACGCTTTGAGGGATTTCTAGTAGAATGCCCTTTGCAATCTTGTTAAATCTTCGTCAGAAAGTTCCTCTCGCTATCTGCTCTCACCCCACTCCCGTCGATGTTCTGGGGTATATCCTGTCATTTCAATAAATGGAAATGATCTAGTAAATTATTGCGTATATGAAGGCGAATGAAGGCCCTTTTCAACGAGCTAGGAGCCGTGGAAATAAGCTAGCGTTGAAAATAATGAACACTAATGACCTGAGTTGCTCGATGTGTTCCCTAAACCAGAAAATTCATTTCCTACATAACCCCGTTGAATTTGTTACCCTATCCATTGAGCGAGGATAGGTATTGTTCTCGCCGTTCAACATCACCTAGAGACTGCGACTTGCATTAGGCACTGAGCTATACTTGAGGTACTTATGCAGCATAGGGTCTTTGGATGTATGAATGGAGCCATATAAATAACAGGCAGACTGTCAGAAATATCAGCAATTAGTCCTAATAGCATGTTATCGATATGAGGCATATCAGACAGCAACAGCCCCGTCATAAATACCTGACCACCCTATAATTTGAATTTTGTGGATGAGTGGAGCTATTGCTTTATCCAGTGGCCTGTGGATTAACCGCAAGCATATCCAATTTCTTTCATGCTAAGTTTTCATTGACGTGCACAATACGCATGATCCCCCATCCTATGTTTTGATTACTATAATTGAAATGATCTCTCCCGCTTTATGCTATTCTGCTGTAATTGTTCAGCATGTATATGTTACTTTGGGGAATCCTAGAGGATTTACTGCGTAGCCCCGGGATAGCCGAAAGCCATGTAAACATGATGAAAGTCGACCCACTAATGGCCGCAGAAAGACCAAGGCAACCATGCTCCTCATTAGCGTTTCTCTTACCATACAGCTTTCTCCGTGATACCGTGTACATTCAACACGAGTTCCATTTTTATGAAGTCCTTTTATGTACATAAGCCCCGGTAGTTCCGATCTAATGCACAACCAAATGCCGGAGACGAAGATGAACCAATACGCGGGGACAAAGAATGCCGAACACCGATGATATGCGCACTTTGCATGATAAACCGAAGTATATATTTTTCTGTAATGTTCTCATTCTTTGCCGTCGCTTTTTTTACTGTGTTTATATTCCCATCCGCCTTTGTTCTACAACATGCTTTTCCAAGTCGCTGCAGATGGTCGCAATGTTGTGCCGCTTGTCGTAAATGGAGAGCCCCTTCCCATTAACGAATCCAAGCTCTACCCGGTGGTTTCAGCTAGGACCAATAAGACTGTTCACTACTATCAGTCTGCTTCGACATCTGACTGCTCTGCTGCTTGTGATGCAGCGTGGCAGGCATTTTCCCGTGGAAATGACAAAAACGGGCCCTGGAAACGTGTCGGTGTCGAAGAGAGAAGAAGCCTCCTAGAAAATGTCGCCAGTCTCATAATCGAGCGTGAGGAGACCCTGGTCAAAGCTCAGATGGAAGAAACAAGCAGTGGTGCATTGTGGGCGAGAATGAATGTGCAAACCACCGCCAAATATGTTCGAGAGCTCGCCGCTTGCGTGTCTAGTATAAGAGGCACTATCCCCCCTAACGATAAACCTAACACAATGGCATTCGTTTATCAGGATGCAGTTGGCCCTGTTCTGATTATTCCTCCGTGAGTTGCACCAAAGCTTCTTCTAAGAGCTTGACAGCTGACTTTACGTATCAGGTGGAATGCAGCCTTGAATCTGTGCACCCGTGCTCTTGCAGCAGCTATTGGTGCTGGCTGTACAACCGTCTTGAAGGCGTCTGAGCTTTGTCCATACACGCATACCCTGATCGCAGAGATTTCGCTGATGCTGGTGCCCCGCCGGGAATAGTCAACTTTGTCTGCTCTGCGCGGGACAACGCCGCAGAAATCACGGAAAATCTTATCGCGAATAAGCATATCAGGAAAGTGGATTTTATTGGTTCTCCAAGTGTTGGTTAAGTTATAACCGCTACTGCTGCTAAGCATCTCAAGCCAATACTTTTGGAATTGGGAGGCAAATGCCCTGCAATCGTCCTCGACGATGCAGATCTTGAGAAAGCTGCCCAAAAGTGTGCAATGGGAATTCTCATTCACCATGGCCAGATTTGCTTCGGTACTGAGCGTATCATCGTTCAACGCAAAGTTGCAGAGCCTTTTACGAACGCCTTGATCGCCACTGTAAAGACGTTTGAGGGAACTCCAGAGTTCGCTGGAACTGCAGTCTCTGAACAAATCGCCCGACATGCTTTGATGTACTTCAAGATGCAAAGGAAAAGGGATTGAGATTCATCTTTGGCGATGCCGCGTATAGAGAAGACCGTCTAAACTCATTGGTTCCTGCTATCGTTGTAGTTGATGTGAATATGGATGCCAATGAAGTACGGATCGTCGATGAAGAGACTTTCGGACCGAGCGCGAGTCTGTATATCGTTAACACAGATGAAGAAGCCATTGAACTGGCAAATCAATCCGCCTTTGGCTTGAATGCGACTTTTCATACACAGGATCTTGAGCGTGGTATGAGAGTTGGGCGTGAACTGGAATACGGCCAAGTGCATCTGAACTGGGAGACTGTTTATGTTACCCGTGAGTTATTCTCGTTCACACGATCTATTGTTTGGAATTAACAAGTATAAATAGCCACCGGCCCTCAAGGAGGACTCAAAGCTAGCAGCTGGGCAGACAAAACGCGAGCTGGGGATTGCAAGAATTCCTGGAAGAGAAGTCTATCACCTGGCATGGCAAATAGATTATTCATTAAAATTATATTTTCCTTACCCTATACTACTGAGATGTCAGATAAAGCTCTCTGTTTGTTCCTTTTGTTATTGCGCATCTCTAACTTTTCTTTTTGTCTTCTCTCTATCCACCATTCCAATTATATTCTGTTCACTCGGTTTACTGTCACCCACTTTCTTCTTCTATCCCCTCTGGACTATATGTCCTCCGGTAGATTCGACGCTGATGAGCCCTTATCTGAGATTTCAATAGAAGCCCAAGGTAAAGCATGCCCAGAAGGCGATCGGACCTGGAGCTTATAGGGTAGATCAATCCAATAAAAGCCTTTCATGATGAAAATGGACCAATTTGACAGTGCTTCCTGATTTGTCCCCTCACGAAACAGTTTCCTAATCAAACCATCAAACTCTTGATACATTTAGCTACCACGGATTTATGCGAGTAATTTTAATTCCAAGGCTGTGAGAATACAAAAGATGATTTTGCTCCCCTTATTTCCTCATTTCCTTGATTTTATAGCATCTCATCGAACTAAGTGTAAAACATTATCATTCACGTTTTTCCTCTCGTATAGCAGGTTTAACGCTATAGTGTATAATTCCGAACTCCACATATAAACATTTGTTGATAGAACAAATTACTTCTATGATATCGAAGGCCTATTTAACTAGTAGTCCACCTACCTGCCCTGGATTTGAACCGCTAGTCGTGCGGAAGCTTTTGAGATCATGCTTAATTATATACCTTGCCTTTGAAAATTATCGGTAGTGGAAGCGCCTGCCCTAAGAGGATAATTGACTCGATTGCATTTTCCATTCAAGATTCACTGGCTATAGAATTATATTCGTTGTGAGAAGTGAGATTTAAGCTCTAGATGACATCAGGTGAAGTTATATGCCCATTCTTCGCATATAAACTTGCTTAGGGGCTATTTCATATAAATTGACGACAAGATACTTCATCAACGGAAATGTTTGTCAATTTTCGTCATTTTACGATATTTTGTGACATTTCATGCGGAAATCTGCGTGGTTTATAGTCCCGCATAGACGTCGGAGTGGAATTTCAGGTATAATAAAGCGACGTGCTGCCTCGCGGACAGGCTTGATTTCTATTCCTTGAATAACCTGTTTAGCGGGAAATGTACAAATCTTCTTTAAAAAATTATCTTTTTGTTAGATGCGAATTAAAGGTATAGGATTTGATTTAAGTTAAATGGATGCGGGAGCACGCATGAAAATGGGCCGGTGTGTCACTCGCATGACATTTCACGTTAAGCTTCAAACTTTAGTATGGAATGTCATTTCTTCTCATATTTCTGTAACCCATCTAAATCATCTAATTTTTCACGTCGTATTCAGTACGTTTGCCGCTAAGTATGCATGCATAATTTGATGTCATCCTTTAGGCCCACCTCGACCAAATGCTTAGGCACCCCTGTATAGGGCTTAAGCAGTCAAGGTGCTATAAGGTTCAACGATCGCCTCATCCAAAATTCGTCATCATGGGCATAATCTTATAAAATATTTACAAAGGCGATGGGAAGGATTTTGATACAATTGAATGACTGAGATTGTTTTTCCTACAATCACGCAAGCTTCGCGATAATGCTAACCCCAGAGTCCTGGAGAGACGCAAAAACAAAAACAAAAACAAAAAAACACAAAAAAGTAGGGAGAAAAAAAAGGTTGACAAGGATACGCCCGACCGGCTAGGAATGTGGATACCAAATCAACGTTGCTTGTCAGTCAATTCGGAACGGTTTCCGAGATGAATCATTTCCTAATAGAGCCAAGTCCACGGACTACGTCCAAATTGGGTTGACAACATCGTATGCATTACCTTCCAAGAATCACAGGCCCCACGCGCGAAAATCCCAAGAATATACGTCCGATAAAACTGATTATTACTGAATACAGGATTTATCACGCGTGATTTGTATAATCCTGCAGGATGGTTATCTCACCATTGAGCATGTAATTCTCAGCTATCGGACATACTGACCCCGCTTTGACAAACCTCCCGTGCTCGACACACATGCTCTCTCCTTTGCGCATCTCAATTGGATCATCTCTGCACATTCTAGACAAAATAGAGGTACTGAAGATCAGACTACGATGGAAAAGGTCAGGACATGACCGTATGGGCCGACTCAGGGGGAGGCCTATGCGGGTGGAGTTTTTAGTCTATGTGAAACTTCCCAAACCATTTCTACGTGTATATTACCTAAAGTGCTTATATGGTCCCACGTCGCCCCCGGCTCGCAGAATCTGCATAATATTTGATCTGGGTGGTCTCTGACCATAGTGTGAGCGCACATGGTCAGTATTCAGACAGTCATCGGGCCTGCCCCTCTTGGCGTAGATCTCTCTGCGAATAGAACCAAGCAGGATAATGCGGTGGTGATCAGCTTATCTACCCTTGCGATCATCGCAGTCGCTATCAGATTCTATGTAAGGTTGAAAGGGGGAAGCTGGATCTCCGCAAGCTATATCTTGATGATTGCTTGGTCGCAGTTGCACTCGTGAGTTGACCCGTGGCTTCTGAACACAAAGAATCAGGCTGCTAATGATTGGCTAGATCCCTCTTATCGCGTTGCTATCCATTGCACTTCTAGGGGGACACTATGGATTAGGGAAACACATTTGGGTGACCACTGTCGAGGATATGATAAAATTGAAAAGGTAAGAACAATCATCATTCTGAGTGACATTGGCTAAATTACGTTGGTATTTGAGATCTTATTTTCCTACCTATTCATCTACATCTTTGAGCTTTTCATTGTCAAGATATCATTGCTGGTGCTGAGATCGAGACTCAGTGTGTTCCAGTAAAGACTGCGTCGCCAAAATATTGTCCCAAAGAGAAGGCAAACCTGGAAGAATACTTGGGTCCAATGTACATTATGGTAAAACATGATGTTGAGTGGTCGGAAACTCACGTGCATACTATTGAATAAGACTTCCTGCATTCAAACATGGCGTGGCCATCGCAATTTATTTGATGAACAAGGTCCCAATTGTACAAATAAGCGGGGCCTCGATCAATATTTAGCGCCCATATCGCCTTGAACATCGCAAAGCTGTCAACGATCTTACTAAATTTCACACCCCCTTATTTATTCAGCATCTTCTATAGTATTTAACTATACACTCAAATACTTTAGTGGCTATGCGAGTGTTCAATATGAACTGAGAAGACCACGTTCCGGTGATCGATCGAGTCTGCCTATGGTGGCTTAGCCTAGGTAGTAAACGATTTGCTCAAGCCTCTAGAGTAAATACGGATCAATCCTACAAGGTACTACTACACTAGGTAGAAACGAGTCACGGCCGAAGCTAAAGATATAGTGTCCCATACATATACATAAGACCACCAGTCGATTCTCAGAAGGGAAAGTAACGCTGATCAACGCAACGAAGGGGCCGTTTAACCTCGTAACAACTATTATCCGCCCCTTTCAAAGGCAGTTTGACCTACGACCGAAATGCCGGAATTGGGCGTAGCTAGAAGAAGCTCGACTAGGTAGGCACGGGCCATATGTGCGTTCTCTCCACGGTATGTGATACACAACCAATAGGCTTGGTTCACCCTAACTTGCATTGCAAATGAGATGCCCATCATTTTGTACATTTTCATATGTCAGCTTACCACCTAAATTCTTGCCCCTTACAGCACAGTATTCATATATAATATAATACTATGCTTACTAACGGTGAATCAGTGTACCGTAGAGCGCCATCAGTAAAAGAATTGTTAGTCATTGCACCAGAGCCCGTACCCGAACCTTTGCCTGATCAATGTGAGGAAGAGAGGGAGAATTACGCTAGGGAGAGGAATCGCGTAGAGGATGACAAAGCGGAGTTACTGAGAAAAAGCAAGCGGCAGTGTCGCATTGATCAGCAGAAATGTATAGACGAAAAAGCCGACCTAGCGATCAAAAAGCACCAATGTCTGAATCACAGACATCATATAGTACTCAACGTCCCCAGCAGAAGGATCAGATCTCTGAGCTTCAAAACACCCTCAAACCCCTCAACTCAACCTGCCAGAGCATTCTTACACAACACAGTAACCAGGTCGTTATGGGAAAGGCTTGTCGAAAAAACATGGTCAACGCTGGTAAGCTGATTCAAACTGACACATCAAATAATTACTGTTGCTTTTTCGGTATCGCTAATTTGAAACAGAATCACGGGACAACCGTTGTATCACATTACGATCTGGAAAAATTTCCTTATCTATCATAAATCGCGTACGTCAATATGGCTTATTTTGGCGATTAAAATAGGACTGACTAACAATACTAGATCGACTAGGAGGCTGGGAATTTGACCTAGGCACTCCACGTGCGAATAGTTTCACTCAGTGTGCAACAATGTGTGGACAGAATTCAATATGTGTCCGATTTGCTTGGAATTCAGTTAAATCTGAAAAATTACGCTATATGAGCTCTGGCCCTGGGAGAGGTCCAATCACCGCGACAGAGTATACCTGTGGCTACCTTTTATGATAAAGGCGATGTCTTTGTGTCACAGAGAATGAAGTTCTCATCTGTTCTCTGAGTTCTCACTTCATCTGCCATTCTACTGGAAATTTTCGCTATCTTCGCTTATATAACGTTAATTAACGTTTTGTCTATTCTGCTTGAATCCTTATGTCAAGTCTTATGTAATCAGTTCTAGTAAGTTAACTAACCTATTTCGGCAGAATAATTCTAATCTTAAGCCTGGTTTCTTCTCAATTTTCTATATCCCGGAATTTCCAGAGAAGACCCCGAATTAGGTCGGCTTACCCACATTGCCTTGATCGTCTGATCTAATTCCCTGAAATTTTAATGGTCTCCATATCGGGTCAAGTCGGTTATATATTTTAAACTACCAAATCATGGTGTATTTAATGGTAAGGTTGTAAAGTTCTACATAAAACTTAACCAAATTTCTGTGTCGAAATACTATCATCCTAAAGAGATAATTCCGAGAGTTTGGTATAGTCTAAAAGCGTTGTTGCTGAGATACAAGGCTGTAATTTATCAGATTCACTATGTGTTTTGGGGTGGCCGGCTGGCTTACATGGCCGACTCGCGTACCGTTCACGCTAAGACGTATCATGCTTATATAACCTTGAAAATATGCTCTGTATACTATAGAGACGATAATTGTACGGAAGCTCACCAAGGTGGTCAAATGGGGCCAGTGCAAGTTGTTGAAGACTTGTCGTATCCAGAACAAGAGTAAGGAGCCTCCAGCACAGATCTGTGTAGAATGGCTTAGGGTTTGTGTTTGCAACTCAGGAGCTCAATTCCCTTGTAGTTGAAGGAGTAATCACAGTCGAGTTATTGATGCCATTGAGCTCGCTAGTGATTGATCCGACATAAACATTGAAGTTATAGTGAATGCAGCTGTTTTTGATGACCAGGTTCCCTTCGCCGCTGAGAATTGTCTGTCCATCACGGGTCACAGTGAATGACTGATTTCCCACGCCCATGGTCACGTTTGAGGTGACAATTCCCGCAGGCACAGCAATACTAACGGGCTCATTAGATCCACTAGTCACAGTCAAAGTGGCCGGATATTTCAATATGGTGGCCACGAAAATACTGTCGCTTAGCATGCTGACGCCGTTTGGTGCTGGTAGTTGATCACCCGTGCATATTACAGCTTTTGGAGTGGGGCGATACCAGTACACGACTTTTTCCTCGTCCACAGTAGGGGTTTTCGCTCCAGATTTGTAGGCTGTAATATATGGCTGATACAAGTCACGCCATGCATCGTGAGGCATTCCAGCCGCCCACTGGGAAGAGCCATCATCGCTATGGTGTGCTGAGTACGGGCCAATGTAGTGAGATTCGCCATAATCTATAGAAGCTGTGGTTAGACTTGTATTTCGGAAGACAGAACTCAGGGAATGCAATATAAGCTTACCATTCCATGAGATAATCTCAATCAGATCAGGCTGCATGGAAAGCATCTGTTCCCAACGTAATGTTGGCAAATTCTCGCAGATGAACACCCAGTTTTTAGAATTATAGTGAGTTGCAAACCAGGGCGACACGGCTGTCACTGAGTTAATACCTTATAATGGACTGGGTACTGTTAATAGATACTGACGGGCCATGTATGTCTTTCCAGCAAGGTCCTGGATATATCTATCATCCCACACTGTTGTCATTGGTCCGGGGATAATGCTATTTCCCCCATCTGTGGGCCAGGCATACCATGAAAATGCACCATCAGCGCCTCTGGCAGCATTGCTCGAGGCCTCCGCTGGATCCTGAAGATTTGGCAATGCATGAATCTGATGTGGCGTGCCCTGCTTCACCGGATTCCAATCAAAACTGTCTCCAACGAATGTACTCACGAGTGCGCCACTGTCATATTGCATCTGTGCTGGGTGGCTCGCATATTGTCGCATGTACTCGGTGATTTTCGCTGTATCCCCGTTGGTCCAGTAGGCAAAGTCGAAGGAGATGAAGACTTTGAAGCCGACGTTCTTGGCTGCCTCGTATGCTAGGGCGAGCTGGGTTGGTGTGTAGCTGTCTATGCTTGCGCAGTTCAGCGCAAAGGCATCAATTCCAATGGAGTGTGCCGCGGTCATATCCGCTTCCCAATCTCCGAGCTGATAATTCTCCACGATGCCAACCTATATGCATAGCATCTCAAGTCAACAACCGCGGATATAAAGTCTCCATCTCCTGGTCTTGCACTAACCATAAAGTGAGCGAAAACATATTTATTTTGCGTCTGACGGCTAGTCACTTCCCTGTCTGGAGCTGGGACACCTAGAGCGAGGAATGTGTGAGGCAGAATGGCTATAACGCTGAAGAGAGCGTTCCAAATCATGATGGTCATATATCCTTATGTGTCTTTAGCTTTGAAAGTTTGGTATTTTCATTTGTTTTGCGAATATTGGAGGCCAACCAGCATTTTATACAGCGAAGGATTGTTCATCACCTCCATGAAAGGTCAAAGACCATTCTCCACCCCAAACCAATTACAAACGGCAGCAATAAGCCACTCAAACCAACCTCTCGCCAGATTTTACGCTTTAATTTGGATATAAATGATGAGGGAATTATATTTGCCGATCTGGATGCTGTTACATCATCATTGTAACCCTATTTACACACCTTCGGAGAGTATAGTTTCATCACACATTAAGCCACGCGAGATTACATCGTATCAGCAAATTTCCTCCTTCCTCAAATATAACCCGCATACCATTTGTGTGGTTTCTCATTTCCACTTTGCCTACAAGCTTGTCTTTGGCAGACTGCCAATGGCCGATCCACCCGGCTCTAGGAAAAGAGTCAGATGAGAATCAGAATGCTACAGTATTATCATGTCAGATGTCGATCATGAACACTAAGACCAATCAAGGCTAATATGACGGCTGTGTGGTGGGGAGGCTGTCGGAAGAAGCCAATTTGAAGCTGGTCCACGAGGACAAGAGCAAAGGCAAATACCTACAACACGTGAACATCAAGTGCAGATCTGGCCACATTTAGATATCTTGAATGCACTGCATTATGATTGGATGATCGATTCATTAATTGTCCATGTAAGTTTCAGGTTGCGCAACTAGGGGATTGGCATGTAGGACATGATGAATGTGGATGTCTGTTCGATCAGAGCCCTTGGGGTTCCTGCGGCGACCCTGGCCATCATTTACCTGGATAGGTATGGATGGACTGACCCTGATAGCAGAACGGTGACAACGAAAGTGAGGCCTGGTACTTACAATGACGCCCCGCAGTTCTGCATGTGAAGGTTTTCAGGGTTGTTGGGACAAAGTCATGTGATGAACGGACAAACGGAGAGCTTAGGGCACAGAGCACCGCAAAGAAGATTACCTTCTCTGTAATACTTCGCTAGTGTTAGTGTGTTTAGCATGTATGACAGGTGTTTGAGTCAGTTGCCCTAGATTAACATTTTTCTATGATTTACTGGAAACGTCAATTTAATGATCTGTATTTTCGTTTCATAGCCTTTTCTTATGTTCTCTTACTTAGATAAGTAAATTAAATGTGGTGGTTATAGTGGAGCTTAAAAATTCGTAATTCCTAGGTCAAACGTTATTATAAATTAGGTTCGGAATTAAATCATTTGACGGAGAGAAGTTCAGTCGACTAACCAAGTGATCGCCCCTTGCAAGCCTATTTGGAACGTAAATATAATCATTCTATTGGTTTCTTTACCTCCAATTCCGCGTATGCGGGACGAATGCTATATCAGTGAGTCAACTGATAATGCGATAACCTACCCCAGACTATGTCCTAACTTCAGTGGTATCGTCTGGAGATAGATCCGGTGCTAAATTTGAAGTTTAAATGTCAGTGTCCATTTCCTGTTTTGGGAAGCTGCCTTGGCTTCCTAATAACCGCTAACCGCAATGAGACAATCTGTATCCTTCATTGACACATAAAGCTCTCATAGCACAGACTGATAAATCCACCTGGCTTTTTCCTGGGTAAATGGACTCGACCCGGTATCCAAAAGCATTACTAAATGTACCTCGATTATGCTAATTGTACCCCCTCACAAAATGGCCATCCAGTTTCTGACCACGGCCATCCACGAAACCATCATGACCTTAGTCTTCCCTCCACTAATATTCCCATTCCGCCCCTCCGGCTCCGCGGCTTTTGTTCTGAAGATGGCTGATATGTAACTTTTATTAGTGTTCTAATAATATATGAGAACAATATATAAGCATGATATATCTAATCTACTTTTGAGCCCGATTTCCACCCCTCTTTCTCCCACGCTGACCCTGAATTCCTGGATTCTGTTATTGCGATCCCTTAAGGATTGCATCTTGTTGCAAGTCAATAATCTCAAACCGCGATACTTCACGACTAGTTGATGCTTTTAGAGCATCTTGTGATATAATCAGTGCTTACTGCGAGGCTTCACTTAGTCGTCCTCGACCCTAGTATACGGACCTATCTATGTTAAGGTTAATAAGGTTAAATTGGGAAATCTAGATAGAGAACCTAAGATCATCCTCTATTAGGAGAGAACTAAGGCGACGAGGGGGAGGCATAATAAGAATAATCGTGGATATGTGAATGGTGAGGAATATTAAATCAAAATAGTGTAGATGTTAAGTATGGGGTATCAAGGTGAAATGAAAGTAAAACAAAAGCCGCGGAGCCAGAGGGGCGGAGTGGGAATGTTAGAGGAGGGAAGAACTGAGGTCATGATAATTTCGTGGATGGCCATTTTGTGAGGGGGTACAATTAGCAATTCTTGTATTCAATAAGTGAAAATCGTTGTGTCTACACTCGACTAGTTCGGATAATGCATTCAGCATACCTGGAGCATATATCAAAATACAGAAGGGCAACATTTATATGCTGGATTCTGAAACAAATTTATACTTCTTTTTTTAGAATGGCTTTCGATTTACTATTATCGTTAACACTAACCATGGGTATGTAACATCTGTCGGGGACGTTTTGGACCCCTTACCAAGTCATGGTGTAGATTGTAAACCTCCATAATAGAAGTTTGAGACTCTCTTTACTACCACTATGATGTTTCTTCATCATATCAATTTTGCAGACTAATTGGTAACTAGAGCAAGATTATCTCTACCTCCGAGTCAATGCGCCTAATGGAATGGGAAATTACATTTCTTTTAAATGATAAAACCAGAAATAAACCCAGCTTTTCTACCACGTCTTATTCTTATCTTCCTTATCAAGGCCATTTAAGCATTACATCTAGGGTCGTGATACTTAGTTCATCTCATATTTTAGATTATTTTAGGGATTTTAGTCCACTAAATTCACTATTTTACCCTTTCTCCATTTAAATTTAATTAATACTTACTACTATATAATTACCCACTATACTTATATATAACGGAAATGTATAAACTTAGGTAAGGTAGACGCAATAGTATTAATATATAATAGTAAGGTAATAAGTGACAAAGAAAAGTATTCGATTTTTTAATGTACCCATCGTGGTCTCTCAAACTAGGTGCTGCATAATGAATTGTTTCTTTAAAGATGCGGCCAGGTTGTTTTGAAGCATGTTATCAGATCGTCTAATCAAAAACCAATCTTACTCCCAGTGTTTAATGTATGCTTCGTGTCTTTGCTCGTCTGTTATATGTTATTGGATTTCCTGGGTGAGTTTTTGGATTTCCTCGCTTAGTATTGCTTATATATGGTCAATCTAGAGGAATATACCATCTTTGGCGTAGGCGGGTAATATTTGATAACGTTAGCCCCGATGGATCTTGGCTACTTGAACCGGTCTCACTCCTAGGGGAGACCAACCCGTTCTCCTAAACCCTATCCATTTATCACATCCAGACTCATCAACACAGACTAGTTGATATGACTAAAATTCAGATAGTGGAAATAGAGGTCTCGCAGATCAGGGTCCCGTTCTTTTGCTCTTTTACGGGCCGTCCTTTCCGTCCAACCCGCGGAAGAAAGGGCTCTTTTTATGCTTCAAGGTGACACGGGAATATCAAATTCGTTATGTAGGAAAACTGCCATCTCGTCAAGGTATAGACCAGGCTTTTCGATGAGGTGATCGAAGAGTGCTTCAAGCATTTATGGGGTTATACTGCGTGGTCGACCTCCAGGATTGGGTGGACTTTCAGTACCAAACATGCGTAGGTGTGATCAAATATTCCGGATAAAACATTCGCTACATTCGGCAGCATCAGCAATCTGAGAAGTAGTAAAGCATTTTCTGCGTAACATATCGTGGATAAGCATATGCTTCCAGGGTTCAAGCCTCTAGAGCACCCTCTCTTCCGAGGCACGTCCTATAAAACTTTCTTCTTTGAAAATCGCAGGAAAGTATCCCTTATAAGTACAATGACTACTCTCTGTGTAGTCCATAACGGGCGACTAAAAGTCGCTCCCTTTCATGTCACAAGACTCACCCTCCCAGCTGGGTATTAGATAGCTCATTTATTCTGAATTAAAAACATAAGAATCGAGCTCGACGATGTGCCTTGTCAACCAATGTATTGGTGTACCGAGATGATGGATGGGTTTGGCCAAGTATCTTCTTTCGCCCCTGCAAAGCATAACGAAGAAAATTCTCTGCTTCTTCGAACCAGTTCTGTTTATAGAGTGACTTGCCAAGCCATTCTGCAGAATGGAGTGTGTTTGCGTCGTCTTGACCTAGCACCTTTCTACGCCCTTGCAGAGAACGTCGTAGCATTTTTTCTGCGTCGGTGTACCGGTGTAGTTCATACAAAGCCAGGCCAAGCATGTGTGTGGTATTGAGAGAGTCTGCATGGTCATGACCCAACACTTTTTTTTGCCCTTGAAGAGCACGGTGAAACATGGTCTCTGCTGCTTCATAACGTTTGAGCTGGAAGAGCGACCGACCAAGCCAGTGTACAGAATCGAAGATATCTGCGTGGTCATGTCCCAGTACCTTCACTTGCTCTTGCAGGGCTTGGTGGAACATAATCTCCGCTTCCTCGAACTGTTTAAGCCGGTAGTGAGAGAAACCAGCTTGCGGAAAGTATGTGGGACCTGGAAAATTGGCCCAAGGGCCCTCTGGTCGATCTGAGTCTCGGGCTGGGTGGGGCGGTACCTGTGAAACTTACCTGGGGGCAGATGAATCGTTCCATTGTTAAATCCCACCTGGTTTCCGAAGTTTATGCCGCTGAACTATATCGAAGACATAAGTCTTTTAATAATACACCTTGTGTGTCTATTTCTGGGACGATCGAAAGTTCTTCATCTCGAAAGTAGAAGAACTTTCATCTTCAGCCCCACTGTCATGTGACCTGGGCGCTTAAGCTGATGGGGGGTTCAATACTATTTTTGGGACAGAGCCTGGACGGCTTCTTTGCTGCAGCTATTCAATCGCAGAATCAGAAGGTAGTGTTTTTCGGTCCAGAGTTGGGATAATCCGGGACGGAATAGGCTAAGGCAAGTCTGGACTGGCCCACTTCCAACTCTCGAGGCCAGACTACACCTCGACAGAATATACCTTACCAGAACAGTCGATTTGTGGGGGCCTGTGGGGACGTGGTAGGCCTATTAGCGCCATGGAAAGTAGACATCGCCAAAACCCACATAACCCGAACCCGACCCATTTTAGTGCAAACAGTGCAAACATAAATTATGCAAAATTACACATGTTTTGCTCTTGAAATAAGGTACTTTTACTTAGTAAATTCAGTATATAAATAATAATATATAGTTAAAATCATCTAATATTATAGTATATAAGATAATATATACAGAAATACTATATTTAGTAAAATTAAGTAAAATACATAGGCTATAGAAAAAATGGTGCATCTCCATTCTATGAAATACATACATCTTTAATATTACTTTAAATATAGCCCCCACTTATCGAATTTAGTAAACATAAGGTTATATAAGGTAAATAAGTCATAAGGATAGCTTACATTATAATAATTTACTAGTAGAAAAGGGTATATAGCCTATAAAAAGGTAAGAAAATTCGTATTAAAAAATACAAGTGTATAATTAGTAAGAAATTTATGTGTGCCAAGACCTTGATTTTATGTAAAAATGGGTTGAAATGGGTTATAAATGGGTTTTCAAATTAGAACTTATAACCCATTAGGTTAGGTTCGGGTTGAAACTCATAACCCTTAACCCGCGTGCGGGTCGGTTTCGGGGTTAAAGTTTGTAACCCATTTGCGGGTTATGGCGCAGACTAGTCTAGTGGAAAGCGGCGGATTTACGTAGAAGCACGATTAGGCTCCGGTAAATGAGGCCCTATTCTAAAATTCAAGAACCCACCCCAACCCTAAAAATCTATACACCCGTTAGGAGCCCCATAGGTAGCCCTGGATAAAACCCGCGGGAGCTGTTACGCGGTGCTAACTGGTCACAGTGAGTATCGCTCGTAGTGATGCTATACGTACGTCGAGGCTCGTCCTCAAGTCTCAGTCGCAATCGTACCGTTGCCAGTTGGCCTTACACGGGCTCGGATCTATAGAATAGACTTTTGTTGGGCAGCGCTAGATAGTAGCGCCTAGTTAAGCTATGCTAGACTTCCGCAGGACCCAGACCATGTACCTAATGGGTACCCAGGAAAACCCGATTTTGCATAACATCAAGGTCTTGACAGTCTTAATCTAATTATAAGTTACGTACTTTTATTATAAAATATCACTTATATTCTCTTTCTACATAAAGTTTGGCATATTATATTAAAGGATATATGTGCATACTTGTCGGATCGAGTCGATATGTGATCAACAAGTCCGGGTTAACCAGTTGCTAATTGATTGGCAATTGATTAACAGAGGTTTTATATGCGAGGAGATCAAGTTATCACATAAAAGAGGGCTCTTCTCAAAGATCAGAAAAGACTGAAATGCAGAAGAAAATTGGCTTGAGATTCAACCTATGCAGCCAAAATATCAGGTCTTAAATACATGTATTTTAGGGCATAAATTCGCTCGAAATCATAATGAATGTGTGAGAATATCAAGTGGTCAAGATCAATTGGTAAACAAGCGAATATAATCTCTCTTTTGCATATCGTATATCTGCAAGAAAAGGTGCAAAAGGAGTTGTAAACAGCGGTCTGAAATCAAGGAAAAACAATAATGCCGAAAAGAAGGGAAATCCTGTATTCCATGCATAAGCATGTGATCTAAGTGAGAGATCTCTAATCTCTGACAAATAGTCTTATCTTTCCTATTAGCGTTATATTCATTCAACTCATCTATAACGAATGGCTCTCCATAAAACATATCGCTGCGATGAAAGCCTAAGGAACTTATATAAGGGATCCATGGGCTAATAGACGCACACTATATGCAACAGGTACACACAGAATAGGCCAACCAGGATGCAAAGAAATGCATTCAACTCTAGTGTATTTAACCACGACGGTATAAGGAAATTACCCCTATGGGTTAGACAAGATCTGCATAACCCTCAGTGCTTCGAAAATTCATATTACCGAAATATTACAAATACCTGGTGTAGATTTATCATCTTGGATTGACTAGCCTGATTCCAAGGTTGCATATTTCTGTGCACAAGTTTCGATCCTTGGGGTAAAATAATCATCAGAATTATTATTATCTTTATTTTCAAAAATTATAGATAACAGAAAGTCTTCCTGTTCGGCATATTACTAGCGTCTGATATGGATCTCGTCCCTGGGACAAATATTATGAGAGAGGGACAAGGGGTGCCTTTGCCAAATGCATCAAATCATGACATCCACTTAGTCACTCAAAGACCGCGATGTCTCTCTATCTGATCCATATATATCCATGACAGACTTGTTCCCCGCCTTTCAGACGACCCGAAAGATGCCTTGAACTGGTCGAGGACGTGGATGTGTAAGTAAACGCAAACTTCCAATGACTGAAGGTTAATCCTAGAAAATCACACCCCTGCAGATATAGTCATTACATTTCAATTTCTCTTCCTATTCATCTCCATGGAATCAGCCCTCTCAATGGGACCGATGTTCCCTCTCTTCGCTGCTGAATTCCACCTCGACGATACGGAACTGAGTTTGTTGACCGGTGCATGTGTACTTGCTCTTAGCTTTTCCAAATTTCTCATTGTTCCATGCTCAAACATATTCGGTCGCTGTCTGACTAGCCTCGTGTTTTGCTTATTGGGGATTGCTTCCTGCATTTGGCGAGGCTTGGCAACTTCTTATACCACCTTACTCGCTGCACGCGTTGTAAATTGAGTTGCGACCGCAACCAGTAAGACTCACTTGGTGCAGGTCATTGGAAAAATGCTGTTTCTTCATGAAAAGCGTCTTTGGACAGGGGTTTATTTGTAAGTGCTACCTTCTGGCTGTGATGACGGGCGCTAATCTTCCACCAGCATGGGATACTTCCTCGGTCTGCTCATTAGACCAATCATCAAGGAAAGAAACCAAGGGGTGGAGTCTGAGCAACTGGAAAGTGTCGGACGAGCGACTAAAGTTGGCACTGGGCGACCCTCGAAGTCCCAGTTCAAGCTCTGGCAAGCCCCAGAGGCGGAGTGAAAACATTTTCTTCTCGGAGATATTTTCTCACCATTCCGCCTCTTTTCCTTTCCAATCATTCTCTGGGTAGCCTTGAATGTCGCTGGCCCGGCTAATATCCTCCTCTATTAGAACTTGACCGAGTCGTCAGTCCTCAGCGCTCCTCCGTAGAACTTTTCCCCGTCTAGCGTGATATATGCGAATTTTGCGTTCGTCGTCGGAGGTCTATTGGGTCTTGCTACCGCGGGGCCATTCTCTGATTGGATTGCCATGCGGGCTACGGAACGAATTAGTGGTGTCCGAGAAGCGGTAATGCGCTTGCCAGATTAATAACCTATTCAATACTTACGGTTGTTGGGATCGTGATCGGCGATCTAGGCTACGATCGGCTTTAGGGTTGGCCTACAGTCTTGGTTGTTGGATATGGCTTTAGTGGCCTTTGCGCGGGCTAACGAGGCATTTACACGTACATTCATATGCAGGTTGATGATTCGATGAGCATTTTCCAGACTGTACAGGATGCTTGATGGGGTAACTCAGTTTGCGCCCGTGTTTGTGTGAAATAAGGTATTTTGGTGGGGAACCGTATATCTTACAGAACCATGCTGGTGACGTTATGTCCCAGAGCATTATTAGAGATATCATTCACACTAGCTAGTATCAATTAGAGATCTTTAAACTCCTACACTTCTCTCATCGGATCTCTATGGGTGGGTTTCCGTTCCTTACATGCTCGACTGGGTTTTGCTGTGGTGTTTGCATGGCTGGATCGACTCGTGTACCTAAAGTGAACTGCTATCGAGCATTCTCGTCTTCAATAGTCTACTATCTCTACGCTTACGTATAAAAATTCTAAAGAGTCTAATACTAGGTGGTGTTGCGGTGGGGCTGTGATAGGCGCGCTGCTTTTCTCACGGCTTCAGGTCTCTAACCGGCGCACAATAGTGGCCATGAATTACACTTAGAAGCAAGGAACTTTTGGCTCGAACCATAAAAAAATGGAAGTTCATGGAAGCCGCAGAAGCACGTGCTACACTAACGATCGGTGGCTGAACATGAAAATCATCTAGATAGGATCTAGGCTTACTTTTCTAGTAAAGCAGGGTTTCTTCCCGCGTATGAAGAGAAACAGTATAGAAAAATCTACTCTTAGAATATAGATAATCAATGATTGACTAAGTGCCATGGCTCTTACTATAGCTAGGCTGCTCTTAAGCATTTTAGCATATCTCATACCTTCAGGACCAAGTAACCTCCGGCTTGCTAGTATCCACGATAAGGCTGTACTTGCCGATCAAAAAGATCTGGTGTACTGCTCGATTCCAATTTTCTGTTCGTTCTATCCAATAAAAATTTTTTGAGGTTCGTTGCTATGTTCAAGGTATAATTCCTGTGTCGCTAGCACGTTTGGATGATTAAGGTACGGATTTTGAGAGCATCGAAGACTAACGCCTCCCACAATACCTACACTTCTTATTGTAATAAATAATGAACAGTTCATATGTGTCTAGTCTCACATGAAATGCAAGCACAAGCTTTGAGGTCGACCACCAACGATTTTCAGAGTGCCTACTCCCGCTGCCGCCTCCAACGGAGCAAGCCCCCTCCTACCACTCCTCCTTTTTTGCATCGTTCAATCCACCGTGACATACTGTCGCCTAGTTAATAAGGCCCGTTTTTCTCTGAGACCAAATTTCATCCTTACGATCCAAAAGACCAAGCGGAACGCGAGGGATTTCGTTCGTGCGAGAGATGCCAACCAAAGAACGCTAGCTTCCTTGGCGAGAGGGAGGATGTCATCATAGAGATCATTGCACTTCAAAGGATATCCTAGATGATATTTGGATGGAAGGCGGCTTGAAAAAGCCGGCAGAAAGGACTGGCGTTTGACCAGGTAACATTTTCCGCGTATTGAGGAAGACAATGGGATTACCATCAGTGTCTATATGACTGAGATTGAGAAGGCTACAACCTTGGAAGATCTGTCGCTGACAAATTTTGAATACAGCCAAAACAATAGGAAGCCCAGGTGATGAAATAATGGCACAATGTCTGGCAGCCTCTGTAGAGGCCCTGGACTTGTATATTGATTATGATCAATATCTTTGTCCGGAGGATTCAGTCAATAAGAATCCTGGAGTGGAAATACGTGAAAAGGGGTATTTATCAACGGGAAGTTTCAGAACTAATGATTATTGTGGTGATTGACGCCTGGGTAGCGTACGTATTCTGCAATCGCACTACTGCTCAAAATCAAAATACCTGCGTATCCTGATAGTTGAATGTATCAATAATATACACACGTAAACCATCCGAACTTCTGACCATGCCTAAGGTCATTTTTAACCCGAATATTCCCACCGCTTAAACCAGACATGAAACATTCTGAGAGCTTGAATACTTCCCCACGTCTACCAACATGGCCATTCCACTGGACAAATGCCACAAGACGTGGCAGTGAAATAGCCATGCTCCCGGATTATCAGCCCGAAATCTCAAAACCGCATACGCACGGCTAGGAATATAGATGTTATCTCGCAACATCGCTAGCGAGAAGTCCATTCCGTCGGTGTCGGGGTAAGCATCTGGGTCAGAGCCGGGAGGAGACGAGTCGGAGAAGGGATTGTAGGAGCCCCAGCCGATTGGACCCTTATACACAGTAAGAATGTAAAAATGGTGGCCATGCTGGAATTTGCAGTTTTGTTAGCATATTGTACAAGTTGAAGAGTAACATCTACCCACTAAATGGAAAGGGTGGCCTGTGTCATCCAGATTGTTCACGACCAAGTCGACCCATATAGATTCTCTTTCTTGTTCATCGTTGCCTACGACCAATGCAAGCTGCTTTTTATCCCATTGCTCCCGTGGAAGCCCATTCAATGGAACGGGAGGGTTTTGTTGAGGTGCCCATGAGGTGTGGTTGAAGTAACCATACGGCACGTTATGGTTGATGGCGAATTTCTGTGTTTTGACATATACAATCTCGGTAGTATTTGCATGACTCGGGAGCAAGGATAAGATGTCGACAGGGGAAGGGATATTTTGTATGTCTAGATGAGAGTTTGGCTTTTCATTTTTGGTCGTTAGTTGTGCCTCTGAGGCGTCCCCGGCGTTAATGAGAAAAGTCTGATTGGGCGTGAGTGCCGGATTGGGGAATTTCATGCATCTTACTCAGTAAGTCTTGTCGCCTTGCGATAAAAAGAATAACAACTTACTCTGAATCCATCTCAATGTTCAAAGCGGACATCTCTGTGTCACTTGGAACGCGCATTAGGAGATCCATGCGCTGACCCGGGTACAAGATTCCAACCGAATTGGCCTCTTCTCTATCTGCAACTTTCATGCTGTCCACCGCAATGACAGAAAGAGACTGTGTAGGCGAGGTCACGGTAAATCCAACTAGCGATCTGAATACTTTAGTCCACAAGGAAGACCAGTGTATGCTACTTGAATGCTCACCCTGTATTTACCACACGTAGGCGTTGCACAACATTGGCATTTGCGTGTAGATATGTCAAATCGGAAGATTTCTCAACACAATCAACTGGTCGGGCAGGGACTGCCTTAGAGCAATTGTAATGGCCATCTCCATTAATTAATAACGAGTCAGGAGCCGGCTACAGTATGTCAGTCAATCATCCCGGCCTAGGTTGACAGAGAGCGACGTACATCATTGCCAAAAGACCCTGCACGCATGTACCATGACATGACTTCAACTGCAGGCCGATGATACCAGTCGCCAATCAAAAGTAAGAAATCATTGCTGTATGAAGAAGGATTCGCGAGCAATCCACGCTCTACGAACTTGGATGCTGATTCGTGGACAACCAAGCCTCCGTACAGCCCATCGGCTCTTGCGAGCCCAGAGTGACCATGGTACCAAAAGGTCCCATGTTGATGATCTGGGATAGTGAAGTTATAAGTATAGGACGTTCCGGGTGGAATACCACACTGTGTAACCCCAACAACGCCATCCATTCGATCTGGATCATATGTCAGACAAAAGACTAGCAACAGCATGCGGAGAAGGTGCATCAATACTATCAATATGTAGACCATGCCAATGGATTGAGACTTGCTCTTGAATATGATTCGTGACATTGACGATTAGAGTGTCTCCTGGACGAGCCTCGATAGTTGGTCCCGGGAAGAGGCCTGCCAGTAATCAACACGAGGTCACTCAATAGCATGGGAATAGTCGATACCGTTGATAAGATGCACTGTTTTGAGTACCCCATCTGGCCTAATATCTTTAGAGCTCAGAGTCCAGTCCAAATGCTGGGTTTCAGGATCTCGATAGGCATGGTCCTCTGCATGGAGCTCTATTCCCGTGGTATGGGTTCCCGCAGAAGGGGAATCAGCCCCGTGATGAATGCTGAAGATATCCACCGAGATGGCTGCTTTTAGTAAATCTGGCGTGCTCCACTGACACCAGAAAACAAATAAAACAAACAGGCATGTAATTACTGGAAATAGCGTCATGCAGAATAAGTTGACGTTTGTGGACAATACATGTTGACGGGATTTAGTCCCGCTGCGCTCGTCTGTGGCATTAAGCTTTCTTCGACGATTAAAAAGCTGCTCCATCCTTGGTTTCAGATCGCGGGCATGAAGTGATTCTCCGAAGGCCCGAAGACTCATCACGTTTGGTTAAATGCACCTAGCTACAACTCGGCTGGGTGCAAGTTCCTGATTACAGAGTGGGGTAGGTCAAAGGAGGCGATGCAACTCAGTATCACGTTCCTCCGGATTTGACGCTTGACTGAAATCCTGTTTGATGTTTTTGACTTCTCGTGGACATCGGCGCCGCTCCGTGAAGTCCGATCGGAGACGGATTGTCCTGCCAATGAACTAAGAGAGTTCCCGCACGTTTAGACGGCTTCTCCACTCATATCATGCAACGCGGCTGTGGCCGACCAACGGCGGAAGAATGGCAAATCATTTGTTTATCATGAGTTGAGAAAGATCGACAGTTCCTGAAATGTGTTCCTGTCTTTCCCTCGGATGGTCCCCACGTGCGACCGAAATGGATGCAGCCGAGATTAACCCCTTGTTAGCCCCCTTCCTAGAGGCTGGAAGCTCACATCGTGTGAATAATCTGGCGCATCCTATTAGCTAGTTCAGATCGGGCTTCCCCCCGGTTACATTGCAGTATACTACCGACAGTGTCATCTACATTCACGGTCGCACGGATCGGAGCTTTGTTGAAGCGACGCAGTAAGAGACGCGCATATAATTACCGAGGTCCTGCAACTTGGGACAACAGTGACTATGTCTCGTAGGCTACTATTTGCCAATATGAGTACTCTATTGAGCTCTGCCTTATTGCTCCTCCTTGCAGCCCGACCGGCGTTTGCTGGATCGTTGAAGGATATCGAGCATGTGGTGATTTTCATGCAGGAAAACCGATCATGGAACAACGTAAGTCAGCTTTTACAGCGTAAAGTAGAGATCTGCTAATGGAAAACAGTATTTTGGAACTATGGCCGGTGTTCGCGGCTTCAACGACCCGAACGTGCAAGTGAACGCCGATGGCCTGGATGTTTATCACCAGTATGTATTGCTAGCGAATTGCAAAACATTTGAGACTGACTTATCAATAGGCTTGTTGATTCCTCAATGTCTACGAAGACAAAAACCCTTCTACCTTGGTACCTGGGTTACCAAGGTGGATCCACAGTCGATGCCATGCAGTGCATGACTGCTGGATCTAACGGCTATGAGGACAACCAGGCCGCTATCAATAGTGATCTGAACAACATGTGGGCGCGTAACAACACTCCCTGGAGCTGGGGGTATCTGAAGAGAAGTGATATCCCAGTTCATTTTGGCATTGCTGAGGGCTGGACTGCCGGAGATATGTATCAGGTCGGACCTTTTCATTCGTCATCTACAGCAAGGATATGCTGACCGGTTTTGTAGGAATCTCAAGTCACCTCGACCAACCCCAACCGTGTCACTTTGGTCAGTGGCTCCATCAATGTCCCAGGAGGGCCTCAGAGCCCTGACCAAGGCGGCCCTTACTTGGACAACAATGAAACTCCTGGCTGTGAGGACAATGAAATTAACTGCTACCCTCTGAAATGGAAAACTATCTACGATATCTATGAAGCCGCCGGTGTCTCGTGGCAGGTATGGCAAGACTCGGACAACTTCGACGATAATCCTCTAGCCTGGTTTGAACAGTTCCAGAACGCCTCCTCCGACTCCCCTCTTGCCAAGAAGGGTCTTTCTTACGTTGGCCTGAAGAGCTTTTATGAGTCTGCTGCTAACGGAACTCTCCCGGAAGTCAGCTTCATCGTCGGCCCTGCCGAGCTCTCCGAGCACCCCCCTTACATGCCCAAGGATGGTGCGTGGCTTCAGAAGCAAGTCGTTGATGCCGTGACCAGCAGCCCTAAGTACAATTCCACTTTGTTGATGATAAGTTACGACGAGTCTGGCGGTTGGGGAGATCACGTCGTCCCCTTCCACTCGCCTAAAGGCACTGCTGGTGAATGGATGGAAGATCCCTATGGCCTTTTCGGTGATATATACTCTGGTCCTGGTGTCCGGGTTCCTTTCTACATAGTCTCTCCTTGGACTCGTGGCGGTCGCGTTTTCACTGAGCGTGCGGATCACAATTCTCAGATTCTGTTCCTGGAGCAGTGGCTGGAGGCCCGCGGATACAAGAACGTTCAAACACCCGAGATGGCTAACTGGCGCCGTGAACACATGTCCAACCTCGTCAATGCTCTCGATCTAGATAATCCGGATCTAAGCTTGCCCACTATCCCGGAGGCCGAGACTCCTGATATGGCTCTGGGCAAGTACACTGGCACATCAAACTGCGAGGCCAAGTACCCCACCCAGCGTCCTACCGTGCCTTATGGAAACCAGAGCAACAAGACCAACACTTTGTTCTTTGAGGAGGGATACAAGGAGGTCATCGGTTATTTGACTGAGGGTCGATATTTGACCTTTGAGAGCTCCGCAGAGGCTCTCACCAACTCTGGAAACACTAGCAAAGTGAGCAGTACCCCCGCTAAAGCGGATCACAGCAGCAAGAACCAGCGCTGGGTGATTCACTATACTGCCGATGAGGAGAGCCAAATCTTTCATATTTCAAGTGCTTTGGACGGTAAGTTCATTGGTGCTAAGGGATCACTGGTGACCAGCCAAAGCAAGGCCGCAAACATCAAGATTACTTTTCTTGGAAAGAGTAAAGGTTATTCCATCGAGTACGAGAATGGACATGCTATTGGAAACCTTCAGAGCGGTTGCAGGATCTGGAGTGTTTCTTACAATTAAGCTAAGAAACATATTCTGGGTGCGCTTTGGGTTGACGTTGGCCAGAATAGTACTTAAATCAAAGTCACATTGGCAAGTAATGATATAAAATAGTCAACATATTTCATTGAAGACAATATTCTTATAATGCTATCTATACTATGGAGCTACTAGGTGAATAGAAATATAGAGTCCTCTAGGCTTTAGAATATCATTAACCTTTCACATGACTTACCTTGATCTTGTGCAGCTCTAACACAGCCTAGGCTACGATATACAGTAAATAGAACAGTAATAAGGACATGTGGGATTTTTGCAAATATTGCTGCTCGTTATGCGCTCGTTACGCACTGTTTCTAACCCTTAGTTTTGATGGTTCTAAGCTTATAAACTCCATTTTAGACCTAACGACATAATAGAACCAGACTCTAAAAGCCTAACCTATTGGGGTTATCTATTTAGTGCGAACTTCTTTAGTATAGGGAAATAAAAGTAGGTCAGGGTCCAAGGGATTTAATCTTCATGAGTAAAGAACTTACACTCTACCTTCGGGGGAAGCTTGTATTTTCATATATTTGGTAACACCCTCTATTTTATACTTGGAATGAAATTTAAATTATTCCCACCACTAGAATAGGTATTTATAGGGGTTTGAAGATAATAATTCTTTTTAAAAAGGGTACTAACCTTCCCCGCCTATAATATAATATAGTCAATATCTACTGTTATAGATCTAATAGGTTTTTTATTATCAGTAAGCGGCTCATGTAACGAAAAATCGTCAATAATGAGTTTTGTCTTTGGTCGAAGAATAGGAACATGCTGTCGTTGAATTTGCACACACTGGGAGTCGGGCCAGTTGTGGAAGATATTTCGGAAGTAGTATGTGTCGCCGACGACGGTCTGCGGGGTGAAGAAGTCGTGTGTCTGCGAAATCACCCGGTGATTGTCTCCTGTTGATGCTCTTCCTTTAGTCGTATATGACTGAGCATGTGCATGGGGAGCGACATCTTGCACCAAGAAGTGGAGGTGAGGTAGGCGTTCAGCAAGGCCGATACTGATTGTGCCGTTGCCGCCGCCGACATTAACGAATAATGATTCCGGAGCTAATGACGATAGATGGGAATTGTTGGGGATAAAGTCGAAGTCAATTCGGGCGGCCATTGCGCTCATGGCCAAGTTCCAGCGTTTTTCGCGAGCGGAATGATTTTGAAGCTCTTCATAGAGACCTAGTTGTTTACTATTTACGAGAGAGAAACCCTGGATTCAATCTCTCAATTATTTAACAAGAAATAACGTGATAAGATAGATGTACTGATTGATTTGCAGATTGTGATTCTCCATATTTGACCAGCGCGTCGACTGCCTAACTTATCCGCGATGTCAGCCAAGATTTACTCGAGAAGTCAACTCTACTTGAAGTTCCTCGATAGACTACACTGACCTTTACGGATGCTGGGAATTGTTCCTCATCTATAATACCGGGAAATGAGCGGATCCGTTCGTCTTCACGCAACAACTTCCATAGATTAAGATACCCAAACAGTGGCTAAACCATCACGTAATCCAGATTTACTGCATAATTTAGTGCAAAATGATATGTCAACTTCTTTTGCCTTTTTGGGTTATACAGGGTAACCCTTTGGGTCTTGGGTCGGGTTTCCCAGATGACAACTAGTGAGCATTACGGGCGCGCTGGCATCATGTCCGTTGCGGCCGGGGCTTATAGCTTTGCCGAGGTTGTTAGGACGTTCCGGAGAATTTTTGACTATCAGGCTACCCAGTGTAGCAGTTTTCTGCCAAGGCCTCCTCATTGTAATATACATCTGGATATCTGCATGCACTCGGCAAGTTTCACTGTTGGAGTTCCGATGGATGGTATAACAGCGGAAATGCCATCTACTTGAACTCGCTTTTACATTGTGTAGTTGATCATATCGCTATATAGAGTGCAGCATGACTTCAATAAAGTAAAAAGTCCATGTCAGCAGCATGCGTCGCATACATACCGGATAATGTCTGGCGTCCGAGACTTGCTCTTTCCGTTTTGGTGCTCACCCCTCGCTCCCGGAGCAAAACTGGGCAAGGCGCTAAACGCCCTGATCTGCTCAGGGAATTTGATATGATCAACATGTTAATCTAAAATTCTTACCAAGAGGGAGAAGAGACAGGACATGATGCGCTGCTTTACTCGCTGAGCTACCTGCGCAGTGAAGGTCTTCCTCGGCTGCACCAATAGGAACAGCATGACCCTCTTATAATCTTAGGGCCGCATCTGATCGACACACACGCTCTCAGGAATGCAGCCGGCAAATTCGGTATCGATGACATTGTAGATATCTTTTGCTAAGGCGGATATTACTGGGGTTTAAGACGCCATCTGCTTGTCCCAATGATGTGACCTGCTTTGTACGTTGATGAATGCTGATGAAATCGCCGTGAGTTCAACAATTGTCGTACTTATTAAAGTATATTCTTATATGGCGGCTGCCATCATCATCGTTCCAGAATTGAACAGGCATGACGGGAATTCTTTCGTGCAGACAATGAATAAACAGCAATTATGGGACAGGAGGGAGACGTTGCTGGTTACATTGCTACTTACGCGAAGCCGTCGCCAGCTTGTAAGTATTTTTTTTTAGTATTGTAATTGGGAGGCATTGTATGCTCGATCTCGGCGATGATGATGGTCATAAAGACGGCGATGGACGCAGATACAGATTCGGTCGAAATAAGCTTGCTCTACTATAATCTAACAAGGATCTTAGTAAATCGCATGTTTATGAGAAGAAGTTCATTCAATTCTGAGCACACAACGATGATGATCTTTGCTAACATCACGCTACATTGTGTAGCGGGAATAAGGATTCTTTAGGTCTGTCACATTATTTTCACCCAGCTCACGTCCCCGCTGCTCTTGCTCCTCCTTCGAGAGTTCACTTTCAGCAGCGAGGCGATCTCGTCGCTTGTTCATCCACACGTACCAAGATCTCCAGGCCAGAATATTGATGGTTGCGAGGGCAAAACAGACGGAGCAGGCAATAGTGCCGGAGACATATCGGGGAGCATCGTCTGTTTTGAAGACCTGAGCACCGGCCATGTTACCCATACAGTAAGCAATCAAGGTCATGGATGAGACAACAGTCTGCTTGGTCCTCCCAGCAACATTGGACGGAACTAGTACGCATATGCATTAGATTTCTGAGAAAACCTGTAGCTGGATCATGGACAAGGGGTCACCTACTTAGACTCCAGCCAAGAAAGATGGTAAGTGAGAAAACGACATTAATGATGTACATGCCCCATTTTAACCATTTGTATTGAGGCGTATCCGGGAGTAGGGACATCACCAAAAAACTAGCAAAGGGAATGATGCAACTCGCTATCATCACCCACATTCGTTGATTCTTCACTTTTCGTGTGTAGTATCCGACAGCCAGAAACGCGACAACATAGACAGCTGTGAGAATAAAAGTTATGAACCAGAATATTCGGTGAATATTGGAGCAGAATAAACACACCATTTCGTGGACAGCCATATAGCATGGACTCCCAGTCACTGAAACCAAATGTTTCATACATTAGGGAACCGAAAGTTGTGATTCCCCTGTTATTTTTGTCTTAGTGCTAGGTATCGAGAGCGGCAGTCACGGACTACTTACCCATTGGGAATGTTGACTAGAAAAGAAGTGGCGACGGAAAAGTATAGTTGAGGATCCTGAAATGTCTCAATCACTTGTGGCCATGACCATTCCCTTCCGGTCGTATCCGGAGCCATTTGGTTGTCAAATGTTCGTGCGGCGCTGTTCAAATTAGCATCACGTAGATGTAAGATATATAAGAGAGCAAAACTTACGCCATCCTTTTTTCGTTGTCATTCAACCATCGAACTTCATGTGGCGAACCAAGAAGAAAAAAGGCAGCGACCGCCCCAGCAAGTGTCAGAGATCCAAGGAACAGTGAAATGCAACGCCAAGCTGCAATCCTGCCGTATGCCTCGACATGTCTAGCAATTCCATATAGGATGAGGTTACACACAATTGAAAAGAACCCTTCAGACGATTGCCAAAAAAGCGATCTGTTAGCATGCTCTTCTGTGCGATACCGCATCCCGGTGAGGAGAAGAAACCCAGCTGAAATATTGCTTTCGAAGAAGCCTTGCAGGGCACGCAAGGCCATCATTTGTGACCAGCTTTGGGCTGCACTGATGCAAATGAGACAAATACCTATAATACACCATGAGTAGCTATCCCTTAATATTTCTGACTCGATCTTTCTTACCCCAGCTTGTCATGTAAATCGAAAGAATGCGGCCAGGGTTGAACCTCTGAAGCAGATACACTGAAGGGAATTCGCCAACAAGGTACGCCAGATAGAAGCTGATACAGTTTTAGTTCTCGTCCAAGTTCTAGGAATCATTTCCCCTACATCGTCGTCAGCCATTGGTATTGCTGGCCTTGCAGTGCCAAGTCGTTTTCCATTCCAAACAGCTAGGGTCAATTAGCCTATTACAACACCCTTTGACTGGATTTAACGGATCCTTACGGCTTGAATACTTGTGGAAGTCTTGTCGGTCTGCTGGATGCCATAGAAAAAGAACCTGCCAGATCAGAACTGGGCTGTAACATAAGGGGTGTCTGCACGAAACTCACATCATCGGGAGAAGGAAGCAGTCGATTTTTCTCGTCAAGCGCTTATACTCCTCCTTTGTGTAATCTATATCCTTTTCATGAGCCACAGCACTAAAAGATACCGGATATGCTGACATACCAGACGAAGAAATGATTTCGCCAGTCCCCATTTCTGTCACCGATTGGGTCTCGGCGTCGAGAGAGTAGACTTTGTCCATAGATCGTCTTTCCTGTTGGGAATTCTTTGTTGGTGGATCATTTGCCAAAGACCCAGCAACAAGGGTCATTTCATGAGGATTCGAAGACATGTTTGGATACACTGAGAAGGTATAGAAAGGCACTTCGTTTCCAAGGCAGCCGACTTCAAGTCACGATTTTCGGTTTAATATGAATCACAACTCTCATCAGTTATATCTTTATAGCTGCATGGCTTAGTTGTCTTCCGATAAGTGAGCCGATATGAAAATATATGAATATCCATAGGGTGTCCTTGTAAAATCCGAATTAGAGGTCACGGGAATCCGCGACGATCTTCAAATATAAGACGTCTAAAGCCGAGAGGGGTAGGACAGAGTTTGGAATAGTTCCATTTGAATGCAGGGGCAAAGACGAAACTAATGCACGACGCGTACGATCATGACTGGGAGTTCACTGGAGATAGGGGATTGGCTCTAGCGGTAATTGTCGCCTCTTGTTGATCGTTCTTATCTATTGTAGTGGGGAACCATGTCCCCCATATATCTTACAGAACCATACTAGTCACGCTCCGTTACAGGGTGGTATCAGAGATACCATTAATACTAGTTAGTATCAGTTACAGAAATTTACACTCTTACAACTCTCTCATCAGACCCCTACTAGTGGATTCTCGTCCTGGACGTATGCTGTGGGGGTTTGCTATGGTATTTGTTTGCACTGCTGAATCGACCCGTGCACCTATAGTGCACTGCCATCGAGTGTTCCCCTCTCCACTATGAACTCTAAATCGGTCAACTAATCTGAGGTCGAAAGAATCTGTCAATTACTTCCGGCTCTTGTGTGGCAGGAGAAAGTTCGTTATGGGAAGATTCCTGTCTAAAGTAGTATGCCATTGACAACGGTTATATAACAGTCATACGGACATGTTTAATTTACACGTGGGATACACTATCGCTGCTTTTCGTCAAGAAGGGAATTTCAGACCCCAATCGGCGGATAGCGAGGAACGCAGCCTACCCGCCGCAATTCGCCGATGTGGATCCATAGAGCATATCGGTCAGAGGCATTGGTACAGAAACTATCCCCCAGCTCCTATATATCGACAAGTATTCACGAGACCATAGCTCTAACTAGGTAGCTATCAGTCCCCTCTGTGTAATCATGTCAGATCGATCTTCACCACCGGTACCCGAGCCGACTACTCCGTTCTGGAGGACAGCCACTCACCCGCTGGACCGCCATCGCAGCACATCCGACCTGCCATCTAAATGTGATATTGTCATTGTTGGAGCAGGCTTTGCAGGGGCAGCCCTTGCACATTTTTTGTACAAAAGCAATCCTTCTCCCCCGTCAGTCGTGATTCTGGAAGCCAGAGAGGCATGCTCAGGAGCCACAGCACGCAATGGTAATTACCCATATCATGGATGTCACCCTTCTTTTTTATTTATTAGCTCATTTCAAAAATAGGTGGCCATTTGAAGCCTGATATATATTTCAATATCCCAAAGCATATAAAAAAATACGGCGCTCGCGCCGCAGCTGAGGTTGCTCAGTTTGAGACATCCCAGGTTCTAGCAGTCAAAGAACTTGTGGAACAAGAGAAGATCGAATGTGATTTTGTCCTCACCCGAGCTTGTGACGTATTTCTAGAAGAGAAGCTGGCCAAGGAGACTGAAGTCGCTTTTACTGATTTGGCTAAATCTGGAAAAGCGGATTTGAAAGACGTTCATTTTACACCCCGATGTGATGCAGAGCGGGTTTGTTACCCGGACCCTGTGCTTATATTCAATTATCTAATTTCTTTTCTCTCTTTAGATATCAGGTGTCAAGGGGGGCTTTGAACTGCTTCACATTCACTGCCGGTCATATCTGGCCTTACAAAATGGTGATGCACCTTCTGGAGGGCGTTGTTAAGAAAGGTGCAAACCTTCAGACTATGACACCGGTCACACATATCGCTGAGACCCCAGGTTCCGATGGGAAATGGCTAGTTACGACTGAAAGAGGGGGTATCAAGGCCTGCAAGGTGCTCCTAGCCACGAATGCATACTCATCTCACTTGGCACCACAGTTCACAAATCACATTATTCCTGTCCGCGGAATATGCAGTCGCATTGTCGTGCCTGAAAACAAAGTTGCCACTTTTTTGCCTCAGACATACAGTATCCGCCATGGTGATGCGATGTATGACTATCTTATCCCACGCCCGGACGGCAGCATTATAGTTGGAGGTGCAAAGCCGCCGTTCTGGTCAGACAGTTCCCATTGGTATGGCGTGACTGATGATAGCAAACTCATCGAGCCAGCCAAATCATGGTTCGATGGGCTCATGCAAAGAACCTTTATTGGGTGGGAGAACAGTGGTGCTTATACTGATAGAGTCTGGACAGGGAGTATGTTACCTCTTTACTTCTGGATGATTGGCAACCGAGGAAACTAATTTGAATTCAGTCATGGGATATAGTTCTGATTTCATGCCATATGTCGGTGAAGTGCCTGGCAAACAAAACCAAATGATCTTGGCAGGCTTCTCGGGCCATGGTATGCCATTGATTCTTCTTTGTGCCAAGGCTATTGCAGAAATGGTACGCAATGGAACGCCATTCGAAGATACGGGAGTTCCTTCAGTGTTTCGAGTGACTGAAGAGAGACTCACAAGCACCAGAAATGAGGTCTTGGAGGAAATTCAGAAACAAGACGCACGAAGCAGACTCTAGGTATCTTGTCCGGCCTGCAGCATTATTCGCCCGTCTAGCTTCTAGATATTACGATCTTCATTTTGACAGTAGAATTCATGCATTCTAAATGATCTCACAGCTAGCTAGCAGCCGAAGTAGCAATTATTCTATCTGCCATCGAAGGGAGATCATCTGCCATTACATCCATGTCTCCAAAAATATCCGAGCATGTTTCCTTCTCCCACACTGATACCCAAGCACCATTGAAGCTAAGTGTTCTCAGTTAGTATTAAACTCAAGACGACAAGAATATGAAGCTATAACCTACCCACGACGGCGTGCAGCAGCGGCATCCCACATATGAGCCGCTGCAAACCATGTCTCCAGACCCTCAGGATTAAACTTGTCGAGAATATACTGATAAGATGAGGGGTCTGGCTTGCCAATCCCAATAGTGTCGCATGAGACGAAATTATCAGCGGGCATCTCCACTCCGCCCTTGGCAAGGTATCCTGCGACGCGCGGCGTATCTCCAGCCGTCAAGGCCCAGACAGTAAACCCCGCAGCGCGAAGTCGAGAAAAGCACTCTGCGATACCGGGGCGGGGTTCCAAGGCACGGTACGAGGCCAACAGACATTCTCGATCTTCATCGTTGGCGAATTTCCGCGGCTCTGTAATACCAGCTTGCCACAACGTCCGATAGAAGATTGATCGGAAGACGTCAAAGAATTTCACATATTGACCTGAAAGACTCAGATACGTGTACTCCCGCTCTCCGGCTTCCATCCATGCGTATCCAAACAAACGGGATCCAATATCATTGGCCCGAAGTTGTACACCCATTCGAGCCTCAATCGCATCATAGAAAGCGTCGTAAGAAACGCATGTTCCTGGGTGTGAGTCAGCCTACTGCACTGGTCCTTTTGCGTAACGTGCACGAGTTCTGATCCTCACCGACGACGTCAAATACGACATGCTTGTTCTGAGTCGCCATGGCAGCTTATTGTCGATGATGCACTGTTGTATGTCAATAATTGAGTGAAACCTTTGTTCGGTTTAATAGGTTCGAGGAAATGTAACAGTGCGTCATACAGCCATTGTTCGTATGCGGGGATTTATTACCTATCGGTGGTATGCGCGAGGGGAGCGGAAATTAACGGCGAAAGCCGACAGTAGATAAGGCGCAGTTGTAACAGATAGAACGTGTCCGCATAAAATGCACCTGCCCAAATATGGTCAACGGATAGAAGCGACGCGCCGGCTAGGATAACTTCTGTAATGCTTCAAATTGTCCCTCTTGATTTGTTAGAAGCAGTATAACCTTGCCTAGATATTCTATAGGCAAGCCTCACCATGACCCAGTTCACTCTGCACACCTCCTCATTATTTGATCCAAAGATCAAACAATTTTGCAAAAATGTCTCTGTCACAGTGGACTCATCTACAGGACTAATTGTTCAAGTTTTTGAGCGCGATGAAGAAGAACAGTCATTTTCGACAATCATGAAGCATGGAGATATTGACCTGCGTGGAAAATACGTTCTTCCTGGCCTAGTCGATGCCCATACTCATGTTTTTCTGCATTCATATGAGTAGGTTATAAGGCGACAATATCTAAATACAGACGAGAATTGATCTTTTGTAATCTAGTGAGACTGGAGCGCTCCAGCAAAAGCGAGATGAAAGCATCGTTGAACGGGTGGTGAGAGGCATCAATCACTGCCGGGCCGGACTCTTGGCTGGATATACGACTTACAGGTAAATGTTTGCACAAACGAAACAAAAGGGTTTGAGAGCTAACTCTTCAACAAGGGATCTCGGCTCAGAAGGGATGCAAGAGTTTGATGCGAACTTGAGGGATGCTATTGCTCGGGGGCTAGCTCCTGGGTCTCGTCTGTTTGTTGCCACGAAAGTGATTGCCAGTACTGGGTCTTTCGAGTGCCGTACGGAAAATGCCGCTGGAGGACACTGTTTGCCCTCAACTGCGGATGCGGTAGATGGGAAAGAAGCATGTCGTCAGGCGGTCCGACGACGGATTGCAGCCGGTGCAGATATCATCAAATGTTTTGCCGACTACAGACGAAGAATCATGCGATCTCCTCCTGCACAGCAGCACCCTTATATTCCTAGCGTCCTACATCCTCCTAGAGAGCCAAACCCGGATTATATGGTTTTCTCTCAAGAGGAGATGAACATGATTGTATCTGAGGCTGCTTTGGCCCGATGTCCGGTTTCTGCTCATTGTTGTACATTAGAGGGGGCATTAGCAGCAGTTGAGGCAGGAGTCAACTCCATTGAGCATGGATATTTCACTACCGATGAAATGTTCCAGCAAATGGTGAAGAAAAAGGTCATACTAGTTCCCACGCTGGCTGTAGCTGAAAAGCTTCATTCGAAACGGTTTGATCAGATTCTTAGTCAAGTGAAACGTGCTCACGAGCTTGGTGTTCGAATTGCCTGCGGAGATGACACAGGTACATACCCACATGGAGAGAATGTTCGGGAGCTAGAGTTAATGATCCAGGCTGGCATTCCTGTGGCTGATGTTTTGGAAGCATGTACGATCGGGGGCTGGGAAACATGTGGCGGAGACCTTTGTGGTCGTCGCTTTGGATGGTTTGAAGAAGGTTTACAGGCAGATATTATTGCTCTAGAAGAGAACCCTGAAAGTTCGACGACCGCCTTACGGAAGGTGGACTTTGTTATGAAGGATGCTCGGATTTATAAGCTTAATGGAAAGCCTTGTGAGATGTGTTAGGCCCGACCTTAGGCTGCAATTTACAATAGGGACAGAAATCTGACTGCTAAGGAGACGATCACTCTATTTTTGTTTATTACCTAGAAGAATTACAGTAAGCAGAAGGGATCAGATACTCAGCCCACAAAGAAGCAGGAGTGGGGATCCAATTGGAGTGTGTGGCTAGTTCATCTCTAAAATAGAAAATAAACGAAGGAACAGAGTGCCGCAATAGCAGAATATAACATGCAGAGAGGCCTCTCCTTGATTGTATTGAAACGCAATGAGCCTATTCAAAAGCTGCAGACTGCTCCTGCGATCTATCAAAATATCTTTTCAAGCTCGACTCGTCCCGGGGTGTGAATCGCACTTCGAAGTCCGAAGGAATGGCATTTGAAGCAGTCGGATCTTTCTTGTAATTAATGTAGTGGGTATTCACAGGAAATTCCTTGCTCTCGGTCATTTTGAATGAGATTATCAAGCGCAAGAGACTGGAATACAGAACCCGATTGGCAAAATTGACGGCGGTGCACATGCGAGAACCAGCGCCATACGCAAAATGATATGGGGGCGCGATATTGCACGTTTTGTCTGTCCAACGTTCTGGACGGAATTGATCCGCGTCCTCGCCATAAGTCAATTTGTCTGATAACCCAGATGTTAGTATAGGCAGCTAGCGTTCTTTCTAACTATGGATGCATATTCTTACCGCGGTTGACAGCTTGTGCATTTACATAGACAAGGACGCCCTTGGGAATGTGAGCACCTTGACAAGTAAAGTCTTTGTATGTCTGTCGTGCAGGGAGAAGCTTGAGAGGAGGATAAAACCTCAAAGCTTCTTTCACAAGGGCGGAAACGTATTCACACTTTTCCTCGGTTAAACAGTGCTCGATTGCTTCCTCAAGGGTGTTGTACACATCCAATATGCTGCTGTATGCTTTGTTCTGGATTCCTTGGCCTTCTGGAGTGGACAGAAAACCAACAGTGATGATTGCAGTCGAAAAGATCGTCTCGAAACCTCCTGACATGAGTCCGCTGAGTATAGTTTTGATATCAACTAACAAAATTAGCTTTCTGTCGTAATAGAGACACTGAAGGATTGTACATACGCTGAGTCAGGCCTTCCTGATTGTCAGTTAACAACATCTCGGACACGCATTTCTTCGACCCATTTCGCAGAGGCAAAGAGTTCCGGACATTGTCCAGCATGGATGACAGCCATGTGTCTCGACGCTGTCGAACTTCAACAGCGGCGGCAGTTCGTTCGTTGAGCTGATACCTCAGATGAGGGATAAAATCTTGAGGATTTGAATTGGTAGACCGAAAACTGTTTTGCTTCAGTAAAGATTAGGAGTAATTTTCGTTGATGTCGGTTTCTGACCTCGCAATTGTACTAGCATCCGATAGAATCTGGAGAAGCAGAGGATCCGTAACCGAAGAGAACCGTGTTCCATAGCAAAACATCATCATCGCATTTAGTGCGAGTCGCTTCTGATAGATATGAGGCATAATATTGACCGTCCCATTTTTGCTGTCATTATATAGCCCCAAGACCATTGAACCCACCTCTACATCCAACATCTGCCGTAGCTTCTGAATTGATGGACCCGTGGTGAATGAGCCCACGACACGCCGTTGCTTTTTAGTTCTCTCATCCCAAGGACTTGTTCCAATAGTTGCAGCTTGATGAACTCTTAGTTTTGCTTATTCTGTCGATCGAGAAAGCTTATACTTACCTGAAGTTGCGGATACAACCCCGTGAAAGGTATAAAATCGGGGGCGATCCAGAGTTGCGGACTGGTTTTTGACCATCCATTCCCGGGCCGCATCGAAGGTGTTAACAAATATTGCTCTTCGCCGTCCTAATCTGGCCTGGAACACGGGAAATCCATACTGTGATGCCCATTTTTCTGCCGTTGTCGCATGGTCATTCCCTAGCTGGTAGAGATGCCCCGCCAGAAAATTACCGCCCGGGATTTCAGGAATACCCTTGATTTTGGGGATATCAACATAGAGAAATCGGAAACAGATCGCTAAAATTATGAGAAGAAATGTGGAAACAGCCATTGTCACCTTAACACAGCCTGTCGCCATGCGAGATTCGAGAGGAAGATCCATAGTGGACGAATCAGTCTCTCTGGTCCTGACTTTCCAAACGAAGAAGAGATACCGATGCAATAAAACCAACAACAGAGGCTTGGTTTGAGAGGCATCTTAGTTTCGGCCAGTGATAAGCTGTACCTGGCTGAGAGTGCTCCGGAGCCACGCATATACGTCGGCGGATCGCGTCGGTCGAGGGCGAATACCCGGAGAGATGCGAGCAATCACCACCCTAATACATCCGTACTACGTCGCAACGATTAAACCACAGGTTGAAATCAACATAGTGAACAGCATAGTGAACCAAAAAAAAATTAAAGTACCGATCACTTACTACATATGTTTATTCTATTTTTTTTCCGTTCAAGTATTAAATTTTTACAAATCCCCAAGCAGTAAGCAGTCACCATGTGGGAAAACTTACAAGCAAGTTCTCTCTACGATATCACCGATCGATGGACGGTAGTCACTGGTGCAGGTTAGATGCTACATCAATGCCTGTGGATATTTTGAGTTGACCATTGTTTAGCTAGCGGCATCGGTCGCATGCTGGCGCGAGGTTGCACCGTCAATGGAGCCAACACAATTCTCATTGACATCAACGAGCAAACTCTTTTAGAAGTTGCGAATGAGTTGAAAACACTTTCCTCTCATTCAAGCTCCAATTCCCCAGAGATCCTCACGTTCGTCTCAAATAACGTAATCTGTTTTTCCAACGCTGATTACTTAGGATTTGCGGCGACCTTTCCTCCGAGAATGGAGTTAAGTTAGTCGTAGACAAAATTAAGAACATGCGAAGCTCGATCGATGCATTGATTCATTGCGCCGGTATTCGATACATGAATGAAATTACTTACACACCTGGGGATGGTTTGAGCAACCTTGAAGCTGCAACCTTGTCCGCATCTTATCAAGGCTGGGAGCACACATTTCGATTAAATGTACTCGCACCTTATTACCTGACTGCTGATCTGATTGGGCTTCTCGGAGTAGCAGCTTCGAAAGGCGAAGGAAGAGGCTGCGTGATAGTCTTCAGCAGCCCGGCCAGTGTGCATAATCATCAATTTGTGCCTTCCTATCAAACATCGAAGGCGGCCGTTGATCACTTAGTGAGAATAATGGCGACTGAATTTGCAGACTTCTACAGTATGTTTGAGAACATCCTCCTTTTTGATTTTATACGTGTAGCTCACATGATCAACAGTTCGCGTGAACGCTATTTCTCCTGGGATCGTCCCCTCAGGAATGACGACTACTGATGCGAATTCAAACCTTCACCTGGCAGAGCAGGCTCCAGCAAGAAGAGCAGGGAATGAGCAGGATATGGTTGGTACCACTTTATGGCTGATGAGCAAGGCCAGTAGTTTTATGGATGGGAAAGTTATTCGTGCAGAGGGAGGGCGGCTGTTGATTCTGAAAGGTGTCACATCTAATTCCGATTAAGCATTAAGAGGTTCCAGACCAAAACATATGTAAGGACGCGTGGGCTTGTTGGCTTGTTGGCTTGTGAGTAGTTAAACCTATGGGCCTGATGCAGACGGTCCCCTTTCCTTTTTGTTTTCCTTCTGTTATCACACCTTTTCTTAGCGTGAGGTCTGGCAGTCATTTCTCTCATTTCCTCGCTGCATACGGGCCTAACAGCACACCCATATGACAACGTGTATACAGAGCGAGCTACATCGCGCGTATAAAACATCATCTTTAACAGAATATTTCACAGTGGAAGATCAGCAAGTATCCAAAATCCCACCGTACTTCTCAAAATAAAAGACTCAAGGGCCATGCAAAGTGACGCGAGTCTAGAGAGCCATCAGGCTGGTAACGTAGGCATGGATTGAATCTTCAAGTGGAGCAGGTCTGTGGTACTCCCCCACACCTGAAGATAGCTATGACCACCCTTCCAGTGTGGCGCAAAAAAGGAAATAACTTCGGTGCATTTCATCAGATCTCTCATGTGTGACTGAGGGGATGTCCATTGTTTTGCAATACTTGCTGCAATTGAGCAACCTGAGACCAGAGCCCTGGAACTCGCGACAAGTGGCGGGATAAAGCTGTCGCTTGTCATGGATTCTTGGTATGTGCTTGATATAAGCTGGGAGGCTGATTCAATAATTTTGTGTCTCAATGAAATCATTCCTTTGCTGAAAGTTTCATCGGCTTCTTGGAAACAAAAAAGACACGGTCGGTGTTTAATGCACAATGGGAAAAATAACATCCACGTCTCTTTGACGACTGGATCTTGCTCGGCAAAGATCTCCAATTTCTCCATCAATGAAGACACCTCACCGACAAACGGACAGATTTGAGGCTCGTATATTCCAGATCTACCATATAGTGCCTGAAACAACTGTTCATAGCAAAGAAGTGTGGCTTCATTGTCACTGATTTTAGACCATTTAGATCCGCTCAGCATTGTTGGCCGGCCAAAAGTCGTGCGAAGACACCTACAGTCCGTCAGTGATTCCGAAATATCCATATTATATACATCAATTCTTGCCATACTTCTGAATATCTCTCAGTGCAGACATGAGACGAGCCTCCATGCAGTTCAAAGAGCCATTTTGTTTGCAAGAATTTGTAGAAGAGATTGGAGAGCTTTGTTCGCTCAAAATTTGGGGTCTCCGGTGCCAGCCTAGCTGGAGGCAAGTCCGTGTAGCGAGATCAAGCAGCTCCCACATGGCTCCTCGGCTCGGATCTGCTAATTCAAATATCAACAATAGCAGGACAGTCGCCAGTGTTTCCCCATCTGCTGGCGATATAAGGGGCGTCACAAACTCATTTACCCAATCCCGACAGACCAGTGCACATGTCTTCCACTGCGGCGCCTTGTAGCTCTCACGAGCAGCAGCGACGGCGCATGCTATCAAGATATAGAACTTTGTTGGGTCCGGTAATTTATTGAGATTCATGCCATCATGTCGCAAGATATCCGAGGGTATGATATCATAGCAAGGTCTGATGCACTGATCATAACGTCCAAGAAGAAAGCGAATAATGCTAGGAGTCAGGATTGATCGGTCCCCGAACGCAAGCTCTGGAGGAGGCTCGGCGCCATTTTCGGCCTGAAGATTGTGTTTCACAACATCAGGCTGGGAAAGGACTTCAAATGTGATTCTCGTGATGAGCGGCGGGAGGGACGAGTCCGAATACATGTCTTTTCCCCGTCCAGGCATTAGTACATTCAAAGACGTGCCCTCTGCAGCCAAAAATGAGTTCCCGCCATTACTTTCGGGTGAAAGTCTTTTGTTATTCTCATTAGCCGCGTCTGTGGGAAAAATTGATACGACTTACCCTGAAAGACCATGCGGATGTAGTGCAAGCTGAGAGCTAAGCTCTTGAATACGATCGTTTAAGGATTTGATGTAACTGAGCAGCAATGAGCCATATCCAAGGCAACCACTATGTTCATCATGTAACCGACCTTCTAGGGACATCTGCTTCGAGAGCATGATCTCGAAAGGTGCACTCCATGTCACTTTTGGCACAATTTGCACATGCTGGCAGTAAAGAGTCACACTATGGCTGTCAGCGATGCTGAGTCACATAGCCAATTTTCAAGAGATAGAGAACCTTAATTCGGCGACTTCGACAACGTGTGCATGTTTGCAACATTTGTGGGGCGGCCATTAGGTCGAATTTGATCAAGAATCAAGTGAGGATTGCAGAAAGAGACCAGTCGAAATTTAGGTCATGGCGATAGATAGTTTCCACTAGTAACAAGGACTGTAATTGGAATACGGACTGGAAGCTTTTTTGGAGGAGGAGTGAACCCGGAGGAATTATTATAGAGTAAAATTCCCCGGGGAACCGGCCAAAGCCTATCGGGGCCAATCAAAAGACGAACTGTTATGCGGGGTCGGTCCAGCCAATCTCATGATTTGGCTAATTAAAAGATAACGATTTCACAGCTATTGGGGTTTTATCCCTTCCACTTTATATATTTTTTGATCTTAAATCTACATCATACATAGTGTAGTGGGGTGCGCCTACGCAGACAGGAATAGCAGTCTATCTGATGACTAAGGATATGATGTGATAACTAACGTATTTCACAATCGAGCGGAACACCCAGTCGGCCGGAACACCTCTAAACACATAGTAAAAGCAATGAGTTACAACTTAATATCTTGACAACGTAAGTCTGGGGGGCATTTTAATTATAGCCTAGTATTTTCAATATACTATTTAACCACTTTGGTGAGTTTAGGGAATGACCAAAGCTTGATGGGCACTCTGGTAGTAGAAATATATATTCTTGAGCTCCCTTCATAATTTTCGTGACCGACATAATCTAGCTTTTTAATTTCCTTGAAATTGATATTTTATGTTAAGAAGTCTTATCAATAGCTATCGATCGGTAATTGAATAGAATAAACTCATGGTTGGTGAGATCTAAAGTTGTGAATTATCGCTTTTACTATGTGTTTAGAGGTGTTCCGGCCAACCGGGTGTTCCGCTCGATTGTGAAATACGTTATAAAGCCAACCCCGCTCGCGGTAGAGTCAGACCATCTTCTTCCTTCATACCACCCCCTAGGTCTCCTCTCTTGTATATACTAATACCTCCGGACAGCGTACCTGGCTCGCGGACAGAAACGGCTCCTTTGACAATAGGTAGGACCTGACTCATCATGCAAAGATCTCACCGACGCTCGACGAAAGTATGCACTCGCTGCAGAAAACGCAAGACGAAGGTAGAAGCCCTTGATTATTTGACATGTTATTAGCTACTAATAAAAAGAAAGTGCGACTTCAAGCTTCCTGCCTGTACCTCTTGTAAGTTGGCGAATATGGTGTGTTTGGGTTTTGACCCTATTACTAGACAAGCAGTTCCAAGAAGGTAAGCTTCGGTCACCCTGGGTTTCCATAATATTGATTGAAACTGGATTTATTAAATATGTCAGCTTGGTAAAGTCTCTCGAGGCCCAATTGGCCGAATTAGAAGCCCGGATGTATGCATATCAAGCAGATTCCTCCAATCTGCCTTACCTGATGGCTTCAAAGATAGCCCAAGCAACGATCTCAGTGGGCATACCATGTCCAGGTTCATTTTTACATTCCAAGGTTTCCCCAGCGCTTTTCTTCCGTCCTTCTTGCCCGCCTCTTTCAGTTGTACGAGAAATAAAATACAACCCATCCGTGGATCACTCACCGCCTAATGCCAACAAGCCACCATTGAATACCCACACCCGATACAGTTCGGGCACACTCATTAATTTGAATAGTGTTCCATCCTCAGCGATTGCTCGCATGATACAAAACTATATTACTATTCACCTGCCTCAATACCCTTGTGTTTCTCAGTCGATGCTGGAGGATATCGTTCAACGAACCTGCCACGAGGAGCTGGGTGATACAAATTCGCTGTTGGCCTATGGGATCCCTGCAACTTCTGGTGTGGGGCATTTCGAATACTTCGTCCTTCTCATCGTTCTGGCACTGTCATCCATGACCCTGACCTGGAAAGATGATGATCAAGCACAGGCTGCTTCGGAATCATTCTACAACTCGGCCGTAAAGCACCTGCAGGCAATAATAAACTGCAGCGAGACCCAAGCCCTTCAAATATCGTTGCTCCTAGCTCATTATGCGAGTATGTGTCCCGACAGGGTGGACAATTGGACGTGCATCTCAAATGCTATTAGGATTGTGTTGAATATGGGCCTACACTTGGAATGTCCCAAAGGCCTTGATGAAGAGCAGGCGACCCAGCGGTCAAGCCTATTCTGGGTAGCATATGGGATGGAAAGATCTCTCTGTACGAATCTCAGACTTCCATTATCTTTTCCAGAAGAATCAATCGCGGCCAAGGTAAATATATTTTCAGACTACGTATTCTGCTGCCTTTGCTCATCATATTGGGTCCACAGTTTGATTTGCTGTCCAATGATCCACTCCAATCTTCCATGGACCCGGACCATATTATACCACAGTCATCAGCCAGCCATATATGTCGGTACCGCGCACTCGAAACCGAAGTTCACCGAGTTTTGCATCTGGAAGAAGACTTGCATAAGTTTGGCTGCACCAGCATCGAAAGCTGGATCGAAGATATTACAACGCGATTGAATAGTTGGTATGAGAGAGCTCAGCTCTATACCCCATACAACATGTTGGAGTTCAAAGGCGTTCAATTAAATCATCTCATCGCTCGAATCCATCGGCCTACGCCACGGTTGAGAACCCGCAGTGCGGAAGATCGGCAAATTGTGCTAGATGCGTCCTTGGTCCTTATCGAGGACTACCTTGGTCAAGATCGACGCCAACGACTGTTTTATCCTTGGCATGGGGTACACATTCTGTTCGAAACTACTATCATCGCACTAGAGGCATGCTGGTCGTCTCGAGATTGGCCTCAAGCAAAAGATCAAGTTATTAATATGCTGCAATTCTTCATCCCTCAGTGCATACAGCTACTGAGGAATATAGGCCAACGATGGAATGAAGCTTGTCTTTGCGCAGACCGGCTTGAACCTTTGATAGGAAAAATGAGTGCAGTCAGCATTCTCGATGATGCATCGATAACCGAAGAAATTGAAGGTCTTCTTTTCTCCGATGGGCCCCTTACATGGAATCGAGAACCTCTGGAAGATATCCCTTTCGACTTTGCGGATGACACGGATTTTTTCACAACCTTCTAGGGACTGGGCTCGAATTCTTCCAGTGGTGCCCAGAATGGGACATTATGCCATCTGAGCCCCTTCAGGGTTCCTAGATATTAATAATGGCGAGACTAAATATTCTAGCTCACTACTATCCTGTTTCTACCTATTCAATGTTCCTCTCGGTTATTTCTATTCCCCCCAAAGACCCTCACAACCTGACTTGAAATCCCTCATGCCGCTTCACGTTATCTACTTACAACCAATGGTGAATAGGTGTCCTAGGTCTCGCGCGGCCTGTGGGCAGGACTTGCCTACCCACCTCCCGAAAAAGGCGGATCTGGGCGGCCTTTAGAGGAAGATTAGTATAAAATTTTAGATCATCTATATCGGTTGCTAAGGAGTTTTAATAACAGGGAATTCCTTGTTTCGTTGTGCATAATCAAGACGGAAAGCGGCTTTGCCGTCAGTTAACGGCTATGTCCATACCACTGTTCTTCACGATAGAATCATCTAGATCAATAACAACTCTCTTCCCGGACACCGTTCCGTCTCGGAGCATATTTAGAGCGTCATTTATCACAACCAGCCCCCCCTTTTCTTGAACAATAAGGCCTGGGGGTTGTAGAACCTTGGCTTGAAGAAGACATTCCAACCAGCGCATGATGCTATCCCCAATGATTGGACATGAATGAAATAGCTTTATAGGAACAGTATGATAACATACTCGCAGGTGTTTACTCTTGGGAAGACCGGTCAAGCCCAGCAGGTGTGCCTGGGGTCTCTCGGGGCTGGTATTTAACGCATCCTGCAATATTGTGGCTGTTTCACAACCTACCATGTCCAGGGCGTATCTAAGTCGACCCCCGGTAACTCCTTGGATGACCTTGATCGCGCGGACAGTATCATACCGATCTACCAGCAGATGCGCCCCCGCCTCAAGCAATTGCTGGCCGTGGCGGGCAATGTCAGCCACGCAGACCACTTTCAATCCGCACTGCTTGGCAATCTGTAACATCATATACCCTGTTGTGGTCGAGGCTAAAGTGGATGACAGAGTTAGTTTACCTGCCATTTGCAACTCAAGGCTAGTGCAACCAACCTCCCCAAATTGCAATCCAATCTTCCGGCTGCACTCGCTGCGCTTTGTCCGCAACAGAGAAGCACTCCGCAATTATATCCTCTGGGATGTCTTTCTGGTTCATTTCATGCAGTATATGCAAGAGGTTTGGCCCTGGTGCGGCATGCAAGGTCGAAAAGTCAAGGCCAAAGCAGACACCCAGTGCAAGAGTCGCAGCAACAAACGCCACCCCGAGGGAGGCTCCCTGGTACATAGATATAGTTCGCGGGATTCTTGCGGCATTATAGTGCGCTGCCACCGCATACTCCTGAAAGGCTGCTTTGCGGATGTCGCGGTAATCTGTTGAGGGGACAAGAACAAGGTCGCCGGTCTTGATCCGAACTGTGAAATTTTGCGATGGGGAGGTCTGAACAACAACTCCGGCTAGGTCTCGTCCGAGCACCCAAGGTAAACTAGGGATGCCAAAATTAAACGCCCTAGGATGATGGTCAGCGTTGAGGTATCCTGCCAATATGGGTTTCATTCAACAGGGTACTGTACGGGGATTTCCAGTCAACAGGATTGAGTCCGATGGCGGCCACCTTGATCAACACCTCATCTTCACCTAGCAGCAAGGGAATAGGGTGATTGGTGACAAGTGTGTATGGTTCTTTGACCCTGTGCAGGACAAGAGCTTTTTGAAATTGACCGCTTGAATCTCGAAGGGATTCTGTTAATTCTTTATCCGTCGAATTTATTCCAAGGGGAGATGAATATCCAAGAGAAACTTGCACAGGCTCTTGCTGGCAGGAGGCCGATATTGCTGCGGTCATTGTGGTGAATTATCACTGACAAAACTACAATGAACATATTAGAAATCCTTTGCCTTCATTGTAAAGAGTGCCTCATTGACAGGCTACACGCGATAAGGAAACTGGACATTTCAGGCTGTCTAGTCATCCATAGGGTGCGGTCAGGGTCACTAAGCTGTGAAGGAGAAGAACTTACGGCTTGCGGCCGCTTTACACACGGTATAGCAGAATAAAGACTGATTACGTCTCAAACAGCCTGCAGAATATTGGGAGTACGCGGACAAAATAATGACCCCCGAAAGAAAAAGCAAACCGGCAGTGCGAGATATCTTAAGTGTCTAGGCCCAATAGCCATTACATGAGGTTGCTACTTTCCTGGTTAGGCTCTATATGCCTCGGCTATCAGTGCGAACGATTCCGTGATCCGGCCGAAGAAGCAATCCAAGCGGATGAGATCCGAGATAGATCCCAAATACTTACTTCCAGAATCCAAACTTCAACATCTTGGCAGCCCATCAAGATTCAAGTTAGCAATTAAACTTTAATCACAGAAGACGTGTCAAGCAGTTTTACAGCTTGCAGACCAGCCTTGCCAATATCGCCTGCTAAACTTGGTTCCTCAATCCGTTTCCAGAAACCGCAAGGATGGCAGAAAATTTACCAGCATCGAGCAATGGGCTTGGTTTCGTCAACAAGAAACGGATCATTTTGAATGCATTTGAGATGTCGACAGTCGGACACATGTCGCCTGGACAATGGAAGGTGCGAGCAAACGAACATTGAAAGATTAGGATCAACCTGACAATTAATTTTCTCAGGACCCAGAGGATAGATCTGCAACAAAGCGAACCTTGTATTATTGGATTAATCTGGCCCAGATTCTCGAGCGAGGAGACATCAACGCGCTGTTTCTGGCAGACACCTACGGGGGCCACGATACCTACGAAGGCTCGTTGGATAATTGTATCAGGCGCGCTGCACAATGGCCTGTAACCGATCCTTCCATTGTAAGCAACCTCTAGTTATCGTTTCTAACGTCCGTTGGGTATAATATATACTAATTCGATCGTGTGACATAGGCTATATCGGCCATGGCGGCTGTAACAAAAAACCTCGCCTTTGCCATCACCTACTCCACCTCCTTTGAGCCTCCTTTCTTGCTGGCGAAACGATTGTCGACCCTAGACCATCTAACGGCTGGCAGAGTGGGTTGGAATATTGTTACTGGCTGGAAGAAGGGTGCTTTCAAGGCAATCGGGTTGGATGAGCCAATGGACCATGATCGTCGCTACGCGCAGGCAGACGAATATGTCCGCGTACTGTACAAGTGGGTGTCAATCCAATCTGCCGCTGAAGCTTTCATGCGTTGAGGCTGACTATAATAGGCTTTGGGAAGGCTCCTGGGCAGATGACGCCCTTGTTCAAGACGCCTCGGCCGACATCTTCACGGATCCTGCCAAAGTTCGAACCATCAAGCACCAAGGAGAGTTCTATCACCTGGAGAGCAAACACATTGTTGATCCCAGTCCACAGCGGACACCACTTCTCTTTCAGGCGGGCACGTCACCGTAGGTATTACATTTGCTGTGATTGTAAAAAAAAGGGGTCTCCTCGCTGACAACAAACTCCCACAGGGCTGGCTCTCACTTCGGTGCCACTCACGCAGAAGGGATCTTTGTTGCCGCACATAGCGCGTCTGTTTTGGCTCCGCGTGTCGCCAAGATGCGCGAGCTGGCACAAAACGCCGGTCGCGACCCTCAGTCGCTCAAATTCTTTGCCAGTTTCACGCCATTCATCGGGGTCACCGAAGAAGAAGCAAAAGCCAAGTATGAGCGGGCGAAGAAGTACACCTCTACCATTGGCGGATTAGTGCTGTTTTCCGGCTGGACGGGCATCGACCTGTCCCAAGTGCCGCTGGATGAGGAGATTGACCCGATAAAGCACTCGGTGGCGGCACACAAGATCACTTCTACGGTCGAGATGCTGACTGCGCGCAGTCCAGATCTACCCTCACTGACCCCACGGCTGGTGGGCGAGATGGCTTCCATCGGGGGACTTGGACCGGTAGCGATTGGCACTGCGGCACAGGTCGCAGATGTGATGGAGGCGTGGATCAACGAGGCTGATATTGATGGGTTCAATCTAGCGTACGTGACAGCCCCCGGTACATTTGAAGATGTCGTCGATCTTCTTGTGCCGGAACTCCGGCGTCGTGGGCTCTATCCCGCGAAGGCTGAGACTGCGGACCCTTTGACGGCCAGAGAGAGACTCTTTGGCAAAGGCCATAGTAGACTTGGCCCAGACCACGTAGGTAGCAGGTACAAGTACGATGTCTACAAGGATCCCCCCTTTTCTTCGGCAGATTAGTCGGATACAGCAGAGGATGAGAATATGTGATCGATATATTGTATCGCGAGTTCGCACATCGTTCCATGATGGCGGCCAGACAATGCAACATTCTGGTTGATTATACCGTTGAGACTAGTCTACAGAATATCTCTATAAATCTAAATTCTACGAGACAAGATGTTTGCACGGCTAGGTCTGAGCTTGGCCTTGTTAAGAGAGACAGAGACAAATACTGGTCAGCCAGTTGCCGCTATAATTTGAACCTTACTAGGATATCTTTCCAGTTCTCTATGACTGAAAGTATTGGCTGAACTGGCCTTGAGATAATACGATAGTACTGATGGTAGCGACAGTGGTGAAGTGAAGTGAGACAGCTACGTACAGAGTAGGGGTTGGACGGTCCGTAGTGTCCATGACCACAGATGGTCTTAATCATTTGATTGATGTTGATGTCGCTGTGAACGATATGACGAAAACTCTATTTCCTATCTATTTTTCTCCCAACTAGCGCTTCGATGCTTATCTTTGTTGATCGGCTCGGAACTCGGCCCGGGGGGACCCAGACACCAGTCGCTCCAGTGTGCCTTCCGAAAACATGACAGGGAAATCATAATTCTGCCAAATTGCTAGAAATTTGAGCTCTGTCTTATCAAGAACTTGGAATGTGGAATTCATGAGGACGGGAGCAGATAAATAAGTACTCGTCCTCCTTCGTCAATCAATCAAGCTCCATACCCACAATACCCACAATTATGACAGACACAAAGCCTCTGCCTAAGAATGAAGTCAAGCAGGAAGTTGAGGAGGGGACTGGTATCTCCTGGACAGCAGAAGATGAGCTATCTCTTCGATGGAAGATCGATCTCCGTGTCTTCCCCGTCCTCATTGTCTTGTTCATTCTCAATTTTATGGACCGCAATAACTTCGCCAATGCCCGCCTCAAAGGTCTCCAAAACGATCTCAAAATGAGCGATGTGGAATACCAGACTTGCATATCAATCCTCCTGGTCGGCTATGTCATTTGTCAAGTCCCTTCCAATATGATCCTGAACATTTTAAGTCGACCGAGTCGGTATCTGTGCGCCTGCGCCGCCACATGGGGAGTGATTTCGGCTGCCACGGGCTCTGTTCAAAATCCCACGGGAGCGATTATGTGTCGTTTCTTCCTCGGATGCGTCGAAGCATCGCTGTTTCCCGGAAGCATCTACTTCCTTTCACGCTGGTATACCAGGAGAGAGATGCAACTGCGAGTAACGCTCCTTAATGTTGGCAATCTGTTGGCACAAGCCTTTGGTGGGCTCATTGCGGCAGGTATTCTCGGCACGATGGATGGTACCGCTGGTATCCGTGCCTGGCGATGGTTGTTCATTTTGGAAGGAGTCATCACCATTACTTGTGCAGCAGTAGCGGCTTTTATCCTACCTGATTATCCATCCACCACTTCTTGGCTATCGGCTAGGGAGAAGCTGATTTGCCAAAACAGACTTGACTGTGACTTGGGCGGCCCGGACACGACCAACGACGATCCCACAATCACTACCGCGTTGCACGGGCTGAAGCAGGCAGTGACTGATCCCAAGGTTTGGCTGCTTGGCCATGCGTACCACTGTACGATCATGGCATCGTCTGTATGTGCTTCTGTCCTTTTCCTCATTCCCTCCCTTTTAGCTTCTATCCGGCTTATTTGTTGGTATAGTTCAGTTATTTCTTCCCTACAATCACCCAATCCCTTGGCTACGGGACTACAACCACCCTGCTTCTCACAGCTCCACCTTGGATCTGGTCTGCTATGATTTCGCTACCCAACGCATGGCATGCTGATCGGGTAGGCGAGAGATTCTTCCATTATCTTGGCCCAGCTGTGGCGTGTATGACCGGATACATTGTTGCGATGACGACAACGGCCACCGCTCCCCGATATATCTCCATGTTTTTGATGACCAGTAAGTGATCTGATCTACTACAAACCACCACCTCTGTCTCTGACCCTACTTCTAGTGGGGTATTCATGTGGATTTGTCATGCTAGGATGGATATCTAGCACCATTCCACGCTCACCAGCCAAGCGCGCTGCGGCGATCGCAATCATCAATGCTATGGGCAACATCGGTAGTATTCCGGGCTCGTATATTTTTCCTTCTAACTATGGGCCGTACTATGTCAAGTCTTTTGGTGCCGAGCTTGCGATTCTCGCATTTGCTTGCTTGTGTGCCTTGGCCCTTCGTATGTATTTGGCACGTCTCAACAGCAAGCTCGACCAAGAGGAGAGGGAGCATGTTTCCCACATTGACTCCGTGGAGTACCAGCACGTGAAGTCCTTTCGCTATATATATTGAGAGGAGTTGCAGCTAACTGACTTACTCAAATGGGATATACGATTGGTGCGATGCGTTGAGTTGGCGGTATTAATTTCTTATGCTACTTTCATATTCAACTCGTTCTAAATTGCACTCAATATTCCAGAATTGTACGAGCATTCCCTCAAATCTAGGAGCTTTTTGCTCAATTGAACCTATTCTAAATTGCACCCAATGGCTCAGAATTGTATGAGTGTATTCCCGACTCTCTAGCGATATTTTCTGCAATTATTCAATCTATTCTAGATTGCACTTAACAGTTCAGAATTGTATGGGCATTTCCTCAACACTCTAGCTATTTTTCTCAATATCTCGCAGATGGTAAGCAAACATGCCATTTGAAGGAACACTGTTTCTGTCGATCATCTTCTGCGCTGCTTCCAACCCGGAGACTGGGACTTGCCACTCCTGTCGGTTAAGACTACCCGGAATTGAGAACGGAGAGGGTAGATAGTCGGGCAGGATGCCCAACTGCCTGAGCACTGTTCCTTGATCCCACGCGATATGTTCATGGTACAACCGATCACCGCGGATATTGACAATGGCTGTGAAGGGAATACGGAGTGCTCGGCCAGTTGGAGGCATCCCGGGCAGGCTGCAGTATAGTCGAATGAGCATATTATGAACCCCTATGCTTTCTTGGAGGGAAATACTCACATCCAATCGACCTCCTTCGTATGCGTGAACTTGTAGATAAACTCGTCCACAACGCGGTCTATTCCAATCGTCCGGCTGATCAACTCCATCTCAGTGTCTTCAGGGTTACTCCAGATGAAATGGTCACGATAGAAAGTGGTGAGGGCCTCGCGCCCGATTCCTCCCGTTAACTGAACGGTCATCAGTGAGTCGTGATATCATTTGCTCTCCTGATTTGCTTGTATCTTACCGTGGGAATATGGTTCACATATGGCTCCTGTACCATAGTTGCCATAGTGTGCTCAACAGAGCGGTTCTCAAACTCGTAGGAAGTGTGCTCGTCCCAGATCTGCTCTAGATCGAAGTAAGGGCCACCCATATGCCGTTTCAAATGCGTCAGATTACGGGTGTGGGCAATGGCGTCGGTAAGGTAATGGAACTCTGGCTGGAAGGGAAGCGCGAAAGATGTGGATTGGACCGTGGCATATTCATATTGCATGAGTTCCTTGGTACGTTGAAGTTCGCAGCCTGCTTTGCCCGCAATATGATGTACAACGGGCCAACATGAGGGTGCAAGCGTCGTGACGTCGGAAGCATTGCTATATACCACGATAGCCTTGATTGCCTCGATGGAATTGACTGCCGTTGCGGCTTGGCTCCATAAGCTCATCTCGTACGCTAAATGCAAAGTCAGCGATCTGTTCACGATTGAGTTAATACGCCCCTTATAGGATGCACATACCTACGAGACCAATAGAATTCTTTGGCTCGCAACGATCACAATGCACAATGCATTCAATTGCTTGTTTGAGCACCTCCTGAGGATTGGTTTCCAGCGCGCTTTGTTCGATCTCCACCACGGTATATCCCTCCTCCGCCCATTTTAGAAGAGGAGAAGGCACTCCATCTGCAATCTTGAGTTTAATTTGGGAGCTGCTGGCGTCTGGAACTAGCAGTATTATACCTGGACCTGTGCCAAGGCGAGATAAAGGTAGCAGGAGAGAAAGTCCCGGTATCGGCGTGGTCAATCGAGGCGTTGGAAGAGGGGTCAATGGGGGAAGACTGGCCATGGCTGCTTAGAACACTAGTTTTGATAGAGTGGAATCGCATAAAATAGCAGGAGATCTCTTATATCCATTTATAGATACCGAACACATATTGACAGAAAAATGCCGAAGATTACCCGACGCTACTAGCAATCTACGACCCCTCCTTCGGATCCCGGCCCGAGGATCAAGTAGCATTTCGTACAGTGCTTCAGATAACAAAAAAGCAGTTTTATTTATTCCAAGTGGATATCCTTCTATCTATCTGGGCAAGTTATCGGTGCTTGTGCGGTATGACGATCCACCAGCAGTTTCGGGCCGACTCTGCCCTCCCGCAGGGCTCATTGATCCTCGTCACAGGAGCGTCTGGATTTCTTGCAAGCCATATCATCACTGAAGCTCTACACTTGGGATTTTGTGTACGTGGAGTTGTTCGCTCGAAGGATAAGGGAAAGCAGACCGAAGCCTTGTTCAACTCACCGAAGTACTCCTCGGTGGTTGTCCAGGATATGGCGGCTGATAAACCGTTTGACGGCGTCCTCCACGATGTGGACGGCATCATTCATTGCGCATCAGTCACAACCTTTTCTCCAGATGCGGAATCAGTGATCCCCCCAACAATCACGGGGACACTTAATATATTACACGCGGCGATTCGGCAGTCGAATGTGGTACGGTTTGTGTACACTTCATCTGCCACAGCTGTTACCTTCCCGTGCAACAATCTCAACGGAATAATTACAGCAGCAGCCTGGAACCACGAGGCCGTGAATATGGCACAACAGGCGGCTGCAGACTCGCCAGACATGCCCTTCCTTGTCTACTCAGCGAGCAAGATGCAGGCCGAGCAGGCCGTTTGGCGGTTCACACGAGAAGAAAAGCCTCATTTCACGGTCAATTGTGTCCTGCCCGCGACCAGCTTCGGCCGCATTTTAGGGCCTGCTGGGGAGTCAGGCAAATATATCCCCGATCTGGTGCTGCGACGGGCTGTGTCAACACACCTTCCTCCGCGTAAGTCTATTCCTCCGCAACTGTTGACAAGTCATTGGGCTCACGAGTCGGCGGCTCTACAGAATACATAGTTGACGTCAAAGACTCGGCGCGCATTCATCTGGCTGCTCTGCTGGACGTGACCGTTGCAAATGAGCGAGTATTGGCGTTTGGGCATTCTATCAACTGGAATGACATTATCGATAGCATCCAGCAGTCGCGACCGGAGCTTCAACTGCCCACCCGTATTCCAGGCTTAGGCCGAGATTTGAGGGAGGTCGAAAACTCCCTAGCGGTGAACTTGTTGAAGAAATGGTGGGACAAGGATGCGTTCACTGAGCTGGATGAGACTGTACGTGAGAACTTAGTAGGAGTTAATGGATGATGTGAGAAACCCATTCGAATAATTTGAGGGCTTTCCAAACAAGTATTTGGTCATTCATTTATAGCTCATGTATATACTCAAGTTCCATGGTTGCAGACAGGAATAGAGGTGTGTCACCGTGTGTGTGACGACTTTGGGGGCGGTGGGCGGTGTGAAATACAGTGATACCAAATCTACTCATATCCGCTCATTTCCATCGTAGTGCTCTCAACCGCTCTATTATTCCTGGTTCATAATCACTATCTTGATATCTTTTCGGGCATGCTGCGCAACAAAGGCGTCTGATGCTCGGGTCAAAGGATATGTAGAGGTGATTAGGGATCTCAAGTCGACTTTGCCTCGACTAACTAGGTCGATGGCGTCACCGTAGCACCCTGGAGTGAATCGAACCGTTCCTAATAATTGAAATTTCAGCAGCTGTAAAGCCAAAAAAAGTAGACTTTCCAGCTCACCTTTTATCGTCAGCTCCTTGGCTGTCAGCATCAATAGTGGGACGGCTGTCAACGGCTTTCCTAATCCCGCTTGGATGCCTGTTCTCGTTAGTGGACTCAGTCGAATTGCCATCTATTTGTGCTCGCTTACATGTCCCTCCAGGTTTCAAAATGGCGATGGCCATCTGAGCACAGCTTTCAACCCCACTTGCTTCTACACTGACATCCACCCCGTGATCCAATCCCTGCTCCTTGAGAGTTTGAGCCACGAAGCGCTGCGCGAATTCCAAAGCGTCATCTGATCCATCATTATTGGGAGAAATGATTCCCACATCTGCACCATACTGGACGGCGAAGTCCATTCGAGACTGCTCCACATCAAAGACGATGATCTTCCGCACACCGGACGCTTTAGCGACCGCGATGACAAGTATGCCAAGGGGACCGCATCCACTGTGCGTTCATGTCAGATTGAGTAACTCAAATCATGGAATCAGGGGAGATTTGTGCAAGGCGCACTCACAAAATGGCCAGCGTTTTGTTTGCCGTTAGTGCTGCCCGCCGACCCAACTGGACGGCGATGGCAAGTGGTTGGATGGCCCCAGCCTCTTCCCAGCTTATCTTGTCAGGAATGGGAATTGCCATATGGGCACCACAGATGAAATACTGCTGGAGCGTTCCATCAGTGGGGTCCAGTCCACAGTATGCAAGATTCGTGCAGATATTCTGCTTTCCTTGAAGGCAGGATTCGCATCTAGTAATATTGAGATTAGATTAACCTTTTTCGTGACAATCGAAGATTGATTAGACATACTTCAGGCACGCAAATCCAGGCTCCATAGCAACCCGTTGACCAACCCGGGATTTGTCAACATTGGAACCGACTTCCACAATGATCCCAGCTGACTCATGACCGAGGACTAATTGGCGCGATACATGGGCGCTGTTCCAATTATGTGCGTCGGATCCGCAAATACCCGTGGCCATCACTTGCACCAAGACGTCGTCGGGCCCGACAGGCTTTGTAGGGAGCTCTTGGATCTCAAGGGTGTTGGCAGCGACCCAGACGCAGGCACGATTGGTGTACTTTGCGGACATGATTGGCACAGCAGTAAACAGTTGCTTTGGTAAGTATAAGCTCGGCAACTGTTGTCAAAGCTGTTTTGCTGAACTTAATACTAAAATGCGCATCGGATCTCGGCCCGCTTGTGGTTCAATCACTGAAACAGTCATTGCGCATCGATAACGACAACCGATAACTAGCTTATCATCCTATTACACACTGCGAGTTTGTTTTAGACACACTCTTCATAGCTCATAATCAAGGTCTCGATCTCTCCCATGATACTGGTTGAGTGAGCATTTCCATGGCTTTAGAGTCCATCAATTGTTTTTAATGAGGATGGCCCCAGATCAAGAATACGGTGCCGCTATAATTATGGAAGGTCAAAATATCTTGCCTTCGGAAATATCCGATTTAAAGTGGGATTGTCATGCTTTGTGTAATTGCTTCGAGCCGTAACCGAGTCTCTGAATGCCTAATTTCTCCATATTCAAACATGACAAAAGGAATCCTCTTTGGACAGAAGTCAAGATAGAAACTAGCTTAATGAGCCTAGAGTTTCAAAAGAACAAAAAGTGAAACTAAATCGGAACATAATGCCCGGAGTAAGGTGTGATTGCTTATAATGCTTGCATCTAGTGTTTATATTCGGTCGATGGAAATGATTTTAGCTGCGTCTCCTTGCCCTCTACTTGTACCCATTCGTAGCTGGAGCACCAGGATCAGAACCTTTCTGCTCTGTTGCCGTCTTTGCTTTCAGATTTGCTATTTCTGTTGCCATCCAGGCCGTCACAGCGACAATGTCTGCTCCACAGTTCACAAAATCAAATCCTTGTTTGTATTTCTTCGCCGCTATTCAGACACTCATCAGCCACGTCATTGCGGTGCAATTTGGCAGGTGCTTACCAGTCTCGGCGGATAATGCGAAATGTCCGGCATATTTACCGGCGGCTTTGGCAGCAACGAGCACTCGCTGGATTGCTTCCTGGACTTTAGGGATCTTGGGATGATCAAAGGCGACGTATCCCATAGAGGAAGCGAGATCATTAGGCCCAATAAAAAGCATATCTGAGTGATGCAATCGGTCAATTTAGATTTTCTTGTCCGGGAACACGTAAGCCCACCGATGCCGTCCACTGAAGCGATGGCTTCACAATTTTCAACACCCAACTTTGACTCGATCTGAACAATAATCGTGACATTTGTGTTGGCGTGAGCAAGATAGTCACGGCCATTCTGGTTGAAGGCCGCTGGAGCGAACATCGCGCCTGCTCCTCGCACGCCTTGAGGCCAGCGCGTGGAAGGATACTTACAGCTTCGCACGATTGCCTCAGCCTGTTCTTTGGTGTCACACATAGGAACCATAATACCGTGCGCACCACAGTCGAGGGCTCGCTTCATCATCCACGGCTCTGCTGCTGGAATACGGACAATCGGGGATACACCAGCAGAGGAAATGGCCCCAACTTGCAGGTACATTTCTTTGTCGTCGATATCTCCATGTTCACAGTCAATTAAAACCCACTACAAGTACGCTTAGCCCTTTTCATTGTCTTGTACGAATCGATAATATGATTCGACTCACATCTTCTCCCAGTGGTGCCACTGTTCGGGCCAGTGAAAATCCTGGGAATTCTAGCCACTGCCCTACGGACGGCCCTTGCCGCGTTGCGGCAGACTCCAGGAAGCCTGTAATCGAGTCTTGCCGATGGGCGACACTACCGGAGAGGCAATTGTCGCTGCCATTAGTGTGGAGATCGAGCAAATCAGGCAAAGGACAAAGGCAGATAAATTTCGATGGAAGTTAACTTCTATACCATTAGTTAGGGTGGTTAGGGTTAGGGTGGGTGTGGTTAGGGTGGGTGGTTAGGGTGGTTAGGGTGGTTAGGGTGGTTAGGGTGGTTAGGGTGGTTAGGGTGGTTAGGGTGGTTAGGGTGGTTAGGGTGG